CGCTTGAGTCAGGCTGAGGTTACCCCCGACTTTATCACTTGGAGACGGTTCCTTTGAAAATGTCGTTGCGACACCTTCAAGGACAAGTTTCATCCCGCATATATACCTACGGGAACGAGCGCATTCTCTTCCACTCGCTTTATCTCTTTTTATTTATCCTCTCGGTTTGACATCAAATCCGAGATGGACACTTTTTCGCATGGAGGATAGAACATTGCATGGAATACGCATACCAATACTACCCCGGATCCGACACGACACGGACTCGGGGCCTGAACTCATGGATCTGCCACTGGTGGGCAGTGGCGCAGAATAGGGATCTGATATCAGTCGATCGGCGATCGACACCTTCGTTTTTGATCTGCCGTCTTTGTTTTTTTTTTCTTCTTCTTGCAGTGCTGTTTTCCTTGCGCATACGTCCTCCCCCCTATGTCGCTGGTTCGAGATCAGTTTCACTTGCCCTTTTTTTCTCTCTTTTTTTTGTCTTTGACTCGTCACCTTTTTGTGATCAAGTCTGCGATGCCATACCCCCCTGTGTTACTTGTTTTTTAATGCTTGATTATGCTTCGGGTTTGATTGGGCAGGACGAATGATCGATTCTGTATCCCTTTCGACTTTGAAGCTGTTTCTTTATCCTAGTTAGATACCTCACTGCATTGATATCACGGCTTTATCATTCCACCACAAATTTGGTCTTTTCGTAACCATAACCACCATCATAACCAATACCGTAGACTATAATAGCTAGTAATACCTTCCGAGGCCACGAAACTAATCCCTCCATCCCCAGCCACGCCTAGAACCGCCCATTTACCGGTACCCGGTGACAGCGCAGACCCTTGGGTCCGTTACTATACTTTTCGGCCCCCATCCCACATGATCGGAGCTATTTTATCAGCCGCAACGACCCCCGGCGTTCCGGGGCCAAGCCCCATCTGCCCTGCGGCACTGCCAGGTGCCAGTATCGCGCTGAAACGCAGATCCCGTAAAAATAATAAGTCCGGGCTTTCCGAAACGTTTGGTCCCGGGATATAAGCCCCCAAGGACTCAGTTTACGTTTGTATAAGCCGTCATCAACAATCATCCTGCACGGTGCTACGGTGGTGCAGTTTGTGTCGGCGCGCAGGATGGAGTGGGCGGTGCTTGGGGGTACCTTATGCACCCAGGGTTGACACTCCCAAGCCTAAGCGTAAGCCCCAAGCCCCAGGGCGCAGGGTGCAAGCAGGCAGCGCTATTGGGGGCTTGGGGCTAATAGCCCCGGACCCCCAACCTTGGATTCTAAGTTCTAGATTCTGGGTCTGTCGTCGGGCTGGATTTTGAGCCCGGGCCGAGAGGCTGAGGGAGCACGTGCAGGGATATTTGGGTAGAATATTGGAGAATTTGGGACTTGGGATTTGGGGCGATGGGGTGAGTGCTTTGTTTAGAATGGGATACTCCGTTTCATTTGACTTTGGCGACACGGAAGGACTGGGGCTGTCAGCGTCATGTGCCGTATGAGTTTGAGGTTTGTTATTGCTTTATTCTTTGTTGGAATTCAATACTCGGCATTCGGCATTTGCTTACTGCCCAAGGCTGGGTTTTGTTTGGTGCTTGCTAAAGAGCTGTGCAGCTCAGCCGTTAACTCTTTGTTTGTAGACTTTGTGACGAGGCTGGCGAGGACATAGCTGTAAGGCTATAGGACCCGACGGAATCGGATTTTAGATCCGATCGGATGTTTGGAAGGGTAAGCTAGTATTTAGACAGATAGGTAGTACAGTACTGCATTATCTACGTGCTTATACAGAGCATACTGTAGTCCTACTCAGAAGCGGGATAGTAATGTTTGGTTGTTCACGATTATTGCCAATGGTGAGCCATCCCAGTCAGTATCCAATCTTTATCTCTATACAGTATCTAAAACTTTAGACGATAGAACGCCAGACAGAATCAACACCAAGCCTATGGAGCATTGTCCTCATTACACTCGGATCAGTCTTCGGGCTGAGCTTGATAGTGTACATCGTCTAGCTGACCCTCATGCGTCAAGGGCTTCTACAAGCAGCGGCACTTGCCGCCCATCCGCAAGATAACGTCGAGATGACTCGAACCACCGTCGTCCACCTCGCGAGGTCCTTGAACAATTGCCTCTTTACATCTATACAGGCCGAAGATCTTTATCTGTGGCATGTATACTCTGAAAACAGACATAGTCGGAGAACCTACCAGCTGAGTCTAGACCAAGATCTATCTCTATCCAAATTTAGATCTAAATCTGTAATGACCTGAATCTGAATATAATCTGAATAGAATCTGAATCGAATCTGAACCTGCATCTCAAATTTCAATTTGAATCTGGATGCAAGTCATGTCGATCGAGTTTCGGTTTCAGCCTTGAGGGTCCTGGAGAATGGTGCGGTTTACACTTGACTCGATGGGGTATATGGAATATGTAGATCTCTTCATCCAACTACCCTATGTTTCAAAGTATGGTTTGTAACCATCGCGTTCTTCAGGATCGCTAATCTCCCACTGGTAAAAATAGTAGGATTCAAAAACGGGACATCTATTTCTATTTCCTAACACGAGCTCGAGCCTAATGCACTTTTACGCTTCTTTCTCTCTGTAGTGTAGGTGTTGACCGTGAGGTTACCCACAATCCTGCCTCGTTGGTTCCGTCGGCCCCGTCAAAGAAAATCCTCGCGCGGCTCCCTACCTCCAACTCTAACCACCACTATTCCAAAATCTCCCCACAAGAAAAGAAACATACAAAGAAAGACCATCCATCCATAAACCATTATACCCGCTTAGTTACGTCCCGCCCTCCAGAACGAGTACAGTAGTTGAGTCCCTCCGGGCGGCCCATTGTGGAAAAAATGGACCCACAACCACGCGAACGCCAACCAGCGTAAATAGTTAATGCCCAGCGCCCCGATCGTCTCGTGAAACGAGACAAGAAAAGACAATAGGCTCCACTTGTAGGCACCGGCATTTGCTGGTACATATGGAGAACATAAGTAAATAGTAAAGACGGTAGTAGTCTAGGGACTCCGTATTTTGAGGGTACTAGAGCTGAAATGGGTGTTGGAGTGTTCGTGGTGAGATTGGGATGTTCGCGATTATTGATTTGGGAAACCTACTTTTTGCGGGGAGGAGGGGTAAGAGGTGATTCTTCTTTTGTGTGGGTGTGGACATGGAGTATGAGGTATGATGTTCATAAATACGGGGTTTATGGTTTTTGTGTCGACAGAGCAGATTAAGATTGTAAGTACTTGCAGTGCAGTGTATATGGATGCCTGGTGGATTGAAGATACACAGAAATAAGGCTGGGTAGGTCGAGAGATAGAGTTACACTGCCAATCATAGGCATTAATTTTCTATGGGACATCATATCTTACAACTTGTGTTTTCAATGCTAGCTTTTATTCTTTATTCTGAAAATTTCGAGCTTCTCTACACAGATATGGCTGCCTGAAGCAACCAGCTCGTGGGGGCACCAACTTGAGAAAAATCACCTAAAAAAAGAGGAAACGAGGATCCGACGCACCCCACAGTTCAGAACCCATCCTCAAAGGAACGGTTTGAACCACTCATACGCAGGCCATACAGAAGGTGGGTTTTGTTCTTCGGGATTCGGGGATTGACCCTTACGGAATCGTGTTTGAAGTGAAACACATGGGTCGAGCGTAGGCTTCGCTTGTACTTCGGTGCTTCCTCCACACAAAAATCAGATTCCCTCGTGGTATTTCGTTACCCGTTCACCCCTTTTTTTTTCTCTCCAGCTAAGCCGCTCAGCCACAGTCAGATCATTGTTCGCTGTTTCAGGGTGGGCTGTGGGGAATTTGTGTCTCCACTTCTTCATCTGATGAACCCTATGAGGTAGGTTTAGGGGCTGATCACGGGCAATGGTGGCAGTGTGGGTGGATTGGTTGGGAGGGTTGGTGTGGCTTGATGGGAAACCATTCCTAACGGCCGTACAGAGTATACAAAAATACCATGGTTGTATCGCTGAATTACCGCTTGTATCTTTCAATTGCTAAAGGGGGTCAAGTCGTTTGTTGGAAAGGGCGTTAGTTTCAGTTACCATGACCTTTCGAGAATGTCGAGACTGTCGTGGGTTTTCTAAGGCTGATCCTGTCGTTTGGGGATCGTGGCTTGCTGCTGTGCAGGAGTTCGGAATACATGCCGAGTTAAGTCCACGCCTCGTTTCGAAATCCTTGCTAGAGAGAGGCTTAGCATTGTGATTCCGCGACTGATATGGCAGGTAACCCCCGGAGCGAGTCCAGCTAGTACTTAGTAGCTACTAGCTATGCGATAGGAAAGTAGGGAATCCCTGTTATTAGCGCCGTGGAATCTTCCATAATCGACAATGGTCTCCGGGTGAAGCCATCCCTGTCAGCGAGACACGTAATTCTGCGTCGGTGGCTCTCAACGGTCCGATCCTGGTAAGCCCTGCCGTGCAAGTCTGCAAGGCCTAGTGCAGGCTCGAGCGCCCAGCTACCAAGTGGGGTGCGTCAGAATGAAGACTTAAAGTCGTCTAGTAGCAGTTGGGTAGAGTCTATCGGGTCTATGCCATTATTGTCCATATCATCCAACCGACGTAGACCCCTGTCGTGTTGCAAAGACTCCATTTATCATGGGGCAATGCCAGCTCCTGTCATCTCGGCTTAGGATGTGCGTATCTTGTTGGTTGATGCGTTGGGGTACGGTGTTTACTGCCCCCTCATGAGCCTTCTGAACATGACAGGGGTAGCCATTGGGGCACTTCGGAGATTTTTGGTGGGGGCGGTCGATTCATTGAGTTGCATGATCAGCATTGAATGATTGGTGATTTGGGGGATGTGACAGATTTTTGGTTGTTGTTAGATTAAATGAACAGCAGATATAGTGCTCGCTTACAGGGTTCACAATAGGATGGCATTAAAGTATGGGGTTTCATTGGGTGGATTGTGACTCCTCTCACATGTATCATCACATGAATCACCGTATACAATTGGTCTTCCTTTAAATTGTCGGATCGGGGTTTAATTATCGGCAACGTCCTGCAACATCTTCTGACACGCCCACTGGGCTGTCTTGGTATGGAGAGTCCAATATCGCTCGTCTTCGGGGGCTTGAGCCGCCTCGCTTCCAGCAATACCCACTTTGTCTCCAAGATTCCCAAGAGCCTCAAACACCACAATTTGGTCTCTCATATGAAAGTCTAAACAGGACCGCTTGGCAGTTGTAGATCCTGTCGATCCACCTTTTTGGTCAGTCTGTGTATCATCGTATGTTTCGGACAATTCTTCGATGAGTCCTTGCACGCATCCATCGATCAGGTCGGAGACCCGTTGTAGATGTGCTTCGGAGTCCTTCTTCTTGGGAGGTGGTCCCTGTCCCTTCTTGTATTTTTGGTGCTTTCCGACTTTTTGCTTTGTGGGCTTGTGTCCCCGGTTATCGCCAAATAAGGCATCATGGCCAATTCGGAATCCCGTGGAAGTATGGGCGACCAGGAGGATGTATACTCGGCTTGGGTGAGATGTGATTTCCGTTGGAGACATGTCGATGGGTATATGACGTTCTCCGTCTAAGGGCTCGGCGAGAATTGACTGGTCTAGTGTCTTCAGAGATTTGCGTAGCCTGCGAAGAGTCTCTTGCTCCACGTATTCGGCGACAGTCAGAGACCCTCCGTTCTCATTGGCTTCATGAAGAGTATCCTTTGGTGCGAGGATCGTAATAGTGATGCGAGTAATCTTCCCACACTCATAATCCGTGATATTGATCCGTGGAAAGCGAGACGCGCATTCGGCTCCTACGGACAGTTGTGATTTCTCACTCGCGGCTCCATCTAGGGGCTCTAGCAAGGGACGAATGAAGAAGCTCACTTCACCCATTCCCACGACCCCAGATGTCCAGCCACGACTCTGCAAAGTCATCGAGAATGGAGGAAGACCCAGCCGAGCAAAATTTGGCGCCATGACCTGGGCAGCGTAGTCATAGGAAGGGGAACTGGTCCCGTTTGTGCCGCCGATGATGTTCACTCTAATGCGCTCCGTCATTGCGCGCGATCCAACATGCAACAAGTAGGGGTATAATGCTTGGAAAATGAGAAAGACGGATCCCGGAGTTGTCAAGCGAATGTTGTACTCTGGTTTCACTGACAGAGTATCTAACGATACTAGCGGTACATCTCGATGTTGTCGGGTCGCGTCTAGTAATTGCTCGTCCTCGTCTATACTGGCTTGTGGTGGTGTGAACGTCAAACATTTCGATCCCACATTTCCATCCGAGACGTGGCTGCCACTGATCTCGGCCAGCAATTTGACTGCTGCCGCATGTGATGCTTTGAGACCAGTCTTGCCTCCACGGTTTCCGCGGACGTGATCTATCGTCACTGCTCGGCCTGTCAATGCCGATAGTCCCAGGGCGATACGGACGAGTTGGCCACCTCCTTCGAGCGTTCTTCCGTCAAGGTGAACGTGGCGGAAGGGTTTCGGCGGGGAATTGTCTCCACTTGAGGCTGAACACGTGGGCTTTTTGGATGTCGCCATTGGGATATACAAAATACGCGATCGTGCTGAATGTGAAGTGCGTGGGGGAAGAGGCGACCTATCTATAGGCGCTGGACAACAAAGGGCTTGTCAGCACGATTCTTTGTGTCCTGCAATTTCCATTGACATTCTCTTGTCTTCATGTCGGCGTCCACTTTGGGACTCGTATTGCGGTGGATGCGTCGTGATTGAGTCAGGCCAAGGCTGAATCCAAAGGTGACTCACACTGCATTAGTCCCGTTCGAGCGCTTAGAACTATTCAAACTAGTGGCGGCACCTTGTTTACTAGCCCGATGCTTAATTCAGATCGGATTTTGATTATTTGAGATCTGAAATTGCATGGTCAATGATCTGGAGTTCATCCTGTCTTGTATACGGCAACAACCAACGACTGTCTCGAGGTTGACTTGCACCTGCCACGATGGACCACCACGCACTTTCCACCCGCCAGACCAAAACATGAAATGCCCAATACTTTTGAGTTACAGTGTTTTGATTCTTTTGACCATCTCTTTACATCAATTCTCATTCAAGTACCACGTACTATACAGACTTTCACAATATGTTTTCCTCAATCAGTACCCGCGATCGACTGCGACGGTCCATGTCCACTCGTTCCATGAGAAGAGCTCGTCCAATTCGAGAGCCAGAGCCAGTCGATCCGGAAATCGCCAAAGCCCAAGCAAAGGCGGCTGCATCACGGGCGATGCGCTCAAGCGCTTCTTCGACGGAATCCAAGGCTTATGATCGATTGGGCGGCCCAGCGCAGGTCGCGATTCCCAAGCGACGGCCAGGATCAAGTCTTCGGTATACAAACGACGATGCTTCGGTATATTCCGCCTCCATTCCACCTCCAGTCACTCCTCGTCAATCTACGGAGGACGATGGTGCAAATCGAGGGCATACACTTGAAGACTCTGCCGCACTGCCGCCAATCACCGAGCTTCAAGGACTGGATGGACGCGATAGCTCGGTGCCTTCATCGTACCGCCGGCTGCGCAAGGCCAAGTCCATGTTCTCAACCCGAGCGCGGCCTTCTCATGTACCTTTTGGCCCACCTTCAATGTCGCCTCGGCATGCCTTTGAATTGGATCGAAGCCCGGAAATCGAGCTACCTCGGACCCTACGACCCGCTGTGTCTTTCATTCGAGGCCGTCGTCAAAATAACCGAGCAGTCCGACATGCCAAAAGCCAAGATGTGGCCATTCAGCTCGCTCGCAATCAATTCATGGAGGACGCTGGAAGCCCGGAATTACAGACTAGAAGCTCCTCGCTCCTCAACCGGCGCAAAAGAGATCACAAGCCGTTTCGAAAGTCATTCAGGGTTACGAGCGATACTGGACCTATTCCAGGTTCAACACCAGAGCACACTTCTCGATGGGCCTCACGCAATAGATCCCGAACATTTTCCTCGTCCATCAAGAATGGCTTCAGACGCGTCTTTGGATTTTCCAAACCAGCCGAGCAGGAGTCCGAGTTCAGCCTCGAGGAAGAAGCCATTTCAATCGCGACACCAGACACCGCGGTTGACAGTCATCCTGCTGGGCTTGTTGTGGGTGGTAAGGTGAATATGGACCAGTTCGTGATGTCCAGTCCTCTGCCGGTTGAGTCTCCAGGGGGGGGAAAGTTTCTGTACATCCAAATCCCGCGTGACTAGCTGGGCAGATTCTTCCGTGGCAAACAGTGTGATGACCCGAAAGGCCCGGCATCGCCAGTCGCTATCCTTGATTGAAGAACATGGAGATTTGAACAAGCAATTGCCTCGAGTACCTGCTGATCCCACCCGTCACCAGCCTCCCCTGTGCCAGGGTATCATCAGCGAATCGGACGAGGCAACCAGTCCTGGGGTATTCAACAATTGGGCTGATAGTAATGACCTTTACTCGGCTCTGATGCAGCAGATTAGACGGCAGGCTGTCCACACGCCTGATGAGGACATCGTCTTTGGCACGGTCCCTGAATATCGCGCGATTCCAGAGCGCGCATCTTCGATATATTCACACCGCAGCAAACGTACCATTCGGCATATTCCGAGTGAAGAATCATCAACCGCGGGATCATTTGCAACTGCACGCGTTGGTATCTCGAAGTCTCCACAGTGGCGCCAACCAGGTCCCCTCGGACACACCTCTGGCAAGATTTCTCAGTGCATGTCTAATCAGGAGAATTATCCACAACTTGGGACTTTCTTGAGAGAGAAGTCCCCGCATTCCCCATACGTTATTGGTGAAGAGCCTGAAGAGGATACTGGGAGCGTTGTCATTGCTCGCTTCGAGGCATTGAGGACAGGAAGCGAGTCCCCCAGCGTCTATTCGCGGACGACTAGTGGCAATACCCCCACAAAAGTCTCGAGTGGTTGTGTGGCCAGTTTCATCAATGACGAGACAGGAACTGCGACCATATATTCTTCTCAGCGAACAGCATATAGCTCGCCGACTCGACCTGATGGCTCGACTACACTAGACAGCCCCGTGCAGCCCAGTGTAGACTGGCAAAAGTGGATGAGCTCCCAGATTGAAAGAATCGAAAAGACAAGCCCTACCAGAGCGCATATCCGGGAGAATTCACAGTTCGAGGACGATGACGACGAGATCTTTATGGGAATACTCAAGCGGGCTCCGGCGCCAGTCCCAGAAATGGCCGTTGAGCCTTACCTCCCAGAAGGCGACAGATGCAATGATCCCTTGCCACAAGCGGAGCCTAAGACCCTGGCTCAGAACAACTTTTCCCGTCCATTCAGTCGAGCCTCCAGCGTACGGACCATTTTGTCCTCGCAAAAGATACAACCTCTTGAGCCAATGCAAGGCCTGCCAAATCCGTCGAGTGCTGAAGGCATTTGTGAGCCTTCTGTCTCGGATGCTCCGCCTGTCCGAGTTCCCAGTAAACAGATGCCGTCTCCAGTTCGCATCAGATCATCGAACATGCTCGCACCTCCAGAGTCTCCGACACCTCGCAGAGCTGGACCCAAGTCGCAGAAGCGAATGTGGACCCAAGAACAATACCGACGGTATTCAGCTCGACGCCCAATCGCGAATGGAAAGTCCAATTCATTCCGGTCCATGCGGAGCTACCGTGATTCGCGTGGGATGAACAATGAAAATACCCGACAGCAGGAGGAGCATGAGGACATGATGGACGATTACCATAAACTCCAGGACATTCATTCCACGATTTCCACTAAGCGCATGGTGGAGATGTTCTTGGACAGTCGACGCAGGCAGATGGGAAGAGACCCATCGGGGAGCACAGCTGCAGGGGAGGCGTTTATTTGATATCGTTGGTGGTGGTTTGGTATTCTTGAACTAACTAGTGGGGGGTGAATTGTTATGTTTAGCCGACGATATATAGTTATTCTTTCGGTCGCTCCTTTCCCAATCATCGATGTTGTCCATCTGACAACTACACACATGTCTATTATATCAGCAGTTTTGTAGGTAGCAAGCAGTGAAATAAATACAATTATCTTTACAAAGACATACCCATGAAAAATAAAAAGCCGTCTGTGTGAAGAATACGAAGGGAAAAAAAAGAACATGCCAAAAAGAAACTCTCCCTCGGGGAATCGAACCCCGGTCTCCCGCGCTTATCGGTGTTAATGACAAGCGGAAATCATGACCACTAGACCAAGGAAGATGAAATAATCGAGTTACCGCTCGACCACTTGGTGTTGGTTGATATATGGAGGGGCAAGTTTTGGATTTATGATATTGTTTTGCTAGTATCCAGTACATGCCTTCACGCCCTCGAGCCGTCCTTTAAACCCTCGGGCATCAGGCAGTTCAAGCGTGAAGCCCTCCCCAAAAGGTGATTTTGTACATTTTGATCAAGGGGAAGATTTCGCGCTGCGGGAATAGACACTATACCCTTGCCTTCATACAGTCGCCGCTACTTGCCTCCAATCTTTCCTCTTCCCCTTCTCTCTGACCCCGTGGTTGTGGCTGTGTGTAACCCGATCGCAGCCATGATGAATAACGGCCTAATGCTGGCTTACACTTAGAATGTAGTAAACCTTAGCGACTTCGTAGGTAACTTACATCACTCGTCTACCCATGAGGTGGCAAATCTATGTATGAACTTTGAGACGGAGCAAAATCCATCGCTCTCGGATGATCCCGAATAGGAAAAGGTTACCTATTCGACCATTCGGAACCAACGTGGTCGGACCGTCCGACTCTGTTATCAAAAGATACGGGAGTTCCATCAGATAAAGAGATAAGGCTGGCCTACTCCGTAGATAGTTTGCTTTAGCCAAAGAGAACTACCATTTAGCTTATTACTTTGAAATCTGCGCAGTCTACCAGATGGCATCCAGCAGTGGTCGATTGCCTCCATACCGCGAGAAAGGTATTTCCGTCCAAGTATGTTGGTTGATGTTGACCGCGGCAATCCAATGGAAATCGAGGTTATTGTCTGTAATCCACTGCGGATAGCTCAGGAGTTTGGTTGCTAAAACCATTGTTACGAATGATTTATGAGCATTTGAAATTGGTTCAATGGAGGATTGTTAGAGATGATATCGGGAAGAGTTTATGAATAAGTAAAGGAGACATTTCGGGCTTTGAAATGACCCGTACACTAGGAGTTACAGCCCGGTTTGAGAATAAGGGGTATTGGCTACGAGAGGAGATGATGGTCATTCAGTGAGAGAGTCAGAAAAGACTAACATATTCAACAATTAATTGAATCTCATGCTAGCAATTCAAGCCAACTTGTGATAGATATCCCATAGACCCGAGGTACCCAGCCAATCCAAAAACAATTCATTCAGTCCTTGTCGCAAAAGTTCATCTCCCATATAGTATTGTCTTTCTTTATCCCAAATAAAGTTTCCCATTGTGGCTTTAAGAGGCCTTCCCAAGCGAATGGCCTCATTCGAGCTTTTCAAGTCCATCCAGTAAACACTCTCCGGCATCCAGACTCGATTTTTGTCCGCAGATGATGCAAATTCCCCAAATTCTGGTAGAGATTGAACAGTTCTCCAAATCTTGGGTGCGTCGTAGTATGCTGCGCTGCCGTATGCTTTCAATATCCGTCGGTGTTCCTTAGGAGCAATCATCTGTCGCGAGGTTCGCTGGAGGTAGTCGGCTTGCTCAGTTACTAGTTTTTCTAGCGCCACTTGATCTAAGGCTAATTCTGGCTCTTTCTCGACCTTATTGAGATAATGTGTGATCTCATCTCTTAATTTTCGCAACCTGTACTGAGTCCATTCCGGGTAGAGACTGTTTAGATTTGCGTAGGGTCTGACGTTGGTCATGTAACTGGAGTCGTAAACAGTTGGCACACCTGATCGATATGAAGTGATGGTGGATATGCGCTCCTTAACACCCTTGGCTCGGGCAGCTAAGTGTTCGACTTCACCACCTTGAAGCATCACCGCATGGCCGATCCGTGGCCCTTCCACCTTGGAGCCTGTCAGTTTCATATGCTCAGCGGAATGTAATTTATCTTACCTTTTTCGCTGTCCCATCTCCTTTTTTGATGTATGTTTCTCCTCCAATCATCCCCTCTGTTTCACTCAACATCAAAACACAGACATAAGGATAGGAATCATAGCTCCGGTCAAGTTAGTCTCGATGGTATCAATAGTAGAGCAAATGGAGTAAGCTTACTGCCACGGAATAATTGTGCTAACATCCTTCAGGGGATCATAAGCACGTTCCTCTACAGTCAACTCCACTTTCTCAGCCGTTGGTTCAATGTTGAGGTTCTTCGTCATATCTGAGACGGTAGCTCCTTCAACTTGAATATTGGTATGCCCGATCTCTGTGGGCATGATGACATCCAAAGGTACACCCATTGCCTCGCACATTATCCTCATCGTCTCAGGATGTGTCCAGAAATCCTTGATAAAGTTCGATTGCTTCTCTGCATCACGGAGAACCAAGGTACCTGGAAATGGCGAGCTCGCACATTGGTCAAGTACCTTTTTCTGGAATAAGGCTCTTCGGTAGGCTCTTACGCCTTCACGCGACAGCAGTGGAAATGGCGTTGTTCCCGCAATGGGAGAAGCAGTTGCACTCTGATTCAAGAGCAATTCTTGCATTGTTATTTTCTTTTCGGGTGGCGAGTAATGGAGATGAATCTATTCGGTGTAAGTTTTGTGGCCAAAATTGACTGTTCTTTTTATTGGTGTGAACTCACTCTTGGGTTGAATGTCTCTTCCTCATCTACACTTTTAGTAGAGCTCCGGGGCCATATCTTTAGCCAGTGGAAAGGATTCATTTTGCCCGCAATAAATAGAACTGAGTACGGTCTCTTGGAGGGCTTCAAACACGATTCCTTATCGTATCGATGCACAACTATGGGTATTTCAAACCTGGCAGGGCTCTTTTCGAAACTCTTGCTCCTTATGGACCGAGGAATGGCCTTTCAATTTGATCGATTTCTTGAGAAGGCATTATATATGGCCCAACAGTCAGGTCAGCCGATAACTACGACTGGCGCCCTGCGTGAAACGATATCTTATCGCTTAGCAGCTGCCGGGTGGACTCCATTTCCCTTTTAGGCATGCCGGTCCTGACATTAAACACCATTTCGACCAACGATTATCATGCCTGTAGCCAAACAATCATTATCAAAGATGTCTTATCTTATAAACACCCTGTAAATTCTCAGTCCTTGGGTCGGATATCCCGTCGCTTGTATTTTGGTTTACGATCAAAAACATCGGTTTTCGATTCATCAGGTGGTCAGGTGGCTGATCACCTGATGGGCTGTATAACCTAAAAACATACTGATCTTCGTATCTGCCGAAATGTGCTCGTAGAGATGACACAGGTTTTCTTTTCTCTTTCCGATATGTCGGTAATATAGCTGATAAGTGAATCAAAGAGATTCACCAATTGATGCCCCTTAAAGGATGTCAAAATATAACTCATTCTACTAGGACAATAGGAGACTGGCGATGATCACAGAATTTTAAACAGAAATCCCATCTTTGCAAACTTCAATCTTTTTTTCTTTATAACAAAATTGTCTAAGATCCACCATGATAGTCAGAGATTTAGGCTCTCATGATGATCCAGAAGCCGGACCACTTCCGGTAGTTGATCCACCCAGTCTGGCCGATGAAGTGCGGGATAAGAATCCCACGGTGGCACTAGATCAAGTGGATGAGAAATATTGCACTACCAAACTGGAAATCTGGGCCTATTACGCGTGTGTCACCAACAATCCCACAACGCAGCCGTGACTAAATTATGACAATAGTTACTACGCTGGAAACAATGAACTGTCTCTATTCAGTATGCCTATAAGCCGAGTCTTCAGCGATTGTTTCCTCTCTAACGAACAATAGATTTCGCTCCAACGGCTTTCCAAAATCTTCTCTACCAAGCTGCCGGAGGCAGCAACACTCTATCCTTCGCCGGAAGTCCGCGATCAATCAACGGCATCGTGCTGCTATGCAATGGAATCTCATTTGCCGTCCAAATCGTGGTTTTCCTAGTCATCGGCAGCTTCCCTGATTTCGGGAACTGGAGGCCTAATATCCTCATCGTGCTCTCTATCGTCGCTTATGCCCTTGGATTCGCCTGGTTGGGTATCCACACGGGAGATAAATGGCATATAGGTGCTGGGCTATACATAACTGGCCTAATCGCCTATCAGAATACATTGACTTTCTGGTCCGCTGCGTCCCCAGGGCTTGCGCGAAACACGCCTGAGATGAAATATCATGCTGATGATCTTGCCTCCTGGAATATTTCTCGTGAAGAGTATGATTTCGCTGATACGATGAAGAGGAGTCAGTCAGCGAATATTGCGTTTTACATCCAATCACTTGCAGAAATTATTATTCTTTCTATTATTGTTGGGCTCATGTTTAAGATTGATGTTAATGCCAGCAAGGCAAAAATAACAATTATGGACTGAGTGTGCTGATTGCTTTTGCGAGTGGTATTTGGTTACTTGTGTCAGCACTGCGGGCCATCAGGATAGCTCGGTAAACACTTGAGGCATTTTGAGAGGGCTAGCGGAGATGGCGTACAGACACGAGCTACTCATAGTGTCGCACGCCTTCCCATACCTATCTAATGTCTGTTCGGGTATATAAAAGGCCCACGCCGCTTAATAACTTTACTAGCATTGTAAGCTCCCTATTTCTCCCATCAGTACGGTGACTCGGGAGGTTTTACAAATTCTCACCATCAACCGGAGTCTATCCACTCGGCCTCCCTCGTACCAGTCATGAAATGTCTTCTTCTCATACTGCTCTCTTCCATTTGGTTGCTAGGAGAGGGGGTGGTCGCGCTTGCTTCCTCCCAGCCGGCAGAAATTTTCTACTTCTATCAGGCCTATAAGGTGGAACTTGCGACCAAACCTTATAAAGAGAGAAATATTGCGAAGAAGTGCACGACTGAGACAAGTGGATGCACTTTCAGACAGTTTCTTGATTACATCGTGGATGCACGCTCAAGAACGGCAATCGACCGTAACCCCACATGGGGGGATATGATCGACACGGTCGACGACAAAGACTTCCCGACCATCTCCCGTCCTTTGAGGGACGCACGCTTCGAAGTCCAGTACGATCTATCCAAGCTAATCGAGGACACGTCAAAGATAGCTTCGTTTGGTGATGTCTTCGAAACAATTGACAAATTGATCAAGGATCAAATAAGCTCCGACCTGTGTCGTGGACGAAAGAACGAAAATCGCGACCGCACTTACGATCCTCAAGGAGCACCGTGTTGCCGATAACATGAGGTACTTCATCCGCGAGCTTGAGTCGCAGCTTGGTCTTACGCTGGAGCGGCGATCTGCAACCACGTTGGATGGATTGGCCTGGACGGCATACAACACGGATGCGACCAAACAAAGAATGTTGGACTCGGCGGACGCTATCATCGACCCGGACGAGAAACAAAAAGCCAAAGCGAAGGACAAATCACTGCCATCACAAATTCAAAAGTTGGTCACCAAGATGCGGTCATCCTCGTATATGACAACGGACGTGTTCTTCAAGGAACACCAGGCAGTGATTGCACGGGCGAGTAGGACACTCAAGAAGATCGGTGGAAAGAAACTATGTTCATAAAGACCGCTAAATAGGCAGAGATTACATAGGTATCTAGTGCCTTTTTCTTTTGTTGCTTGACTCGTGTCGATGACCTTAGGAATGCACAGCCAAGGCTATCTCGGGTGTTGAAGTGACCGTGAAGCGGCGTAGGGAAAGGTGGATTAGTAACAGAGCTAGAAGGGGCTATTCTCCTGGAAATTACAGCATTTCCTATTTGTGTATCTAGAAAAATTCTAATGTACTTAGTACAGGTGCTTATTTCTAACGTCCATTTCTTGTATGGAGCAAAGAGCCGAAAGGGTCCACAAACATCCTTGGCCTTCATCCAATAGCCGAAGAATTAGGACCCTGTCACAATTCACCCCCCTAAATATTCTTCTCTCTCTTCCTCTCTCTCCCACTATGAGTTTGGGTGTACCGCCAGGGCAGAATGTATCATAGGCACGATCCAATATTTAACTATTAACGGTATTTGATATGGCATAGTATGGTTGTGATTAGAATCCAACGGGAAAGGGCACTAACCCTACTCCTTATAAACTCGCTTGGCGTAGTTATGGGGATGTGCTAAGCTAAGGTATAGTATCCGTGATATGCGCCTTAGTGAAGAACAAAAAAAGGAATGCCTCGAACAGACTCTGATGTGTATTAATACAAAGCATCAAATATGAGGAATGTAAGTACTCCACTGCACAGAATAATAAGTAGCAGCCGGCTGCTCCCGGAGCCCTATAAACACCTCCACCATCAAGAACATCCTTGAAAGGAAATAGAACAGTGTGATGGCCCAATATACGAGATTCTTCCTCCGCGACGTATCGCCCAATCGTCGCAACACGTATGCGCATGGCACCCACATTGAAGTCACCACAAGCATGCCGAGCGCTGTTACCTTCCATATTATACTTTCTGCTTTGGTGGGAAAATGGAATTCCCATGCAGCGAGATGAAGGCCATTAAATACGAGACCGATGGACCAGACAAGGAAATGATGGAGGCCTTCCCACTCGTCAGCATGGCACTCATTGACGGCCGAGCGATACCAGTCGGATGTGCGAATATGGGCTGTGAAGTTATCCTTCACAAGCTCGTACAATTCTGCGGGAACTCGGTGTCCCACATTGATGGGTTCCATTCGGGTCATCGCCATCGGCTTCTGCCACCAAAACCAGTCCCAGCCATGAATGAGGTCTGGCGGCGGAGGTCGATACCAATGAGTGTGGCTTCCAGAGAAGCAAGTATTACTTGCCAGATTGCATAGCTGCTCAACGCTCACTCGTGGAACCGTTATTGTTGTGAATGTTTCGATGTCCATCGGCTTCTGCCACCAGAAAAAATATGTCGCCCAGGTGCAGCCGATAAAGGCCACCGTTGCGAGCTCGAGGGTGGTTATGGGTAAATTCTGGTTGATACGCGCTAGGATTGTGATGAGGAACCATGTCGACTGGCCGCAGGCAATTGCTTTAGCAAAAGCATCTGTCTTGCTGCGATCACGAAGATCTTTCACCGGCATCTTGGGCAGGTCGATGAACTTTTGTTGCACCAGCCATGCCAAATCCTCGGCGCGGAAATTGTAATATAATCCTTCCGACTGATCTAAAATTCTATATCCTCCCATCTCTGCGTAGTATCCATGGGATATCGTCCACCAAGGATAGAATTTTCGCATATCCCGAACGGACTTTTTAGCCGCACGCCACTGTGCGTAGGCGTTAACGAGCATGCCATCGGGGACGATAGCGCAAATGATAAACCACTTGCATTTGTGGACAAAGCGACGATACCATCGCTCGCCTGGAGGGGGGATATTGAGGTGTAGAACGGTCCAAGTGTTGAGAAGTAGGACTGCTAGACAGGCCCAAAGAATACTGAACGTTCCTCGGCCATTGGGTTCTTGGACAAGGCCAGCCACAATTTCTTGGGACGCGATGGTAGGAACGTTGTCGTATGCAACCATAATGGAGTACACCCGGTCAGCACGTTTAAAGGGAATTTCTCAAGCCATCGAAATCGTCAAATTGGCCTTTTCGTACAATATATATGCATGGAAGAAATAATTTGAGGAGAAAAAGGGAAACCGACACATTGCAGCTGCCCTCCATGGATGGGAAATTCCTCCTGTCAGCCCCAGATCCAGGCCTTAGAGAACTAAAGACTGACTCGGCAGAACTTGACCAAATGACTTGTTATGAGTAGTCTTGTATCAGGCATCAAGCCACGTTCTGTCAATACGAGGCGATGAGCACAGTCGCCACCAATCTGTGTATATGTTTGCTTTCTGTAGGGGTTTGGGTACCCTGCAGTATTAATGATCCAAATGAACCGCAATTTGAGGCTGTATATTTCACCCGGGTAAGATACTAACCCGGGTAAGATACTCCTTCAATTCCCAAATCCGTGCCCTGATGCATCCTGCAGCACACAGCACGCGCCGGGCCACGTCACAAGACCTACGGTACTGCATGTTAGTTTCCTCGAATTGCTCTCTTCCAATCAACTACCAAGGCTATATATTGATAGCTTTGATCCACCCTAGTGCATACTTACATGTTAATGGCGCACGGCAAGTTGGCCTCGGCGCCTTTGATACTAAAATATACCTAAAAATAGCCCCCACGGGGCTTATGCGCAGCCACTCCACCACATCATCGGGCGGTAACACTCACTTATATAACTCACGTCTTGCTGAAAGTACCCAGGCCCTCAAAATAATTGTCAAAATATCTTGAAGAGCTATGATCAGAGATACATTCGGCGCGCTCGTGTTTACGCACATATTCGTGCTATGGTTCCGCTGCGTCACACCTCTCAGTGTTCTCTACTGTGTGGCATGGATATTAGACTATCCACCCAAGCATTGGGGCTCAACAGTACTTGGGATATATGCTCTTACTGAGGCTCTTTTTTATTTTCTTGTCTTTCTTCCTCGAAGTCGGCTTCTGCAGCAGGGTGTGGTTCACCCTGACACTGATCCAAAGACTCGACGAGAATTAGTCCGAAGAAGTATTGAGACTATCCCAGACCCAGAGCAATTTATCTCATTATGGAGCCGAGGCACACATCCAAGCCGAATTCACCGTGAAAACTTCAAGGAGTGGCTATGCTGGGCCTACTTCAACAAATGCACATGGGACGACAACGAAGAGGAAGAACTCAACGAGTATGTCCGCGAGTTCGAGGGTCTTCTTGGATATAAACTGCTAGAAGGCAGGGACTCTTTGAAGCCGCTGAGGGTCTCTTTAGATCCCGTTAACATCTACCATCGGCCTCTTCTTTATTACATTGTGAGTTTGTTTTTGAGATCCATGTAATAGAACAGTGTGTTTGTGACTAACACTATCTAGTTCGGCGTTGGTGGGGCCGACCTCGTATCCTACCTTTTTATGAGATACCATGGCTATCAACATTACGCACTGTCACGGTGGTGGATGAGTATTCCCATGAGGCCTCAGACCGTGTTCAGCCAACATCGATCCACAGCCAAACATCTTTCCTATTGGTATCGGCCGCATACCTCCCCAGAAAGTCTTCCAATTGTGTATTTCCACGGAATTGGCATTCTCTACACGTATATGCGGTTTTTCGGGGAGTTATCAAGAACCCTTGATGCAGATAGTTTAACTCAAGCCAACGGCTCCACCGGCATCATAGTCTTTGACATTCTACCCATCAGCTTCCGGATGACACATCCAGCTCTCCTTAAGGACGAACTCTGCACGGAGATACTCTCTGTTCTTAACCGGCACAAATGGGACAAGTTCGTTCTGATGGCTACTTCCTTCGGAAGTGTAATTTCGTCTCAAATGTTGCATGATACGTTGCTCGCGCCACGCATTGGTCCAATCATCTTCACTGACCCAGTCCCATTTCTCCTTCATTTACCCACCATCACATACAACTTCACCCAACGCAAGCCCAAAACAGCCAGTCAGCTCCAGTTATATTTTTTTGCGTCTCGGGATATGGGAGCCGCTCACACTCTATGCCGCCGGTTCTTCTGGAGTGAGAGCATTCTCTGGAAAGATGAGATCGTTGGCAAAGGGAGGCGAGTCAGTGTGGTTCTGTGCGAGCGAGATATTGTCATCGATACAACTGCTGTTGGTCGCTATTTAACGCGCAAATGTGGTGTGCGGGCGGTCGATGATTGGGATCGCGATGACGAGAACTGGAAAAGGCGTGTTTGGGAAGGTGGGGAGTTGGATGTCGTTTGGATGGATGGGCTTAATCATGCGGAGCTGTTTGATACAAAGCGCGATCGAAACATCCTGATTGATATTACACTAAATTATTCTAGAGGAACAAAAAGCTCAATACGAACTAGAGGTAACTAGAAGCCTCTTTCTAACCGGAAAGAACACCAATTTTCAAACCTCACCTAATCAAAATTTGGAGCCTCACTTGATTTTCCGTCTTCACCCCCATTTTTCACCTCAGACAAGATCCTTCCATCTTGGAGTATTAACTCTTGATTGATTCACGCCATTATAGTAGTATAATAGTTATTATAACTAGCGCGCTATAGATAATAAGATCTTTCTTGCCTATATAGTCTAATATTTAGAATCTTAGTATCTACACATAGCTCCTCTATAGATTGACTATCTATGGTCTATCGAGAAAGGAGACTCTATAGTTAACTAGTTAGATCCGCCAGTATTAATCATTATTATGCCTATATAACTAGTTAGAGGTAATATAGTAATTTAGACCTGTTGATATCCTACTAGTCCACCCAATGTTTCATAAGTAGTGATTTCCGACAAGATAGTCTTGTATTGTCCCCTGTTGATTTCTTCTTTCTGACTTAGTTCTTCATGAGATTTCTATCTAGTCCTTCTTCTTTCTTGCGTAGTGGGCAAACACCATCAGTTGGAATGGGATTAATGCCACCAAGAAGGTATTTGCGATTCCGGAGCCTCTCCTCCTATTGTCATTCCTTTTATTGGGTACCTTTACTGCTCGCTTAGGTCAAGCGACGCTAAAGAGGTACTTAGCCTTTTCTTCAAGAAAACCCCTACCGAAAGACCTACCGCACCTGAGCCACGCGTCGGTAGCCAGGGCTAGCTTCTTATATCTCCTTGTTCCTACTTCTTCTAGTACTCGTGGGTGAAACCACGTGATACGGCAACTGTGTTCCCCTCGTTAGGCTTTTGTATGGTGTCACTTCTTTCGACTAGGGATGGTAATCTTACAAAATCTTCCAGTATTATATTAGATCAGCTAGCACAATTGCTTCATAGAAGAACCTTCCCTTGATGAACAGCTTTTATACTGGAACTGGAACAAGTTGGCCGTAGATATTAAGATCCAAGGATGTCCTCGTAGCTCAGTGAGGTGTCGTTGTAATTTCCTAGTCTCTTCAACTCCAGTTGGAAGACGACACAAATCATTATTGAAGTTGTCATAGCATGTATTAACGTGGGAGAAGTATTCTCCCCTGGATATCACAATTTCCCATCCGCATGTAGAGTACCATCCACCTAATTACCATATCCCAAAATCCCAATCCATATACTAAACTTTTATTAGAACTGCCGTCTTGATCACTTGACATAATTCGCAGGGAACGCTCCCTGGACACCCCGTAACTCGCCTTCCCACCAGTCATCCGTGCTGTTCGTCTTCTGTATCACGCGAATCCGATCGCCCTCTCGGAAGACAAGATCGCCAGCACCCTGCCCGTCAAAATCGTACAGGGCCGTAACAAAGTTCACGGGTCGGGGTGGTGGTGGAGGTTTCTTCTTTTTGAGCGCCGCCATGGCAAAGGGCTCGGTTCCAGCGCTGGAGATGGTGCTTGAGGTGGTCTGGCGGTGGAGCTGGAAGTGATCAATGTTCGGGCCTGCAGGCGAGAATGAGACACCCGTTGGTTGGGCGGCGGGTTGGATGTATGGACTTGGTGTTGGAGCTACCTGAGGAGGAGGCGCGTACGAGTCCCCTCCCGAGGGAAGTGGCGGCGTGCTCGACGAGCTGCCAACGGAGATAGGCGGTGTCATCATTGATGAGCTTGGTGATGGGGACCGCATATCTGCCGCACACGGCTTGGGTGCAAGCATTGCAGGTGGTACGGCGTATCGGGGCAAACTGTTGCCACTGCGGACGGATGAAGCCGATGAGATAGTGCTGATGCTACGGCCGCCGATGGAGGGACGCTTGTTTTGAGCCTCGTGGGCCTGTGACAGGCGGAGAGCTTTGCCGTGGGCTAGACAGCTTAGACTCTCGACGTCGGCTTGGGCGGGCCTGTAGACAGATTCCCAGTCTTGGACGACTTGGTCCATTGGGGGCGGTGGGTTAGGGAATCCTTCATCGTCGCAGAAGCCGGAGAGAACCGTGTAGTAGTGTGCCAACATGCGGTTCTGAATCTGGACCTGGGCCCGAAGTATGTATGGGGCGAGGGAGAAGAGAAGTGAGATAAGAGTGGGAAGGCGCTGGAGCAGGTCTTGATCTGCTTGTTGGTAGACCTGGGATTGGAATTAGTGATTGTTCAATCAGCAAGGTAGGTGGTTGATGGAAGCGCGTTCACCTCTTTTGCCATTGATAGTTCTGCTTCTGCCTTGGCGAGATTGGCATTTTCCCGGTCGGTGCGTTTTGGTTTATGGATGAGGCCATCGACTTTGGTTTGGAAACGTTCAACATCCGACTATCGACGTTGGGAGTTAGTATAAGAAATAGTCCCGATGTCATATCACTGGTATTATCTCCCACCTTTTTATCATTGCGCTTCTTGATAGCCTTCTTCATTGGAGCTAGGTAGCTCTTCGCTTGCTCCGCGGGTTGGGACATGCGCAGCTCGACGACATTGAGCTCCTGCACAAGCTCAACGCGCAGATCGTCATATTCGCGTCGTAGGTTGTTCGTTCGTGAAAGGAGCGCAGGGGGGGTTTCCTCGGGAATATGGCGCGTCTCGGTCTCGGATGAGCCGACGATGGGCGCATATAGTCCATCGAATTCATCGGCCATGCGACTCTGGAAGGTCGCAATGGAGACCCAAGCATCGCGCCAGGCTTTTGTCGATTCGATAATCTGGATGGAGGGAGAAATGATTAGCTATCGAGGAACGCGCGTCACTAGCAAATGGGGGGAATCCGCGAAATCATGCTGCCTACCTTGGTAAACAAGTTATCAGCATCTTCAAAGTCCTTTAAAAGGACGGCCACTTGACTGTTGTCGGCAGACTTGGTGGCAGTCATTCGACCGAAACGTCTCTGCATGCTCTGCATCTTGGATGAAGCTGCCAGGGACAACTGGACTTTGACGGGAGAATAAAGTGACGAAGCTCCGTTTCAGACGCAGGGAATGTGTAACACAACAGAGCCAACCGGAAAAATAATAAGAAAAAGCTTCTCAGCTTACCGAGAAGAACGAGCCAATCTCAGCAGGTTGCAATACGAGAAAGAATGAGAGAAAGAGAAAGTAAAAAGGGCGACGACACTTTAGCAAGGCCGAATTCCCCCCCTCCTTCACGACGGCTCCGACTTGTTTCAGCCTCCTGCGGCTCTCGCGAATGTCGCTGGGGCCACGGCCCCCCTCCAACCCCTCCACACTATTTTTGGGCTGGTTGACTTGACTGAATGCTTTTTTCTGCGAGGCTTAACCGTCCAGGGTATTTTGCTGATCGATGCCTTCATGGCTTTGGCTGCTTTTGCGTGCCGCTCCACTGTGAGCATGGACAAATCAGACTGCTGGGCCTGACTCGGTGCATATGAAAGTGACCTCTCAAAGAGGGCCGGTGCCGTGTGGGGGCTGGGGGCGATGTACTGTAGGATGGAAATGAGTCAACGGTTTTCATGAAGGAATCGAAATCTTGTTTGCCGTCATCCATATTCTTGACGATAATCGAATGAGAACAATGCGAGAGATGTAGACTTGGGGAGGATGAGGAGGAAGCTGTTTACTCTGCCGTATACTTTGGGGTAACTGGCCTGAGGCCGCCGTGTTGATAACTGGAGCTTATCGCGACTTTTGTTGCTCGTCATTTCATCATTTCCTGACTTCTGCTCTCCACCCTACTATCCCCCATGGCCTAGCCTCCTTACTCTCCCGATGTGTGATTTCATGCTCGGTCTTCCCCCCGATCTACTATGAACGCGCCGGCATCCTCCACACCTCGAGGCACAGCCCCGACCTCGTCCGCGTCCCCGCTCACCGCGTCGGTGATCAAGTTTCGCTGCCTCTACACACACGATCTGCGCCGAAAGTCTAAACGCTGGCAGGATGGCTACCTTCGATACCACGCGTTTAACAAACGCGTCATGGTCTACGATGAGACCGGGAACTACATTGGAGATCACCATTGGCGGTCCAACGACGAGGTACAGGACGGCGACGAAATGGAGCTGGATAAGGGGGCGTTGATTCAAGTTGGTGAGCGCATGGGAACCACCCAGACGGATATCTCCAGTCTACTTGAGAAGCGAAAGTCCAGTCAAGGTTCCCCGCAGGCGAATGATCCCGCATCCCAGACACCACGTGCCTCGGCGCCTATCCGGTCCTCAGGCTCATCGCAACCATTCCGCTCGTTGAATGAGCTATTGGGGATAAAAAAGACCCCGATTGGTCATATGGTCTCACCGTATGAAGAACGACATCCCCCGACGCCGCCTGCGAATGTCCCCGAATCGTCCGAAAGAGCACCGAAGCGGCAGAAGGTTTCATCGGTAGGGAAGGCGCCTGTGACCAAGCGGAAGGTCCAGTCACAGGTTGTAGATCTGACTATTCAGGAAGATGAGCCTTCGGTGACAAGATCGCCAAACGTTGCTCAAGGGCGGCAAACACCTCGTGAAAGACACCGGGAAGCAAAGCTGCCTAGGAAAGATGTGGGACAAAAGAATCAATCCTCATCAGTGACTCGATCTCCAAATGTGCAGGAGGCGTCAGAACCAGCGAGACCTGACCCCTCTACATCCTCTAAACCTGCTTTCCCAACCCCAATTTCATCGAGAAACTATTTTTCCAAGCCCGTGTCGCTTGTCGCCCCTAGCGACTCACGAAATGAACAGTTCGAAGCCCGTAGGACCGCGAGCATGACGACCAAACCGAAACCACGAGAAATACCACGAGAAATACCACGAGAGATACCACGAGAAGGAGCACAGCCTCGGCAAAGCTTGGGACAAGAACAGCCAACTCTGCCAGAGGATATACCACAAAAGACAGCAGAATCACCAAATCCAATGCGATCTAATCCCCCGACATTTGCAAAACCAGCCTTGCCATCCTCCCTGGATTCATCTCAAAGCCGCCCTCCAAGGCCAATCCTGTCAGTAGCAGCCAAAGACGGGCAGAGTGAGCAGTCTGAGGATGGCAAAGTCGCCGGTCGCACCGTTCCACCTACGGATAAGCCAACGCCCAAATTACCTAGAGGCCCAGTCAATACTCTGCGTATTTCGAGTGGGAAACCACGTCGGAAGTTGATGTACAGCGCCCTTCTACCCGGTGATTCGCAGAGCTCAGCACCGGGGCTATCCTCATCTTCGCCGAGGAGCCAAAGTCAACCGGTACTCAAACCCGAGGATTCTCAGTCAGTACGTACTCAACCAATGCTGAAAATCAGCTTCTAATCTCCTTCCTAGACCAGCTCTGGCTCCGCTTCAGGAGATTGAGTCTACGAATGCAGAGTTCATGCCTTCCGACTCCACCCAATTCATTCTGGACGAGATGATAGCTCCAAACCTGGAGACTAGCCTCGCGCGAAAGACAACTAATCCGGCGAGTGTTCGTCAAAATCCACTCCTGCAGAGGAAACTGCCAACGAAGAGAGCTCTTGATGCGCCTTTCCGTAAATCACTTTCAGACCCGACTGTCTTGACAACTACCCAGACGCGACCGACATTGACCCGGAGCGCACTGAGCGCAGTTCCCGAGCAACATGAGGCTGTCGAAGCAGGTCCCTGGACCTCAGAAGCTTTAGACTTGTTTGACTTTTGGCCGCCTGGACGGCCAAAACCCAGCTGCATGGATTAAGGCAGGATCACGCTTCCATTCCGTTGATTTATGTTCCATCATTATACCCCATTACTTGATGATCCCCTTTGATGTACATTTTGATGTCACGACCATGCATTCTATAATAAACACCCTTAAATTATGCCAAAAGGCGATGTATGACTTATCGACTACGTGTAAATACCAAAACAATGGTCAATGAAAAACCTCGAATATGATGAGAGTTCATCTAAGTCGAGTTGTTCAGCAGCTCGATGATGATCCTATTATTCGTGACTTTGAATGTCCGCTTCATTCAAACCAGCAAATACTAGCGAGATATTATGAACGAGGTTCTAAGATGATCCACCGGAGCTGTGATAGAACTTGACAATCCTGCGAAGACCCAATTTTAGTACCTAGCCACTCAATTCACGAACACGCCATAGACCGGAACATACCTTGACAAACCCTCTTTCAGGGTTTCCACTTCCACTGAAAATATAATGCGGAACCAGCCTGGAACCTCATTATGATAAGCATAACCTGACGACATCTTCACCCCAATCTGGAGTAACCGGTGGGATAGATCCGACTCTGCGGCCCAGCCGCCTTGATCAGCGATGAGTGTAGGATCTAAGCACTTGGAAAGGTCAATCCATAGAAAAAAGCCAGCAATCCTGCAGGGATAAAATAAAGGTTAGTTTGCACAGAATGAATTCCAGAATTTCACAAGTCAACCCGAAGGAAAGACCTACGCCCCGGGAGCAAAGGGGATTCCCGCCCCTGCTAAGACTTGAGTCGCTAAATCCCGATGCGAACGAAGTAATCGGTGGCTTTCCTGGAAAAAGGTCTTCATGAAAGAGTGATCCTCGAGGATGATAGTAGCAATGCTACACGATATATTCGAAGGCCAAGAGAACCGACTAGATGATTTGCCCGCATTCTCGAGGTAAGATGGTTGCTTTGTTCAAGATAATCCAGGATGGCCAAAGGAATTCATTCCCACTTACCTTGTGGATAATGCCGCCTGCAAGAACCTCTGGTTCTGGCTGATCAAACATCCCAGTCGTAAACCAGCCGCGGCGAAATCCTTCGACATCCCGTACAGCACATGAATCAGAGCTGGATCCACCCCAATGCTGGCTGGCTCGATTGATAGAACTGAAATAAATCCATCGTTGGAACTATCCTCTTTGTAAACTGACAACGCATACACTTCATCACTGATGAGGTGGATCTGATACTTTTGACAGAACTGTAGGAGCGCCACTAGGGTCCCCCGGGGGTAGCATCGACCCAGCGGATTATGAGGGTTGCAGATTAGGAGAGCCCGGACTGACACCCCGTCCTCATCTCGTGCTTTTAAAAAGGCTTCCTCATACCGAGTAACAGCATTTAGACTGAATGGATCGTCCCCTTGGAAGGGAGTGTAGATCAATTTGCAGCTGGAAGGAACGGAGAGATCTCCGTCAAAGGAGCCGTATATGGGCTGACCGAGTAAAATACCGTCTTTAGGATCGGTTAGACTGAGAGCACAGATTGCGTTCAGGCTCGTTACACCGCTTGTGAAAAAGATGTTGTCGGATATGACCGGCGAAACAGGGTAAAAGAAGGTGTTGATTAGGTTGGCCATGGCTTCTCGGAGACGTCTGGAGCCGAAGGGGCCTTCATGGTATGTAAGACTTGTACGGTCGAGACACGATGCTACCTTTTTTGAAAAAAAAAAGAATTTGCCTTAGTTAGCTTCTGCATATAGGGAGAAGCCTAGTAGTCCTTGTCCTCACCTGTGTGCGAATATAATCCAGGATTACGTCTTGCATCAGGAACTAGCATCCCTTCAGTTAGTAAATGCGCGTCCGTATCTAGTTCCACAAAGAGGAGGTTGCGTCACTGCTTTACATTTTCTGCATTGCTGAAAGACACAACGCCGTCTTTGTTTTCTTTATCGAAGGGGGTTTTTAGGGGGCCGAGGTAAGCGTTAGCCAACCCGGCCTCGGCGTACATTTCCCCACGGTTAGAAATCATGTTGCAATGGTTGATAAGGCTGTTGTTGGAATAAAACTGCTCTTCAAACAGGTAAACCTCCTGAAATCCAAATGGAGTTTTGTCAAAGGTTAAAGACACGAGCACTGGCTTAAGGACCGGATTTGTCCCTCCCCGCTTTTGCTCACTGAGTAGAACTAAGCACGCCACTGAGCGCTCTGCTCCGAGTGAACAAGTCTGACCCACTCACTGAGTGCTCTGATTTGCTTAGAGAACAGGAGAGCAGCTAACCTAAGGCATCCTAATAAAATGCAAAATGCTAGCCCTATCCACGTGAAACCCTTGTTGTCTAGATTGCCCCCACGGCCCCATCGAAAAAGCGTTGGCATCAATAAACAGACGTTGTATTTTTGGTGTATTCGTTGGTGTTCATGGTGTTCATTGTGCCTCGATAGAACCTAATGACTGGGTACCCAATCAGCCAATCAATTAAACTATATGCTCCTAGAAACCCTTGCCTACTAATTCCACGGTCTCCTGGATAGGCATGGAGGGAGGGCTAATTTTAGAGCAATTACATGAAGCTACTAGAAGACCGTAAGTTTTACACTGGGTAAGGCTCTACCAGGAAAGGAATATTCTGGATTAATGGTGAAGCATAGCTTCTCTCGCTTTGAGTTTACAACGGGATTTACTATGCCTAAGAAGGAAGAACGATCCACTGGGGTAGGTAGCCTTATTCCACTAGCTTACGTTTACTTGCCATCCTCCGGGAACCTTCCACTACTATTATATACCACGACGCGACTTTCTCGGTATTTACTTCTTCGTTTATCACTAGATGCTGCACTATTTTAAATATGGAGACTTCTCCAGCTCAGTTTCTATAGAAGGAGATTGATTATACGTTCAGAGGCATTTAAATAGACTGTTCTTAAGGTTGATATCGACTTGTTCGTGATCTGATATAATGATATCATTCGGCGTAGGAGATTTCTTTGTTTTCTAAATAGCCGGCACTTAATTAAGAGCTTCTGTGTATCCGGCTCTCAAACCCAGTGTCCAAAAGAGTGTGTCTTGAAATATAATAATGGGCTCCATATAAGCCTTGGGAAAGCAGCAAAACTGTGCTGACCTTGTTCGCATGGAATGAAGCAATAGGGCTGCTATTTTTCATGTAGTTTCTATTGATTATGCCATATACTGTATGAGGGCTTATGGATCACGCGCACAGCACATCTTAGACATTGAAACCGGCAAGGGCATTTAGGCGATTGGGTAATAAAGTCCCACTAAAATGCCAAGATAATCTAGCTGGATAGACTCAGAGATGTTGTTCCGAGCGGCAAGTACTCCTCCTCATTTTGTAAGCTTACCGCTATCATAGTATAGCCACTGTTGGAGGCGTCGACCTTTTCCGGCCTCCTGCTGCCTGGGTACTGTTAAAATGTATTCTGAAGGTTGGCGATGTACCGCTGCCCCGCGCTAAACGGCGAACCCTTTACTGTGCTTACTAGCATTCGATTTTCTGCTGAATATCCGCGTGTTCTAGGTCTCTTCTTTCTCCTCTCCTCTAATGATTTCCTATTTCCCATAGTAGCATTGTTTAGCACCAATCCTCTTCTATCTTTCGCAGTTCGGCTTTGGTCTTATTTTCAAAAGAGGAGATGCATTGGATAATTTCCTTGATGCCTCGAGACCGTCCTTTAGTTTGAGACCGATGATCTGTTGTTGTGTACGTTGTTTCCCAATCATTTCAACTATGCTGCGTCCGTGTAAGTCATGACGTTGCATTGCAGGCGGTAGCTAAACGCCTGCATTTCGCCAGCGAAGCGGCAGCATTGCACCACATGCTTTCTCTGTAGCTGAAGGTTCAGCTCCCGTATACTCCTCTCCCGCGATTCCCGCATAATACTATCCACAAGAAGATTCATTACCTAGGGCCCATGAAGGTCTCACAATATCTAGTTTTGGAACTAAGTACTTACGTTAACTAGTGACTTCTTCCATACCTAATTAACGGGCTTTCTACCTTACAAGTAGATATCTTGATAAGTATTTATGAGAGTAAGAAATAATATGTTTAACTAAAGAGATTAAAAATTACGCGAACTACCAGAAATTCACTCCGATCAATTGATATAGATGTGTATGTTCACACCTTAAAATACTCCCCCATCTAGATTAAAACGACTCGGTACCTAACAATATAGTAAGCACTAGAACCGTATTCCAAGCCCTCTTGTTGCCAAGAACCGTGGCTATCATGGCCCGCGTTCTAGATTAGACATGTTTAGATCTGCTGCTTATTATTACCTGCAGCTTAGGTATATAAGGAGGTAATTTGTTGCCAATAATTATGTTCATCAACCAGACTTACTATACAACGCCGAGGAAGTTGTTCGGCACAACAGGTTGTGACTTGTTTCAAGAATCTATTTATTTTTACCAAGTGATAGTTCCATCTGTACAAGATTTCGAAATTCGTTAAGGAACACAAAAAGCCTCGAATTAGCCGCACAATGATCATCACTCGGGTCTTGTTGTTGACAGGCTTGGTTACGAGCGCAATAGCGTCGGCGCCCAGTCTGAACCTTTTCTATGGCAAAAATGGCTTCAGCAAACTACGCATTAATAAAGTGGTTGCGGAAAAGAACTGTGGATGCAATGGAACATGGGATCCTTCTGCGTTTGCCAACATCTCGGAATACTTTGGAGCCAGTCTGACTGAACTCATCCCGAGTGAGAAAACAACCACTAGAGGAAAGGCTAGTGCGAGCTCTCTCTCGATTGGCCGAAACACGTACACCCTTGCTCTGGATTACTCCGAAGGCTACACCCATCCTCACGCCTCGAATGCTACTGTTTGGGCCAGGCTCATCAGCGACATGCTAGCCGTTGGAAATTATACCCCGGAACATTCTATCCTCATTGGCGAGTATATCAATACCGTTGGTGGAACTCACAACTTGACTTTGACCGTCTATGGCGATGCTGCATGCTCTGGTGTGTTCGAGCCTTGTGCGAAGCTAACTCCAGAGGAAACCGTCCTGCACCCTACGGGAGTTACTGCCGGAGCTAGGCTGGACTGGAGCGACAAGGAAACCCTTGAAAAGCATCTCAAATACCCAGCGTACAACACTACTACCCTGCACGAATTGATCATAGCCAACGCGACGCTTCCTGCATTCGTCTACCATGAGGATATTGGTGCAGTTGTCGATACATCAACTATCCGCATCGGCTCGAATAACAACAAACTACAGGAGCGTCAGTGTATTACGAGTTCTTATTACGCTTATTGGAGCGAAGGTGCCTGGGCTACATGGGGTCAATGGACTCCAAGTTCTGGTTGTCTCTATACCGGATTGGACGGTGCTGGTGGAAGCTTAGGCTTTTCAGTCGGCTTTAGTATGTCGTATGCTGAATCATGGGGCTTTGGGGGTAATGGCATCGTTGCAGGCCTGAGCCCTTCGTTCACTTTTACACTCACCGAGCAGTACAGTTGGACATGGTCATACACCTGCAATGTGCCAGCCAACAGTGTTGGGCAAGTTTACCAACAGCAGTTCGCTGGGTACGGTTATGTATACCAGCAACTGTGTTACAACGCCGGCGCATGTGGTATTACTTGTGGTAATGCGCAGGGTCCTAATTATGCTGGAGCCCCTGACATGGCCGTTTTGAACTACGGTTGCAGCACAGGTTGTAACAACGTTGCATGTGCATCTTACCCAGGGTGGACTAATTTGAATGTTTGGTCACCCTCGCCGCCAAACTCTTGTTAAATAAGGGCGAGTCTATGGACATCCCGTGAATTCTTGCGTTGGTGGAATTGACAGTGCGCGAGTTGAGCAAGCCTTTCCACCCTGGAAGTCAATTCCCTAGCGAATACGAATCAATATACTATATTACCGCAAATACAGGCATCTAATACATTCAACATCTGGGGCGGACGATAAACACCAGTTGCTCAAACCCCGTAATTGGTCAGTTTATCGACCGCTTTTATAGCCGTCTTTGCCCTGATGCCTTCTTCCTCAGGCCAGGGCAACGCTATTACTGTAGTACCGATTTAACTATCCCCTTCCTTGCCTTTTCTCTTGTCTTTTCTCTTCTGTAGGTCATGTGAATTCTGCCGGACCTTCTGCCTTAGAAAATTAGTTTTGAGCAATAGGCGCGTATCATCCACCTCAAACATCCAAATTCCGTACCTATCAATCTTAACCAACTACATAAAAACCACCTTATCCAACCCAAGCCTACCCGCCAGAATTCCTACTTACTCTTCTTAATCAAAACCCCCGAAATATGCGGCAACGCCGACCACCCCATCCACCTCTCAATAGCCACACTCTCCCACCCCCCATCCCCATCCGCAGCCCCCCTCAACGCCCCCTCAACATCCCTATCCAAACAACAATCGCCAATAAAAAAGCTCCAACCCAGTATTTGATAAACCCCCTGCGCAATCCGCGCTGCCATAGACCCCTTCGCCGTCCGCCACGGATTAACAACATGCTCCATAACAAGCACCTTCCCACCTGGTCTAAGCAACGCGTAAAGCTCACGCATCGTCCGGTCTAACTCCGGCACGGAACAGAGTACTCGCACGCAGATGATTGTATCGAAGATTCCGTCTCCGTTGGCTTTATGGGAGTCTGTCACGCCGGTATCGGTTGCGTCTAGGGCAGGGAGGAGTTCGGAGGGCGCTACGCTGCAGGGGAGGATGTGGTATTTCGTGCCTAGGCCTTCGGCGACTGCTTTTGAATGGAGCGCTTTGTGTAGACCTGTGCAGGGTTCTGCGCCGTAGATTGCGCGTATTGCCGGGGATTTGAGGAGGGGCATTTGAGAGCCTGTTCCAGGGCCGATGTCGAGGACGATGCCGGAGGCGGTTTTTAGGAGTGGTGGGATTAGAGATGAGGGCTGGATTTGGGTCGGTTCGTTGGTGGGAGGGGGTGGTCCTGGTCGAGATGCTGGGGGGAGAGAGAGTTAGAAACGGGATATTTATGGACGGTGGATATTGTTTTTCATAGAGCGGATTGTGTTTGTTGATGATGTTATTTTTTGAAGGGTATGTTTACTAGTAAATGCAATCCAGAATCGAGCAAAGGCTTCATCCCGAAGTTTTGCCGTCTGCGTGATTGGGGCGAGGATCTCGCCTCGCTTGATGGCTTCGATGCAGACTTGGATATAGTCTATACTTTGGATCAGCTCAAGTGCTTTGACACGCAAAGATAATCATATATAAACAAGAAACGGGAACAAATGCTTCGAAATCCAGAATAATCCATGCGGGGTACATCGGTATGTCAATGCCACAACAATATGTGCGGTAGCTTATATAGAACAAATTACATGCGAGTAGCATGATATGTAAGAAAAAAAGGGTTGAATAAACAAAGAGACAAAAATTTGAAGAGATCAAAGTACACGAAAAAGGAAGAAGACATGAGAAAAAAGAACAGTCAAAGAAAAATGGTACGCAGCACCATCACGAAACCGAGATATCAAAAACCGCAAGTATAAAAATCACTCACGAGAAATAGCCATAACCAACAAGAGCGTAGGCTCAAATAAACCGAGCACACGCTCATGTAGTGGTGGAGGAGCATCAGACGACATTTCGCAAAATTGCCAGTATTGTAATAAAAATGGTGTTGAGATATTTACCCCTCAAGCTTTGTAGAAGTAGAAAGAGAAGGGGGAGATGGAAGTGGAGATCCACTGCGGATGGGACGTTAGGGCCAGCGGTACGGGAGATAAGAGTCACATGATATTGGGGGCTGAACTCTGGATAGAGAAAGGACTAGGATCGAATGTGGCTAGTAGATGGGGTGTTGAGATATAAGCACACCATGTGTGGGTAGGATTAGCAATCGGTGGGTAGAGGTTTTATATGGACCGTTAGAGACCCTAGAGAAGGCTTCCATTTTCCTTCTAATTTCAATGTTCAATATGGTGCTATATAACTCGGTCTGGAGAGGGGTTGACATCTATTTGTTCAACCTGATTGACATGATACTACATAATCAACACAATGAGAAACACTGCAGACTAGATTTTGGTAAGACTTATGTTCTGGTACAGTCTGTACACGCGATGACGAGACACTAGAGTCAACCCCAAAAGAGTCACAGGAATGATCAGATACACAACAGAATACAATCATACTTAAAACGAAAATTATCCACAGAAAAGAAAATGAAATATATTGTCAAATGACTAGTCGGGTCAGACTGGATGGAGCATGGCTGAAAACTAAAATAAAGAAAAGATCGAAATGACAGCACTGAGAATTGACAAAGGAAGGACGGTGATAGGAGAGTGTGCGAGTTTAGAGTTTATTGACGCGAGTTGGATAGGAAAAGGAAAGAGATGTTCGAGGTTCAGGTTGGAGTAGACATGTGTGCGTAGAGAAAAAAGAGTGGGAGGTAGATAGAGATGAAGCTGGCTGGAAAAGAATATCCAGACCGGCATTTCCCAAGTCATCCAAAGTGGTGTGTCAAGAAGAGGAAAGGGCCAGAGTCACGGCACCTTTCGATTAGAGCGCATCAATATGACGCAGAAGCAGGTGTGACGGACGTGAAAGGTACTTGTCAGGCAAGGAGGAAGAAAAAGAGACTCGTGGGCAATTATACGAGTTAAGTGCAAGCCATCGCCGTTTGAGGGCCTGCCCGCAAACTCGATCGAAACGATTCCAATGCAACATGCAACGCTTTTAGTGGTGGGAGTGGATGCGATCGACTCTCGGGCTGTACCGACTGTTGCGTGACAGCGAACCGACATCGTGCTTGCCATCGCAACAGGCGCGGACATTCTCGAGTCGATCTTCATCATCGTGACTGTGTGCAAGGTTCTCAATGCTAGGTTGGTCGCGGATGCTCTCGTCATGAAGACTAGCCGCGCCATGGCGTCCCTTCAGACTGGCGATCGATCCGCGGATCGAGCTGTTCAGGATCGTGCTGAGACGAGATGAGGACCGCTGTTGAGAGTCTTCGGGAACTTGCAACGAAGAATTCTGCCCCGAAGTGCTCAGAGCAGGAGATGCACGCCCAGGAGTTCCTCCAGTCGAACGCATAGACATGGCTGAGGCCGCACGCTGTTGCTTGGGTGGCTGGCGAAGAGTGCGGCTGTTGTATGAAGATACTGACACGCGGGCAGTCTGGCGAGAGGAGGACCGGAAGCCAGGGTTAAACTCGTCAATGTCATCCAGAGTTACGCTATTGGCATCTTCGGCGTTCTCGTTGACCTCTCGAAGGAGTAGATACGCCAATGCATTGTACCAGGTTTCGTGTCGCTGGCTTGTCGTGGCTGTGAAGCGGACCTTGCGACCAGGGCTGACAACCTCCAAGCTTCGGCAGTGCAGACCGGGAGGGTACGGGTTATCATCCACAATCACTCGTACAGCTTCGATAGGTACACTCTTGGTGCGAAGCTGAGACTTGCCCGCAGTCTGCGGGTCATGTTCACTCCAGTATAACGTGCGTGTATACGGATGAACCCAGAAGTAGCGTCGGTGACGTGTAGACGACATATCGGAAGAACCAGTCTTGCGGGTGTATTTCCACAAGAATTCGCCGATCATGGTCTGAGTGATGGCTTGGATCATGCGCGGGTCGGTGTTGGCGCCATAGCCATGAGGCACTGGTCCAGCATAGGGGTTCATGTTGAACCGCTCCTCGAGTTCGGACGCGAAAGACGACACCGACGACCGCCTTGACATTTGGCTCTGGCTTCCTCTCCTCATGCGAGCCTGGGTAGAAACAGTCCGTGCAGACCCAGGTCCTGTGCTCTGGTCGTTTGGTGTGCGCGGGGCAGTGTGTACGTTCACACGATAAGCTGAAGCGGGTGCCAGAGGAGGTCCCATCGTGCCGGGTGAAGGAGTAGGGGGAGGGATATCAATGGACCTCTTCTCGGCGGCCGCAATGGCTTCACGATGGTCAGCGGGCAATGGCGGGTGGACACTGAGAGCAGAAGTCTGGCTAGTAGCAGTGTCAGGACGTCTTTGGCTTGACGCTCCAGATCTGGCCGATGATTGTGCTTGCAGGCGAGGTCGAATCTTGGGAGTGGCGAAGGGAGACGCGGCAGCAACTCCTGCAGCAGCTCCTGCAGCGGCTCCAAGTGCGGCCATCTCCATTCCTTGCCTGCTGTCTGCAGAAGACACCGGCCGGGCAGAGTCCCGATCCATGAGAATCTGGTCGATTTGCTTCGAAGAGAGAATCGTCTGAGATCCTTGGTCCGAGCTGACGAAGCTGGGTAGCTGTCTGTCTGACTGAGGCAGCAAAGCGTTGCCAGAAATATCACTCAAGGCCAGACCAGTGCTTGTGCGCCGCTCACTGGTGTCGATACCAGAAATTTCACGAGCGGCATCGACAGATCTATCTTGTTCATCTTCGTGAATGACCACGGCAGCCACAGCAGCCTTTGGCTCCTCGACCGGATCTGTTTGAATTGCAAAGTCACTCGTAGAAGGAATGGTGCGTACTACAGACCGCACTGGCTGTGTTTCAACGGAGGGCAGGGTGAAGATGGAAGGCACTGGCAGAGGAGGGACTTCAACCACCCTGGGAATGACAGGCTCTGTGAATGCTGGATTCAACAAAGAGATCGTCAGATCAGGGATAATTGGCTCCGGTACAGGCGCGGGAATGATGATTGGTTCTGGCGCAGGAGCAGGCTCAGCCTTCACTGGCTCAGTAACAGCTGGATCCAGTAGAGAAATTGTCAGATCTGGAATGATCGGTTCTGGCACGGGCGCAGGAATAATGATCGGCTCTGGCGGGGGAGCTGGCTCGGCCTTCACCGGTTCTGTGACCGCAGGCTCAAGCAGAGAGATAGACAAATCTGGGAGAACCGGTTCTGGTACAGGCGCGGGAATCACAATTGGCTCTGGCGCTGGAGCAGGCACCGCCTTCACGGGCTCTGTGAATGATGGGTCCAGAAGCGAGATCGAAAGATCTAGGAGGACTGGCTCTGGGATAGGCGCAGGAATTATGATCGGTTCCGGCGCAGGAGCAGGCTCGGCCTTCACTGGTTCGGTATGCTGCGAGGAAATAGCCGACACTGCCATTTCGGCCACAACGGGTTCTGGTTGAGGTTCGGGCTCGGGAAGCTGGGCCTGGATGGGCTCGGTGAAATGGATGAAATGAGAAGACAAGGTCAACTCTGGAAGCTCCCGAACAGGCTCGATAGGAACCACCGGCTCTGGCTCGGGGATGATAGCCTGCACAGGCTCGGTTGACTGCGACTCGATCGAGGAGAAGCTCATCTCTGGGACCTCAGGGGCAGGAAGCTCGTGAGCCACGGGCTCCGTGAAGCCACCGGGGAGGTAAGAAATGGCTAGCTGTGGCCAGCTAGGCGCGGTGGGAAGAGTTTCTTGAGAAGAGATAGTGGCAATGCCCATCTCCGCCGGCTCGGCTTGAGTACTGGCCTCGACCAGCTGGGTTTCCACTGCACGCTCGTCCCAGGCCATCTTTGGTGGCGTGGGAACATTGGCCAGGTGATCGTTATCTCCAGTAACCGGCTTGAGTGGTGTCCACTGGGTACCAGAGCTGACCAGCTTGGGTGTCTCCTCACCTTCCGAAGTGATCTCACGGTCGACGCTTCTCTGAGGCGTAGTTGGGGCCTCGGACAGGGCGGAGACAGCAGCTCCAGCAGCGCCAGCAACGGCGGCTCCCGCAATGGCAGCTCCGGCTACGGCAGCAACGGGAGTGCTAGGCTCCCAAGGCTCGGTCATCATACCAGAATCCACCATGACGGGCTTGGGCAGCGAGTCAAGCATGATCTCAGAGGGCCTGCGAGAGTCCGATGAAGGACCCATCCGCGGCGTCGAGGCCTGGGAATTAACACCTGCAACGTCTTCCTCTTCATCATCGCCACCCTCCAGCTCAGCAAGTTCCGCAAAGAGGCTCTGGCCCTCTCTAGCCACGGGCTGCTGCTGTTCGAAGCTTGGCGCTGGGGAGTTACGAGAGCTAGATGGACGACTGCTAGAGGCCATCGGGGCCTCTCCAGAGGGGCGAATCCGTCGAAGAACGCTTCGCTTCGACCTAACCCGACGGCCAGAGATATGAGTTTGACTGGGGGATGGGAAGCCGCTGTCTGTCTCATCCTCGTCAGATGTGGCAGACGCCGTGCTGTGATAGGAGTTACGATCGCGGGCCTTGGACATCATAAGAGAGGGAACACGACGAGTGCGAGGAGTTGTCTGGACATTGTTCTCGGTCTCTGTCAGATCCGCAGAGTCGTCGCTGCTGTCATCGGCCATGCTTTCCACGCCAGTCTGGAAAGCTTCACTCTCGGTTGCCGTTGCGCGTTCATTTGCAGTCTCAAATCCATCTTCGGCTTCAGTAGCAGTCTGGTAGACATCACTAGGCTCATCAGGAGGGGACATGGCTCCAGAACTGCTCTTAGCAGCTGAACCGCCCATGACGGACCGAGTGGGGCTGCCCTGGCCCGCATTGTCTTCCCAATCAGTGTCGTGGATCTCCAGCTCAACTGAAGACTTTTCCTTGCGGCCAGCGCCCAGAAGATCCGGGCGAGCAGGCTTGCGGAAAGAATTATCCTTGGTCTTCAGGCGCTTGGTAGACGCGTTGGGAGCATTGTTCTCGCGACGACGCTGTTCAACCTCGTCGCGGGCTTCTTGCAGCATGCGCTTAAGCTCAATCTTCTCGGTCTTCTCGCGATGGATGGTGCTCTTGAGGTTCTGGATCATACGATGAGCATGACCAAGAGAGCTCTTGAGGGTTTCAGACTCCAGATGATTATGCCGAGGGGTGAACTTGTTGGGAGACGGAGGGGGAGAGCTTTCGGGCGTAATTTGCTCTGCCTCTTCGTCGTCCTGATCGTCGGGCATAGCTCGGGATCCTTGGGATTCATACTGTCGGATTCGCATTGCAACCGCCTTCGCCAGCTCTTGGTTCTGGCCGGTCAGTTCCTCAAGCTTCTTCTGAAGTGCAAGCTTCTCTGCATCACCGGCAGTCAAGTTCCGACGTAGCAAGTGAATTTCAGAGTCATTCGCCTTCTGGGCAATTGCTTGCTCCTCCAACAGCTTGGAATTAGCTTGTCTCAGCTCCTCTACTTCCCTTTCGACAGCGTTCTTTTCCGAGTTCGCGGTACCCAGGCTGCTGTTGAGTCTCTTCTCACGCTCCACGGCATCTTTGACAGCTGCCATGAGCTCGTGGGTCTGCGTCTCCAGAGCCCAGTTCTCATCCTTGTAGCGTTGCTCGCTGTCATCAAGTGCACGGATGCGCTGAGAGTAGCCCTCTGCTTCGATTTCCAACCGCGACTTCTCTAGGTTGACTGACTTGAGAGTCTCCTCTCGCTCAGCCAGAAGGGCCTGTAATTGACGGACTTGGGCAAGAAGGGAGGTCGAAATCTCAGTGGCGAACTCAATGTCGTGCACACGGCTGGAGGGTTGGTTGCGCTGCTTGCGGGAGGGAACGCTGACTTTGCTGGGAGAATTGGTTGCTTGGCTTGCAAAGAGAGCGGAACTGAGGGGAGACTGAAGACGAAGTGGTTAGATTTGCACTGCACAGGTAGCAATATCGGCCGTAGAATCGTTCAAAAAATACCTTTTGATCGAACCCTGGAGTACCCGGTTGGGGATCCTCCGAGCCACCTGCCAACCGCTTCGGAGCTAAAAAGGCACGAGCGGTTTCCCGACCAATCTCATTATACTCCTGTTCCAGGTCGGCAAGTCGCTGTCGCAGTTCCGGTCCCATTTCACCCTCATCTTGCTGCTGCTCCACTTCCTTCAGCTGTTCCGTGAGTTCTCGCTGCTGCTCGATGAGCGCCGTTCCCAACTTAGACGCTTCCTCCAATCGACGCTCGGTCTCCGCCAGATGAGCCTCAAGGGCCCGTTTGGCCTGTGCAGGCGAAGAAGCATTGAGACTGAAGAGTTGCGTGTCGAATGACGAATATCGGTGCGATTCACGAGGGGCAGCGGGCTGGCCCGAGGTCGAGACGAACGGATCCTCCATCATGGCGGTAAGAGAGCTGTTCCCGTGGGCGTGGGGTGCTGTCATTCTCCGAGGGTGCGGTGCCTCAGTCGACTTCTGGATCCCCTAATGCGTGAGGACACAGTTGCCGACGAGACGTGAACGAGACTCGCGCGCGCGTCGATTTTATTTTCCCCTTTATTAGAAATGGCCCGTAATCGGTTCACGCGAGCATCGTTCGAGTCACCGTGCCTGGGAGAATGAATTTCGCGTAAGGTTCGCGCTGTGCCTGGGCGGATGATTGAGCCGGCCAGCGACCACGGATTGTCGATATTACCACGTGCAAAAATTGGATGCGATACGGGGGGTTGTCGGGGCGAGAAGAGAGCGGGCGTCGCGAGCAGTGAAGTTGGAAAGAAGAGGGGACTAGGAACAACAAACACGATTGCTCGAGGATAAGCGAATCAGTAAGATCCCGAGCCGGCGAGATCCTTGTCAAGGGACACGCGCGTTGATGAGTGCGTGATGCAGCCAACCATAACACTCGGCGATCGGCAACAGATATCACCCAACCGAATGGATCTCTCGACTCGGGGTTAGGTGGCCCTAATGAATCAACAACAGAAAAAGAGAAAAAGAAAACGAATTCAAGAAGAAAAAGAAGGAAACGAGACAAGAGAGGGTAGAGAACGTGGGTATGGGCGATTGGGGGGAGGGGGAGGGCAATGGGCGACTCGGGCGGGGAGAAAAGGGAAGAGAGTCGACGAGGAGCGGGAGCGGCTGCTATTCTGGCGCACTGCGCAGATTGGCGCCAGCGTTTGAGGATCCCCGGAGATCAAGGAGCGGAGGGGGGGGCTTCTACGATCGGGAAGTAGGGTGGAATGATTATTGAATGCCAGCTGCACGTCTGAGACTTTCTTCTCTCCCTACTGTCCCTGGATTATTATTTTTTCAGCTACACTACAACGACAATTGCACATGTTATCAATCATAAACCTGCACAGGAGACGTATCTGCGATGATTCGATAGTCTTGTTGTTTTCTTTTCCCAACGCGTCGGGCAGGCAGTTTGCACTGTTTGCATCTCATATGACAGCTCCGGCTGAGTCAGGATGGCTTAGTCAGTCTCCGCGGATCTTCGAGCAGCTTCCGATAATCATGATTAACAAGAAAATCAGTCCACGAGACCTTCAAACCACCTTCTACCTTTCATCTTCTCCCAAATTGACCCCTTACAACATACCTGCACCACGAAAAATGGCAGATTCCACCGAACCCTCAGACGCTGTGCCCCAGTTCGGCTTCAAGAAACGCGCCAAAGGCAAGGCCAACTTCCGCAAGAAGCCCGCAACGCCACCACCAGCCTCAGACTCGGGCTCCGACTTCACATCGTCAGACGACGAAGAGGGCCGGCGCATCAAGCGGCGACGCAAGAATGTAGCAGTGACGGCTTCATCCGCTGCAAATGTCACCAGGAGAGACCCTGCTGCCGATCAACCCGCGAGCACCGGTCCGGTCCCTCTATCTACGAGCAACGATGCGACCAAATCAGCCAACTGGTACGATGAGGATCTGAGTGCGAAGAACCTGTTGGGCTCAACCAGAGCTCAGGCTTCTACAGATACCGCTCCAGACGGTACCTACAAGGGTGCGGCCAACTATTCCTCCTTCATTCAGAAGAACCCAGATGCGCCGACGAAGCAATTTGGTCCTATCAAGGCACCCACGAACGTGCGAACCGTGACGGTGATGGATTTTGCCCCCGATGTCTGTAAGGACTGGAAGCAGACCGGGTGGTGTGGATTCGGTACGTTCTTGCAAAATACTGACTCACCAGCGAAACTGAAGACTCGAGACTAACATAGCTATGATAGGTGATTCTTGCAAATTCTTACACGCCCGTGAGGACTATAAACAAGGCTGGGAACTGGATCGCGACTGGGAAATCGGTACCAACGGCAAAAAATTGAGTGGTCGGGTGGTGTCGCAAAGAAAAGGCGCTGGCAAGGCTGCCGAGGACGAGGAAGACGATGATGAGGACGAGCTGCTGGACAGCATCCCCTTTGCCTGCATTATCTGTCGAAAGCCATATCAGAACCCCATCATCACCAAGTGTGGGCACTACTTTTGCGAATCTTGCGCGCTGCAACGGTATCGGAAGAACCCATCTTGTGCAGCGTGCGGGGCGGGTACTGGTGGTGTGTTTAATACTGCAAAGAAGCTGAATGCTTTGCTGGAGAAAAAGCGGGAGAAGGCACGAAGGGAGCGTGAAAAGGCTATTGAGGAGGGTGAGGAGGTTAGTGACGAAGAGGAGAATGAGGGCAGTGATTAAGATTTAGTGGAGGTGGACCGAGGCAAGCTCCAGCTGGACTGCGCAACGCTGCCTCGAAGCCTCTAAATTTATGTACTAAAAATCAAACTCAACACCATATTATGAGATTACTTGGTTGTGTTTTCCTACCCTTAGGCATCCTGGACGAGGAAAGTTAGGAATGTTCCCTGTAGAGTCTAAATTAAATGAGGCTTATGCAACATATATTTGGCAAAGATACTACTGCCACCACAGATAACTATGAGTCTCAAATCCGTAAGTTGTAATTCCGATTACTACTAACTTTAAAAGATTTAAATCCAAATTTAAAGGTTTCTTATTCCAAGATCTACTACGGCACCATTAATGTACGGTTATTTATGGTGGTCATCGGTGGCTGCAGGTGACCAAGATATCCCGGGCCTCCTCCGCTTCTATCTCCACCTCCACCTCCCGTCACCAGCAACCATCAAAGTTTCTCGGAACAAGACCGTTCACAATGATGAAATCCCCGCATTGATCTTATCTCTCGAGCCCCCAGTACCCAGAAAACCTACAAATCGTCACATTTCCAGCCAAGAATGACACGCGGCCAGTGCGAATTGAGGTGGCTAGGTTATGGTTAGACTCCGCCAATGGTATTGTTTACTCTGACCTTGTGCTCCGATATCAACCTTCTAAGGAAGAACATTATTCACCTCGCTTCTCGACGTCTACAGGTACCAAGGCATTCAAATCATTTGAATGTACGGAGAGTACTAGACTTGACCTCTCTTGTACCCGCCGACCGCAAGGGACTGACGCAATGTCTGCGATCGGCACTCAAGCCACGACATCTATTCTACAACTCTTAATGGCCTGAAACTGATGTCGAGAGGCCCACGATGGAAGAAGGGTTCGGGTCGACAACCCAAATTTCTTACCCCTCCCGTGGCGTTTCCAATACCTCTAAACTCTCGTTCTTGGCGGCTTGCAAGTTTTCGACAAGCGTCCGCGCACCCTACACCAAGCCCATTTGCAATGCTGATCAAGTCTTGGTCAGTGGGTCAATTCTGTCATTGCGACATTTACATGGTCCCGCGGTGGAAACATGGAGACCGACGAGAATCCGGCTGTACGGAGTGTTCAGTACATATTCTTGAGGGAGGGTCTACATCGGAAACAAAGACAACTCCGTGGAGCCTCGCGTCAGTCTTGCAGTCAGATTGTGTCTGCCTATTTTGCGACAGGATGAGCTAATATTAAAACAGGCAGATACTGCCGACCGGAATTTTGACTTTAGGGGTAATCAAGCACGCCCCCACATGGATACGAGGCTGGCCAATAACTTGGTGGAGAAAGGACGTGCTTTGCGTGTGGTCCTTCACACGTCGGCTGCACCTTTTTCCTGGGCCCTTTTTTCTTCTCCTCCAGACTGTTAAACGCCACGTGCGACCCATGGTACTCATCACACGCTGGAGTGCCACATTGCGTCGCCTTGTTCTCTGGAGATTGGTGATCCAACGCATTCCTGGAGGTAATGTTTGTATGTCAAGTTGGCTGGAATACTAACGCAAGGTAGACAATCTGGTCTATTCCACATTTGCTCAGCTGCTCGAGCAGAAGCGACGAGTAACATACTTCGACCAGCACGTTTAGGGGCCGCGGGAGGCGCGAAACTGGCCCCAAGCCAAGCTTTTTGTTGCCCAGGGCCAAAGCGACCCTCTAAAGACTAAAGGGACTAAAGTTTCCTTTGCCCCAGCTTCGGTACCCTGCGCCCCTCTTGTCCCCTGAACCCGCCCCCTCAGTGGCCAATGACGAGCCCAAAGCATGACATTCTAAGTTAAACGCGGCTTAGACTTTTGGGCTGATACCAATGGCGAAAAAGCGTGTGGAAAAGCATGGGCCTGGTCCCCTTGGTAGTTTTCTGTTCTCTTTCTCTTTTTTGCACTCGAACGGAGTGGACTAGACCGAGATCGTACTGGAAGAAGTAGTTATCTAGCGGCTCTAGCCTGAATACTCTGATTTGTCCGTTCCCTTTTAACACTTTATTTTTCGGTTAACCTATTATTTCCCTGAGCCTTTCACCCCCACTGCCAATCCTTCTCTCGTACCGACTGCCTATTGTGATAAAGACGCCGCAAACTCTCTCCTTTCCTCCGGCGTGACTCTTTTCCCTTTTCTCTCCTTTTCCTCGCCCTCTCGATACGAGATTTGTACCTTCCAGTACTTTCCCCCCATCTATTATCTTCCTTTTCCACTACGCTGTCCAGTTCAAATCATCGATCAATGGCTCAGTTCCTTCAACAGTGAAATTTGGCACGCACGGAGTCTCCCCTCAAGGGTCTCCCCGTGAACACATCTTTGAATACGATCTCGTCATCACGATGAAGGGTGCTTTGCGTTTTGCACTCTGTGCATCATTACTCCTAGTCTTCTCTTTGTACTTGTTGGAGGCACATCTCAAAGATATCTGTAGCCAGTATCGCGCCGGCGCATACCTGGTTGATTGGATCAACCGAAATGGAGCTGCTCGACTTGCGACAGTCGGCAATGTCCCTGTACCAGGAGACAAGGTGATTGTCATGGCCAGGTTGCAAGAAGAGCCTACCGACTGGGTACAAGAGGAGCTACCAGAGTATGTATCTCAATTCTGGCCAAGAGTTATTGTGTTACTAACGTTACTTCCTCCCAACAGCTGGCAGCGTGCTATCTACATAGTCAATCCCTCTGAAGATGCCCGCTCCAACCCCCAAATTCTCACGACACCCTTGAATAAAGGACACGAATCTATGGCCTACTTAACCTACGTAATCGACCACTACGACACCCTCCCCTCAACAATCGTCTTCCTCCACGCCCACCGCGCAGGATTCCTCATGGCATGGCACAACGACGCCCCCTCCACGACAACGTCAACGCAATGCGCATGCTGCAAACCAACTTCGTCCAGGAAAACGGCTACGTCAATCTCCGCTGCAATTGGAACCCCGGCTGCAAGCAAAGCCACCGCTTCAATCAACATGTCACCGACCAGGTCTGGTGGGATATCTTTGAGGGAACGAGCACGCCGCCCTTGAACGCTTCGTCGCCCTATGAACAGGAATTTTCGGGCCATCGGTATATGCGCAAACCCGAGCAGATTGGCGCGGCGTGTTGTGCCCAGTTTGCGGTTTCGCGAGGCCAGGTGCTCAAGCGACCCCGGGAGGACTATGTCAAGTTCCGGCAGTGGATTATCGATACGGAATTGAATGATGCCATGTCTGGACGGGTGATGGAGTTTTTGTGGCATGTCATTTTTGGCATGGAGGCTGTTTATTGTCCTGATGAGCAGCTTTGCTATTGTCAGGTTTATGGGAAATGCTGAAGCCTGGAAATGCGGCCCGCTTTTTCTACGAGAGTTCCCACCCTACCCACGCCAATTCCTCCGTGGCTCGTGCCTTGATTTTCGCCGATGTTTTTCGATACCCCCCCTCGCCTTGAGCTGAGCTCTTTTTTTGTCATTGCCTCATGCCGCTGTACCTAGTCGCTGGGAGCCTGGAGTTTGAGATGATTTACTAGACTTCATTGCAATTCGGCGCTGGCGAGAGCGATTTCTCGCCGCTGTACATTTTTGATTGCAACATCTTGTTGCAAATTCTTGGACTTGAAGTCTCTTGAATGTTTATAGAACCCTTACTTATTTGTCAATACTAATAGAAGATATGTCGATTGCATTGTGCTTCTTTATCTCGAAAAAAGACTCCACTCCTTTGAACATCCAGGACTTCCGGTCTACTGTACATTCGACTCGCGACTTTCATTCTCAGGAAACCGTTCTGATACATCCCTTGAGATACTCTTCCACCCTCGCAACATCGTCAAGACGTGCAACGACCCCGACATACCCATCAGGCCTAACAACAGCCAAAGCACCACGCGCAGGATCCACGCCATAAATCGCATAAGCATTCTCCAAAGCGGACCCATCGTGGAAGCGCATCTCCGCTCGCTGCTTGATACAGGCCGGGAGATCATCCCACTCAAATTCCCGACGAAGCTTTGGATGTAACACGATCAACTCGATAACCGATGCAGGGAAATTGGGCATAAGACGATCGAGTGAATCAAGTGCTTGTCCAGAAATGCTTTGCCGATCAAGAAGGTCCATAGATGCTAGGCATAGAATACGGAATCGGCCCGTTGAAGGGATATCTATTACATGGTCAGTCAATATCCACCATCGAAAACACACTTCTATTCTTACCATCATGGATATGCCGCTGCGCCCCATCGGCATATCGCAAAACCCGAACATCCAACAATCTCCGTCCCGGCCGAAGAATTCCAGATAAATAGTCCGTTCCCTTTACCGGGCTCATCGAACCTTCCAAGTCATCGTGGACCACGACTGTACTCTCGGGATACTCGACACCACAGCCGCTGGTAAATCCATTGCCTAGTTTAAAGGCCTGCTGGAATTCCTCTTGCGTGAGGCCCTCGGTGGCGCCCATTTTGCCGGAGAACATGGTCGAGAATTTCCGGTCAAAGTCGATCAATTGCTGGGCGATTTTGTGTCTTTCTGTTTGGTACGAGTCGAGGAGGGGTGTTGGTGGTCCTGTTGCTGTGGACTCTGGTGCGAGTCCGTTGATGTGGTATATGAGTTTCCATGCGAGGTTGTAGGAATCCATCATGGAGACGTTCATTCCTTGACCAGCCTGTGAGGGTGAAAATGTCAGTTATCTTGCTGCTAGCACGAAGCAAAAGGCGAGAATGCTTACTTTAGGGCTGTGCGTATGGCAGGCTGGAATTTAAACGATTAGCTTTCCATCGACAGTTGCGAATACACGGAAATCAACTCACCATCACCGGCAATGAATACTCTAGCAACGCCCTTCGAGTCCTTCACAATAAACTCCGGCGAGACACGCTGCCCAATTTGATAAGCAGCCCACCAATCCACCACGCCATCCTTCGGACGGATATAATACGGCTTCATAGCATCAGCCGCCTGTTGCAAAATACCGTCCTGCGTGATCTTGCTTCTCCGCTGCCTCGCATCCTCAGCTTTGACACCATTAGTTCCATCCAGAAGTTGGTCGCTATCTGGAACCACCGTCTCGGGAACATGAACATAGAGCCGAGTGAGGTACTCGCCCGTCGAAATTCTCTCGCGAGGGATAATCATCACCGAGCCGGCCGGAGAGTGAATTGCACCACGGCGCCGGATATCAGGGAAATCGGTATCGGCGACTAAATCGATCACGCCCCAGATATGATCGAGTGATTCTCCCTCGAGACGAAGGCCCATGCACTGACGGACGATAGAGTGCGCGCCATCTGCACCAACAAGGTGCTTAGTACGCACGACTTTCTCCTCGCCGTTCGTGTTCATGGTGACTACCACGGGAAACTCTGCGTCGGACTCTTCATCGATGCGTACATCAATCAGCCGTGTATTCCGCAGAACACCTCTCTTCGAGTACCGCAGTAAATCAGTTTCCATGATCCGCTCAATACGGCCCTGGTGGATGGTAGCCTCGTAGCCGAATCTCGAGGGAGCAAGAACTTCCGACACGACTGCTGTTCGCTCGATGATTTTATCTTTCTTGTCTGAGGGGTTCCAGAATGCGAATTGCCACATGTGACAAGCCTCATTTTCGATCTCATCGGAGATGCCGAGGGTCTTGAATACTTCCAAAGTCCGTGGCTGGACGCCATCTGCCTGGCCGGATTTGAGGGTGCTGGGCTTGGAATCAATGCAAAGGAGGGAGTCGTCACTGAGTCCGTAACGAGATAGAAGCAGATTAAGCATCAATCCTGCTGGTCCGGCCTAGAGAGAGAGATGAGTTGCTGTTGAGTCTTGTCTTGGTATGGAAGTCGTGAAACCTACCCCAACAATTAGCACTTCATACTTCTCATCTAATCCACTTTGGGGCTCAAATGGAGGGGATAGACGGGGCAGCGGCGGAGCAAAGGATGGCAAGACCCTTAAATTCCGAGATGCAGTAGAATGCTCAGTGAAGACGGGCATTGTGCTTCGGGTACACGGCAAGTCGACAATGAAACAAAAGTAGAATGATTACTGTCACGGATATCCGAGCCATAGAGACTACTTATAACTTCTTTTTTCTGGGGGTCATGTTATATTTCCTCGGCTAATGGGATTTACAGATATACGGGGTAGAGCTGCGGGGGGTTGAGAATTGCCGGAATTGTTATTCTGGGGTTCAATAATGGAACTAAATTCCATGGAAATATGGAAATAGGACCTGAAGAATCCAATAGAACAAAAGCTTCGGTAATAAAACTGGCTAGTCTATTGAACTTGGTAAGATGGTGCACGGTAGTAGAAATGCTCCTATTGGTACAGATCCCATAGTCGAAATTTACAATATCGAAAGCACAGAGTATGAGAGCATATTTCAGAAGTTTAATTGGCCATGTAAAGCTATAGCATAATCATTACAAAAGAAAAGAGTTCTTGCTTGCAGTTCATCAAATCGTGGGGGAATGCCTCTCAACAGCCTCATATCCCACATCGGTGGAGCTTCACCCCGCCGTCCCACCAACGTCGCTTGCGGGGTGAGCGAAAAGCAGGACAGAACATCGGCAATTATCTGTGATTGTTAACCGTTAGATCAAATTCCGTAAGGCATGTACTCGAATATGGAAATGTTTAGGTAGATTATGATCTTTCTAATGTTATTTGAGTAAAGGAGAGCATTAGAGCATAGGTAATAGCATTCAACAAGCCATAAGGAGAACAGTTTCGGAACTCTTTCATATATTTATATGAAAACATGGCAAAATACGATGATACCATAGTTAAAATAAGATGGAACTATAGAGAAGATCTACCTCCCTTCCCCTCCTCCAACGCCGTAGAAAGTACATTGGCAAAAGACTGCGATATCCCCCATCTCCCACCCCGCTGCAACAAATCAATCAATCGATACAAATAATCCAAGTCTGCAACCATAGACTCCCCAGCACTATGCAAATTCTCCGGGAAAAAAACTCCCCGAGTAACGTCATCTCCTAAAATTTTAATCTCCGGAGACGCAAAAGCCTCGACGCTCACGACATGTTTTGGTGCGTATTGCGCGACGCATAGATATGCCAAAGCTGCGGAGAATAGTGCCCGTGGGACATGTATGGCTGCCTCGGCGGAGATACTCATGTTATCAAGGTGTTGTGCGATTAGAGAAGCGTGTACAAGACAGCGGCTCGCGTTGAGAGAACATGCCCATTCGGCGACGGGCGTTGAAGCTTCTAAGCTCGGGCATTGGCCGTCTCGACCGATCGCTTGCTCTAGAAGGTCGAGGTCCGCGTAGAGGGAGATAAAGATCGAGTGCCAGAGTACTGGCAGGCAGAATGGGTCTTTGCTCGATGTATAGTATGTTTGCCACCATTCTATCAGAAGATTGGATATCTCATGGCAGATAATGTGGTCGAATTCTTGCGATTGTTTGGCGTCCACGAGGCGGGCGTTGATACTTTCGAGCACACCGTATGCCGTAAAGCGAGATTTTAGCCCTGTGCTCGGGAATGGGTCTGATGTGCGGGATAGTCGAGCGTAAGAGGGACTCTGGGGCTCTGTTTCCATAGACTGTCGATAAAGAGACGCCCATTTTGAAGCTGTGGGCGCGACAAATAAAGCGTCAGACGCTAGACAAGGATACTGTCGGAATCGATGACTTCGAATTGGCTGATGGTGGAGCAGCATTGCGAGTTCAGCGTCGTGAATGTTCAGGGCGACTTGAACTCTGGCTCGCTGTTCGGTGTCAATCCATAAATGCCAGCTTCCCTCAAGATCAGTCTCATTTGAGATATTCCGAGATTGGGAACAATGAGAGCCCAGTCTATTCGCCTCGCGAGCCCATGCTGCGACTGTCCCATGCAGTACATCCGCCAAGACGAGATACTTCGGCTTTCCTGCTAGAATAGCATAGGTCTGTCCGAGAATAGCCGCCTGGACCATTGATAATGCATCTGGCTTGCTCTGAGACAAGAAAGACTCCCATGAAGCTAGAATGGCCTTGTTGAGCCGTTCAAATATCCTTTCGCCTTGGGACACTGCCCGTGAGGATCCCACAAAGAGACTGCCAATAGAACAGATCGACAAGAATAGTAAAGAGTTTTCTGCAGTTGGCCGGAACGAAGGGGCATGAATAACCGGTAAAAGAGGATGGAACCGATGAAAGTAGAGCTTGGCAAATAGATTGAGCTGCTCGGAGGTTGGCAGTGCCTCATCCTCCATGCGTGGCCGAAGTTTCTGAGAAAGACCAACTCGATACGACTCGTTTGCATTTGTCTGACCTTGCCAAATTGGCCCAGTTTCTGAGAACTCTTCGCTAGGCTGTTTTTGTATCGATGGCAACATGTGCGTGAACCACTTTCGCTTTACTGTGTCTTCGCTAGCATGTGGAGAGTCGAATTCTGGAGCAGAGCTTTGCATAGGTGTAAACAAGGCCGACTCGGTAGATGGCAGGCTAGGGTTTGTGGAAAAATTTGGAACCTGTGCCCATTCTGAGATGGTCGATGTGATCGAAAAATCGAGTGCGCTAACATCAAAGTCGTCTTCAAGAAACCACGTCCCAGACTCGGAAAGAGAGCGTGCTTCTGGAGGCGTGTCATCACCTACGGGCAGTATAAAGCCGATAGTATTGGATTGAACAGCACTTGATGCTCCAGTGCTTGCTGATAAATGTGTCTTGGGGCTAATCGTTGGAATGGAAGTTATTCCCGGTATTGGCTGTAGGGATTCCGCCGCAGAGACGGGTGTGAGAACAGCCGGCTCGTCAGGAAAAGTTCCAGAGGATGGTGCCCCTGATGTTGAGGGTTGTGAGCCAAGTTGGTCACTGTGACTTCTCTCATGCCGCCGTAGGACATCACTATCATGGACTAGTTAGTTTGAATAGATAATGCTCGATTGACTGGAGGTCACACCTTCGGGAATATAATTTGCCACAGATCGAGCATTCGAATGGCCTTTCCTTTGTATGACCTCGGATATGTCTCGTAAGATGTTCTTTCTTGGAAAAAGTCTTGTTGCATGTAAAGCATTTGCGATCTTCTCGCGAGCGTATCCCACTCATCCTGTACGTGTTGGTTGGGAGAACTGGGTGTTCAAAATCGTGCGGGGTGAGCCGGAGAAGTTCACTTGCCAAGACACGGGGCTCAATATGACTTAAATGCAGACCAGGAGGTCGAATACAGATATCGAAAAGCAAAGATGATCTCGTTTAGATTGCGCTAGAGTCGTACCCCAGCAATTCAGACCCTTTTCCCCGGAGGATGGCGGATGGTAAAAGACTAAGAGACAAGCCTGGAGGATTCCCCCACATTCCCCACATTCTGCACCGCTTCGAGCAACTCGGCTGAGACGATTTAGACTTTGGAAATGGAAAGCTAGATGTTGTTTTTTAAATGATACAGTCATAATTCATGATTTAGTGGGTTACAAGGTACAATATCAAAACAATGCACCTTCTAGCGTCTCAGTTGGTCTCGAAGAATTGCTCCACTCGGTCAACAAGGTCGGCCTTCTTACCAGCCGCGGACCGGCCATGAGCAGTCAGGAACTCTTTCAGAACGGGCAAAGTGAGCTTCGATACCGTTCCCTTCTCATAGCATCGCTTAACTTCCTCGTCAACCCCTCCAGCGCCGCCTTCGGTCTTCACCCGCTTCGCTGATGGGCCTCCAGCACTGTCTGCACTGTCCTTCGGACCTCTCTTCACCAAGGTTGATTTTGTAGCGGCGGTGCCACCAAACATCTTGTCGAAAGCGGCATCAAGTTGCTCAGACCACGCAAGAACATAGTCACCAGCACGCTAGATATCAATGAGAATCGAACCATCGGAATCGTATGTCGCTTCCTGGCAGGGGCTTACCTTATCGATTTGTCGGTACTTTGGTTTGGTCTTGTCCTCCGGCTCTCCTGGGTGATCCTCGTCCAGAGCCAGTGCTTGTAAGATGCGGTAATGCCATTGAAGTGCTACGGTTTTGTTAGTCAATGCAGGGAATCAAAGTATAGCAAATATAGCCTCACCTGGATTTGGATACTTCAAGGGCTCATAAACACCCTTTGGAAGTTGTAGTTGTCCGATAATTTCGCGCATTGCATCGGTCAAAGCGTCCGGGGATACATTCATAGTGGACTCTGGATTTTGTCGCACATCATCTGCGAAGGGAAGAGGAATGATCCACATGCCCGGTGGGACCTTCTGCACACCATTTTCGTCGATCTTCTCCTCGCCGGCAATCATTGCTGCTACCACTGGTGCGGCATTCTTGCGAGGGATGAACCACACCAAGGCCATTTTCTGGTCTTTAAGGAGTTTCTGCTGCAGCGCTGAAAACACACGCGTGGATCCGACGTAGTCTTCCTCGGAGGGATAAATGAAGGAAGGGTGCTTGACATTGGCCCAGATTGGCAAAGAAGACAATGGCTTGAACCCGATAATACGGATCACGGGGTCTCCAAAGTTTCTCAACGCGTGCAGTTCTTCGGGAGTAAACGCGACCTGTTCACCTCCAAATTTGTAAGCTTTGCGGATTTCCGTCTTTTCCACTGTCTGAGCCGTATCGTCGGCCATTTGAGTGGTAATGCCTTTAACAATCTGGGGCGTCTCTCCTCCGAGCCAGACATAGCAACTGCGTGCCGGCTCCTGGCGCTTCAGCAAAAGATATCCGTTGACAGAGATCTTAAAGTTGGGCCCAATCTCCAGAGGAACATTGGAGAAAAGCGACCGTCTCGGCACAGATCTGGAATTGATGCTTGACAATAGAGAGTTGAGCAATGAAATACCGTCTCCTTTGGCGGTCGAAGTGTTTGTGTCTGGCTGCAGATATGCGGGGGCTTCCCCGTCACTTGGTGAAGTCTTGTAGATGATGTCCTGTAACGAGTTAGCTGGGTCTCTCCTGAATTTCACTAGTCCAGTGACATACGTCGTAGAATTTAGATGTATCGAATTCGTGATCAGGGCGGGAGATTGGGAATAGCTCGATGTTTACACCCAGATCGTACAGATCCCTGGCACGGACGGTGGCTGCAGATCTTAGAGACTTGCTGTCCCCATGTGGATTATCATCATCAGTCACAATGAACAGACGTCTCGAGAGGAAGTTCGGTGCCTTGGAGGTGAAAATCTGATTGGCACAAAAGAGCACGTTCGCCATGGAGACACGTTCCTTCGATGGTACCAAGACCTTCCGAGCCTCCTCCGCGTCCTCTGCCAGGGCTCGCAATTCCTTGACTTCCTCGGATGATGGAATATCGAGATCGGTAAAGAGGTGACAATGCGGGTATGAAATGTCACCACCACGTTCTCCATCTTCATCGTAGAACTTGGAAGACTCGGTGCCGTAGAGCAAGACTCCGATCATGTCATGGGGGTTTGATATGATGCGCTGCTGCATCAAATGGTACGCGCACTTGAGAGCTGCGGATGTAGGTGATTCCTGGCCTGGTTTCTTGGGATCTTCAGAGAGACGGGGCTTCAGCATCGAGCTGCTCACATCAATCGCAAAGAGTACGGCATCCTTGACAGCGCGAAAGCTCTATATCACAAATGGGTCAGAATGCGGATCTTTATCTCCGATAATGGTACACGATATAGTTGATAGCTACTTACTGTCTCGTCAACCTCTTCCTCCTCAATATTTTCATCGTCTCGCGTGTAACCCTCGTCTGCCATTTTGATCTCTCTCACTCAGAAAGATTTGAAAAGTTGTTGAGTGAAAGAGAGAAAAAATGGTAGGACCAGCCTTTGCGTCATCGGGGAGCTGCTGCCTGCGACGCGATTTACGCGGGGGGAACGCGAAGGTCATGTGATCTCCTGCCTGGAACTGCTGACTCCCAGCGGGGCGCTGATTGGCTGATTGGCTGGTTGACGCGGATCCGCTTAAAGCTTCCCGAGGCCGACTTGTTAAGTGGCTTGCAACTTGTTGGAGGACTTGCATCTGTACTCGTTCCCTGCTCCCCCAACTTCTCGTCAGTTAACGCGGGGACTCACCTGAACTCGACCGATTCGTCAGTCTTCAGTGTCAATTTCAGCCTTTTTATCCCAGCCATGTCATTCCGCAGTCCTTTCGCAGTTCCCCGGCGGGTATGGGCCAATGCCGCGACCTCCGCCATCCGGCCCATGCCTCGTAACTGTCTGGCTTTTGGCGGTAACCAGAGATACGGCATGGCCACAGCAGTGCCACCGGTCACCCAGGATGCGACGGGTTCGAAGGGTCCTACTGCGATGGTTTTCCTAAACATGGGTGGTCCATCGACGACCGCCGAGGTGGAGGATTTCCTCGGTAGGCTATTTGTACGTGCAATGCAACCTACATGCGAGCTACTATGCCCTGTGAAGAAGACCGTTTTACTGACAACATACATTGCTCTCGCTACAGGCTGATGGCGATCTCATTCCACTGGGACGATTCCAAAAATACCTCGGACCTCTCATTGCGCGCCGACGGACCCCCATGATTCAGAAGCAGTACGCAGATATCGGTGGTGGTTCACCGATCCGGAAGTGGTCCGAGTACCAATGCGAAGAGATGTGCAAGCTGCTGGATAAGATGTCCCCGGAGACCGCTCCGCACAAGCCCTATGTCGCTTTCCGTTACGCTGCTCCCTTGACCGAGACTATGTATAACCAGATGCTGGCAGATGGCTTTGGAAATGGCAAGGGAGGTCGCGCGGTGGCGTTCACGCAGTACCCTCAGTACTCCTGCTCTACAACCGGTAGCTCGCTAAACGAGCTGTGGAAGTGGCGCAATCGCCTGGAAGGAAAGCGGGCTACTGGCGAGGCCGATCCTGCCGGTGCTATCGAGTGGAGTGTGATCGACCGGTGGCCTACTCACTCCGGTCTTGTCGAGGCCTTTGCGCAGAACATCGAGGCACAGCTGAAGACCTACCCGGAGGAGAAGCGTAAGGAGGTTGTGTTGCTGTTCTCTGCCCACAGCTTGCCTATGGATGTTGTCAACCGCGGTAAGTCCTTGATCTTCACTGGGTCCGAATGAATTGCCAATCTGATTGTATTGTCTATCTAGGTGACCCCTACCCCGCCGAAGTCGCCGCGACTGTCCACGCTGTTATGTCGCGCCTGAATTTCAGCAACCCCTACCGCCTGTGCTGGCAATCTCAGGTTGGCCCGAAGGCATGGCTCGGAGCCCAAACTCAGGATACCGTTATGGAATACGTCAAGCGCGGCCAGACCGATCTGGTTCTTGTGCCCATTGCATTCACCAGCGATCACATCGAGACCTTGTATGAGTTGGACTTGGAGGTCATGCACGAAGCTAACAGCCCCGGAGTCAAGCGAGCTGAGAGTCTCAATGGCAACCCGGTCTTCATCCAGGCTTTGGCCGACATTGCTCACGCCCACTTGAAGAAGGGCGAACCATGCTCTGCCCAAATGACTCTACGCTGCCAAGGCTGCAAGAGCGAGCGATGCTTGGAATCGAAGAAGTTCTTCGCTGGCAAGCAGCATGGTTCGCTTGTTATGTAAAAGTTGAATACTCTCCTCTTTTTTTATTGTCTTTATATGTGAATTTCGGGTTATGTATATAGTATTCGGGGTGATGGTCTTGGGAGTTTCAAGGTCATTTATGTGGTTCCTGTACACTACAGCGTGTCTTAATAATGTTCCAGAAAAAGCAGACAACCAACAAATACAAAAAGGTTCAAGACAACAAGATCGATGACTCCATAGATTCCCACTGCCGAAAAGCGGAGTCCGGAGATTCCGGAGTAAAATGCTTATCAAGTGGCATGTGGAGTTGGTTAAGCTCCGGGGCCCGAAAGCCTGCTTTTTGCTTGATAAGCTCCCCCCCAATGCCATCTCCCGTTTCCCCTCCCTTCTTCCCCCCTGCCGTGGACGCGTGGACGGGTAATATTGACCGAACTATTGCGTCCTTGAACCTTCCATTTACAACGATGCACCCATAGCCTCGTGCGATCCCTCACGGTGTCACATCACCACTATGGAGAACGAAGAGCTTTTCGCGGGCGAGCCCGCTTTGGATGCACAGCAGCAAGCTGCGGATACTTATCGATCTGTAGCTGCATCTCGACAGACCCCCTTGCAAATACACACGGAACCTCTACTGGTACGAGACGATGAATGGCAGCAGCAGCAGCAGCAGCACGAGGAACGAGTTGCCAGCGTAGACGAGCGACCGAGATGGAGACGACCCCACGTGAGTGCTTCCCGGTGGTAGATTGTGTTTGACGACGCTTATCTGATGTCGATCTTGGTAGATCTGGTGGCTGTTGCCTTTCGCGCTTCTGTTCACATTGGGGTTCGGTGGTGTCGCCGTCCCCAGAATTAATCTCATCATGTCTCTCGTCTGTCGCGACTATTTCGCCGAGAAGATGTCGCAGGATCCCAACTTCACCTACCTCCCTGTTATCTTTGGCGAAGATAACTCTCAGTGTCGATTACCCGAGATTCAGTCTTTAGTCGCCAATTTTCAACTCTATCTCAATCTTGTTACCGGTATCATCTCGGCTCTGGTCAGCCCCCGCCTGGGCCATTTATCCGATCGCTATGGAAGGACCACCATGATTGCGCTTTGCGCCACGGGTGCCGTTTTCAACGAAGCCATTACCACCATTATTGCCTCCTGGCCGGAAAATATGTCGGTTAATATACTCTTGGTTGGAGCAGTGATGGATGGTCTGGGAGGATCTTTCACTACTGCCCAGGCTTTGATCCACTCCTATGCCTCAGACTGCACGCCGCCCGATCGAAGGAGTGTGGCTTTTGGTATGTTCCACGGCGCTCTGTTCTTTGGGATTGCCGTCGGACCAACCGGCGCTGCATACTTGATCACCAAGACGGGGACCTCCCTGATTGTCTTCTACATTGGCCTGGCATTCCACACGTTCTTTTGCTTTTCGGTCTATTTCATCGTGCCCGAGTCCCTCTCTAAAGAGCGACAGTTAGAAGCTCGCGAGCGTCATCGTGCAAAGGAAGCCGATCTCACCGATAGTCGGTGGTATTCATTGAAGGCTCTCAACCCCTTGAATCTCATCACGCCTCTTAAGATTCTTATGCCCGCTGTCGGAAGACCGAGTGTTTTGTTCCCGAATCGTCGTGGCGCCAGCCCGGCCTTACGCAGGAATATTGTATTGCTGGCTGCGATGGATACGGCCGTCTTTGGTGTTGCCATGGGCACTGTCCAGATAATTATTATCTACGCGGAGTACATGTTCAACTGGGGAAATGTGGAGTCGAGTCTTTTTGTTTCTATCATTAATGTGGTCCGTGTGGTGAATCTGTTCGTGGTTCTCCCTATTGTCGCCCGAATCTTCCGTACCCGATCTGAAGATGACGGTATTATACGCGGATCGGACATGCTGGACATTGTTCTGATTCGTCTGTCGGTCGTGTTCGACATTCTCGGGTACGTTGGCTACGCGCTGTCGAAACACCCATCCGTCATGATTCTCTCCGGTGCTATTGCGGCACTTGGTGGGATGGGCTCGCCTACTTTGCAATCGTCTCTTACCAAGCATGTCCCTCACGAGCGTGTAGGACAGATGCTCGGTGCAACGGGCCTTCTACATGCCCTCGCCAGAGTGGTCGCACCCACCATTTTCAATCTAATCTATAGTATGACTGTTGCGACTTATCCACAGACCGTCTTTGTGGCTCTTGCGGCTGTGTTTGGCATTGTGTTCATTTTGGGCTTATTTGTTCAGCCACATGGTATGTCTCCCTCCAGTTTTGCCTTAATCGTTGGAATACTCGACTAACTGTTCAATAGTCACTCTTGACGATAAGCCGATATCGGAAGCCACTGTTGAGGCTAATGAAGATGGAGAGAGCGAAGAAGATCGGCTACTCATCTAATAGTTTTATTAGATTAGGCAGTCATAGATTAATATACAACATGTTTTGTTTATATGCAGAATAACAGACCGTAAATCCATGGCGTATCCAATTGACAATAATGGGATGGGTGGGCCCATACTCCGAGTAAAGACAAGGGCGATCAGCTGATCCCGGCCGGAGTGAATCCGGCGGGCGGCAGAAGCCCAACATGCAGTTTGGTGAATTTCCGAAAAAGTAGTCCGCCCGACTTTCTCCTGCACGCCGAAGCTCCAAATACTGTCTACTCCAATCCCCTCCTACTTATACCAATGGCTCAGCAGGGCAACTAGTCGACTCATCCCGTTACCTCCCCTTTCAGTCCCTCCGCCTCAAGGTCGCTGATGGACGACTGGTGATCCCAGCGCGTGATCAGCGACCACGCTTTAACCATGTTCGCCAATGCCGCAAATTCGACACCGGCCGTGCCATCACGCAATGCCCTTCGAGTCCTCCGTCAATTAGCATTCGCCGGATCAACGGTCGGCAGCTTCTGCGGCGTTGCAGTCATCACCTACGATGTTCACCGTCGGGTCCGCGTAGCCGAGCAGATCATCGAGAACAAACGGACTTTGCACACCTCCGCGCCGAATTACGATGCGACCGCTTCTGCTCAACGGCTGGCGGTGATGATGGAGGCTGCAGAAGCCGGTGAATTCATGGGATTGGCATCTTTGAAGAATAAAAAGGGGACTCCGTCTGGAGGCAAGGAAGAAGCCCCCGGAGAACACCATGATGCCATACCATCAGCTCAACACGGAGCTCGTCCCACTCCGAAATGGTTTCAGCCAGGTCCAAGCAACCTAGCTATGCCTCCAATGTCAGATAGGCCCACCGACATGCGCTTGCAGGCTGAAAACCGGGTGGCTTTGGCTCGAGAGGCCCGAGAAGCCGACGCTGCACGAGCAGCCGGCGAAGTTCCACTGGAAGACCGAATCCGAGAGTTGATCCAGGGGGACCGAGAGATTGAAGCTGCACAAGTCTTCATGGATAATGTACCGGCAACCCAGGGAGTTACGATCTCCATGGACAGGCGAGACCTCCTGCGTCGCCTGTTCGCTGCCAATTGCATGAAGGGAAACATATTCATTGCACGATCTTTGTTCCGGCACATGGAGAAATTGTCAGAGTTGGATTCGGAAATCTGGTCCACCATGATGCATCTATTGGCCAAGGAAGGACACGTCGAATCTGTTGGCGCTATCTATGAGAAGCACCATTCCAAACTTACAGTTCCACCTCACTTGCTGGAAGTCATTATTCGAAGTCTTCTTGAGTCACGAAGATTGACCCTAGCCAAGCGCCTTTTCTACGCACGCATCAAACATGACGAAAATGGTGGGTTGTGTGGTGCCTACCTCGATGGATTGTGGAGGAAGACTCGCAAAATAGAGCTGCTCAAGACCGAGTTCAATAAGATCCTCGCAGCCCTTGCCGAGTTGGATCGAGGACCAACTGAGAAGGTCTTCAATCCGATGGTTAAGGCCTACATTGAAGCAGGTGCCTTTGAAGCTGCTGAAGTATTGGCTATGGCCATGCCTTCCGAGTTCAACGTTAAGCCTGGATGCCGTACTCTAGGGTTGGTCTTGTATGGCAAAGCCCTTCAGTGTGATTGGGAGGGCGTGATGAGTGGGCTGCGTGAAATGCACGAGCTAGGGTTCACCAACGACAAGAGGAGTTTCGCAGTGGTCTTTGATCGCGTTTTCCTGGAGTATTATCCTACACATACCGGTTCTCAGATTTTCGACTTCCTCATGACTTGCATCAATGAGTTCAAGATCCGACCAGACAAAATTCTTCATCGGCATATACTCGAGGCCATTGTTGAACGATGTGATTCTAGCTGCGTGAGAGCTATTACTGAGATGGCCGAGGAACGAAAATGGAACTCGGGAGTGGAACAGTATGAGCTTGTTAGAATCTTAGAAGCTCGCCGTGTGTCAATGCAGGACACACCGGTGGGTATCTGGCGCATGTTACAAGCTGCTAAGCAGCAATACGGATCAGTTGCGAGCAACCGCCGCCTAATGGGATCCGAAGCCGACAATTTCTCTCTGCGGGACCATGTTCTGCAACCCATCCACAAAGAGGCCGACCAAACCTTCCCAGAAAGCATGAAAAACCTCGTAAACTCGAGGTCCATGAACACCCATATGTCACTAGCAAAGCGGCAAGAACATCATATTCACGCTGGCAATTTCACCAAAGCGATCTCGGCCTACCGGCAGGCAAGCAAATCTGGACACCCCCTCAAACCTATTCACATCCAATTGGCTGTCATCTCAATACTTCTGGACGGTGGCTTGCCGGGCTTGAAAGATGCTCAGAAGCTTATCAAATCAGAGTGGTCGTACTGGTCCAGGATTCCAAAAACCCAATTCACAACACGATTCCCCCGCTTTGTGCCGATTTTCTTCCAACAAATCCTGCAGGTTGATCACGCCCAGACCAGTGAATCAACTCTACTCCACATGGCCTTGTTTGAGTTCTATAAGATCTGCGAGGATACACCCATGTTCAACGTCAAGCATCACCTGTCCGTCGCCATGGCCCGACGTCTCATCGTGAAAGGCCAGAGCGAGACCGCAATCGGGGTCCTCACGGCTGTCTACATGTCCAAGTGGCGCAGGTCTCATGGGTTTGACCAAGTGCAACTCAAGATTCTGATGCGTGCTTACGCGATGACGGGCCATATCAGGGGCGTGTGGTGGTGCATGATGACCGCACTCTCTCGTCAAGAGCCCGTTCTTGATGACTTCTTAGTCGAGGCCAAGCGCTTGATGCCTCTACTGGAGAAGCAATACTCTCAACACGATCCACAATCCCAGACAGGTCGCAACATGAAGAAGCTGGATTTCATCAGGGAAAGGCTGGAAGACAAGGCCGCCGGTCGGCCATACTGGAAGGGGCAGCAGGTCTCTGTATGCCCCGAGAAGAAACAGAGGCGACGAGCTCTACTTCCCACGGAAACCGGGAGGTTATATGATCGGCTGCCATCCGCCCCCATCTCAAAGATGGTCCAGACCTTCGACGAGGAGATTGAAATGGATTTCCTGCAGAACCGCTCGCAGGTTGAATTTTATACGCTGCAGAGCGCTTGGGATGAGAATCGGATGGTCACCGAACGTCTCGTGCAGCCCGAAGAGGCTGAATACCCAGCGAATGTGCAGAAGGGAAAGGCTGCCACGGCATGAAAGCTCTTTTGTATATATAAGATAGATAGATTATGTACAACATGTATATTATGTCCCATTAGATCGGAATACTTTGAAGCCTCTTTCGGATCGAAAGTAATTATCGTCCCGACAAAGTCTTGTTTTGCCACAACCTCATTTTCTTCCAACTGTGTACTGCAGTTTCTGTAATGAGGCTGGGACACCTGGATGATCCGAACACCTCAAACCAAAAATCAACGCAGAGCCAAGCCCTCTGGGGAAGGAAAATGCGTCCCGATGCTCTTGTGTAGTTCGACCTACCCTCGGCCAGGATTTATTATTAGCAACCTTGTTCGTGTGGAAACGCTCAACTATGAGGAATGAAAACAAACTGAATATTTTCTCCTTGTCTGCGTCTGGGTTGCAAAGAAGGAATTGAATTTTGAGCTCTTAGGATCTTCGCACAATAGCCGCCATAGGGTAACGGTAACGAACCAGAATATTCGGCGTTAGCAGATCTCTCTCACTCACAACGGACAACCACATGCGACAAAGCTTCTCTTAAATACCGGAAAGAGTTGTTTTATTATTAGTTCTTAGCAATATTCGTTTTGTATGGGGTAGCATAGAATCTCCGCGTCCCTAACTTGTGGGGGTTTATAGTTCGCTCAATTTTGTGGATGTGGCCCGAAACCTAGAAATTGGGGTCGCTGTTGTTCAGAGGGTTTCACACTAGACACGATATCTTTGGGCTAAATAGCATATCGAGCTTGTGTATTACGTTAGTCTAGACAGAGTGATCTGAATTCATGAAGAGTTGTATTGCGAAAAATTGGTAGAGAGCCTATGTGAACGCTGGGCTGAAACGAACGACAACCCTATTCAGCAATCGATTCAATTTCGAGTCAATTGATCTTCGAGGATGTGAAATAGCTCATCATAGTGAGGAATTAAACATCCTCCTTGTTGTTTGCGACTGATAATTGGGTTTATTTTGTGTGGTAATCAGGAACATCAGGAACCAAATACAATTTCTGCTCGTTGCTTGAATCTCAGATATTTAACGACATCTTGTCCCAGAATACCTTCCCTCCATTCAGACTCAACCATCTCGACAAGTTTAAACAAGCACTGCGCTTCATACCTCTTTATACTCTTTCTTCTCTCTAATTCGAAAAGACCACCAAAAAACAAAAATGGTTGCCGGACGATTCCTCTTCGTTAGCATTCTCGCTCTGAGCCAGAGCGCCCTCGGCCTGGCTGTGGGCTCTGGTGCAGATGGCATTATTTCCAGCATAAACACTATCTCCAACGAGTGTGTGAAGCTCAATTCCACTCTGAACGAATTCACCGACAATGCCCAAATCACCGCCACTGCTCTCAAGCTCCAGGGCGAAGCCTCCGACTTGCTGAAAGACATCAAGAACGGAGCCGAAGAAGCCAGCAAAGTCTCTAGCCTTGAGGCAGCCGACCAGGAGAAGATTGCCAATGCCATAGTTCCTCTCTCGGACAATGTTGTCTCTTTGATCAATGGATTTGTTGCCAAGAAGCCTGCTTTCCAGAAGGCTGTTCTTGGAGGATCCGCCGATGGTCTTGTCGAGAAGGACTTACAGGACTTGAAGGAGGCTACCGATAGCTTTGGTCAAGCAGCTCTGAAGTCCTTCTCGGGTGCTCCCAAGGAAAAGGCAACTTCCGTTTTGAAGGGGATTGATGAGCACTTTGCTGATGCCATCAAGACTTTCTCTACTTAGAGATCGCTCGTATGGGCTTGCCAAGAACGACAACAAAGTGGACTGAGAGGGATATGTCTCAGGCATGGTTACGTTCAATATATTAATGTGGTCCAAGAACGATCTTGGTCTCAAATATGGTGCTATGAGCCGCCGGTGGCGAATGGAGGGATGAAGTGTGGGATTGTGTCGTTGCTGAATCTCATCTTTCTTTGAACTATTAGTGCTTTCATCTTATTACGTAACAAAAATGTCCTGAATATTTTGAAGAGCATACTGCAGATCTTCAGACACATTATGAAAGTATAGGAAACCCTAGAGGAGTGGATTACGGAATTGTGGTAGATTATGGGAGAATTAAGATCTAGCTCTACCACTTCAAGAGATATTCCGCATAACGTGATTTCGAATTTAATCGAAGAGCAACATTCCAATGTCAATTGTCAACAACTAGTAAACTAACTGTTGTATGTATCCTGTGAAACAGTCACGCCTTTTGCCTATAGCTCGCCTTAAGCTTCGAAAAGCCTGGAATCTTCTGGCTAAATCTTCTCTTTATCTAAGTAATACTCCGTAAATAGTCCGTCTTCCAGTCTGATGTATAAGACGAAACTCACAGTGGGAAACCTAGGCAGTAAAGTCACAAGGCAGCGAGCCACAGCAGTACCCGTGGCCCGCATCGAGCGCACCCTCGAAGTCGATATTGTGGCATCCATCATCAGTGCGCCACACCTTAGCGCCGAAATTGTAGCTTCCAGCGCTAGTCTCATAAAATCTTGAACACTGTTAGATACATTCATTGCGAGAATTATGGGGGAAGGACGAACTCGATTCCGCACTCAATGTCGACACAACCGTTGAAGCCAGGTGAGAACCAGCCTGAGTAGGTAGACCCGGTGTTGTAATCAGTGAGATAGACGTATTGCTCACTACCTCCGTCGAGGTAAATGTAGTCACCAGCAGCCATCTGACCGTAGAAGGCAGCTGCACGGCCAGCAAAGGCGGCGGCGGCACCAAAGAGCAGAGAGGCCTTCATTTTGATCGGGGTGATTTGATTCGAATAATTGGGTCGGGAGGGAACTTTTGAAGATGGATAGTACAATGGAGAGTTTTTGACGGGAATGAATGGTCTATTTAAGTGTTTTTTTGCAGAGCAACGTCAAGTCAATAAATTTGTTCTTTTTCCATTTTGAGCCTTTGAACTACAACAGGCCCTAGACTAATTTAGGCCCCAGACTAATTTCAATTTCTCACCTCATCTAATGCTGAACCATGAAGCCATGAGATATCTCTTAGCCTAAAGAATTACGGAGCCCGAATAATAGAAGCAGAAGTCGGATTTTGCAGCTAAGCTCCGTAGCAAGTCAAATCTCAGCAGTAGCTCGCTGTATATTCAATCGAAGAATCAAGGAAACTTAAAATCAACAAATATTTCAGTACACATTAGAAGGCAATTGACACAGGAAACAAACCTAGTATAGCTGATGAGATATTAACTGTTTCGTCGTCTTAGAATATTCGGCCGGAGGACTTTGTTTCTCGCAACTTGAACTCGCTAGCAAGCCACAACTCTGCTCTCTAATTATTGTAGCATTCATTTCTGCAGGTAGTTGATGTCTCTCTCCTAGTGCACCTGCCGCAAATGGAAAGTGTTTTTCGGGACTCAGCCTCGACCCGCTGCTAGCGGCCATCAGACTTAAACTACTGGTCTGATTCTTGCATCCCTGAGACAAATTTACTTAGCTACAGATGCTTGTACCGGTAAGTGGAGTTTCGATGTATCGGCAAATCTTTCAATTGGTTAAAATTATTCCGTAGCCAAGTCAACAAAAGCTGAACAAAACCCTGCATATTTAAATTGTGAAGGGCGCGGTTGGAATCAAGCAACCATAAGCATGACCAAGATGAGCTTAGCGAACTAGCGTCTACACACTGCTTCCTCAAGACCCGTCATATGCTCAATCGAAAACCCACTCACAACTTCGCCAACGGCCTTATGCACATTTCAGTGTAGACATCAGACCCATCCGGTCATTGAAGCTTGTTATGAGTTGCCGATGACGGTCTCTCCATGATGTATGATGCGTCCCTCGCATAATTAGATCGTCTCTCGCGCTCTCGTACTTACTTCTCAGAATCGTATTAAAGAGCAGATCAACTTTGTTTACACCCCCTTTTTTCATGCTATCAGTGTTGTCAGATGCGCAAACCCGCAGACTTTGTTGCTCTCGAACAACACGGTCAATTTCCCATCCCTCGATTCTCGATTCAACTTCGCTCAAAGCTTACCATGCGCGGTACAAGGTCTCAATCATACTGTTGTCAAACACTTACGGTTCCAATGTGTCCATCTTCCAGCTAAATCTGGTGCCGCCAGTATTGGAGAAGTGTTGAGGCTCCCTGGGATTCTAATCATTTTCTTCGATCATAGAAGCACTAATTAATCAAGGGGAGTGGGGGGGGGGATGTACTGAGCACATAGAATTCCTCAGTAGTATCTCAGTTGCAGCAAAGTATTGCCCATAAGGTATGGGACAAACAGCTGTGAACATAGTGTCCACAATTGATAGTTATCTAAGAGCTATAGGATCACACAACAAGAGAGCCCACAGCCTGTTATTCCCCAAGAATGAAGCCCCAGGCCCTCTATGGCGGACTATCGAAGATGATATAACCAAACCAGAGGGTGGTCGAAATAGCCTCGGCGAACCTAAGTTCCCTGAATAATTCTCATCATTATGCAGGTAAAGTGGCCTTAGGGGGAGGAAGGATAGAGCGCAAGGGCACCGGCTATAAAGACTAGCGAAAATAAAATAAAAAGCAACAACATACAACAGCCAATATTATGGCGGCGCTCACCTAGCGCTCACCATCTGCTCGTGGGCGGCTCGCCACTTTACAGACTCGGGCTTCAGGAGGGTGTTCACCCACCTCGTGTATGCCCCACCCAGAGAGGGAATACCCCATTTAAAATATGTCAACACGATTTAGGAGTTAGAGATTAATTTCGTGGTATGAGTATAGACACCTAACCGTGGCTTTCCTGCCTGTCATGATCTGGTATAATCTCAATATTTGATGCAAGTCATGATGTATGATGAAATCCGGGTTCTTGGTCCCCCTTTAGTTCGAATTTAGCGCATGGAATCCTAAGGCAGTGCAGGGTGGCTAAGCGCCGAGGCAGAAACTCCATGCACATCCACCAATGAATCATCGGTCATGCATTAAGAGGGAAGATACTGTTACATTACTCGCGTAGTGACCATCCTTGTCCTTGCCTTAGCATCGCTCTAAAGGGCGAGGTTGCTCCAGCCACCAGGCGACCCCGTCTTCGTAAATTGCATAAAATGGGGCGAACGGCTGCCCATGATCCCCCAAAATTTTTCTCTTAATTAAATAAGAAACAAAACCCTACGGGACTTGAGACCACCGTACACCGTATTTTCGATGGCTCAACACCAAAATTTTCCCATGTCTAATCCAATTATACAGGCAACGAGGATATCAAATGAGGCTGATGCCGCTTCGGATAGCAATACTAGTGACAAAAGGTAAGCGTCGATACATTCAGAATAGTTCCCTTTCTCACAAAGATAATAGCACAATCTTGACTAGAGATAGCGCACAACAAGAAGCCCCACTAAAAAGGGTCAACAAGGCGGAAGTTCTGTTTCAGTCGCTTGTCAAGAAGCCTGAAACTGGGCAGAGGAATGCCTGGAAGAATAGATGGCGCAAAGTCACGTCTCTGAAGGCTATGCTTCCGAAAATGCAATGGCCGGCATACCCAAGAAAGAAGGGGTTTGATAATATAGAATTGCTAATGAATCGAGCACCTGGATCAGCTTGGCTTGCTACCGTCCACCACTTGCTGGCGATAGGATCAGCAATAATCATTGTCGCTCTAAATGCGACTGGGTTGTGGGTAGGCAAAGAGCTTACCGGGACAAGCGGCCAGGATACGGAGAAGCTACTTGCATTACAATTTGCCGCCAAATTACACGAACTATTGATGCTTTCATCCCTGGGAGAAATATTATTCTCGGAGACCGTCAAGCAATTGGTCTTCGGTGACGGATTACCTTTTGGTTCGATCGCCGTCGGACTTCAGTTTAACCAGATCTCCTATCTCTGGTCGAAAGAATTCTGGGCTACGTCTCATGCTACGTTTAAAAGGAAAAATCTTTTTATTCCAGCAATTATCATATGTACTCTTCTCGGAGTGAGCATCGGGCCATCTTCGGCGACCGCAATGAAACCCACGTTAAGTGACTGGCCAGCAGGCGAAACTTCTTTTTGGCTAAATGCGACTGCCGAGGAGTTGTGGCCCTTGACTCTGTCATTGACAGATAACAAAACCTGCACCCATTCACCGAAGACATGCGGCAGTTTGAGTGCTTGGACCTCTTTTGCGGATAATTTTTTCCAATACTGGGGACATGAGGCACTTGGAAATATCCGCGCAATGCCAGAGAGCGTCCAGATCGCTGGTGAAGTCTCTATCAGAACACTGAATGCGCGGTTTCGAGGTCCTTTTACGCTCTACCAACCAGAGATTACGACCGCTACTGTACAACCTGAAGCGATAGCCAACGTGGTGAACACGATCCGACAGATCTGGCTAAGGGCGAATGGCGCTCGATGTTATTCTGCAGGAGGCGGCATCAGAGAACAAAACTTTTGCACATACCAGGATATCACTTGGTCGGTTGATGCGCTCCAACCTGCAGTTTATGTTGCTTGTAACGGTGGAAGTTCTGCAGTTGCACCCAAATTCCCAACGCTTGCGATCGAGACAGACCAACCTAGTCTGGTTGAGTATGCGGTCAACGTAACCAATGACGGCCTCGGGTCAGCTACATCACCTATCACATGGGTTGATCTATCTGATCTGAACCTGACACGCGCGTCTGTTGGTGCCATAGTATTGCCCATTGGTGAGCAGCCTCTTGACAAAACGTCATCAAGTCGACTTTTCTTGGGCTTCCGTACATAGTTAACGGCGAGCCACCCAACTGGTACCAGCCAGAGGATGAATCTCCGGGTAGGTATCGTGGCCTCCACGTGAGCATTAGCCCAGCTTGGGCCTCGCTCGCCAACCCTCCTCTCGTCACAGCACAGAACACATCCTCTAGCCCATTTGACATTCTATTAACCGCAACGACGTTGTCTAATGGAGAAAGCCAATACATGGCAGAGAAAATCGAAGCCATTCTCGCAGTTCTTCTAGCAGATCGTATGGCTCGTGTTGGTGCCGATGCAACCCTCCAAGGCACAATCACCAATATCAATCAAGTGCTGCAAATAAGAGGCGGACGACTCTTTACAGCATCTCTTTCGAACTTTCAATATCACCGCCTAGAGTTTCAAACCGCTGTTACAGGCTTCGCCTACGGTCTTCGCAGAACGACAGGTATCATTCCTTCAACACTGGTTTCCATGATCATCCTCCTATGCTATATCGTGATTGCAGGGACTTACGTTCTCTATACGCTTTGCATCTCTGGTGTATTCATCTCCCAGTGGAAGGGTGTGCTAGATCTTGTTGCACTTGCTTCCCACTCAAACGTCACACATATACCATCAATGCATGACACAAGCACGGGCATTAAAACAAGTAGACCTCTGAAGACTTTGGTTGTACTCAGGTCAGCAGATAGCCATATTGAGATGGTATTTGATGAAGAAGAATATGAAGATGAAGGGAGACACTCGGGAAATTATGAGGAACATCGGATAAGTGTTAATAGCACACCAAATCCACGCTTCAGGGGTGTACGGCACCATTCTGTTTAGATTGAAGCTGGCAAATTAGGAGTTGTTTTCTTATTATTACGTCACAAGAGTTTCTCTCTCCATCATAGTAACCATCGGTAGCGTTAAATAAAATTTATTACTATTATAGTTGTTACACAAAGTCTAGAATAATGAAGGAACTAATAATATGTCTCTATATCTTAAAATTCGATCTTAAGGTGTAGAAAGTATAGGAGCTTGGAGCCGTCTATACTATTAACCTTATAGTTATTAGCCTCAATATCTTCGAGGACGGACTAGGTAGCTTTGGAGATATTATCTATAGTATAGAACTATCTACTACGGTCGCGCGTATACCCTTGACTTAGAATTTATACTATAAAAACCTCTCACTTAGGGTAACAAAACGTCGTTTAGTGTTTTGGTGCTGCGACGCTGTTTTGGTGCCCGGCCAAATTATAGATGAACATACACACCGACACTTACAGATATCACTTCCAGAGGTGAGTTGTGCACTGTGTCTTTTGAGATTCCAAGCGCGGTTCCGGCATTACGGTTCAATATTTGTGGTGCAGTATTCATTACAAGTATGCCTTGGACTTCGGGTAGTTTCCGTGGCTTTTCCCTGTATTAAGATTCTTGAATACTGTACCTCGACATAATATTCCCTCAGAAGTAGAATATCCGACTTCGGACAAAAATGCATGTTGCACAGCATAAATTTAGGCGAAAAGGCGGAAGTGGGTAAGAACGGGGTAATCTGGGTAAGAATCCTTACCCCGTTCTCACCTCTATCACCCTGGTCTACAAACTTCTCACCTATATCACCCACACTCACACTAAGATCAAATCCGACGCTACTTTAGAGCTTAGGGCGCATTAAAAAATGACAGCGTACTATATATGGCTTAAGTACGGCTGAGCGGACGGGAGGCCCTGTTTTCCACACCCTATGGTCGTATGTGCTAGAATTATAGGAGAATCGAGCTAACTACCCAGTAATTAAATGCATTCAAGTATAATTAATGTATAGAGCTAGTCTTGCGACTGCCTCACTGGCCCTCACGGCTAAACTTCAGTAATAACATCATTAGTTCACCTCGATCCGCCATCATCTCTTTTTCTCTAACTTCCCACCCCTCTCCCCCTCTTTTCTTCGCCTATACCTATGTGGACCCGAGACTATTCTTCTTTCTTAATTCCGGGGTATCGACAGCGTTCTAGGATGTATGAGTAACTAGGAAGAGCTTGAATTTGGTGGCCCACACCCGCCATAAGATAATATCGACAAGTGGGAGAGAGCAATCAGCGAAAATGATCGTTCCATTCTCAAAACTGAAGATCGTCTAAGAATGCTACAACGATGGCCTTTGCACGACGTGAATTGTGCTTGTCATTTCTACGTCGGATTGAGTATCGATGAGCTCATGGGGAGGGGTGAGAAGAGAGCCTCGCTATACATTTTACAACAAACTAATCGAAAGGACAATAATTAATGCGTCTACGGTTGACCGCGGGTTTTTAACTACTACGAGTACATATATCTAGACGCGTGGCCCTCTCATGACTGCATAACTTAGGCAGTTTTACTGAGTGGCCCCTCAGTACTAGGTAAATAGACCCTGGGAACAAAATGGGCAAATCCCAGCGCCATTGCCGTAGCACGTTGAGCGTAGTATGAGAAAGGCTTTAGTCCAGACTATTCAGTCGCCTTCTTGCGTTGACTAGCGAAGATTATTACCTTGGCTGCCCGTCCAATATTGAGTTTCTGTAATTATTGGCCTCTTTTGGTTTTTGTCGCCCAACTTTTGCAGCCTTGGACATCCGAGTGCCACTTGTAGTGATTTAGGTGAACGAATCTTGTTGTTGTTAACTATGTGGAGACTGGAGATCCCGTGATATAAACTACGGTAACAACGCTGGAGTTAAAAGGAAACCAGACAGGGAAATAAGAAGAAGCTAGCCGAGCCTAGCGAGTGGGGCATGTCATACTATATCTCGTAATAAGGCGCTGATCACCCCAATTCGGCACAGCAGCAAAATTTCCCGAGGCTCCTACACACTCCACCTGATCCGTTCCATCTTCCTCGCATTCATGTTGGTCACATGTACGGAGATGAGCACCCAATATCCGATCCGTGCCCTGGATTCTGTTACTACGGGTCATCGGCGCCCCTATATCGCTTAACTGATTGAAGGGTCCGGGTAAGACACAGATCGAAGCTTTAACTTTCTCAATACGAGGCGACTTTGCCTAATATGGTCTGTTCTCTCGATTTCAGGGTCCAATCTCCACTACGGGCGGCGGAAAATGCAGCCACGACTCTTGGCAGGTCGTATATCTTCAGCTAGCGCTTAGAGGCATCAGTGCATCACTTCGCTTCCTGGGTAGTTTTCTCTCGGCCAAAGCTGCGTGCAATCTTATTTAGGATAACGCCGAACTGTTTCCAACCTAGTCAGCTCGTATTGACCGATGGAGGAGGAAGGAACGTAAAAAAGCCGCGGGGGAAATTGTTATATAGAGGGTCTCACTACCCCTGGATCTAGGAAAAAGAATATACGACTGACTCGACCTTCTTCTTCTTCTTCTTGTCGTTCTCTCTACACAACTGTTGATTGTCTATTTCGTCCCACTATATCACAGCATACCACAGCACGCTTATACGCTCATATCTCCAATCGTTTAAAATAAAACATTTCTCGATCGAACTCCACTCGACAGCAAAGATGCGTTTTACTGGATCGTCCCTTCTCCTCGCCCTCGCCGCTGTGACGGTCGTCTCTGGCCAGAAGCAATACCAAAAGTCGACTTTGCAAACCAACGAAAAGACCTTGGCCGTTGGCCTGACTCCCATAAACCGCCTGATGCCCCGCCAGGGCTCTGCCGGTAGCTCTGACTTTTGCTCCGGTCGCTATGTCACCTGTGCTAGCTGCTTCGGATCTGGATACACCGAATGCTCTGACGGTGTGACATGCTACAACCCTAGCGATCCCACCACTAGCTGCTCCTCCTCTTCCAGTTCCAGCTCCGGTTCTAGTTCCAGTTCTAGTTCCGGTTCTAGCTCCGGTTCCAGTTCCAGCTCTAGCTCAGGTTCAGGCACAAGCTACACCAGTGACTACTGCTATGGCAAGAGCTGCTCCAGCTGCTTTGGCGCAGGATACATCGAATGTTCTGACGGCGTGACATGCTACGACCCCAGCGATTCCACCACTAGCTGCTCTACCTCTTCCGGCTCTAGCTCCGGCTCTGGCACTAGCTCTGGATCTGCGGAATCTGGATCTACTTTGACCACCACCGCGAGCCACCACAGCTCAACCTCAACCTCGACCACCAGCGTGGGTTCTTCTCAAACTACTAGCACATCATCCTCCGGTTCATCGGGCAGCTCTGAATCATCTGGTAGCTCTGGCTCATCAGGCACTTCTGGAGCACCGAGTACCGGAGCAACCGTTCATCCGAACAATGCCGCTGCTATCTCCACCCCAATGGGTGTTTCTGCCGGACTGGGTGGTCTTATTGCCCTCTTTGCTGCTGTTGCAATCTAAATCCTTTTTCCTTCATTAACTTGATATTCCTGCCGTGTTATAATGCTGCATGTTGGCATTTTGATGGTCTTCGTACATGACCTTTTGTGGATAGGTTGGGGGTTTTCTCAAAGCTCTTCTGTTATTTCATTGCATCGCTACTGGGTTGAAGTCGAACACCATGGCATTGTTAGGACGAGGAAAAGGATTTGAACGGGGTGATAGCGTATATTAGTAATCAAATCAATGTTGAGGATGCTTAAATCTAAGAAAAGCGTAGAACGAGAGGGTGCTTGCTATACACGCTTTCTAAATCCTCGTTACCATGCAAGGCTGACATGTGTCTCAATGAAGACGGCAAGTCATCCATCAGCGGAATTGCAGATTTCAGAAACCCCAACAAACTCTCACCACACCTTTAATTTTGATAAGATTTCCTATTGCTCTTTCTGAAATCTTTAATGCAGCGTATTTCACCACAAACGCCTTACGAGAAAGCGACTGTCCTTAAAAGTCCGGTTCATACCTTTTATAGCAACCCAAATGAAAAAAGAACTAGCCTGTTTCAATATAAAGTTCGAGAAGGGAAAATACCAAGGCCTGCAAACTAGCTGATCCGGTCTGGAATTTACTTAGCCAACGACAAAATCCAATGTATTGATTTCTGGGGCCTTCTGATATCCGCTCTGTCGATCTTAGGACAAGTCACCCAGGATCTCGGTGACCGCCGGTGTGTCGAGCTGTAATTCATCTATTAGTTAGGGTCTCTCGCTTGACCACGGTTATATTCACAATCAAACTTCACATTACCTTTGTCCAACCATAGCTCTGCCGGATCAATAGGCACTGCGCTGTCAATCGGCATAAATCTCTAACTAAAATACTGCCTTATGGTAAAGTCAACAGCCTACGGAATAACGGTTTTGGTACTGTAAGCCTATTTGATGGTTGACCTAGAAACGACTAGCTGATTTTATGCCCAGTCTAACGCCGCATGATGTATCGGACGTCTTGACCAATAGTTTCTACCAGCCGTCGTACCGTCCGTGATAACTTGTCTACACTGTACGTTCTTACACTTTGATTGGTGGAAATTTTACGGCGCAAAATGTTCTTGAGCCTTATATTCGGTAGAGATTCTTGAATTTTGTCTTAAGGCAGGTTGCAAAGGTTAAGGTCTCCATGCTCCAATCTCTCATTCATGAGCCCTTAGCCTAACGACCGGTAGATTTGAGAAGTAAGAGGCTAAATTAAAAACCTTCAAGAGAGTCTGGTCCCTCGTTTACGATTAAGATGGCTCAGGCCAAGCACATCATGTTAATTTGTCCATGTCCGATTTGAGATAGATTTGCGTTCGGGTACCCTCGTAAACGAAGGCAAGTCATTATGGCGAGCTATACAATTAGGCTGAATTTAGGGCCAGTAATGCATGACTTCATGATACCCCGCATGAAATTAAACACAAGACAACAATGTTCTGGGGGAACAAGGTATTAGGCAGTGGTGGATGTTCGGCATCGATACACCTCAGATGCAGTATGTGGTGAAGCTTTGCCTGGTTTATAAATAATACAGGCCGTGGTACTCCTAAATTGACTTCACTCATCCATCTTTTTTTCCAGACTTATATGTTTTCAATTTTCAAACTTGAAGCCATCATGAAGACCATGCATCTTTCAGCAATTCTCGTGGGACTTTCTTCTCTGGTGTCTGCTGGAACTTTTCCAAATGCTCCCCACGTCTTTGCGTATCCCAAAGACCCAGGGAACTTTCAACCTGCCCACCCGGACAGGCCCCATGGTCGGGTCTGCAAGGTGACACCGGATGCAACCGACTCTGGACCGGCTATCCTCGCGGCAGCACACAAATGCAATCGTGGAGGGACCGTATTTTTGCCACCTGGTGACTTTGTGATTGCCACGGCACTAGATCTGACTTTTCTTGAGGATGTGGATTTTGCTATATGGGGAAACATTACATTCAAGCAAGATCTTGAACTCTGGCCCACGCAAGCGTTCCAGTATTCTTATCAAAGTGCGAGTATGTTTTGGCGATTCGGAGGAACTAATGTCAACATCTACGGTGATGGAAAGGGTGTTATTGATGGTAGTCCCAAGTTCTTTCTTTACTTTGTGCAAAATCACTGATATTTGAACTGAAGGAGCCGGTCAGTTTTGGTGGAGTGCAATGGCCAAGAACTCGAGCGTTATGCGTCCCTGCCTCCTAGGCACGGATGGTCTTCACCATGCTACCGTCACAGGACTCACAATGCTCAACCCACCCGGGTGGTTCAACCTAATTTCTAACTCAACCAATGTCCTTGTGAGCGATATGACCATGCTTGTCGGTAGCCAACTGACTGGAGCCCCAGCAAAGGTATTTTCTCCATGCGGTAAAACAAAGTATAAAGTACTGACATTGAAGAACACCGATGGCTGGGATATTTATCGGAGCTCGAACATTGTCATTCAGAACTCCAAGATTGTCAACACTGATGGTATAAGTTTTCGTCTGTTGAAGTAAACAAAGCAATTGTCCGCTAACTTCGTACTGCTAGACTGTGTCTCATTCAAGCCCAATTCCACTCAAGTGGTTGTCCAAGGCCTCGACTGCACTGGATCACACGGCATCTCCGTCGGCAGCCTTGGGCAGTATCAGGACGAAACGGACTTAGTCGAAGACTTATACATCTACAATATTAGCATGACAAATGCAGGGGACTTTGCCAGAATCAAGGTTTGGCCTGGAGTTCCTCCTAATGTTACAGGATCCACGACCGGTGGTGGACTCGGCCTTGTCCGCAACGTGACCTATGAGAACCTGTACAGTGTAAACAACGATCATGTTATCTCTGTGTCGCAGTGCTATTATGCCAAGAATCAATCCGTCTGCAACGAATATCCGGTATGCAGTGTTGTTTCACAACCTTGCCATAGCTAACCTCTCCATAGTCAAAATTGGTCATCGAGGACATTTTGTTCAAAAGTTTCGCAGGAACCACATCGAAAAAGTATGACCCGCAAATCGGCGACTTGACTTGCAGTAGTCCTGATGTATGTAGCCCCTTTCTGGGCCGCAGGGTTTCAATTCTAATTGCCAAAATAGGTCTGTCACAATATCGAGCTGGTGGGCATTAACGTTACTCCTCCGAGCGGCAAGTCGCCCGTCTTCAACTGTGTCAACATGCAGGGCTCAAACCTGGGGAACATTACTTGTGCCTAATGTTATTTGACGACATTCACGAATAAGATGTAGGGATACGAAAGTGGTTCTGGGACTCTCAGTAGCCGAGGAAATTGTGTTCAAACCCAGCATGTGCCCAAGTCATTGGATGTAGAGCCTTTGTTATTCGCCCCCTGTTACTCTATGCAGGTTGGGAGGCGGTCGGCTTTGACTTAAGACTTCAAATAAGTCCTCGTTTTTACACGACATTGAAGCCTAGTGAGCTTGGTGTAAGGCACTCTGTCTGGCGTTTAGATCAATTCTACATCTGATACATTTACACCTGTGACGCCGAGCATGCTAGACCGGACTTTCGCGAGGACAGTATGTTTGTACAATAGACTATGTATGATGACATTTATGAAGCGAGAAGCTTCTCTTTTTATTCACATCTCCTCCAAATGGATCAATTTCTGGTAGGCTGAACGGTCAGTCAATGCGTATTTTGTCCCGCTGCTACGGGGGAATAATAACCTCCATACTGATCATCCTGGCTCGTGCAAACGTGAAATCAGCGGCGCAGGATACAGCATCTAGCATTGTGAAAATAGAACGATGGGAAATATTAATTGCTCAATGATATCCCTGCTCGGCTGGACTTAGTGGAGAGAATGGCTATGCACAAAGATCCTGAAGAACTGTTACTGCAGATTATTCTGGGCATTCAGAAACCCCAGCAGGACAAGCTCCTCTCTAAACTACCAAAGATCATTGCAATGCCTCGCAGCTGCCTTTACAATGCAATAAGACTATGATACGATAGAAAAACATAAAGATCCGTGGGCGCTGGTCTTGATTTTGCACTGGTGGAATCTCGGCTTAAATTATTCCGACGGCGTTTGGTGCACGTAGGGTCCGTGTTATCGATGAACATCTAGATACTGTTCAAGTTCAAGTTGAACGCAACGAACATTAAAATAGGCTGATAATAGAATGTGAAAAGACAAAATGCAGATACTTTATGGAAATTTAGCCGGAAGAAAGCCATACTATGCCAATTCTATTGGCGTTCAAACTTTATGAACGCTATAAAAATACAAGTCCTAACTTCAAAGAGAAACAGCAGCGCCATTGAATCTCACTTTGAAATTATCAGTGTTGAGCAGTGGAAAGGGCTAAGAGCTTACCGCAATGTACTCCTCGCTTCAGCCTTTATTTACCACCATATGGTTATTCGCTGCATGTTGGGGTCAGCCCTTGGACGGCTCGAGTAACCAGCTTGGCAATCATCAGCCTCATTCCTACCGTCAAGCATGCCAGGCATCCACTTCAGGGAACCCCCTGGCAGGGTGCCCGAAGAACACTCTTCTTGTCTCTCAGTCACACGAGAAAGCCAATTTTCGCACCATTCAAAGCGCCATCGACTCACTCCCACATGATGATTCGAGCCAGACAATCCTGATTCTCGCCGGCAATTACACCGAACAGCTGAACATCACTCGTCCGGGCCCTTTGACCCTTCTTGGAGAGACAAATCACCCAAGAGATGCCGAGCAGAATCAAGTCAATGTCTTATGGGCCGCTGCCACTTCTCAGGGCATCTACACCGACAACGTGTTTACCAGCGTCATGGTCGTGGCGCCTACTCTCAATGCCAGCTTAACAGGATACGGCCCATCTGGGCTCTCGGTTCCTGAGGACACACCATTTGGCTGCCGTGACTTTCGAACGTATAACATCGACTTTCGGAACGTGTATGCGGATCGGTCTGCAGGTCCGTCACATGCACTAAGCTTCAGTCGTGCCAACGGGGGCTTCTACTACTCTGGCTTTTATAGTTACCAGGATACCGTTTTTGTTGGAAAACTGGGGAATGCGTACTTTTATTCCAGTGTGATCGCTGGCCAGACAGACTTTATCTACGGCTTCGGTACCGGGTGGTTCGAGGGGTGTGATCTCATCCTGAGAGGCTGCGGTGGTGGCATCACAGCCTGGAAGGGAACCAACACTACATATACCAACAAATTTGGCGCTTATATCCACAACTCAACCATCCAGGCAGCAAACAGCTCAGTTGCAGCAGCTTATCAGGCAAAGTGTGCTCTGGGACGCCCGTGGAATAGTGCTCATAGAAGCATTTTCGCGAATACCTACGAGGACACGTTAATCACTACTAGTGGATATGTTCTATGGTCGGCTCCCATTACCAATCAAACCCTCATGGCGGAATACAACGACTTCGGACCCGGCTTCAATGTTACTGGACGTCGTCGATATAACTACACTGTTCTCTTGAATGATAATGAATGGGACTCATATAGTTCGCCCAAGAAGGTTTTCCTGACTCCGGATGGCGACGCGGGTCAAATCTCTTGGATTGATCCGACATGCGGTATGATATAATCCTTAGGTTTGCTTCTAGGACTAGGAGGCTGGTCGGATATTATGTGGTAATTCCAAAGTACTTGGACGTACCCTGAGAGATGGGATGACTAGTAACAGGTGAGGTTTCACTTCTTTGGAGCTGGCAGGTATCTAGCTACTTTAAGGATGTGAGATATATCATATCACTTAGTTATTCCAGCTTCTTCCTCCTAACATATTTCCGTTCAGGAGCTATGTGTTAGTCAATTTTAGCAGATGAATTAGTAGAAGCTCATACACATTCCACTGCTATAAGTATTTGAGAGTTCAACTCAGACTCTCCCAAATGACGAATCTTGGTTGAATAACGCATCTTAAATATCTGGCATTAGCTCAACACTTGCACATTCCATCTGCTGCATAGAGGCCATATAATTCAGCGATTGAGCCGGATCGGCATTCAACCCAACACACCGAGGTCACTGAGAGTTGACCCCGCCTTGATTTGGCAAAAGATGGAAACTAAGCCACAAAATTCAGGGTCTGTTCTATTCTCCCATTGGATTCGGTGGCTTAGGTCATGAATACATGATCCATGCTAACTAACTTAAAGTTTGAGGACCCTTACCCCGCATGGGCTGGGGCGGATTATGTTCGCAATTAGCCTAATTGCGGCTGTCAGACACTGCTAGACACGATGAGTAGATCAAGTTTTCCCTAGAAACTTCAATATCCGAAATTTAAAAGGGTTGTCTTGATTGTTTCATTCTTCATAGTAGTGACGGTGATGTTGGGAGCGGCGAGACCAGTTGAATTGGGCGCTCGCAATGAAGAATTCGTCAAAATTGACGCCATGATTAGAAAGTATAACGGGTAAGAGCTGAGATAAGAAGAAGATTTGCCGAGTTCCCCGCTTACATCTACGGTTACTAGGAAGCGTATATTGGCAACATAGCGGGACAGGGACTCTGGGTAAAATTTGAGTTTGAGAGAGAGCTGAGCACATTGACCTTCAGCACAAATGTTAATATCCGGGCTTTACAGCCTGATTTTGATATTAGCTAGCAATGATTGCAAATAATTCGTGGTAACCCAAAATGAAATTCCTCCAATCCAGAAGATGCTCCTGCGGCTTGGAGAGGGCTGTGATTCTCGAATGAATCCATTCAAAAGAAGACGATGAGATGTCATATAAGTTATAAGGGCACCCAGAATCCCCAAGTGATACATCAAATGATCTCAGTCTTCTTAGCATCTCTGCACCAACTCGAGTAATAAGTTATATCCAAAATGGTTAGCAAGACTGGAGTTTACAACTGGTATGAGCTTGATTATTTATTGCTCATGATATTTTCTCACAATATGTGCAGGTACATCTGCCTTGTGGCAGCTGGGTGTATGGTGTTAATGGGATACGACGCCTCTGTTTTTAACTCTGTGCAGAATTCCAATAACTGGATCGAGTATTTTGATAATCCGGTAATCATCACCGAAGACCTGGCTCGGACAATTTCTAACAACAATGCAGAATAGTTATATGCTCGGCCTCTTGAACACCGTGTATACGGTGGGCGGTATTATTACCGGATGGTTCTTCGCTGGTCCATTGGTATGCCCTACTGTGTTCCTAATTTCTTAGATCTGAGTTTAAATCGTTGATTCAACAAACAGGCCGACTGGCTTGGTCGAAGATGGGGAATGGGGATTGGTTGTTTCCTTACCATTATTGCGACTTTTATGCAGTGCTTCGCTCCACGCCATGGAATGGGGACATTTATGGCTGGCCGTGTTATTATTGGAGCCGGACAGGCTCTCGCTATTGGTACAATCCCTCAAGGCCTGTTCCCTAAATTTCGCTAACTACCAACGTGAAATTACCAGCCGCTGGGCCTATTTACATTGGCGAGGTCACTCCCTCATATATCCGGGGTGTTATCATGGCTTTCTGGCAAATGTTCTATTCTGTTGGCTCCTTCGTCGCCTACTGGGTCAATTATGTAGCGGGTAAACACAGAACAAGCCTCGGAGAATGGGACTGGAAGCTTGTCGTGATCTTCCAGCTTCTGCTTCCGGTCATAATCCTTCTTCAGCTGCCATTCATGCCCGAATCACCTAGATGGCTTGTCCAGCGCAAGGGGGATACCGAAGGTGCACGAAGAGTTCTTCAACAAGTGCGAGAGTCAGATGAGGAAATTGATCAGGAACTACTGACAATCCGTGAAGCAATTCAGTACGAGAATGAGGTACTTGATAGGGGCAAGAAGGCGTACATGACTCTGATCAAGGACGGCAGCGTCCGCAAGCGTCTTCTTCTCGTATTTGTGCTCAATATTGGACAGCAACTCAGCGGCCAGGGCACGTTGAATTCCTACTCATCTACAATTTATAAGAAGATCTGGACTTCCACGGATACCATTAACCTCATTAATGCGCTGAATGCCACCTTTGGTATTCTTTTCACTCTCAACGCTACGTGGACCGTTGACCGTTTTGGCCGGAGATTCTTGCTCATCCTTGGTGCTTTTGGCATGGGTACTTGCATGTTTATCACAGCCATAGTTGGTCTTGAGACCCCAAACACTCCCCAAGGAGCCAAGACGGAGCCTGTCGGTATTGCCATCGTATTTCTTATGTTCCTGTTCATCTTCTTCTACAAACCGAGCTGGGGAGCGACAGTATGGATTTACACCGCCGAGGTTTTCCCGATGAATGTTCGGGCCCAAGCCGTTGGCATGTCGTCTCAGATGCAAGGTGTTGCGAATACCGTCTTTCAGCAGTTCTTTCCGATTTTTTACAAGAACGAGGGATTGTAAGTTTGATGAAACCATCATGGTGTATTTCCCTCGTCTAACCGGAATACGGACTAACTGTGACAGGAAAACGTTCTTCTTTTTCATGACCTGCAACTTCTTCCTAGCAGTTTTCGTGTGGTTCATGATTCCAGAAACGAAGAAAGTCCCATTGGAAGAGATGGACGCCCTCTTCGGCGGCGTGAGTCATGTTCAAGGAGGCGCTTTGATCCTGGACGTGAAACGCACTAAGGAAGGAGATGAAAACGCAGAACAGTCGAAGTGAGCAGACCAGGTGTAGCAAGTAACCACGAGGCAGCGAGAACATGCGCGTTACAACCCAGTGGGAGTTGCTTGAAAACATGTGTGGTAGCTACAGCAATCAGGATAAGAAGATCTGAACTGGTGGACAATGGAACGTGCTCGTGGTTGAATTCCGAGATTAATATAAGCACTATTTGGTTTATCGAAGCATGTGAATAAGAACGGGGATTGTTAAAGTCACCCCCCCCCCCCCCCCCCCGCCCCCTTTATCATATTGTCACCCTCCCTGCCTGAAGATGCCTAAATTTATCGACTTGGTGGAAGACGTAGTCTCGGAAGATCTTCAGGAAGTAACGCTCTCCATTCTCGGCCCATGAAAATTTAGGCGTCTTCAGGCAGGGAGGGTGACAATATGTTAAAGGGGGGGGGGGGGGGGGGTGACTTTAACAATCCCCATAAGAAAAGCTTCATGCCTAGCGAATCATGCCCTCGCTCCTGATCTGAGACGCAAAGAGACGTTAGCATCAACGCTTACTTTATGATTCAAAGCATACGGGCCAGTCAAAGATAGAAGTGAGATCAAATTTAGAGAAGACTCAATGTATCCCTACCCTAGGGTTGCAAAGAAGCCTTCGGTAAACTCTAAGGAGCCATTGAACTACCGATCAGCCTCGGGAGATACTGTACATCAACTTAGTAGCATTCAGACCAAGACGGAATTCCAGCGGGAGACGTATGAAGAGAGGTGACATGGGAAGACAGACGAGGAGAATGAATTGTAATTTAATTGGGAACACGCGAAAGAAGTCACCAAGCCGGCATAAAGACAGGAGTCTTCATAGAAGCTTACATCTGACTTCAAATGCGACGAATACCAAGTACTTGATTGGTCACTGTGTGGCCCGTCAAGAAGGAATCATGCCCTAAAATAATATCCATTAATACTAGCAATACGTAAGAGACTAACGTATCCGCTAACTCTCAATCTGAAAACCATCAACCTTGATCATAGCTCCATCGCCTGAAGCAAATATATACCCACAATTCCATACAAATATGCAGGCAATCTGGTTTTCCACGTGACAAATCCCTTATCACTGAAATGTATTTTGCACGACAAATTATGTATTTTCGTATCACGTGACACACTATTTACAATTCTTTCGATTTTCTTTTAAATGTCCTATGGGAACATTTTCTTCGAATAGCGGAGCCTTAATAAAATAAAATAGCAAATCAAGCATGCGCCCTAGGGCTCATATTCATCGCACGGAGCCGAGTCAAAGTAAGAGAGTCGGTGGCCCGGGTGATCTCGCCCTGTTCTCCAGTCATATGTGCTTAATAAATTCTTACTTATGGGCAATTATCACACTTGGTCAGTATACTACATGAATTAAACCTGTCTTAAGCTTGAGCCTTGACCGGCATTTAGTGGGGTGGATTTTGAGTAGCCTGCCAAAAGTAGCGGTAATACTCATACCCCCGACCTGACAGTGACCTATCATCCACAAGAAAGCGATAGGGGTGTGCAATAGAACAAAACATTTGCTAATACAATATTCTGAACAAATGTAAGTAGCAGCTGCACTGGCAATTCGATGTAGTTGACTAGAGTTTAGCCCTCTGTTTTCGGATCGGGAGACCGCTAACCGAGAGCCGTCTGCTACGAAGTAATAGGCGAGACTCTTTTTTCCGAAGCCTACATAGCGCCAGCCTTTGGCCACATAGGAGTATCCTAAGGGTTGACCTACTTGCGAGATTATAAATGATATAGCCATTAAAGACGATGGTCGCTCCCCATCGCGTTGCGGTTCGGATATCCCGGTCGGGTCGTTTTAGCCCGATCCCCACGGGGTCCATGGGTCTGTCGGCAATGTTGACCTACCCGAAGAGCATGATTGGGGCTAAAATAACCTTTTCTTTTGACGGCGGGGGGCGAACGATCTTTGCTTAATACCTCGACATCAGACGACCCCAGACTTAAAGTGACTCAGCTGTGTCCACTTGAGCAATCACGACTGTCCACTTTGCATGTCCATCCTCGCCACATGCCTCGCGCTAATCCGACCCCAGGCACAGCCACTCGGTTTCGATGTGCAGTCTGCCCAAAGGAATTCTCCCGACGCGAGAATTTGATAAGACATGCCCGCATTCGTCAGTCACCCCTAATGGGCCATTCTTCATGTGCTATAGTGCTAAAATTCTTCGACTTTCCCAGATAACCCTAAGAAACTTCACTACTGCTCTGTATGTGGCAAAGAGTTCACAAGAAGTGATGTTCGTCAACGCCATGAGGAGATCCACAAGTCTAGGCAGACCCCTCCGGCAGCCTCGTCACCGCAGTTGGCGGCGATGCCTGCAGAGGGACTCCCAATGATGACACCAGACATGGGGACTCCGGGAGCGCTGGGCGAGCTTGGAAGCAATGACAGTGTTGGCTCCGCATCCCATAGCATTCATAGGGCCGAGATTCCCTTCGGAACTCCAGATGAGGACAACACCATCCAAGATCAACTGTCTAGCTGGATGCACAATTCGGGCAATCCGGAAAATATGTGGTTTGATGACGACCTTGTCTCAGCGCTCATGGACCCGATCATGATGCCAGGCATCAACAACCACTCAACGGATACGATGATCACATCACCTAGTACTGCAAGGGCCTACGCCTTAAACGGAAGCATGCCCTCGGAGTGCGAGCCACAGTCCCCTCCGAATGAAGCATCTGAGGAGGATCGATGGCCATACAGCTGGGATCCGGGCTCTCGAGCTATCACTGCATGTAAGCCTATTCAAATGGACAAAACGCACCCGTTAAGGCAGGCCCATAACGCCCAATTCGATATATCCGCCGAGAGATACAAGGCTTTGAAATCATTTCTCCAGCGACCAGCCCGCAAAGGCTTTGACTTTCACTCTCTGCCGTTGCCAGAACTGGGGATAGCGAACGTGTTCATTCGACTTTTCTTCACGCACTTCGAATATCAGGTCCCAGTGATTCACCATCCATCCTTCAAGTCATCTGATGACTTGCCAGATCCATTATTAGCTATCATGATTGCCATAGGAGCGACATACAGCCGGGAACGCCATTCCTGTCGTTTTTCAATTGTGTTAATCGACGTAGCCAGACTGAGCACGCAATTAGCGATTGAGCTGGACAACAGAATGATGCGAGATCCGATGGTTCTATATGCGTTGGCTTTGATATGCTACTCCGGCATTTGGTGTGGAAATAAAAGACTCTTTGAGCTTTGCGAGAGCCTACGTGGGACAGTTATCACGTACTGTCGCCATATGCAACAAATGAGGTTCAATCCAAGCACCGCAGGACCTGAGACTTCAGGCCACACCCCAGATGAGCAGTGGCAAAGGTGGATATCGATGGAGACTAAAAAGAGACTGGCATGGGTCATATACGGTCTCGATTGTATCTTTCCATGCTTACTCTATCTTCCAGCCTCATTTACCCTGGCAGAGTTTATGAGCATTGAATGTCCATGCGATGAAGAATTCTGGCAAGCCACAAATGCTCAGCGATGGAAGAGTTTGCTTGGATCTGCCTCCATACCACCCACGAGAACCTTTGGCTCAGCCGTCAGCCCTTTTCTCGGGCCACTCAACCTGGGACGTTCCTCGGAGACCAGCATCCATATGACTCGCCCATCAACCTCGTATTCAAATTCTATTGGACTAAACTCCTGGACCCGCTACCTTGTACTCATCACGATTCAAGTTCAAGTCTTTGAGCTCTCTCAGCAGATTATTATGGTGTCTGATGCAACCCTCGATACCGAGATATGGCAACCGCAAGATGGAAATTTAGCCAGCACACAGTCCTCAAGCAACTCTCACTACGAGCCCTCGACAGGCTCAAGAGTTGAACACCATTATGTCCAATTGGTCACAAGATGCTCGGGTTCAAGTCCTTCAGGTCCGGTACAAGAGGTTTTAGGGTCGCTCGCCAAACGGAAGGCCCATCTTGAAAGTAAGTTGCAACATGCATAATTTCATCGGATGAGCTTGACTAATAGATAATCAGGTATGCTTATAGCATGGGAGCAAGCATTTGCAGTATCCCCTGCAGCCGACAGTTCAGTGTATCCGACGTCGAAATACTTTCAAACAATTGCCGCGACCCATCTTGAGATCAGCCATTTGATGCTTCATGTTCCAATCTCGGATATCCAAGATGCGTTAGGAAAGTCCGGACCAGGCAAGGTGATCCCGGCAATGGAGATTATGCGCCGCTCGCTCGCAGAGCATCCAGAGATAGTAGCATCAATGTTCCGACAATGTCTTTCAACACTGAGCGAGCTGCAATCAAAACTGCTGAATCGCCACGACAACTCCATGGGGAGCATTATGGAGCCTTCTAGTGTCATCAGCTGTTTTCTTAGTGGTGTCTATGCATGGGCCATTATCCGCTCATCGGACCGGGAGCAAGTGATGTTTCTGCAAGAGCAGATTTCAGGTGTGAAGGCTCCCGACACTTTTTCTGCAACTGTGAAAGAAGTCATATCATGGCAGACCAACGAGCAATTGCCTCCGGATCACCTTGGCACCAGGGCAAACCTTATCTTATATGGTGTGGCGGACGTACTTGGGAAAATGGCTCCGTGGAGCGCTTCACTCAATATGGCGCTACTGTTGTGTCATCGTGCAAAGGAGCTTATGATTTATTGAGACCATTTAAAATAGAATTAGATTATATTCATTCTCGAAAATCCCTTCTTCCTCGATAGGCAAGGTAATTGAGATCTATCTAGCTAGAAAATATGGTTTAGGTTCCTGCATGATCGATAAATCACGACTCGCTTCCTCAAGCTGGTGATCAAGCCTGCGCCTGCATTGCCAACTTGTGGCTTGCAAATTGGCGGACTGGTACCTTTGCCTCGTAGAAGTTGTCAAGGTCTTCGGTGGACAAGCCAGTGGTATCAGGAACCAGCATGTAGACTCCTAGAAGAAGCAACACGGAGCTGCCGGCGAAGACAAATCCAGTTCGAGCTCCCAAGTTGCCGGAGTCCACATTGTACATGTATGGTACGACAAACGTGATGATCCAGGTGGTAAAGGTTTGGGACATCATTCCTAGCGACATCGACTTAGCGCGCAGTCGGTAACTGGAAACCTCTGCGGCAATCGACCACCCTGAAGCCTGCATGAAGGCTGCCTGTAGGGAAATCAAAAGGTTCCTGGTATTAAGTTAGTAATTTACTTTCAATGTCGGAAAAAAGGATGCTGCCTTACATGAGAATCGCGATAGCCCACTTGGGTCCATCGCCATTTCCGTAGTACAGAGCTCCAATCACCAGGTTGAACACGAGATTGATGACGGTGCCCCAGAAAAGGATGTGGCTGCGTCTGAAATTCTTGAGGAGAATTCCACTAGCAATGATAATGATAATGGCAAGGCCGAAACCGCCAACGGAGATATCGAAAACGTGGATGGCAGGCAGGCCGACGGAAATAAGGAAATAAATCGACTGAGACAGGAACGGGGCACCACCAAGATTCACAATACCGAAGAGGAACATGATTGTAAAAGTTCGCTTCAAGTTTGTGCCTTGGAAGCACTCCATATATCCCGCTTTGTTGGCCTGCTGTTGTGAGTTTTCCTCTTCTATGGTCTTGGTCAAATAATTGAAGCGTTCCTCTCGATCAGCGCTTTCGCTGTAGATCCAATCAAATAGTTTCTTCGCATTTTCTTGCTTGCCGTTCACAATAGAGTAGACTGGAGATCTAGAGCAGATTGTCAGCGATTTCAATGTGATTCAGCATACCCATGGAACGTCCTTACTCAGGTGCCAAAGCAAAGGCAAGGACAACAAGTCCACCGACTCCCCACTGGATCGCAAATACCGTTCGGAACGCATGTTCCGAGACATCTGGAACGAAGATTCGAATAACACCCATAGCCAAGGCCTGCATGATGAGGATAAAGATGACAAGTGCTTGTTGAACAGGAGAGACGAGACGAGGAGAGACGATTTCCGAGGCGTATGTCGTACCGGCGGCCATGGCCATACCGATTCCCAACCCGGAAACAATCTTTCCACCAAGAAGGGCGCTCCTGGTATGAGCAGTGTATTGCACAGTTGCACCTGCTAGGGAAATAATTCCTGCAATAACGCCTGACCACTTCCGACCGATGCGGTCAGCCAAAATTCCAGTACCAGTAGCTGCGAGGGCCTGCGCCAATGCCGACATAGATGTCCATAGCGAGGTCCAAAGTGATGGAAGGTATAGACCAGAAGCGTTGTGCTCTCCAAAGTATATAATGAACGCGGGCATCGAGATCGCAGCTCCGTTCACGATCGTGTCATAACCGAACAGGACAGCTGCCGTGAAAGGAATGCAGCCTAGGAGATGTGTTAGACTGCGGTAGCTCAAGCTTGGATCTGGCTTATTGTCACTCACAAAGCAGAAGAGCCCTTCCATGCTGCTGGAGAACCTCCCGGAAGCTCAACTTCTGATCAGACTGGAGGAATGCTGGTTCCTCCCACTCATGGTGCGAAGACGATAACTTGACGACTTTCTCGGGCATGTTGATCAACTTTCAGCAGATGAGCAGATCTTGTCCTGTTAAGTCAACTAACGGGGACCCAGTCACCCTTTATGCAATTGCAGTTCATATGCAAGCAGAATCTGGGGAAGTCCGGGGTGTAGCTGGACCGGGGATGATGGGCGTGGGGAAGGTGGACAGTGGACAGTGGATAGTGGACAGCTCGGAATTCCCGAAACTGGACATTGCCCAAAACGGATGTGGATAGTTTACGGAAACCTTGTATAAAAAACGAGGCATGAGATAGTATTGAAGTAGAGGTGCAAGATAGAAAAAAAATGTCTGTTGAACAGCTAGTCCAATCCCTTTCTCTCGAGGAAAAGGTCTCGCTTCTCGCGGGAAAATCATACTGGAGAACGGCGGGACTTGCAAAGTACAACATCAAGCCTATCAAGGTACGAAATTCCCAGAATAAAAGCTAAGCAAGAGGCTAAATCGACATGCACCGTGCAGTACAGTGATGGCCCTAATGGCGTTCGTGGGGAATCCATTCATGCCTCAACAAAAGCCACCTGCTTCCCTTGCGCGGCATTGGTCGGGTCGACTTTTAACCCCGATTTGGCTCATAAAATGGGTCAAGTCATTGGTAAAGAATGCAACGCCAAGGGCGTTGGTCTTCTTTTGGGTCCAACTATCAACTTGCATCGTTCTCCACTGGGTAAGCTTTCGCTATTAAGAAACCCGAAAGACGTAAAACAGTCACTAATCATGAACAGGCGGGAGAAATTTCGAGGCTTACTCCGAAGACCCGACCCTATCTGGGCTACTTGGGGCTGCATTCGTTAAGGGCGTCCAATCAGAGGGGGTGTCTGCCTGTCCCAAGCATTTTGTAGGCAATGAATGCGAAACCAACCGCAAGACATCGAATACTATTGTCGATGAGAAGACGCTGCGGGAGTTATACTCATATGCTTTCCAAGTGTTATTCAAGGAGTCCACCCCGTGGGCCATTATGACATCGTACGTTGATCTCAAAATAACAAAACATGGCGCCAAATGCTGATAAAGATGACAGGTACAACCTAGTTAACGGTGCTTTCATGTCTGAGAATGAAGAGCTACTTCAAGGTCTCCTCCGCAAGGAGTGGGGCTTCCAGGGCGCCATCGTTTCCGATTTTGAGGGAGTTTACTCAACTGTCCCCTCTGTCATGGCAGGTGTTGCACTCGAGCTACCGGGTCCTGCTCGTTTCAGAGGAGAACACCTTCTGAAGGCCATCCAAAAATGCCAGATAGCAGAATCGCACATTGATGACCTGGTCAAAGATGTCATCGCACTATCAGCCAAAGTTGGTATGAAAGATGAAACGGCCGTTGAGAAAGATATTCTCAAAGAGGATAGCACAGCAACTCTTGTAAGGGATATTGCTGCAGAGGGAATTATCCTGCTGAAGAACGATGGCAACCTTCTCCCGTTACTACCATCGAAGAAACTTCGAATTGCTGTTTTTGGCTCTCCGGCTGCCAATCCCATTATCCATGGAGGCGGCAGTGCGTCGCTTACTTCGTCCTATGTCATCTCGCCTCTCGATGCGCTCAAAGAAAAGTTTGGGGAAGAAAACATTCATTATCATCCAGGGGTTCCAATCTTCAAGAAAATTCCGTCTGCTCCAATTTCCGTGATGACAGCACCGAGCATTGGTCAGCCAGGAGTCGACTGTTTCTGGTACAATGGCTGGGTGGTTGGTGAAAATCCAGTGCATCACGAGATTCTAGAGACGACACGAACACTCGTCATCGAGTCGCGAATCTCGGATCTTCAACCAAAGCACTGCAGTCGAATGAGCTTTATTCTTCGACCAAAAACTACTGGCCTGCATAGATTTGGAGTGACTGCCTGCGGAAAGAGTGTTCTTCGAGTAAATGGAAAAGTTCTCTTAGAGCACTCGGGATTCGACGATTGCCGAGTGGAATATGTCATGCAACCTGGAGATTTTGAGGAGCGAGCCGATATCTTTATGGAAGCTGGTTGTGAGTATGAAGTGACTATCGACACTCTGTCAACCACTGCGCCGAGTCCATCGCCAATCTTTGACATTACGCCGCAGGCTACGTCAGTAGGATTCTACGAGAACCTAAACACTCCCATCAATGAACAGCTACAACAATTGGCATCTGAGAGCGATGTTGCCATTATTTTCACTGCAAATAACAAGGAGTACGAATCTGAATCATTCGACCGCTCTTCGCTGTCTTTGTCTCCGCTGCAAGATGAATTGATTCGGGCTGTTTCTGGCGCAGCACCCAAATCTATCTTGGTGAATCAGACTGGATCTCCCATATCAATGTCCTGGATTGATGAGGTCGACTCCATCCTTCAATGCTGGTATGCTGGTCAAGAGGTCGGGAATGCTTTAGCAGACATCATCAGTGGCGATATCAACCCCTCTGGCAAACTTCCTGTCACATTTCCCAAGTGCATTGAAGATACTCCATCCTTTGGAAATTTTCCGACAGATGAAAACATGAGGATTCGGTACGAAGAAGGATTGGAAATGGGTTACCGCGCAAGCAAGCCTGCTCCTCTTTTCCCCTTCGGTTACGGGAAATCATACACCGAGTTTGAGGTGCAAGGGCTTGCTATCAAGAGAACTGCCAGTTTGACCGCCGTGGATTTGACGGTGGCGACGACAGTCACTAATGTCGGACCAGTAGCCGGCGGGGAAGTTGTCCAAGTGTATGTTGACGGCGTACTGAAGGCTTTCCGGAAGGTTCTCCTCAGTCCAGGAGACAGCCACGCTGTGGAAGTCACTTTGGACAAATATGCATTTAGCGAATGGTCTTCAGACGATAAAAGATGGATCGTCAAGCCTCGAGTATATAGTATTGAGCTTCGTCAAGACGCAAATACTTTGCTTGCTTCAACTACTTACAATGTTGAGACAGGCCTATCCTGGAGCGGGCTTTGAGTGAAGATTGGTAGAATAGCTGTCAGTTCCTTATTCAATACATACTCTTATTTCACCTTTTTTACTAATGTACTATGTTCAAAACTGTCTTTTAAGTATTGGTATCTCATTTCCATTTCAGAGATAAGGGTAGGTATACCATTCTAGGAAAGAGTTGCGCGGGCCTATCCAAAATCATCTCCCAAGCCCCACTGCCTTCGTTACCCCACCTTCCAATCAACACCCTTGATTTCATATAAAGGAGTCTCAAGGTACATGGACACTGCAGTTGACCAAATATATTTCGACTCAATGACAGATACCTGGGTTATAGTCGGCGCCTCTCGAGGCATTGGACTCGAGTTTGTTCGTCAACTGCTACAGAATGGCCACCAAGTTATCGCAGGGGTGAGGAGTGTGTCAAAGGCCGATCAGCTTGTCAAATTGAAGTCTCAGTATACAACGCCAGAGCGCTGTATAATCGAAGAGTGCGATGTTGCGAGTGAAGAGAGTATTCAGGTGATTCTTTAGATCCGTTCAGTTTATAAGCGATTCTAACAAAAATAGAAATTTGCCAATAAAGTTAGGGAAGCTGCCCGAAGTGGACTGAAAGTCAAGAATATTGTCCTCAATGCTGGCATACTCCAATATCCAAATCGTGCAACCGAACTGTGAGTTTTATGCTAGATATATAATTGTCTCGGCTGAAAGTGCTGAATATTGGCATAGCTCCTTCTCCGAGTTCGCTCTCCATTTGCATACAAACACTATCGGACCTATCATCTGTGCGCAGAAACTGGTCCATCTTGACACAGAATCACCACCTTCAAAAATTGTGTTTATCTCCTCAGACTCGGGGTCAACCACCATCTTCCGCGATGATGAGGATGGATTTGGAGCTTACAGCGCAAGCAAGGCCGCACTTAATCAAATGCTTAGACACATGGCGGCCGAGTTGACACGAAGGGGTGGGAAGTGGAGCAATACATGCGTTCTAGCTTTGCATCCAGGCGAAGTTCAAACGTACGTCAAACATCTGCTGTGAGGTTGATATTCGGTTTACTGACAGCCTTACAGCGACATGGCCAACATCGATCTCGGTTGGGAAGTGAAAGGGTCTATACAGGCCGACGAAAGCGTTTCGGGAATGCTCAAGGTTATTGAGCAGATGGATGAGACTGGTAGTTTCTGGTGCTGGGATGGGAGGGTAAGTTTGCACCCAGTATCTCTACCTTCGAGAGAAATGGATCATATCTGACAATTCATATTTAGCGACACCCTTGGTAGGAGAAGATATAGACACAATGTCCATTTAGACTTTTATGGCCGCGACCCGCCGCCATAGACCACAGTCTCTATATAGCCCACTCGTCCCCAAGTAAGCCTTTCAAATACCCACTCAAATAAACCAAGCATAAAGTCATCTGTAAAGGACCGAGCGCAGCGGGACGTTTCCCCACATTTCCCCTTTCTTTAGTCGAGAATAGTTCTTGGTTACATTGGGAATGCGGGACCTAATCCCAGGTTGGTATAATTATTAAATCTGAACTGCAACTTTAATTCTCTCACACCTCCTCAAGGTGATCAATACAGCTCAAGTCTCTGCATTCCTTCTTGTCCTTGCGGTTACTACCTCCAAATCATGTCTGCTACCGAGGCCACAGGAGCCAGGCGCAAATGCCTTCTCGAGAACGTCCGCGTGTTTGATGGAACCGGATTCACCGATTGCCGATCGGTAGTCATAGACGGAGGCATCATTGGCAATGATCCGGAGGGTGCAGATGAGATAATCGATGGCAAGGGACACTTCCTGATACCCGGTCTAATCGATGCTCACGTCCACCTCCACCACGAGGGACATCTGCATGCCCTAGCAAGCTACGGAGTCACGACAGCCTTAGATATGGCGATGTGGCCAGCGAATAAGATGAATGGACTTCGAGACAAGCCTGGTCTGCCAGATATCAGGAGTGCCGGTTTGCCCGTGACTGCTTCCGGCAGCATTCATAGCTGTATGCTGCCGCTTCCTGCTGAAGCTCTACTGTCTGGACCCGAAGAGGCTGAGAGTTTTGTGCAAAGGAGGATCGACGAGGGTTCGGATTATATCAAGCTTATAGCGGATGTCCCCGGGCCCAGACAGGAAACTCTTGATGCCGTATCGGCGGCTGCTCACGGCAAAGGGAAGATGGTTGTGGCTCATGCATCGTCTTTCACTCCTTTCAATATGGCACTAGAAGCCAAGGCGGATGTAATCACCCATGCACCGCGAGACAAGTCTGTAACTGAAGAATCGGCAGCGCTCATGGCTCAAAAGAAGGTGATCTCCGTCCCGACCTTGACCATGATGCAAGCAGTATCTGCGAGACCACCACTTAGCGCTGCACTTGGAATGATGGTCTCCAAGCCTTCGCTATTCATGGCTATTGCAAGAGCCAAAAGGAACGGTCAAGGGCAGCACACTTATGAGAATGCAAGGGACTCTGTGACAGTGATGTATCGAGCCGGAGTGCCAATTCTAGCGGGCACCGACTGCCATGAGGAACCAAATTCCTTCTTCGAAGTCAAGCATGGAGATTCTTTGCATCGGGAACTCGAACTTCTCGTCGAGGCTGGTGTCTCTGCGCTAGATGCTTTGCGTGCAACGACGGTTCTTCCAGCAGAGCATTTCCAATTGAATGACCGGGGGTCATTGCAGAAGGAAAAAGAGCCGACCTCGTTCTCCTTCGTGAAGATCCCACTCAGGATATTCGTGCGACTCGTAGTATCGATCGAGTGTGGTGTGGTGGGATTGAGTATGGAAGTGTTGCATAGTTGATGCCTGATTGGATATAGTTCTGAGATCCACCGTGTATTTCGTAGAATAGTTGAACTATGGACAAACTTCCTTCCCAAAAAACGAAGATGAACAGTAAAATTGCTCTTGAATATTCATATAGATATCTCTAGTGAAATACTAAACATGTTTAAGCAGTAATTGTATAATCTTAGTGTACAAAATTCAAAAATGCTCAACAAATCGGTCAACCATGACTGCAAATAATTTGGCTTGGGAACCTTTCACATGTCACGCCACCGCCCCTTTCCACGATCGATCGATCAGCCCATACTCTTCCCTTTCTTCCACCTCAACCAATCGCCCAACGTCCAATTCCCTCCAGGCTTCTTCCACCTTTATAAAGCTTCAAGCATGCCCCTGCGGCAACGGCCGCCTTGCTAGTCACCGATCCATTTCCCCTTTCCTCCTCGAAAACCCCCCATCCCACCATGACCTCCGCGCTCAACGGCCATGCGCCGAAATCTCCGCTCTCTATTCAACGCCGCATTGAACACCATGAAGCCGACGTCGTTATCGTCGGCGCCGGAATTCTGGGCTGCGCACTCGCTGTTGCGCTGGGACGACAAGGCCGCAGCGTCATCTTGCTGGAACAGTCTATGAAGGAGCCCGATCGCATTGTCGGCGAACTGCTCCAGCCCGGAGGTGTAAATGCGCTGGAACGTTTGGGTCTGCGGGACTGTCTCGATGATATCGACGCGATCGACGTGGACAGCTACTATATCACATACTTTGGCGAACCGGTCAAATTATTCTACCCCAGGGAGACTCCGTCTTCCCCTCGGCCGATTGGAAAATCCTTCCACCATGGCCGATTCGTCATGAAGCTGCGCCAGGCCGCGTTGGCTTGTCCCAACGTGACGGTGGTAGAGACAAAGGCCACGGGCCTAGTGACCTCGACCCAGGTCCAGGGACAGGTGCTGGGTGTTGAGTGCGTGACTCAGGATCTGAAGGACTGCTACTTTGGCCAACTGACCGTCGTCGCGGACGGTTACGCCTCGAAATTCCGCAAAGCGCATCACCCACATACACCCAAGGTCCGCTCGAAATTCTGGGGCCTTGAACTGATCGATACGAAACTCCCCTCTCCGAACTCCGGTCACGTCCTCCTTAGCGATAAGCCTCCCGTCCTCATTTACCAGATCGGTACCCACGAGACCCGAATCCTTGTCGATATCCCCGATAACCTCCCCTCGGCGTCGGTGAAGAATGGCGGTGTCAAGAGCCATCTACGGAACGTGGTCCTGCCCTCCCTTCCCGAGGGAGTCAGGCCCTCGTTCGAGGCGGCACTAGATAAGGGTCCATTGCGCTCCATGCCAAATTCCTTCCTGCCCGCATCTACAAATAAGACTCCCGGGTTATTGATTCTGGGCGATGCATTGAACATGCGACACCCATTGACTGGTGGTGGAATGACCGTGGCTCTAAATGATGTCTGCTGCATCCGCGAGTTGCTGAGCCCTGAGGCTGTGCCAGATTTGGGTAACACTACACTGGTACTGAAACAACTCTCGCGCTTCCACTGGATGCGCAAGAACTCCTCCTCCGTCATCAATATTCTCGCCCAAGCCCTTTATCAGCTTTTCGCCGCTAATGGTACGCTCTTTCTATACTTCATTTGCGATTTGCCCCCACTAACCTCCCATCAGATACCAGTCTCCTCGCTCTCCAACGAGGTTGCTTCCGCTACTTCCAGATCGGTCCCGTGGACGGACCGGTCGGCCTCCTTGCAGGCCTGATCAAGCAACCCTTCGTGCTCTTCCGCCACTTCTTCACCGTCGCCTTCCTCTCCATCTGGGTTCTCTTCCGAGAGACCCCCTTCACACAACTAATCCTGTTCCCATTGCGATCATTCATGGTCTTCTGGACAGCATGCATCGTGATTTTCCCCTTCATCTTCGCCGAAATCTGGAGCTAGTGTGTGTAGCCCATTTCAGGGAAATACCCACACATCACCGGTTATCCAAAACCCATCCTCATTGTCTTATTACCCCTCATGAACTGAACATATTGCGTTTTGATTTTTTGCAGCGGGCTCTACTGTCTTAATTCTGCATTCTTGCCCCCCTGGTTTATCTCTCGTCCCGGTCTGGGTCATTTAGACCTGTCACCTCTCTATGTGATTTAATCTCTCCCCACCCGCTTTGCCCTGCGCAAAAACTAAAAGCGTTTCAGAGGGCTCTTTTGATGGATCTCTCCGGGCCTGGGGTCTTCTATCGGGCTGATTCTCATGTCGCCATGTACTATACCAATATTAAACGCTATACAGCTTCCTACCTCCTGTCTGTACTTCTAGAGTGTATGAAACTTGAGTCTAATCTCGAGGAACTAAAAGATAAGGTTACCAAACACCAGCAAACCAGTACAGTAATCCAGTTAATATTCAAGTCAGATAGTTCAACCCCACGCGGTTTAGCCTCGAAGTCTGAATGGAAAAGATCCACATACCCCAGAATGATTTACAAAGCTAGCTAAGGCCATCCATCCACCTATGACGGCAAATGTGATCTTGATTGCGCAATGGGCAAGCTGCAAGGTATAGAGTTGGGGTATATATGGAGGGTGATTGCGCGTTCAGTTGTACTACTTTCCCTCTTTCCCCCTTGAGTCACTGGATTTTGTTCAGTCAATACACCTTTACCTCCAGGTGCGACCCTCCAAACCACTACTCAGATAAGGGCTGTTTGATTCTAGGAAGGGCGAACTACTCTTCATAAAGGTTCTGTTGCGTTTACTGAATAGGCCATTCTTTGTTCTGTCAAGGCAGGTAGGTTAACTCCCTACCAAAGAGTCACACATACTCTCTACAGTCTACCCAAGAAAAAGCAGAGCCTTTTTGATTTATTTTCTCATTGGCAATCCAGCCTGATACCCTCTTTTTATACAGAACCGAAAAAAAAAGGAGAAAGATGATAGGTAAAACAACCATAATGTCTGTCTTGACTTATTCCCATTCCCATCCCCAAGAACCAAATCTCAATGCCCATAAAACAGAATGGAAGAAGGGGGGAAACACAACCTTGAAAACAAAACCCTCAAACCAGGCGTCTAACATTCATCCCGAATGAACAAGAAAAAGGAAAACAGATCCCATCCACTCAAGAAAAGAAAACTCCAATAACTTGCAGAGAAACAAGGAGACGATATTCGTGCAGTTCAATTCGATTCAATGAGTGTTCTTCCTCGATGAACGAACATGGAAATGGGGGAATGAAAACGATTGCCGGAAGGCCAAAACTTGGAATTTAAAGGAATTTTGTTTTCCAAGGGACACAGAAATACAATGACGAGACAAAGGCATGGCAATGATGGATGATGAATAGTGCTGTTGATTGATGACTGAATGATGAATGATGCTGCGCATATGCCCTAACCGACCTGTTCCCCTTGACACCGGGTAAAACAAATTGACAAGACAAGTGGAAATCACAAGAAGAAGAAGACACAGAAACATTCAAAATGGCCGTTGAATCTTAGGACAGTCGTTGATAAAGTCGACATTTGCTCGACGAAAAGTTGAAGTCACAAAGGTGAGGCGGTAAGCTTGTGTGTAAGTACTTCAATGATTTCTTTCGTTCGTTCTTTTTATTTGGAGGGACTCGTTTCATGTTGTTGGGGACATCCATTTTTGAACGTTTTTTCTTAACATTTAGACGTCGACATGCTCGTGAATGCTGATAGCAGATGAGGACCTCATTTCCCTCCTTAACCGCCTTTGCGCAATGACTCGTCTGCGGGCAGAGGCTCAGGGCCACCATTGACACCGTTGCGATGCTCGGCAGCAGAGGACTTGGCATTTTTGCGGTGCTTCTTTTTCCCAGTAGTCTGCCATCCGCTGTGGTGGGCCTCGTTGGCACCGTTTGCTTGGCCACCCGACTTTCGAGGGGCATGGTCGTTGTTTCGGTCCTTGGAATCGCCCGACGGGTTCGAAGAGTTATTCGTTGCATCCTGTCTCCCCTTGGCCTTGGACTTATGATTGTGGCTGTGGGCGTGGCCGTTGGCATGGCCATGGCCATTACCATTTCCATGGTGGACACCATTGGCCTTCTCAGATGGTTCCACACCGTTAGGTCGCCCGCGCTTCGAATTGGATGGCTGTTGACGTGCTTCATTGCCCTGGTTCGCCCCAGAAGAAGCCTTGTCACCCGAGGGTGCCGAGTTTTTCGCCGGTGCTACCTCTTTGCTCGGTCCGTGATGCGCAGTGCCGTTCTTCTGTCGGTCTGAAGTCGCTTTCATCGTTGTCTGCGACTGGGCCAGCTTTTCGGCATTCGACAAATGAAGATTCTGAAGACGACTGGCAAGGAGCTCCGGTTGCCCATTGACCTTTTCCAAGGATGTATCGTGACCGTTGACATTACCCGTCTTTGGCGCATCAAATGGCACCCTCGTGAAGACCGGGGGCTGCTCCATCTCGAACGGGCCTGGGTCCTGGAAGTCTTGCGACAGGGAATCAGAGAAACTGGCTGGCGTATTGATGTTGTGGTCATCCGCAGTCGACGTGTAATGCGTCACGGCAGTATATGGATCGATCAGATCCATCGTATACTGTGGGCGCGGCTCACTAGGCGGCACCGAGCCATCAACAATCAAAGGACCCCGATCTGCAGCCGGCGCGGGCCTCGAGGTTGAGCGCTGCTGTCCTGAACCGGAAGCCCGAGGTGCAGGTGTTGGAGTTTGATCAGAGCGCCCATTCATTCCGTCCGACGAGAATGACCCGGAGCGATAGTCCTGCTGCACCGGCAGGAACGACGTATAGCCATTTGGCAACGTGAGACCCATTGGTGAAGATAACGGAGGCAACATTGCGTTCTGCTGATAAAGCTGCAGTTGCTGCGGGGTGAGATAATAACCCATCATATCCTGAGCCCGGCTTTCATCCACAGAATCGGAGCGTGAGCCGTTGCTAGGAAGGCTATTGGGTGGCATTGCATTCTCATCTCCACTGCCTTCGCCACCCTCCGATGGTTCGGGAATCGACTGCTGTCTAGATCCAAACGAGGTGTCCAATGGTTGGGGGATCGCATACAGAGGAGTAAACGTCGGGAGAGAAGGGGAATTCTGAGGACGTGCAGGCTGGGATTGCGCTCGAAGATTTGCCTTTGGCGACCCATTCACAACTGAAGAGCGTCGGGGATTCAGCCGGAGATCGGGGTGAGCATTGGTCGCGGATGGGGAGGGCGGATTCGTGGTGCTACCCTGGGTGCCGGCCGCACTGACGGAAGCATAGGTAGGACTCGGGTAGAAGTTTTGCTGCCGGCCTGACGGTGTGAGAGGTGGCTGGTTCACGGTTCCTGACCTGGACCTTGAAGTTTCATCACCCGTATATTCTTGCTGCTGCGGCATGGGGAACTGGATGAAAGGCTGGCGAAGGAATACTGGTGGTGGCCGTCCAGTGATCAACGCCTGATTGTGGAGCTGCATGCGCAGCTCTTGTTCCTGTGCTTGGAGGAGCTGGATCTGTTGATAGAGCTGATCATGCAACAGAAACTGAGCCTGTTGTTGCGCCTGTAGAGACAGGTCGCTCGCACTCGCCGTATTTCCTTGTCGGAAGGCGGATTTATTCCCAGTGTTCGATGTTCGACGACCACCATTGGCAAAACCTCCCCTAGAGTACTGATTGCCATATCGTCCACCCCGGCCACCGCGTCCTCCTCGGGTTGGAAGGGACGCGGTGATGATAGGCCTCGGTTGTGGCGGGGGTCGCTCCCATGTCCGTTCCTCTTCTGGCGGAAACTCGAACTGGGCGCAGCAACCAGTCAAATCACCATCTGAGGCGTACTTGAACGCTCTCCGAAGCTCCATATGTAGACCGCGGAATGACGTATCATCGGCCGTGTTGCCCAGATTTCTTGACGTGTTGAAGGGCTCCTCAACGCACAGCCGATTGTTGACCGAAAGATGCCACCCTTTGCCCTCTTTAGAGACCAACTTTCCCTCGCGTACCGAAATGACATTTTTCTCGTAGTCGATTTCGTGCCCATAGTACCGAAAGAACCCAAACAACAACTCGCCGACAGTCTCTTTATTCTTGCGACCAAATTGAGTCAAAGTTTCGAGGTCATCGTCGAATGAGTACACCAATCCGTCCGGAGTGGCCCGCTTTTTATGCGGGCGAGCTTGAAGACTCGGCAAGACCGGGGAATTCCTCGTTTGCAAGAAGTTGATGATAAGGCAGATCCAAGTATAAGAACTCAATGTTCCACCGAGTGCGGCATCGTTGAGGATCCGTCGTTTCGTCCAGTGCTTGATACACATCGCCAATGGCCGTACTCGTTCGTCCACTTCGACGTATGTCCGGATCATGCGGGTGTTTTCCAATGCGAGGGTATTGTTGACGTTCATATCACAAGCGAGTTTCAATTCCGGATCCCAGATTTTCACAATTGGGACTTTCGCATGGGAGACACAGACAACTCGTTCCATGCCGTCTGCATTGTTCAGAAATCAAGTCAGCCAAATGCAGTTCTCTCCGAGCTCAGGATCGTTCTCCAAAAAAACTTACGCTTAGCCAGAACCTCGGCCAGCAGACACACATGTTCCAAATCTTTAAAATTCGTCGTGATACAAATGTCCACTATTTGCAAGTCAGCCACAACCGTCCGATTTGGTTTCCTTCCTGAATTGCACCAGATCTTTTTTTTCTGTCTTTGTTCACGTACCATCCGAGTCACTCGAACAGAGCTTATTGCCCGACGAGCCAAAGACGTTCGCCTTGATCTCGTGTCCAGGCCATTGCTCATTAAATAGTTTCTCCAATTTCCGAACGAGTTGCCGCCGCCGATCATCACTTTCGGCAGAAGGTAACAAGCGATCGTAAAGTTCCATAATATCCGCGGTCAGTCGGCGCTCCTCCTCCGGATCGAGGCTCTCCTTCAACCCTTCCTTTTCCTCTGGTAATAAATCCGCTCCCAGGCTGTAAGGTATTCGTCTTCGAAAATATGCCATGGCGGTCTCGTATTTACAACCACCGAGAGGTTTCCGGGCCGATGGGGGTAAATGTGTCGACTCAGAATGGGTAGAACGAGGAGAGGTGCTTCCGCGGGCGGGGGACGGCGACCGGGAGTGAAAGGAGAGATTGCGCGCATGTTGGTAAGGGGTGGAGGGAAGTGAATTGGATTGTTGAGAGGCCAATGGAGGCCGAGGAGGAATCTCGGACGCGTCGGGCTGCGGCATCCATGCCATGGTGCTGGAAGGCTGGTCCGACGCTATCGGTGAGAGGTCACCAAGGTGGCGGGAACAGTTTGCATTCCCATCGATGTTTGGGACCATATAGCAATGTCCAACAACGCCAGCGAGTCTCGTGTTGTCGGGCTCGGCGACTCGGTAGAGAGGACTCGATTTTCCACACACCCACACCAGCGACTCAAAGGTGCCCCTCCGGGTTCCACTTCCAACCGTAGAAATGATCAAACGAAAACCTCAACCGCACAGTAAACGGACGAATCGAGTAATTCTTCAAAGGGAGGCAAGCGGGGTTAAAAGGTGTGAATCGAATATCGTGGAGCGAAGTCTTTCGTGGGATATGGCAGGTGAAGTGGAGGAGGGAGGAGAGGAAAGTCGGAGAGTGGAGGAGGTTTCAATGGTCCTCACACGGGAGCGCAAAATTGGGTGTGTAAGAAGGTGCAAAAAAGAATGCCCTCGAGGACCCAAGAACAAAGGACGAATAAAATAATTTGAAACCAAAGAAGGGAACCTCAACCAGGAGCTCAGAGAAAAGTAACACGGGGGAAGGCGACTAGAGACGGCAGATCTCGCGGGAGGCAAAGAGGGTGTGTAGTGGGAATCACTTCTCTCGCACGGGCCGATCTCTAGGTAAAGCCGTTGCCAAAAAGGGAGAATGTGGAGGGGTGGATGAAGGACGAGAGGAACCGACCGGCGTTCCGAAGAGGGATGAGAAGGGGAGAGTTGAGAATCGAGGACTCGAGGGAGGTAGAGTTCGAGGGGATCGTCGAGGGAGCTGGGAGGGTGGAGGTTGGAGGTTGGAGGTTTTGGAGGTTCGCTGAGTGCTGGAGTCTCTGGTCAAAGTCAGCCTACGGCCCCTGGCTCTTTGGCGGTAAACTGCCGACCGGCTACACCTTAGGGATGATTATTACTCTTGTTCACCCACTTTTTCTCTTTGGATGATGACAGATGTCGTGAACAATGCTCAGCTGAGATTTATTTCCAGCTACCAAAAGGTCTCATATGAACGGGCGCCTAAATTGGTCTGTCAACCTTTCTACCTGCGACAATCCCGCAGGGACAATATACCGCGGACTCCGAAGTATGCGACGAGACAACTCAAAGACTTGACTAGATCAAAGGACTAAGGTAATTTAAGAGTCCAAGTCTTTGGGATTATTATTTACTATGGACCCAATCTTTACTATTCTTTGGATCTTTTCTATCACACCTCCTTTCCCCCTAAACTAAATCGATCACTCACACTCGAGTCCTAGTCTCGGACGTATTCCCCCTCCCCCAAACTGAGACCCGACTATTGATGGATCGACCCCCTAAATGGCTGAATGATTTCTCCTGAAAATGGAATTCCCCCTCCTCCTTCTACTCTGACCTTCTTTGTTGCTCATCCCCCGAACCTATCATAACTTCCTTCCTCTTGCCTCTTTCGTCTCCCCGCTCCAACTGCCCCCCCCTTTCACCAATCCTCAGGCTGATAGGGGAGACTCCTACCGAGCTATGCATGCAGGTACCATTCATTGATTGAATGACTAGCCCTCCCCTCGGAGAAATACTGTACTGGTTTTATCTAATAAATAATTACCCAGATGTGGTCCTGTAATTGACCCTAGGACTGATGGCATTGGTCTATTTAAGCCCCGTAATCAAGTTCACGAAGCAGTGACTACTTACAGTATCAAAATATCAAATCGCCCCTTTCGGATCGTCGTTCTGCAACCCCCCGCGATCCTGCGCGTTCCGCACGTGCTGGATGCGATAACCTAATTCACTTATCGCCCTGCCTATCACGAGTCACGGTGTCCCAAGTAGTTCGCATACTCTGTATAATAAAGAAACTAGAAGTCCAACTCTCGTTCTCTCTTATATTCCCATTCGTATCTGTATCATGATATCTATAATTATCATCACTTCCCCCAATCAATCTACCCTCCTCGACATCTCCTTTGTTCAACGTAACCCCGGGCCAGCTCCGATCAATCGGACCCGCCATACTGATGCCCTGTCTGTTAGAAGCCATATACGCCTCCGAAAGACTTCCATGAAAGAACCCTTGCAGCCATTAAAAGGCCTCCTCTACTGCCATTATTACTCTCCAAGGACACGCTCTTTGTCGCGTTGCTGACATCACTGGTTCGCCCAGCCGCGCTTGGGCACAGTTTGCTTTCCTAACGATTCCACAGGCCACGGATGCAGTACGGACGGGGTGCTCAGGGCTTGAACTCGTAAAGAAGATTCATTCAAAGAAAGTGTCACTCTCAAAGAACAATATATCCTATCGCCAGCCTATCAACGGCGATCTATCCACGAAGCGAGGCTTGATCCTAGTCCCGACCAATAAGGGGAGGTCGCTGACTAGATGAACGATCTAGCCCCTCCTCCTCTGCGTCGATGAACGGTATGACAGGCTAGATGTTGGATCCAGACGTTCGCTCGATTCAAGGTACACGCCAAGCAAGTCAGCGCTGGCTGCTGGTGATACACGCCGGAGGGTTTGGAAGCAACGTTAACAATGCAGATGGAGGAGAGGGCAAATAGAGTTTCTGGGGAAAGCTGGGCCTCGGGTCTTCCATGGGAATGGAGTGCCGCTGAAGCAAGCCCATCTTTGGGGATGAACGATACGCCTGCTTCTGACTATTGAAAGCCTTCGTCTTGTTATTAGACTTTATTTTCCGGGTCGGTTGGGTCGTCTTGTTGTACTGTACTGGCCGGGTCAAAGACTGTTCCCCCGAACAGAGTGCCACTAGCGGCTTATGGGATGATTCTTCAGTCTGGAAAGGCACTAGAAGCATAACAAGAAGGGTAGGAACTGTACGGAGTAGTACGAAAGTATATCCAGTGTGTTCGTCGATCGGCAGGAAATATTCCTCTTTGGTTCAATGCTTCTTGGTGGAGAGGTCGATACTTGAATCCACCCAGGCCCTGAAGAACCTTTCATCTCCTATTCACAGCTATCCACAAAGATGTTCTCGGTCTATGATTACAGTATATCTACTAGGCACACCCGTGCAATGTTTTCCCGTTCCTCCCAAATAATCAAACACAGTAGTCTACTCTGCTGCAATACCACCCGGAAGAGGGGCTGCGGACCTTGTGGAAGAATACTCTCCAGCGTCCTCTAGTCACCACTTTAGTGTAGAAATGTCGTCCCCCTCGGAAGAGCCCCACTTGGAGAACTCCTGAATCGACCGAGTGATGCGCTGGTCTCAGCACGGGCCAAGGGAGATGGAGACCCGGAGACGAGTCCTGCAACTGGCTTCATACGGAGTGCCTGGGAGTGGTCAACAGTCGTGGGGGTGCTGCCTCGTTCCGAAGCCCGTTTGGAAGGGATGCACCTGCCGGGGTGTTGTACTTGCTAGAGCCTAGTACTACTGTAGCCTCCGTAGGGGCAGTCAGCCCCTCATGAGGAGGGGTAATGATTCTTTTTTTTCTTGTCTTGGTCAGATTTTCTGTAGAGTCAGGCTGGCAAGGCCGACCGATACAAGTTTGTTATATTCTTCGCTCGCTATACTTCCCCTGCTTCCCTCGTTAGGCTTGCTCTAGAATATTAGTAGAGTGAAACAGTAGAAGACCTACCTAGCAATTCCTACGCAATACGTTCGCAGGCATCGTAGGTGAATTCTTGGCAGGATACGAGTATACAGTACCTGAACTTGTACATTGCAGTTCATCATCGTCATCGTACAGGACAGACGAGGTATAATTGGCAGTGCCGATCGTGTAGAGGCGGACACTCATCGGTACTTGCTTATGTAGGATTCCGTAAAATTCCAGGCCTCCTTCGCTTTTTGTCAGCAGGCTGTTTTGCCCCGTCGATGCAACTGGCGCCAATGCGTAAGATGCGGCTTGGGCGGTTCTTGTTGACGCAGCCAAGTATGTACATCACAGGGCGACAGTATGGAACCGTAGCTTTTGTATGTGATCTGGACTGCATGATCGAGGCAAATCTTGTACTGGAGTGGAGAAGCATAGGTAGCTACAATAGAATCGTGGTCCTTCCATAAAGTTGATCATAGTTATTCCATGTTACATAACTATCGTCGGTTGTCTAGGGCCGAACCAGGGACAATGACAATGTTCGTATCAGCGGCACGGTGGGAAACTCGACTAAAAAAAAAAATTGCCCACGACGCCCACAGCCTTGCATGGCCTAGCAAAGTACAAAATGCATTTGCAAATTGTGCACAAGTAGGGAAAGGATCGGGGCGAAAGTGATAACACTAGCAATCCTCGTACAGAGTACAGTATGACATCGACGGTTTAGCCAGGCCGGGACTAAGACCGGAGAGCACGAGCAGGATAAAATTGTCAGACGAATCAAACACGAGCTGAGGGTCGGACACCCAGACGAGCAAAGACGCTTAGGCACGCGCCCCGTGCCCACATTGCCCAGTGCCCACATAACCCCCCCGGTGTCCCATCTCCAATCTCCGGTGACCGGCCCCGGTCGAGGGCGAATGAGGACTTGCTAGGTTCAAGGTTACCGGGAATTGCCGCGGAGGGCGACGTGGAAGGAAAAGGAGGAGGGGAGGCTTATTATGTATGGAGTACTTGAGAGTACTGTACCTGAAGATGTAGATAGGATGGGACGAAAAGGGTATACTTTTAAGTATGTTGAACAAGCCAGATAGAAAAGATGGCCAGAATAACGGTGCACAAAATATTTTTCACAAGTCAACCTATTTATTTAGTTGTTGCTCGTTTATGTTCTCCTTGTGCTACTAATCGCAACAAAAGCATTTACATACTGAACTACAGTATTTACTCCGTAGTTCTCCCTACTACTATCATCTACTATCATCTACCATTTCAACAGTGGTAAATAGGAATATTTCTACATCATGGTCTGATCACTACCCTAGATTATTAATATCTATAGTTCTTGGAATCCATAGCAGGATTCTTCCAAGGATTATACTTCAAGTACCTCATGTCTAATGTACCGACGTAGACTCTACTCGAGTAATCTACATCGGATGACTACCACCTTCTTCTTCCTTCCTCTTTCCCCTCCTCATCCTCCTCTTCTCATCTGCCTCGTTGACTCGTGGTAGTTTTCCCCTCGAGGCCCCGTTTCTGTAAGTCTATCCTGATTACATTCCTATTTTCCCTTTTCTATTCTATACCCAAATCTCTGTTTATTACTTTTTTTTCCTGTTCTCGTGTTTCCTCCTTAACCCCCAAACCCCCCCCCCCCAAAAAACCCGCCCCGAACCGCCGAGACGAAAAAAGAGAAGTGCGGCACACCACGCCCGAACGAGAGGACCCACGGCTATTTTCCATTTCCCCCCAATTTCCCTGAACTCCATCCTCGAAAGCCCTCCCTCCTCTCCTTCTTGTCGTTGTGGGCTATTCAATTTACTCCTCCCTGGCTTTTCTATTCTTCTGGGGGAAAAAAACCACCATAATCTTACTTTTTTTTCCCTCTCTGCCTACCACCAGGTCGCCTCTACCCGGACGGATCAACTTCTTCGCCGCCCCCTGAAACGTCCCGGCCCTCCGCGAAAGACTTCCTCCCACGACACTTCCTTAACGGCCATGTCTTCCTCATACTATGAGCCTCAGGGCTGGCAAGCTCCCGCCGCGCGCCAGGCCTCATGGGAACAGCCCGTGCCGCCCTCCCGGTCAGGTATGCACACAATCATCGCCAATTCCGCCCGCACTGCGAAGGCGCAAAAAAAAATCTCGCTGACTCTCCGGACTTGACAGGCTCGAGCTCCGTTTCCCAGCGCGATGATAGCCCGGCTTTCTCCTCCCAATTTGACGGTATGCTCGATCGATTTTCCTTTGCTTCTATCCTCAATTCCTGCGACTGTTCGACAGTTCCTCGGCCCTAAAAAAAGAAGCGGTTGTGTTGGAATACGGGTGGTTGCCGAGGATGAACGTGGCCTGACTTGCGACGAAACAAGCCGAGTTAGGATCAATTGATGAATTGATGAAAATCAATTCATCATGATCTGAACTGGGGAATTCGGGCAAGAATTGCCAATTCCGACCAATTCCTAGGAACTCTGGGAACCGGCAAACTCATTGCAAGAATTGTGTGTACATGGACAAGATGCTGACAAGTGTGTGTTTTTTCTCCTCTATAGAGGTCGACCGTGCGATCGACAATCTCGTCAAGAGCGGCAAGCTGTGGAATGCTCCTCGCCGGGACTCTATGCCCATGATGATGGGTCGTCCCTATCCTGAGTACGGTAGGTGGCCAACTGCCCCCAACCGTCGAAGGTATTAAATCACAAAACCTCCTGTGCTCATTACGTCGCCCGACAGACCCGCGCATGGGTGGTGGCCCCCAGCGACACCATTCAATCAGCGAGTTCGACAATTCCCGGATGCACCCATCGGGCAACGTGCAGGGCTTCTACGCCTCACAACGGTACCAGGGCCGCCCCAATGAGGTAGAGCAGATGATGCAGGCAAAGCGTCGGATGGCGGCACAGCGTGAACGGGAGCTGCGCAACTATCACCAGGAGCAGCAGTACAACCGAAGTACGTGGTAGCGTGTCGATTCTTTTTCCCTCCTCAATGATTCCCCCGTCATCATCATCACCATTATTTTTTTTCCTTTCATTGCATCTATTATCATGTATTGGGTCGGCCCTTGTATAATATGACTTTGTGTGGTTCTTCTCTTTTTTTTACCATGCATCGGTTCTTAACCTTTGAAAATGTGGCTCTCCTTTTTTTTATACGTTCTTTTCTTTCTCTATAGGCCTCCTCGCCGAAATGTCAGCAAACAAGTCCGATCGTTCCAACAGCCCGGCGGCTATGAGCGAAGATAGCCGCCGTGATCTCCTGGCTCGCCAGCACCGCGCCTTGTACGGCAACGAGAGTCCCGCTTTCTTCCCCCCTGGCCCCCTGTCTGATGACCACAACAGAACCGACAGTCAAGCCACTGGCACCCCTGCCTCTGCCGCTCGAGTCTCCTCCCCCCGTGGCGTTGATCCATTCGGCCTAACCCAGGCCGGTGGTGCCCCCGCGGAGGGAGTCCAGTCCCCATCCCGTGCCAACAGTACCTCCTCGCCGAGCTCCGCCATCAATGCCGGCTTCACTGAACAGCCCGGTACCTCGGCATCCTCACCCGGAGCTGCCGACTCGCCTTCTTCTCGCCAGGGCTCCTCCAAGCCGTCCACTGGTCCCATCGGCTCCGTCGGTCCTATCGGCTCTCGTCCAGTCCCTGGCCAGACCACTGTTGCCCCGCCCACCAACCCAGCCCTGAACAAGCAGCGTTCGACGACACCTCTGCCATCCCCACTGGGCTTCGGTTTCACCCCCAGTGAGGCTGCTGCTGCTGCCGCCGCGGGAGAGCGTTCCACCTCTGCTGCCTCTAACCCAGCCGTGACTGCTACCACCAACGCCCCGGGTGCCAAGGACTCGTCGGCCGGCGTCGGTCTCGGCTGGAGCAACAACGGCGGTGTCTGGGGCTCGAAGAGCGGACTGGGCGTGCAGGCCTCCGTTTGGGGCTAAACCAACGCACGGATCCTCCCTCTCTCTCCCCCCTTGTCACGACATCCTGTCTGCTTCTGCTTTTCGCTTCTACTTTGAACATTCACCTTTTCTTTGGGCTTGGCGTGTTTCTTGTGGTATGCATTTGCGACTCGGGGTTGTTATCTCTGCTCTTTTTTTCAATCTTTCTGACTTGCTGTTCCTCCTGTGGCGTTGTGCGAGAAAAACGGGCTTGTCCATTTGCGTCGGCGGTGCAATACGGGGCTTGTTTTCTGTTTTCTGGGCTCCTCGGTACATATATTTTGGCTTGGGGCGAGTGAATGGGTTCTGCGTTGGAGGTTTGGGGGGGGACTTTGGTTCGGTCGGCGCAATATCCTGCCCTGGACTTGGACTTGGACTTGGACTTGGACTCGGGGGACTAGAACCTGGTCTGGCTCTCGGAGTCTGTGTGGTCCTTTGACTCTTTGCTTCTTCGGATTTGTTTGGCTTGCGTGCTGTTTTCGGTTTGGGTTTTTAACCGAGCTGGCTTGGGCGGAAGTGAATCGGTGCTCGGCTGTTACTTATTCGCGTGGTCTGTCTTGGTGACGAGGGGTGTTTATCTTCTCTTTTCTCTCTTTTTCCTGGAGTCTATTCGGGTTTTCTTTGATGGTCTCCTCGGTGTCTTGTGGTGGGATCTGGATGCAAAACAAAATTTTATCAACAGCAACAAAAACGGCCCGGCGAATAGTTTTCCTTGTGTCTCCTTACTGCTTTCTTGTTATTTGTCTTTTTTTTTCTTTCTGTCTCTATTGGTGATTTTTACCTGGTGCCCGTGTCGAAATGGTCGGATAATGGCGCTTTCTTCTCTGAATGTTGAATCTCTCGTCTCATTTCTCGGTGTTCTTTGTTTTCAGTTTGTATGTGAATGGACTGGATATGGACTTTCTTCTTTATATAAGTTGTTAATTAAGGGTTTCCTATATGTCTAGTCTGTGGGGGTAAGGTACGTAGTAGGGTGGGATATTCAAGGTCTATTGAGGCTAATGGATAAGCTGGTGTTTATAGCGTAATGTACTCGTGTATTCAATAGAACCACCTAAAGTTACTTGCCTACTCTTTCTTTCCTAGGCCTCTATATTGCTTCTCTTTGGGGCGAGCCACGATAGAGAACTAGGACGAGGATCGGGTGACGTATACGTAAGCGGGAGTAGTGCTAACATATAGTACGTGCCTATGAAATAATTTAGTTGTTTTTTTCAGTGGTGATTAAGGTTAATTCTTTAATTCTATAGTAAACCGTTCGTATATCATAGGTATTACCTAAAGTCGTCGTTCGCTGGAGGATGGACAAGCAGTCGGGTATAAATCCCGCTTGATGTCCCGTCCTGGTAGTGGAATGGAACCCTAGGTAAACATATATCTTTCCACCAGCTGACCGACCAAGTGCCACCAGAACCTTACGGTTCATAACCCAAGTAGGATAAGAAGAAAGGGTAGCTGTTAGTAAATTTCGAATATCTAGGTTTAATGGAACCCAAAGATGAATAAATAGTGGAGGTAGGTACCTCTACTAAAGTCAAGTTTGAATAGAATTTTGTAAGAGAATCACATATAGATCAATTCATTCTCATGACTGTTCGTATATCAGATCAATCGTCGAGGAAATTAAGCAATTACACAATTAAGCATTAAACACGCACACGCCTTTGTAGCGATCAACTTCCGGGTCAAATCAGCCGTGCTACCCGTACAGGTCCAATGTGAGTTTAAAGGACTAGCCGAGTGTATCGCCGTCAAGCTTAAGGTCTAAACCCGGGTTGATCCATTCCGGCCACCTCAGAGATATGTACTCCCATCTACGAGTCGTCGCAGACAGAAACCAAAGCAAGGTATGAACAATAAAATCTTCCCACAATTAGCTTCAATCGTCTGATTGACACGCTCAGACAGAGCTGGTGTTGTGGGTGGGTGGGCGCTCGGGATCGTGCTCCTGGGGGTCTTGTCCAGCTGGCGCGGCATGCTCGATGCGCTGCCTCGCGGTGAACAATCCGGCAACGCCGTTCTCCTGGTTCCGGCCCAACCAGGGCTTTCGAGCCTCGGCCAGAGCCTTGCGGCCCAGGTAGTAAATCAGCTGGCCGATGATGATCAGGACAAAGGCGATGGGGTACATCCAGTGGATGTGGTAGTGGAAGACCTTGATGCCGATGCAGACACCCCAGAAGTTCATGGTGAGCAGGGAGATGTTGAAGAAGGCTGCGGACGACAGGCGGAACATCAACGGGGCAAGACAGTAGAATAGCGACAGGCACAGAGTGAAACCGGTCAGGTAGCCGCCCACCTTGCCGTCCCAGACGGAAGAGTGGTAGTTGTGGCGCTCGAAGATGGCACTCTGCACGCCGTCGATGATACATCCGTAGAGCGAGAGTTGACCCAGGACCTCGTACACGGGCTTCTTGCTAACGAAGTACTCCTCCGCAGTGTTGGTCAGACCATAGAACGAGGCACCCAGCAGGGCGAACAGGTCACCCTTCAACTGGTGGCCACTAGAGACATCCCCGCCATTGGTACCGGTAATGTGGTCCGAGGCAATGAGCACACCCATACCACCGATACAGATAACGATACCCAGAATCTGAGTGATGTGGTAGCGGACCTTGAGGAACAAGAACGAGATGATGACGACGACCACGATAGCCCAGAAGTTGATCAGCTGAGCGCTGAGCATGGTAGTGTACTGATAGGCCAGCACGACAAAGTAGTTGCCCTCAACATCGCAGAATGCGAGGATGATATATTTCCAGCCGTCAGTGTAGATCACACGGAGCCAGCCCTTGAATCCGTAACGGTATATCGTGTAAGGAGTAAAAATGCAAGTCAGCACGATGTAGTTGAGCAGTGTCTGGAACGTGGGGATGGCCCAGCCCTCCTCACCCAGAAGCGTGGTGAAGGTGCTAGTCGAGGTGTTGGCGATGGCGAGCAGTTGTCTGACCAAGAGCAATTAGTATGAGTCGATTCATTTTGGGTCACGCATGCTGCTGGTAGCTGGACTCACCCAAGGAACAAGGTAATATAGAACTCCTTGGTCTGGAAATACGCTAAGAATCCCTTCTTCTCCTCGTCAACCTTGTCAGCCGACACAACGGGCGTCTCCTCGGCGGAGTTCACACCCGCGACCGAGGCATCCTTCGGCTGCGACGACGACACACGATCGATCGAGTCGGCCGTCTGAACGGTGACCTGATCCTTAGAGTCGGACATGGTCAAAGAAGGCGGAATACGAAGCAGACGAAAAGCGGGGGACTTGCAGGAGGGCCTAAGAGCTCTCAAGACGCCGATCACCGGTTGCGGTCAGAGTAGAAATAAGTAAGAAAACACCAAAAGGGGAGCTTTATAGCCAACAACGAGCGCAAAACTCCCAGAAGTCGCTCGTTTTTAGGCAAGACACCGAACAGAGGGTGGTGGGATAGAGAGAAAAGAAGAAGCGAGAGAGGCGCGCAAAACTCGTAAAAAAAAACGAGCGAACATTGGCGCCGGTCTGGAACCTTTCCCGATTGGGTAATCGTCGATAAGAACCTGCCACGCCGGCTGAGAAGTGGTGGGAGCCAATCAAATTACAGTCCGAGTGGAGATGCTATTAGGGTCCGTGCTGGGCGGGAAAGGTTTGCTGGGCAAGGCGGAACTTAGTATATAGTTGGTAATGTAAGTAAGAGTTAAGAGGACCTCGGTAGAGAAATTGGAAGGCGAGTTCTTCTGCTGACTCGTAGTTTTGGGGTTTGGGGTAAGACCCCACTACGACGTGGTCTGTGGTGGTACGTTGGAAGACGCAGAAGAGGAATGGAAGCCCTGCCGAAGGTTAATTGCCCGCACCCCGGCTTCTCCGATACTTCGATTTCTAGAAGCTATAGTATAGACTGCCTGACAGTTTCATCATTGCTCCTAAAGAGTGATTGGCACTGGTAAGTTATTGGAGATGTTTACACATTATATCATCCGAGTGTCTTACTTTGTTTGACTAAGGCTATCGGATATACCCAAGTTTATAGGGATATAGTGATAGCTTCTCCGTCCACCATAATGTAAACTATACACAACTTTGTATGCAGTCCCTCGCAGTCTACCCGGTCGATCGTAGAAAAGAAGGTTCTCCAGAAGTGATAGCTCGCATCCATATACTTAAAGATTTAAGAATAGATATATCTCATGGAACAATGTGTGAATAATGAAGTCCTCATTTCTATCTCTCATTGAAGCCCCTTCCATTGTCATGCGCCAATAACAACAACGTGGTGGCCCCTGCAGAGATTCTGGAAGCCTTAAGCATTGCTCAGCTTTGTTATATTCTCTAAAATGGGAGATTCTCTACTCTGACAATATATACAATATACCAATTCTATACCTATAAGTGGCATTATTATAAGGTGGTAGATATCTTGCCATTCCACTGTTATCCCCGGTCGCGTGTTGTTGCTGCCATTTTTGTCGGGCATCATCCTCACCCCCTTGTCCCGAACAAGCTCTTCTTCAAATTCACCGACTAGGAAGGATCAGAAGAACATGTTAATTCTGGAAATCACCCTTTTAGTGCTGACTGACCTTACTATTCTCGAAGTCTCGGAGAACCTGCCCGTAATAAACATCCCGAACTGCCCTGGCCGAGGCCCCCGTAAGGTGGGCCCTCCCTTCCAGATCATCCCATTCCCTCTCTGCCTTTTTCCCTTCGATCGTCATCCCCTCCGCAGACTCTTTCATCATCTCCACCCTTCCCCTTCACAACCACCTCACCTTCCACCCACCCCCATCACCACCACCAACTTACCGACTCAGTTTATCTTCTATCTCATTCAACACCATCCCTCCCCGGCGCATACTCATTCTGGAGACGCCCGGAGTGACGTGCAGTCCCCCTTTCCCTGCCCGATCATGGCGCTGGAGCTACAGCCGCCCGACGGTCGCAAACGGGTCAAAGTCTACGAGCTGAGGGAAAATGACTGGTTTGATCGTGGCACTGGCTTCTGCACCGGTCACATCTCTGGGGTAAGTCGGAAATTGTCCTCCATCTCATCTTCTTCGCGATGGGCGCATTCATCGCTGGTTGCGCCCGCCGTTGGCTCGCGCGACTCGTTTCCACCCGGGCGCGCATGAGTCGAAGCAGCCGCAAACCCGCGAATCCACCAACCCGACATCCCCCCGACACTTCGGCAACCTGGCTAACCACACTCATGTGCTTTTCTTTCGCTCAAACAGGATGTACCGCGAATATACGTCGAATCCGAAGATGAACCGAATCGCGTCCTCCTCGAGACCAAAATCACCAAGGACGATGGCTATCAAAAACAGCAAGGTTTCTGTCCCACCGTACCCGCCGGGTTGTATCACCGATAAAGAGGAAATGATTTGGGCTAACTGTATCACGCGATCAGAGACGTTAATCGTCTGGACTGAACAAAGCGGCACGGACATGGCGCTGAGTTTTCAAGAGGCCGAGGGTTGCGCAGTGATCTGGTGAGAACGAGAGAGACACGTCGGAACACTCCGCACCGTGAGAGCTCAAGGCTGACCGCAACGCGATTCTTTACCACCGATTTAGGGAATTCGTCAATTCCGTACAGCAACATTTACTCAGCTTAGCTGCCGCAGACGATGCACTCTCCGATGACCTCGAAAGCTACCAATCCATCGTTCTACCCGCCCCGGAGCTCGGCAACCTCTCCGATATCGAACAGATTGTCCGAGCCGCCAGCATGACGCAAGCCGGCCGCGATGCGCTCTCGAAATTCATTATCCGCGATGAGTACATTGGCAAACTGGTGCCTCTGGTGACGATGGCTGAAGACCTGGAGAGCTTGGTGGATCTGCATCGCCTCTGCAACATCATGAAATCCCTAATCTTGCTGAACGATAACACCATCATCGAGACCGTGGTTGCCGATCAGATTATCCTGGGTGTGGTCGGGGCTCTGGAATGTAAAGCACACCTCTTCTTCCACGGATCTTAAAAAGATCCGATTGAAGACCTTTCGCTAAAGCTGGACTTTTCTTTTTGAACAGATGACCCCGAATTCCCAACACACAAGGCGAACCACCGGCAATACCTCTCAGATCAATCCCGTTACAAAGAAGTCGTGCCGATCAAGGATCCTCTGATTCGTAGAAAGATCCGGAGTACCTGGCGATTACAGTACCTCAAAGATGTGGTCCTGGCACGAATTCTCGACGATCCGACCTTCTCCGTGCTTAACTCCCTAATCTTCTTTAACCAGATGGAAATCGTTAACCACATTCAATCAAACGCCCCCTTCCTCCGAGAGCTATTTTCTGTCTTCGATCCGAGATACACCGACATCAAGCGTAAGGACGATGCAGTCCAATTCCTACACCAATGCGCTGCGATCGCAAAGAATCTGCAGGCCCCGTCGCGGGCCCAGCTATTTGCCAATTTTATCAGCCATGGCCTGTTCGCAGTGATTGCCTTTGCTGTGAAACACCCGAACCCCGCGATGCGAACGACGGGTATTGATATCTTGGTGGCATTGCTCGATCATGATCCAGTAATGATGCGTGGATACATGCTCAAGGCTGTCAATGAGAAGAAGACACCCCTCACCGACACATTGATCGATCTTCTCCACGCAGAGACCGATTTGGGTGTCAAAAACCAACTTGCTGATGCAATCAAGATTCTGCTCGACCCTCAGATACCCCTGCAGGAACCGATTGCTCGGGCTGGCCCCGATTATTTCAAAGTCCGTTCATCCAACCTTCTCTCCGACGCTTTTGTCCAGCAACATTTCGACGAATCTTCTAAGCGGCTGTTCCAACCGCTCAAGCAGATTGCTAACCGCGCTTCCCGTGAGTTGTCAACTTCGATCCAGACATGGAGAATTGAGTATCTAACATCCTGCCAGTTAATGACTTGACGTTCCAAGAAGTCACGCTCTATTCGCATCTTGTCGATATCCTCACATTTTTCGTCCGTCAGCACCTCTTCCGCACACGCAATGCGATTCATAGCGAATCGCTTGCTCCTCGAGTGGCCCAGCTTCTCACAGCCCCTCAAAAACATTTGAAGCTGGGTGAGTATTATCGCTGTTTGATCTTCTGAGATTCAACAATCGCTAACCGTCATTCTCCGTTTAGTTGCCCTCAAGTTCTTCCGCACATTGATCAGCCTTCAAGATACCTTCTACCAAGCCTTAATGACGCATAACAATACCTTCGGCCTCATCCTGGACATAGTTTACGAGACCATGCCTCGCGACAACCTCCTCAACTCTGCCTGTCTCGAACTTTTCGAGTTTATCAAGCGGGAAAATATCAAACCGTTCATTCTTCATGTGGTGGAGAAGTACCGTGAGAAACTCGAAAATATCACCTACGTCGACACTTTCCAAAACCTGATCCTGCGCTACGACCAGATGCAGGGCTACGGCGCGGAGGCCGACTCGACGTTGTTCAGCCAGGATGACGGTACGCCACGACGATTGCCCTTGAACGGCCAGCGTTGGCAGGGTGTGAAGGAGTTGGACGCTGCTGAAGAGGAATACTTCAACACGTCCGATGACGAGGACGAGGTAAGTTGTTTCGCAATTTTCAAACCTGGCAGGTTTGCTGATGTTGATCATAGTGGACGCAGGAGAATCGTACTACCCTGGCCGTTGGGGTGGCTAATGGATCCGCTTCTCCAGTGGTCAAGCCGCTGGTTGATTATCCTGATGATGACGATGACGATGCCATGGATACCAAACCAGAAGAGCTTGCAGATCAGTCTGCAGAAGCTCAGCCATTGACTGTCGGAGATATCCAGGTTGAGCCTTCTCCGGAACCGACAACCTCTGAGCCTTCATCACCCACGGCTCAGACACCACCCGTTCCCGAGCGGCTTTCTGAGAAGCGCCGACGCGAGGAAGAGGACGAAGACGAATTGGTTAAGCTTGCTGCAGGGCCCAAGCGCAGAAGCTCGACGAGCAGCAATTCCGGTGCTGGTTTCCTAAACCGAAAGAAGACACTTTCTATTGGATCAATAGGCTCTGTTGAAAAGGGTGGTACCCAAGGCGTGCTAGGCACTGTCACCAGCAGTGCACCGCCTAAGCGAATTGCCATCAACATTGGTCCGGTGAAATCTTCGGTCTCAGACAATGCCACCTGCGGGGAAACTGTCTCGAGCGAAAGCAACGAGAAGGAGAACCGAGACGACAGTCAGGCTGAAGAGAGTGGCTGATCGCTCCTCTCTCTCACCTTATCTGTGCAGTCAGGCGATGCGATGCGATGCAATGATATGATCACTAGGGTCTTAGCAGTCCTGATCTGTCTTGTTTCCCTCCCTCCGGCCCCACGCCTCTATCTACCCCACCTGCATTTGTTTTTACGAGCTAGATACCAGATACAGCGCGGGATATTCACGTCCCAGTGTCCTTTCTTGAGCCTTCTACTCCTTTTTGCCGTGCCCTGCTGCTTTTTGGCGATGCTATTTTCTCTCAATATGCACCTCCGCCTCTCCTATCCTTTCGATCTCCCTCCCTCCCTCTCTATCTCCTCACGCCTTCACATTTTTATCTCCAGCGGTGTTGCGTGATGGCTCTCATACCTATGGTGTTGTACTTCTTTTTCTGAACGGTGCGTTCATGGGATGATCGAGTGGTGTACATTGTGTTTCGCTCTGCCGGCGTCTTCTGGGCAAATGGATGCATTGGATCCGGCCGAGGCTGCGGTACCAATTTGTTTTCTTGTTACTTCTTTTCTTTTTCTTCTGGATTTTATTTTTCACCGGCCCTTGTGCTGTTTCGTGGGGTTAGAATTTGGGGCCTGGGTTAGGCTGGGAAGAATAGGTTGCGATGGATGGAAATGGGTGTGTCCTCTGGTTGGGGGCTGGAATTGGGGATTAATGCAATTCATGTGCATTCTTCATGGTGCCTGATGTCTTCTCGTAGGATGTTTAGGTATCTCTATTTGTGGTAGGATCACTTGTAGGTTGGTAAGAGCGGAGTGGTCAATGGGGTTTGGGTAGTGGCTTGTGGCTTGTAAGCTTATTCTGAAGCTTAGATTGCCCTGCAGCTTGCAGCGAGCTAGTTTTCTTTGGATCTTGGCTCAGGTACGGCACAGTCTTGGAATTCCTTGGTTCTTGTTGCTCTGCCATCTTGGGGGTCTTGAACTCTCAACGGGCAGTCCAATAGGACTACTTACCGGCAGAAATCTGCCTTGACCTCTTAGATAGCAGAAGATCAAAGTAAATCTTAATTTCAACTGTGAATTTACTTTTGCCCTGCTTCTTATATTCATTTGAAAGTTCTGCAAAATGTTCAATATCAATTGCAGGTTCGCAACTGATCATGTGATTCAGCCACAATACACGCCGGATCCTCAATGGTTCGCCTTCACATGCACCGTATAATCAACTACAGGAGCCTGTGGAAATTCACATCTATACGAGTCCTCCGACACAATCTTTCAAATATGGAGCCCCAAATAACACCAAATACGTTCTGCACGTATACCGGGCGCCCGAAAGATGCTACGACGACGGTTTTCTTCATTTCCGGGAACCCGGGACTAATTGGTTACTACCACCCGTTCTTGTCTTTGTTAGGAGAGTATCTGGCCAATTCGGGAGATCGGTCAAGTACACAGCATGTCTTGAAGAAGACAGACTCGTCTATTCAGATTTACGGATGCAGTCTCGGTGGATTCGAGGTTCAATCTCAGAATGCCTCACCGACTATGACGACCGGGGATGCCTATCCAGATAGGAGGTCCACGTTATACGATTTGGAAGATCAGATTGTTTTCGTCCATGATAAACTCAACACGCTCATGAGTCAGAATGCTTCTTCTGCCAATGATCCATCCGAATCTTCAGCTAGACGGAAAGTCATCCTTATCGGCCATTCCGTGGGCGCATACATCGCGATGGAAGTCCTACGACGACACCGCGAAGTCAACCCCGTACAAGCAGATAATGGATATACAGTCGACTTCGACATTATCGGCGGTGTGATGCTTTTTCCAACGGTGAAGGATATCGCGCATTCGCCCTCGGGACAGAAATTGACGGTTCGTGTGTTCTTCTCCTTGTTAGTGATTGATAGTGATGATATTAATTGCCCTGCCAGACTCTTTTATCGTTTATACCACATCTAGCGCTGGTAGTCAGCTTCTTCGCTCGCATATTAACCACACTCCTACCAACACCAGCCTTAAAGGCCTTGGTTAAACTAGTAATGCATAATCCACCAGCCCACGCCTTGGACACTACGACCTCCTTCTTGAAAAGTGCAGGTGGCGTGCGACAAGCTCTGTAAGATATCCCCCGCTTCCCTCGTTGCTTATTCGATGTGGTATCTTACTAAGAGACTGGAAATAGACACATGGCCGCGGATGAAATGCGAACAATTACATCCGACAAATGGACAGATGATATCTGGGGTGTGACGCATGCGCGTGAACCGCTTACAAGGCTGTTTTTCTACTTTGGTCGGAATGATCATTGGGTTGCTGAGAAGACGAGGGATGAGATTGTTGCTGTTAGGGGGTGTAAGAATGCTGATAGTGAGGGGGAGGGATTGGGACCGAGGATGTTTGTTTGTGAGGAGGGGTTGCCGCATGCTTTTTGTTTGAGTAAGTATTATTCTTTGGAGATTTGGGTTTCGTTGAATCGGGTTTACTAACTGTTGGGCAGAGCATGGTGATGTTATGGCTCGGAAGGTTGCGAGGATGATTCGGGAGATTGGGAGTGCTTGAGGGGATGTGGTTTAGATTGGGGTTGGGATTTTGGAAGGGATTTGCTTGCTTTGAGCAACTCTGTTGCCGATGGATTGGTAGAAATAGAGTAGGGCTAAGAATATACTAGAGCTGCAGAACGGGAATTTCAGGTCATTTAACGGGTATCTCAAGTGATATCTCCCTCTCCACACAAATTTCAAGGCAAAAAAAAGATGATGCCGTGGAGAACCAAAGACCAAGTCATGCGCCATGTCGTGATGAGTATGTGCTGCATGGCCCGAGGCCGGAATCGAAATCAAAATCGTGAATCAATGCCAAATACCAAACAGCTTCCCCTACTGTCCTTGCCCGTTGCCTTGGTATGCGAATCCGGCTCGGCGGAAGAGATCGCCGAGGACATCTGATTGTGGCTGTGGCGGAGCTGGTGGCTGCTGAGGCGGTTGAGGTCCCATTGAATACCCGTGCGGTTGTTGATAGTGTTGCGGTGGGTACTGTTGGGGCGGAGGCTGCTGGTACTGCTGTTGCGGAGGATGCTGGTAATGCTGCGGCGGCGGGGGTTGCTGATATAGCTCCTGCCAAGCTTGTTCCTGATGCTGCTGCTGCTCCTCCACTGGAACCATATGATGGGCACGCACACTCCACCCATCATCTTGGGCACGTTGCTGCCCGAAAAGATCCTTCAAGGATATTTGACGACCCATGGGCACGCTCGCCTGGACCTCTTGTAAAGGAGCCACCTGCGCCTCGGCTGCAGCTGCAGCGGCATGTAGTCCACGCTGGCGAATAGCCTCCAGACGCTCCCGCGCCATCTTCAAGCTCTGTCCTGCGTGGGCAGCACACTCGCGAATCTTCTCTGCATTGATCGTCCGGGCCTCGGCAGTTGAGCTCGGCGGCGGCTCCGAGTAGATCCAAATACCGTAGATGCGTAGTCCCGGCGCGCCGGTACCATTTGACGGACCAGCCTGTGGGTTTGAGGGGTCTGCGACGCCATTTGTAGCGTTGGTGTCGCTCTCGTCTGCCTTGAGAATCACATATTCCTCCGTCAACTCCACGTTGTCGCCGTCCGTCAGTTGCAGGTCGAAATTGTTGAGTCCACGTCGATTCAACACGAACGCAGTGTATCTCTCCTCACCGAGATTACCCTGGGTGAGCTGGCAGACGAACAGCGTGCCTTCCACGCCGTTCTTTTCCCATTGTCGCGTCGTGGGGCTGAAGATGTACACGACGGCGTATTGAGCGAGTGAGAGGATGGAGGTAATGTCTGGGTTGTGGCGACGCAGGACGGAGAGGTTTATCTCCTCGTTGGTGCGCGAGGGAGGAGCTGGCTGTTGTTGTTGTTGTTGTTGCATGTCGGAGAAGTAGGCGGCGTCGGATTCATAATCGGTGAACTGGTTGTGGGTGGGGTAGTTATTATTGCCGGGATGGTTATTGTTATTGTTTCGGCGAGGTTTTCGGGAGTTCATAGTGGGTATGAGGTGAGGTGGAGAGGGAGTGGAAAGTTGAGAGCTGGTGGGAGTATTTTCTTTTGAAAGGGAAAAGTGGTGAAGAAGTGAGGGCTGGGCCGATTGCGGGCATATCGTCATCGGGTCCAGAGCCAAAGTCGATCCGAGCTCAACTCCACCTCCCCTCCTGTTCTCTCCCTCCAACCTTCGACGACGGTCGCTACCTCGATTGCAATTGTTCTTGATCCATCTGATCTAGTTTGGCTTCAATTTGCCTTTCTCTAAGCCTTCGCATATACCTTGCGCAAGGACGTACTTCATGGCGCTACTTGCGCTCCGGACCCTGCCGCACTAAGCTCCGCCACGAGATGACCCCTCGAACACGAACACCTCCGACAATACACCTTTCCCTTCCGATTATCCCACTTTCCTCGGCATCTACAGACGTATGATTGCTACGGGCCATCAGAATATTGCTTTTCATCTTCCCGGAATTGAGAACCGCAGGCGATCTACACACTATCGCTTCTCTATATAACTTCAGTGTATAACATTGTCGCATTCATTTTCATAGCCTGCGAGAATTATGCGACGGACCCGATCTATTGACTGACACGCGAACGCACCTCACATCATCAGTCATGTCGGCCCGCGAGCAGCAGCCGGCGCCCCCTCCCGGGTCCGATCCACGAGAACATGCGGCCGAAGACGTCGAGGACATCGACAACCCGGGGCTTGATTTACAGTCCTTGTCGCTTGCGGTGAAAGCAAGAAAGGCAGATTATACCCGCCGGCAATCCATCCGAGTGAAAATAGGTACATGGAATGTGGCCGCTATCAACGGTACCGAGAAAGACATTGGAAAGTGGTTCGTGCAGGGACAAGGCGTGTCCGAGGAGTTCTCTGGCCTGAAGGGCTCGCAGTTCCGCCGGAATGTCACTACGAATGGATCTTCTTCTCCGAGTGGGGACGGTGATCCGAAGAAGGACGGCAGCGGCACCGCGCCTTTTCAGTGCAGCCCGGAAGAAGTCGATCTCTATGTTTTGGGCCTACAAGAGATCGTTGACGTTTCCTCTCCAGCTGAAGCTCTTCGACCATATACGGATCCCGGACCGGCAAGCAGGTGGAAAGAGGCCGTTCACCAAGCTCTTCCCCCAGGATACCAACTCGTTTCCGAGGTCCAGCTTTTGGGCCTCTTCCTTACCATCTATGCGTCACCCGCGATCCGCGACAGCATCTCTTCAATCAGTAGCACGTACGTGGGTACCGGGTTGATGGGGTACATGGGCAACAAAGGCGCCGTTGCGACTCGCATGGTCCTTGGGGAGACCACACGTCTGGTCTTTGTAAATTGCCATCTCGCTGCAGGGTCAGATAAAGGGAGTCTAGAACGGCGCAATTGGGACGCAATGCAAATCACCCAGCGGGCCAAGTTCGAGCCTGTGGAATCTGAAGATAAATCCCAGGAAGGCCAAGGTGATAGCATTGGCGAGGAGGATTTTACTTTCTGGTTCGGTGATCTCAACTATCGTCTCGACGATATCCCCGGTGATGATGTGCGACAAGTTCTCGCTCGGCACACGGAGAACTCGTATGACGCCGCACTACAGGGGAAGCACTCCAAGTCTGGCAGCCGTCGAAACTCTCACACCTCCAACTCCTCATCTGACAACGGACCGCCATCACTGCCCCCAGGAGGAGGGCTGCCAGAACCGGTAACGGATGAGGAGATCGATCCTCATAATGATCCGGCATCTCTGCAGACTACCATTTCATCTTTGATTACTCACGACCAACTGCGAATCCAACAGAAGAAAGGCACTGCTTTCCACAAGGGTTGGCGAGAGGGCCAGATCTCCTTTTTGCCAACGTACAAGTACGATGTTGGAAGTGTGGCGTTGTTTGATACTAGCGAGAAACAGCGTGGTCCTAGCTGGTGTGATCGGATTCTCTACCGTACGCGACGAGACAAGCTCAAACATGAACAGCTCGACCGGGAGGCCGAGGAGGCACGGAAACGAGACAAGGAGATGCAAGCTCGTGGATTGGACAAAGCAGTTGCTGATGATAATGTGCTATTTGACTATGATCCCGAGGTTGATGGTCAAGATGGCTCCGTTGAGGGTGGTGATTACGACTCGGACGCTGATGGAGATGACGATTCTCCCGCTGCATCCGAAGATGAGCCGCCAGAATCAATTCACCAGCATCATTATGTCTCGCACCAGGGTATCCTTTCGTCGGATCATAAGCCATTGGACGCTATCTTCACTTTGGCATTTGATGCTGTCAATCCCAGCTTGAAAGCAAAGGTACACCAAGAGGTTGTTCGTGAGTTGGACAAGGCCGAGAATGAGGCACGACCAGGTCTCACAGTCGTTGTGGATACCCATGTCGATGAAGATCGATCCCAACGTGATCCCAATACCATCGATTTTGGTGAGATCAAGTACGATGTCCCGGTTCATCGGAGCTTGACCGTTGCCAACACAAGCGGTGCCCCTGCGACTTTCTCGTTCGCCGAGAGGTCTACTCTGGGCGATAATACGCACGATATACCGCCGTGGGTGGATATTCAGGTTCATCACTCTTCTGACCACGAGCCAGCCTCAGGGGAGTCATCTAAATCCGAGAGCACTCATACTTTGCATCCGGGAGAAGTGGCTAATATCGACGTCACGGCGCATCTTCGGAGCATTGAGCATGTGCGGCTACTCAACTTGAAGAAAGCCAAGCTTGAGGAGATTTTGGTCCTCCATGTGGACAGCGGCCGTGATCATTTCATCTCTGCCTGCGGAAAATGGCTGCCAACTTGTTTCGGTTGCAGCGTCGATGAATTAACACGTATGCCCGAGGAGGGTGCCCGCTTCTTCAACGATGAAACTGTATCATCCCGGGAAAGGGGTGCGAATGAAGTACGGCTGTCAGCACCTCGTGAACTCTTCCGGTTGACTGAATCTATCTCCGAGCTGGCAGAACGCGCCGTGGCGGAATGGAGTATGACAAAAGGCGAGTCTGAAAAGGAACAAGCACCATGGACTAAACAGCCTGGCGGTTCTGCATGGCCATTCCAGCCGGATACATGGACTCTTACGGACCCACACGAGCGTGCTCCCCTTCTTGCTTCAGTTCGCGACTCTCTCGACACTAACGGTTCTCTGTCGAGCATCTTCGCACCGGAAACCCCTTCTTTGCACAGACTGGAGATCCTGTCCGAAACCCTCCTGACATTCCTCAACTCACTCAGCGACGGCATCGTCACTGCCGATGTCTGGCAGCAAATGGAGCAACACATGATCACCCGCGAGAAATCCAAAGCACCATCTCTATCATGGGAAGAAACCCAAGCCTGGGTCCTGGAGAGTCTCGCCTACTCGCCAGCACACAGCGTCTCCTTCACATTCGTCACCTTCATGCTCGCCCGTATCGCAAACGAAGTAGCCCCCGTCCCATCTACCATATCAACTTCCAACAAAGAAAACGGGCGAAATGACAACTCTACCAATTCCATAAACAACGAAGAACCAAGCACATCTTCAGAATCTACCTTTACATTCCCAACACCGCCCACTCCAGCCTCGGCGGCAGCTTTTATATCCGGAGGAAGTTTCCGCCGCAAACCAAAACTACCAGATCCCGAGGTCGTGTCGAGTAATTCGACCAACGCTGCAGCACGGCGACAGGCCGTCGAGTTGGCGTTGGCGAATATCTTCGCCCGTGTCTTGATTTCAGCCGCTGTTCCTGTCCCGGTGAAGGATAAGGAGCGTCGAGCGTCTGATGAGCGGAAGGAGAGTATTATTGAGCCATTTTTGAAGATGATTGGTGTTGACGAGCGGGGTCCCTCTGGGGGTCGATAATCGTTTACTTGAATGGATGTTCTTGTTTTATTCGACTGTATATTGATTGTATGCTTGTTTTGGGGTGGCCTCGGGGATTTGGTAATGGATTGTTGGTTCTTTGGTAATGTCCGGTGCGAGTCTCAAGGTGGGGATTATAGACTTGATGTTTTTGCAATGTCTTTCATGAGAATATAGGTTGAATGTTCAGATATTATGTACAATTCCGGTATGCCATACCCTATCCTATAGGGTACAAATCCCATCCACACACCCATAACGTTCCCTCTTGACCAGGGCCATGGCCCAATGAGAATGAAGCACCAATAATGAATACCAAGAAACACGAAAATAGCCCAAAGGAAAGAGAATGAGAGAAGAATACGACGCAAAACCGAATGGTTATATCACCAAAAGAGACTTCTATACCCTCCAAACTCGAAGATTACCACCTACCGCACAGCACCCCATACAGATTCAAAAGACTGCTGCTGTACATTCCTCCCAGGGGAAACGGCCGGTGATTTAGCCTGCGTAGCCTGCGACGTATACTTTGACCCAGTCACCGCTCTAGACTTGCCTTTGCCACTTTTTGACCGTGGTTTGGGACTAGGGCTTGTAAGACCGAGCATCCGCTGCGCGGCTAGCAGACAGCGACAGGCAATGCGGCCGGGGAGATTGAGAATAGAAAGGGCGATCTGGGTGGGGACAACGATACAAGCGCAGGCCCAGTCGATGAGAATAAAAGCGTAACTCTGGCGACGATTCTGACTAGCGCGTTGCGCGGCTGCGGCGAGGCCAATTGCGTCGTGCGTTTGCGCTTCGAGTTGTTGGAAGCGGGTATCCGTTTGGAGGGCTGTGAGGGCTGTACGTTTCTCATAGCGGCGCACGGCACGATTGAGAGCTTCAATGTCGGGGCCTAGAGTTCGGCGGGATTCTACTACTGCCTGCGTGATGAGGTCTGGAGAGTCTTTTGGATCTGGGGAGGATGAAGAGGCGAAACGGGCAGCAGCAGCTTCGGCGACGTGCGCTTCTAGTTCTTCGAGACGCTTGGTGAGATCTTGGACTTTCTCAGTGTTGATTTCATCGTCGTGGTTTGATGCGACGACGCGTTGGAGATGAAGGGTTCGTGCTTGGCCGAGCTTGAGGAGGTGGGCGAATGGGCGAATCTCGGATGCGAGCAGGAATATGGTGAGGTTGTAGTTTGAGACTAGACCTTCCGAGGGTCGAGAGAGGCTAGATCTAATAGCGTGTAGGAGCCAGGTGCCAATAACTGGGAAGACGAAGCATGAGCCGAGGGCGATTAGCTCGTGGATCTGGAGTTCTTTAATAGCTTTTGCTTCTGCTGCGGCTCGCAAGTGCTTTTCACGTTTTTGGCTGTCAGCTTGCGAGTCTATGGCTTCTTCATTCTCGTCAACCTCAGCCAGCTCTTCAGCGACGGGATTGAAGGTATCTCCTTCTCGTTGAATTGCCTGTGCTGAGCGATACCAGTCCCTTTATACCGTTAGCTTCTCTGCAGTATATGACCGAGGATTCAAGTCAAACGTACCATGGTAACCGAACGGACCAATTGAGAAAGATAGCAGCTAGCACTAACAAGGTCACGTCCGTGACGAAGGAGCTCCCATTATGAAAGAAAATCCCCGCAATAGCAGGTAAAAGGGCTAACACCAGCGGTGCAGAGTGCCAATGCGACTCCTCCGAGGCAATGGGGTCATCTTGATCCCTAGTGACTCGTGGGAGAAACAAGTCATCCGTAGACGACCGAATAGAATTGCGCGCCTCAGATATCGAGTCAGACAGGGTTGAATTGCGGCGCTGCGCCCACTCGGTCGAGGAGCCTTCTATAAAAGTTGCGGCGCGCGCGGAGAGGCCCCGGCGGCGGATCGAGCTGGTGGCTGGGGTATTGCGGGGCGGAGGCGCGGAGGGTGGAGGTGATAATGATGAAGAAGGCGGATCGGCCATGGTTCAGTGTAGAGACGATGGTCGCATTCAGAGACAGCCAACAGGGGGGAGAGTGAATCAAGGGGTATTCACAGGGCCAAGGGAGGGAAGTAGTAGTTCCTCCGAGAAGGTGGAGGAGTTCGCCAGTTGGGCATCTGCAAGTGACGCCGAAGTCCCGAGGAAAAGTTACGGTATTGAGAAGACAGGATGGATGAGTCAGCATTTAATGATGGAAAAGTCGAGGACTCTTTCTCAGGATTGGAAACTGGATTTATGTCTAAAAGGGATCATTCTGGAATTAAAATTCTGTAAGAGATAGACATACCGCCAATTCAAACTTCTATTGAATTCTTTGTTATTTAGAGTAGTAGTATAGACTTGTTCCTTTGTGCCTCGGCAGGATATAATACCTGTAAAATACAGTAATCTCAAGCTCTCAGGCCACGAGGCCACCACTTCTCTTCTTCTTTTCTCTTTACTTCATCGACCTCGGACCTCCCCTGTCAACAAGTCTAGACTGCATGGCCAAGATTGACCATGTCTAGTCAACCAATTGTGGATCACAGGCAGACAAGCCATGATCAATTCCACCTGACAACTAAGTGGTCGATCCATGGGGATCTGAGCGAATCCATGGCGCTGACTGGCCGGATGAGCGGGCCCCCACGGCTCTATTCACACCCCAAAAGGGTAACGCTTCGTCTGATTTCCCCCCAAAGCAGCCAAATTAGACTCTTTCCCAACTGTATCTTTCTTTGATCTTGAGTTGCCTGCTAATTGCCCTAGTCAGCTATGTCTACTTCAATGGCCAGGTTCCGCCGCTGTCGCGGATTCCCATCGCAAAATCTACTGCTGGTCCTAGCACTGCTGCCAACATACTATCCATCTGAACTGTGCCTTCGCATCTTCTCCCCTTTTGTACAAAGATGTCTTGATCCAGGCTACTCTCTGATCCTATTCAACACCTCAACAGGAGTCTCCCTGTCTCTCGGAGTTCGTGTTTGGCACAGGCTACTATTCCTGAGTAACCTAGGCCCCTTGGGGTAGCCTGCACTCTGATACACTTTTAAGTGGCAGCAGATGGGTGTTCCCCGAGCGACTATTTAGTTCTCAACCTTCTCTCGAAACCTCTGCTTTAAATTAAACGGATCATTGCTTCGTTGCTTCAACAATTGCGTTCTCGTCCATCATATTACTACCTGAAACCCGATTTATCAAATTTCAAATCGACCCAAGTTCAGGTTCCTGTCGTGGCCAGCCATGGATGACATCGACAAGCGTTACCCTATGGCTACGGTCATTCCAGTGCTTTCGTTCCTCTCAATCGCCGTCTGCATCACGCCGCTTATTCTGCATGCAAAGAACCGCAATCTACCCGCCACGAGTCTCATTTGTTGGACTATTCTGCTGAATCTGTTCAACATCATCAATGCCTTTCTCTGGCCCACAGACAATGTAGGCTCGTGGTGGGATGGGACTGGCCTTTGTGATGTCGAAGTCAAACTCATGGTCGGCAGCTATGTCGCTTTCCCTGGTGCCCTGGTTGGCATCTTCCGTGGTTTGGCAATCGTCCTTGATACTGCAACTGCCACGCTAGTTCCTAGCAAGGCCCAACGCTGGCGTAAACGGGCCATGGAGCTGCTCTTTTGTGTGGTTGTCCCAGTTATTGCAATGATTACTCACATTGTGTGGCAGGAGAGTCGGTACTTGCTCTTCGCGATTTCGGGCTGTGTAAACAACTTCGACTACAGCTGGGTGACATTCGTGCTGGCATACATGTGGCCGCCCATTATCTGCTTGATCGCCGCATACTACTGCTGTAAGTGGCCTTCTTCCTTGTTCCTTGCCCTAATCAAACACTAATTAATTCCTACTCTAGGCCTGGTAATCATTCGCATGCGCAAGTACCGCAGTGATTTCAGTCTCATCCTGCGTTCCGCCAACAGCCGAATGAACAAGTCCGGCTTCCTGCGACTGTTCTTCCTTGCTTTCACCATGCTCGTGGCTATCTTGCCCAGCGAGGGGTATGTAGTCTACTACAACTTGAAACTCTCTTTCCCCTGGCACCCATACTCATGGAGCCGAAACCATGGACCGGAGTGGTACCAAATTACCAAGTATCCGACCCAGGGACAAGTCTTTTTCGACCGCTGGACCCCAATTGCCGCTGGCTTCATGCTTTTTATCTTCTTCGGCTTCGGTCGTGATGCCACGCGTATTTACCGCATGTTCCTCTGGCGCTCTGGCTTGGGATACTGCTTCCCCGTTCTTGCTCGTCCAACCGACTCGCAAGCTACCGAAAGCTCGCACTCAACCACTCTGGTTGGGTCTACTATCAGTCGAGCCAAGCTTCTGTTTAGTCGGCGCAAGGGTTCTGCTTCACAGTATGATGTCTCTCAACTCTTTTCACTATAATGAACCTTACTAACCCGCGAGTAGTACCGGAAACAATAACTCTCTATCCTCCCACCCCGACATCTACAGCCAACTCGAAAAGGGCTCTCGCTCCCGATCCCGCTCACAGCATAGCCGCGGCCGCGACATTCCCAAGCGCCGATGGTTCCGTATGCCATGGTCTCGCTCCAAGAACGGAGGCCGCCACAATGAGGACACTCTGTTGGATGACCTGTCCGGTCCCTCGCAAACGGTCTGCACTACTGCGTGGGCGGGCGCTAGCCAGAGCAGAGCTAGCAGTGAGATTGATGTCCCTGCTTCATCTGGGAGCAAGGAAGGTATTAAGGTCAAGCAGGTTATTAGCCAGCAGAGTCAGGTGGAGGTTTAATTGACTCGCTGAAGGGCTTTCTGCAACTCGCTTTCTTTTGATTCTAGACATTTCGTGCTCAGTGCCGTTTCATCCTGTACTTTTAGTTAACCCTATTCCATTCAAGAGCTTCGGCCAAAGCTAGATTTCTGCCACAGGCTCAATGCACACAATTCCATCACATCCGTCCCCAACTTTCCCAAAATACGAGTCTCTTTTACACTGGCCACCACCATTTAGTTTATCCGAGATAATCCACATAGGAACGGAGTGTATTCAGGGTATACTAGTACAGTAAAATCACAGAGCAAGATAGACAAGAGATCCGACCTTATCAGGAAACAATTCGTACCGGGCACGCATACACATGGATGTCGGTCAGATCGAGCTCCCAACGTCGAGATACTTAGATCCACGCGTGCTCTCAAAGAACGCCAGAAATTATAGCCGCATCGATGGCCGCCGATGGTATGTGAGCTAAGGGTTAAATGGGTAGCCCATCTAGTGCTCCTCGGAGCTGTTCGTAGGGCGGCTGAGGACCTCGAGGGAGCCTGTGTAAATATGGAAGTTAGATTTCTGTAATTGATGAAAGGACTGGGGTTGGGCCGTACGCTGGACAATGTTCAGATTGGAGTGCCTCTTGCCATCGGCATCCTCGTAGCTACGCATGCTGGCATCACCCTCAAGGTAGACGAGGGTTCTATAAATCGCGTAAGACATATTAGCAATCCATATAACAAAACAACAATTCTTCAAGCTCCACAAGCTCCGAAAAAAGTTCCTAATCAAGGATTCCAACATACCCCTTGGGCAGACCCAGAATGAAATCCCGCTGCGAACCCTCAGGCAAGAAGCTAGCAACGCGGAACCAGCTAGTCTGACGGTTCTCCTTAGAGCCATAAGAAGTACCGATGGCGTACTTGATGACGTCCTGGCCGGAAGCGGTAGCCTGCAACTCGGGCTCGGCGGCCAGACGGCCAGTGATGATCATGCGGGCAACGGAGCGCGAGGCGGAGGAGCTGAAGCCGCGTGAGGCCTGGGCGGCGGTGCGGGCAAGGCCCAGGGTGGGGCGGAGAGAGGTGAAGGCGGACATTGTGAGTTTGTGGGAGAGAGTGTGTGGTGATGGATGGTTAGACGGTGATGATGGTATGTATCTGTTGACTTCAGAGGAATCGTGTTGGGTCGTTGATGTCGACGCGGAACGCGCGCGCGGAGAGTCATGTGATCGCGGCTGCATCGGGAGTTATTGGTTCTTTTTGGAAGTATATCGATTAGGATCTTGGAGTCAATGTCTTGTATGATTATTGTCTTCTAATGCCAGTCTTTAAATGAAAAAGTAAATCGAAAAACGAATTCAAGGTCAAGTCACACTGAGCCACCTGTATTCCATCAATTTGTCAATCATCCACACTCGTATCCAGCGGAAAGCTGTGGCATTCGCTCCACCAAGACCGACGATCCTCCCCTCCTGGCCAGATCCGTTGGAATATCTCATCCAGCTCTGAACATAGGGGGACCTGACGCTTTTTGCGGATATGAAGAGGTGTGGAATCTCTCACCTCTTCCGCTGTCAAGTCTCCCTGATGTCCCTCACGGGTGTCTCGGCGAATAATCCACGACGAACCTAAGAGTTCCACTAGTTCTAACAGACTGTATTCCATATACATACTCCATGAGATGGAGATCTTGATTGCTTCTAGTCCTTGCATGCCATGACTCTTAGCAGTGGAGATGATGCGAAAGATAGCGCAGGCAAGATCTTTGTCCACCACAGAAGTGATCATGACATCTCGAATGTGGCCCTTGCGGAACTGCAAATCACGCAAGTATAGATCCGTGAGTTCATTGTCAAATTCGTCGAATGATGGATCGCTCGGTGGTTTGATCCCTTCAGCAGACCGCTGTTCCGGAGAAGCTCTGGTCCATTTATCTCGACGAAACGTCGCGCTCATGGCATCGAGCTCCAAATTGAGATACTTGAGACCTCGTAGAGTGCCCAAAGCTCTGTAAAAGGCCACTTCCTTTCTGTCACCCTTTGAACGATGGATCGAAATTAAAAAATCCTCCAAAAGCGGACAATACCTTCCAAGTTGAAGATATCCTGTTCGTTCACATGTTGCCAGGCCTCCAAGAAACAGCTCAAATCTAACTTGCGCAGTCGAGAACCATGGGTTGTGATAAGACTGTCAATAGAGATATGTGAATGCCATCCGAATAGAGTGAGAACTGACAATGGCGGAAGCTTGGTGAGGAATTGCTCCACCGACTGATAGTGTGCGGCCCAACGCTTTCCACGGTAATCAGAATCTTGAGGTCTGATGTCCATGGTCAAAGACGCAAGACTTCGAAATCCGTGGTCCGACATCGCATACTTTATCATCATGCCAATCGCTCTTTTGTCCAGGCTAGGTTGAATCGAAAGACTTTCCAACTTGGCGAAGTCGACAGATTGGCGCCATTCTCGCAATGCTGCGCCTTCGATAGATTTACCCCGGTTGCTGTCATGAAAATATAAGCTTTTCAGTGAAGCAAGTTGCAAGGCGCTCCCATCTGAAGCCTCCGAGGTCAATCTCTGAAGTTCAAACGGGGCCAAAGGCTTTCCATGGCGAGGACTTGACCTCTCGATTTGTTTTCAGATTTGAGGCGAGTCCCAAAACCCCAAACAGACCCCCTGCTTGCAGCCGGGCGATGCCTGCGTCATGGTCATCCTCAATGTCGTAATGTATCATGATACGGTAGAGATTTGGCGATCTCATCAAAGCAGAATACTGAGGAAGCATACCCGAGACCCCTGGAGTATGGATCCAGAAACCTTGTATGTGAAGCTTACATCCCGGTCGGAGTACCTCTAGTAGATCGAGTGGGAAAACATCTGAAAGCCGGTATATCAAATCTGACAAAGCAGGCAGGTCTTGAATCAAATCGGCTACCGGATTCCACCCCTGGTCAGAAACAGTATCCACGGAAGATATGTGAATCCCATAGAGGCGCCTGTCTAACATATCGGAATACTGAGTCGTGTATGTATGGGCGGACTCATCACTCCGAAGTTCAGAGAACTTTGGTGGCTCCCAATCGTCACTAGAAATGACTCCGTCTTGCTTTGTGGCTATGATAAGTCGCCGAACCTGTCGAAAACTATCTGCCTCCTCAAGCTTCTTCCGAAGAGTGCCGACGACTTGGGAAATGTCTTTTTCGGAATCGATGGATATCTTGATGTCATGAAAGAAGACCAAATTGATAGCCGAGCGACACCACTTGTAGGAGGACTTGTTGACGCATGCAAGGCTCAGAAGCGATGGAGGATCCTCATAAGCCAGGTACTCTGTGATCAGCTCAAAAGTTTCTGGCGGAAGAGCCTGAAGCGACATGGTGGTGGCTTGAGAGAAGTCGATTATCCTTGTTCTGGGAGGGTTGAGGGAGGGTTTAAAAGGCAAGTTTGTGTCAAAGAAGAGTTTCAACCATGGGGGTCTTTCATTTTGAGAGCGTGGAAGGGAAAGTGCCGGCAAACATTGAGCCACGACATGAATATTACAGTCTATACTATTTGATCTTCATGTCGCAGAGCCTCAATCCTCTTTCCCGGATGGCTTTTTTAGCCGACATTATCCGGCCATTCATTGATTAGCTCGGGTTCATAAGCGACATCTTTGCCCTCTCAGCGTCATTTCAGCCTCTTTATTTCAAGGAGACTTCCACAGAAATGGATCACAGCCTAACCAGGCCTCTGCCAGAGGCACCATAGGCAACCCTTACGAGATTACGATGGCGATGCCTCGGGTGTCAGTAGCATTCTCACACTTCCAAATGAGCTCTTGAGCAGAATTCTAGAGCAAGCTATCGTCGCTCTGTCGAAGAACCACCCATGATCTAGCTATGATCCAGACTCGATTAGGGCTGTCGCTCTTACGTGTCGGCGTTTCAGCCAATTAACCCTGCCTTATTACGACCGCAAGATAGTATGCGACTATAACATGAGTCTCGTCCCTCCGGATGACCGACTCAAACAATTATTTCGCACATAAAAGGCCAATCCTTCGCTTGGTCTGCATTGCCGATTGTTCCATGTACACATACCCTACAGGATAGAGGAAGAAATCGAGCTTGCTGAGCAACTGCCAGTCTTTGTCCCCAATGTCAAAGAGATGTACATTCGTGGAGACTTTAGCAAGGACAGGGACAATCGGCCTTGGGCGTTTTTGAGGGCAGGTGTACAGCATGTGCATCAGCTTGAGCGTGTGAACGTACAGCAGGAATCCGCTGCAGGCCTTGAAGTGAATGATTTTCTTACAGTGTTTTAAGCCTCCTCTCTTAAGAAATTGCAGGTTTGTCACTTTTCCAAGGCAACTTGTCAAGTAAAAGACTTGAAGGTAGGAAGAGGCATTGATGGACTCGTCAAATGAGTGACATCCCAATAACCAGCGAGAATGAATAGATTCTAAACACCTCAAACCTTAAGGAAATGGAGATTGTCGACTTCGCCGATGGTGTAGAGGGATTTAGAAGACTACTCAGCTGGCCAGAATCTCTTTCCTCCTTCCAATTTCGCGGACGCTACTATGGAATTGGAAGTCACATAGATCTCCCCCGATAAAGGATAGGCTTCTTACGCATAAGGACAGTCCCGTGAGCCTCGAAATTGCGCAGCCCCCTCGTGAAATCCAAGTCAAGTTTTGTAATTTCTCTGAATTTTCCGCTCTGGAAAAGCTGTCCCTATCACGATGGCTATTTGCGAAATCCAAATAGAAGTTACAAAATTCGCTGCAGATATTTGAGAATTGTCTTTCGCTGCCACGGCCGAGCAAATTTACGTGGACTTTTGAAGTCGGGGGCGGAGGCAACAAATGGTTGAAATGGGATGACTTTGAACATAAAGAGGCAGCATGGATTCGAAAACTTGCACGAACTGCGATTGCAATGAAGTCTTTGCTCCGAAAGATTCGAATTCTTTTTGGCCCGCTGCGTATTGAGTATGGGGAACGGTATCCTGAATATCCGTGGGATCGTATGGATGCGTTGAATAAGAATTTCCAGCCTCAGGGTATAGAGATCACCTACTGGGAGCCGGGGACGACAAGAGAAGATTGGGCTAGGAATCACGCTGCAGACCATATCAATGAAGCCAGGATTGGGTTTAGATAAGAAGATAGGGATAATTTGCGTGATATATGCTTTAATGGATTTGAACTGACCGTGGAGGCATTTGGGTTTGAGGATTTGAAATCAATACCTCTATTCTTGCTAGAAAACAGTCAAATTCAAATTAAGTTTCTCCTGACATTAAGCTTTTGGAATAAAATAATTCAGACTTCTTCTGGTAGAAGCCTATGCCACTCGTACGGCATGTGCTCGCTTATCATTACGCTGCATTGATATTCCAGGTCAAACAAGCCGAAGGGCTTCATGAAGATCGCAATCATCGCATACGGCAGCCTGTCCCCCTATTCCATACTTCGTATACCTTTGAAACCAGCCTTTGAACTAATATCCACCAAATTATCAATCCGAGGCGAGCCTCTACATAAATAGCCTCAGAATACGGGGTACAAAAGTATGATAAGAACGGGCGTCTACTAGGGAATACCCTCTCCAGTCTAGCGCGCGTAAAGAGCACAAGTTTAGCATGATCAATAAGCCAATCTGTAAAGTAGCGCAAATCTCCCTTACGCCAAACCATGGTTCACAGCATCGATCGCGGGCGGCAAGCGCACAATTAGCAATCTCCTTTCCCGAATGGTCGCCAAAGCTTACCAGTAAGCGGTCGTCAAGAACGCCAGTTAGGGCAACCAGCGTGCCGCTCGCGAAAGTTCCGAGATAATAAAGTTGGGTGAGGCCGCCCCCTCGGCACCCCAAGGCTTCCATAGGGTGGTATTAGTGGTCTTGAGAAGGCGAGCAAGGTTGCGGGATCCAGTTGATAATACGAGGGCCGGACACAAATAGCATGAATTCTTTCCATGGATGAATGATTACAGAGTGGAGATGCCGTAGCGGTTGTCCCCGTCGCGATGTTTGGGTCAACCGAACCGTGCGGTCACCCCGGCAAATAGGGACACGATGCACTGCCAGTAGGGACCATTTTCTTTGTAAACAAACATTTCCAGTCCTCTACTTCGTTGCTTAACTTGCTTTGCTAGGCTGATCGTTCAGTTTAAACGAAGTATGATTGACCGTAGTCTAGATGCTTCTGATCTGACGTAGTAGCATCGAATGGAACAGGCAGAGACGTTAACTGATGGGTCTGTGGCTGGGCGAAAGTACAGCCACCAGCCGCGGTGTCCAGGACAACATATTGACGGTGAGAGAGCTGTCACTTTTGCCACGTTGATCGGTCTTGGTGTGTCCGAATCGGTTAGTTAGTCGTGCACTGCCAACGAGTCAATCTGATCCTCGCCACACGAGGCTGTCTTATCAATGATAGTGTAGATATTGATATGATTGCTTCTCCGGTGCCGCGGCATTTCTTTTCCATGTTCTACCTTCCTTTCTAGATCGATTGAATGATGTATAGGCTAACCGTGTCAAGCATAACAGAGATTAATGCTTTCACGGCCCTGAGCGGGAAAAAAAAAAAAAACTTAATTCTCCGCTTTGGAAAACGATAGCGGAGTCTTCGGGGAGAGGAGCCGCGCGGTAACGAATGGGATAACTGATTTTACCTGGTGGGCCTCTCGCATTTGCGGCGCTGCCGACATTGTTGCCCCTGGCGAAGTAACGAAGGACGGACCCTCTCCTTACGCCGGCTTTACAGGATAAATCCATTATACTCCATACTAACCAACAGATTATTGACCGTTAACGAAGCATATTCTTGGAAGACAACGGCCACCGTCTAAACTCTCTCTAATATAGAGCCAAGACTCCAGGCTACACAACTAACCCTCCTTAGCCACACCACCGGGACCTTGTAGGTGGAAATGACAGGTCCAACATCCCTGAAGGTTAACGGGGGTTAACGTGAAACGTGAAACCTCCGACCCAACAGTGTGGCCAGGCCCGTGCTTCCCGCGTTAGTTGCAGTGCTCGTCCTGTTCTTGTGATGCGAATGGACGGGGAGACGGCGATGTGGGCTTGTGTCCGCAACGGCGGAGATTAGACTGACCCTCTTGATGTCGGGTATGCTATCATAGAATTTTCTGTCGACCTTTCCTTTTCTCGAATAGTCGTGTCTTGGAATGTTCTTTTTGTAAAGGATTTTTAATGTTGATCGCCGGCACAGACAGCTCGAATTTCTTCCGGCGAATTTCCCGCACTGTCCACTATTCTAACGAGCCTCGTCTGGAGCTGGGCTTGCGATCTAGGCCCAGTTAATTTATTTGCATGGCGGAGGCAACTCAGTACATTTCAAGGATTGGGATTAAAGAGCCTCGGGTAGGATCTATAAGCGATGCATACCGCGATAGTTTAGGTAAAGCTGTCGATGTACCTATAAGCGTCCTTTTGTATCTTTGCTATGAAACCCCTAGGGCACGGCCAAATTGACGGGCAAGAACCGAGTCCGTCGCGGATGACACAACAGTTCGTGCACTGAATAGGAAGTTCGCAGAACATGCGAATTGACGCCCGTTCCTTGCAGTCGCATCACCGATGCTAGTGCTGACTCGGGAATACCTCCGCCACGGCAGGGTGAGCACGGTGCACACTAAATCGGACGATTGACCTGTTTTCCAACCGTGCTCTACGTCAATTCCCTGCATATGACGATTAATATTCATTATCTCTACAACGTTTTAGAGCAAAGGAAGCAAGGTCCTTGAGAGGTGATCCAATGGTCTTGCAGATTAATCTATCGTGTCCGATGTACACCCGGTCACAGGATTTCTGCACTATAATTCGCGTACACCTGGTAGTCTAGTTCGGTAGGAGACAAGGCGGGAGGGAATCAATCCGATTGTGTCCTGTTTCAAGTGGCTGCGAAGTATTGTAGCACACATAGTATAGATGAACTTGTTAGCTCTAAGCGTGTAGCCAGTCAAAGAAGGACGAATCCTCCATCTCGCGTGCAGATGCATGTGAATCTAGTGGAATTCCACGAGTCAAACCAATTCCATTGTTTTGCCGGAGCGAACATGGGCTTCGCACCTCTAGCCTTCCCGCGGTGAACCATAATCAGAAACCTAACCAGCCGGTTTCCTTGGTTCAGCGCGGGGCGCGTATATCGCCACGATCTAGATCCATAAGGAGCCGACGAACGTGGGCTGATTTGAATCCATGTTCATCATCATAGATTGGATATCATGCAGGCAGTATATATACATTCAATTACCTACTTAGTGCTCGCATAATCCAGAGCCAACCTCAAGATGACCTATGTCCTGGCCAAGATTAATAATAATCCCTAAACGCCGGTCATAGACAACACCTATCGAGGATAGCGGATTGTCCGGGCGTTTGTCCATACAATTGCCTGCATCGTGGGCGCGGTCCACCGTGTTTCCGTCCGTGCACGGCGTGCGGCATACAATCGTGCATCGAGGCTTCTCCCGGCACCTAGTGTTCACTAAAGTGCTTCTCCCTCCGTAGTCTGTCCCGAAAAGAGGTCGTGGTCCTGGCTTTCGACGGAGGAGGGGTGGTCCCCTTTTCGGGGAAGGCCTGATCGATATCCGCGCGATCTGACTAGACTATACACGTACCCTTCTTCCGTTCTCTCCCCTTCTTTTGTTCGATTTCGGAGGGACTATTTGGTCAATCAGTTCTGGTTCTGACCTCATTTTTGGCGATCTTCGTAATATTATTAATGACTTATTTGAGACTATTGCCTATGCCCTATGCCCTATGTTCCCTGCAATAGTTTAGCTATTCCTTTATCCTTTTAGGCAAATTGAATTAGAAAAATTCAGAATGAAAATCTCCACGAAAATAAGAAATAAATCCCCCCCCAATTAGAAAAACCAGACATGTTAGTAGACCCTTCCGCGGAAGTATTTTCAGGGTTGTGAAAACCGTAAATCTGCCTTCTGAAGCAAACCAGGAGGCACCCTACTCCAGTTAGTTCCGTAGTTCGTACCTGGTACCTCATTCCCTGACGTCCTACTCCACTGATTCCCTAAAGATGCTCCTTAGTGGCGTGTAATAGGTACTACCGTAGGTTTGGCTTAATCTTCTTCCCCTCCGTACTCGTTTCCTTCCCCCACTTCCGAGGGTCGCAATCCTGTGCCTCGCTATCGCTAACCTTTTTTTGACTTCTAAACTTCTATTTCCAGGGGTATCGAACTCGTTTCCATTCCAGTTCCCCCCTGATACTTGGCCTTTCCGCGTTATTCACTAACGTGCTCTCAATAATCCATGATGCTCCGCTATTAACGGTAGCTCAACGGCTCCGCCTTAGTTATACTAAAATTATTATTCCCTTGTCGCCCTCGTTCCCTTTCCCCCACTTGATGAAGGCTGGACGGGGCGAACGAGCTAAGAGACTAGAGGATCCCTAAACCGTGGAGATTGTCAAGAGTCCGGCCACCGACCGCCCCGCCCGAGCATTTCGGAGCTTGGGAAAAAAAATTATTGCCCTATTTATTTGATTTTATCCCAGATTTATTATTGTCTGATTAATTTGATTATTATTATTATTATTAGTATCTCAGTTCCATTATACCCAGATCCCATCTCCGATTCTCGAAAAAAAAGTCAACTCCTCCAACAATCAACAAGCAACAGACCATCAATTGAACGGCTATTAACCCCCCCGCCAAACGACCCTGATAATACTGTGAATTCGATCCGACTACTACTCTCCGTCTTCTTGTCACCATCACAGCGTCTCCACTCTGAAATCCCGGGGCACAGGGGAAAAAAGAAGCAAAACGCAAGATAATCCTAGAATCAAAGACAAACGGACAACGCATAACGAACGGGCTTTTACGAAACAACGAGAACGGAACCCTCCGCCGCCATGGGCTTGTTCAAGCGCAACTCCAAAAACTCCGTGCAGAGCGACAGGGATGAGCAGGAGTCATTCGTTTCTGTCAACAGTGCCCGAACCTCCAACACTTCTATCCGATCCCCTGGATACAAGGGCAGTGGCATACCGGCTTCCATCCCCGAGATGCCCATTGCGAAACCGCCTGACCCGGCATTGGACCCCGCCGCCTATCTCCGCAGCATTCACGCCGTGCGCGAGCGCGCTAATATTGTCCTCGATGCGGCCAAGCGCAACCAGTTGAACCATTTTGATGTTGACATGAGCAAATTCAAGGCGACGGCGCAATATGTTGTGTCTATTATCAAGGTAATACAATTGAACTACCGAGAGACTATCTATAGTTATCCATTTGCGCAATGTGACTAATTGGGGTCATCGCAGCGAGACTATGCTCCCGATTATCAGAATATCCCTCCGCACGGTCGTTGGCAACACTTTGACGTCGGTGGTAGACCTCGGATCAACCAATTGCTTCAGTCTTGGCCTAGTAGTATTGACTCGCAAGAACGTACTCGCCGGCTGATCGATTTGTTCGTGGTTTCTGTGCTACTTGACGCCGGTGCCGGCACCAAGTGGTCATATAAGTCCAAGGAATCTGGCAAAGTGTATTCGCGTAGCGAAGGGTTGGCCGTCGCGAGTCTGGAAATGTTCAAGTCTGGTCTTTTCAGCAGCGATCCAACGGAGCCATGTCAAGTCGATGGGGCGGGCCTCAAGAAGGTTACCGTTGAGAAGTTGGCAAAGGGGATGCAGCATTCAGAGCAGAACTCGCTGGCCGGTATTGAGGGACGTGCTGGGCTATTGGTGCGCTTGTCGGAGGCACTTAACAACCAAGACTTTTTCGGCGTGGATGCAAGACCTGGAAATATGCTAGGTAGGGGGAATTTGGTCGTGTGCGATTCGAATCGGGTTTCTAACTATAATTCGCAACAGATTATTTGCTCGGACACCCATCGACACTCGCTTCTTCGGTGCCTATCGTTCCTATCACTACGCTGTGGTCTGTTCTAATGGACGGCTTTTCCTCCATTTGGCCACCTTCACGGACACAGATTGATGGCGTAGCCATTGGCGATGCCTGGCCGAGCTCACTCCTTCCCCAATCTCCACCCGCTCCTGCATGGGAAAACATCATCCCATTCCACAAGTTGACGCAATGGCTTTGCTATTCGATCATGGTGCCCATGTCCAAGCTGATGGCCATTCATTTCGCCGGTAGCGACCTCTTGACTGGTCTTCCCGAGTACCGTAATGGCGGTCTTCTAATTGATATGGGTCTTTTGAGCATGAAAGAAGCTGATATGGAGCGTGGTCTCCGATCATTCAGGGAGAATGCCCAAATCAAGGGACAGCCTAATATGGAGGTTGTGCCTTTGTTCTCGACAGATGACGATGTCATTGTGGAATGGAGGGCTGCCACAGTTGGCTTCTTGGATGAGCTCCTAGACGAGGTTAACACTCAGTTGGGACTCACTGGCGCAGAGGAACAGCTCACTCTGGCACAGATGCTAGAGGCTGGAACATGGAAGGTTTGTTTTACCCCTTCGTGAGCTAAAGTTCTTGAAAAATGTCCTAACAGGTAATTATAGGGTGGACGTGAAATCGCCGAAGTCTCCAGGCCAAACACCAAGGAGCCGCCTATTATGATCCGCTCCGATGGCACCGTCTTCTAATGCACTATACGTACGAGTTAATGGATGATTGGATACCTGACGGAGCACCGATCCTACCTTTTGCTTCTCTTCTTACTTGGGATAGGTGCTCTGTCCTAACTTTATGAACCGTTGATGACCTTTTCTTTTGTCTTTCTTCCGCTTCATTTCAATTTTTTTTTTCGATTACACTTCTTTCGTGGACGGCTCCCTCGATGCTTGTGTTTTTATAGCTTCTTGGCTTCTGGAGGTTTATTTTATTTCTTCTTCTTCCGATCGAGGCCTTTTGCATGCATAGTGCTGTTTCAGCAGTACGCGGTTGCGTTTCTTTTTCGGATACCACTTTTTGATTACTTTTTTTTACTTCTTGCACTTGCTTTTAACAGCTATTTTTGTCTTTTTGCACACTTTACATAGCTGGCATCTTTACATATGAATTCCTCTTAACACCATTGACTGTATTAGAAATGCATTCTCCTCAATACAGACTTCCCAATCTGTTCCACTTCCTTGCTAATGTCGTCATTCCGCTACCTCGGTTATGTGACATATCTACCATTGTCGTATGCGCAATGTTACAAGAATCCTACCTCTCTCAGAAACACGGATCATTAACCTTTCAGTAATTTCCGAAACACTTGCAAGCTCATAATTAAGGTTCCCCGGCTTTCGTGGAGCTCCCCCTGGAACCACCATACCAGGTCATGTGACCATTCACCGGGGCGAGGTTGATCCGCTCACTCCGCATTTGAAGGCTGGAGCTACTCTACTTCCTTCCTCTCTCCAGTCACCCCCAATTCCCTCGATAAGACCCGGTCATGCGTTATTCTTGCTGAGGACATCCCATCGGTCAACCTGACCTTCCTCCAGCTTTATCGCCAACCTCAGTCGTCTCCCATAAGTACCCGGGCCCGCCCCCGCTCTTGCGGGGCTATCATCCGAGCTCAGCGCCAACCTAGCAGATCGCCAGCATGGACGCCCGCAAGAAGAAGAGAAAGGTGTTGCTCATGGGCAAGAGTGGTTCGGGCAAGTCGTCTATGCGCTCGATTATCTTCAGCAACTACGTCGCTAAGGATGTGCGCCGACTCGGTGCGACGATTGACGTCGAGCACAGTCATGTCAAGTTCATGGGCAACCTAACGTTGAACCTGTGGGACTGTGGAGGGTGAGTCGCCGTGTCGCATACTGGGCACAATATTATACAAGATTGTAGCTAACCGGGGATGATCTTCTATCGCTCTCCAGACAAGATGCCTTCATGGAAACTTATCTCGCCTCCCAGCGCGGCAACATCTTCTCCGACGTTGCCGTCCTTATCTACGTTTTCGATATTGAATCGCGCGAAGTCGACCGTGACCTGGACACATACAATGCGATCATTCAAGCGCTGCGCGAATTCAGTCCAAATGCCTACGTCTTCTGTCTCGTCCACAAGATGGACCTGATCCAGGCTGAGCATCGTCAACGCATCTACGAAGAACGCTCGGCATTGATCCGTTCCCGCTCCGAACACTTCCGTATCGATACCTTTGGCAGCAGCATTTGGGACCAATCGCTTTACAAGGCCTGGGCGGGAATCGTGCACAAGCTCATCCCCAATCTGACTGTGATCGAGCGGTTCCTGAGCGCCTTTGCAAAGAAGATTGATGCTGAAGAGGTCATCCTCTTCGAGCGTTCAACATTCCTCACTGTCACCTCCGTCTCCTCCGAAGTCGGCGACCTCAACCCTGTCTACGACCGACATGAGCGCCTCTCCAATATTATGAAGGCGTTCAAGCACTGCGCCGCCCGGAATACCCTCACAACACCCGCCTCCGCCGGCTTCGTCGTCATGCACACAAAAACTCCTCAATTCAACATATTCCTCGGCCGTTTCACAGATAACACCTACATCTTCCTGGTCGTCCCGCCCGGTGAGGCAGCATACAACTGCGCCGTGCTGAATACCATGCTCGCCCGCGAGGGCTTCTCGAAAGCAGCCGCCTCGGGTCGGTCAGATGGTTTCCCACTACCACCACCGGAAACGCCCGAGGATGCCGTGGCGAATGGGGTGGCTGCTCACGGCTGAGCCGTGTAAAGCCCAATCAAGCTTGTTGGTTTTCTAGCGTTCTTGTGTCATGTATAGCCGGCATATTTTGGGGCCATTTTGTGATACTCTTTTTTCCTTTGTTTGCAGAAAAGTCAGGGGTTACCTTTTACGGGCGCTGATACCTATGAGACGGCGTTGCGGTATGAACAATGCATGATTTGTTACTTTGTCTTTTTTGCTTTATTAGATCTCGGCAGCTTTGTTGTATTGTACAGCTCGGTCTTTGCGAGATCTTCACGTAGTGGGAGGTGGAAATAGAGTGTGGTCGGGTATTACAGAACAAGATATTCGCCGAAAAGTGCCACCATGGTAGGCTAAAAGATTCCAGTGTCTGAGATGGATACAAAATCCAGCTTACTAACTAGCCTCAGTAGGTAAGTTAGTTAATTGGAAGTACAGTACAATTCATGGAAACTTCCTTCAGTACTGAATTGGGCAAGTTCCTTGAACTTGACAGACAAACAAATCCAGCTGCCATGCCTTACTAAGATAGGCTGTCTATAAACTGGCTCCCATTCTGTTAAACTTCCCTTTCCCTTTCCCACTCCTCTCTGTTTCAACTGCCTATAATTACGAACTATCAATCTTTGCAAGACTTATATTTGATATTTTACACTTCCACTTCCATCATGTCTTCCTCAGTTTATAGAATGGAAATCGGCCTTCACTCTTTGGCATTGGCTTCTCGTTATCCTTTCTCTCAAAAGCTTGTGGGTGTCCGATCTACCAACCGCTACGAGGCAATAGCTTAGCCCTGGGATATCGCATATGTATACCTGCTTTCCGCTTTCCAGGGTAGGACAATCCCGAAGCTGATATAAGAAGCAGTCTTTCTGGTGGAAAAACTATGAAATAAATCAGCACAACAGAGCTGTGTTTGAGAACATGGAACCCGAGAGAATTATCAGGCTCTTCACAGCTGGCTACATCGTGGCTGCTACGACTGTTTCGCGTCGACTGATTCCAATTTCACAACTGAATTATGACCTTTCCTTTAGACCTCGGACTCTGGATATAGCAAGTGACCTAGACGGTGACCTAGAAATTGGTCCGTGTTTCTCTGGAGATTTACCCCTCGTGGTGGTAGAGCAACAAGTGAGTGATGTCGAGTCTTTGCAGTGGAGGGTTTCATGACTACACTAGGGCCATTTCCGCTCACAAGCTACTCACAGACAATGACTGGATAGAGTCAGTACTGATTCATCACCTGGCTATGTCTCCAGCCCTGCGACAATCTTTCGGGGTACTATGGACATCTTTCACCCATCGCCCCGTGTCAAGTCCCCAAGCCTCCTTGAAACCGCGATATTGTACCTCCTGAAAGCCTTGTTTGTAAATATATGCAATGCAAATGTACCTAACTGTATGCCTTATGTAATTTTTAGTCATGGCGTTGTCCTTCACTAACTATTGAATTTCTACTAGGCTTTCTGGGCTGCGTCCTTCGCTGAGGATAGGAGGGCCTATCTCATGGGCTTGCAGAAAAGAGGAAAGTGTTGGTACTTCTTCCACAATGCCAGAATGATGAAGCCTTCCGAGGCCCGCCTCGGACCTCAAGTCGACCTGACATCGAACCAAGATTTGATCCGTCTAGAAGACGGAAGCATGGCTTCAAACGCTCTGCTAACATTACGCTCTGCTAACATTACGCTCTGCTAACGTTACGGAGAACATGGTTGGAGAAATATCTACGAATCAAAAGGCTTGCAACATGAATACGTGGGGAGGAGCGTGGTAAGGAAAAGAAAAAGGTATAACAAGTGGTAGAGCGCCAAGATATTGTCCTGCTCTGTTGCCTTGCTCGGCTCCTGAAAAGTCTGGTTGTGAAATGGCGGAACAATGCTTGGAGAATTTGATTGTATTGGTCAAAATCCCTGGCGAAGACGGTGAAACAGATATCCTCACTATGACAAGTCTGTGGAGAGACTATCCATCACCACCTAAATATGTACCGTGAATGATCACAAACGAACAGGATCTTGGGCATTTGCTTCTCAAATAAGGAGATATCGAATTTCCACAAACTTCCAATATGAATAACTGGAATTGCCTCCGCTGTGTACATAACATGAAGTACCTTTTACTCCCAGTGCTCCCGGTTCTTCTCAAAGAAGTCCTTCAAACTTACAGGCTTCTCAGATAACAACTCGAGACTTCTAGTCAAATCAGCCCCGGCATAATAGCCGGGACCCTCGAGCAAGACTAGATTCTCATAGATCTCTTCAACCATGTCCGGAGGCAACGATACCGCAAGGCCAGCCTTGAACATTTCACTGGGAATAATGACCACGTTGAGGGGTATACCGGTAGCAGATGTAAAGTCTGCCGCAATTTGCTCAAAGCTATAATAGTCACTTGCAGCATAGATGACATGGGCGTTATCCATGGGAGGGTGTTGAAGAGCAGCCCGGACAAAGTTTCCTGTTCTATGTCAGTCACGTAGGAATCAACTATAGACGCCGGAATCCCCCACCTGTATCAATACCAGCATCAATCCACGGCGCAACAGTCCCGGGTGGAACAGGTATAGCCAAAATAAACGAGCCATCCTCCTGCTTCCGAATAAATGAGAATATCTCACTCATGAATATCCCCGGCATAACAAAGCTAGCTGGTATACCGCTCTCACGAATATACTCTTCCACCTCAGCCTTCCCATCGAAATGGGTAATATTGACCAGTCGTCCGCCAGTTGCCTTGGACGCATTGATCAATGACGAGAAGATTAGATGCTTCACGCCAGCCGCTTTGCAGGCATCTGTGACTACCTTTCCTTGAAGGATTTCGGGCTTGGCGGACATGTTTTCCCAGAAGTTTGTTACTAGGTATACGGTGTGAGCTCCGTCAATTGCTTTTGCGACGTCGGTAGGTGACGACATATCTCCCTATATGACTGAGCTTAGAGAGTTGTGTTATGAAATATGATTGAATACTTCTTGTTTCAGTACCTGGATCACTTCGATTCCTTGTTCTGCCAGAGCTTTTGCGTTTTTTTTGCTCAGATCGCGTGTCACAGCTCTAACTCGAAACTCTTTGGATAGCTCCGGGTCGGCAATGATGGTGCGGACTACAGAGCCACCTTGGGTACCGGTAGCCCCGAAGACGGTGATTAACTTGGACATGATGATTGAGACCGCGAGGTTTAGAGAAGAAAGATTTAGCTTGTAGCGAGTAAATCATTGGTGCTTGTTGATATTTCGAAAACTTATACTTCTATGAATGCCTTATTTTCCCGGTATACTTGATACTGCTTCGGGAGAATCCCAACTATTAGACCGACCCGGGGAGTTAATTGTCCCGAGATAGAAGCTAGTACTGCAACGTCATCACTTATTTCCCTCCGGAAACAGTTAGTTGTGATCAGATTCTTAGTAGTCATACCAGCCAATTTAGTGATACTAATCAGAACTTAAATTAGCTAGGATTGATTGACTCACATCTTAGTCCGTGTTGAGCGTTCTCACTGCGCCATTGAGATCCTTCAGGATCAGGCGTACCATTTCTGACTCATGAACTGACAAGCTAGTTAGAAGTAGTATTAGAGTACTTGGATAGTATTTGGTTGGTTGAATTTTGGCCCTAATGCGGGTATACATCAATGAGGTGCTGCTTAACTCTCTATGCATCTAGTTGTGCAATATCAATTTAGCATATTGATGATAAATCGAGTATACTCATCGATCCATGGATGTATTACACATGATTACGAATGAAGCCATGCTACAGTCTTGGGAGGAGGACTTGATTGTCTGGTTTTTCAAACGCCAGATGATGCGTCCTCAACCGGAAGTCGGCACCTATTTCTAAGCGCTGGCCTTGCCTTTGATAATCATCTTTGGTTGTTCTCAGATTCAGACGTGTAGTCCGTCCCAGACCAAGAGCCGGAAGATTGGACAGAGGGCATCTCGCCTATCAACACTCAGCTTAAGGGTTAGACCCACGGAAAGTAAATGGCGCTGATAATCGACTACCTAAGTGATGCTCCATCTGCATCTATGCAAATACAAGAACAGGAAGAACGTCGGGATTCAATTATCTATCGGACCGGCCGGCCTCAACGGAGTACAAAATATAGCCTTGATGTTGTAGAAATGTGGAATAAAAGGTCGAAAGGGGGTAGACAAGAAATGGCTGTACAAATCATTCATGCAGAAATCAATAGACGCCTTGCTTTATTGGACGTCCGGCATGCGGACTGCAATGTCGCCTGATTGCGTAATGTAGCGGACCCAGGGGAGGGAGGGGTATTGCAGCTGAAAGGATATGGGTTAGCCATGATAATTTCATGGAATTAATATGTTCGAGAAAACATACCTTCGGCTCAGTAATCTTCAAGTACCGCACTTGGATACCGGAAGTGGTGAAGTAGGGTATCTCGAACTTGACGTTAATGGGTCGCTTCGCTTTGCCCATCGCACCAGCTCCGCCCATGCTGCCACCGAAACCACCCGTCATACCACCACCGTGCTCGTCGTCTCCCTTCACGGAGGGAAGACCCAGCTCCGCTCGCATGAGGAACTCCTTGCCACCACCAAACTGCTTGATCTTCCAGATGATTGCTGACTTTTCAGGAGCATAGTGAACGGTTCCGATGTTGGTGCGGAACCGGGGTGAGTCTGCATCTTCTGGGACGGGTACGAGGATTTCAACGTTGTTTGCGGTACTGCGGCGTTTGAACTGAGCCTTGGCCTATATCGGGGAAATCCGATTTAGTATTGGTTTTGTGGAAATGACGCCTGGATCAAACATACCTTAAGCATATACTCAATACGCGATCCCGAGTGCGACTCCACCAAACACTCCACCCAGATCAGAGGCTTGACCTGGGTATTCAATCGGTAGCTCATAAGCTCGAATTCACCATCGGGGGGAATGAAACTAATCGTCCGGTCATTTTCAAACCGTGACAACCGCACACACTGGTGGAATTTGACGTCCTCCATCTCAACAGCCTTGCCTCGCGTGGCCCGGCCCGTCGTCTCGAACATGGCCTTGTCATTCAGACCCAATCGCAACTCGGGCATACCACTCAAATAACACTTCATTTTAATGGCGCCGAGAATCTCAGAGCGCAAGACGTTTCCGTTGGCCGAGACCAGCAGGTTTAGAGACTCGACCACGTCCAGGAAGACCTCGTTTTTGCGGTAGCGGATACCTTCGCTTCGCCAAGAGACGGCATTTGTGACTGCGATGGGTGGCCGTGCTTGGACCTCGAGCTTGTGTGATTCTTGGGTGATGTATCTGTAGTGGGTAGGATTGCGCACGTTAGCCCGCCACCTCCCCACGTGCCATTTGACAGCCACCGATAAATTCCACTTACTCTTGTAGGATTTTGCTCTCTGTCGTCTGCGGGTATCCAAAGTCCATCATCTCGTCCAGCAATTCGTAAATGATGACAAAGTTATCCCGGATACTCTCCTCCTCGAGGACCTTGAAGTATTCGGTGAAGACCTCCACGAGCTTGTGGAGGAAAAGGAGGATCTCGGTGGCATTTGTGTTTCGTTTGGTCAAAGCGAGAATGTACAGGTTGCTGTGACGGATATAAAGATACTATGATTCGGAAGATCAGTCCGTGTTGGTTCCATGTAGAGGCGCACACAAATAAAGGAGACAATAAGGAGGGCGGGATAGATCGACATGCGTGGAGAGGCCGAGCGGGCGGCGGAACGTACATTGACACCCTCGTGGGAGAAACAGGGAGGCACGGCCGAGGATTCTTCTTCGGCTTCACTGAGGAGGATGGGGAATTTCTCTACCGCGGACATGGGGATATCCCCGCGATAGTTACGGGCCAGGAGGGTCTGGATGAGCTGTTAGCGCGGTGGCCCAAGGGAATTACCCAGCAATTTGTAGAGACTATAGCTTGCAAAGCGAGATAGCCCTGCAGAATCCACGCACCTTGCCCTTCAGGTCCAGGAAGAAGAGAGCCGACGCCATGACGTGTCAATGGGGGGGGAAGATGGAGGTGTGTCGTGTTTGGGTATCGATTATCTGGTCTTGGGGTGGGAGGTGAGGGAACAACGAATGCGCATGCTGCACCCTACTGCGACATGATCAATGCGAAGGTCGACTGGGGGAGGAGGAGGAGGTTGAAAGGACAAGAGAGCTGGTGGTTGAAGGCGAGAGCCAGAACATCAGGTCGAACCGTCCAAAAGGGCCAGTCGCCCGCAGTTGTGGTGGAGCACCTCCCAAACAGGACTAGCGTGAGTGCTCCGGCTCAAATAAAAATCTCTTCGGCGAATTCCTTCTTCTCTCCTTTTTCTTTCTTCTTCCAACGCTCTCAATAGACAGTGCAAGCCAGTACAAAGTCCTTGTGATTTTCTGTCGCTGCCCGACATTCTGTCGGGATTGGCTCTCAGTTTTTAATTGCTGAATACTTGCGATACAGAGATGCGGAGACTAGGCATCGTAAAGAGGGTTCCATAAGAGCTGGCCGTGTATTTTGCTCTGTTACGCGGGCGGTGTCAGAGGAACCGTACATTCCTTAATCAGTTTTACTAGTTTTACTATCGTGTCAATATAATAGGTTTTCAAGATCAAGTGTGGTATTGTGCAATATAGCCAACAGAATAGAAGAGATAGTTATAGTACATGTACGGCCGTGTAGATCAAAAGGTGTGCCCAGTCCAGTACAGCCTCCAATCACCCTGCCCCCAAGCAGAAAATATCAAGTAAAATAAACGCCGTGAAAATGCTGCGGAGGGTTCAATGGTACATCCCAATTCCCCAACCCCGGCAGGCCCGTCCCAGTTTACGAGACGGTCTTGAGGCCGAGTGGCTCGAGTATCCGTTCCTGGGCCACCTTGTTGGCAATGTGTCCACCCTTCTCCAACGAGACGGCTCCAATGACGGCGTACATGGTGTGCGCCAGAACGAGTTCGAGACCGGAAGCCTTGAGGTCATCGGGCTATAGAAGGAGAAAGGTTAGCTAGGGTTCTTGGAAAGATGCGAATCACAGGGCACTCTCGAACCTTGCGAGGAGTCCACCGGAGGACGTTCTGCATTTCGTATTTTTGCGCCAGCTCGGCAAGCTTGGACCGGTCGGTCAGGAAGCTCTTGGTCTCCGGGGAGAGGCTTCGGAGGCCATCCAGGGCCGGGTGAGAGAAGGGCGTGCGGCCGTGGGGGTCGGTCTTCGGAGAGGCATTGGCAGCCTCAGGGTTCTGTACCAAGGCGAGCGAAGCCTGCAATTGCACAATGCGCTTGCCTATCCACCTAGTTAGCGGGCAAGTCACTCAATACCATCCAAACAGATTTCTCCCATACCAAGGAAGGCCAATCGGTCATTGAAGCCCCGACGTCCTTGATCAAAACTCTTGTGTGTCACGGCCAACCACTTCAGCTCGTCGGAGAGAACCTGGTCACCGCCATTGCCCAGCATGCGAATGTAGAACTGATCCAGGAGAGCAGGGTCCGAGTTCACGTGGAAGAATGGGCGCTTCGAGTGCAACCGGAGACTGAAGGGCGCCTTTGCGCGCGGCGGCGTGTACGACCATCGGGGCTGCTCTGCCTCGCCGGTCGAGGATTCGGGGCCCGTAGCGAAGGTGCGACGGGGAATGATGGTCGCAAGGGGACGAGAAGCCGCCTTGGAGGCGGAGCATGCGGTCCTAGCCGCTCGAGTGGACAGGTTCGAAGCCATGGGGTCAGGTTGGTTTGCGGAAGTCGATGATCGAGTCGGAGGTGTGGAAAGATTTCGGCCTCGGCGGTGTGATACTGCCGCTTCGTTCCTGGTGTTGATGGGCCAATGTTGATCTCCCAAGACCAACATCAATTAGTATCCCAGTACTGATGGAAATTCTCGAGCAGTAATTTCCTGTCGGAATGACAAGCATCTTGATTACCCTGTTGAACATCCAAACTGAGGACAAATGAATCCTGAAACGCCCTTCACCGCTGCTGCGCGCCAATGCCGTTGCGCCTCCTGCTTCGCTGAGTGGCTGGACTCGAATAGACTCTGGAGCAGCCAATGCATTTCTCAGACGATGACAGTGTACAGGGGCCTGTTATGTCAAGGTGCTTTCATTGAGAGTGGGAGATCCTAAAAAGGTCTCGACTCTGCCATGCTTCGAGATCATGCGTGACCGTTCTGCCACAATAACCAGCCCACTTTACCGCCATGACTTGCAGTCTCCTAGCGGTCAAGTATAGCATGGAAGCTCAATGTATGAGAATTGATTGCTTTCCCATACCGCTTTTTGAGAGCAGAGCGGCCCGGTCCGCTTATTTGCTGTTGCATCTATGGATTAAGGAAGAGGAGCCATTCCTCTACTGACTGCAGTAGTCCGGTGCAATTTCACCCTGCTATTAACTCTCGACTGTTGAACTCAACGTTGTATGCTTTTACTAAAACCGACACCCTGTATCTAACCCTTCCGATGTCAAGGTAGCAGTGGAGACAGACCTTCCCCGTCATATATCCAGCAGTATCCCACTCTGGATAACATTGCTCTACGACAAGCCTAGTCAGGCAGCTTCTATCTTTCTCCAACCCCACATGCGAAAGAGCAAGGCCCGAGAACACTGCCAGGTAACCCCATCCAGCTATCCGACTGGGCAACGGGCAAGACGAGCAACCCCCGAAGGTGGCGCAACCATGTCTAAGCGCGGCCCAACCACCAGGCGCTCAGGTCCCTAGCCTTCCCGGGGAACAATCACACCGAAAACAGTAGTGTTCTAGACGACCCAAAGGCCAGAGCAGAGTTTAGGAGAATATTCGACGACATTCTCCGGACTGGACGAGCTAGGTTCCCCCCGTCAATCCCTAGTCACTCCCCTGCACGGAAGCCAGGCACGGTCCTCCCCAGACCTTCGGCCGAGCTACGAGTTGCTGTCGAACAAGATCGACTCATGCGTCGCGCGGTCGATTTTGAGACTGCTTGATGTCGCGGGTCCGGATGTTGGCAGCCGTGGAGCTGGTCGAGACGTTGTGGTTGGTCCCCCGGGATTACCTCCCTTGTCTCCCGTTGCAGGATAACGGCCCTGTTGTGTGCCGTTGTACCCGCAAAGCTCTCTTTGCATTTCTCCTAGAGGATTGACCTCCTGGTTAAGGTAGGAGACTTTGCTTTTGTGGTACGGCGCGAGGCACAGAGGGATCCACGTGCGTTGATACCTATGCATCCTTGGCTTTGTTTGCGCTGAGAAGGTCTGCTGTATACGTCCATTCTCATGCCACTTCCTCCGGGGACCTGGGTAGCTTTGAATTGCCATAGTCTATGATAAGGTCGTTCTCGAATTCAGTAAAGAAACTAAAATCCCATTGTCCAGACCTTTTCCCTGTCAAACAAGACCCTAAAATCTAAGTATTCGTAGAGAAGATACATCACAAATCTATCCACCCATAGGAATAAGCATAAACCTAAAACAAAAGCATACTCTGAGCCCCGTAACATTTCCACCACCAGCTCCGATCCAAACAAATGACCGTTCCAGCCACAAAACGAAGCTGTCCAACCAGAACCCCTCCAACCCTCGGATACGAAGATCAAGCGGCTAGTAGCCGCCGCGAAAGGCATTCTTAGGATCATTGCTGAAGGAAGCAAAAAAAAGAAGCCACCGAGCCTCTTTCTGTGAAAAGATGATTGCTGCAAGAACCCGGCTACTGACTGCTCAGACCGCTGGTACTACTCCACCAGAATATGCAGCCTCTCGGGAAGGCGTCTAGGGTCTGGGGAAGGAATTTCTAGCGGAAGTTGACCGCAGAAAGAATCTCCGTTTTATGTCAAACTTTACTCGATTAATTGGCTGGACAAGGGACGTTTTACTCCTTTCATGTCTTACTCAAACGCTGTACATGACCTCTATAGCCTCGATCTAGAGGTATATTTTGCACAACTGAGAATCCAAAATACCATACGGGGGTACTGGACGCGGGTATGTGACAGCTCCGCCCAACGGTTTATACATCAAGTCCACTGCTTATCCGTCGGGCCCTTGCAGCCTATCCTCTACGAAGAAGAAATTTCAAGCCGTTGGCGGCTGGACAGCCACACCCGTCCCCCGAAGGCCTGAACGATGCAGCGGAATTGTCAGGTCGTTTTCCAGAGAGCTTCTGCTGCTGTCATGCTTGATTGGGATGTTCGACAGGATGGCGGTGTACGACGATGGCATCCCCAGAGGTCCCGGCTGGTCTGGGGGTTTTCTGGAGTTGTTTAAATAGAGGGGACTGGTCGGGGTAACTGTTTCGTTCTGTATTCTTTTTTTGTCAAGATCGTGGATATTGTCTTGTTTTGAGCTTGAAATCGTTCTTACTGCTGTTCTATCAACCTACTCCGACATTCGCTTCAAACATTATCTTTTGCTCAATTCTTCTTCGAGTTTCAAATTTTTCTACGTCTTTGTCAATTGCCTTCATACATTTATAATGGCCTTCTCTGCTGTCTCACTCTCTTGCTCTCGGTCCATCTGCTTGCGCTCTACTCAGACGCCCTCCATAAGGGGAATGCCTGCCAGTGACCACTCAGTTCAAGATCCTCCTTCGCCCCGACCATTCCCCCTAACCCACCCCCAAGCCCTGCTTAGGCGTTTTTAGGGGGTTGTTATGTCCATGATTGGCGTTGGGAGAAGCAAGCTATGGAAATAGGTAAGTCTCTTTCCTACAGATGGCGGCAAACTAGGTCCGCTATATATAACCAGACAACCCCACTGATACTTGGCATTGTAGATCATACTTTGGAGCATTCCATTGCCTGCGTGACAAGGTCATGCTATGAGGGAAGGCTGATAGGCTCAGCCATAATTTGATACCCTTGCCATGTTGTGATGGTTCTCGTGCAAGACTGTTTATCTCTTTGTTTGGAACGCGGGAAGGGGAGCATGGGAAATTGATATTTACGAATGGGCTGTTTTCCTTCTGATCTTGATGCATACTATCAAGTCATATCTTTTGTACTGGGTTATCCTAGAATGTGAGCCCTCATTGGCATATATGGAGTAGTGGTATAGCAAGAAATTCCCTTTCAACTGTTCATTTTTTTGGTCTGCGACACATTGATCGAGCCAACATGCCTAATCAACATAGCCCCCCTTTCAAAGATATCTAGACAAAAAAAAGAACGAATAAAGTAACACGTAGAAGATAAAAGAAATCTGCGCCTAGCTCGCGCCACGGGACCGGATTTCATGTATAGATTGCTCGACCAAATTCATTTTACTAACACAAGAAAAAATAACTCAAGCAGGTAGGTATACCGGGTAAAATTTAATAGAAAGCAAGAGCCAGAGCGCTGGTGACGCTCAGGCCGATAACGGTCCAACCAGACTTGATAATAACGTTGTTGGACAGACCACGGCCCAGATCCCACATCAAGTGGCGGAGGCCGTTGAAGGAGTGGTAGGTGAAGGGGAGGGCCATGGTGGCCTTGAGGATGACCTTGGCGGCGACGGGGAGAGCACCCATGGCAGCAACCATGGAGGCAGACTCGAGGTGCCAGCCGAGAGCGGGCGAGGCGAGGTATGCGGTGGCCCACAGGTAGAGAGAGCCGGAGAGGGCGACACCGGTGATACGGTGGAGGGAGGAACCGATCCAGCCGATCTGGGGACGGTAGATGGCCAAGTGAGGAGAGACGGGGCGGTTAAGACGCTGCTTGACCAGGATCTGGGCGGGGTCCTCAGCGTTGGAGGTGACGGGCCTGAATATCAAATAAGATGTCGGTTAATCTTCAACAAATTCGGACAATTGCGGATGACGTATGGCGTTCGCGGGGGAATAGCCAATGCGGCCATCAATCTCGCGAATATGACCATTGAATCAGCCGGATGTGAGGAACTGACCTCTTCTGCATGCTCTGTCCGAGGGTGACGGCGGCCGGGGAGGCGCGCATCATCGACTGCATGGCGAGCGGCTGCTGGACGGCAACTGTGAATCGGGACGGATTGTCAGCGGCATTTCGCGATTACTGGAATGAACAGCAGGTTCAGGGAAATGGGTACATACGCCGTCGCAGCGATTGCTGAGCAAGCTTCTGAGAGAACATGATGGTCGTCGTCGTCGAGTTCTCGATGTTGAAGAGGAAGAATCGCGAGCAATCGGAACGGACTACCTCGGGTTTGGAGCCGTCACGGGATTGCCGACCGGGAGCCAATGACGGCGTCTGCAATTACTCTTCGGAAGATCCTTCTACCCGGGGTAGTCACGTGAGGGGAAGCTAGTAGTATAGTCACGTGACCATTTCTCGCTTGTGCCGGAGTGTCTTTTCTTGTCGGCTCTTTTTTTCGCTTTTCCTCCTTTCTTTTCTCTCCTCACGAGTCTCCGCTCACAGCAATGTACCGATCCGTGTCGGGATGAAGTTGATGTGCTTAGCACCCTCTGGTTTCGGCATTCTGTCGCGACCGTCTGGGATCATCGAGATTCGTAGAAGGAGCTGTCCCGTCGTTAATCGCCCATTTGGCTCTTCCCATGAGTTCGATGGGTTTCATATCAGGGTTACATATCATCCGTAAACAATGTAGATTGCCTTGAGGAATACATGTGTCGAGTACATGGCATGTTTATAGACAAAACCCTTTGCTAGGCTAGCTATAATACTGCAGATGTACTGTCACTTTGTACATGACTCTTTGTGCGCACTAGAGGCTGGCCTTGATGGCTACCAATGGCCTATTAGGTCCTGCTTTGACTTTGACCAATGGGTAGATCTATCGATCTACTATGCGCTCGGATGTCTGTATAGTGTATACTAATGCACTATTATGGTATAAAAATATCATCCAAGACCCATTGATCTTGTAGTATCGAGTTATCGAGATGCTCATGCCTGTTCCTGAATCTGAATCGCGGATCACGGGATCCTGTCACATGCTTCCCCTGAGCCATAAAATGGACCGTGGAGGATTATGATGAGAGAGAACACAACTTTCTTGAATAACCATAGTCACAATCCACATAATTCGTTAGACTCCAGGCTTTCTAGGATTATCAATCTGATTCCCCCGCTGTACGGCCGTATGCACTTGCAGCCACTGCGCTGATTCGTCGTCGACTAATCCAATTAATCGTCAGGCCGTCCACCGAACCTCGGCAACTCCGTTTCCCCCCACAGCAGAGGTCCGCGGCTACCTGGGGTTACTCTGCGACTCTTTTTAATCATTGTCCAGACCTCGGACTTCTTTTGCTTCTGTTGCCTACTTTTATTCCTTATCCTCCGCATATTTGCCTTGCGCATACCCTTTGACCTTTGAAAGAACTCCCAGCCCCAGCATTTCAGCTATAGACATTCGCCGATCGTCTCCCTCCCCGATTAGATATCAGCCTCGTGACTTTACATCTTCAAAGATGCCTTTCAACACGGCCCTCACCCGCAAGTTGGGCATTCGCGGTATGCGCCTGAATGCTGCTTGATCTTCTCCATCGCATTCTAATGATATGCAGTCCCTGTTGTGCAGGGTGGTATGCAGTGGGTTGGATATGCCGAGCTGGCCTCGGCTGTCAGCAACGCCGGTGGTCTGGGTTTGGTACGTCGCATCTCTCCTACAGCATCATAGATGGTTTCCTTGAGATTCTAACCTCTTGGTTCTAGCTCACTGCCCTCACTCAACCCACCCCTGAAGACCTGCGCAAGGAAATCCGACGATGCCGTGAAATGACCAAGTACCCCTTCGGTGTCAACCTGACCCTCCTCCCCGCCATGGTTCCCCCCGACTACGGTGCCTACGCCCAGGTCATCATCGATGAGGGCATCAAGATAGTCGAGACTGCCGGCAACAACCCTGGCCCCGTCATCAAGCAGCTCAAGAAGGCGGGCATCACCATCCTCCACAAGTGCACCACTATCCGCCACGCCAAGTCCGCCGTGAAGCTGGGTGTTGACTTCCTCTCCATCGATGGCTTCGAGTGTGCTGGCCACGTCGGCGAGCACGATATCACCAACTTCATTCTCCTGAGCCGTGCCCGTCAGGACCTCGGCGTTCCTTTCATTGCTTCTGGTGGTTTCGCCGATGGCCACGGTCTGGCTGCTGCCCTGGCTCTCGGCGCCGAGGGTATTAACATGGGTACCCGCTTCATGAGCACCGTCGAGGCTCCTATTCACCAAAATATTAAGGAGACTATCGTCAAGGCGCAGGAGACCGACACCGCTCTTGTGCTGCGTCGGTGGAAGAACACTTCCCGCCTGTTCGCTAACAAGGTCACCCAGGACGCTCTTAAGATTGAGAAGGAGAGCACGACTGGTGACTTTGCTGAGATTGGCCCCTATGTGAGCGGCAAGCGTGGTCGCCAGGTCTTCCTGAACGGTGACCCCGACTATGGTGTAAGTTGTTTCTTGTTCTGTCATATGTCGTTTCTGCATAATCTGACAACTCTTCTAGGTCTGGACCGCTGGCCAGGTTATTGGCCTGATTCATGATATCCCGACCTGCGAGGTCCTGCTCCGTCGTATTGAGAAGGAGGCTTTGGAGTCTATGACCCGTGCCCGGAGTCTGTACAGCGACGCCCCGGCTGCTAAGCTGTAATTTGGAATGATTCTCTGTCTTTTTTTTGTTTATATCTTCTTGTCATTTGAATTGGGATTCAGTGATGCAATAGAGCATGTGTAGGAATTATACCGCTATATGATATACCCGTTCCTCTCGTCATCTGCAGATTGTTGTGATCTAAGACACCGCCTGTCAGGCGGCTGCGACGCCATCCAGGGATCCATGGATTATTCTGACCATCATTGCGAGAGATGCTTGAACAAAGATACCGCCTTTCCCAAGGGATCGACTGAAGTTGATTGAGAAGCATCGCCGTGGCTGGGTGGCCCATGCACTGCATTCCCAGGCACAGCTGCATTCTGGAGCTTTGCCTTGGGCGACACTCAGTGCGGTCTAGGTTTACTCACACATTCCCCTTTCCACATAGTAAAATTGCCTGTCAGCAGAGATAGTACTTTTTTCAATCATAATAGATTGGTCTTTGTTCCGATCAATAATGAGCCGCGAGAGCTGCCAGAAGATCGGATGAAGTACTATGGTGTAATCGCTCGTGGAGCCCCAAGGGATGTGGAGCCTCCTTGCATGCGCCCTTGGGGATCACTCTCGAGAATGCATGAGGTCCTGCATGCGATTGGACCTGTTTTTGTTCTTCACCTGTCGCCTCGATTTGCAGGGAACCTTTCAAGCTGCCATTTTCAAGTTCCTTGCCCGTAGCAACCATCGCTATTTAGCCTTAGGGTTTGCCGTCGCGTACGCCACGACAATCCTTAGTAGAGTATTCGTTCCCCAATGCTACTGATGTGATTCCCAGGCTGTCAATTTTTGATCACAGATCTAGCTTCCCTTTGGAAATAGAATCGAGTCCATGGTGGTTCTAAGTAAATCAATCAAGACCGAAGCTTGAGCTCCAGCCTTCTTCAAAATAGATGATCGACGGTTGCACCGCAGCCACTAGCTTAGCACAATCCGACCATAATCTTGATCATAGCTGTACTCTGTCAAACTATCCAAGCTCAGGTGCTTATGCATGAGCTTACGATGCAGCCCAGTAAACCCAGCTATGATGCGATCCATCCCCCTTGCCCCAGATCTGCCACTCAAGTAGTTTATCAACTCGACATCCCCCACCTCATCCCACCCCCACGATCCCTTAACCTATCACTTTCCACGTTATACACTCTCCAATACAACCATGGGCTTCATTACATCCGTGGCTCGCTGCGTACGAGAAAACAAACTCTCGCGCAGATTATCAAATGCAAAGCCCCAACGACTTGACGATGACTCGAACGATTTGATCAATACAACCTCCCATACCCCCTCCGCTGCACGCCCCGAGAGCATTGCATCTGCATCTACCATGGTCCAGCATTCATCCCAGGAACCGGTTGTCCCGACTGAATCCCCAGCTCACATGAAGCAGCTGGACCACTGGGACTTGAACATTCGCACGCTGTTTGACGAAGTGGATTCGCTGGATCCCGAAACAAGTCGAGCTATCAGGGCGTTGTCGATGCCTGAGTATCCGGTTCTCAGGATGGATACTATTCAGTCACCGCTCGATACGCCGACGAAGAAACTGGACGATGCAATTGATCCGGGTGATAAGGAAAACTGCTATCGGAGGGGTGGGGGCAAGGAGGGAAAGTCAAGGAAATCCCGGAAGAGTCAGGATGAAAAGAGCAGAGCGGATACTCAGAGCCAAGATTCTGGCAAGGGCTTCAAATTGAAACGATCAGTGACTGAGTTACTCAGGAGACGCTCGCTCAAGAACCCACGAACACCAACATCGCTCAAGACTTTGCGGAATCCAAACTCGCCGAAGTGGTTAGATTCTTCCAGTATTGTGGAGGAGGATGATGTGGATGAGAAGGATGAGATGAAGTGGATGGAAGCGAATGGATTGCGCAGATTTGACAAGAAGAGTAATGGGTTCTGGACGGGCGAGGGAGGGGGAAGACTGTGGTGATTTTATGATGTATATAAGTGGTTATGGGAGTTGTATACACAAGGTTAATGGCATCTCCGAAGGATAGTATTCAAGTAATCGTAGAAAGGTTGAGAAGGCGTCAAAAGGGAACTTGGTAGAGGAAACAGGGCCCAAGTACCTTCGCATTAACCGATTGAACAATGACGGGTCACTTTGATCGATCTGAAACGCTCATACGGATAACCTAGCCATCCATACGTCGCTGCTAGTGGTCGACTGCCTGTGAACTCCCCGTCAGTGTGTTATTGTCTTTAATCCATTTTGATAGTTATTCGATCCACATAGATCCGAAACAAATCATACTCAACTATTCCCGGCGCTACCACTTTCCCGATCAGGTTTCATTCTGGGAAGATGGTTTAGAACGTCTTGGAGGGGTTGCATGAGATATGATTCGCTAACACGGGCAATATGTACTAAACACTTTGTCGCAATCAGAGCCTGGCACTTATTCAGTCTTTCCTAGACCTGGAGAGAAATTCAGACTCTGGTCCTTCTTGTGATCTGCAACGCGACCAAGCCCTTCCAAATCCCTATTGCAAAAAGTGGTCTCCCGATTTGCGGCTTAAAGAGTCTCGTTGGCGATTGGGCGAGAAAAAGAGAAAGACGCCAGCATTGCACTGCCCTCTTGAGCTGAAACAGGATGTCTCTGGGCATCGGCGGTTAGGCGCCCACCTAGAGCCGCCTAGTCTCCGCTCCATAAGTAAACAGCATAGACTCCATTGACGCTTCCCTCTAACTGACGAGATCCTTCCAAGCCCACTGATCTGTATTCCACATGGGAGATCCCTTTTCTGTGGCTGGGAGCGCGGTAGGCGTTATTTCGCTGGGCCTCTCAATATGCCAGGGTCTTCTGGCTTACTACGGGCCGTTCAAAGCGTACGATGAACAGACCCACGATGTCTCCAACCGTATAATAAGCTTCGATAGCACGTTAAAGGTGCTACAAGATGTGCTTGCTCACGCGCAAGTCTTTTCTTCGCCCCTGACGGCTCAATCTGCAACACTCGCACTCGACTCTATTTTCGCCTGCCAAGAAGGATTGGAACGACTGAGCAAGATGCTGGATAAATGCAAAGGCACTACTTCAGCCAAAAGCTTCCTGGGTTCCAAAATCCAGATCAATAGGATACAATATCCTTTCAGACGCGACACACTGATGGCAATTTTGGAAACGGTGAGCTGGCTTCAAGCTCATCTCAATACCTCACTGCAAATACTGAACATGTTAGTCCAATGCGGAAGAGAAATACGTTGCTCCTCACTAATAAAAATATCAAGGGCGATGATGGTCATAACTCAAAAGCAGACAGACATGGTCATCACGTACTCAGCATCGAGCGCCCTCGAGACCAGTCAGATATTACATGTGGCGACAAAGTCCGACCAGCGTGGCATTAGCATTGAGAACAGACTAGGAATACTGGAAGATAATCTCAAGCAGATGGTATAGCTATCATACCCCATTTCTAAGGACCTTGCCTGAGTCACTGCTTACAATCTCACCTAGCAACTTGCCAACTCATGCAATAAAGCTCGCCCAGCTTTCACACTAGGTCTACTACAATCAGCGATAGAGCACCAACGAATTCTGGATGAAGAGTCGGATGACCCGGAGGCCATCATTATGTCTCTGCAAAATCGGCGACGGAAAAAATGCTCATGTAGTAATCCAAGTGCCACTACATCTACATGGAGAGCTCATGACGCTAGTTCGGCTTATACTAGCGAGTGTGAGCTTCACACCGAAAGCAAAAACGTCATAACGTTGCTCCATCGCCAGATAACTTGCAGATGGGCTGTACGAATCTCTCTTGAGACATCGTTCTCAAGCACAAAAGGAGCGGGGGGTTTCTCTATCAGTCCCAAAATTGAGTTCCGTGCTATGGTGCCATTCAATTCTCAGGTATTCCTCGCACTTTCCAGTGCACAGAAGGGCCTAGAAACGCAAGATGTCTCGTCTGTCATCAGAGATACCCAAAATTCTATATTTGAAGCCTTTCGTGAGGGTAAAGCATCAACGTCAGACTCTCTGACAGATGGAACCACTATCTTACATGTGAGTGTAGACTTGAGATAGATGTCTCAAGTTCCCTTCGATCAAAGTGATTTGATGATGGAAACCAATCAACGGTTTGGTCGAAGATCATTTGTTAATCTCACCCACAGGTAGTGACTGGCTGGCAAAGTTACAGTTCTTGGTGGGATACACGTTCACGACTTGCCTGGCGCTCGTTGATCAATAGCCTCTTACAAGCAGGACTATCTCCGGACCGTAAAAATTACCACGGTGTGACTCCTGCTGACAACATCATCGAAAATTTCGGTCATGTTGGCAGCGACCTGGAACGTCAGCAAATGACGATTGATATCTCTTCAGACTTGCTAAAAGCTGGGGGTTATATGACCCGAGAGGCGCTTGATTGGCGGCATCGAGAGAATGTCTTTAACCCCTCTTACTATTGTTCCGGATGGTGTGGACGTAGAAATGATGAGCTTTTTGAGGATTTTAGCTTCCGCCTGATTTGGAGACTCGCGGATGAGAAGGGACTTCAAGGTAACCAGACTTCCAAGAGAAAAAGGATTGTTAGGCTAAATCCATTCAAGACATTGATCTACCAGAGGAGCTGCAGCCTCTCGTATACAAATCAAAGAAGCTCCTGGCCTCACAGCTGAGAAAGGGGGTTGATTTCAATCGATGGATCAAATCGTACACTCGGTGGGCGCCTGGCTTGGCCTTGATTCTTCAATCTAGCCATATATCAACTGAAGGTGTCCTTACGGCAGCGTGCGAAGCGAACTGTGAAGAAAGTGTCAGGATATTGATCGATGATTACAAGTGCTTTATTGGAAATGAGGAGTTTGAAATTGCCAGTTTTCACCCCAACCCGACCATTGTTGATTTAATTGTCAACGGATTTATTGATCGCAGAAAGCGGTTACAGACTCTTGCAGAGGCACATTTACCGAGCAGGGTTGCAGATAAATTAAATACCCAATCGCATATCCTACTGAATTTTCACGCCTATGAAGTGTATACGCTACTTCAACGGACATCTGCAAACTTGGAAGGTCTCCTAGAACGTCATCCGTGGTCAGTCTTCGACTGTATCGGTGTCAATATTGACCTGGCAGACCGGCTTTGGAACGGTGGCTTCCGAGACGTGGATGAGGTCGACAATGACAACGAGACATGCCTGACAAGGATTTGGAGTACGACGCCGCCCTGTAGCTTGGAAGTCTTGCTACAAAAGGCTCACTGGTTGATCAGCAAAGGCGCGGATGTTCACCACCGAAAATCATCCGAATCGGCATTGTATGTTTTGGGAAACAGCGTCGGACAAGTCTTATATGAAATGAGTGAAAAGGAGAAGTATGCCTTGAAGTGTGGTTTGGAGATCAAGATCCGACCTTTGAGCGAAGCTTCAAAGACCTTGTTGACAACAATTCTATCCGATAATACTCGAGACGATTGCGATTGTGCCTGTTCCCCGAGCGGATGCTCTCCACTGACGGGCTTCTTGAGCGGACTTTTTTCCATGGGAATTCACAAGAAGACCACAGATCTTATTCAAGTGCTTGTTGGAGTATTGAGAGCTCCACCATTTGACTCCAACTACGCGCATGATGAACGTTTTAAGAGCCATTTGAGCACTGAAATACTTCGCTTCATCACCTTCCAAAGCTTGGAAATCAGTCATACTTGCTTGCATAAGTATAGGAAATTTGAACCGGAGGAAATAAAGGAGATTCAAGATGAAGAGAAGTTGCTGATATTGGATCTCAAGCGCCTATTGACTCAATCTCTCGAAAAATTGAAAGGATATGGCGGGCAACTTCCGAGTTTCATAACAACAATGTGGCGGACCCAGATGACATCCTTTCTATCAACACCCAGGACTTACAGTGCAGATGAGATTAGTGAAATCGTTGACGGAGGTGTCATTATTGAGAATAATGAGATATAGAGAGGGCAGATCCTTTTATGGTAGTCTTGTTGATAGGTCGCTAGAAACGCCCCAAGGCGGTTTACTTCAGCAATATCAGAACAGAATCTAACCGTTTCAATGCAGTTGAGGGATTCATGGAATAGCCGGTTGCTAAATAATGACGTGCCCAATGAGAAGAAAATGACCATGCCTGATGAGGAGTAGATTTGAAGGGACGCCGGTTTGTGGCTTCCCTCCTAGATTCAATTTTCCACTATGATGTTTCAGGGCCAACATCGTTCCAGACATTTTTCCACCACCAAGCATACAACTGGTCTATTCTATGGCACTCGGGAAAGGCTTTTCCCCAAAATTGCCCTTGAACGCAAGAGGCGAAACATCCATCTCACGCAGGGACTCATTCAGGGCCCAACTACTGTAAAAAAAGGTGCTGCCACAGACCCAATATCGTGCAGAAGCTTGGAGTATCAATTGTCAGTCATTGGCCACGGCATTTTGGCGTTTCACAGAGACTGGCCTGAATACTTGTGTGTCTTAGGACTGGCTTCTGCTAAAGGCCTGGAAAGAAAACCAACGGAAGTGGAGGGATAAGTCATATTCAACAAATCCCCTGTTCCTTTTTCGATCTCTCTTAAAATTTACCTCAAGATAGAGTTTCCTCTTCACGATAGCTCATAGAATAGCGCGCTGCACCCCCAGAACGGGTACGAGTCACTTAGCTCCAGAAGGCCATATCTTTTTCCCCAACAATTTCATGTTGCTACGGAGTATACTACAAAGACTATACTAGGAGATAGAGGATTAGGGCCAAAGCTCGGAGACTCTCACTTTCAACCTGCTGCTACTTCGTAAGCTTCTACTACTACCCTGAAAGCAACTGACTCTCCTACGCCACCCGAGTGGATTCCATGCATCGAAGAAGACAAGGCTAGGAAAACATTGAAATGAACTCAGTGTGAATGTAGGAAGCATGTGGTTTTTGATTTAGTCATGTATCTAATTGATTTCTAAGACTACCGAGAGTACCAAGACAGAATCTAATCGATTAAACGTATATGTGCCAAAGAAGCGTAGGTTAGACAGCAGCTGAACCTAGTTCCAGTGCACCAAAATCAGAAGCAGGAGTGGACAATGCCAGAACATCAACGTAACAAAACAGTCTTCTTTCTCCGAGGGGGTGCCACACGACACAATTAATGATACACGGGGGAAAGAGAAACAACAGAGCATCTAACTATTGAAACAAATGCCAGTAAGGCCTGATTTCCATCCCCGAGAACCGAGAACAGTCCGTGTTTGCGTTCATGTCCGAACCCACTTGGACCAGATGGCCCAGGGAGCCGACGTGGCCACCAATGCTTCTCGCAAAATGGTAGAATGCAAAGTAGAGCACTTAGAGGATGGAGCCAAGGGCAACGCAGGGCAGGCCAAGACCGATGAGGTCGGAGTTCTGAAGAGGCATTAGCATGATAGTCATAGATTGATAGAGAGGAAGTACTCACGGCGCTAGAGGGGGAGTTCTGGCAGCAGGCAATGTTCTGCTTGCACTTCTGGTTGACCAGATCCTGGAGGGGAACGCCAATGAGGACGGGGATCTGGAGATCCAGCTTGGAGCACTGGTCGAAGAGACCCAGGCCGTCGGAACCGGAGCCAGAACCGACCAGGTTGCTGAGGGTACCGCCGAGAATGCCCGAGTTGACATCGGTGGTGTCACCGGCGTAGGTGGCCTTGTTGCAGCAAGACAGCTGAGCCTGGTCACCGCACTTGGCCTGAGCCTGCTTGACAGTCATGTTGTCGGGCACAGCGAAGCGGACCTGGGTGTTGCCCTTGTTGGCGACACCGTTGGCATTGCCAACACCACCGGCAGCGGGAGCGACAGGAGGCAGAGCAGCGACGGTGGCAGCGAGGCCGAGGAGAGCGGACAGAGCGAACTGCATTTTGATGGTGGCTTTGGAATTGAACGAGAGGGTCTCGGAAGAGTAGATATAAAAAGAAGACTGTTCTTCGAAAGAAGGGAAGGCTTTAAAGAGAGTGATGCGTGATGAAGAAAAGAGGGTTTACTGCGATGAATGACCACTCTTATATACACCTCGAGGAGTGGTCTGTGAGTCGTCCTTGATCAACTATTGTCCTTCTGAATCACTTGTTTGTTTCGACTCAGCACTGTGTAATTCTCCCCTCCCTCTTCCCGGAATGCGCTATGCAGGGAAACCAAAGGGGTAGATCATTACAATCACTCCACTTTCTAGGGCTTCGTGGGCCAAAGAAAGCTCCCCTTCGAGACTCCTGGTATGGATCTACCAGGTCTAATTACTGGGCTTCACTCGACTGCATTGCCTGCCCTAGCATTCCTCATGTCCAACTGGGTCCTATTGACAGTTTGGCCAGACTCGCCTGGTCCTAACCTCATTCTCCAATCGTAAAGTTCTACTGCTGATCCTTATTTTGCTCTGTCTAGTGTGGGCAAATATGTCTTGGGTTAGTCCTAACGATACTTCGGTTGCTATTTGGGTACCGTCACACCTTTTCAACATCATAACAATGCATTAGTATAGTAGTTGTTATGGATTTCGAGAGGTTAACCCAACAAAGCCTACACAAGGCTATAGGCCCTGTTCTCACGCTAGTGGGTCTCATAGAGCCTTTGTTCCTGACCCAGCCACTCGAGTATACTCCACAGTCCACCCAAGGGTCTAACGCCCTCCGGGGCTCTTGACCAAGACCCTGCAGCAACTCGGGCACTAAGGCATGTAACCGCGCTAGCACCCACCTAATCCAAGACAAAGTAATCTTAGCTACGTGCCTGCTTTGTCCCAGGGCTAACACCTTGGAAAATCCTGTGGGGTGCGCGATGTACGGGGGTTAAACGCTGCAAGGGATTGCGCGGCTTGACCACCGACCCTCATCCAACCATAGGGAGGCTTTTCTGAGCCCCCCTTCATTGCTTCGTGCCCCGAGACCACAATAAAGAATTGAAGATCACAACACTCCTTATTCGCCGTGCGTTCCCCACGAGAAACCCTCGTTCGTGTTATGTGAGCCGGAAGTTTGGAAGCAAGCCCATTGTGGGTTCTAGTAGGGGCTTGCATGACCTTTACCCCGAGTTGCGGCGTTTGGTCTGCCTCCCTGCTGGTCAAAAATCACCGCTAATCCCCGAAGACCTCCTCATGTCTCATTAGCCAAGCAATCCGTAGCCCCTAGTCTACTCATCCCTACTCGGTGCCTGCTTTGCAGCCCTGCCTTGGTTTTTCAGGGACGGAGTACGCCGTAAGATCATGTTCGCCTTTGCCCAATATCATGATGGAATGTATGAGAATCCATTCAGCTGATGTACATCACAATCTTCATCGATATCCTAACTCGTAGTAGGGAGATGAGCGACTTGTTCGGAGGTCTGGCCAGCCGACGAATCAATCACAAACATCCAACCAATTTGTGCAAAGCACTGTTGATTCTTTAGTTCTTGACAAATCTTTTTAGGCCATAGTAATAGTAGTGTAATCGATTGGACTAGTGCATGTATAATGACCGGACCATATGAAGTAGTACGCGGTTTTCTTAAGTGTTTAACTGTGTGCAGCCAGAATCGCTATATCGTCGGCTTACGCTGGGTTGTAACAAGGCGGTGTTCTATCTATTTGATCGAAATGATGGGCTAGATACGTGTTGTAGAATTCGATACTATGTAAACTTTTAAACCCCAAAGTTTATAGGAACCGCATCCATAGTCGCCGATATTGGGCAGCTAGCACCAGCTTAAATCACCTCTAATCAATCAGACCTCTCTATTTAACGCCCCCTGTTTTCTGTATATTCTTTTGAAGTTTGTTGGTTGATTTTTCCAGTCTTTGGGTATTCAATTAGGATAAATAGGTACCTAAGTGGGTCGTTGACCTAGTTGATCTGGAGGTGGTGCCCGTAGGTACCTGTCCCGTCCGAACAATATATATCTCATGTTAGAACTCCCCAACAGAATCAAAACCTAGCACCTCACCCACTCCAGTCATGAACTATCCCACCTATTCTAAGTAATGATTGGAATAACCCCCTCGGGGCCCTCGAAAGAGATTTCCCTTTTATTTCTTAATCTCAAGATCACATTCACCCAGACAATGCACCAGATTATTATTCAACATCGAAGGCTGTAGACTAGGCATACCACCTTCCAGGAATACGCTTGACCATCCACCCACCACCTTGGTATGCCTAATATTCAAGGCGTAAACATAGAACCCGGCTTAGCAGTCTGTTTGTACTAGGTAGTTTACTCCAATCAATCGACTATGACCAGTGTACTGTACATTCCTCGCCATGTTGGCGGGATTTGCATTCCATCACGTCCCATGCGAGCCACGCGCTGGTCCCTACACACACTCCCCTCCCCCTCCCAAGCTCTCCTGTCTGTAGCCAATGGGCTCATCGAATTGCAATTTCTTGACCAGCCACCGAGTCATGATGATAAGCATCATTGTGGCTTCTGCCATATGAATTTGTTCATCTGGTATCGCTACAAACCTAGCATGAACCTTGTGAGGCCACGCATGATGCAATTGATGGTTCAATGTCATATGATAGGATATCGAGAATGCCAAACTTTTGGAAATAGACTTTCAGGGACTAGCCGCCGTCAAAACAGTCCTGCAATTTTCAAGGATCCAAGACTATGTACTCTACAGCGCGTTGCGGGATCTCCTGTCTTTCAGTTGACCACTTTCCAGTCTGAGGGTCGTACTCCAGCAAATATAGAACCTCTTCGCTATCATTGTACAAGTGAGCAAGCTCAAGATTGGGCTCATTGTAGTGACCCATAAACTCGAGGTCGAATCTCAACTCTGAACCTGGCTGTACCGTGTCGCGAACGTGAATAATGTATGGCTCCGCGCGAGCAACACGTCGACTCCCTTCTAGCCTAACCGACTGAAGGAAAGTAACTGGTGTTCCATCACTATCAACTCCAGTGACTTCCACTTTATGTCGATCTTCCTCCTGCGTCTCAACCTTGACTATGAGACGTCGTCGCAGGATGAATGGCGGCACAGGTAGGTCTAGCTTCTCCATAAGCTTGGCCATCAATATGTCTGTTTCAGTAAAGATGCGATAATCTGTGATATCGTCTACTGGTGTCCTTTGCAAGTTGCATATGGCGAGTTTTGCGCCTTTGCGCTCCCCAGGTATCGTGGGGATTTTGCAGGCCGGTGTGACTGTTAATGAGGATCCCAGCACGAGACAGAGATCAGCCAATTCCGCATGTTGGTAAGCTAGATCCAAGTCTCGCTTTGGGAGGTCCTCTCCGAAGTTGATAATACTATCGATCAGGGTTCCGCCACAACGTGCGCACTTACGGCCCGTTCGGTGGTCGTGGATGCCATTCTCGTAGGTCGAAACAGCACGGAAGTCTGGGCGACATTATTAGACCACCAGGTATATCTCCAAGGGATAGAAGGGTGACGGGCTTACCTCTAATGTACTCCTTGTTGCAATCGTTACAGGCTTCACGGTTGCTGTTCCCATGTAGTTCGGCGATTCTCTCCTTTACAAGGGTTAATGCCAAGGCTTTGATTCTAATGAAGGGATGGGAGAAGAGGGCCACGTACAGGCAGGATGCCACTTCGTCGATGAAGTCCATCACAGTTTTGACTGACAAGAATCTTCAAAATCCCGCGGTTCTGTAGTTCTACAAGTGCCATATGCGATATCGTGGGAATGGCTTGCAGGGTGTTGGCGTGCTTGGTTCGTGGCTTGCCTTGGGCTCGGAGAGTCCAGTTGCCATCGGGGCCACGAAAGTCAGGGATTCCTGTAGAATTTCATCAGTAGTTGTCCAAATTGATATTGGAATGATGGTCCTCTTACCCGCAGATGTAGATATACCTGCACCGGTGAATACAATAAAGTGCTTGCTCTTTTTGATTTGCTTTGCGAGAGCCTCGGCTTTGCGATCCACCGCAGCGAGAGACTCGCGACGCTCCTCTGCTGCGACTTTTGGCGCGGTGTCGGCCATTATAAATTCTCTGTCTGATAGTTGATTTCAGGGGATGTGTCTGATAAAGCTCTTATGTTCATGCGGGCAGTTTGTTATGCCGGGCGGAGGTGAAATAAGCCGCACAGGCCTCGACGTCAATAAACAATCCGCTAGCTGGTTGCTAATTTAACCTTCCAGTGGTTATGATTCAAGTGCTGGTGCTGGCTTTTCTTATAGACTTATGATGCGTAAAGCAACACTACCTGCTTGGCCAATGCAGTTGTAACTGTGGTAGGTGTAACCTGGAGAATATGTGCGGGTCTAAGGCTGATTATATAGTTGTGCGCTGCGGCAAGAAGAAGAGCCCTGGAGGATTAAAGAGATTTCACTCGAACCAATGATTGATTAGAACTTTATGTTCGATATAACTGTGCCAAATTATATTAATTTTTGCTACTCAAAGAGGCAAATGAGAATTCTTGACCTGATATAGGTAGTAGAAAGCAATAAAATCTTTCAAGTGTCCAAGCTAGCAATGTGGTGGCTGACAAGGCTCGCCGGGCCGCGATAATCTAGCAAGAAAGGTTGATACTAGCATGAGATAGACCTGAAGAAAAGGTGCTGCAGATTCAAACATGCAATTTCTGTTTATATTCGTCAAGTTGGAAGGTCTCCAACTACATCATCCCCATAAATCCACGCTAAACCGTTTCTGGCGCGGGCGGTGAGTCGATCTGTCGCAAGCTTCGTGAAGTTGCCCGGTTCTCTCCAGATTCGACTCTCATGCGCCGATGATTTAGCGCACTGTCATCGACGCTCAATCAGCTACAGGAGAAGCAGAGCTAATTGACAGAATGTCTGATCAGCCACAAGCCCCGGCGTCTCCCACGGAGGACCGTCCAGGCTCTGCCTCTGCGCCTGGCACACCTCAGGCCGATCCAGAGGAGAAGCTTGAAACCAGGAATGAAACAGAAGATGATAAACACGAAGATACACGACCAGAAGACCAGCAAGAAGATCAAGAAGAAGAAGAGGATGAACAGCCGGAGACCGAAGAAGCCGACGAGAAGCCCGAGGATTCCAGCTCCGCGCCACCATTGCCCGACGAGGTCCCTCCGCCACTCCCCGATGAAGCACCACCTGGCCCAGCAGAGGATGATGGATGGGAGCCCGTGTGGGATGCCAATGCCCAGGCATTCTATTTCTACAATCGGTTCACCCAAGTCTCCCAGTGGGAGAACCCCCGCGTACCCAACGCGACGGCCCCAGGCACGGAAAGCGCCAGCACACCTGCCATCCCAGAACCCCCGGAGAAAAAGGAACCGGTACTAGGAGGCTACAATCCTGCGATCCACGGCGACTACGACCCGACCGCTCCCTATGCGCAACAGTATGAGGAACAACCGCAAGAGACTGGTGGACCTACGGTTGATCCATCCGCTGCGTATACCGCCACGGGTACATTCAACCGGTTTACCGGCAGGTGGCAGGCGGACTCGATCAACCCAGAGAACTTCAATGACGAGAACAAGTCTCGGCGGCAGATGAATGCTTTCTTTGACGTGGATGCTGCGGCCAATAGCCACGATGGCCGGAGTCTCAAGGCTGAGCGCAGCGCAAAGAAGCTGAGCAAGAAGGAGCTGAAGGTGTTCAAGGAGAAGCGCCGGGAAAAGAAAGAGGAGAAGCGGAGGGCGTGGTTGCGGGATTAATTGGGATTGGAAGCTGGAGTCGGGGGACGACAAGCTAGTGTGTTATACACACTGCTCTATGCCCCCCTGATATTGTCGCATAACAGGATGCCATTTGCATATTGGGACTTTGAGATACCACCCACACACTCGGGCGTGGGAATTTGGGGCGTTTATGGTTGTTTCTTTTGCTGGGCTGTTTCATGTGCATAGAGGCGAGCAGCTTATGCTTTGCTGGACTTGACAAGATTTTGCGAACTGCATTGTATGATTATACAGGGGATGAAATGAATAATTGAGCTTGTGTATTATCAGAATTGTCTGGATTGTTGAATATAGTGCCCTACTACACTTCATACTCCGTAGAACCGCCGATTGCATCAAACCCCACCATGAGTCATGTGACCTGCGATATCAAAGTTTCTTTTCGGATAAGTAACTTTTGCTACCAGCAGATTTCAAGCGATTAAAAATTGACACAGAGGTAAGAATTTCCCTATTTCATGAGTGCACGCTATACAAGCAGATGCTGTAATGCGCGAAGTTTGAGCCCAATCACACGTTGCTGGGCTGAAAGCGCACAACTGATCAATCCTCTTATCACCGCATCATGCATACCCTGGGATGCTTAGACTACTTGATTCACGAAGATCAAATCTGAAATCTGAGAAGATTTTCATGATGGATTGTCCAGGACATTAATTCAGCCACCCAAGACTGTCAAGAACACGCACGCTAACAACCCCGCCAGGACATATCAAATTCTCTGCAAGCCAGAAAAAAATTCTCCACCTGGACACTATCAAATCCAGCAAAACCCACCTTTAAGAGCGGGAGAAGCAACGAACGACCAAGAAAACACCTTTGAGGTCTAATCCACAAATTCTTATTCAAAAATCACAATGTCTGCCTCTACGCCAAAGTCCAAGCCGACAGTACCCGTCGCGCTTTCATTCGAGGCCATCGACGACCTGATCTACGATGCCCGTGCTGGTGATCTGGAGGCTCTGAACGCCGACATTGCCACTCTAGCCTCGCAGCACAACTGCCCAGAGTCGCACATCGTCGCCTCCGCCATTGACATGGAGGAGGAAGGCGAAGGCGGGACTGGCTCCTGCGTGCTGCACTTCCCTGCCGCGAATGGAAATAGCGGTATGATTACCCCCTTCTCAACTGTTCAACTTTTGTGGATATCCGTATGTGGTGAATATATATACTGATAAGTCTAGAAATCCTCAACACTCTCCTCCAAAAACTCTCCACGCTGGACGCGGCCCAGCGCACGGCATTCGTCAACCACTGTAATCACTCCGGCAACACGCCCCTGCACTGGGCTGCCCTGAACACGCACCTAGAGTGTGTCAAGGGCCTTGTCGAGGCTGGCGCAGATGTTGCTCTTAAGAACGACGCTGGCCACGACGCAATGTTCCTTGCTGAGCGTGCGGCTTGGTCTGCTGCCGCTGAGGAAGAGGGTGAGGCTGATGAGAATGCGGAGGAGCCGCAGGAGATTGAGATGACTATTGGCGAGGAGGAGGGTGAGCAGAAGGCTGATGTTGGGGAGATGTCTGCTGGCAGACAGGTTGTGGAGTGGTTGTTGAGTTCGGAGAAGGCGTTGGAGAGTAGTGCTACCGACGGAGAGAAGTCGGCGTGATTTCGGTGCTTTGAGGGATGATTTTGTTATGTTGATGTTTCTTATGGATATGAAAAGCATTAAAAGTTTGGTTAGATAGACGCAAGGCATGACTGTTCTTATGTTCTGATGAGTATGTCGTTTTTGTAGTGTAAGTGTCAGCCCAAGATGTATTGATGAAGATCATATCTATGGATTCACTATAATATACAGTACGCTGATGAATATTTTTGTACAGATGTAAATGCAAATCATCAGTCACGCCGAACTTTCCCTGTCACACCACCGTTGCTTTGCGGCGACACAGGAAACCAATCTACAACAGACCCAGTTGAGTATGAGCCCTCCGATGGCACCGCATTGTCGGTGTCAATCTCACGGACCTTGGCGTCAAATCCAACCTTGAACCGCCGGTCTCGCCAGACAACCGTGACGCCGCCATAGACTGCTATAATCCAGATAGGCAAGGCCAGAAGTTCACGACCAAGCCAGGCGGCCAACCACTGCAGGAACGGGCGACGTGTGGCTTGAGAAGGGCGGCGATTAGGCCGTGCGAAAACGGGGGTGTCATCGTCGACCTCGATGGCCTTTGCCGAATGCAGTTTGATGTACAGAGTCCAGTCGACGAGAATCCAGAACGCTAAGCTCAGCGCAAAAATGGCGAAGAATGAGGTCCAGGTCGCGAGTCCAGCGGCAAACGAGTATCCCTTCTGCTCGAGGTAAGGTGCCAGCGCGGTTGTGATGCCCCACGCGCCGTAAGTTGAGCAGACAAAGGACTCGGTGCCTGGCTCGACGAGTGTCGCAAGAAGCACGGTGAACTTGCGGACGCGGAGCCACCGCACTCGACGAGCAATGTACCCTCTTACACTCATGTTGGCTACGGGCTGGATTGCCAGGTCACCAAAAACCATGGCGTGTTTGCCCCAACGCTCGCCGAGTTCCTTCTCTTCCCGGATCTTCTTACGCCAAAGCAAGTCACCGATCAAGTGGTCCTCACAAATATTGTCCGAGAAGTAGTCAACACCAGGGCGTCGAGGGTTGCGATCTCCCGGAACCGGAGCTGTGAGGTAGTCCAGATGAGAGCGACGGAACATGTTGGACTTGCCTACAATGCATGGCGCAATGAGGACCGTGTTGATGGCCGTGTACATCTTGGCGTGCGACGAGGAAAGGAACAGCTCTTCCAGACGGCCGCCGCCCGTTTCAATGGTGCTCGTGAACCCATCTTCTGGTCGCCTTGACGTCAAAGACAGCTCCGCGGCCCTCGGTACGGTAGCATTTGGACGTGCGTCTAACAATGCTTGTCGCTCTCCACTCAAGTTGTTCTCGCCTGTGACGTCCACCGCGACGGGCAGATGGTGTACAAACTTGAACTTCTTGCCTGAAGTGGCTCCTGTTCCGCAAAGTCGGTCCACCATGCGACCACAAACGCCCTTTCCAACCCAGACATTGCAGTCGATGATCCAAATGATATCGCCCTTCGCTTCACGGTACGCGCGACTCATGTTCCGAATCTTCGGATTGGGTCCAAGCGCGTAGGCCTCAGGGCCATTCCCCTGCAACAATGGATCCTCCTCTTCGACATATACACGCGCATCGACATCGGGAAAATCGGCAAGTAGCTTGCAAAGGGTCGGATAGGCTGGGTCGTCGCGCGTGGCCACGCAGAGGCAGACGGTAAGCTTGTCACGCGGGTAGTCCTGACGAAAGGTGGCCGCAAGACAGTCGTACAGATGTGGCTCGAGGCCCTTCACCGGTCGAATGGCCGTGACATGAGCAGCGTTGGGATTAGCGGCTAAAGACGAACGTCGGGGTCGTCGCAAGAAGTATCGCCAACTGGATACCAAGAAATCCACTCGTTAGTCACAGCCACAAACCCCATCATTTCAACACTAGTGTGTCCCCGCGTGGTTACGACCGCGGGGCAAGCACAACACCAGAGGATGAACACTTCACTACTCCTCGCTGGAGAATGGCTTACATCTGAGAATAGCCCAAGGCACAGACTACCAGCACGGTAATATACCAGATCAGACCGACCCAGCCCGCCGCAACGGACACGGGCATTGCGCCATCGCCGATGGGCACTTCCAGGAGGTAGGAGGTCGGCTCTAGCATGAGACTCGGAGGGAGAGCGAACGGATGTCGACAGGCGAAGAGGACATTCTAGGATGGGAGAAGTCCCCAAAGCAGGAGGAAGAGGTGAGTAGTCGGTTGGTGGAGGAGGAAGAGGGTGAAGATGGGGCAGAATCTCCAAAGTGGAGTCGAGGCCATCGCCAATTCGCAGCCGCAGTTCCGGCTGGTCCTGTTTATGCACCGCCCCAAAGAGAAATTATGTCCACATGGCACTGTTATTCTGCTGCCTGTTTTATGATAAAATAGAATCAATTAGTCTAGAGATTTCAATTTTATGGCCACGTCATAACGTTCGAATGAGCAATTGGCCCATTCTTCGAAGTAGTAACAACTTACCCTACGCCATCTACTTCATGAGCATACGAATACGAAGTAAGAAACCTGAACCAGTGATAGAGAAAGATGCTATATTCCTGGTATATTCTCCACGTATTTTGTTGTTGATATTTAAATAATAAACTCCTCCCCGAAACTCCCAACCCCCAGAATGGCGAAGACCAGCCCCAATGATAATATCTTAGGTCTTCTTCTTTTTCCGAACCAAGCCTGCGCCGAGCACATTTACAGCAGCTGGCTGCGACGCAGTCGATTCGGAGCTGCCTGAACCACTTGCTTGTGCTATGATTGCCTCGTTCGCATCCTTCTTTCCGTCATCGCCCTCTGGCTTCTTCCGTTTGCGAATCAGTCCGCTATCGAGAAGATTGTTTATTGCGACAGGCTGCTTGGAATTATCCTGTGGACTATGGGTACCCGTTACCCGTTTGCCCCAGGTCAATTGATCTGCGAGTAAGGCGACTTGGTCGACATAAGACTTTGTACTGGCCACAATTTCTTCTGTGTCGTAGAAATGGTCAAGTACCCCGTCCATCATCTTTTTGTAGTCTGCTTCATTCAGCACGACGTCTCCGCGCCCCGCTTCTGGCCAATAAAATGGAACCGCGTTCGTTGACTGAAGCTCTGCTGACGATACAGCTGGGTGCTCGAAGGCAGTCGCTGGGACAGTTTGCAGCTTAGCAGATGCTTCGGTGGCCTCAACGTCCACCTTCGTCTCAGCCCCAGCCTCTTCTGTCTTCGACTTGCTAGCATCCTCCTGTGACTGGTGCTCGGCGGACGAGGATTCGGAAATCTTCGCCACAGCTGATGATGTGACTGCACCAGATAAGTTGCCGGTCTGGCTTGCCATGGTGGTAGTATTCATGAGACCTGGCGGATTGATAACCAGCCACAGGAACCCGACCAGCCGACCGGCCGAGCATTCCTGACGGAAAGACATCATCTCCCAAAATTGATCGAGGGACTTGACACTCTTCCACTGGCCGGTACTAGGAGGTGCATTCTCCCCCTCTGCAGGCTCGGGAAGTTCATCATCAAGGTCAATCAGGAATCGCGTCTTAGGGTCATCCGGAAGCCTTGGTACAAGACAGCGCGGCGGAGCTGATGGGTCGCGACACATTTGCTGAAGTGGATAGCTGGCAAGCCATCGTGGCCGATCTTGAGGATCAGATTTGGCAGAAGGGGGGAAAAAGTTGCGTGTCTCGAAGCGGTCGCAACCCGGTACGATCAAGTACGCAGTGGCGGACGCCGTAGCTGCTTCAGCAGTCGCGTGAGTTTTCGAGTCCTTTGAGACTGACTCGGGTTCATGTTCGCGAAGAATTGGATCGACGGCGCGACACCACCACTTGATCAGGCCCCGGTCGTCTAGGACGTGCTTCTCGGCATTCTCGATACTGCCAGGGAAAAGGTATTGATCCTGAGCACGAGCGAACAAGGAGACCACCAGGCGAACTCCTGGTCGCTGGTGAGAACGCGCTAAATATGATAGAAAAGTATTTGAGACGAGTCTCAACACAGAGACTTTCTGTGGCAGTTTCAATAGGTGTAGAAATCCGGTGGAGTCGGCCTTCGAAACAAAGATAGTTGTCAGGTGGGCCGTGTTATAGACCAGCACCTCCATTCCAAATACGATGATCTCTGCTCCATCATGCTCGGAGGACTCAATTGAGACCGATAGGAAATGATTTTCGCAGAACGTTGACTCGGCATCCTGGCCGGGCGCAGCCGCAAAGAGAGCAGTGGAAGGGGCTGGAGTTGAAGAGACATGGCGGACAGTCACCTCGGCGCCGGTGGGGATCACCTTGGCCAAGAGATCTGCCAGATCACCACCCGGAGCCATCGTGCGCCAATACCCAATTAGATTTTGCTAAGGGCGAGGTTGGAGGAAAGTGAACGCGGATCTTCGACGGCGTTGTGATTTTGCCCTGTCATCGCTGGTCACGTGCCAGTTACCATAACAAAGGCCCTTGAAGCAGTATAGTCGATAGTGTCGGTCTCATGTCACGAGACATCATGAAATATGAGCTCTGAACTGTGAAATCTGATGAAGCGTAGTAAACTGAAGGAAATGTGGATAACATGGAAGTTTCCGGCGAGTGGTCCCCTGCTCACGCTATAGGACATGCTGAACTAGGAAGCCGAATATCATTTGAGGCATGATATGAGAGCTTCATGTGGAATAATATAAAGATCTATGCATTCCCAGAGCCATAGTTGAGTCTAGAAGCCTCATGATATCAAGCGAAAGTATTAACTCTCGTTTGTGTATAGTGTACATCTTCCACATCTCTTTCCATGCGTACATTTGGAAGTTGCGAGATGGAGATGGACCTTCTTCGTCCACATCTTCACCATCTCTCACTTCAAAACTTAATCAAAGACTCTCTGTCATCTTGAAAGACATTAAACCCTTCGGTATTCTTCAAACCCGAGTAAGGAAACTCACTTGAGGCAAGTGACGACTACGGAAAACCGGGATACTGACGAGGACTACCTTAGAACCACCATTTCCCGACCCAAAAAATCCAACAAACTGTAGTGAGTTGCAGAAACCTCCTACATGTCGTATGACAAGTACGCCAGGTACGAAAAGTACTATGGCAAATACGACAAGTGGGACGAGTCGCGATTCCGATGGGATGGTGAGTTGCTCCTATATACCGAGAACACCCAGCTTACCGAGGGGAGAACGAGATGCTAATGTGCAGAATGAGTGGATATAGAAAAAAATATGCCAAACAAATGCACGCAGCTACAGGTTCGCTATAGCTGTGGGCATACCCTCGGCGGCGAGTTCATCAAGTGTGCCCGTCATATTGATATCGAGGACGAACGTTGCTCCAACCGATACATCCACTTCATCGAGGCTAAGCAGTCGACACACAAATGCCGCCTTTGCCTTAGATCGGGATGAACAATATCAGTGAGATATCAACTCCTATCAAGGCGTTAAGAGGAACAAATAGTTCTGAGCGCTGGTGTTGAGGCGTCGATATGCACATAGGCGCTACAGGAGTTCAAGATTCCCCGTTTGAATTTAACATATTATTTTCAAATCTGACTCTCGTCGTACATGTAGATGAAGCATAATATACAGTGACTAGTTCGTCGGCTCGCCTAAAATTGCGCAACAACAGCATCGAGGTCATCGGCATTCAGTAGGGTCACCCCCTCACGCAGGAGTGTTCGCCAAACAAGATTCCGCTGGCGAACCGGCCAGGAAGGTGTATTCCAATACCTCGCGCCAATACCCCGCTTGTTCGCAGTCGCAATCTGATCCCGAAGGGCCTTGAGCTGATCCTCGTCCAGGATCGGATCTGTATCCCTAGTGATCTTGCCAACAGCCTCTGCGAAATTTGTAGACGCGATGGGAGAAACCAAGCCGGTGATATCGGAGTACTTGGGATCATTGAGATGTGCCAGAGGTGCGTCAAAGAAGTAGTCACGGTCCGCAACAGAGGCAACCATATCTAACGGGGTATCGCCAGTACCGATGACAGTGACGGGTCCGTTGATCAAATTCTTACCACCCTCCAGTGTAGTAAGATAGCCTCTCTCCCGCAAAGGTTCCAAAGCTTCGATGACGGCTTGGAAAGTATCATGACCCGATGTTTTGACGTCGATGAAGAAGTAAAGTGTCTGGTCGGGTGTTGTGTCCCAAACGCCACTTTGTGTCAAAGTGTTAGTTCCCCGAGAGCAGATATTATGGAGGGGCTTCTCACTTTCTCGTAGGCGAGGTGACAAATGGGCTCTTTGGGTTTTGACGTTCTAGGATGTCTAGAATCGGGTTGATGTAGAGGGATTCGAGTGTCCGCTCATGAGTCAAAGCAGATTGATCATGTCCGACCTTCTACCATTAGCGATAGCTCGGAATAGTCGGATGAATCTTATTTCATGAAACGCACATATAGGGTTCCATTGTATAGCCAGACGTCAGCTTCGGTTGAAGTGCAACCCTTGGATAATCCTACAAGCGATGGCGTCAATGGGGGTCTGCATAGCAAAGGGGGCAAGTCTTACCGGTGTAGAAAGGCCTCTCTCGCCAATAGTCACTTATTGTGAGGTTAGCATTTAAGTATAGAAACACTCAAGCGTAATAGGTGAACAAGCTAGAAGACGTTCTTACTTATGGGAGTGAACCGGGATCTAGCATTGACGTTAGTTTAGAGTTCCAAGTAGACGGCCGACCGTGGAAGACACGAATTAGAGGGATTCTTGAACAGCACCATAGGGATAACTCACTGGTAGTAGATCCCTGGTAATATCGGTTGGATAGCCATAGTCCCTGCTAAGATGTGTGTTCTTCAAGATACTCTGCAGACCCGAGGTGATCTGGCCGATGACAGGGTCTGGGCCCGAAACGAGCACGACGATGACTGTCAATATTAATACAAGTGGAGATATCATAGCTCCGAAACGAGTGAAATCAAATGAGTACGATCATGAGAATGTAATTCATCGAAAGATCTTAGCACTTCTTTCGTTCCCCGATGGATGGTGGCAGGAAAGAGGTGCTGCGAACGCGATCGGGGGAGGGAGGCGGAACGCGCCATGTGCACGTGTTTGAAGGTTGCTCATTCCCAGTGTTCAGCCACATCAGCCGACGAACAACGGAGATTTGATATCAACGATGAGCTCGGGAGTAAATTAGTTTCTACACATATTACTTTACTACTGCAAATAGGAATGAACGGTTCATCGAGAGCGGTTAATCAATAACGCCTTAAAAAGACATCCAAGGTATCGATACAAAGAAACAGGCAAAATGAAGAGGACATTCAGAAACAGTTCATATCGTGCAAGCGATTCTATGTACGTCGTGGAATCCTTCACTCAACACTGCCTCAAACTTCCCGTACGCTTGGGGAGGCACCACTTGCAGATTCTTGGGACACCGAGTTGCGGCCCCGGAGACTGAGGTTTCCAATGCGCTGGACCAGGTTGCTGCCCACAGCATCAACGGCACCCTTGGGTGCAAGTAAGGTAGGGCCTTGAGCGGCCGCTTCTTGCACCCTGAAGAGTCGAATAGCAGTACCGTTCCAGACACCGACAGTGCCTGGAGTAGCGCCCGCGGCAGAACCAACGACCATCTCGCTGGAGAAGATGAAGCCCCAGAGGAGCGATTCATACCAACCCATTGAAAGCGCCGACCATTCGAAAGATTGGGCACGAACAGGCGTAGGATCTGAAATGATGCTGGTGACTTGGGGCTCCTCGGCGAAAGACGGCAGGTTGTGGATCAGAGTGCGTGCTTCAGGGCTAGATGTAGCTTGCAGAGCTGCGTCGGGAATGTGTGGCGCGATGGCGGAGATGAGGGTTAGAATAGTGTGAAGAGGAAGCTCTGGCAACCAGGACTCGAGCTGGGATTGTATGTTAGCATCTATACCGCCATTCAATATCTGTAATAACTTACCCAAGCCACTGTCGGCGTGAAACCAGTCGACGATACAGAGAACAAGGCAGACATGCTGGTCTGGCTGGTCATGCTGTTCTGTCGCGAGAAAGAAGGCCGTCCAGCCGGTAGTTTACCGCGCGCCTTCTCGGAGATGCCCCTAATTTGAGAGCCAGTCTCATCCACTGTTGAGGCAAACGAAGGCCTGCGGGAGGTCTGAGCGGACGGTGAGGATTGGGAAGGTGTACGTTGATCTCCCTCTTCTGCCTCGTCGTCAGAATCGTCATCTCCAATAGCAAATGCGCTGTTCTCCTCTGGGATGCGCGTCAGCGGCGATCTAGCACCCGAAGGAGCATGGAGATCTTCTTCAGAGTGGGAAAGCGTGGGACTGGTAACCAGGTCACCCGACGTGTCTCCAGCTTTGCGCTTTTCTCTCTGGCGTTCGATTTCTTGCTGTCCGCTTTCCAGTGTGAATGCCCGGACGGCTTCAAATCGATCCTTGTATTTAAGGACCGCGTAAACAAGGTACGGGTTTTCTGCATTGGTTAGCACAGTGAAATGCAATCGAGGATAAACTTGGCTTCCTCCAAGAACGTACCAGTGAAGCCATGCTCAAGAACTGCATTAATAAAGTCAAGCAATGATGCTAGAAGAGTGTGGTTTGTCTCATTGGCCAGCAGGAAACTTGGTGCAGACATTGAAGAGAAAAGCTGAATCACCTTGGAACAGGCGCTCGGGGACATATGCTTGATATGAGGGGCAACATTGTTGAGGATAATGAGAAGCGCCGGATAGACGGTATCCAGATTTCCCTTGCTGGTAGTCATGAGGGTTTGAATTGACTGTGATAATTAGCATACTGCAATGCAGGGGTAAGTGAATCGACCATACCATGATGAGATAATCGGCATAACTGCCACGGAACTTGAGGAGCCGGATAGATTGCGGTAAGGTTTCTTGTGCCTCAAACTTCATATTTAGGCTCTTTCCGAAGTTTGGCTCCGCACTCATGGTTTGAAGAATGAAGATGCAGAGCCGCACAACTCCTTGCTTGGACGGCTCTGTCCTGTATTCCATGGCATAGAAGACGCATAGAATCAAAAAGTCGTGTGAGCGATTAGAGTCGATGATGAATGATCGGAATCGCTTGTTGCATTGCAATGTCTCCCAGAAAAGAATCAATATCTCTGGGGCCCATTTGACCGATCTTTGGCTCCCAGGAAGATATGAAGTTGTGGCTTGCATCTATTGCATGGTTAGTACTAGGCACAAGGCAGTCTCAATGGCTAACGCATACAGGCTGATTCAGAATCCTTGTCATCCCATCCACCAGGAATTGGAAGTCTTGGGGCCTGTGCAATCTTCCGAAGTAATGGCGATAGTAGTTCTTTGGTGGAGCACCACGGCCATCTTCTGGAATCGGATATAGGAGGAGAACGAGGAGAAGTTGCAAGCAATAGATCACCAGGATTTGCTTGGGATCCTTCCACACGACGTGGTCATAGGGGACGCGCCATGCTGCCGGGTTATATTTCATAGCCTAGGGGTAGATTAGCCTCCGTCGGATGGCTCCAACGCAAATTGAACATACCGTATTCAGGAGAGAACACAAAAGCGTCAGCACGGATTGCTTATCTTGGCAAGTGGTGATATAGGTAATGGCCTTGACACCTTGCACGGGCAGTGTGTCTAGTATGGTCAGCTAAGCGTTCCTGGTAACCTCCATGCAGACAGCACTCACTCGATGGCAGATACATTGCCTTTCCAGTCATTGTCAGCAGTAGTCGTAGAACCTCGCACCGGTTGTTCTCCAGGGTCTTGTTCGATCCCATCGCCGTGTTACAGCCAACACCACTTTGCCAGATCGAGTATGAAATCTTACTCTTCGCAGTCGGAAGCACTGGGATAGTGAAATCTGCGAAGAACAGGAGGTCAAGCAGCGTGTCGATAAGCTCCTCCGCCAGAGGCTTTACATCCTCATATTCCTCTGCGCGCGGGGACAGCCCATCCTGCTGATCCGGCTGCGCTTCATCGAACAGAACTTCCCCAGCGATTTGTGCCTGTCGAGTCTTCTTCCTGCGACGCGCCCAGAAGAACTTCTCTTCCCAATCCTCCAGGTGTTCGGCTTCATAGACGAAGGGGAGCAAGCGAGTGAGGATTCGAATGCAGTTGAGCACATCGCGCTCCGGGGCAAGGTCTGGGTCTGGAAAGGAGGGATGATTCTTGAGTACTATCAGTCGAGATGAGACTGAAAGTAACAGGGTTTCGAAGTTGGATAAGGCATGGTCGCGCGTTCGGCGGATGTCAGCTGGCGTGAATAAGCTGAAGACGTCCTCTGTAGATTCAGGGAGTTCCCAGAACTTGAATAGAATCAGTATCAGTAGTTCAAGAGGTCTATAGCCTAGTGTTTCGTCTTCCAACAACTTACTCTCGTCCAGTAGGGGTCGTCTGCGGGGATCTCCTTCTCCTCCGACAGGCGGAAGATGCCCTGCTTAAAGACAAGCTTTGACTCCGAGGCCCCCATTGCTGAAGAGACCGGTCGCTCACAGCGAGAGCTTCATGTAGAAGATCAGCAGCAGGGCCCGAGATTGTCGAGAGTTCGTGTTGCCTGTTATCGCCGTGCACTGTTGGTAGTTACGTGGGTTCCTGGTGCGGAGTCTTGGCCAGAACCAGCTTGGCCTGCCGAGCCCGCCTAAACAAGGTTGTATGGTGACTTGCTGCCACAATCCCCACATGCCCTCTGTCCACGCTTGATAAAATAATGGATTACTTGAATACGATGTTGCTTCCTGGATCTATCGCCTCCTGTCATTTAGGGCTTCCACCTCGTTTGCTATGGGGACGTAGTGATGATGTGGTGTTCCCATGGCAGTTATACATCATGATTCGGGAAAAGAGGGCGTAATTATTTCAATATTCATTTCAGTACTGAAGACCCGCTCAAACCCATAATTCAAAATGCAACTCCGAATCGCGCCGCCAATGATACAGACAAAATGACTATCACATAGCGCCGTTGCTAGCAGATAGCCTCCGGCTTCTTTCGTAGAGCCACTTGTTGCTCACACCCAAGCTGCGGCGTTTTCCACTAAGCGGAGAAGGTGTGCTAGGTCCAATACTAGACATGCCGGACATGGTGGACATGTTAGACAGGGTGGATTCCCCGAACGAGTTGCTTCGAGCCAGAGGGGACGAGGACCCAATGCTCAGTCTCCGACCCGATTCTCGGCCTCCAGTCGCGACAGCCTTATTAAACAAGGGGCTCGATGCTGGAGAGAATGGCGTTCCAGAGGAAACGCGGCGGTCTGTATAGGTAGGGGTTGAGGACAATGGAGAGGTGGCTTGGCGACTCGCGCTGACAGGGCTTGCTTTGCGCGAAGTGGACAGGCGGTAACGGGGTGGGGTAACGTAGGTAGTTCCGGGAGTAGCAGGAGGCGCCGCGCCGGGGTCCAGGCCCAAGAGTGCACGTTGGGTAGGGGTGAGCGGGATATCAGAGAGGTCATCCTTTGGCTTGAAGAGAGGGTACAGAGCCAGGAGAATATTGAAGAGCAGAAGCGCCTGCAGAAGGAACAAAGGGAGGTGGTGGTAGACCGGGTCACTGTCGTAGATGCGACGAGCGCTGTTGAGAGACCAGTTAGCACTGACAGTCCAAGCGAAACATCTACGAATAGCTAGGACTTACTATGACTTCAATGTACCCCCGAACACCCAGGTCGAGATCAGAGTGGCTCCATTCCAGACCACGCTCCGCAGGTTCTTATCATTGAATGTTGCAGCATTCTGGCGTCGCACAACCTCACTCAGTTGAGGATGGCGCCATTTGCCTGGGGTGCCTGGCCCCTCCGAGGCGGGAGTTGCGACAGGCGCAGCGGCAGGCGCAGCTCTGGGTGTAGAGGGAAGTGATTGCGTAGCCATGGATCGCAATTGAATGGGAATGCAGGCAGATAACGTGGGGTCGCAAGGAAGAGCAAAAAACAACAGAGGGACTGTAGCTTGTGATCAGTACAAGGTCGTCTTGAGTACTTGAGCAGGACACGGGGGGAGAAAACGTAGCTTAAAGACGGAGATTTGGGGTGGGACTTACCTGAACTGCGAGGGAGAAGGAGAGGTGTAAAGATTCACACTGGCATTGGCATCGCCTTCAAGAGAAGTGTCGTTCAGAAGATCATGCCTCAGGAGATGTTTTGATGGTCGCAAGTGGCTAGGATCAGCGAAGAAACAGACGCCGCCGCGCGCGTCAAGATTAAACGCCGGTTTTTTGGTTGACCCGACCCGCCGCCTCTTCCGCCTCCCGCGGGACCCCTCAAACGTCATCGTGTTATCTGGAGGTGATTGTTGTTGACATCCTTACAGCTGTGGGTGATCACACGACATTCGACAATCCTGATTGCGGGAACCGTTCACCCCGTATTGCGGATTGATAGTGCCGCGGCTTTTCGACTTTGGGAATTCAACCCACCACCTTTCGACAGTTCCCTACGCCCCGGTTACCATCAATTAGCCGACATGGCCAACCAGGCTCCAATTCTGGAGAAGCTGGACGCAGCACTGTCCGAGCTGCTTGCAGACTGGAACATCTACACCACCTTATTTGCTGGAATTATTGCTGCATATGCTATCTATTCCGTCGTTTCAAACAAGGACCCCGATGTCCATCCGTTCCTACTAGCTCGTCAATCCACCGCATCCCCCATCCGGCAGACCGGCGAGTCGGCAACCTACCGCAGTCTTGAGACCCCATATGGATTCCCTCTCCGACAAGGATTGAACGTGAAAGACCCGGGAGCTCCCAAGTGGACTGCCGGTCGACGGGGTGATCTGCGCGATATCTGGAAGACCGCTGTCCGTGGAGCTCTGAATGAAGATGGTACCACCTCTGGAAAACAGGGCAAAATCTACACAGTCCTTGGCAAGAACGCTGTCGAACACTCGCTGCCTCAGGTTACACAGGAGATCAATGTGATCGGCCGTCACCTCCAAAAGGCCGAGGTGAAGACCGTTGCCGTTTGCCTGACCGACTCTATCGAGCTACTGGCTGCTATTTTTGGTATGACTCGCCTTGCTAGACCTATATTGACGGTAGACTAATCCATGATACTATAGCTGGCTCCTTCTACGGATTCAAGATTGTCCTCATTCCCCACAACCTGCCCGCAGAGACCCTGTCGAGCTACCTGCAGAATGCCAAGGTTGACGCTCTCATTGCCGAGGCCGGTTCAATGGACCTTGCCCTCGTCACAAAGACGAACAAGCAAGTTTCCGTCGTTATTTGGGTCGCTAAGTATGGAAACCGTCACATGGATTGGCATGAAGTGCCTAAGGATGTCAAGGGTACTCTCAGGGTTGCTGTCTGGCATGAGTTGGCGGAGGAAGGCAGAGACCTCGCTGGCTTCGATGTCCCCGATTATGATCCTACGACACCTGCCCCTGCTGTCAATACTGTTTGGCCTTCTGGGTCCAAGGCTGGCGATTTTATTGATTTCAAGCAAGAGGTGAGAGAAGATTTCCCCAAAAATCACATTCGGTCACACGAGCCCTACGCTTGGATTGAAGTGGGCGGCTTGATGCCTCTTTGATCAACAAAATATTCACTTGGTGCCCCCGAATCCGGACGAGTGTGGCCTTATAAACCTGCATGTCGCACCGTGAATAAAATATCTAACTTGTGGTATAGAATCTCGTGGCAGCCATCAGTGCTCTGGGCTCCGCACTCCCTCGGAACCAGCGTTTCACCTCTTCCGACCTTGTCCTCTCCATCGATTCCCTCTCTCGCTCGTACCCTCTCTGCCAAATTTTCAATGCCATGTACTCGAATGCTTCGATTGCCTTGAACTCGGTTGCTGGTGAAAATGTCGACTTTGCCTTGGCCACCCAAGGCGTGTCCCCAACAGTGATCATTGCATCTTCACGAACCATGTCTGAATACCACGACAGTGTCATGAAACCCCACACCGGCCTGATCTCTTCTTTGGGCCGTTGGGTGCAGGCTCGGACTCTGGATGCAGGCAACATGCCATCCCAAAACTTCTTCGGCCGTCTTGCGCAAGTTGGACCGACTGCAGAGCTTTCACTGGAAAAGTTGCGCCTGCTCTGTATCTCTCATCGTGTCGATGCCGATGCCTCGGTGCGCCTGACCTCAGAGCAGCTGACAGACCTCCGTATCTACATGGGCGCTCGCATTGTGTATGCTCTAACTGGACCCGGCATTGCCGGTGCTATCGCCCAGACCAATGTTTTCGACTACAGGGATCTCAGTGGCCCAAGCCACTTTGGAAGTCCTCTCAGCAGCACGGAAATTACCTTGACTGGCGTTTCTGAGAACCAGGCATCCGAGGAGATCCCGGAGGGTCAGGTGAGTCTTCCACTTCAAACTCCTATCGCCTATTCACTCCAGCTAATGTTTACATTTTTCGTAGATATCGGTGGCCGGTCCTGCTGTTGTGGACGGCAAAACTACTCTTTCAGTACGAGGACGCATCGGCACGGACAACACCCTGGAATTGAGCGCCTGAAGCTATCACCTGTAGATAGTACAAGACAGCCCCTCTTAGTCCAGCGTCTTTGTTGCATTTTCGGTTCTTTTCAAGACCATAAAATCGATGGATGGCTAACGGCCATCTTTATCACGCGAACATAGCCATTGTATCACCCAGCGTGATCATTTTCGGCGAGTAATTCAAAGTTAATTTAGTTGAAATACAATGTTGGCTCCAATGTCGAAATAAAAGTAATATACACATGCAAGTAGTCTCCCCCTCTATCCTCGGACCCGGCGGTTATGCGTTAAGAACGGAGCGCACAGATTCCTGAACGGAAGCCTGCTCCACACCGTCCGCAAAACTCTCCAGCTCGGCCTTGGCCTCAGCCAGGCACGCCGTCACGGAGTCATGGAGGGCCTTGTCCAGAGCCAATCCGTGGATTGAAAGGCTCAACCGCAATCCATTGTAGACAGAAACGATCTGCTGGGCCCGCTCCGATGCAGAGCTAACTTCAGCCGCAATCTCGCTTTGCTCCTTGAAAACAGGCCAGGATACGACCAACTTGCGGGCGTAGCTCAAAACCTCGTTCGCCTGGTCCTTGCCACCAAACTCATTGATCGCACGAGCGGCGCTGAGCTCAAGAAGCGTGCCGATAACGTAGGGCTGGTGCTTGGGGTTCTCGGTCTTGGCGAGAGAGGTGTGCGTCGCAACGTCCTGATCCATCAAATCCACCGCCTGCTTAGCCATGTTGAATGCCTTGGTGACGGCGGGTCCCTTGAAGTCGGCACTTTGCGCAAGAACGTGGATATCGTAGAAGAGGCGTTGCACAACGGTCAAATCGCGAAGGTGGAAGCCGGTGCGGTGGCCCTGGCGGATACACTCCATGATGATGGAGAGCTTGCCTGCAGCACTAGCCTTGCGAACAAGCTGTGCATATCGGTTGTTGTTAAGTCTTAGGTTCGACATGTAGAGACCGCTTAGGAAGGGCACGAGGGCCTTCCATTCGTTGTTCTCAGCAATTAGGCGCAGGGCCTCGTATGCGTCCTTTTTCGTCGGCAATTCGTTGATCTTCATGGGTCGCAATGTGAAGTCTTCCGTCTCGCTAATTGCCACGGTAATGGGCTCGTCCTCTAGTCGCTGCTTGTGCTTCTCCTTGAACATGTTTCGGCGCTGCTGGTTCGGGAGTCCAGATGGGATGAAGCGATCTTCACGGAATTTGTAGAGGAGCTGATCAAGTTCGGGGGAGGAGGTCTGAGAGAAGCTTGGAATTGCTATCGCAGTAAATAATCATCAGCATCTTGGAAGCAAAAATAATTGGGTGTATGGGCTATGATTTTACCTGACTTTGAGGCATAGCCGCGAGTTTGAGAGGCCACGGACTGGCGCATGCTGCTCGACCAGCGGGCAAAGCTGCCCATAGTGAATTGCGCCATATTCTGAACTGGCAAGAATTGACCTTAAAATCGCCCTAAAAACAACAGCGACTCAATGCAACAGGGCGCTTGTCACAGTCCAGAGGTAGAACGCGAGACAAAAGTTGAGGCGGAGAAGAACATCGCCGAACAAAATCGGGGCTTGGCGGAAATTCTGCCGGTCCGTTCCATCCAAAACTCGACTCCGACTTTCTCGCTCTTATCCTCATCCCATCACAACCATGGCGGCTTTACCAACAATGCGGCCACTGGGCTGCTTGAGATCCTTGCTGAAGACCCAGGAGACTATCCAGTCTCAACTGGGTCGCCGGTTCCTCTCAACCGCCTACTCCCAGCGCCCCCAGCGCGTCCCTCTCCCTCAGAATGTCCCCGAACAATTCCTATCACAACTACCAGTTCGCATGCGCCCTGAGAACGGTATGTATTGGATGCAGAAACGATTACTGTGGACACAGTTTGGCTGATGAAATGTTCAATTGCAGCCCCCAAGCCTATCAAGGTCTACACTCCTCCCCCCTCCGCCCGCAAAGCATGCAAAGACCCCGTCGGAAGGGTCACCGAGTCGCAATTGGAAACCCTCGACCCCAAGGGTGAGCGCAAGGCCCTGTTCGACTACCGCCGGAACCCCCGCAGTATCAAGCCCGGTGATATTGTCCGCGTGACATTCAAGAACGGTGACCCATTCAACGGCGTCGTGTTGAGCATCAAGCTCCGCGGAATCGACACTTCCTTCCTGCTCCGTAACGAGCTCACCCGTGTTGCCGTCGAGATGTCGGTGAAGGTCTTCAACCCGAATGTTCAGAGTGTGGAGATTGTCCAGCGTGCGCAGCGCAAGATTCGTCGCGCGAGATTGTACTACATGCGGTTCGTGGATTGCCTGGATAACCCCGACAGTGTTAGCGGTTCGAACATTTTGCTAATTTTTTTTTGTTTCACAGGTCTCGCAAGCACGACCGCCGCAGTGTCGAGAATGTTGTCAATGCCTATATTCGCCAGAAGAGGGCCTTCATGGGCAAGCGGTGATTGTAAGAGTGTCCGGAGCGGTCAATTTAGCATATTTAGGATGTATTATTATTTGTTCATATCCAATCTGTTTCAATATACAATGTCTTCCCATATACAGTTCGATGACTACAATTAGATCAGGCTGCGATTTACTCTTGACTTGACTTGACTTGACTTGGCGCCCGAAACTCTTCATATTTGCCAGTTCGGACGGAATCAACTTCTTCCTCAGCGCTGAGGCTACCGGATACATACCCCGATTAACTAGAATGAGTATACCAGGCCATAAGAAGGGTTGTTGAGAAGAGATTCTATTTTACCCCAAGTGTGCCTATGAAGCTCATCTGTGCTAACTGATGTGTATGTCCAAAATACCTGCCTATGCAACCGCCAAAAAGTCAAATCCGTTATATTTTACTTACCACAGGGTGCATTAATCATCCTGCCTGCTGTCTCGTACCATTCACCATTCAGACCGTAAGACGTCGGGCCTTTAGGTACTCGTAGTCCGGCATCGAGTCCCACACAGCCTTCTCGATAAGTCCGGCCATTTCCTCGCCAAACTCGACCTTCCACTTCGCAGCTTCCGCAGCGATATCAACATTTTCCGGTGCCTTCTCCTTGACAATGCCATTGGAAGCTTCCAGGGTGGACAACATAATAGTTGCAGCTCGTCGATGCATGTCCAGCTCCGCGGCATTAGGAACTTCATCAGCCGAAGCCCAGTTCTGAGACTTTTTATGATCATTGCCTTTCCACTCGAATTGCAAGCACTCCTTGTCGAGCCCGGTCTGATCACAGAGCTTAAGGACGACCTCAGGGCTGTGAATGAGATCGTGCGCATCCACGACTGGTGGCGGAGTCGGCACATCGGGCTGCTCCAAGCACCAGTCATACAGAAGACGCGTCCAGCGGAAGCTCATGTTGGTCAACGAGGAGCCCTTCACGCCGTCTTCATCCATGAATCCCTCTGCTGCGATCTTCTTCATAGAGCGGTACATAGAAGGCCAGGCCAGTGCTGGGTGGCGGATGATGAAAGCCATCTGCCAACTGCGCAGGTACTCGTCCGACAGGAGAGTCTCGTTGAGCTTGGAGTAGGTCCGTGTTGGGCCATATGAATCTGCGATGTCGACTAGAATTTCTTCGGAGAATTCGGGATATTCTTCGCCAGTTGTCACCTTGTGTTGTGCAGCTGGGTTGAAGATCCAGAATGCATGTTCCTTGGCGAACATGACTTTATTCTCATTCTCCGCCCGTCTGGAATAACCTTCCAGTTCGTTCAGACATCGCTGGAGATTAGCCTTGTATTTCTGTTTCTCCTCGGTGGACCAATTGCCTGGCACCTTGGCCATAGTGCCATCCTGGGCGACAGCGGAGAAGGCTGGGTAGAAGAAATAGCCGTTTCGGGGGCTTGTGAGCAGCTGTGGCTGCTTGGAGATATTCAAGATCTTCAAGAGCAGATTGGATGCAGTGCGGGGTACACTGACGAGCAGAAGCCGCTTGGGCGCTGGCGACGTGGAGGTGCCATTGGATGAGCCGTTGACCTGAAGAACGTCGGTCGCTGCCATAGCGCGGATCTAAGAGTAAACGGAAGGATTTAAAGGTGTCGAGGCCAATAAGCTTAACTCGGTATAGAGCAATGAGAGTGCTAGAAAGTGACTACATTCTGGGGGCAGATGGCGTGATTAAATATAAACATCCATCCTTGTGCCAGCTTCGACAACAACCATAGTCGGAGGAATCCGACACTTTTGACACCTCAGACCCCACGGTTACCTACAGCCTCGTCCAATTTCTTTCATTCAGCAACGCAAAAGTATCCATTCCGGACTTGGGCACTGCTGATCGCTGCTGAGAGAGTGGAGCATTAGGCCCGCTGCTCGGCTTTTGAGTGGACTGGTTTCCTTGGATCTGCATTGTCGTGGGCCTTCTAGGATACTGCTGGATAATTACTCCATGCATTCTTTTAATCTATGCTTTCGGGGCGTCGGACGCTCGGAGAGCCGAATGGTAGCATGTTTCATTCTCAATCAAGGGTCTCAGCCCTGGTCAAACTGGGGTTACATGCAGAGATCGCCTCTTAACATCCCTGTGCTGCGAACTTGGAGTAATATTCCCACGCGATAGTCAATTAAGCAACGGTCTACTTCCGCTGACATAGCAGCTATTCGGGGAGAAGTTAATTGCAAAATTAGGGTCTAGAAAAGCGAGGTGGATATCAGTCGGATTGCCACCGAACAGGTCTCGGAAACTGCAGCTAAACACTCGGATTCAAGACAAGACCGATAAGACCGTTGGGCAGCCTTCTGGCCCCCATTAAAAAACTGGCCTTGTTGTTGAGCTAAGACTTAGCTACAGCACTAAGTTAGTGCTCCATAGTTAGTCACTCCTGAGTCAAGCCTCCTCTGCAGTCTCGTCTTCGGTTAAGCAGTCATCCGAGCTCTTAGTTAAAAGATTGGCTGCCTGGCTCTGCCACCGGTGGTCTGCGTGCTGTATTCTTTGGTGCCTGTCGGAAGCTCCAGCACCCCGCCTTCATAGTTCGGTCTATATTTTAGCTTGTATGAGGTTACCTTAGCTGTCGGATTCTACCAGCATAACCCCGGTTCTTGTCTTAAAGGGCACGCCTAAGAATAAGCGACAACAAAAGTATAGCCAACCAGGACCCGAAAATGTTGTGAGCTTTGCTTTTTCTTATCAGCCTGAGAAGCATATGACCTCGCATTCCCTTAAAATTACATTTCTTTCCTGTCCACTCATGTTTAATATATAGTATAATGTATAGGATTGGTTCACGAGGAAAATCACGCAAAAACGCATCACACAGTATATTGAATGTCTGGCAGGTTGTATCCAAGGCTGAAGTATATATCAGCCGTACACGTTACCCGTGGCGCTCTACAGGTGCGCGGTAGCCTAGATGGGTGTATTTAGGCCACCCTGCCCGTATGAAAGCTAAATGCTTCATGATAAAACACCATTATGTGAAATGGGAATGTATATTCCGGAGTGACTTTTGGGACGAATAAACAATGTGCAGTCAGATTAAAGATGAAGTGAGATATCATGAGGAAGAAGGTAGGCAGGCTATCTATGATAGGGTAGAATTCATGTTGCCGTGAAAGTCTAAACGGGCAGATTCCATGATGTAATAATAGACTTTTCATTCGTCCAGGTGATCAAAAACAATAATTAATTTAGTTTGCTCTCTGTTAAAAATTCCTAGAGTAATGGACCGTTCCAACTCTTTATCTATTTACTCGCACGATCTAGAACTCCTCCGTATTACGGCGCTTCTTGGCGTCGTAGTAGTACAGCGGGACGGCGAAGATCAGGACCAGAACATTCAACATGAACATAATCATGTAGACCTGAATGTAACCGTTCTGGTTCACCCAGCCGACCGCTTCATACAGGAAGAGGAACGCAACCAAGTTCTTGAAGATGTTGATCAGGACAAGACATTCGGCCGCTTCTCGTTGGTGGCGGTGTACGATATACGTGATGGCAATGTTTGGCGTGTAAACGGATCCGAAGGATACGAGCCCAAAGCCAACGGCAATCAACGCCCAGTGAAGATGCTTTCCACAAGCAAAAGCAAGAAGAATACACCCTGCGGGTCCAAAGAGCATACCGGGAATTAGAGCGATCAGACGCTGCTCTGGCCAGATATTGTGGCTGGAGGAGCGACGGACGATGAAGGCGTTGATGACATCAGATAGCTTACCACCCGTAAAGCAAGCAAGAAGGAAGCCGATAATTGCCGCAATCTGCATCAATCCAACCTTTGATGTTGTGAAGAGATAGGGGGGAGCCTCGAGAAGATAGGACATGTTGAAACTATGCGCTCGAAAGGTTAGGAAAGATACTTTGCAGATGAAAAGAGAATAGAATCTTACATTAGAATCACCTGCGGGCTCAGTGTAACAGCATAGCTGAAAATGCCCCACAGCACAGATGGGTGAACCAAGAGCTTCAGGGGTTCAACGAAGGACTTCAAAAAGTTAACCTCGGCGTTGTATGAAACCGGCTGCATAATTTCCCAGATGGACGGCTTAGAGATGGTATATTCTTCCGGTGTCGAGGGTTCTGCCTTTTCATTCTCCAGTTGCTCTTGACTGATTCCCCGCTCAGCCTCTTTGCTGGCCTGTCGGTCGTGAAGGGTCGTCAATTGATCAAGGGTCAGGTCGAGCTCGGGTCGCTCGAAGTTGGACTCGGGGAAGAGGAAGAACATCATGATGAGATTGAAGACTGCGATTCCGCAGCATAGCCAGTAGAAGGAGCGCCATGTTTCCGCTGTTGATGAAGTCATGAAACCTGCAATGAGTGGGCCAAATGCACTACCCCCTGAGATGAGTACAACGTAACTAGATAATGAGGAATATTAGTCACTGTCTTGATATGGGCGGAGATATGTCAATTGCCTACATTGACATCATTGCTCCTCGCTGGTGCACGAATGTGGTGTCTGCGACAATCTCTGGAACAATACTCTAATGAGGAAACAAGGATTAGCAAGCCGAGTCCAATCGAAGAGTCCAATCAATGAGGCTTGATATACCTCGCCTGCTGCCGCTGCGAACCCCTGAAGACATCTGGCAGCGAGTAGACCGTTGAACGAGGAAGTCGCTGCAGTCCAGGCTAGCATGCCAGCTTGCATAGCCATGGAAGTAAGAAGAGAGGCCCGCTTGCCGAATTTCATTGCGACGGGCACCCAGAATATGTTACCAATACTGAGAAAGAGGAAGTTCAACTAGAATTCCATCTGTTAGATTCCATAATTTCTCCTTAATCAGGTCGCCCTCCTGAGAATAATATGAACATACCGTCAAAACTTGCGTTGCATCCGCTTGAGACGTTTGGAATTGCTCCATCAGAAGGGGGATTGCAACCGAGATGCCAGATCCGCCCATGTTAGAGATGAAATTCGCAATCGAAGTCGACACAATGGCCGATAGCTTCAGAGCAAACGGCCATTGTAGAGGATCCTTCGGATCATTGGTCGGGAAGGGGATAAGTGGAAAGTTGTGGCGGCCCATTATCACACGCAAGAGTCTCACAGCTGTGAAATGATCTTGAGATTCAACATTGACTCGATATAGGCTTCTGACAAGGATTAAAGGAAACCAGGCCGGAAAAAAGTCGGTAGATTCGACCAAGAAATTAAACTATGGGGAAAGGCGATCCGGGGGGCATGGCCGCGTGGTCCGGGGAAAGACCGGGGAATCTGGGGAACGACCGGCCCGTGACAGGAAAGATCCCAAGATTGATATATGAATTGCCTGGATATTTTAATTCAAGGTTTTAAACTTTCTTAATATTTTACTAAAGACGAACCGAAGATTACCCGATCTCTCCGCAAATTGCCCTAGGTAAGTGAGCATCGCTGAATGATGCCGTAGCCTCGGCATTGAGCATACTTCCCCTTTCTCATGGCTCGCTGTCTGTCTTTTCCTTTTGCCTTTTCTTCGTAGTTTCTTTGGCCAATCTCTGCAACCCCAATATTCCATTTTGTATCAATTAAAGGAGCTTTTTTTCTTACTGACAAATCAACCAACCAGTGCAGCCATGTCTACTCCCTGTCCTCCTCTAGAGCTTGTCTTCACCTTGCAAGTCGACCTAGCCCCTCCCCTGGATTATGGATCTACGGCCACTGGCGACAAGCGCTTTATTCCCATCACCGGCGGAAAAGTGGCTGGACCCAAATTTGAAGGAAAGATTCTGCCCAACACTGGCGGAGACTGGAACACAGTACGCTCAGATGGAGTTGTACACCTTTACGCACGTTATACCATTCAAGCCGAAGATGGCACGCTCATCGGCATTTTGAATGAAGGATATGGAAGAGCCAGTCAAGAGATTATGAAGGTTGTGTTCGAGGATACGGATCCGGCCAAGGCGTCTATGGCTAATGGTGGCGCTGATTGGTATACGCGTACTTCCCCACGGTTCGAGGTGGATGTCGGAAACGAAAAGCACGGTTGGCTGGCCAAGTCTGTCTTTCTTGGTAATTTGAAGCCACCACAACGCCCGGGATACGTGGAGATTGATGTATATGAGGTTTTGTAAGATAGAAATCTATGGAAATCGATTGCTCGAAATGAAGCAACCATATCGCCAGACGATGTAAACCATAGTACCGGTCAAGGACGGATTGTATTTTTTCTCCATGTCCTGGATTGAATCCTCAACCATACTCTCTAGATGAGCAGCTCTTCAGGGCATGGCGAAGTAGCACTGGTATGAATTCACTTCTGAGACCGGAAAACTCACTTATCGCGCTTCCTCGCGACCTGGCAAAGTCGGAAACATTCACCGAAGCCGGGATTCTTCACCAGTCCCGTGAGCTGCCCGTCGGGCGGGGTATTTCCGATCTGGATGGAGATTTAGCGCGAGGGGTGGATTCTGCCTTACAAGATGCTTCACGGGAAAGATACCTTTACTTCCTTCTTGCTGTTCGCGCTATCCGAACAGGAGACATACAGAGATGTACCGAAAATCCTTCATTCCCTATGGATATTCGTCTGCCTTCAAAAGAGGAGCTCTCCAGCTACAATAAAATTCCAATCCCACGTCAGACACCAAAGGAAACTATTGAAAACCTCCGCTCTCTATGCATGAATAAGGATCTGCAAACATTCCAGCATACAATCAAACTGTTTCTCGCGAGATCTGAACCTGGATATTTCTTTATTGAGGAACTCGAAGAGGTGATGATAGAAGCAATTAAACATGACAACGTCGGATTCGTTTCGACTCTCCTCTCCCATGGCTTCCCGATAAGCCCTTACTATACTATAGAGGCAACACTCCGGCACGCAAAATGCGCTCTCGTATGCTACATAAAAGAATGATGGAATATTAATCAGCCATTCGGAGATCTCAGGCCTTCTGTGCTTGGGTGCGTCGATTTAGCGGGTTTGAAAAGATAATTCACTGACAGACATCGATCGTAATAGTTACGCAGTTAAAGATGAACAATTGACTACCTGGTTGCTTGATCATGGTGCAGATCCAAATCAACAATGCGAAATTGACCGTACCCCTCTATCTTATGCCGTTCAGCTTGCGCCAATTAGCACCATCGAACTGATGCTGAGTCGCGGAGGTGTTGTGCGAAAAGGACAGCTTCTTCAGTACGCTATGTTCCGAGCTACGGATCTCAATAATGTTATATCATTGCTAGTTGATAGAGGTGCCCCTTTGAACGCCACAATGTATGAGGACGGGAATACTTTGATGCGTTTCTGGCCCATGAGCCTGGGGACTCCTTTGCATATAGCAGCTGAGCTCGGGAAAACGGATGCAATTGTGGCCATCTGCTTAAGCTCGGGGCAGATACCACGGTCAAGGATGCGAATGGCCGCACTGTCGTGGAGTGGGCACAAAAGTTGAATCGAATGGAGGTTGTGAGGCTTTTGGAAAGTAAAATATGAACAGATATTTCGCGAGAGAACAACAAGATTCAAACCCTCCCGGAAGCCCCAAGAAAGTGTGTAAGCTGCCTAAAAATCCCAATAAAATGAGAACTAAGATTAGTGTAGGTCACTACGAGCACCACTGCCCTCAGCCAAGGAAACCTATGTGAAGTTCCATAATCGGCTCACGATGGTGTCAACTATTTCGCAAGCGCGAAAATATCAAGTGGGTCCACTACAACAGTTTGGAGAGTCTAGCCGACGCCCATCAGTGACCCAATTATTGACTAGGTATTAGTCCCAAGTCTCGGGGTTTCCCCAGTCTGGGTATCCATTAAGGTTATGTCAGACCGGGGAGCTGGGTGGGAAGAACCGGGAAGGCTTTCCGACGCAACCTGGATACAAATACACCCGGGCGGGTCGCTAGACATGCCCGAAAGCTGTTAAGACGTCCAGAAGAGGAGAATCACATGCTTCGAAAATTCTGGGATGCCTATCTTGTTCTATCGTTCCATATTTCCTTGTCTGTGTTACGAGTTTGCCCACGGGTGGACGAGGATCTCGATATGGCGGTCGGTGGAACCGAGAAAATGCGCAAGTTCTACACAATTTTATCTGTAGAGAAGCAGATTAAGCTAAAAAGGATACGAGAACACGGGTGTGGCAAAATCAGGAACTCTACGCGAGACCCGACTGCAGGCCAAATCTATATATTGTTGGAAATATATTTGATCAACAGGTCAATAGATATCAGCGCAATCGCTTAGAAATATTTACAAGACTTCTGGCAAGAAGATTGAATCCGACCAATGGGAGTCTACCCGTAGATATCAAAGGCTTTCATGAGAAGAGTCGCGCAAATCTTGTTTCTTCTGCGTTTTACTAGTCTCGCTATCTTTCGCCGTACTCAATAGATGTATCGGAAACTGTGTTTAGTGGAGTGGTTAATTTCATATCCACAAGCAAGAAAGGGGAAACCACGTACTTCAGGTTCTCACGGTCAGTCAAATCCAAGAATGCAGTCGAGTCTAGATCGCGACCTTCCAGGCCACCTGGCATCTGCGACTGGATCTGGTCCCGTTTCTTATTCTCCCTTCGCAGAAGGAATCCGAGGGTAGTAATGAGCACCGCTTCGATAAGATGCGAGACAATCATCGACCAAATACCAAGTGGGTATGTCGGTCTAAATCTTTGTTAGCGAGTTTTCTGGTCGGTTGTTTGCTTTAGCTCGATCCACTTACGATTGGTCGGTCTTGTAGAAAAATGGTCCGGCGATGTTACCCGTGCAGTAGCCTAGGAATAGAACTGCATTGGTGACAACCTTCTTTGTGTGCCCTGGGAAAGTAATCAGTATAATCCAACCGAGTGATGGGAACCTTGTTATGGGGAAAGGTAACATACCAGCAGTGTTTGCGATCTGCATACTGAGAATCAGGACGAAAGCAGCATTGTATGGCCCAGTCAGGTAATAGCAGATCAGTCGACCCACACTGTGATGCGTGGGAACAAAGCGAAGCCCAAAGGCACCGACAAGATTAGGGATCAAGAAGATCAAAACGAAAACACATCGTCGATTCTCGAAGCGGTCATTGAGGTAGACACATGCCAGAATTGAGAGGGCAATCAAAACGCCGTAGGGGATCTAAAGATAAAGCATTAGCACTTGATTCGAAATTGAGATGAAGAAACAAAGACTCTACGCACCTGCATAAGCGTTGTGACCAGAGTTGAGAAGCCAAAGCCCTTGATAATAATTGTTCCAAAATTTGAAATACCTCCATTTGGAACGTTGCCTGTTCTTCGATTAGCAAAGTACCAAGACAATGTGGGCTAGAGATTGTTCAACATACAGACAACACCCAAAGTGAAGAACATGTAAAGTTTGTAGTCCTTGAAGGCTTCGATGATTTGATATGGTTTCAAATGCTTATTTTCCACACCAGTCTGATTCTCTCTGATGCGATCAACCGCTATCCGGCGCTCCCTCTTCGTAAGACCAGGGGCATTGACGGGCGAGTCAGGGAGGAAGATGAACATGATAATGCCCCAAGTTGCGCAAAGTGCTCCACTAGAAGGCTGTTTAGAATTGGAATTGAGTGAACTAGGGATAATCTTCTCACATTACGATAAATTCGTATTTCCAGGAAGGCAAGGCACCTCGAATATGACCAATGCCGTATCCGAGGAGGCCACCGAGTGCAATCCCGAATCCGTTGGCGGTATACCACAAGCCGATACGAACAGGCTGTTCGCGCCGAGTGTACCACATGCTTGTGATGAGCATGAAAGCTGGGTCTGAGCAGGCTTCGGCGGCTCCACCAAGGGCTCGGAGGACAGCGAGCGTCTCGAAGCTGTTGCATGCTGCTTGGATCATGAGGAAGACGCCCCTTCAAACGATAAATTTTAGCAAAAAGTCATATGTTCTAATTTCCAAAGAATTAACTCACCACATGAAAATGTTGGCGCCTAAGTATTTGCCTGGATATATGATTAGATCATTATTCGAATATGCTAAGTCTGGAGAAGAAGAAAGATACCGATTGGAAGTCGTTGCATCAGGAAATTAGTTGGAAATGCCCAAGCCAGGAATCCAAAATAGAAAATACTACTCAGCCAGTTATACTGAGTCCCGTGCAATTTCAGGTCATCACGGATACCAAAGATAGCCGCATAGCTCAATGTCGTCTTATCGATATAGAAAAAGGCATAGCAGACGGCAAGGTAAGGAAGGATCATAAAGTCGATTTTCCATAATAACTTTCTCGCCTCGGCGGGATCGATCTCTTCATGGAGCTCGTCGGGGTCGTCGAATAGCGTCATGGCTGTATCGCCATCGGCGACCTTGGCCGATTTCCATTTGGAATGTACTTGGCTGCTCTCGGTATGGGATATGGTAGGGACGTCTGCAATGTCGGCCTTGGAGCCGGGTGATGGCTCTGTTGGGGTGTTATTTGCCATGTTTTAAGGTGTACTAGGTACGGTAGCACTTGGGAACGAGAAATATGTATCCTAAGTGATGAAAGGAGAAATGTACGAGATGCGGCACGACGGCAAGTCCTCAAGCTTTTGAACAAATAGCTGCACGAAAGCACAAGTCAAAGCTCAGGTCAAAACAATCCAAGCGTGGGGGCCCTTGATTCTCTACTTGTAGTGTGACCGTGACACTGTCTGTGCTTCACTCGCACTTGATGCATCTCTCGTACGAAACCCCGGATAGCCAACCCCGCAAATGCGAAAGCTTCCTCGGATCCACAGGTCTGAGAGACAGGCCGTATAAATGCGGGGAAGATCCATTATTACTCCCATGCGGAACCGGAATCATGGTAGTCTTCTATGACCTGGGGGTGGATTGGGTCTTGGCTGATGGGTAAGACTCTCGGAGATACACCGCGATCTCTGCATTCTATCCAGAATGGGCAGTTCTCGCGCGACTAGGCCCGTGGCCAAAGGTTATCTGTAGGTAGGTGTGCAGACACACGTCGAGCGATGAGTAGTTAGGAGTCCTTATGATAATCGGAGGAAGTCCGAGGATCGGTGAGCTCACCGGTATACGATTTCCTATTGACGAGAATCTGGCGAATGATTCACCAGATACCTCCTGTGACTGGTCACTGATAGGTGGAAAGTACCTCGGAAGAGAAAGGGTAGACTGGCCCAGTGTCGATCGTATCCGAGCAACGATAGCTCGTCCTGCCGTTTCTGGTAAAGCGGCGTGGGGGTGATGGGGATCTGGGGTCACCATGAATGAGGGGATACTCCACCCCCGGCTTTTGTTCTAAGCTAAAATTTTGACAAAAGGCTGGATGCTGATTAGTAAACCAAAGCGAGAAATAGAATAAGCGACAATGGAAGGATGAAAGGGACAAGAGCTTTTATTTCTTTATCACTGAATATCATCAACTTTTCCCCTTGTGTTGAAACTTCCCCTTACGCCTCCTATTACGAAATATGCAGTCTGTTTTGTATTTCCCCGAAATGTATCGTTTCCCAATCTTACCCTCCCCTAGTCCTACCCGGCAACCGTCTATCTTCGGTTGAAGTTCAAGAATCGAGACTATTACAGCAAGTTAGTATAGTTTCTCAACAACCAATGGAATTGCATCTTCTTACCGCAAAGAACAAAATAATCAAATTCGACCCGACATACGCGAGGAAAATGCCCAGATCGCGCCATCGGTTATCAAAGTCCATGCTGAAGGCCGAGTAGAACTGATCTCCAATCTTGTACGCGCAATATTTGCACGCCTGCGTCGCATTCTCGAGGAGATACCCATTACCCCCGCGCTCAAAGAATGGCTCCATATATTCGCCGCAGGTCTGGTTTGCCGGTGCCTGGAATGAGTTCCATTCAACAGACGAGCACTGAACGGGGCGACCGTGAAGTTCCGTAACAACCATGCCCCCAATCAAGCGAGTGAACGGGTCGAGCTGGTAGAGCCAGGCACGCCAGAACTTTGGCATCTGGGGCTTGGGAATTGCGACACCGCAGAAGAGCGAGAAGATGATCACGATTGGGGGGTTGAGTTGCGATGCGATGAAGCTGTTGGGTGTCAGGGCGGAGACCATCTGGCCTAATGTCACGGCGAAAATCTCTGTGATGAGGACCATGAAGAATTGGTATCCGGCGCGGCTGCTGGCTGATTGGAAGCCTGGGATGTAGTACAGAGGCAGGAAGAAGCAGACAGCGCAGAGGATACTGTACGGAAGCTCGGCCATGACCATAGAGAACGCAAAGGCGAATTGACTGTATGTCTTGGATGCAGACTCGCGGTAGAAGATCAGTCGTGACATGTCGTACTTGGGCTGGACTTGTTGAAGGATGATGGCAGGAAGGACTGTCACGTTGAAGATAACGAAGATGCGATATTGAAGCGAGGAACGAGAGTCATCGAGGTTTAGGAATGCGAGACCGGTGACGACGGCGATAACGACGTGGGTGAATAATCGAGTAAAACCGTAATTCCGAGAGCGCCAGAAGGAGAGATGAGTCCGTCGTCCAACAACCTTGACCTGATGCCAGAGAGGAGAGGCATACTCTTTTTCGACCGTGTCCTGGCCTTGGTCGGCCGTCTGGGTGACGGCCTGGGCGCGATCAGACTTGATTTGAACAATATCCTTCTTGATAGACTCTAGCTCTGGCGAAGTACGCCAAACATCACCCCAGTCGCGTTCACCGAGGCGTCGTGTTTGACCTGCACCAATGGCATCAAGCATCCATTCAGCTGGGTTTGCATCGGGAGGACAATCAGCACCGTTGCGACGGAAGTACTCCAGCAAGACGTGAGAATCAGCGCCAATGTCTCCAAAGTAAACACACTCGCCACCCTTCTGAAGAAGCAGCAGCCGATCAAAGTTCTCGAACAGGGCAGAGTTGGGCTGGTGAATGGTGCAAAGAATGGCCTGGCCGGCTGCGGCGAGCTTCTTCAGGAATCGAACAATATTGAACGCAGATTGACTGTCTAGGCCAGATGTAGGCTCATCCAGGAACAGCAGAAGCTCAGGCTTAGCTGCCAGCTCAACACCGATAGTGACACGCTTCCGTTCTTCAACAGAGAGACCCGTCTCGGGGGTTCCAATAATGGCATCCGCCAAGTTCTCCAACTCGAGAAGGCTGATAATTTCCTCGACATATTCGTACTTTTCCGATCGTGGCGTTTCAAATGGCTGACGTAGATCGGCAGAGAAGCGCAGAGCCTCTCGGACGGTCGCCATTGCTTCGTGAGTATCCAGTTGCTCAGCATAGGATGTACCTCGCTGGAAGGCCGTTCCAGGGGCTTGGCCGTCAACCAGGATATCGCCAGAGACAACACCAATGTTCTTTCGAGCGGCCAGAACGTCCAGCAATGTTGTCTTTCCGGCACCGGATGCACCCATCAGAGCAGTGAGTTTGCCAGGTTGAACATATCCGTAGACGGAATTCAGCAGTCTTCGTGTTCCAGATGGAACTGGTACCTCATAGCAGACGTCTTCCCAGGTGAACACCGAGGTCGAGCTGATTTTCAGGTTGGCCCCAGTGTCCACCGTCTTTGCCTGTCTGTTGGCCTTTTTGGTTTCCAAAGCCTGGTTGAGTTCCTTGCGCTCACTGTTCTCCTTTTGGAAGAAGGTAATCGTCTTGCCACCAGCGCCAAATTGAACAGTCTCACCCAGATACAGGTTGGAAGCCAGGAATGCCGCGATCAGAGCAAGCATGATTCCAAAGTTCCGCCAGAGATCGCTCTTTGCGTAGCTGAATGTAGTCAATAGGTAACTCAGGCCCGGGATGATTGCGGATCCCGGTTCACCACCTGCAAGAGTGCACACCTGGTGGGCAATGTCGGTATAGCCGGCACCGCTTGGCACTAAGGAGTCCTTTGTACAAGTCATTGTCAGGCGGCTGAACTCGTTGACCATGAGCGACGCAAAGCCCAGACCAAATGGATTGAGATAGTAAATCCACCTCAGCCATACCTGTGCGCTAGCCCATTGAATGAGATAGCCAGAGGTCAAGACAAATAGTGTGATGATCACCGCAGCAAACTTCATGGCGTAATCAAAGTCGGGACAGAGACAGCCAATTGTTCTGAAAACCACTGTCATGCAGACGTATCCGGTAAGAATGATCAAGACAAACGTGAAGAATGCACCCGCATCGAGAGCAAGGCCACACATGAAGTAGACGATGATGGCAAATATCAAAATTCGTGCGATGGCAAATGTTGTATCGACAATGATTTGAGCAATGAAGAGTGCAGTTGGTCTATAGAACGTGAATGATCGGTGTTTGTTGACAATGGATCGACCAATCATTGTACCCGCAAGCTCAGAGAAAGCCTGGAAGCCATTGAACAGTAGACTGATGAACAGGAGACCACCACGAGTGAAAGCACCGGCACTGGTCTCGGGCTGTTTCAGCCACACGGTGCCAAGAATGATTGCAATACCGGTAGATGTAATCCAGGACACAGTCAGAGCGAACTTGTCTTGCCATTTGATCAAGAATTGCCGCTGCATGAGGGCCCAGATCTGAAGATGGAGAGGAATCGAGTAGACAGAGGACTTGGGCGTGAACTTCCGTTTGGCCTCGAGGTTGGCAATTTCGAAGTCATCGTAGACTTGCTTTTCCTGTTGAATTTGCGAGCGGTACGCCTGCATCTCTTCGTTGAGCTGCGTGCTGAATGAGGACTTTTCAAAGGCTTCAACTAGGCCCTGGGAGGTTGAAGGCACGTTCTCGGCGCTTCTTCCATCTTTGAATTCCCGCTCAAAGGGATCAGTGCAGCCAGTCAAGTAGTCGGGGGTTGTCTGGCGAGGCTTTTCTCGGAAACCAAGTCCCTCAAAGTATGCACGAGCTTTGTCAGTAGGACCGAAAAACACCTGGCGGCCGCTGTCAATGACAAGGACTTTGTCAAACTGCTTATAGATATTCTCGGATGCCTGATAGAGCGAAACGAAGGTCGTAGTCTTGTAGATATTGGTCAAAATGCGAAGTGACTTGGCAAAATCCAGCGCTGTAGAGGCATCTAGACCTCGAGTGGAGTTATCCCAGGCCAAGACCGTACCACTAGTAATCTGAAGAGATCATCAGTACTTGAGACAATTTGGCGGTTCCACAGAATTCTTACCATCATTTCCGCGATACTGACACGTCGTCTCTCACCACCACTCACGCCGCGAATGAACTGGTTTCCAATGACAGTGTTGGCAGTGTGCGCAATGTTGAACATACGCAACAGCATGTTGGTGACCTTTTCCTTGAATTCGGCCTTGGACACACCGTGGGGTCGCTTCCCGGGAGTCTTCGTGTCTAGCGCGAATCCAAGGGTTTGCTTGACGGTTAAAGTGGGCTGGTGGATATCGTCCTCTTGGTTGTATACGGCCTCGCCTCGGAATCTCTCTGCAAACACCTCCGATGTGAAAGGACCGTATAGAACCTCTCCATCGACACCGGTATACCCGAACCGTTGATTCGCAATAACTTTGAGGAATGTGGTGCATCCGGAACCTGGTCGTCCAAGGACCAGTACCATCTCTCCGGGTTTCGTGAGACCTCGGAATCCCTCCAAGATATTGTACTCCTTGCCTTTATTTCCATAGCCCAGCATATGCATGATGGTCTCGGGGACGTTGAAGAAATCAATAACTGCATCGGGGAAGGTTTTAATGAAGGTCTTCACGCCACCGATGCCGCGAACTGTGAGATTGTCCCAGATGACGCCTGTTGAGAGTGTTAATAAACACAGGAAAGTGGACTTAATAAGAGAAAATTACCGATATGTTTGTCTTTGATGCCCGCTTCTTCCTCTGCAGCTCGGTTGCCCCTTAGGGTTGTCTCCAGGTCCCATGGTTCCTCGGAGTCGGCCGAGCTCCCAGCCTTTTCAACATCTTCAGCGGTGGCAGTGGGCTTCGAGGCCCGGGATGCCTGTTTTGACAGTCGACGAGCTCGGTGCGAAATACTGGAAAATTGTCTGTTCAACTCTGAGAATTCATACTGGGCCTTTTCGACATCAACACCGGTCTGAGTCGTTGTCATGCCCTGCGGGTTAGCAATGCGAAGCTCTTCCCGGCCTTGCTCATAGTCGCTTGAGCGACGGGAATCGACGTCCGAGTTAGTACTCGCATCGCCCGTTGGCGACTTGTCATCCATGATGCTGCTGATTTACGACAAGAAATATGGAGGCCTGGAGCCGATAAGAGGGGTTGATTCAAGTTAAGTAGTGACTTTGGCCTCTTCCAACAGACTCAGCCCCCAGCACCAGTAAATCCCGCAAGGCCTGCACCGTTTGAAAGCAGTCGAATCGGACCAGGCGTACTGGGTGGGAGAGTTTCGGGGAAGCTGAATCAGATCCAGATATGGGAAAGAAGCAAGAGAAGAATCCGAAAGAGAAAAAAAAGAAAAGTCAAAAAGTTAAGATGAAGCCAAGCCCACCAGGCTCAAACGGTCCATAGTTCATAGCGTAACCCCTAAATCCGAGTTAGTTCTTCGAAATCACCGACCTATGCCATGTGCCCACATCGGCCCCGCCTGGACAAGGTTCCGGGGTTGTCTGGCGGGGAGCTCGCGGGATAACATCGAGGCAATCCGACCACGAGAAACTGGCGGTGGACATGTCAACGATCGAGATAGGGCGCGCAGATGTTGATCTTGACTTGATTCATGGATTCCAACCTGTCGGAAGCCCGACGTGACCATTGATTGTGCATGCAGTCCAGTTGGAAACCGTGACCACCACGCGGTAAAACCCCGGGATGCATGTAGCGTGCGCCCTCGCCCAGAGCCAGCGGCTGGCTACTGGCTCAGTGACTGGCTATAAGGGGTGGGGATGTGACATCCTTAAACGGCAAGACGGCAACTTCCGGTGGCGGATCGAATCCGCGTTGCTTTGGAATCAGCCATGAGTTGCCCAGGCTCGGAGAGTAACCCACATGGCGGGGTCCCATTTGGGTTCGGAGGCTGCACGTCTGCTTTGGCTCATCATGACTCTTGTGATCAATACGAAATGCGTTGCATAGTTGGAGCCTGGGCCTTGCAACCTTGTAATCTCGCAGGTTGACAAGGTTGGTACGATAGCAATTGGCGATTCAGCAGGCAACTCCAGGACGCGCCCGTGTCGAAAAAAAGAAGACCCACTGGGGGGGATTTCCAGGATTGTGGGGAGGGAGCCGAGCCTTGGTCGGGGTGCGCGGGCGCCGTCTGGGAGGTTTCTGAGTTTCTCACCAGTCAAGAGAGAGAAATGACAGGGACAGGGGTTACCGCCCGGCAGATTCTAACCCCCCCCCCCCCCCCCCCCCCCCCCGTGATTCCGCGCTTTCGCTTGCCAAATTGATTTGCCTAGGCCCCTACAGGGGTGACGACTGCCCAGATTTACCACCGGAAATTGCCGATGGACCGAGTCCGTGCCTGATATGATCTATAGAATTTTGAGACTCATTTTAGTGTATTCATTCTTCATTACACACTTAAGTTGAGATATGTCTTGATATCCTTCTCTCATCGGAAATGTAGCTCAATTAAAGCATTCAGGTACTACTGGCGAAGATTTATGGAGACAATGGGGCAAGATTCTCGCTGTCCACAGTTGTAAAAACCTAGTTCTCGGCAACGATGCTTTTTTACAATAGTATATGTCTTTGCACAAGAGAATTGTTCCAATTTAGCCCTAATTGGCAATCGTCAGACATACTGAAGACGGCCTAGCGACCAAATTAAGCTTTTCGGAGTGTTTAAAACACGAATCATGTCATTCTGGAGGCCTTACAGCCATGACTCGGTGCATCGTGCAGAAGCCAAACCCGACGACGGACTGGAACTGCACGAATTTACCAATTATCAATTGGATGTGGTAGGCTTTTAAGATGATCCTAGAGTAAAGACTACATACTCTATTTTGGAACCCGTTCAAGCCTGAAGGCTCGGGTGTCAATGAAAGCGAGTATGTACATAGATCCACCTGTGGGTATTTCCCTAGTGTGGGTATTTTCCAGAAATCATATACATCCTGATTTAGTTTCCAGCTCTTATGACTCCCAGCGAGTTGAAGCACCAACTTTGAGCGAATTCATTATGCAGATAACAAATATATTGAAAATGCAACCATGCGGTACGTGTTACTATGCAAAGTCCTCCCTGATCCAAGGCTAACAGCCCGAAGCAGCTTCCCTCCTGCGCCTTCCACCGCGAAGCACTACAGTTATCGGTAGACGATTTGGGGGTCATTATTTCAGCCTGAGTCCAAAGTAAGCATTGAAACGACGAGTCAAACATATTTTCATCACAAGAAACGCGTGCTAAAACTCTATTGTTTAAGCATCCATCCGAAGCTCATTTCCACCCGAAGCATCACAGCCGAATCAGCTCAAGATCGCCTCGCTGCACAACGCCGGAACCGTCCTGTCGCTCCAGCAATGACAATATACAAATGGCAATATGTCTCTTCAGTCTCCGCCGCCCAGCGTATAACTGGCCTCCTTCTCTCTGGGAGTTTGTACGGCTTCGCGACGTTGTATCTTTTGACACCAGTGACCGGGCTGTATCTCGACTCGGACACAATAGTTGCTGCCTTCGCGTCTCTGCCCTTGGCTGCGAAGGCAGCAATCAAGTTTGGTCTTTCTGTGCCATTTACCTATCATGGTTTCAATGGGATCAAACATTTGGTGTGGGACAGCGGTCGTCTACTCGGGAAGAAATCTAGCGGACGGGCCTCGTGGGTGGTCTTAGGTTGTAGCCTGGGTTCGTCTTTGGCTCTTGCTTTGATCCAATTTTAGAGAGTCTCGGTGCCTTGCCGGGATCCCATAGAATTTTCATAGAAGTTAAGATATACGAGTGGTCACTCAGTTGTATTGTTCAAGTTGATGGTCGACTCAATAATTCGTGCACATGGATCATAGAATTTCGGGCAATTCCCCCGGTTTCCGACATGGGGGATCGTAGTAAAATCTTCGCGAACTCACACAAGTCTTGAGCGTGAGTCATGAAACCCGCCCGGTAAATCTGATCTTCAGTCAATTGAGGTTGTAGATGCTCCCATAGTGACCGCCATCTAGAAAGTGCCCTTTCTACCTGGTCTTTAGCATCAGACATGTCTAGAAGGCTCGACCGCAGGCCAAATATAACTGTATGGAATGCTGAAAATGGGTAAGCTATTAACATCCGTAATAGGCTGACAGGGACAGTGTTGAAATACCTGATATGACGATAAACAGAGGAAAAATACTTAGACGCTCAAATCGTGGATCCGTTATACCAGCCCAGTTCTCACCGAGCAATAGCTGAAGGAACTCGCTCAATAGTGGCGGTCTCTGGAATCTCCTTTCATTTTGCGCCCACTCCTGCCATGTATCAATGTCAGAGATATCGATGCCTTTGTCTTCGGCTGGAAGATCAAACGTAAATTCGGTCGCAGAAAACAGAGGAGGATCATTGAAAAACATGATAAAGTGGCTGTCTATCATGCATATAGAGGCCATCATTCTGTACCCATGTCAGTGATTCGTTGCAGCGATCTGTGCGACTGGCAATTGAGGGGCTCTTCTAACCTGATGCAGATCTCGTTTCTGATAAATTGCTCATAATTCAGTATACTGGAATCATGCCACTGATTTTTGACTTTTGTTAGTCCCGTAGTCCGGGCAGCAGATACCAAGGCAGGATAACGCTGAATACGAATTCTTCGCCTAGCGGTGGGGTTGGGGCTGGAAATCTGTAGGAGAATCACAAGTATGGCCGCTTGGATGATCTCCACACTTTTCCTGGGCAGGGATACGCTCTCCCCTTGGCGAATCCCGTGAACAAGATCATGAAAACATTGGCTCTCGAAGACAGCAAATTCAGCCATGTCGAGGTATTCCACAGATTTCAATTTAATGTCCTCCGACATACCGCAAATTGCGCCCATAAGGATCATGGATAAGAGTAATCCTGGGGAGGTCAAGTCTAGGTTGAAAGTAGACTTCAAGACAATGCGACAACGAGGACGGACCGTGTTGTCAAAGTAAGCCAGAATCGAGCTGAGAATGTTTTCCTCTTGAAAGAATTCTTGAGCGCGCTCAATATCCAAATCCTCTCCAAGACCTGGATTTGCGGCTGTCGTTTCCAATATGCATTGCAGAATTCGCTCCGCAGCAAGAGATCTCCTTTCTTGATCGTCCAACCCCAGCGGCAAAGGCACTATTTGCTGTGTCTCAGCATCCTGGAAAGTCTCAAAGAACAAATTCCACGAATCCTCGGCAAAAAAACCATTCTTTTCTCCATCAAGATGAAGACTTGGAAGGGATGTATCTTTTGCCCCTTCATTGCCTTCCGTAGACGCCAGTTGAGTCAAGACGTGGTTAACATCCCCAGGATGACGATCACTCGTCGCCGAGTAATTAAGCAAAAAGGGAAGCGATACCTTTTTGTCCCTATCACGGCGGGTACGGACGCCAACCCGCTGAGCGGATTTGGCACGGCTATTCACCAAAACGCCAGTGGAGTTATTGATAACTTGTTGTTGAGTTCCGAGACGCTGATAAGAACAAGACTTGTCACTCCGCAAACATGTAGCACAAGGGGTTTGGCCATCACAGGCAACTCGACTGCTTGCACAGGAATCACATGCCTTGCGCCGGCGACCAGAAGTGTCTGGCGCTGGACCAATCTGGCGTCGAAGTTGAGAACAGCTCCGATAGTGTCGTCGAAGAGCATCACTAACTGAGTGAGCTTGGCATGCCAGTTAGGCTTGCTCGGGTGTCTTACTTTCTGGAATATTGACGCCCGCAAAATTTGCATAATATTTGGGATCCTGGAACATCTGGGAGACCATCCATATTAGCTTCAGAGAAGGTGCCATGACGGTTGATGTACCTACGTAAAGTCTCATGACGGCGCAGGTGGTTCCTGCTTGAGAAGCTCTGTTGACAGACTCCGCAAGTATGCGTTGAGTCAGGCATCGCTCCCTCCAAACTTCACCACAGTGGCATGTATAAAATCACTGGCATGAGTCATGCATACAAAACATGCTCAAAAAACAGGGACAAGGTAGAACCCGAAGCGATGTAGAGGGCGAGCGATATCTTTTGGATTTGGCGGTGAAATCTGATCGTGTCTTGTCGCGACCCGTTTGGTCCCTCGTACCCCAACCCTATATCTTTAAAGCCACTGAGATGGTTATCTCCGCAAATTATCCGTTGTTCAGTACTCCGTGCACGTCTTGTTCCCATCACAGACAGGTACGGCTGCACCGGCACCGACACCAACTCCGGCGGCTACCTACCTAGGCGTGGGCTTAGTAATCTTAATTCCCGGCTGGGGTCCCTACGGCGGTCAGGCTTACGCACACTGGGGCCTTTATCAATCTGAAGAACTGTTTTCCGGAGCTTCATCGTATCATTCTATCATTCTTCGTCATTTACACGAAGATTAATCGTTTGCCTTGTAATCCCAGAGGACGCCCCAGATCTCGCCCTCAACCTCCACCTCTGCCACCTGTTCCTTGAACAAACCGCTTCCCAGATCTCTCTCAAGAATAGTCACTCTAGATCCCATCTGGATACCAACAGCTGCTAGGTTGCCCGCGCTGTTCAGATCATAGGCTCTAGCCAATGAACCACCCGCCGGTGCCGCCTGAACAAAGTCAAGTTTACCACCAAGATGTTGTCTGATCCTAAATGTGGAAATCGAGTCTGATGTTCCGCTGGGTGGATATTGCGCCGTGGTGCCATTGAAGCGAGCATCACGACGATTACTGACAATCAAGAAGTCACCGTCAGGGCTCAATCTCAATTCAGCCGTGATTCCCTTGCCACCAGTGTCGGGCTTGGAAACACCGGGCTCTAATGAAGAATATGTGCCATTCGGAAGCTCTGTAAACTGCAGCCCGCCGCGGTTGGGTAGATATTTCACGCGATATGCCGTGATCCCGCAACCTCTGCGCCGAGGTAGAGCATATAGCTTGCAATTCCATCTGGGAACATAATCGGATCTTGTGTAAACACACCATGTCGGGGCCCGGAGCCTGGGGTGGCGTTAAGAGCCGCCCTCTCTTCCAAAAGCAAGGTATGATCATCGATGGTGTACACGCGCACCTTGTCGGCCCCAAGATCAATCGCTAGCACATATTGCTCTAAGGGATCGGTGCGTGCCTCATGAACATGTGGAGCAGCCTGTCGGGCTCCGGCAGGTCCTTCTTTGGACATGGTGTATGTGAAGGTCTGCAGTGGTTTCATGGTGCCGTTTGCAGCAGTAATATCGTAGGTCTGAAGAGCACTCCTGGTGTAGTGCACCACTGCGAGGGCTTTGCCATTGGCGTAGAAGCCAGCGGAGGCACCATCGAGAAGACACTCGACACAGTCCAATTGAATTGGCGGCCCGGTACCATTTTTGGAGCTGGTACGATAGGCAGTAAGAGTTCCATTGCCTGTGGTGACCCCGTCCACAAGGTAAAGAAGGTTATTATGTTTATTCAAGGTCAACCAGGCTGGGTAGGTCGCGGGTGTCTTGAATGTATCGACAACAGAGAGATTATATTTCTTTTGAGGGGCGAAGCCAGCAAAGTAGCCATCTTCCGCGTATGCAGATGATCCGGTTGAGGCGAAGTAGTCATACGTCAGGGAAAGTACTGAAATGTTTCCCGAATAAGATGCCACATAGATATATTTGCCCTGTACGTTGTTGCAGAGGAGCAAAATCTGTAGCAGGATCGCAGTGAGAGAAAGATTCATGTTTGTTCCCGCAATGCAGCGCAAGCCGATATCAATGAGTTAACCTCGAGAAAAGGCTATAGCTGATGATTAAGAGAAATTTCATGAGTCTGAAGACATTGGCTTTTATAATATTCTATACCGTTGACCTCGAAGGTTAACAGCTTTTTGAGGAGAAATACTCATGACCATCTTTCCATCTTCGGTTGAATTTGTTTAAGCGACTGAGATTTTAGATGCAGTAGGAGGAATGATGGGTCAATCTGTAAAGATAATTGGCGTCATTGGAAATGTGGAATCCGCATCATATGCATATTCCCCACAAACTTCGGATCCCCTGAAGCTACCCCAAGGGGGCTGGTGTTGGTCTTACTCCATGGGGAAACCCTTACACCCGTTGACCACAACACACTTAGTGTCGGTTCGAATACAACAAATACCTCGTCACTCGAAGGGAGCATAAATCTTTGGGGTATGCGTTAATTACAGACTACTTAGTTAATTTTTATGTCCGGTAAGTTTGTAGAACGTCATAGATTAAAACTTGGAGGTGATTGTACCAAGACAAAAGCAAAACTATCTATTCTAACGAGGCTAGTAGCATGTATGAAAACAGGAAAGTAAATGAACTGGACTAAAGAGAACATGATAATCAGATATCAGAGGCAGGCTACTAATGTCAATAATCAGAACAATTGGACGGATGACGCAGTGTGGCTCTGATTTCTTTAGAAAGACAAGTAACTCGGCATTCTGTTTCTCCGTAGGCATTCACTGTGAATAATAGTGATTATCCGATATAACTCCCTCCGGCCCGTGTGTAGCATCAAAACCCGAAAGAATAGCCGAATTACAGTCATAGTGAACCCGTAGGTAAGGCGATCAATCTATCAGTTCAACAACACGGGCAGCTAGTAATAGGTTGATTCAGCTACAGGTAAAACCTGGTGACTACCCAGGAGCATCCTGATAACCGAACCCGGCGACACCCACAATAATTGCCCACATCCCGGATAAGGCCTTCCCCACAATGTGGGAATCCTGCCCCGTCTTAGCTTTCTCATTCCCAGTGCTTTTCTCATTCCCAGTGCTTTTCTCATTCCCAGTGCTTTTCTCATTCCCAGTTCTTTCTTCACCAAGGCTGCCAGATGAACCCAGTTGAGGAGAACGCCGCTAGTTGCAGCTCCAGCTGCATTATGGGCTATGTATCGAGAACATGCGATAAGATTTGTAATCAACTCCAGGTTGGGTTAATCCTTTCTCTCATTGGACGTCGTTCTTTTGGTTGCCTACGCTGGATGTTCGTCCCATTGCTCTCTGCCCCCCTTTTGAACATTAACCGCGAAACATATTATTTATGCTTTCATGACTTATAAAGTCTCCAAGCGGCTTGGAAAGTAAAATTAGTGTACACTGAACGGAAAATTGCCCACTAAGCTGCCAGAGAAGCAAAATACCACCAACCAGTTATGCAGATTATTGTTTCTATTACAGTAGTGCATTTGAAGTTTAACCGGCTTCAATTATATCCTGACACTCACAGCTGGATTTTATGGAGAAAGCCGAGTGGATGTATCACTGACTAATCTCAATTATCTAACAAGGCAATATTCTGGCCTATTTTGACGGAATAAGTTTAACAAAATATCTCCTGTAAATTTTACTGACCAAATTAGGACGCCGAGAGATTATTTTCTAACTGAAAGTCCAATGACTGACATGTCCTAATTGGTGTACTGACAAACTAGATTTACGTGCCTAGTACTCAACATGTACGCTCAACTAGAAGCTACTTCGAATATGCCTCAATAAATTTCCTATTTCGGATGCACTCAACTATTGTAATAATGACCAATTCTTCGATCATTCTGATCGATCACAAGAGAAAAGCACCATTCGTCTTCGCAACAATTTCATCATAATAAGATTGAAACGCAAGCCAACCTTTCTCTGGTCCCCCGACCTGTTTTGCTGTAAACTCAGCCTCCTCGTCATTGATGATTTTTTTCTTGTGTCCACTACCTCGCTCAGCCGCATCGACGAGGAGCTGAGCGTGGCATGTTTTGTCCAGGCTAATAAACCAGAACGCTGCCTCGTCAACTGTTTTCCCAACCTATATCATGGGTTAAACATCTAACCTCATTAATTATACCGAGTTGAGTATTTCTTGACTCACTGTAAGCAGGCCATGGTTTTGTAGAATTGCAGCCTTCCCGTTACCAAGGGCCCTAGAGATTCTCTTCCCCTCCTCTCGATCAAGCACGACGCCGCCAAATTCAGTATAGACCGAGTGGCTCTTGTAGAAACGGAGTGCGTCTTGAGTTATCATATCGAGCTCTCGACCGAAAGCGCTAAAGGCTTTCCCATGAACCGAATGAGCATGACAAGCCGCGTTCACCTCCGGTCGAGCTTTGTGTATCTCTGAGTGTATTGCAAAAGCGGCCCCATTAATCGGCTCATCGCCAATAACAACCTCGCCATCTTCATTGACGAGAATCAAGTCAGAGACTTTGATCAGCGAAAAATGCGTTGATAATGGGTTCAGCCCTGGAAATAATTGCATTAGAATCCTTCATTCCCCTGTATCCTTCCGGTAGATTACAAGAAATACATACAAAAATGATCAGTCAAGATCGGATCACGGACGGAAATATGTCCTGCAACCCCTTCATCGAACCCTTTATCGGCAAATATGCGAAAAGCAGCAGCAAGATGCTGCTTTCGGTAAACCCTTTCCTCGAGAAGCGTATCAAACTGAGGCTCTGTACGAATTCTGAGTTTTCGGCCATCTTTAGCTCGCCCAATGGCCCCAGTGGTGACATTGGTGCTATCCTCTTTGAGAAGAACGGTAGCAGAAGGAGACATAGTCGCTGAGAGGCAGGCCAAAAGAGTTCAATTTAGTCAATTTAGTCAATTTGTCGGAGAAAGCAGACGACCACTTAGACTTAGATCCCGGAGGCTAGGGTAATCGTAGAGCTTTAAACGAGGAAGAGAGCGTCACAAATATTATTCCTTGGCACTGGTAGCTTGTACTGGATAATTTTCCGAAAGGGAGTCGACCCCTCCGTGCTGATTGGTTTACCGAGGTAATTGTCAGTGATGTGTGGCCTTAAGGTTCATGTTTAGCCGGTGATCTGCGGAGTCGGGTGATCCTGGGCCACTCGAGGACGTGCGGCTAAATATCAGCTTTGAATATCAGCTCCGAAGGCACTGAGGATATGGGGCTGGGCGTACGGTAAATTAATAATCATATTAAGACATGATTATTTGACTGATCTTTCTGTTGATTTCTATCACTTCAATGACATTGGAAACCTGTCCCTTGAATATCTTGGTTTTGGGCCCACAAAGTGCATCTGCTGCTGGCTTGATGGATCATAATCATACTATGATGATACTGCAGATGGAAAACCGAAGTGCGCATATCATAGAACTCTGGATTAGATGATTGTGACCTCTTGGCCCTGGAAGTGAGGAGGGATGGTCGGTGATGGAGAGGCAATGAGCTTCTCCATTCTTCCAAAGAGCAATATAGATCCCTGATCCGTTCAAGCAATTTGGCATCGGATTGTCTTAGCGCACTGGGCGAGTATAGGACCCGGTATATGCGTGATTGAATAGAGGCTAACTGAACGTAGCTGCAGAGATACGATCCCGACAGTGGATCTCCGCGAATATGCGGCATTACGTCTGGCCCATTGACAGCTAGGGCAGAGTCGCTGGAGAATTCGAGGTCACATTGTGTTTCTTCGAGTCTAGGTGTCAGTCCCGTCACCAGACTGAGTCCTCTGTCACACACGTAAGTAACCCAGAACAAGTACCGGGCGTGGTAATTAGCGGCGGTTGGCGCGTCCCAGGCTATTGATGGAGAGATATGTCCGTTCAGGTGAGTTGCAAAACGTGATGCGGCGGACAGGAGATAATCGATAATATAGGCATCGCCTACGAGTCCTTGGGCGCATAGACACTAACAGAAATCGTCGTTAACTGGAGAATACTATGAAGACATGCATGAGCCTACCAGCAGTAAAAGTGCCTGCAGTCCATCTAGTGTAACCTTTTCATTGAAAACTTCGGGGAGAAGACGGTATGCCTCTCGCGCATAGTCAATGCTAGGTCTCGAGGAAAGTTTCTCGGTGTCTGGGATCGCTGTCATGGCGAGCGCATGAAAAGCGAAAATACAGGCTTTAGCGCTATTCCGGCCAGATGATTCTGCAGACACCTTTCCATGGTATGCAGCATCAATAGTGCTCTGCAGCAAAGACGGATCGATGATAGGGAAGAATACTCCGTAATCGGTCGATCGATAAAGATGTATCTCTTCCAGCAACACGCGAAGATCCGGCAGGTCAGGTTTACACGGCAGCCCTTGATCAGTAGGGTCCGTCACCAGAGATAACTGCCACCCTTGAACGTCGGCGCCAACTCGATCCAGGCAAAATTCTTGGCCCGTAGACGATTCGATCCAGTCTCGGCCACCTTGGGACAATACGGGCATGCCGTTCAGGATAAAAATATCTCCTAAATTCCGCCATGCAGATTGAGGATTTCCAGCAAATGCGTGAGGGGATTCGACTCCTGTTGGAGAAGATGGAGTTGGCAACGAAGGCCCATCAAGGCCAACTAGATGTTGCTCCGACCCAGAGTTGCCGCCCATGATGGGATCAGTCCCTGGGAGGTGGGGGAGATGGGTAGATTCTCCCTGGTGAATGTCGTCATGCATTAAGGGCGCGATCAAAGTTTCATTTATCCCTAGCTCGATTATCCGCTGAAAAGTACATGGTTGGTCGTGATGGTGGCACCAGTTACATCTTGGCTTCGCTAAATCACACCCAATCTAAGCATCAGAGTGTTAACTATGAAGATATTAATGTAACCATGATAGAAAATGATCAAGACCCTATGATACCTCTCTTGTAGAATAGGCGTCACAAGCGCGAGCAAAGCATGTAGAGCACGGCATGTAGATGATGTCGATTCATGGAATATATATATATTGTAAAGCACATACTGATGATTGCAGATACGGGCAGCATTTGTACATTCATTTTGAATTTTGAAACCTGCGTTATCTTGGAAGATGGAAAAGCTTGGTAAAATCTTCTGATTTTTTCACAGATTGTGTGGAGCAAAGAATTCCGCTGGGTCCAAAAATGCCTCGCTGACTTCATTACAGTAACTAGGCCATGCATCTAAATTGATCACATCAGTCCAGGGCCCAAATAAGTCTATGTTCCAGTCAGGCGTTGTATTGCCGTTACTTTCAGCGGTAGAATCCATCGTGTCACGTTGATGATTCTCGAGGAATCGCGGTTGGGTGGTTGGATCGGAAGATGAGGATGTGCTAGGAGTGAGTTGAGTGAAGTTCAAAACTTGAACTAGAGTATCAACTTTGGTGCACAGGTTCCGAGTCAGCGTAGCGGCTCTTGCTGCCGTAAAATTCTCGGTCCCAGCCGAGTCGAAAATCTCAAGGGCAAGATGGAGGTATTCTCTCGCTCGCGGACATCTGTGACAGTACGGATACGCGAGCATGAACCCAATTATCGTTATAACTGCGTTCCATAGGTACTGATATAGCTCGGAGAGACCATGGAGAATATCTTGACTTGTCATGATATGATGCGCAATTTTGATCATCGTCAAAGCGTGATTAAGTGCGGTTGCGGCATGGGCGTCTGCCTTCGGGGTAGATTTTGGAACGAGTGGGTTACTGGGGAATTGTATGAACACACGGTGGAGGCCGACCATCACATTGTGATACTGCAGCAATAATAGTGTGCTCAGTAAGTTGATAATTGGAGGCTGTTCTGAGTCTTGGGTTTCGACCGTAAGTGCCTCCGTGGGATCAGTTGGTAGGTCAGGAACATCGAAATGCATGTTTGCGAAGTCTTTCGCCCAAGGTAGCTCGTCGCACCATCTTCGTATGTGATGTAGCAAAGATGATAGATTACTTGCTCGCGATTCAATATGTGTTGGCTCAGTTGCTCCACTCGGAAGAGACGCTGAATAGCGATCAATGGAGTCATTCATAGCCAGTACAGCGGCTGTGAGACGAATGGACTCGGTGTGAAACAATAAGCCATTTGAGAAATGAACATCGGTCGGCTCTCTACCAGGTCTGAGGCACATCAAATCGTCGATATTAATGCTAACAGGTTTACCCACATGTCTCGAGCAGCGGAAATCAAGATTAATCAAGGTCCACCAGATGCGCCGAAACAGCTGACATTCCCTGTACCCGCCGGTTCGTGCATCCATATAGTTGAGAGACTGCGCAATGCGAAGACCTAGTCCGACCATGTTATATGCTGCTTGGTGGTATCCGACATCCAGGAGATACAGGGTAAGATAGCAGTAGCATTGCATCGTGGATATTGTTGGGTTTGCGAATGTAGCGAATTGGCTGATGGCCGAGAGGCAACGTTGAAAGTAAGGCATTCCAATTGTTGATTTTTTTCGGCGAAATTGAGGCCATCCGAGACCACAATCCTAGTTTGAAGTCCAGAGCAATGGATAGAATGCAAAGAGTACGCAATTATGGCATCTTGCAAAGGCGAGAAAACTCCATCGGCCTCCTTACCAAAGGTATTTAGGTCCTGCCGTTCAACTATTGGCATTCGTGGGTGAAAACGAGTCCGGAAAATTCTCATAAGCTGTTTCCTCTGCTCGGGTGATAGGTCGCATTCTGCCTGGTGTGTTTCCTGTACAATGCTAGGCGGGAACGGCGAAGTCTGGTCTAAGTGAGGGCCATCGGCAGATGGAATAGTGGTTGGTGAAGTTGGTGACAGACTCGAGCAAAAAGCGTTGATACGGGCAATGAATCCCATAATTGAGTCTGTTTTATGCGAAGTCCATGCCAGGTTTGCCGACGGCGACGGCGTTGGCACTAGAACTTCCTCGGGATGAGAATCAGTGATCGATGTATTGTTTTCCAGGGGCCTGGTTGCGGGCTGTCGATCCGCCTTGCCACTATGTCGCACTCTACTACTCCTCTGAGTATTGTTTGGTGGACGCGAGCGATGGCAGGTCACATCATTGGCCACACATTGGGGACATGGCGTGACGGCTTCACAGCGAACACGGTGCTCGCGGCAGAAGTCGCAGGCCTTAGAGATCTTGCGCCGACGTGCAGCAATCCCAAACCGTGGAAGTGTGGGCAATGTATTTTCGGGCATCTTGAATAATTGAACTAGTAAGAAGCAACGGAAGGGAAAACACCGGGCTACCGATGTTGAAAGGCAAACCGACGTTCAAAGCGAGGCATCAGATGGTCGGTGCGAAAAGTCACATTTCTCCGGATTCTCCGATTGGTTGATCTCATTCCATCAAAATCCCGTGGGTCCAAAGGGAGGATTACCTCTGGAGCGTATGACGTGAGTTTCGAAAGGTCTACTATCCGAAGCAAGAGACTCGTGATTATTAAATATTTCCTTTACCGAATAAAGGTTTTCGTTTCTTCATTGGTGGCTGAACGCATCGGAGTGATCAAAAAAAGTGGCAATTTCCCTTTGGTTCTACGAGGACGATCGGCGGGTGAGTGACAAGATGTATGGGATCTGGCCAATAGGAATCGCGGGAGTAGTTGACATGGAATAGCAGCAATTTGAACTCCTAACCCCCGTAGAGGATTTCAAAGCAATGATGTCTTTAGCATTGTCAGAAATAAATAGGAGAAAATATTCCAGTTTAAGTCCGTATGGGCAAGGCGATCATAGCGTTTACAGATCAATTGGATTCAACCCTTCGGATCTTTCACTATGCCTCAACACACTGTCTACCGGTTTCCCACCAGAAACGCCTTCGAGGACCTTGTTTGCTACCAAGAGGATATTCCAAGACCTCTCAACCACGAAGTCCTCATCAAAGTTCGTGCTGTGGCTCTCAACTCAAGAGATTGTCAAATTGCTACCTCGACTTATCCCTTTACGATCAAAGACAATGTCGTTCCAGGGTCCGACGCTGCCGGTGACATCGTGGAAGTGGGTGACTCGGTGACGGGATTTGCGAAAGACGACCGAGTTGTTGTATGCTTTGATCAAACCAGGCTATATGGACCGTCGACGCATCCCGTTGCCGGTCAATCTGGTGGTGGTGTGGATGGCGTGATGGCTCAATATATCACCCGCCCAGCATCTGCGGTCGTCAAAGTCCCACCCGAAGCTCCTCAGACATATAGTGAGCTTGCTACACTTGTGTGTACCGGAGTTACATCTTGGAATGCCCTCTATGGAAACAAGCCCTTGGTCCCAGGTCAGGTGGTCCTGGTTCAAGGTATGTAATAACATCATCACTCCACGCCTAATGTCTCACGCTCATTGAATCTCGAATTTAGGTACTGGTGGTACCTCCATGACTGCACTAGTTCTGGCCAAGGCAGCTGGAGCTACCACCATTGTTACTTCTTCCAGCGATGAAAAATTGAAATTCGTTAAAGAAAAGTATAACCCTGACTGGTGCATCAACTATTCCAAGACTCCCGACTGGGGTGCCGAAGCCATGAGGCTTACTGGAGGCAAAGGTGTCGACCATATCATTGAGATTGGCGGTGCTGGAACTATTAAAGAAAGTCTGGCTGCAGTCGCCCGTGGGGGTATTATCAGCATCATCGGCTATCTTGCCAAAGTCGACCCTAAGTCAACGGCAGATATACTGATTCTTGCTCTTGGCAAGGAAGCTGTTTTGCGTGGCCTTATTGTTGGTCCCAAGTGTATGCTGGAGGATTTAGTGGCTTTTACATCAAGAAGGCAACTGAGGTTCCACATTGAGAAGGAGTATGGGTTCACCCGGGATGAAGTTTTGGCTGCCTATCACGCGGTCGCTTCTGGGAAGAATATTGGGAAAATTTGCATTGTGGTCGAGTGATCGGTTTTGATTTTCTTTTAGGGGTGCTTGCCAACCGAGTCTATCAACATGTACCAAGTTTGTTTGTCGTTCGGCAACTCGGGCATTGCAGCCCTGCAGAATTTGAGGGCTTTTTAGTTCCAATGACCTTTTCTGTTTCCCTATATAAGCCAAATTCATTCAATCACTAAAATATCAGTCCTTCTTCCTTGGTCTAGTGGTCATGATTTCCGCTTGTCATTAACACCGATAAGCGCGGGAGACCGGGGTTCGATTCCCCGAGGGAGAGTTTCTTTTTGCATTCGAACTTTGAGCATGTCTTGCAATTTCCTTTTCTTTTTTTACCTATTCGGTCTTCATAAAACAAAGTTGACCCTGGTGGAACTGCGGGTGGGAACAAATGTTACCGACTGCGGCGGGCACGAAGAACCACTAGCGAAATGGCGATCGACAGATGGAGAGGGCTGAATTCTCTACTAAACAAGGAATTCCAGCAGTGGCTAACTGTTGTGCTCATGACGCTTGTAATAATTCTCACTGAGGCAAGGTTCACCTTTCTGTCTAAAATGATAAATAACCACTAGACGAATCAAGGATCGGCTATTACTCAACGACTTAAACACCGCGAAAGACTACAAGTAAACGGGTAGTTGACAAATTCTTTTCGGATGACACAAAATAACACCATTTCTGATTTCTACCCAATCGAAAGATGTCATCTACCGAATACCCAAATGCTTTGAATCCAGTGACTCGAGAATCAACTCAACCTCTTGGTCAAGGCTCTCGAGTATATGCTCAGGAGGGTACTGTGGATTCCAGCCCAAAGATTTCCCATTCTCTGCAGTATAAGTTGATCTTTAGGATGGGTGTTAGCATGGATGAGATAATAGCATTGAAGAGGATTCTATGCACACCTTCCACCAATCTTAACGATTACTGATGACGGAGAAACGTTTTGAGCCTTAGCAATCTTCTCGAGGGCCGCATCGTTCATCAACTCAACCCGCTCGTCGGCGATAACACCACGGCGGGCTAGAGCTTTTGCAATACCGGCATAGATATCATCCCAGGAAACCTTGCCAGACGATGCCAGATAGAATCCATTTTTGCCGTGGCCGGGATTCTTGTTCGTCAGGATAGCATCGAGTAGGGCAAAATACAGGGACACAGTGTCGAGTACGTGTGACACCGGCCAGATCTGAGTAAATATTAGTGCCACCCTCTAGATAACAATACCAAAAAGCGGGACGGGTATCTCTACTTGCCTGCCCTTTTTGATCAAATTCATAAACCTGGCCAGCTGCCTTTGCGGCGACCACAACATCCACGGTTTGGATAGAGATCTTGTTACCGAATCCTTCACCCTTTCCATCTAATGCTCATTAGATCGGCTTTTATTAAACGCCCGGAAGACTTACAAACGATGCAAGGAGAGAAAGCATAAATCTTTACTCCAAACTCGAGACCCGCCTCTACCACTGCGACGTTGGTATTGGTAGCCTATAATTTCACCATGAGTATTCACGACTAGATGCCCTTCTATGCTACATACCGTTTGTAACTCGGGGTATGGTGCCTTTTGTGCTTTGTGGATGTCAAAAAGTTGTGGGTCGTTATCCAACAAGTCTCGGTCGGTAGGAGAACCAGAAAGACTTGAGAATTGTTTGGTGCCGGTGGTCTGCAGCGATATTGTGAGAAATCTAATAAGAAACCACTCGCTAGAATGTGGAATACAAACATAAATAAAATGGGTTTCCTGGCCAGTTCGCTTCTTAGCCTCGGCGAGAGCTTTGATAAAGGGAATTTGGTGTTTCAGATAGTAGGCATCGATCAGATAGAGCACAATTGTGATGTTATTAGACACAATGGCATCTTTAACAGCGTTATCATCCTCTAGATCAATTTTCAGGGGCTCCGCATTGTAGAGTTTCCGAGTTGCCTCAGCTTGATCATCTGTTCGAACGAGACTGAAAAGCTTTCCACATTCGTGAAGTCTGGCCTCTTTCCATCGGGCTAAGAGGGTTCCACCTAGATAGCCAGAACCGCCAGTAAGGAGAATGTTACGCGACATAGTCAGCATATCGTGGGTGTCGGACTTGCACAATCGTAATGACAAAATTGAACAAGTGAGGGTGGCAGAGGAAGTTATGTACTCGGAGTATAGGCCCGATAGTATCCGTCACGCCGTGCAATGACTGTTATTAGTCATCCAACGAATGTTGCGAGGGCACACGGGCATCTGAGGCCTGTGTTCCACATTGGAATCGTATTTTCTAAGAGAAAAACGCATATATTCCCGCTTATTGTTATTGCAACGACTTGTCCATCAACATTGTTGATTCATCCAATCGGAGGGAGCGTGCAGTTAGTCGCTGAGAAATGGCGAGCTTCCAGGCATTCCTATTGGTTTAACTCTCCCCGATACCCCACTTTCTTCTTAGCCCGCCTTAACAACAGAACGAACATTACACTCTGATGCAAGAACATGGTAGACCGGTCGCTGAAAATGGCTACCTTCGACGACCGTGTAAATGTCGCTTTTCCGGACAAATTAGCCATTATGTAAGATGGAAATTTGGCTGACTTTTGCGTGGATATCAAGGATTCAAAAGTTATGCCGATCCCGCCCGATCTATTCTACCGAGACATAGTTCAACGCATCAAAGTGTAGACTATTTGGCAGATTTTAGGGGAATGAACCAAATCTCGGGCTACCTTTATGGATTTCAAAAATGGGTCTAAAGATCCAGTGAAGTTACTAGCGTAGTGGAAACACCTGGCGTGGGCGACAAGTCGCCCACAAGACTCTGTCTCTTTAACACAGCGTCAATTTGCTGCCGAGCCATTCTGTCGCTGGAAATCCTGAAGAAGCATTTGATGACTCTAAAGCAGCTATGCAAAAGCAAGCTGGTAATTCTGACAATATGGGTTATATGCTGCAGGTGAGGTCGGTCTCGGGTCTATACTCACGTACTGCTAGCAAGCTATTCAGCGCGTCCAGACCCATGTTCTCTCGATCGTACCAAGATATTCTGCTTCCTTTATTTCCGTCTGCCTTTCTCCTGTCAGATCATTGGAGTTTGGAATTCAGTAGCTACAGAACTCGACCTTTACTGGAGCGACATTGGCTTATGTTTTGGCGTAAGCATAAGGCGACCAAGAACCCGTATATTAGAGGGGTCCCCTCCGCTGATAATGTCTTCCCCCTCTTCTTTTTCATCCTTCTACCCTAATTTACATTATTGTGGTTAATTAAAAGACTTGTGTCCTCCAATTATTTTTCAATTTCATCTAGTGATAGTTGATAACTACGAGATGGCTGCTGCCCACACAATCCCACCTGCACAATTTTTTACCTCACTCGCCCAAAACTATGGCCGTCAAACTGGCAACTCAACTCGTGCCCTGTTCGCCGCGATTGTAGGGCGAATTGCACCAGCTATAACATCGTCTTCAGTGATCCATGACAATGCGGGTGGTGTCGGTACTGCCACTTCAGTGATCCTTGATAATCTCGCCCCCACCTCTTCGGATGACATCCCAGAAGTCTTGATTACCGACAACAACTCGGCAATGATTGCCGCGGCGAATGAGACCTTCAGAAACATTGGTTCCAAAATCACGGCAGTCGAAGCGGATTCTCAAGATCTGAGCAGCATCCCCGACGCCAAATTCACACACTCTATTGTCAACTTCTCGGTCTTTCTTTTCCCGGATGCGCTCCAAGCACTTCGTGAGATTCATCGCACTCTCCAACCTGACGGGGTTGCAGTGCTACTGACTTGGAAGCGATTTGGATTCGGCTCTACGGTTCACGTCGCGCAGAGTCTAGTTCGCCCTGATCTACCGCCGATACCAATCGCCGGGTCTCAGTTTATGAACCCGCGTGTATTGGCAGAGCTTGTTATCAAGGCTGGCTTCAGCGAGACAACGATGCATGTTAATCAAGATGGGACCGTAAGGAAAGATGAGGACCTTGAAGGAATGAGACAGTTCATGTTAGCAGATGTCTCCAAGATGGCGACAAAAGACTGGACAGAGGAAGAGAGGGGAAGATGGCCCGCGGCTATTAATGAGGCTATCCAGAGGGAAGTTGAGCAATATGGGGGTATTCAATTTGAGTCTTGGACTATAATTGCCCGTAAGTAGGCTAAGAACAAAGTTAGTAAGATAGTGTCACAAGATGCACCGATAATTGGAATCTGTTCTACATGAAACTGCAGCAGGGTCGGCATTCGTCTCATCATTATAACTTTCCTTCGGACTTTTTATTTACAATCCACGTAAATTAGGGATTTGCCTTGTGTTCTATACTAGGCTTCCATTGCCCTTTTTCTTGGTTTCATTGATTGCATGGCCAAGACTGCTAGGGATTATATCAGACTCGCGTTTATGAGAAAGTCATATTTTCAAGACTTAGCGTGACTCAGAGATACAGCTCTCAGCCATATCCAGATGTGCAGCACCAAGGATTCCATGCCGCTCCTGGTGCCAACTTAAACGAGTTTTGATTGTTAATCCATATCGTGTTTTCCATTTTCAGGTAGTTCTTAAATCCGCTGTACTTCCTCACAGCATAGTCAGAAACATGAAAGCACATCAAGAGTGCCACCTGTCTACTTCAGCTGGAGGTTATTTTGACTAAAGCCCAGGGAGGATCGATGACTATTTTCGAAAGCACTAGTAATACTTTCAAACAAGGCATGGTCTGTTTATGGGAAGAAGCGAAGGTAGAAGCTTCGGGAACGTTCGGATAGTCTGTGATGGAATTGCATGTAATTGACTATACCAGTTTGGAGACGAAATAGAGAGGGGAGATTCGGTGGAGAGATACCGAAAAACATCCATTACTTGTAGCTCAAGAGATCGAACACAGCCACCCAGTGCAACTGTGAATCTTAGCAATAACCAGACTCGCTCGTTGATACCAGTCTAACAAGTAGATTAAAACTCGCCTATTACTCGTACAAGCCAGCGGAATGACTCGTCATTAGTGTCTGCTAGAGCACCTAATCTTGCCGCCACTAGGGTGATACCTACCAAGCCAGCCACCATCTGTATCAGCAACACGGACCGTCTTTATCAATTTATCACCTTGCATGCTATTACCTAGCATCGGAGTGTTCACCCGGGTCTCATGACTATCCTTTCCGAAAACTGCGTACCTACCGTACATAACTGATTCATGAAGTGGCAATCCGGGGCCCCAACTGCGCAATATTGGTTCATACTATGTCATAATCCATACTTTGAAGCTTCAGAGTCACTTTTGGAAGGCGGAATCTATCATTATGGATTCAACCCAGACAGGGAGTCGATTGAATAATTCAAATCACTCCAAGCACCTCGCAATCCAGCTAAATTGCAAAATAGACCAGATACCAGATACACATATATAGAAACATGGAGATATAGAGAGGTATAAGGAGAGAAAAGAGACTGCGTTATATCAAGTGTCGAGTCTCCGAAAGGCTAAAAGGAAAGAGTGGTAAGGAACAGGTAAGGGATATCAATCATAAGAAACATCAAAGAAACCGTAAGGCCAAGAAAAGAAAACAGGCAGGGAAAGAAGCAATGGGAGAAAAATCAATGAAAGTATGAGGAAGTTCAACCCCTTCGATCTCAAATCCAGATCACGTCTTCTCCGTTCCAGTCATCTGCACATCCTCCTGGGGCGCTGACTGGGTGACAATGGGCTGCTTGACATCCGCACCGTACATCTGGGCGTCTGGCGGGGAAGGCATATTGTTTTGTTTCTCCGCATCCGGTGCGGCTTTGTTTTCGGGGCGCTTGCGTCCCAGGCGCTCACACCAGTGCTCAGCACTGACGAGGGTATCGTTGACCACACCGCTGACCTGGCCCAAGATGTCGAGGCCTTCATTAGCGAGAACCAAGATGCGGTGAGCACCGACGGTTGCATCGGAGGAGGCAGCAGGTGAGTCGGGAGGTGGTTGAGATGTGCTTGCCATCTGGAATCGGTGGGGAAGAGATGTGAGGTGTCGTCGGACCAGGTGTCGAGCATTCTCTGGCAGAGCACCCCCAGCGTACTTGGACACGACGTCGACCACTTGCTTCAACGTGGAGAGGACATCTGCCTTGACAGCTTGAATGCGTTGGGTCAAGAGAGAAGCGCTCTCAGAACGGTCCCCACTTTCGAGATCAGTCTGCGATTGCTGCTTGTGGTTCTCCCATTCCGTCATAGCATTCTGGAGTGCGACAATGGCTCGCCCAAGACGTCCATTCGCCCAGCGAAGCCAAGTTAGACAATACTGCAAGCTGCGCAACGACTCCTCGCTCATTGCGACTCCCAATCCCGACGTTGAGATAACTAGTCGACTTTGCCATGTTGGCGGTGTCTGTCTGCCGGGTTTCTCCTCGTAGCGGGGTGATCGCATCTCATCATATGGCGGCAGGGTTTCCGCCATAGATAGATCCGACGAACTACGAGTACGTGCCGGCGTCATCTCGTTCTCCTGTCCCTTTTCCTCGTCCACTTTTTGCGACCCAGCCTCACCGCTCACCTTGCGGCGCTTGCTGGAGGGCTTGGCCTCCGACCCGGATTCTCGCCGTTGCAATGCCCAGCGCAGACCACTCTCAACACCCGTCTTGCGACCGACCGTTCCAACTGTATTTGCGACTGGCGAACCAATGTTGCGCTCGATGAACTCAGCTCCAGACTTGAAACGGGCCGAGTACGATTTCGAGGTGGTGTAAGCGGAAACGGAGCCGTTGATAGCGGAGGAAATTAGCGGGTGAGAAGAAGTGAGTAGCGACAAGAGCGGCTCTGGCTGTGGTGGGTCTGGCGTTGCTGCTGGCAGTGTCTGTCGCGATACTCGTGGGGATTGACCAAAATCTAGAAGGATGAAGGATTAGCCGAGATGTCTTGTCTAGCGCCGAGGTTATTCTGGCGCCTGTAGTGACGACGGCAACGAGGTCGCAGCTCGACGGCTGATTTTTCCATGCCGAGTCGCAGAAGCTGGAGATAGACGGTGATTGTGAACATACCAGAGCGAAGACCTTCGAGGGCTTGAGCAGCCTCGAGGTCATCCATAGAGATCACGCTGGTAGCACGACGAGAACGATCGTCCGTGGTAGTCGTATCGAGATCCATCACGGCGGGATGGGCATTATGTAGGGCTGGTAGGTGTGGAGGATGTAGAGGTGGAGGAGCAGTCGTGCCTCCGATGGTGGTTGCCAGATAAGAAGAAGAAGCGGGCGGTTTATTCGGATTCGAGGAAGCCGGTGAGTCTGGGACAGTGGCGATGGGACCAGAAGGTTTATCGGCCTGCATGGCGGGACTTTTTCCGGGGAGTTGGAGTCTAACCAGAGACTACCAAAGAGCCAAAGGACTCCGTGAAACTGCCCAATCCTGCGATGCGCTTTGCACGTGAAAACCACCGTCGTAAGGCTTAGGTAAGCGTGGCAGTGGCACCTTCACATGTCGTCCCAACAAAAAAAAACCGACTTCATCCCAGGCCGAATCGACGCTTTTCATTCGATCCAGTCTGTTGATTCGGTGTTTTCGGTGGTTTGTGACTGCTAGTGCCACTGTCTCGTTCTTCCCCCCGCCTATCCCTACTTGTCCGAGTATGCCGGACGTCGCCGCACTGCATACTCCATACTATACTGGAACAGACTATCGCTAGTCTTGGTCTTATGCATGATTTCCCCTCCTGATACCCCGTACCTGGCTATACTTCATAACATTATGTTTGATTTGAAGATCAGTTTCCCGTGGAGAAGAAATAACGAGGAAGATCGCATCTGAACATCCCCCACGACGGCTAAACGAGCACGTCCTTTACCCGGGCGAGTCTGCCCCGTTGTATCACATGCCAGCGAATAGATGGGATATCCGACCTTTTCACGAGAGTAGAGGAACCATTTGCCGCAGTCCCTTCCCGAGAATTATCTACCTCCCTATTTAAGGTAGATTCGACTCGATACTGACTTGCTTTCTAAGTACCACTGGATCGATATACTCCGTACTGTAGTCACTCCGTACTTGATCAAGTATGCTCGACCACCACGCTAGGGGGAGCCCAGCGAGAAACCACCAACCGGGTTCGCATTCGTAAACCCGTCGGTATCTCAACATAATAAAGCTATCTCATAGGCGCCGAGCGCGCCACACGTTGGGGTGAGACCGCAAAAGTAATCAATCCATTGCCCAAAGAGCGCGCTAGCTTCGACAGCCCCCGATCGGCATGGACATGTGAAGTGGGGGTGTTTGCCTCGACAGACTGATCCCCTTGCGATTTGGCAGGCTTTTAGTACTGAAGTGTCTAGTGTAGCCTAAGCCTACTGTCAAGAATGGGTGGGTATCCCTGGTAATCGCCTGCTCAGCCTTTGAACCCCTGTGTCTTTTATATCGCATAGAGATTACACTAGTTTTATCGATAGGTAAGAAGCATTTCCAACCACATCTGCCCCCACACCTACCCCGACTAGTGGGTAAGGGTCGAGAAATAAGAGAGATTATTCGATAGACTAGGGGCCAGAACACTAGAATCGTAATTCAATTCGCAACCAATCGATTACCACAGAGATTATCTCATAAACCAGGAGGAACCCCTTTGGGACCCCTTGTACTAGAAGCGTATAGTAATTTTAAATTGTATGGATGTGTGCCTCGCCGCCTAATTCCACCACCACCACCACCAATTCAGCACGTAATAAGCTTCTACGCTCTGCAACAATACTCCTTCACCACTCTACCTCGCGCGCCCTCCCCCTCCCCCTTTTCCTTTAATTAGCCCATTCTGTTCCTTTGTACTCCGGGAACAGCCCTAATGGTTGCCATGAAGTTGTAATGATGAAGCTGAGGCAGATAATCAGGGGACGAACGGGCCAATACACCCTCACTAAGCGACTTCACGAGAGTGTCTGGCTTGCTACGTATGTTCTCTTAGTAGTCTATTCGAGGATAACCTTTTAACTGCTAGAGCACACAGGAACCAAAAAAATCACAGCGTCATCGTCAAAAGTGCCAACCATTTTCGTATTCATAACGAAAGAGACGTTCTGCTACGCTTTCAGCGCAAAACTCCGCTTTTACGGCCCCTACTAGACGAAATCCAGGACCCTGCTTCTCCGCCAGCGATTGTCTTAAAATATCTAGACGATGATATCTTACAGGCATCTAACATCAAGCGTCTCGCCCGTGCAGAGGTAAAGTACGTCGCTCGACGTGTATTAGAGGCGTTATCTGTTCTTCACCAAGAAGGATTTGTTCATACGGGTAAACTTTTAGTAATTAACATGTTAAATAACTATCACTGACTTATTAATATACAGACATCAAGCTAAGTAATGTGTTGGTAAACTACGGAATAGGTGATTCTAGGTTTAAGGAGGTCTAATTAGCAGACTTCGAAAGCACGGTGTACTTAGATTCTGCTCACGCTCGTGATGGAGACTCCATCGGGACTCCGATTTTCAGAAGCCCAGAGGCTCATTTACAGATGAGATGGGATATAGCCACTGATATATGGTCTTTCGGCGCAATGGTAAGCCACCGAGCAAGCTTCTTCTGCCTACCTTGACCTAACCGGTATATAGCTCACAAGCCTACTCTATGGGGAGGGCTTCCACATTTTTAAACCTGACGTCCCTATGGATCACGAAGATTATGATCTGAAGATCCTGATGAAACATCATCAGTGTTTCGGACCGTTCCCCGCTTCATACGATGAAATAGCAAGCCAAGACCGACGGGCCGTTCTGATTTGGGTCATGCAAAAATACCCTTCGAGCACTATGAGGCCTTTTCATCTCACGACCTCACGAGAGATATGTAATGAAGATAAGCAGTTTGTACTTAAGGTCATGAAACTTGACCCGAGAGATCGGCCTTCTGCCCAGGAACTATTAAAAGATAGCCGGTTTGCTTCAGAGCAATGACCCTGTATTGGAAAGATATTTAGTTGACATCCATAATCTTGAAACAATACCACGCGGTACATAGGCCGCCTGCTCTTCCAATATTAGTCGAGGGCTCTGAATGTGTCTTTCCAAACCGGGGACATAACAGAAGAGCTTGTACGGATTCGTCTTCTACGGAGAAGATGAATGGAAATTTTCAAGAGGGAAGACCGTTAGAGATGAGCAGGAAAGGGTTTGAAAATTGAATAACAGGTGATGTTGGAAACGGTTGGAGAATGGAGTAAGGACGTTAGTGACTTTAGTCTGTTAAGCTAGTGGATATAGCCAAAAGGACGACCTTAGTCTTTCTCGACGTATAGTTAGCTCTGTTTCTCTTACCCTTATTGGTGGATGATTATTGTCGTATTACGGTTCCACCACTATTTGTGTATTTGTGAATTGTGCCCCGTTCACTTCTAGCACATGCGATACTCGCCACGACTGTGTCGATCAGTTATCCCGCGCCGATCAATAGCTAGAGCTGAGATGTGTAAAATTTCTAAATGAGGGAGGTGGTAACGAACTCGGAATATTTAATGTGTTCTTCACATGTGCACCTGCATCTTGGATTGTACATGTGTTTCTAGCTACACATCTTCATATGCCACTGTCCCTTCTCACAGGCCCAACTAAATCAAAACAATACAAGGGTATCATTAACCAACAAACCAAAAACCAAAGAGACAAGTAATCTCCAATCCCTCACTCCACCGACATCCCATCATCCAATTCATCAAAGTACTTCGCATCCTGACTCATCAAAACCGCCTCCAAAATAGCATCCTCCCCTTCATACTGACTATCCTCAACCTCGGCATTATGCACAAGTAATTCACCCGCGACAAGGCGCCATGCCATCTTCTGGTTAACCCGCAAACAGGCCACAACTTCATTAGTGATAGTTCGAGATGGAACGGTAGAAGCCTTCAATTGGCACAGTGTATCACCGAAGGCCTGGAACGGGAAGAATGAGTTTCTGTGTCGTCGGTAGGCACATGAAGCAAGTAGACAGCGCCATTTGTAGGCGCTTTGCCGCCATGTATGCGCCAGAGGATGAGATCCTACTTCTGGGGGTGACAAGGCTCGGGCGCTTTCGGTTGTTTGCCGGATTCGAATGCTGTAGGGTATTTCGTCCTTTTTCATAGTTATCCAGTCTCTGTGTAGTCTTTCGATGGATTGGGCGACTTGGTCTAGAACGAGGGTAAGATCGCCGCCGGATTCCTGGTCAATCTTGGCTGCTTCTGAAGCCTCGATCCACGGGCGAAGTAAATCGCCGTCTACCTCGTCAGACGACTGTGATTCGGGGAACCGTTTCTCAAGTTCAGCCAGGATTTTGTATCGCTCCTTTGAGACAACTTGGAACTTGAGGTAATCGATGATATTGTTCAACTTTGGCATTTTGTCCGAATCTCGGTACGCGGGAGGAGGTCGTCCACGTGGACTGATCTTCTTGCGGAATACATGCCATGCCTGCTCCGAGAGATGAACGCCGCCTTTCCGTCCATCAACCAGATGACTGAGTAGACAGGCAAGCTCTTTCGCCTGGGGGCAATCGAGGGATTGATGGTAAGCAATTCTCTCATGCTCAACGGTGCATCGTCCGAGATTCGACACTGTAAGATTGAACTCGAAGGCACCCTGTAGAAATTCCTCGGTAGAATGTACCTCGGACATAGGGATGGAGTACTTCGTCAGACCAAAGTGATCAAACGGGAAGGTTTCCGTCGGCATCTTGGAATTCCGAAAACCCTGCACAATCTTCGGGTCCCAGCAGATCCACGGCGTATCGCCATCGTAGTCACCACCGGAAAGCATATCAGCCAGGGGTTGATCTCCTTTCGTGGGGAAAACAATAACATCTTTGAAATGACGAAGCTCGCTTTTCCAAACTGCCCGACGTCGCTGGATATCAGACGGAACATGAGCGGGAAGTCGGCCGACAAGAACATCCATACCCTCTAGTAGGTTATCTTCAAACTGGCCATCAGGATCCTTCCAATTCTTGGAGAATCCAAAATGAACCTCATCCGGTTCGAGAACTTCGTACGGATCAGCGATGCAAAAGGCATACGTCGAAAGTGGAACTTGGATATGAAGGTCCTCCGTATACCGACCAAGAAGATCACTCAAGAAGTAACGCAGACGTTTGCGCAGAGGGTAGAATGTCTGTGGAGCGAAACCCGCCTCGCACAAGTGCATGATGAATTCAGCATCATTAGCCACCCACTGATCCAGCTGTCGGGCTTTGTTGGCTACATTTTCACCAGAGGGCCGTAGATCCTGAAGTAAAGCCCGGCAAGCAACGTTGCTGTTGCGATCGAGCACATCCGCCAGTTTCTCAAACGGTTCCCGAATGCTCTTTCTTGTTAACTCGGCAACGTAGTTTCGGCAATTTCCCCCATGTGCGAGAACAGTCAAGAGTTGGATGTTTAGATCAACGGGGTTCAATGGTTTGGACCACTTGACAACCTCGAATGTCAATTGCTCAGGGTCAAACGATTCACTCCAATCTTGAGGATGTGGGTGGATCTTCAATTGAGTATCGGATATCTGGATCCAGATATCGTTGCCCTCGCCCTCGCTGAAACTGCGAAGGGAGGATGCATGTCTATCCACCATCCAAAGTCCCTTAGCTCCGGCAATACGTCCTTGGAATGCACTCGGAGTGGCACCGGTGATGCCAAGTTTATCACAGATGGCATTCGCCAGACCTCTGGACATCAGTGCACAACCGTCATTCATTTGAAGTTTTCGCGAGGGGTCATCTCTCAGACGGACCACTTGAGACGGTCTCAGAGTCACAGAGGCAAATGTCTTGGACAGGCCCAGGGAGATACGCTGGAAGAGCTTACAGTTGCTCTGACCACTGTTTGCTGCAGAGGACATGTGCCACTCAAGCAAATTATCCACACTCATTGGAGAATGAGAATCGCTCTTCTGGAGCGGAGGTGCAATAGGATTCATTCGGAGACGGCTGTGAATAAAATCCATTCCGTCCACAGCAAAGAAGTCGATGCGAAAATGGGGGTCCTTTCTATCTTTGCCCTTGGACTTTCCCTGTTCCACGAAGAATGGCCTCCAAGTTCGGCCTAGACATTTATGGTCATGACGGGTAAGCCAGAAAGCGATACTTTCTCGAAGCACGCTTGGATGGTCGAGGAACTGGAGATACTTTGGTGGCCGAGCCGGGGCCGGCAGGGTAAGTGTCATGAACCTATCCGACCCAAATCTCCGATGAAATCGACACGTCTTGTCCGTTTTCAAGGGACCGAAGTTCAATTTGAGAATTCCAGGCTCGGATTCCGAGCACCACTCGAGATTGCCGGACATGATGACCACCTCGGAAGCTTTCTCAGTCTTGAACTCGTCCACGGCTGCATCCCAAGCCTTGGATGGTGATCGCTCTGGGACTGGACGAGCACAGCGCTGGGTATGGTTGAGGGTAATCCACTCCCAGAATGAATCCTGGCTCGCAAACGGAGCTTTATCACCCTTGAGCATATTCTTAAGAGGAACATTCCACGCTCGCCCGACCCGCTCCAATTCATACCGGAATCGCAAGGGGATCTTCTCGCTGAGCGTTTGCTCGAATGAGAAAGGTCCATGCCGAAGAAGATTATCAACGAGGTTATCACGTATCGCGCTCTTTTCGTCCTGCTCTTCCACATCGGTCATGGTTTGATCTTCGAAGCTCGCGTCCATGGTTCGCTCCATCCAGCCTACTACGGAATCTGTGTAGCTTGATTGAGTCGCAAGTGGCTCCGTGATATCCGTATCAAAAGACCGATTCAATCGAGATGTAAAGACCGACGAAACCGAGGTGGTTGTCATAAAGCTTGTGGCGAGTTCTTCCCTGGTAGGCACCGCATCATACCGCTTGATAGGGTCCCTGCGGGGAGCAGGCTGGGATGCAGTCAACCTCTCAACGAAGCTGGAGGGCGGTCTCATCCTCTCGAATCGAGCATCAGGAGCGGCGAATTCAAGACCATCCAACTCATTCACTCCATCCTGCATAGCCAACTCGAGTTTCGTCAAGTCAAGGCCAGGCGATCGGACAGGCCCGGCTGCTTTCGTGGGCGAGTTAGGCGCGGTGTGAAACTCGTCATCTCCATCATCCTCTGCTTCAAATAATCTCCGCTTCTTAGGTGAACCCGACTGCGCAGATTGATCTGTCGAACTCTCCGAGACACGTTTCGCCCTCAACGTCCCACCATCCGCTTCCCAGATCTCATCTTCGACTAGTTTCTGCAAATACTCCAGTCTCTTATTTCTCTCCTGGTCGCTCAGAATCGTAGGCTCTTCGCTGCGTTTGCGTCTGGCTCGTGTCGCGTGCGCACTCGGACGGGGCTGACTCTGCCCGTCCACCCATTCGGCGAATCCATGGATCAAGCGATCGAGGCCGGGGCGGCGCTGGTAGTACAGTCTCTTGATACCCTTGTATGCCCGCCAGCGAAGCGAGGTTTGGGTTTCCAGAGCTGATGGGGAAGAAATCTTCGGATTGGGAATTTCAAGACCATAGAGGTGATTCAAATTGTCGATGAAGGGGCCGACATTCTGGCGGGGATGCTGTGGGGTGATTGGCATCTTCACGGTCGGGAAAGCCAAATGCTGACGGGGGGACCGTGAGCCCAGTCAGACTGGAAGTCAAAGAAGTCTTTGACTCTAGAAAGAGAGTTCAAGTCTAGAATGAGAAGAAAACATTCGAGTGAAGATTCAATTCAGTCCTGTCCTTTTCTTATCAGTCTCAAGAGTCGCAAACAATTCCAGCGCGGGGTGTAAACACACTGCCAGTCTGGACTTTCTCGAGAGCCCAGCAAACGCGCCATTTTCTGGGCCACTCGTGTCCGCATAAGCAAAGCGAACAGTTCCAGCTGCAGAAAAAGCAATTATGACAGCCACTGTTCGTTGTCAATTTCCCCGCGCGCAGGGGTACAGGGCTGGTCAAAGAAATGAAATTGATAGCTTTAGCGGGCCGTCGGGCGTCGTTGCTTAGCGCCCGCAGACCCACCAGGCTGCAAGTTGATCACCACCGATTGATGCGCAGCTAAGGGGCACACGGATGATTAGACGAAGCGACCGGGAATGAATAATTAAGGATAGGAGCGACTGAATCGAGTAATTGTTAAAACTAGGCTGCATTAACCCCAACGGACATCTATAGAACCCATGCTGGCGATAGATGTCCATCCGCGAGTCCCGACTCCATGACCACGCAAATTCCCTTCTTTTCCCACTCCATGTTCATGATTCAATCCCTCGTCCACTATCAGCTTGTTTATCGGACCAGAAATCAGCATTCTTTGGATCGATATGCTTGCTCTTCAAGATAACCTTGTGCCCAACATACAAAGCAAAGTAGAGCGGAACCCCAGCATACGCAGCCAGGAATTTGGGCGCATCGAACTTAGTCTTCGAATTCCGAATATGAAGTGAATTGAAAATCATAGTCGAAGAAATGAACACGCAAAGTGCCAGAGCAAGCCAAGTCCCCGCAAGGCCAAAGCGCGCTTTGAATACCAGCATATCGTCAGAGATCCCTTGTGCCTTGCGTGCCCGCACAAAGCAGATGTGGGTGATAAGAATGGACATCCATGTCAAGAGACCTAGCATCGTGACCAGATCCAAGAAGTATGCAAAGACCATGCAGGAGTCTTTGGAGACATTCAGGTAGGCCAAGGTGGACACGGATGCGGATACGGCCAGTGCGTAGACGGGGACTTCGTTTTTATTCACACGGGATAGGAACTTGGGCGCGCGATGTCGGAGGGCCAAATCGGAGAGTGCTTTCGTAGCCAGATACAAATCGTAGGTTGCGATAGAGAGAATGAATAACAATATACATGCATTCAACATGTGAGGTAGAACGGCGATCTCGACCTGGATCAGTGCGGCCACGAATGGAGAGGCGGCTACCTTTCCCTCGGGGCTGTTATAGGAAGGCAACTCGGCCCTATTATCTGGAAGGACCATGCCGAGGAGAGTTATACCGAGAAGGTGAAAGACCAGAATCCGATAAAAGGTATGCTTGATGGCACGATTCATGACGGGGGGTACGTTCGGCGACCGAGCAAGGATACCAGATCTCTCGCTGCCAATATACGCAAACGTAGCAGAGGACATGGCCCCACAGGTAGTGAAGAAAATCTCTAACATGTTGGTGTCGGAATGATCAAAGGGAACTGGGAGTAGCCAGTTTCGAAACCGCTCTGGACGGTGACCTGATACGCCTCCAAACACGAGCACAAGGGACAGGATCATGAGGCCGCCCATGACGACAAGTTTGAATCCCGAAACGTAGAATTCAATCTGACTTGGCAGGCCATGGCGGAGATAGTTGAGAGTTATAATGATCAAAAGAAAGATAGTGATCCACACCCCAGCATTGACTTGACCAGGGGGCAGCCATAACTTCATCACAAGGGCGGCGGCTGTCAACTGATTCGGGGTGATCATAGCGTACTTGAGCCAGTATCTATTAAGAACCAGTCAGTAGACGGGATATGCAATGGCAAATGCAGAATGAACTTACATCCAACCCAGTGTAAACCCCAGCGCTGGATCACAAAAGCGAAACGCCTGATCCGCCACGGTGGATGGTTTCGGCAGCCATGCAGCAACTTCTCCCAACGCAGACAGAACAAGGAAGACTGCGAATCCGACGAGCGTATACGATATCATCATGGCCGCTGGCTATCCTCTAATGTCAATGATCAAGCCCACTCGTAGGGAGAATGCACACTTACGCCGCTCCTGGGTAGAAAGTAAGCATATGCAGTTCACGAAACGAATGGAGGACAACGTACATGGCCAACGTTCTTCCACTGCCGACCATCAATCCTGTGCCAATAGCGGACCCGATGCCTATCGATCGAGATTAATGGACCGATTATGTGAAACGGAGGAGCGACGAACTGATGAGCCCTGCTTGTCGCGGTGTCACCGCTCCAAAGATCTCCGTGAACCCGGTTGCAACATCCTTCGGCTTCTCCGATGGACTTTCTGCTGCTGTCGTCGTCACGGCACTTGAGCTCGTGACCTGCCCCTGGGAGACAGTTGAGGAACGATTTCGACGTCGTGGGTGCTGAGAGTCCTCCATTTGAATAGAATTTCGAGCATTGGATAGCGAAGTATGTCAAGAAACGAATCTTCCTAGAAGAGTAAGATGACCGACCCGTGGCGGTCGTAGTTAATAGATGAAACGGAAAGAACGAGTACGAGGAAGGCGCCAGCCCGGCAGTAAATCGGGAAATATCCATGAATCGGCAATTGTTCTTTCTTCTATATGCAAGGAGAATCCGCTCCGTAGAGGCGGATCAAAACTCAAAGTGCGTATGAAACAGTGCAACCCAAAATAACACACAAAACCATGTCCGGTGGAATGCCGGCAACTCTATCATAGCCAATGCACATCATCCCCTATGGAATGATGCTCCGTGGCCAACGTCTATGATTGAATTCCCGTCAGTTCCATTTAGAAAGACGGTTAGAAAACCGTCTGATCACAAACGCCCAAAGTCGTCAGGTCAGATAAAAAAAAGTTCAGGACGCCCATAATGAAAACCAGCAGGGAGCCAGCCCCCTATTCCGTTTTGTTTCGGAACCCGTAGGCAAGTTGGATGGGTGAGAGGGGAGTTGTATATCATGAAAAAAAAAAAAAAAGATGGCCTTCTTGCAAAGACACGAGAAGAAAACCATCCTAATAGCAAAAGATAGCCGGGAGCGGTCGGTGGTCGTCACCTGGATGAATCCAAATCGGAGCCCGGCCTTAAGAGAAGACGCAAAGAAGGTGCATCGTTAATTCATCGCGACATGAGCGAATCGCTCGACTCCGTGCGGGGGAAGATACGAGTATAGAGCGAATCGCTGGACTCGGTACGCGGGAAGTGGCGCTGGTGCTTGCGCGAGATGACTCGGTCCTGGTAGACACCCTTGGCGGTACCGCGCACCACGGACTCGAGATACTCGCGGAAGTCGGTGGGCTTGAATTCCGGGTACAACTCGGGGGTCAGATGGTAGCCGAGATACCTGGCGTACTCGGGGTTGTTATCGCCGCGGATGCCCCAAGAGTATTGATATTCGGCGAGGTACCGGGGGATGAACTTGATCGGATCGAACGGATAAGTTTCGCTGGCTTGCCGGGCTGCAAGGACGCGGCTGCAGATAGTCTCTTCGGAAACCTGTCCAAAGAAAACAGTAAGTATATGGAAACCCCCGTGGAGGGAATATCAATGCGGTAACATACGTAGTTTCGGTCGACCTTTTCCTCACTAATCTCCTCCATCAAACTGTAGATCTGATTTTGCGTGGAGACCAGGTTGTAGGCGAGGATCTTCTTGTTCAAGGTGCGGGGATCGTTGATGATCAGAGCCATGTAGCGACCGATATCGCGCAGGTCAGTGAGCGCGGTGGGCATGTTTCCATCGCCGATAATCTCGTCATTACCAGAGGTCATCGCATAGTCGACGCGGCCGGAGAGAAGGCGAGGGTAGGAGAGCTGGTACCACCAACCGACATCGACGATGGTGTAGGGGAGCCAGAGTTGGCGGATCTGATTGTAGACGATTTCTTTCTGAACCGAGAAAAAAGACAATGGTCAGCCAACGCCCAAGATAATCACGTCGCACGATGCAGAATACTAGCCATACCTCGTCACGCAGCCACATCACACCACCGGGGGGAGCCACGGTGATGAAACCACAGGGAATGAATCGCTTGACACCGCACTTCTTCGCAGCCTTGGCGAGGGGAATTTGGTCTTGCTGCTCCGCAGGGCCAACACAACTGATGACGACATCGATCTCGGCCAGGACTTCAATGAGCTGCTCCTCGGGGGCCTTCAAGTCACCCTTGCGGATTTGAATTCCTCGTTCCTGGAGTTTCTGAATGGCGGGTTTGTGTACGGAGATGGGGCGGACAAGGGCGTGGACGTCCTGTAAACCGAAAAAAAAAAATCAGTACATGTTCAGCGATTGCTAGATTAGATTGCCGTGAGAGGGCTCTCGAGGATGGGAAATCGTACAAAAGAGCCATCTTCAATGAGACCGTTGGCAATGGAACCTCCGGTTTCACCCGCTGCGCCGACCAAGAGAACCTGGGTCTTCGCCATGTTGGGTAGGCGTTATCAGGCGGATAGTTCTCAAAGGATGTCGTGGATGGTGAGAATATGTTTGGTGGGATGAGCAAGATGGAAGACGGGAAGGTTGAGTTGGGGAGTTGGAAAGAGTCAGGAGGAAACGGGCGGAACAGGAAATCAGGCGCAGGGCGAGGTGATTAAATTCCCACAGCCAGTCCACCGCAATCCACCCAAGGATGGTTGCTACCCACTTTGTCTCCCATTTGGACGGTGGGTCGAAGAGTGGATGTGCAGTTCCCCTCGTTTGAGGGGGAGATTTTTCAGGACGTCATGCTTTCTCTACAGGACGGGATTGATGGCATTGTCTATTTTGAATCTTCAAGGGAATCATTACAAATAGTCTACTGGTCGCGGTGAATCCTCATTTTCTACAGTTTCTCCGGCGGTTTCAGCCCTTTCGGTAAATCGGTCAAAGCACTTTTTTTTTCCCAAATCTTTACGGGCCGGTGGCTCGGGAGCAGAACCCTAACCAAAGTCGGGGTCGCCCTTACGTCATATTCCAGACGGCTTCCCGTGATAATAATGATGTTGGTCTTGCATCCCCAGGGAAAGGAGAGAGAGAGAGAGAGCGAGAGGGACTTCTCTAGGGAGATTCAACCGTACGATGTGAATCCTCAAGTCAATTCGAAACCGCATCCCTCGGCTTGGGCCGTCGAGGGTTTTAGCTGCAACGATAGTCGCTCCCAAAATGGGGCCATGGGATTTGTCGTGCACCTTTTTAACTGGCAGCATCAGATCACCTGTTCCCCTCCCAAACCATGCAAGAATCTGCTTCCCAGTCAAAATTCTCGACCATCACCCCCACGTCAGCGATCTTCAGATCAGCAAAGCGGTCTTGGAAAAGAAGCCAAGTTCTGTCCAGTGGCACATGGTGGACTGTGACGAAATTGCAGCCAACCACGATTAGTCAACGGACAGGCCCTGCGCCCTCATTGGCGGGTTGCGCCTCAAAAAACGGAGATGCCCGTCCACGGTCGACCGAGCTCCGGTCACCATAGGATTCGAGGGGCTGTGATTGGAACTTGTCAGCCTTGACTGGATCGGGGGCCGAAGGTATTAGAGATGACCGGATGTATACCCAACACCATACCAGCATGGGAAAGGACCAGGGGGGGAGGGATTGTCCAGCCACAACCGCCACGGGCGCGGGAGATCGGTGCCTGGGCGTTGGGACATTTCTTAGCCAGACACACATTATTCTTCATCGCCTCATGGGTATGTCGTAGCCCAGTCCATATCTGCATCCTGCACTAGGTTATGACCCCGATCATCACTGTCCCGGATTTTCACAAGCGGGCTTTCCCCCAGCATTATTCGAGGGGGGGGGAGTGGGGTTTCTTTGTGGTCACTTGGAAATGCTGGACGGACTCCTAGATCGAGTAATCAGAGGTGACGATCTCGGAAAATCCACCCAGGACTCACATTCGAGAAAAGCAACGAGTCCTGAACGTGGAATATGTGGTTAGCTGCTGATTATTTCCAAGACCAGCAGATGACAGGCTGGAGACTGGGGTTGTCTTGGGCATGTGTTCTCCATAGGTCATGCACCACGGTGGTTTACCCTCCAGTTGAGGGTGAATGGCGATAAACCAGTAATTGTTCAGCAACTCCACCTCGGGACAGGGTCTAGATATTCATGAGTAAGCAGCGACGGTAACTATCCGGTTTTCTTGGTTTCCAACTTGTCCTTGACATGTTTGTGGATGCACGGTAAAGGGCGATGGTGGATGAGGTTGGAAGTAGACGTGACCTACAGGCTTGAGCAGGTGACTTGATAGTTGGGACATTCCCACACAATCTAGGAAATTATCATGAAAATCTATCAACCCCCGTGCTTGACATCTAAATAAGCATTCCAGGCTTGAGAATAACAATTGCATTTTGAATTCCTGTCAAAAATCACGTTTTCATTCACAACGCACGAGTACTCATCCATTGATTCCACAAATAATCTTCCATGCCAAGATCAACAGTACCAGCTACTACGAAATAATCTTCCAAAGTCCAGACTCTCCCTCGTCACACTTTCCCCATTCAATCCAAGGTTTGCCGGCAACCTCTTGCAAGATACAGAGCTTAGCGACGGTCCGAGACTACGTTCAACGACTGCAGTATCTCCAGTAACAGGCCTTCTCAAGGTCAGATATCGCTTCAAACAATGTTGAGTCGTATTCAACGTCCCAAAGAGGTACTTACGTTTCGGCATTCTCGGCCAAGATGGTTTCGCCAGCATCTCTGGGGGTACAAGTCAGTTCGCTATCTTGTTAGATATCGTAGGACGGTCTCTCGTACACTTAAGCATGGTTCATATCCAGGACCGCAACGATCTTCATCCAGTGGGATGACAGGCTCAGTAGGTTCATTATTGTTTTCATCGACGGGGGAGGCAATAGCCAGAGCGGCGAAGAAGAGAGTGAGAACTGCCAAGGGACGCATTGTGTGATGGATGGATAGTCGACTTCAGACTGGTCAGTGTGGTCAAGGGATTTTGGCAAGAATGCTTCCTTTCGGTTATCCTCGGATTGATTGATCTCTCTGGGCAATTTATATCTGGCAAGTCTTGAAAGAAGCATGTGTGCTGTGTGATATGACTTGCACGTATCATAATGTAACATGGGACGAGCTTCAGGGCACACGAGGGGGAAGGAGAGATATCCGGTCCCACAATCGGACCGTGATTTACAAAATTGTTTATCATGAATGAGTCTCGGCTGTTTCACGAGGCAGTTTGCTGCATGGGGAGTATGTAGTAACCCGACTCCTGCTGCTGGAGCTTCCCACGACAAGTCCGTATATTCGAGCTCCTGTCCGCCACTCGCTTTGACGGGTGTGCTCCACATAGTTTATTTATTCCATTTATGAAGGACTAATTACGAGCCAAGTATCTAGAATCGGGAAAGAAAATACATTCATTCTGGTTCTGATGGTTTACTAGATCATTGATACTCCGCTCATCCGGCACTTGCAGTAGACCCTACTTATCGAGAACTTTGATTCCGTACACCTTATGAGTAGAAGCCCGATGAAAGATCGCCTGCTTTACTCAGTAGCAATATCTCAGAAGATCTCCTATACCCTCCGATCCGTCTAGCCGAGTAAGGTTAAAAAGGGAGGGGACCTGGTCCGGGTTCAACAAAATCCTGGGGTACATCTTGTACAACTTTGAAGCACTAAACAAATACAATCTAGCGAATGAAAACCTTTCATTGATTTCAAATTTTCATTCCGAACTGCTGCAGTATGCATGTAAGACACGAAACCACCTCCCCACGGGGAAATCCAATCCTAACTCCGGTGCCACATCCAAGGTAAACCATTGCCCACACGTGAAAAAAAACACAGAAACAATATCCCAGTCCATTCCCAACACCCACGCAACACAAAAAGAAAGTGGGATATCATAACGTAAAACAACCCTTCAAACCCCAGAACTCTGCAACAATCTCCCCAGTCTCAGCGTCGGCTCTGAATGTGTAATCCTCTTAAGTTCCCGTACATCCATCAACTCGCCCCTACAATAAACCCGGACCGTGATAGTAGCCTTCTGCTTCCGCAACAACATCTCCCGCTGCTTCCGTCTTTCTTCCATAATAATCGCCCATCGAGCCCGGACTTCAGCCACACGCTTCCGTCGCGCGGGCCAGGCACGCTTCCACATTAGTGTTTGGTGCATCATTTCGAGGTTCTTGTCCTCCGGCCATCCGACGTGCTTGCAACTCAAGGGCCAGACATGGTCTGGATGGACGGGTTTCATGTTATCCATGTCATGCATCTTCCATTGCCAGTGGCGGAGTTGTTGCATGTCGTCTGCGTTGCGGCAGAATGTTAGGACTCCCCGGAGAGCGAGGTAGTGCTGGCGGATGTGGAAGTCGATTTGATAGTGGGCGAAGAGGACGGCGACTTCCGGGTTGATGTCTTTTGTTTCGTCGAGCATGTGGTTTAGTGCTTGTTCGACTAGTTCGTAGTAGCGCTCGCGCTGGGTGACGGAGATGTGTTTCCAGAAGGATGGGTCTTCGGAGGGGAAGTGGGTGTTTGTAGGGGAGATGTTGTCGTCTCTGGAGTTGTTGTTGAGGAAGAAGGGTGGGTAGTGGGAGGTAATGTAGGAGCATTTCTGGATATCATCTGCCATGCTCGCTTGTGTGACGGCGATCTGGCATGTCGTGCAGTGTAGTGCCTCTTCCAGACCTTGGAGCTATATCCCGGCGAGATTTAGTAAGATGTTCCTTGTGCAAGAGGGAAGATTGTAACGTACCAGCTCCATATCTGCTTTTCTCTCTTCTTGAGCTTCGGTGTTCTGCATATTCGCGGAGATGAAGGCGATTGGAGGTGCACTTGAGTGTAGTATTGTCGATTGGCTGACCGTCTAACGTGTTGAAGAATTTGTACGTGGTGAAGGAGAGAATTCGCAACATTCTCCCTTATATCGTGTCCAGATCAAAGCGCGCGGTACAGAAAGATTGGGCGACAGAAACAATAAACTTCATTGGGACTATCATATGAAAGAACCGATCGTGTTGGAATAAGGTTTGGTTGACCGTTGGGAGGATCGCGTTCCACTCTGAGGCAAAAAGAAAGATTCTTTGTACTTCGAACCCGAATACAGATTGAAGGCAACAAAGACCAGACGTTGAGAAAGTCAGAAACCACCCAGCTGAGGCCATCCGTCCTGCCCCGCGATTATAAACAAAACCCCCACGGTCGCAAGGCCTCCGGTTGTCCGCGATCAAATGACGGGAGTCCGCCGGTCATCTGTTGTTCTGTTGATAAACACGGTGAGAGTGCGGGGGGAGCGTGACGGGGTCACTGGGTTTCATTCGATCCTCGGGTGCTTCACCGCGACTTGATCTTCTCCATTTCCCCGCACACGCGTCCAGCCGATAGATTCCGATGACAACATATGGCTAAATCAATATCAATAGTATTCATGGCACAGCTGACTGTCGCCAAGCTTTGAGAGGTAAACCTGCTCCCGAGCAGGATATAGATCACGGCTGATACTTATGGCACTACATTGTGACGATACGCCGCTAAGCCTATTTAGAACATACCATATAGCATATAATACATTCAATAGCTTTTATGTGCAGTGATAGTCCAAAATCTTGGAACAATAACTACAAAGAAAGGCCGAGGTAGATACAGTTCAGTCTCCTCCCTTTCTAATGGTCTTTCGGAATGTCTTTCCAATCATCTTCACAGGGAGCCCTAGTAATATGTCTCAATTTATCTTTTGAAGCATAGCTAATAAGACGATTGAGAACCTTAGTTAGTGGATTTAACCTTATGGGGCTCTACTGTATATACCTATACATAACCGCTACTCGTGGATAGTAATCTTATACTTTTTAATACTCCTACGGGAGGTGCATTCCAAATGAGACTTAACGCCGTAGTGTCATGGGAGTTTCTTGTTGTACCATGAGTATGATCCTAGATCGTTTGTCTGTTTCAGCGAAGCAGACGAAGCATGACAACAGCAGGCCATAACATACTCCTGGGATTTGTAGCAGGTATTATGAAGACTGGAGGACGACGGCGGTACAACCATCAATCCATCCTTCCATACTTTTACTAATAGTGGCCAGTCAGGTGGGTGTAGCAACATCATCATATTCGAGGACATCCGTCCTGATACGTTTCCCAGGGAAGTATGCTGGTCTAAATGCGAAGAAGAGCAAGGCAAATCCTTCCACACTCTAAGTGTGTTGAATGTTATTTCAAAGATTGCGGGTCCCTGGAGAGCCGCACAGTGCGATCCTTTGAGCCAGACGCTAGCATCTGGCCGTCGGGCGAGAAGGCCAACGAGTATACCACATCTGAATGGCCCCAAAGGACCTTTCGTAGAACACCCGTCGTAGTGTCCCAAAGCTGAACTATCCCATTTAGAGTGCCAGCCGCTATGATCCGGCTATCAGGCGAGAAGTTAACCGAGTAAAGCGAATCGTAATCGGACGTAATGGTATGCCGCAGAGCGCTTGTCGCAGCGTCCCAGAGCTGCACTGTCTTATCAATGGATTTAGACGCTAGCATCTGGCCATCTTGCGAGAAGATAACTGAGACAACCGAATCCGAATGGCGCTTGAGAGTTTGCTGTAAAGTACCCGTCCTAGTGTCCCAGAGGCGGACAACCCCGTCTACGGAGCCAGAAGCTAGTCTCCGGCTATCAGGCGAGAAGGCTACCGAGTAAACCGAACCTGGATGGTCCTTAAGGACATGTTGTAGAGCGCCTGTCGTAGCATCCCAAAGCCGCACTGTGTGATCACGAGAGCCAGACGCCAGTATCTGGCCGTCGGGCGAGAAAGCCACCGAGTGAACCCAGCTTAGATGTTCCCTAAGGATATGTTGTAGAGCGCCTGTCGTAGCATCCCAAAGCCGCACTGTCCAATCAGTAGAGCCAGACGCCAGAATTCGACTATCGGACGAGAAGGCTACCGAGCAAACTGACAAATCGCCCTCAAGGGTATGTCGTAGAACACCTGTCGGAGGGTCCCACAGCCGCACTTTTCCATCAATACAGCCAGAGGCAAGAATTTTGCTATCAGACGAGAAGGCTACTGAGGTAACCCAAGATGGATGAGTCAGGGCCGCGGGAGGCTGTCGTAGAGTGCCCGTCGTACCACCCAAGAGCCGTACTGTGGGATTATTGGAGTTAGATGGCAGTATCTGGCCGTCCGGCGGGGAGATCATAGAATGAATATCATTTGAATCGACCCTGAGAGCCTGTGATCCTTCACTCCATCTTTTCTTTGACCGTGGTAAGTTCGGGGCGACGTCGCTGTGGCTCTGATATGCCCTAGTAATGTCACCTAGAGCACTGGCTTAGTGGATGGTTGATCGATGTCGCCAAACATCAAGCTAACCTTGGGACTCTTCAATGGCCGCTGACCTGCCGTATATCGAGTGGAGAAAATAAATAACGTTATCGTAATCGGAGTCGTGGCGGGCAAACTTGACAAGATCTGAGTGCGTTCTGGGGATAGGAATGGCTCGATTGCGAGGCGCATCCGGAGGGAGACAGCACGTTGCTGAAGACCGGCTCACAAGGCACTCCCGCGGGCCGGTCATCTGGAACTGGCCATTGCTCTGCTAGATATCCCAAGTTAGTTATGTTTGGAGGTAAGGAGTCGGCTCCTGTCCGCCCGTACCTACCCTTTCTGCGGTGGGTGACAGTTCTGTTTCATAGAAACAATATATCTCGAGTGGAAATTTGGTTATTACTTTGAAAAAGTTTCTCTTTTGCATGCCTAGAACTTGCGAGTTCACATCGCGAAGGCTTTGAATGAGAGACCTGTTCGGCCGGTCGGATACCATTGGTACGAGAGACTCAATTTTCATTCCATCGTTAGGAACTCCAAAAAGGAATACCCCCACGATAAATTTTAGCACTGCTGCATCGGTATCTGACTCCGAAATCCTGATAAGTGCTTCTTTGATTAGCAGTCCTCCGAGGCTATGGCCGATAAGGATAATAGGCTTCCTGGATCTTGATTGTATCCGGCTCATAGCTGTGTGAAACCAGCCGGCAATGTCGTCGAGTTCTGCAAAGCTAGTGCTGTTCTGTACAGAAATATTATAGCCAAAGACTATCACCCTGGCAGTAGGTAAATCTTGAGGGAGGCTATCAGCCAGCCACATATGTCCGTCTTGCTTGTTGACAAATGAGCCAAATGGATGACTCCCTATACCTGACACAGCGAGAATGTCGATATCATGACGCTCAGGGGGTTCAGTGTATGGCGAGTAGAGGATAGTGAGTCCGTCGAAATGATCGTCGATTGTGACTGTGGCGGTCTGGTGCGTTTGCTGAAGTTGGCCACGTTTATCGCCGCTTGCTGGGCCGGTTGACTGTAGCGGCAAGCCGAGCGACAACTGGCCCCCCTTTTCGAGAGATTGTAACTTTACTGGAAGGCGGCTGAAATGGACAGTCGCTACCTGGTCCCGCCGCAGGTCTGGTGCAAGGGTATGGACAGTGGCACCGTTGTCGCCATCTCCTTGGTCTTTAGTCAAATCCCCATTCGCAATACACGACAAGCAGGAATGCCTGTTAAGGGCGCGAGCGAGCGCCGCCTTGTCGAAGGATAGAGGCACGCCTCGAACTCTCCACGTACGGCGTCGCATTACGGGAGGGATTCAGAGATGGCGGCAGGTAGTGAGGGTACGTTGCTCCCTATTTTGGGTACATCCATGAATGGCTAGAATAAGGTGGCAATGATGAGGATTCTAGGCGTACCAGGTAAGTCCTTTGGTGAAGTTCTTTTTGTCGTAATCGGCTGGGGAGGACGTGCCTGATTCAGCCTCCATGGTGGGCGGCTACGACTCTCACCAATAGAGAGTCGCATTCTGACTGACCAATCACGATCTTAATGCATACTGTCGAAGCGCCAGCGCCATGGCGAGAATAGCCTAGCAGGCGAAGGCTTATACATAATCTTTGGTTATTTAATCTCATGTAGGCAAGTATAGTAACAGCCGACCAAGAATTGGCGGGAAATAAAGTCTGGAAACTTTCAAGATGCCAAGCATCCGTAATGTTGAAGTACGCCTGCTGGAGCTGGCAACCCTTGCCATCCACACAAGGATTCCCCGCTGTTGATCAGGGCATATTGGCTCGTGCTGAAAAGGGGCCAGATAACGCGCTCGCCTGTGCGACCACTTATGGTTTACTATCCTTTCAAGGGATGGTTGTGAAGACGTTAAAGGCACTATCCACTTAAACTCTCAACTGCCATTATTTTGACCTGAACAAACATGTCTAGCACATCCAGCGCCCCTTAAAAACGCGGCAACGAGCTGTTGGCTTCGTCTTAGAGCTTGTTTTAGTAAAATTATATTCTGGAGCTTACTGGGTTAAGATTACAGTTCTTCCTATATATCATCACTGTCAAGTCTATCGTTAAGTGAATTCCCGCAGTTTGATATTGAGTTCACGATCCGTCTCTAGGTACCGAAGATCTATAGGGTCCATTCTCCTGGATCTAGCCGCCATGATCACTATGATAGATTCTAATTCTCGGCATATTGATCCACTAATCAACGATGACTTTCAGATCATATATCCTCATGAAAGTCTCACTTGAAAGCGCTCTATTGTGTTCACTTTGATCGAAAGGCTCTGACTTATCTGTTAGTCAATATATCATTAGCTACAGACGGCCTGGAGTGGTATATACTCTCTCTGGACTGATTATAGCAGAATATCAGATGTAGAAGCCTCAGCCAGATCATAATCAGGAAACCTCCATGGCCCGTGGCCTACTGGCTTTCAAACCATCTCTCTTTTGCAGTATCCTCTCCCCTACAGCGCCCGAGTCCCTTGAGTAACCAGCCTCTGGAACACTTACTCGCCCCAGGTCTGAACAATACTCGCACGCATCCGGAAAGCCACCACCGTGAATTGAAAGTTTGCTTTGCTCACATCTCTCATCTCTTACAATAACCTCAGTTCATCAAAATGGGTGAATTTCTGGAACTCCCACCAGAGCTCCTGATCATGGTGGTACATCATTTGGAATACGCCTCAGATCTGAACAACCTCGCCCGAGTCTGTTGCCGACTTTACGCCATTCCGAACTCGAAGCTCTATCACTATTTTGCTCATACTGTCTCCCCAAAGGGCCTAGAGACTCTTATAAAACGAGGCAACACACCTGCACTATATAAGCTTCTGTCGACTGGCATTAATTTGGATCAACATGTGTTTAATGCTACACCTTCCCTTCTATCACTGGCTGTCTCTCACGGACAGCTCGGGTTTCTGGAACTCCTTTTTGATCATTACAATATCTCGTTGCTTATTGGAGAGTTTATAAAAGAGCCTGGAAATGGGGGCCCAATCTTGGAGACGGCAGTGAAGCATGGCTCTACTGACATCGTGCGATTTCTCGTCGAGCACGGCGTGCCAGCCGAGATTACGCTGACTCCCTCGGCACGGTCGCTTTTAAGCCTCGCAGCTGGCTGGGGTCACTTAGACCTGGTCTCATATCTCATAACAGATAGCCGATGTGATTTGAACTGGCTGGACGAGGCGAACCGCCATCCTCTCTGGTGGGCTGCACACCAAGGCCACTTGGAGGTGGTTAAATTGCTCGTTGAAGCCGGATCTGACTTTAAACTCGCAACTAGCGAGGACAACGGGTGGACTCCCCTTTACGCAGCAGCGTCAAAGAACCATGAAGATGTGGTTAAATACCTGCTTGGACTGGGAGCTTGGGAAACTGCAAATCTCCGTGGTCTCGCAGACGTTGCAGCAAATGGAGGGGGCTCGATGATTTCCCTGATACTTGGAGACGTCAATACGGACGTCTTATTCGAGGCTTGCAACAGTCAAGAACGCACTTACCTACTATTCTGCGCTATTGTCTCAAACAACTATCGTCTCGTTCAGACTATTCTGGCACGGGGGTGCTCAGTCATGTTGGAAGTTGGGGGAATCTCAGCCCTGACTCTTGCCATTAGGTGTGGTCACCAGGAGGTCCTGAGAATGATGCTTAACCAAGCTACCGAGGCTACAGCCCAATTTAGCCTCTCAAGAAACGTCCTCAAGACTATCATGTTGGATGCCTTGCAGACCAAAAATAAAGCAATTATTGAGATGGTCGTTGCCTGCCTCGATGCCATCACCATCAGACTCTGCGATCTCGAATGGCTTTGCGGACGACCCGAAGCCTCTGAACTTGGCCCAATAATTCTTCGACGCATTTGGGACCTTTCAAGGGGGGAGAAGCATGTTTCTGATGAGATGATATTCTGGGGCCTGCAATACGATGCCCTTCCAATGGTTCACAAGATGATTCAAGGTCGAGGACTTGGGCCATTCGATATCATCAGACACGCCAAAAGTAATGTCAATGATCAATTATTCCCGCTTAGCTTTACCTTGCTGGAAAGCGCGGCCATACTGGGAAGTCTGGACTCATTCAAAATGATTCTCGCCAGGGGTGCTTTCCTAACCCCGGAAGTCGCTGCCTATGGGCGGGTCCTGGCTTTTGCAGTCTACAGAAAGCAGCCCGGAATTGTCAAGCTCTTCATGGACTCGAATTTTAACCCAGACTTTGCACCTCGAGTCAACGGTATTCGGTGCCACCTGCTCATTCTGGCCGCTCATTCCCAGCCTAGGGCCTATGCACAGCCACCAGGAGGCACTTTCGAGTCCCGACAGGTAGCCACAATCAACCTGCTGATTGATAGTGGTGCCTGTGTAGATGCGTTAAATGGAAAGGGTCTTACGGCACTATATTATGCGACGGTTCAGGAGGACATGGTGGTTATACCCGAGCTCCTAAGTCGTGGTGCCAGCCCTCTAGCTGGCAGCGATATGCTTAAATCCCCGTTATATGCTGCTGTTCAAAAGAACAACATGAATATTGTGAAATTATTGCTGAAATCCTTGAGCTCACAGTCCACCACTTGCCATGAGTTGGAACCTTTATTAAAGGCTGTGGCGGATCCTGATAGCAATCCACGAGACGTTATAGACACTTCCTCGAGCCCAGGAGACTGGGACAAGTTCTTCATCCTGAGGGAACTCAAAAACCATTACTGGCGCCTGAGATATCCTGTTCCGGAGGCTTGATCCTAAGTCAATTCTGTATTATTTCGAAGGCGATGAATAGAAGTTGGCCTATTTGCTATCAGTTCTTGAAACTCCGTGGCAACTGAATATAATAATGGTGACAGTGTCAGTCAACTATGCAATTTCTCATGGCTGCGTCGTCTACGACAAGCAATCACTACATGCTCGCGATTTGTCTCAGTTCTTCTCAACACCATCAAGACCAACAACTCCTGGCTAATCAACATACCCAACAAGACTCACCATGGCCGAAAAAGAAAAGGCGTCCCTCGCATTTCCAATGACATGCATCCTCATCTCCTTCGCGTTTACCTCCTACCTCCACCGCACCTGGATCTCACAACAATTCCGAACATGCAAACGCCTCATCCGACGAGTGTCACGTAAAACCCAGCGTCAAATCCACCGCTGGATTCAACAGCTACACAAAATCACGAACAACCGGGGCGATGGAAACGAAGAGGGAACCTACAATGCCCTCGAACCATCTACCCGAGGCAGTGACCACCTAGGGCTCAGGGCATACTCTGCTAACGGGCATTCACGATGGGACTCCGATAATACCAGCACAGCCTCATCTTCTCACCTGGATGAGGACGAAGATTCGGATATCAGCAGCACCGAAGAACCATCCCCCCTCCACTCGCTCCGACCAACCTGGATCCTCGATTCCACTGGCCAATACGTCTTAAACCGCGCCCCGGAACCACTACAGCGCGCAACATGGGAAATCGACCTCGACGAACGCATCCGCAATGATCGCGGACTCGGTGCTTGGCTGGATAGAATGATAGAATGGGTTGTTCATCGCATTGTTGCAAATTTCGATGCTGAGATGCGTGGTGAGATTGAGCGGGCGAATGTTGATCGTCGTGGGGTGAGGTCCTGATGGGATTGCGCACATGCAGATGCAGATGGATGGTTACGTTTGGGCCGTGCCGAATCACGCGAGCTGACGTAGGGGGTTTATGTGGGAGGCGCGGGGTTAAGAGCGGGTTGCTTATCGTGGAGATCCCGGAGATGAGGGGCTTGCATGTGCTACGAGGTGCTTTAAGTTCGAAAATTTGTTGATCAGTTCATGGTTGAATATGTTGCTTGCAGAGCAAGAAGTTGATAAGAGTGCAAAACAATCTATGAAAGACTCTAGGTCTTTGAGTATACCAAGAAAATCCAATCCAATTCTTTCCACTAAGCAGATTCTTTTGTATCAATTCAGCCTTCTATCTAGTGTATCCATGAATCATAACCCCATAAAGGAAAAAACCACGCTCAATTTAACATCTGAAAATATCCCATCACTGCGCGATTTATTTATGGAGCGCAGTAACCGCCATCCACAATGAGATCGGCGCCGGTGGTGTAGGTGGACGCATCCGAAGCCAGGTACAGATAAGCACCCTTCAACTCGTGGGCCTCACCCTCACGACCCATGGGGATCTTGTCCCGCCAGATATTCTTGGTCTCGTCGGGCACGAAGTTGGAGATCTCAGTGGCGATGTAACCGGGGGAGACGGTGTTGGCGCGGGCGAAACGGACCCATTCAACGGAGAGCGACTTGCCTGTATAATAATTAGTAGGAAGACCAACGACTTCATTTTCGTTGATATTTACGTACAAAGGTGGACAACACCGCTCTTGGCGGCGTTGTAAGCAGCCTGCATCTGGGGGAAGTTCACAATGTGACCACTCATGGAAGCAGTAGCAACAAAGCTACCATAGGTGAAGTTGGTGAGCTTGTTGCCATTAATATCGGTGCCCTCCTCCTTCTGGCGGCGCCAGTGAGATGCGGCAGCTCTGGCGCAGTAGAATGTGCCGTCGAGATCAATGTTCACGACGTCGCGATAGTGTTCGATAGGACCATCCACCATGGGTCCCTGGGTCCAGGGAATACCAGCGTTGGCAATGAAAACGTCCAAGCGACCATTGAAGTCCTTAACCACAGTATCGGTGGCCTCCTGGACGGCCTTGGGGTCGGTGACCTGGACCTGGTAGGCCTTGGCTGTAGTAAGTAGATCAATGGTTAGTTCCTCGTCAAACATGAAGCGCGCAATGCTGTTCGAGCTACTTACCCTGGACACCGTACTTCTGGGCAATCTCCGCCGCGCGCTCGGCAGCCTTTGCGTTGGAATTGTACCACAGAGCGACGTTAGCACCGGCTTCAGCCAGGCCATGCGCAACGGCGAGTCCAATACCGGCACCGGCACCCGTGATGATAGCAGTCTTGCCCTTGAGAGAGAACATGCTCATCAAGCTAGGGTGCTCGGGGGCAACGGTGTTGTTGTGGACGAAGAGTCCATTCTGAATTGGGCTGGCGGCCATGGTTGATCAATGAAAGATGGGATATTGTCGGATTTGAGAGATTGAGTGCGAAAAGATGCATCTGGACGGGAGATCCCTTTAAATATAGCTCTGGAGGGGCAACGATGCTCCGGTTAAAAGCAAGCAAACCCCCGCAGGACGCGACAAGACGGTGAGCCATTGCCTGGACTTTTGGTGGAGAGAGGACTGTACAGTTGCTGTGGGGGGTGTACTGTACAGTCTCTCGGCCCACTAAGTAGTCAATCGTCCATTGACAGCTCGTTGTTCCTGTGGGTATGACGCTATGCGCCCTCCAAAACGGAAGAGGAGCGGGTCCTCGAGGGGAAAAGGTGGGATGGACACTGATCATATTGGCATTGGATAATAACAGAGGTCGGGGTGTGAAACAATCAGGGGATTTGAAAATTGCCTCGATTCAGATCCCGATGGACTCGTGGGTTCAATCTTTGCAAAGTCTTGTTTGTTCTGGATAGTTGTGAAGGTTGAGATGTTCTCCAATTGGTTCCAAAGCGCCCGCTAGGGGAAGCCACATTGATGCCCGAATTATAAGGTGTCTACTCTTTCTTCAAGGTCGTATCAGGCGGATTTTGTCACTTGCCATCGATAGAGCTTGACAATCCAGGGCCAAATCAATATCAGCATCCCATCCAGTTGAAACAATGGCTCTTAGATACATTTTTATCTGACTTCTATCGATTGCATCTCCATTGATGGCCCACCGCTGTGTGAGGTTACCAGGTGCTCCAAACAAGGGTTGAGCCAAAGGGAGCGAACCTTCGTGCAGGGATGAACCCAGGCTGTCCGAAGCAAAGCCTTGAATCCCAACTGTAGTGCTGACCCGTCAGTCTTTTAGTGGCTTGTTTTGTGGCTTGAGTTGACATGAAGCCGGGACTTGACGGGTGCTTATACCTTGACTGCACAACCAGCTCTCCGCCCACCCTGGATAGCATCTATAGATCGGCCTCTTGCTATCACCACGATGACCAGCCATCTGCCGCAATTGACATTAACCTTATACACCAACAATCAACCACTTACTCTTTCACGGACACGATGAAAACCGGCTGGTCATTCTTCTCGGAGGTCACCTTGTCGGGGTAATCGTTAGTTACCACATACGGAGCATGTACAGCCAACATGGTTCCAGGATTATATCTCCATTCCAACCACCTTCAAGGGTTCTCATGGACGTACCATTTCAATACTTAGTTTCTCCACTTTGGCTACTCTTTAGCGACATGCCATTGGGCAGCTGGCAAGGTTGGGGATAGAGTGTGGCTGCCAACATTCTTCGCGGCGTCTCGGTGATGTGTTCACATTCCAGGAGACTGGTCAAAATGTTCACATAACAAACCAGCGGCCCCGGACGAGAATGCTCGTCCTGTTGCACCTGATTGCGTTTCTTTCTTCCAGGTTGTCGTGTCTCTGGTAGTTGCAAAGTCCGTTGGCTTCATCCAGGTCCTCTCGACCAAGGCTTGGTTAATCATATCGTATCAAGACGGGCTTGGAGTATACCTCTCAAAGTAGGCGACTCAACATCGACAACGAATGAACGACTGAAGAGGCCGTCTCCGCGGTTCACGCGTGTTCTGATTCAAACTCAACTCGAATATTCACACCGTTAACAGGGCTATCACCATGTTGGGCTTCAGCGCTGTGGTCGCCATTGTCGCGTCTGGCGCGGCCTTTTTCGTCGTCTTGGGAGTCGTCACGGTCGTGGTCTGGGTGAGAGTCCGCAAAGAGCGACAAGCAATGAGAATGCTCGGCCTCAAGGAGGGAGACAACCCTCGCAGTATCAAACCCTACAATGCGGATACGTTGACAGAGATCTCCCACCTAGAGGGAAGTGTGTTGAGGACTCACGGCCAGCTGCCGTATGGCAAACCGAATGAATGGGGTCAAATGGAATCACATGAAACTCTACTCCGGCCAAAGAGTGAACCAAAGAGTGAACCTGAATCATCCTGGCCTCTCGTGGAACGGGCAAGATCACTTCGCAATTCAATCCGCAGAGCCAGGTCGAAGCGCTTCACCAAAGGTGGACTTCGGCGCATGGGCTCCATGGCTACCGTTAGCGAGATGATGCCCAGCCCTAGGAGCTCCAAAGATGACATCCCTTTATCAGCTCTTGAGGGGATTCTGGAACTGCCAGCGGAACGAACGCCTCGGCAGACGCCAGAAATCCCCAGGGAAGAAGAGGGTTTCCATCTAGGGATGCGTCCCATGTCTCCTGCAGTCTGGCCTCCTCCAAGTCAACAGCCGCAAGCGAACGTGTTCCCCGTAATGGATTCCATTCTCTCGCCAGACCTGTTTGACCTACCTCCCATGATCTCCGAAGAATCGCCCACTCGAATTCGAGGTGGGAGTATCGTCAGTCAAACGGCAGGACTTGTCCCTGACCAGTCCATTCCTCCTCCGCCACCTCCCGCTGCATTCCCTCAAGAACGGTTCAGCTACTTGCGAAACGACTCGGTTATGCGTCTGTCTTCCATGAGCCTTGACACCACCGACAGCTCTATTCTGGATGACAGTCGAAACAACCCCCGCTCTAATGAAACCGACCTCAGCTCGCCCATCTTTCCGTCAGGTGGTACGTTTGTGCCTTTCAGCGCCAATGATGTCGGTGTTAAGAACGGGCGCCGGACTTTTATTGCTGCCAATACCTCGATAGCACCCACCTTCCTCGTGCGTTCCTCATCCACCGCCGATGGCCAGAGAAAGACCTCGGAAGAAGGTATGTCGCCCCGGCGCAGCATGACCACGGCATCTCGAAACCCAAGCAATGCAAGCAATCGTTCGAACGCCCTACCTCGTCGCAGTGAATCTCTGTCATCCACTGCTCCGCAAAGAAACTCCTCACTTCGCGTTGGCACCCCTGGATCAATGGCTAGCTATCAGAACGGAAACCAGAAATCCTGGCGATCACCAACCTCAAATTTGGCTCATACACCACATGTCAGCCAGTTCCACCAAGGCCAACCGCCGGTATACGAAACTGAGCAGTTTGAGAACGACCCATTCTATGGCGGCTCCCCTGCTTCCAATGGCACGCTCTTCTCCGTCGGCTCTCCCGGACAGTCCAATGGCTACATGCCGCAAAGTCCTATGCAGCGGTCCAGTCTCTCCGTCAAGAGCCCACTCCCATCAGCACTTAAGAGTTCCAATTCTCACCGAAAGAGTAAGGGACACAGACGTCAGAACTGCGTTCGTATCTCTATTCATCCACCTATGACTTTCGGTGGTTCCGCATTCTCTCCAACAGTGGAGGAAGAACCTGAAGATCTGGATGCCATGGAGGAAGTAGATCTGCGTGAGAGTACCATCAACGGCACATCAAAGTCACAGCCCTCCCTGTCTATCAACACGCCATCTCCTCTTCCTCTATCAAAACGTGGAAGCGGCAGTCGTCGCACAAAATCTGTGATTTCGGCACCAAGCTCCCTCGGACCATTGGCTGAAGAACCACAACCAACATTGCATACTCGAACTCCGTCTAAGAAACGAAAGAAGGCTCCAACCGACAACCAAGATGATACACCCGTCCTCGCTAAGGGCCATGCTTTGCCGGGTATCTTGACATCTCTCCCCCCGGCTCGCGAGGTCAATCTCTCGCATACGCCTTCGCCAGAGAGAGAAGATCCCCTCTGGGCAGCCAGCAATATTCCGACCCACGAGAATGCATCTGGCATTAGCACTGGCAGTCCCAGACGACCCCCTCTCAAAGGACCACGCACCCAACCCGGCAAACCAGGCAGCAAGAACTCTCCACAGTCCCAACCCCCAAAATCCATGAAGCCCTTGATGCGTCCCACCTCGCCCCTAGAGTTACCGCATATCACAGGCACCCAGGGCAGCGATTGGCGAAAGTCAACAGACTCATCACACCGGCCAAGGACCGGCGCAAGCACGGGCTCCTTCCGGAGAAACCGCGATTCCCAGGGTTCCCTAGCCAGCGGCTTCGACTCATCCATGCGTCCTATCTCGCCCGCCTGCGGCTCCAAGGGCTCAAATGTACGGGACAAGGTTACTATCTGGGAAGATGCTAATCGCAGTGCATCACCAACCAAGCCTCATGCGACGCAGTTCGGGGCTGGGTATACCTTCCAACTTGATGCCAATCTCTCGCCTACGCATGTGAAGGGTAGTATCCCCCGGTCTCTGTCGAAGAATGGGAATCATTCGCCTATCCGTATGGCCGGTCGGGCACCGCCCACGCCGACGTCTACTCGCCGCGGTATGATGACGCCGAATGGTAAGGGACTGGGTATTGGGGTTACGTGTGCCACGCCGGTTAGTTTGTATGATGGCGAGGGCTTCTTGAAGGAGTAGTGCGTTTGATTTGTTATACTTGCACGGCGGTTGTCTGTTGATGTTTCGGCGCTCGGGGTGTCCTGAATTTACTATTCTTCTATGATTCTTGTGTTCAAAAGCCTTATACCTTCCTTTTCCCTTCTTTTTGGCATCGAGCATTTGGTTTTCTTCTATTTTTTCCTTTTCGTCTTATGCATTTCCCTTTGCGCCCTTTCATGTGTCACGTTTCTCCGTCGATATCCACCATCTAGGTAGTCGTAATTAGAAATGAATATCTAATTCTAATGTCTTCGGTCTGTTCGTAGATTATCAATACTGGATGATGGATCTTGTTCATCTCATCCCTTCTTTTTTGGTTGCTTTTCATGACCCCAGATCTATGACATGCAGTATAAACTACTCCGTCCTCCGCCATTTCGTCTCATCACCCTCACCCTCATCACCATCCCGTCCCTCCCCATCCCCATTCTCCTCCTCCCTCGCCCTCACAGTCCCAGCACCGGGTCCCAACCCAGGGAACGAAGGCGGCTCACCCTCCCCAATCCAATTCCCCTCTTCATCAAAGAAGTCATGCATATTATCCGCCGTAATCCACCCAGAACTCCCATCAACAGGCGGCGGCAAACCCCCATCGAACGAGCCCATCCCCTCCTGCCCAAACTGGAAGAACGAAGGCTTCGACTCCTCATCCTCATCCTCGTCCTCATCGCCCGGTTCCACGGGGTCCGGGTGCAGGTTCGAGCACGCAGAGACGGCGTTGTATAGCGTTTGCGTGGGGGTTTCGGCAGGCTCGTCGTTTTGTTCGCGTGCGGCGCTTTGCTCGGGGGTAAGTTCTGGCGGGACGAGTGTCATCGTGATGCATTGCTCTATGTCGTCTTCCGAGGTGGGAGCGGTGGGTGTGGCGATTTGCATGTATAGACCTTGGACTTCGGTGTCTGTTGCACCGGGGACGCGGAGGCGTTGGATGGCGTGGAGGGAGATTGATGGGTAGGGGATTGAGATGCCCGTTGAGGCGGAGGGGGAGTACAGGATGAATTTCCTAGGAAGGGATGTTAGATTCGTTTGGACGGGTAGTAATGAGGACCAGTAACTAGACAAGCTCGGCCAGGTACACCTTGTTCTGTAGGATGAGGATTGGACTTACTCAGATGTCACCCAAGTATTCACGTTTTCAATGGTAACCTCAGGACCCTCGTCGTCATCGTCTTCTTGCGCCGCGTGCGCAGCGCTGGTCCCATTGGTAGAAGCGCTCTCTCCGCGCAGCGCGTTCAAAGCCGGTGTCGCAAGCAGATCACGCTCCAGAATCACGACCTTGCATCGCTCGCTGTGGTAGTAGAGGATGGGTGGTCCGTGGTGGAAGGAGCTTGGGGTTCGTGACTGGTGCTCGGCGATGGTGACGAAGCTAGATGCTTCTGGGGATGTCTGAAGAACTTCCATCTTGATATGCTTGAGATAAACCTTCTAGCCTGGTTGCTTTGGCGAAAGTGTCTGGTATCGAGAACTAGAGGTGTGGTGCAGGTGGTAGGTTGCGGAAAAAAGCTAGCGGGAGCTCTCGGCGGAGGGGCGCTTTGCTTCCGCAGCTCGTCCTTGACTCGCTAGCAGTCACCAACCGACCTTCATGTAGCTCGGAGTTTGAATTAGAACTGTACCATTTTTCTTCTTCATTTTAGCTGGTTGGAATTTGGACTATATAGATCTCTTATTGCAGAGGACAACGTTACCTAATTGAAATCCCCAGTCTGAATTCTACAAAGATTCAGAGATATATATCTTGAGTTGGCTTCCAGGCAGGGCTTCTCGGAACCACAACAATCTAAGACCACCAAAGTACCAGATCAAACGTATTTATTTGACCTAATAGGTAGCAATTCACCAAAACTGGAGAACCAAATAATGATACGAATTCTAGGAAGAAAACAACTGTGTTTACCAAGGCAATCGATTACTACCGAGTTGTCTAACGAACGCAATCCCGTAAGCCGGCAGGAGGTGACTGACGGCTGGAATGTAGGAGTCGCGGATGCTTTGAAGCTCTCGAGTGGGCCTTGGCAACCACGAGACACACAAGTCAAGTCCAGCCGATCGAATCAATAAGCTATCAAGAAGCCAAAGTGTCTAGCTGAGGTAACCGTCATCGACAGACCGGTGCAGCTCACATCGCTGTTTGTGGGGATTGAGATAGCACGTGACGGTATACTTGGTGTCAGAGTCCTGCGATTCTCCTTGCATCAACGACGAAAAATGGCAATGCCAAGTATTGATCACGCTCGCAGTTTAGGAGAAACCTTGGTTATGGGATTGACGTGATGCCCTGTGTTTGAGAAGATATGCCGAAGTAGCATTACTTCTGTACTCATTTCACACCCAGCCCACCAAATGCTCGATCCAATTCCTCACCTTCATCCCGCGGCACCATAGCTGGCAGGGTAGACGACCCTTGGTCAGCGGAAGTGCTATCCAACAGACTTCCACCCTCGTCAGCCTTTGATACAGAAGACCCTGCCGCTCTGCTCGGTTGCAGTAACTTCTCATCTCGATCTAGCCATCCCGGTGCAACACGGCGCTTTTCTGCAAGTTCCCGTTGCCGGATAGATTCCTCCCAAGCTTTAATAGCACCCTCTGCGTCGGTGCGGGTCTTCTTCAAGTGCTGTTCGAGAGACTGGCAGGCAGCGAGGATCTCATCTGGATGAGCTGCATGTTCGCCGCTGGGCGAGAGGACGTATCGAGGTTTGGAATCTGGGTTGGCTGGATCTACCAGGACTGATTGGGGGAGAGTGGAAGGAACTGATTTGTAGGTATAGGGCAGAGTGACTGAGGCGGGGAGGTTGATGAAGGGCGAAACGGTTAGAGGCACCTGGGCCAGGAGGAGGTGGGGGCCTATCAAGCGTGTATGATGAGTATGGAGCAAGCAATGACCGAAAAGGATGGAGCAGTGAAGGGATACTGACGGTATGAGTCGTACATGACTGGAATGTTGAATGGTTGCCACTATTATTATCGAGGTAACTGCCTATCTCGCAGTATCCAGTGTGGATGTTGACATGCGGAGAGATGACGCCGTTCACCGCCCCCCCACGTCCCACTTTCCTCATTCTCCGATTCTCCGATCTCCTCCCGCCCCCGGCCACTCGAAAAAGCAATGGTGCCCTTGCTAACCTACGCAGTAACGGAATCAAGAGTTGCCAAGTGCTTCAGCTATGCCAGTCACATTGGATGCAGTTGTTCCTGCTGCCGTTCACGTGGATCTAACCTGACTCGATGCATCCCCGTCGTTGAATGCGTGCACGAGACACCCAGGGTTTGTCGCAGTCCAAGGATCAAACATGCAAGGATATGCGATGGACTCGACCAATCTGATGGCAGCTCATCCTAGCGAGATCCGATCAGGCCCCATTAGCCATTTTGGATATCACACACTTTCTGCAAGGCCGTTCGACCGACTTTTCGCCCTCGCTGGCTCTCTAAGAAGGTTTATATCGTTGCTAATGTCTATTTAAGCATCTCAAAGCGAAGCTAAGTTGCTCCTAGAGCACTTTTATTCTCTCCTTACCATGTGGAGTCCTAAAACACTCAGCCCATACGTTGTCACCGCAGCGAGTTAAGCGCAGAAGCCGGTAGGGTTCCGAAAGACTCCTGTCGAATCCAGTTTAGTTGGATTCGGAGTCCCACTCGAGAACCAGGCACATCCATTCGTCTTTTTTGGAATCCCTGTTCAAAGACGCATCCCCCTCCAACTGTGATTGAGAATTGGTTTTTGTGTTGGTGTGTCTTTCCTTCTTCGATATGCCTCACTGCCCAGGGATTCCTCCACACAAAGTGTCACCGGAATTTTGTGAAATCTGATTTTTTTGATAAACCGAGTTCCCAGCCCCGCATGCATCCTGCTGTGGGCTTAGCTTAAAACAAAGAATATCCATATGGGTCTTATATAGAAACAATCCAACAGTCCTGGTCGTACTTTCCTTTGTTCATTTTTCTGAGACGTGCTATTTTGTTATCCCTGCTACTGTATAATCTTTTCTACCTTGGACTCGAGAGCCGCCCTCCATGTCGAAGGACATAATCGCTCCTGTTCGTACGGCCACTTGTCTAGAGCTATCTAGCGGTACTTCGCTAATAACTTTTATTCGCTCTTCTCGGACAGGACACGGATTTGCATTTCGTTAAAGACAATCATAATCCCGATGACTGGCAATCGTATATCATCCCACTAAGTTGAGCATTTATCATCCTTCCTGACAAATGCTATAGAGCGACAACGTCTATCGCATCGTCTGTCTACAAAGGGTTGATGGAGAATGGACGAAGGTAAGGCGTCCAGGTCGTCACTGCTATAAACACGGGGAATTGCTCACCAAAGGCATAGATATCAAACACTTAGGGACAAGGGCTCACAGTAGGTGAAAAGATTTCACTTGGTCCATTATTTTGCGACCCCTTAATAACTAATATTTACAGTGTGCCATCCGATGAACAAATGTTCGAAACCTACGAAGCTTCGTACGTGTTTTTTTACAGCTCTTGTTTACACTACCCATGGGCTAACCATGCTAGACATTTTCTTGCTTTCATTATAGACTCCCACAAGGAGAACCCGCTGTTTCAGGCGCCAGTGGTGAAACCAAAGGTCCGCTGATTCCATAGTTGGTGAGTCATTTGATAGGCATGAAACTGACAATACCAAGCACATTCTGGATATTGGAACGGGCAAGGGTTCATGGGCCGTGTTAGTGTACTCACTCTGCAGATAAGAACAATGACTGATATCGTTTCAGCGACGTCGCCGATCTGTTTCCTGGAGGTAGGATCGTTCTTCCACCAGAACGGATATTGTTTCGTCTCTAACAACTCCGTCCTCAACAGCAACTGTCCGCGGTGTGGACCTTTTCCCACCACCAGTCACCTGGATCCCGCCGAACTGTCTCTTCGAAATCGACGATATTCTCCAGTCGTGGACCTGGCGTGACCCATTCGACTTGATCCACCTGAGACTACTCGATGCAGCGTTTACTCCCGAGGAGACAGATCACCTTTACAAACAATGTTACGAGTGAGTGCTTAACACACATACCTGGAAAGTTTCTTGGCCAATACTGATCCATAGCCCGACAGCCACCTCCAACCGGGTGGATGGATCGAGCAACTCGAAATGAGCACCTTCATCGAGTGCGACGACGACAGCGTACCCGCGGACAACGTACTATTTACCTGGGGCCCTCGCTTAAAAATGGCAGCCCATAAAGCCGGCCGATCCTTCGAGATAATGCAAACTTTCCAAGAATCGATCGAACGAGCAGGATTCGTGGACATCCATACGAAAGACTACAAATGGCCTATTGGACCGTGGCCGAGGGATAAAACTCTCAAGGAAGTCGGTGGTGTTAACCATCAACACTGGCTTATTGGCATGGAAGGGTATGGGATGTGGCTGTTGACTAAATATGGGGATCCGGTGCCGTGGACGAAGGAAGAGGTGCAGGTTTATGTGGCGCAGATGCGGAAGGAGTTGTCCAAGCCTCGGATTCATGTTTATCAAAGGGCGTAAGTTTGTTCTATTTTGGTTGTTGGCTTGACTGCAAAGGAGTTCTGGACTAACGATTTGGTAGGAGGAGAATTTGGGCTAGAAAGCCCGTGGATGAGGAGTGGGTGAAGGTTGAATCTAGCCCTTGAGAATGCACCTATTCCGTTATAAAGAGCTGAGGAGATGAAGGTGTTATCCATACTCCAGGTAATTGGGGTTCCACAAAAAATGGTGAAAGGGAGCCTCAAATGGCCGAGGCATTTATTCAATATGTAACATACTATCAACCATAACTGAAGCTAATTTTTGTGTTCCCTGGGCCCATTCTTCTAATTTACCTTTCAGATGCCCTAACGGGGGTATACTTCTTGTGATGGTCGACCTCCCTACCCAGACAGCAAAATACCGAGGAAATTGAATCTGTGGAAGCTCAAATAGTTAGCGGTAAATTAAAACATTATTTAGAACTCGTCATTGGCGCTGGCGACTTCCCACAAGCGCCGATTTCTCCAGTAGTGCTGGCATCTAGCACCAATCGGGCCTAGTTTGCAAAAAGCCACAGGAGGCATATTGGACTTGGTGGAAAAGATAGACCAAAAACTCGTAGCTTCGCAGATATAGAGTATTCATAACTCTGAATGTTCTCTGAATATAAAAATCTGCTCGGTGGAGTGTTTCAAAGTGGCGGAGCTTCATAGTAATTGACTGGTTCATTTCTGGGGAAAGCTTCCAGTCTTTTTGCCTTCAGGGACTGCTGCCTGAGGCGACAAACTCCATTCTTACGTGATAATCGATCAGCTTCCAGCTAGGCTTCCATCAGGGTTAATTCCAAGCCCGGGATCAAGGTAAATGCGATACTTAACTTGTTAGTTGAGATCATCTAGTTGATCATCTTCATCTCGTTGATCCTGACTTCATCAACCGAGGCCGGGGTTGATCACATCGTGGCCCACTCCATAGTTTGGCCACCAGTTCACCAGTCCACCAGTCAACTTGGTGGGAGTTGCTAACCCCCCCGGGCTGAGCCCAGCCCGCTTATCCAATTTGTTTCTCTTTTTCCCATTTCTTAACTTAACCTTCTCCATCCCACGCGACTCTTCCCCCAAAACACCCATCTTGCCTATCTGTGGGACCGATTCACTCCCTCAACTCTCCCGGGCGTCTTGAATTGATCTCATCTCTTTCTCCCCTCACTGGGACGTCTATCCCGCCCAGTGACCATCCCCCCGCCACACCTCCCGCGCGGTCCTATCTTTCCTTCTCCCCCTCCCCCTCCATCTTCGTTTACCTTTACCCCCTAACCCCCCCCCTTGCCTCCGGACTCCCGAGATTCTTCAGATCCTGAATCTTATCAACCGCCCAAGATGGATCGGAACCTCGCGCGCGGTGACCGACAAGAAGCCGGTCCCCGAGATCGATTTCACATTGCATACCATGGAGGATGGCACGCAGGTCTCTACGATGGAGCGCGTGGTCAAAGGTAAAAGACTTCATATCTTTATCGGTTGCTTCCGCCGCATCGCAACCCGATCGCTAACGCAGAGTTGGAGAAATTAGAGGTCCAAGCGCCGGCCCTGAGCACCCCTCCGGATGACATGTTTTGGTCCCCCGAAGACCCGTCCAAGCCCAATCTCCAGTACCTCAAGCAGCACTTTTATCGCGAAGGTCGTCTCACTGAGGATCAGGCACTATGGATTATCCACGCCGGTACCGAGGTTCTACGGTCGGAGCCCAACCTTTTGGAGATGGATGCCCCGATTACCGTCTGCGGTGACGTTCACGGTCAATACTACGATTTGATGAAGCTGTTTGAGGTTGGCGGCGACCCTTCGGAAACGCGCTATCTGTTCTTGGGTGATTACGTCGACCGTGGTTACTTCAGTATTGAGGTAGGTTCTCCCCGTTGAGGCGGATCTTGGATATCGCGCGTCGTCCAGGAGGCTAATCTTTGGTTGCAGTGCGTTCTGTATCTTTGGGCTTTGAAGATCTGGTATCCCGACTCGCTTTGGCTGCTCAGGGGTAACCACGAGTGTCGCCACTTGACAGACTACTTCACGTTTAAGCTGGAGTGTAAACACAAGTATAGCGAGCGGATCTATGAGGCGTGCATCGAATCCTTCTGTTCTCTGCCGCTGGCGGCGGTCATGAACAAGCAATTCCTCTGTATCCACGGTGGTCTCAGCCCGGAGCTGCACACCCTTGAGGATATCAAGGCCGTACGTGTTTGATTGGAGGTCCCCCAGCTGATATATATATTGGTGTCAACTAACATCCTTGCTTACAGATCGATCGTTTCCGTGAACCCCCCACCCACGGTTTGATGTGCGATATTCTCTGGGCCGATCCTCTGGAAGAATTTGGTCAGGAAAAGACTGGCGATTTCTTCATTCACAACAGTGTGCGCGGTTGCTCTTATTTCTTCTCCTACCCCGCCGCATGCGCTTTCTTGGAGAAGAACAATCTCCTTTCGATCATTCGAGCTCACGAGGCCCAGGATGCTGGTTACCGTATGTACAGGAAGACACGGACAACCGGTTTCCCGAGTGTCATGACTATTTTCAGTGCCCCCAATTACCTCGATGTGTACAACAACAAAGCAGCCGTGCTGAAGTATGAGAATAACGTCATGAACATTCGCCAATTCAACTGCACCCCGCACCCGTACTGGCTGCCTAACTTCATGGACGTCTTTACCTGGTCTCTGCCTTTCGTCGGTGAGAAGATCACCGACATGCTGATCGCCATTCTCAACACTTGCTCCAAGGAGGAACTGGAAGAGGACGATACTCCTGTGACCACCTCGCCGACTGGTCCCTCTTCTCCTCCCTTGCCCATGGACACCGAGTCTAGCGAGTTCAAGCGCCGTGCCATCAAGAACAAGATTCTTGCCATTGGCCGTTTGTCGCGTGTCTTCCAGGTTCTCCGTGAACAGTCCGAGAGTGTCAGTGAACTGAAGACGGCAGCCGGTGGTCGTCTTCCAGCCGGTACCCTCATGCTGGGCGCCGAGGGTATCAAGCAGGCTATCCACAACTTCGAAGATGCCCGCAAGGTCGATTTGCAGAACGAGCGGCTGCCTCCCAGCCAGGAGGAAGTTTACCAGAAGAGCGAGGCCGAGCACAAGGCGGCTATGCAGCGTGCTCAGCAGGAGGCTGACAATGATGCCGGGCTAGCGACCATCGCCAGGCGGATTTCCATGTAAGAATTCCAGGCTCCTGATTACCTGACCCAAGACTAACCGAATTACTACTTAGGTCCGCCGGCGCCGGTCGTAGTCGCCGCCAGCGCGATTCACGCGATTCCAACAAGGAGGCTTAGAAACTGGCCGTGGGTTTAGTTTGAGCTGATATAACGACACGATCTATGCATTTCCCCCTTCTCCCTTTGCCCCCTCTCCAGCGCATGTCCTTCTCCCCCTTCCTTCTGCCACGACATGATCGAGACGATACCCTGATCTATCTACTTGATCCTTCCGCTTCGCCAGGCTATTTCGACATGTGTGGGCGTGCCATAATACACGGTGCCTTCAGCATGGCTCCCGAACAATCTGTGTGATTTCCAGTCTTGGGTCTTTTATTCAGAGACCGAGTAGATCTCCATTTTGTAGCCAGGCGCAATGCTGGTCTCGGATCCAAGGCGCGCAAAAAGAATATCATGTAATGATGGCCTAATTTAGCACAATTGTTTCAATTCGTACATAACTGCAAGTGTGTTGTATTGTGTTTGAAGCTCTCTGTAGATCTGCAATTAAAAACAGGCTCCGGTGGAGCACCGCCAAGCCCCGAATGCCTGCCTTCCCTTCCCGACCTCACCCTCTCTCCGTCCACCGGTCCAGGCTAATCTCTTGCGGACGCGCCCACGACTTTCAAAGAGCGCCGCAATGCCTGCAAAACTGCGCAATGCGCTCCAAAGGAGTCTATCGCGCCCTCTAGACAACACCGGTGTCTTCTACTGCCCCTCCTGCTCAACCTGGCGCCGAACGCTCTCGACGCGTACCAACGGTAGGGCCAAAATCGACACTGCGCGCCGAAATGCCCACCTCCTAGATACGGTGCCGACTGCTCGCACCCGACCCTTCACGACTTCACCCGCGATATCGGCTGGCAAAACGGTGCCACCGCGGTTTAAGGAGCTGTATGATGCCTTGAATGGAGTCAAGGATGCGGCTATTGAACAGGTTAGCGTTAGTCGGTTGTCGCTTGCGCTGCGTGGGTTGGAGTCGGAGGAGCCTTTGATTCGGGTTGCTGGTGAGTATCCTCTTTTGGGGGGTTTGAGTTGATTTGGTTCTTTCTATTATCAATTCTTCCGTTTTGAACCGAGGAGCTGATTCTTGCTTGTGTGGTAGTACTCGGATTGGACAATGCAGATGCTGCGCGCAAATTGGTTCGTTTGCTACTCGCTGACCCCCTTGGGCCGCGCGAAAGTTGGGAGGATATACTGGAGGGCTATGACTCTGATCCTTCGCGGGGTCTACTGATTCGGTATGTTGCCGCTTGTTGATCGGATTTATGCGATTCACGGTCCACTGACCACCTGCTTTATTTAGGTACGGGGAGGTCTCCGAGACTATCCCCAATGACCTCCTTCCTACTATCACAATCCGCTCGCCTATCTTGAAAAAGGGCAATCTCGAAATCCTCGTCAGTTCGATTGGTTCCGAGCCAGACACATCCGGTGCGACGTTATCCGCGGAGTCATTCCTCGTGCCAAATGTCACCATTCAAACATCACACTCTGGCCGACAAAATGTCGTGCGGTACCCCGTGCATCGCAGTATTATCTGTGGTACTGGAGTTGATGGCCTGCTCGCTTTCAGTACCTTGATGGGTCGGTCAAACCTTCAGAATGAGGTGGCATCAGTGCGTGGCGCCATCGAACTTTCCGTGGCGGATCAGAAACGTGACAGTGGCCGTCTGTCTTTTGTTGATCTTGAACGTGCTACTACGGCCTTGGATAAGATTCGTGAGTCCGTTCAGAATGCTTCTGAATACGAGCGCGGATGGAATGGTAGTGGTGTGCAGCCTGTTATCGATTGGCTGTCAACGATTTCTCAGGCAGTGAACGAAGAAGCATTAAACCCTGCGCTAGCTCCGCTCATCGAATCATTATTGGATGCAGCGGAGAAGGGAGTTGTTGTTCGAGATGCCGAGGCACTTCACGACCAGACATCGGGAGTTACATCCCCAGAGGTCCGCTCTCAACTTGAGAATGGAATCAGTACGTGGGCTGAGCAAGCGCACTCCGAGCTACGTAGCTCCCTGGAGGCTGGCTTTGCTAGTCCACGATGGCGAGGTCTAGCGTGGTGGAAGCTCTTCTGGCGCGTCGACGACGTGAGCATGATCACATCCGAGATCCTAGAGAGACGCTTCCTCCGCCGCGCAGAGCGCGATGTCATCTGGACATCCGGCAAGTACCAGCAGGCTGGCCTGCTGGAGGAAGCCACTCCTTCTGCCAGTCCCGAGTCTACCGAAACGGCCCCTGCCAAGTCAACACCACCTCCCTGGCCAACCCAGATCCCGGACATGCGCACAAAGCTGCTCACCACGACCGTTCCCTCTATCCAAGCTCTCGCGCAGAGCCTCGTCCTCTTCAGCGTCTCCACCACCACCCTGACCTCCGCTCTCTCCGCTCTCACATACGTCGCCGTCCCGTCAGCCTCCGTCTACGAATCATGCACCCTAGCTGCAATCGGCCTTATCTACTCTCTGCGCCGCCAGCAGAAGAAGTGGGATGTTGCACGAGACTTCTGGGAGGAAGAAGTCCGTGATGAAGGTCGCACTGCGCTGCTGGAGACAGAGGCGTTGTTGCGTAAGATTGTACGTGAGGGTGGAAAGGAGATCGAGGACTTGTCTGATCATCGGACGCGTGAGATGATTACTCGTGCTCGGAAGGCTCTTGAACGTGTTCGTGTCTGAGTGTATCGTGGGATATGCCTGGGAGACCCTGGGTCCCGGGCTATGTATATTTACTCTATGATTTGGGATACACGTCGCCTTAGATGTACAATCTACTCTGATACGTGTCATGACTGGGTCTCTGATATGTGGGTATCTAAAGCTCAAAAATAGACTTGACTTGACACTGGCTAGTCGCAGTAATGTGATTTGCACTGATTAATCTCTTGCTATGGTCCAATTTCTCCCCAGAAAGTAGTCTAGTCGGCGCGGCAGCAACAATGCCCCGGATCAGTATCCCATCGGTAATCACAGTGTTCCGGCCTATTCAACAAAGAACACCAAGAAACCGTTATTTCCGGGTCTTTCTAGAATGGTCATTTTCACTTACCGACATGTCATTGCTCCACTCTACCAGCACCATTTCCAACGATCCACCCGTTCGTATAGCAGAAACGCCTTCCTTTTTCGGACTGGGCCCAACTTCGCCAAGCTATAGACGTAAAGTAGTGTGTACAGCCATCATCACGGGATTCTCGACTAGAAAAGTACCAGGTAATCATGGAATCGCCAAGGGAAGACACGTAACCGTCTACTCCGCCGTGAACTCTCGATCAAAAGTTTAAAGAGCTTACGGTGATACAAGGTTAAACAACCTCGTGGAGATCGGGTAGAGCCGATCCCACCTGCCAAGTTAGTCATGTTTCAGGGTCTTTGGCATGGATAAGGCCAAGGGATGTATGAGCTTACAGCCCTTCGGCATACTGATCTACCTCTATGAATAATATTTCTTATTACTATGTACTTAGATCGACCAAATATCACCCAATTCGCTAATTTGTTTGTCAGTGGGAAATGGTCTGGTTCTATTTCAAATAGAGCTGCACAGATTCATAGCAAGGCAATACTAAGATCGCCGCTGGAAGCATTTGGTTCATTGCTCGTTGACCTAGACTGTCTTGGGATAATGATTTGCAATTGTGGATTGCCAAGGAACCCGCGTATCGTTGTAGCCTCAAGACTATGGTTTCTGTTGGCGCTCACTCGGTAAATGACGCATTTTTGGTCACTTCCGTTCGATGTTCTTATTCGTTATTTTAAGATCTAGTTCGTGCCCTGTCACCTTTCGCGAACAGATCGTTCGAGATTTATTTGACACAGGACTAACTGGACATAGCTTAAGATGAATGTATGTACAGCGCAATTCTATGGACCCATGAAATCGTGACAGTGGGGTTATGAAGCCGCTATCGACGAACTATAATTAGCCCAGCTACCAAATTGGCAAAAACTGAGTGTAAAAGGAGACTCAGCCCGGCAATGACCCCCACAGAGAAGACATGTGGCTATGTCAAAAATTATTTATCAGCGAGGCTATCGAACCTGAAGGATGATCAAGGGTCCACAAAAATACGAAAACATGTGTACGGTTGGTAACTTTCCCATTAGGCCCCCCTAATCTCTCCAATTAAACTCTTCATACAAGAATGGATCAAATTTCCGAAGCGCTCATTGGGCGGATCTGGCTGACAACAATACCGCTATTTTCTGACCCTTTCCGTCATACTTACTGGAAGATGACTGGCTATACTCGCGATAGCCCAATTGCATTGTGCTCTTTGCCCCAACCTGAGACACTGTCTAGGATGTTGCTTTTGGGGGGGGGGGGGGGGCTTGTAAGTAATACCGGGGCGATCAGTGTGGGTTCGTACTGTAGACATGATGACAATGAAAAAGGACTCCGCCTGCCTCCGCTTTAGAGATTTTGTTCTTTGGAGCCCAATACCTCTCTCTTCGTCTGAGTGTGCAGTATGTGGTCGTCGACGAAACGGCCTTGGCCAGTGGCCGCTCTCGTTTTCACGTTCTTTTGTTTGGCTTTGATATGGATGTCATCATATCGGCCCAGCTTTGGTCATCCCGCCAGCTTGGGGCTGAGCGTGAACTATGCCAGTAATGCGACGCTGGGATTTCAAAAGATATTTTACATTAGTCTGCCGCAGTTCGTTTACCTTGGCCTGCGATTTGAACGAGTCTAACAATGGGAGATCAGGCGCCTGGACCGGCATGATGCAATGTCATTAATTAGCTCAATGACTGGAGTGTCGCCGACGCTCGAGCCTGGAGTGAGAAACTCACATGTTCCTACTATGTTTCATCGTTGGACTGGAGCTGATGGTTCTTGCTAGGTCAATGGCAGTTTATTGCTTGAGAAGGCATTGCCGGAAGGCAGCGGAAGTCTTCGGCCTGAGCAACTGGGATGTTGGAGGGCACATGCAAACGTTTGGAAACGAATGTTAGATGAGAATATCGAAACTGCAATGATTGTCGAAGATGACGTAGACTGGGATCTTCACGTCCGCGGCGTTTTCACTGAATTGAGCCACAATCTTGCCCAGCAGACTTTGTTCCCAAGTTTGTCGCCTCGTTCGAATCAAACGATAGCTCCATACGGTAAGGAACAGTCAGACAGAAACTTGTCGCGTCGTATTGTGCTAACGTCTGCTGACTGTAGGTCTTGACTGGGATATCTTGTATGTCGGCTCTGCGTGGGATATTCCGAATGAAGAAAACCGCCCACCTCATCTACTCTATCACGACCCGTTTGCGCCTACCCGAGATCAAACCGGCGGTTCTTATGTCAACGAGCTCGAAGGATGGGGAGCGAAAGTGACAAACACGTCCCGACATCGCCTGGTTGCCCCTTCTTGGTACCCCGTTTCCACGATAGGATATGCAGTCACCAAGAAAGGAGCTCAGAAACTTCTGTACAACCTTGGGTATAAGGGATTCGGATCCACACCAATTGATTTGGCCATGATAGAACTCATCAAAAAGGGCATCGTTGATTCCTATACCATCATCCCTCCGATAGTGACGCGGTTCCGGACAGGAGGAGCGAAGGATAGCGACATTGATGATGTTAAACCAGAAGATGCCGAGGTTGAGCCCGGATCTGAGAATCTGAATATGAGCGCGAGGAAGGCGATGGAAAAGCTTTCGGAGAAAATATCATGACATGTTTATAATTTGCTAATTTAATATGTTAAAATGCGTCTGCAAAAATACCCATTGCCACACAGTCTACGCAAGTATCTCCAGCGATATAGGAAAGTGCACCTAACTAGTGACCAATAGTACCCGAGGCCAAACTGACCCCCGATTGCCTATCAACAAGCCGCGGCTGAAGGGTCTGTTACAGCCTACGGCGGTAAACCATTCATTCCAATATCTAGCCACTATTGGGGTTCCATGACGACAGTACCTGACTATCAAGGTCACATGCACCTGGTGTTATCTATCTAATCAATCTACCTGATCACCTCAGCAGAAAAGATCGCTTGCACGAGTGAATAACGCAATGGAATCAAAAACTGCAATCTACTAAGGGAGATACCATCAGTTCCATTTTATGAAAGGAAGGTAATGAACAGCTAAAAACTGAGATTGGATTTGTTTACTCCGTACAAGCGCTCGATTCCTGCCCCAATATCAACAGCCGAAGTTACATCGATCCTGGTCGCGCTTATTGGATAAAATGTCCCGCGTACCTGCGACTCCACATGTCAACATCACTATATAGCGGAGATTGCTTTTGCGGCGCAAGGGAGGACTGAGCGCTTCGAGGTGCTAAACTAGATGAGGCTTTTGTCAATGCATCCAGGACCCCGCATTCCCAAGCTTCACCAAAACTTCATTCGATATAGACTTACGCTTAATGCACGCATGGTAAGAACACGCTCCGGGCTGTTCGATGACGGTCACTCACCCATGTTACGAGATGCTCCAGAGACCATCTGAGCTATATTTCGGCCTCAGGCATTAAACGCGCTTCGGGTACAAGATTAACTACTTTAACTACACAAGGACTAAGAGTGCTAGTACACTATGATATAGTACCCCCGGTAATGAGGATATTTAACTATCCAAACCGAGGCGTCGATAACAAATTAGGCAATTTCCGAGAACCTATGAATCGTTTTCTGCGCCTTCACACCCGATAAGCAGTTTAATTGTTCTTTCCCGAAATCTCAAACACCTGTCCTCGTTGGTCCATTAGCGGTTTCATCATGCGCCCAGCCACCCAATCCGCGGGCGTAGCGTGGGGCTCCCACAGGTTATTATGATTAGCTCAGGAACAGGACGGTTCGTTCAACGTCTCACCAGCACAAACGGTGGAACAATCATCGTGTTAGTCCGGACTTCTGATTCATCACTAGTTAGAGTGTGATGTTCCTCGTCTTCGAGTCCCATACTCCCGTTAGAAAAAGCCCACTCTTAGTGCCCGCTTTTTACCCCTGGTGTCCACGTTGGGGGCCACGTACTTTTCCCCTTTGAAGCATAGACAACTCTTTCTGCACCGCTATGGCTTGCTATTGCACATTCTTAGGACTGCTGGTCGCATCGTGAGATCCGCTTGATCGCCCCCAGGGTTTAGTACTCATTTCCACCCACGAAAACTCTGCCTGAATGGGCGTCGTAAAGGCCCAAAGGGTGATAGAGGGGCGGAGGGGTTTTTAATATCTGATTATCAAGGGGATTGGCCAAGTCATTTTAACCCGCAAAGCACGGTGCGATGAAGGAGGGCGGGGGGCTTGGATTGACGGACGTTTCTTGTGGTAAGATGGATGCCCCTGGTTTGATTCTTGGATTACGGAGTACTTGATTCCCTTCTTCTGCCTCTCGTCTGGTCTGGTTTGGTTTTCTCTTTGGTGTCGCCCCGATCACATTCTCTTCTCTAGCCCTATCGTTGGGTATAACTCTCGTTCATTCACTGCCTGTCTAGGCATCAAGGTCTCTTCTTTCTTTTCAAGATAACTCTCTTTTCGCTTCTTTAAGGCTGCGCCTGGCTCTTATCTTTCTCTGAAAATCGAGGTAAGTCTCTCGTGGAATTACGTGGAAAGGGAGACATCCTTCTTACTCCACCTCCTGTATAGATCGGATAAAGGTTGTTTACTGCCTACCATCGCCACCACCAGGCTCGCTGTTTATTTGTCTACGTCACAGAGAACGCGTTTGAAGATCAAACGGTAAGTTGCATGCCATGATGAGCTTATCCCGAGATTGCCCCTCCCCTCGTGTGTCCAGTGCCGTGCCTAGGATTGCCAGTCCCGATGCAAGGGGAACATTCCTCTTCCTTTCCAAGGAGAGCGTTCACCTTCACCTTCCATGGTCTTCAAGAAGATCTTTGAAACCTTGGGATGAGCTCAGATCGACTGGCATGGCCGAACTTGCCATTTTCGCCGCGACATCACTACCTATGCTGCAGATGCTGCTCCCTTCAAACTCACACTGGGCGCCCAAACTGACTCTTGTCTCAGAGTTTCAACTCCATCGCTGTGCAGACACCAGCCTTGTTTACTTTCTTTAAACGCGCTCGCCGTGTCAGACCGGTCGATTCGGTCCTCCTGGAGAGCTTATTGCATCATTCGTTCCCTATCTAGGTCGTCATTCGCTTCTATCAAACCCCATCATCGTGGACGAGGCTCGATTGCTGTCGCCAAAATGCAGGACATTCGCTTGACAGCGGCCTTGGTCGCCTGTCTTACCCTGTTTCCAGCCTTTACCTCTGCGTTCTGGCGTCTCCCCTGCCGTGGGCGAACTGGTGTCGCCCGGTTGGACCCCATCGTTGACCCCGGCGAGATCTCTTCTCATGTGCATGCGATTCATGGAGGAGGAAGTATGTATATCAAGTCTCACTTTCAGAGAAGTAGTTGCTGATTTGTCTATGTAGGCTTCAGCATGAACTCGAACATGCAGACTCTGCGCGAGTCTAGCTGCACGTCCTGCGCCGTGACGCAGGACTTGTCTGCATACTGGACCCCTGCGCTTTATTTCATGCACACCAACGGCAGCGCTGAACTGGTCGAGGAGGTTGGAGGCATGCTTGCGTATGTTTTGCTTGTTGCGCAGCTCACTCATGGTCATGAACTAACACCTTTTGAACTTCCAGCTACTACCTCCTGTACGGAGACAATGTTACCGCGTTCCCTGACGGCTTCCGTATGTTGGCCGGCGATCCCTTCCAGCGCAACTTCACCTGGCCAGTCCCCGATCCTCCCAAGTCCTCGTGGTCCGGTGCTCAGGTCTCCCAGAAGGCACTCCGTCAGAAGGCCCTGGGCTTCAACTGCTTGGACTACGCCGGCACTGCCGAAGCATCTCTTTACCGTCACTTCATGCCGAACAAGACTTTCCTCGACGCAAACTGCCCCGACGGACTCCGCCTGGAGCTGATGTTCCCTTCGTGCTGGAATGGAAAGGACGTTGACTCATCCGACCACAAGTCCCACGTTGCCTACCCCGACCTCGTTATCACAGGTACTTGCCCCGAGGGATACGAGACGCGCCTGGTTTCGCTGTTCTATGAGACTATCTGGAACACTTATGCATTCAAGGATGTCGATGGATACTTCGCCCTGGCTAACGGAGACCCCACTGGATATGGATACCACGGTGACTTTATGTACGCCTGGGAAGATGGCGTGCTGCAAGAGGCTATTGACACTTGCACGAGTGAGTCGGGTGAAGTCTCCGCTTGCGAAATCTTTGATATTCAAAGCGAGACAGAGGAGCGCGAGTGTTTCCTTGACTTGCCTTCTGAGCTCAAGAATGAGAACGTCCAGATGCATGCCGATGGTCTGCCAGGTCCCATGGGAATGCAGTGGGGACCAGCCTACGCTACTATGGGATCGGCATCTTCCTCTTCGTCCTCTTCGTCCACTTCGACCCCCACCAGTGCTGCGTCCGTCTCTGTCGGCGCTACGATTGACGTTGGAAACGTGCTTGCTATCAACACTGCTGTAACTACTACTAGCTCAACCACGTCTACCTCATCGCCCACTCCTACTCCTACCACCTCAATTCAAGTCGATCAATACACCGAGGAAATTGTCTACCTGCAACAGGAAGTTATTGTCATGCTTGGCGAGGGTGGAGTCCCATACGCCACCAGCACTGGCACTCAACGCACTCTGTCTACCGCACTGACGACTGCCACTCAGACCTCTACCGTGGTGTCCTATGTTGAGAAGAGAGATGAGACTCCTGCGGAACCTGAAAAACGGGATCTCAGTGCCGAGAAGGAAGCCCGGCACGCTCATAACCATCATCGCCACTCGCACAAGAGACACGGTCACTAACGGAGATGTAAACGTGGCCTGGGATGGGAACACCATGCTGTGCGTGGCGTTCCTTTCTCGTCTATCGGACTCCATCTCGAGTGCGGTTGCAGTTTCATCGACTCTCTTGGAGTGTTGGACTATGACTCGGGTCTTTTCTATTCATGTACATGTTTGCTCTTGTGCTGTCATGGATGCATCCCTGTCAAGGGGTGATAAATCCATATTGCTGATATTGTCAATTCTCGCAAAAATGAATCTGACCTGAACATAAAACATCGTTCGGCTGATTATGCTGTAAACCTAAAAGTTCTTTTGGCCGCGATAGAGAATCTCCGAGGCATGAAGTAACGTGGTAGCTATAAATGGCCTTGTTGGACTGCAGTATGCTGTCTCAAAATATGTGATATACAAACCCAGCATTGTACCTGACCTAACTGAGACAATATAGGTTTCATGACACCCATCATGTTGACGGTGTCTTAATCTTAGATGAAAATAAAGTGTGACCAAAGAATTGTTATCGCTACTGTGTGACCCCATCAGCGGGACAGATGAAACGTGAAGTAGCCTCGATCATGCGGTGCAATGGTCTCGATCTTTGACGCATGCATTGTCAGCTAATAAAACCTTTATCTTCCACTGTGAAAAGTCAAGACCCCATCACGCCATTCCACCTCTAGATTTCCCGAGGGCTTTGAGTAACTCTTCAAAATAAATTGTAAGAGAAACATCTCAACAGTTTTTTTAAGGCTGTCATTGACATGCAGGTAACACCGCAGCGGGCACGTTTGACGGCGACCTTATTCTGGTCCATTCTGTAATTCCTGGGATTTTTGACGATAATCTTGTCCTACCTGAGGCAGGGCTATCGTGGGAAAAACATGCCCTGGTCGCCATGCAGAAACCTTACTGTCAGATAGGCCCGGATTGGAATCTCCTCATCAAGAATATATTCGCCTACTTGTTGTGTTCTGACAATTCTAATTATGTATTCAGGACTGATGTCGTGCTCTAGAATACATCGGGTAACCTCCTTTTGGAGTGTTAGAGTGTTGCAAATGACCTTGCAATCAGGTAGTATGAACTCTCCTCCGGTAGATCTCGATCTTCGAAGGCTCAGCCAGAACCGTCAAGAACGTCCCGATTGGAAGGCTCGATAAATGGCACTCCTATTAGTTGCACCTCATATCTGTGTTAGAAGAGATATAAGAGCTCTCTATCCGACCTCGAATGTCTGATCTATCAGCCACTACAGGATTTCACAAGCAATACAATTGATCATCGCCTAAACTTCCTGTCTTTTATTCCGCAATGAAGATGCCTTACTTGATAGTGGTCCTCTCGCTTACTTTCCCTATCGCCACCTTGTCTTTCCCTCGAGAAACAGCCATCAATAATCTAGTCCAGCCTACTCATGTTGTAACGGCAGGACCACCTGGCGTCACCGAGGAAGGGTCCCTCCGGTGCTTTGATGGAGCTACCGTCCTGCATACAACAGATTGTACGGTGGGCACACCAGTCTCCTTCTGCTACAAGTCCCAGGCACCGATCACCTGTGACGAAGGATACTTCCCCTCAGTGTGGCATCCCGATCATTGCATGCAGGTGTCTACCTGCTTCCCCACAGATGCAGACTGGATTACCACCGAATGCTCTAATGGCGCGTTGCCAATTTCGACTGAAACACTATACAGTGGAACATTGGCTGGAGGAGATGATGCTATGATAACTTGTCAGTTGAGAATCCAATTCTTGTTTTGAGGTTGAAACTAACATACTTCAGCTGTCGCTTGCGCATGCCCGTCTGATCAATGGTATAGCGTTACTACTATGGACGGGGCTTCTAGCTTCGAGACGTACTGTATGCCCACTCGATCCTGTCCACCTGGTATGACAACGTCTTTGAGTATCAATGAGTACTGTGCAACTGCGTCAGCAGACATTTGCTCAGATTTACCCGCCCAGGCAGATCGTTGTGAATGCGCGGATCAGGAAATGACTCCTGTATATCCCGATGGTCCTGGTGCGACTGCTACTGGGTGTGAATAGAGCACTTGGAAGTTGGTTACCAGCCTAATGGACCTGGAATGGTTGTTTTTGATCTTTTTGGAATCCTTGATGGATAGCACAGTCCTTATTGACTCTTGTTGATTTAGGGGGTTACCCACGAAGTTAATCGACTAATCCTCATGTAATTGTTAATGGAATGCTGGAGATGGAATTGAGGTCCTCTCTTTTGCTTGAAATTGAATAAAGAATGGGATCTTTTTCATTTTGCATCTAGTGCAACACACTTTCTACTTGTAGAATCCAGAATCCATGGATCTGTCAATGTCTAGCGGTTTGTCGCGCCTACTAGAATAACATCTATAACCTCTGTGAATAAATGTAGCCACGGAATATCGTACAAGATAGTATCCCAGTATATAGAGATAATTGAGGATACTGCAGACATCAATCAGACCGTAAAGCTCAAATTCTCCTGTACAAGCGCTGAATTAGTAGATTCGCTACGGTCGCATCTCCTTCGCTTGCCAGGATCACCTTGATATAGACCAATTGAGCTACTATCAATACTGCAGTAAAATTGTTTATTCCGCAGTCACCAGTTAAACCAATGCATCTCCTACGGTTCATGAAGGCACCTTTCTGTCGTTTACCAAAGCATCTCGACCTTGACTGGGTCTTCCCAAAAACCAATCCATTGGTTCGGAATTAACATGCTGACACCCCTCACATTAGTGGGAATCTTGCATGTCACAGCTGCATTCTTATTCTCTGCTCCTGTGGTTCACCGAAATTGCAGATCTATCAGCTTCCGAGTCAAAGCAGTTCCATCGGCTTCGATCTCAATTACCAATTAGCCTAAACCCCCACTCCACCAGTATTTCTCCGAAGCCTGGACCCTGAATCGGCGTCCTAATTAGGAAAAAGAAACAGCCATTCCGTCCAAGATACCCCCGTTAGCCCCGTGTCAACTCCGTCTCTGCCCCTCCTTGTGTCCCGGACATTAGCTACCCCGCATCGATTATTCGGCCCGCGAAGGTGTGGTGCTGCAGAACGCAGTTACATAAGGTTCCTATTTCGCCTACAACCCCGATTCTTGATTTTCTACTTAAATTGCACCATTCCTGCTAAAAGTCGCGGGGTTATTTATTTCTCTCCACTCTCTCCTCTTCCTCATCATCCCTCGCTACACTCAATTCACTACAATCTCGCTCAAAATGGCCGAAGGTCTTCCTGAAATGCAGTACCGGAATCTGGGCCGGACGGGTCTGAAGGTGTCCGTTATCTCGCTCGGAAGCTGGCTCACCTACGGTGGCCATGTGGGAAATGGTAAACAATGCCCATTATCCTCAATTCGTCTCAAATAAACACTAACCCCGTCAAAGAGACTTCCTTTGATTGTTTAAAGGCCGCATATGACGCCGGCGTCAACTTCTTCGACACCGCCGAGGTGTACTCTGGTGGACAATCCGAGATTGTGCTCGGTGAAGCTATTAAGAAGTTTGGGTGGCTGCAGAATGACCTGGTGATTTCCACCAAGGTAAGCACCTTATATTTCTAAGCGATAAGTTTTGTGTTTTTGGCTGAATCTAACCCTTCGACTAGATCTACTGGGGCAAAGCCAACAGCGCCAACCCTGCCAAGCCTCTCAACAACAACGGCCTCTCACGAAAGCACATCATCGAGGGCATGAACTTGTCTCTCAAGCGCCTGGACCTTCCTTATGTTGATATTGTTTATGCCCACCGTCCGGACCGTGACACCCCTATGGAAGAGATTGTGCGTGCTTTCAACTATCTCATTAACAATGGCAAGGCCTTTTACTGGGGTACCTCTGAGTGGTCTGCCAGTGAAATTTCCGATGCCTGGCGCATCGCCGACAAACTGGGTCTCATTGGCCCAGTAGTCGAACAGCCCCAGTACAATTTGCTTGTGCGCGATCGTGTCGAGAAGGAGTACCGCTGGCTGTACGAGGCTCACGGCCTGGGCCTGACCATTTTCTCGCCTCTCAAGGGCGGAGTTCTGACCGGAAAGTACAACGACACTACTACGCCACCTGCTGGATCGCGCCTGGCCGAGTCCGAGGATGGCTACATTAAGGGTCTTCGCAAGACTGTTGGTGATGATACGTGGACGAAGCAGTTACAGCAGGTTGCTGCGTTGAAGCCGATTGCGGAGGAGTTGGGTATCTCGACTGCTCAGCTTTCTCTGGCTTGGATCCTGAAGAACCCCAACATCTCTTCTATGATCACTGGTGCCTCTCGTGTTGAGCAGGTGTATGAGAACTTGCGTGCGCTCGCTGTGGCTGATAAATTGACGGATGAGGTCATTGAGAAGATCGAAGCTGCGATCGCTAACAAGCCTGCGGAAGAGATCAGGAGATTCTAAGTTTATTCGGTAGCTTAGTAAAAGAATGCACTCATTGCTAGATTCTGTCCCACTTATCTTCCATGAGATATCGTTCAGACGATGAACTGTAAAATACTCCTCCCACAATACATCAACTCTTCTTTGAATTTCATACTCTTGGCACAGGAGTCTTGAATCAGGGTTGACTTTCGTATCTATACCCAGCGATCCTCCATCAGCAAGATTTCTCCATGGCTCCCTTTTGCGACGCGATGAGCTGTTACTGTTCAAATTCCATGGGTGAAAAATGAATACTACCGACGTGAGCACAAGCAAAGAACCCGGAGGAACAGAAGCTTTGAATCCCTAATCTAGTGGGAAACAAAGAGGGAAATTTCTAGCAGGGCCAGGGCAGGTATCTTATAGAACTGCCAAGCAGCAAACAGCCTGGTCCTTGAAACCTTCCAGTGAACCGGGAACACCCACCAATGAGTTCTCTGGACCTTTAGCATAAGTGTCATCAACGTCCGGAATATCCATCAACTGACTCTTTCAGCAAGGGAAACCAAATTCGGCCATGTTCACCAGGCGTTGTATGAAATTTGAAAGTGGTGAATCTTCACAGAGCAGGAGTTACCGGGCTCAGCGAGCCACCGAGTGAGACACGGAAGTCATTCTCCAGATGGCTGGCTGAAGCTACCCCCGTTAGTCCCTAGCAAGCTGCTGAAATATAACACTCTGACGACTCTGTTTTTCGGAATACATAACGTAACCTCGAGTCAGTGGCAACATTTTCGGTGCCCTGTGATAATCATCTTAGCGGATAGTTCGGCTCTGTTGGAATCTCGCCGGTTGCCTAGTGGTCAAGATACGAATTTACGAGCCCCTCGATTAGCCATTTGTTTGGATAGAAACAACCTTACGTGGTAGGTCAATCTGCTTTTTTTCATCATCAGTTCTCTACCTAGCTTCCACCCTGGCCCTCGATATAGCATTTACTTCGTAACAACAATTTAGCGTGTATCAGACTTCATAGGAAGTACTTGAGCTCCCCATCTATAGTTTCTGTCTCTTCAAGGTCTTGTATTGATCACAGAAAGATCTGTATCCAGATTATTGTTTTTAAACACCGCCACTGCTTATCTGTGCAGCATGCAGATAACCCTAGATCTTCGCTCCTACCTAGCATCATGCGAGGCGTCGGGCATTGTCTTCCAGTGGCGAAAATCCCTCATACAGAGCTGAATTGTGATTTTTTCTAGTTCTCTGTTACTCTGAACGGAATGGTCAACGTCTACTATCTAGTATGTGTCAATAGCGAGGATAGTATTTCAACAGACTGCCTCTTACTTCACCCTCCATGTAGCGATACAAGATATAGTATTATTCACTACAGGCGATCCCATATTCACTAATTCCCTCAGCAATCCCTAATTCAAATCAACTTTGAACTGCATCCCCTCACACAAAGTGGTGACTTATACTTATTCTCCGTAGAGAGTACGTCATACCACTGCACCAAATCTCGAGTCGGCAATTTCTACCGACACGGAAATTGCCTATAAGCTAACTCATAAGAGATTATTTTAAGACGCAGGTAGAAATAATCTGGTTTGTAGACCTCGGTACCTGTATATCCCCGCACTTTTCAGCTTATGTTCTCTGACATGGGCGTGCTGCAGAAGCGTGGGACGGCACGGCCCTTTCGCGCGTCGATCTCCAGCGTCAACTTTTCATCACGAACACGATTGACAGCCATGCGATAATCAATGCGGGGCTTACTGCAGAGGTTCGTATGGGATGCATGACAGTTCGTGAGACTGGGGCGTTTTCAGCCGAACCTGTCAAGGGTCTATACCATATAGAGATTAGCGATAGCGCTAAAGTGTGATAGCAAGGAAAGAAAGAGCTGTCAGCCATGGTACACTACAGATACCTCAAAATGTTGCGCCAGCCACTGTTTACGCCTCCACTGTGCTAGGCAGACAATTCTAGGAGTGATGTTTCTGGCTTTTGCAACTGGGCTCTTGGCTTACGCGTGTCTTTCGTACTTGACCTGGTGACAGTAAAGTTCTCGATCCTAAGCTAACTTAGTAGAACTTGTTGCTCGTATTTAACCAAGCCTAAAGCAAACTGTAGTAAATCTGTGGCTCTCAAACACTTGTTTGCTATATTGAGTTTGCGCTCAACACATGGCGCCACCTATACGCGAATCGTTTATTTGTCAATCTTGAGCCATTTGGTAGAATTAGTTGAATTGATATAGATTACGAAAATATGAAATGTATCTTTCAAGTGCTTCAGGTCGTATAGCCTACTAGAATACTATGTTTCCAGCCACGGCGTTCCCGACACTTCAAGTTTGCTCAGGTAGCCTGTTCGGCGGCAGAAGTACGATGCAGATTCTCCAGGTGATTTCTTTTTCCGCTGACTGCTGTCATATCTTCAGCAAGCCATTGCAGATCAAGTGGCTTCCCCGGCGCAGTTTAGACTAATAGGGCGGTTGTGTAAAGCTGAAGTAGCATACAACTAACCAAACAGGGAGTCTACTATAAGGGCAGAAAGAAATATAAAAAGGGCTAAAGATCTCAAATAATACTCTCGGTTTCTCAAATCAAATCTCGCAGTTTTCTCGTATTTTCTCATTTTACACCTTCCTACCATCATCATGCGCGGCCTCTCTCTAGTCGGTCTCACTCTTCTCCTGCGCTCACATCTCACATATGCCGAGAAGGTCCCGGTCAAAGATATTGGAGATAACTTCACTGTCGATGGAAACAGAGTGATATGGCCTGATGGGCCCTTTACCGGGAGTCTTTCTTGCACTGGTCCTGACAAGGTGCTCAGCTTGAGTGCTGATAAGAAGCACGGCACCTGCTGCCCACCGGGCGCGAGTCTCAAGGGATCTCCCAAGACTGAATGGCACTGTTGTGGCCAAGGTCACGATGTGACGGGCTCCAAAGCCGTCGGCTTTGAGTGCTGTCTGGAAGGTTCCACCTTTGACGGCAAGACGTGCAAGCGAACGAATAAGTGCACTAATGGCAAGGAGATGATCAATGGGAAATGCCAGTGTGCTGATGGCAAGGAGGAAGCTGCAGATGGTACTTGCAAGCCTGTTAAGTGTGACTCGGGCATTAAAACTGGTAAGTCAAGTTTTTGACATTTTTCTCCTGGTCTGCTTTTTCCTTTACTGGTCAACTGAGAATATGTAGGAAAATGCTACTTCTTCAAGGGACGATCAGGCAACTATTTGACATTCAACGCCAACCAATACTCCGAAACCGGCCTGAGCAAGTACATCAGACCTGGCAAGTTCCAATTCTGTCGAGACCAAAAATGCACTCCTGGCCTGCCTGTCAATCCCAGTAATGAGGTTAATATCAAAGATCTCCACGGCACGCTGCCAGCCGCAACCGATGCCGGACAGTGGCTGGATGGCAAACAGAACGGTGGACACATAGGAAAGACAACCGACTATTCCAAGGCTGGAAACTTCTCGATCACCAAATGGCCCTGCGGAAAGTACTGTCTTACCGGATTCGTCGAAGGAATCACGCAGGCTTGTCCAGACGTCAGTCCTGGCATCAGCATGGACACCCGTGCCACAGACTCGTGTATTGAGTACGAGCTTCTGGAGGTACCTTGCAACCTCAGAGATGATGCCAATAACTGCATCTGGAAGAATGGCGATCAATGCTGTGATAAGATTGATTGCTGCGGGAAGAGTGAGTGTGCCACCAAGCCCAAGCATCAGGATTTAAAGTGATGGTCAATTGAGCGTCTCACAGAATCAAGTGAGCGCTTTACGTGGTTGAAAGCATTCGTCTATGCTATTCTGTTCTTGGTCACTCTAAATTCCGTCAAACTCTTTTCCTTGCTTCAGTCTTATGTTTTGGGCTGGTTGGGCGCTCTTCCTTTGTCGTACTTCAACCAAGGGGACATTGGACGAGAATCTGGTTATCATGCCGAGTCCTCTCAGTCTCATGAGGAATCTTCCAAGCCTGTTGATGATGATTCCAAGCCTCTTGATGAATCGTCTCAGTCTCATGATGAGTCCTCTAAGTTGCTAGAAGAGTCATCTAAGTCTATGAAAGAATCCTCTCAGCTTCATGAGGAATCATTCGAGTCTCATGAAGAGTCTTCTCAATCTTTCGAGGAAATTCACGAGGAATCGTCTCAGTCTCAGTCTCGTGATGAGTCCTCTAAGATTCTTGAGGCGCCCTCTAAGTCTACACAGAAACCATCTGAGCTTGAGCTTCACGAGGAACCGTCTCAATCTCCTGAGGAGTCCTCTGAGTTTCTTGGGGCATTCTCTAAGTTTGTTGGGGAATCCTCTCAGCTTTATGAGGAGTCATCTCAGCTTCATGAGGAATCATCCAAGTCGCTCGTGGAATCCTCTCAGTCTCATGAAGAATCGTCTAAATCTCTTGAGGAGTTCTCTAAGTCGCTCGAGGAGTCTCGTGAAGAATCTTCTCGGTTTAATGAGGAAGAAACTTCGCTCCTTGAAAGTGGCAGTTACTCGGTAAATGTTGTTTCGTATCAGGGATATCGTTCCTCGCCATAGTCATTCTTTTTATCTAATTAAGGAAGCTCATTTATAAGCAGTTAAACCTCCTGTCATTACTCCTAATTACCTAACTAGAAACCTAGATTATAATAATCTTGCGTGTCATATTTCGGTGCAAAGATTCTACATTAAACCAGGCAGTTGTTGGGAACTGAAAATCATACGCATTCGGACGACGGGCATCAATCACAATTCCCGAAGCCATCGCGGGTATAAGGACATGACACGGATTCCTGATTGAAAAGTGGTGGACTTGTGGAAACCACCTATGGTGACAACTGTGCCGTGATTATAAACCGCTATGGATCGATATCATGGCTTAAATACACTTTCCGCCATCAATGACCATTTCAGTACCGTTAACAAAGCTGCCCTCGTCACTACCAAGGTACAGACAGATGTTGGCAATATCATCTGCCTCTGTCAAGCGACCCAAGGGAACGTTTCCAATGAACTTTTGACGATTCTCGGGGGTATCCTCCATGCCGGTGAACATGGAAAAGAGGCCGGTACCGGACAGCAGGGGAGCGACGCTGTTGACTCGAATGTTGTGAGGGCCATACTCGGCTGCAAGGCCTTTAGTAGCCTGTGATAATCAATTAATAAATAAGAACACTCTCAAGTGTATAATAATGGCAACGTACGTTTGTGACAGCGCCCTTGGAGGCATTGTACCACACCAGACCCGGTCGAGGACGACTAGCACCCGTCGAAGAAATGTTAATCATAGAGCCACCCTGACCTTGCTCGATAAATTTGGGCATGATGACGTTAGCAGCCAAGTAGATGCTCTTAACATTGACGTTGAACACTCGCTCCCACTCGTCCTCGGTCACTTCGGCGGTAGGCTATCACCGAGTGAGTTATCATCTTTCTCAAATCCCTCAATCACCCGAGATCCATACCTTGTTCCGATAGCTAGTCCCGGCATTATTCACCAAAATATCCAGTCTTCCATACTCGGAGAAGGCCAAGTCAACAATGGCCGTCCAGTCGGACTTCGATGTAACATCCATGCGCTGGAACTTGAGGTTGCCGGGGTTCTGCGAAGCGACTTGCTCGCCTCCTTGGACGTTGATATCTGCGACCAGCACCTTAGCGCCTTCTTCACCGAATCGGCGGGCGATGGCGGCACCAAAGCCAGAGCCTCCGCCTGTAAGTCAAAAGATATGTGATTAGTTGGAGGAGCAATGCACGAGGTCAATGATTTGGGAATGCCTTACCGGTGACAATGGCAACCTTTCCTTGCAATCTAGAGCCTTGGGGAGACATGTTTGTAGTTGAGAAGATGAGTTATGTATGAGAAATTGAACTCGATGCAGGAGAAATCAGAAGTTTAAAAGCAACACGAGCAAAGAGGGGCAATCAGATGTTCGGCGTGAAATCCGTGGTTTCCCCGCATCGCGCCGAGCCGGACACACGGTTATATGCTGCTGCGCAAAGTACCCTTGGGCTTCTCCACGGGCTGAAACTAAGTTTGCATTATTTGAATAGGATTCGTGTTTCCTATCAGGGCCTAGCATTGCTCTGTCATCTATGGCTTTGGTATGGTCGGCCCGATAATGACGCACGGGAAAGGCGAACCCACTAATGCAGCATTAGCTTCAGGGACGGAATTCGCCCGAAAGGTTGATCAGAAGTCATTTCACCAGACAACTTGTAATGACAGTATTTAGAGAGACTCGAAATGAGATTTCCAGGGAATATTGTGACAAGGACCTTGTTTGGAAACAGCTGTCTTCTAAAATCTTTGGACGATCCAGGGTCTCCAAAGACATCGATGAAGAGGAGCGATCTACTGTACAATATGCTTGGGACCCACTTCGAAGGATTGACTTCGTCCAGGAGAGAATCTAATTCTCCGCCATGTTAGAAGCATTTATTCGATTGGGCTGGTATGAGAGTGGCCCACGGTATCATAGAACATCCCGAACATGTTGGTTGTACGGATAACCCTTGTTGGAATATTGAGATCGGGTCATCCGGTGTCCTAACTGGTTGACCGAAGTGGAGTTTGATAGTTCATGGCAGTCATAGCTTTGGAAACATTCTCAAGAAGCAGATGTCCCTTGAACTGATATCAACTTCTAATCGAGACACTTAAACATAGCATTTCAGCAGCAGTGCTAGTGTTAGGCGATGTAGACTAAGGTCAACATTGCCCGTCCGGTCCGCCCGGTCCGATGCCCGCAATAATAAGACGGACAATAGCGGCTGGCATCAGAAATATGCCTAGTCGTTGAGCTACGAAGTAGGCTATATACACACTGCAATATTATGACTTATTGATGCCTGATTTCATGTTGCGTTTCAACGGATAAATCGGATAATATTGGTTTCAGCCAAAAAAAAGGCCCCACGTAAATCCACGAAACATGCATAACGGATATAATTTAAGCTCAAGATCTATACGAGTCTCCCAATACCTGCAAATATACATATTCAGTTACGTGCATGGAGCCAAATTTCCAAGAGAACTTACATCAATCTGCTTCGGCTCTATAAAGAGTCCCCTGGCTTCCGCGATCAGACTCGCCTCGTCACTATCAATCGGAAGCGTCTCAATTCGACTATACCCCCAAGCCTTCCGACCTTGCAATTTCGTCGTCTCTGCAGACAAGACAATGTATGAATTGGCCATCAAGGGTTGATGATGCTCAATATTGAGATTAGCAGTAACCCCGACTTTGTGAGGTAGAGCTGCAAAGCAACACCTTGCCAGTCCCTCGTCAAAAAGGGCTGCAATCAGACCATTATGGACGATTTCTGGATAGTCACACAAGTGTTCTCCAAGGTGCATGATCATCACCAATTTCTCCCCGTTCTCTTTGCTAAAGACATACGGCGGCACGGAGATTTTGTGTGGCCCCGTAAGTGCCCCTGTCATGAAATTCTGGGCACGAAATTGCTCTGCTACTTTCAAGTGTGGTCGTACCTCGGTGTACTCTGGATCATTTCGTAGAGAGATTGCGACCGGGTGGTTCTGGATGAAAGCATCGATCTGATCTGCTGATTGGGTGGTATCGTCCGAAATCCCTGGTGCAATTGACCCCATGTTGAATATTATTGGGTTAAATGCGACCAATGAAGAATTTCTTTTGATTTAGGAGCGAAGAGTTGAATTTTGTACATATGGAATATAGGATAGGGAGGTACGAAGGAGTCATTCGTGAACTGCGGGCGGATTACCTCGGGAATCGATCCAAGTTCCGTGACCCCGAAGCCGCCGTCTCGGGAAAGATGCCATGATCTAATCCGTATAGCTGGAACCAGACGCTACAGCTGAAATAGTGGTTCAATATTCGACTGCCATATGGATACTTCAAACGTTCTCAAGGTGTAAGCTTAGTCGACATAGTTGTTAGGCACCACTTGAATATTTCCAAAAGAGCAAAGACTATAGACAGGCCAAGGTTGCAACAAAGCCACTGAGTACGTCGACTTGATTTACAGCCCCCCTACGAATACTGAAGTATGTCCATGTCGCCATCGCATCTTGATCTAGATTCTAGGGCTTGGTGCTTAACTATTCGAACAGAAACGGTGATAGCGAGATGCTCTTGGTGGGGCGAAACGAAGATACCCACAGGTCTAGGGGACAAACTCACAGTTTCCTTAGACTAGCTCGCATGTTCGAAGCTCTAGAGGCTCTTGAATCCAAACTTTAGTGGAGAATGGGAGAATACAGATTGGCTGGTCATATATGATGGCCCTATATCTCCTTCGCTAGTGGTTCGAGGACCACAGTTACGTCAATGATGATCCAGGAGACTTTCGGTTGACCCTATGAGCTCGCACAGTATACTGAGTTTGCTACTGCTTATTGTCTTGCAATTTTCTCCACATAGAGTACTCCAGAGTGTCCTTGACTCGCTGGAGTAGGCTCCTCGTGATCGGGGTTGAACCGCCTCAAGCGCGGGCTTAATAACAGAGTTTCCGTTCGGAGAACGCGGGGTGGAAAGAGAAAGGAGAACCCAAACAATACACACAGTAATTAGATACTAGATACTATAACATCAGATAATAAGATAGGAGTATATACTAACCATAAGGTGTGCACAGTGCGGAGTGGATAGCCTCTAGGAAGATCTATTCTTATCCTAATTCTTGCCTTCTTACTGGATCCTCGTCTTTTCAGCCCCTGGCGGAGGAGTACATTTCCCCTCCACTCCCCAACACACTAATTTAGCCCTTGGCACTACTTTCTCAGCCTCGCGTTTTCATTCTCTGCTCACATTTCGCCACTCATTTACAATACTCCTTCCTTCTCGTCCACGATGCATTAATCCTCTCCTCCGTACGCGTCTTCATGTCTCAACCCCACACCTCGCTCCCATCTCCACACCCCCCATGGAAGTTCGCAATGCGGGCGCTCCATTAAAGGCCGAATCGTCGCCAGACTCGCAATCACCCTCACACTCCCAATCGCCCGACTCGCAGTCTCCATCGCAAGCTCCGTCTGACACAAAACGGCCCTCCTCCGAGCCTGCTCAGCCTCGAAAACGCGTCCGCCGCTGGCACCATCGCGGATTCACGGGTTGCTCGACGTGTCGCCGTCGCCATGTGCGCTGCGACGAAGCCTCGCCAACCTGCAAGAACTGCACTCGCCTAGGGCTTCAGTGCGATGGCACCCAGGGTCGCATGACCTTCAAGGTCTATGGGCCATCCCAGGCGCAGGATGCGGGCCAAGCGCCCAGGAAGCAGAAGAAGGGTAGTAGCAGCCCAGAGTCGCTGGGCGAGTCGTGCTTCACAAGTAGTTTCTCCGTGAAACTTGAAGGCGAAAAAGAGGGGGACTGCGAGGCCCTGATCGTGTCACCATCAACTGTACCGCAATGGTCGGGCCAGACTCATTTCCGCTTCCTGCAACCCATGTTCCAACCGAACATCCGATCTTTGACGATACCATGTACCGACGAGCATTACTTTTCCCATTTTGTCAACCAGGTGTCGACCCTGTTGATCATCTACGACACCAATATCAATATCAATCCGTATCGCAGCTACTTCCCTGAATTTGCGCGGTCGTCACCCTCAATGATTGGCGCGATGCAGGCACTGGGCGCATTGCATCTGGCAAATACCTCGGTCGGCGCGGATCGTAATCAACATCTCCAACAGGCGATGGGAAAATATGGGCAGGTTGTGAAGATGTTCCGAGATCGGTACACTCTTCCCGACGGACAGCTTGGGATAAGGGACTTTGCGACCTGTTTATTGCTCTGTCTGTTTGAGGTGCGTGCCGCGCAGATACAGAAATGGAGGAATACTCGATTAACATGACTATAGATGATGGACTCACAACACCAAAACTGGGACGTCCACCTCAAGGGCGCGCGCGAAATTTACAACCTCCTCTTCTACCCACATACCGGCAATGCTGCCCGCGAAGCTCAACGTCTCGTCGAGATCAATCATCCTCTCCGATCATTCCTCGTCTCCTTGCTCTCATATCTGGATGTGGCTGGTGCATGTGCGAGATCAGGTGGTACGGTGGTGACGGGAAGTTACTGGAAGACTCATGGAGGCGGATGGGAGTACAACCTAGGGATCCCGAGTCTATCTACCTCGCCTCTTCCGGATGACCCACGGTTGCTGGAGTTGCGACAGGCTTGGTCTAGCATGATGGAGGTTCAGGCTGCTATTAGCACGTTCGCCCGCGACAAAGAGTGGATGTCCCCGGATCACCAGGATATGGTGTACAAAAAAATTTTCCACCAGCTGGTAACTTGGCGCGCCAGCACACCGATCAGCCTGCAGCTGCTTGGGGAAATGGACTTGGATGATGAGACCTTGCGCGGATTTCCGTATCCCGACATGTTGGAATACGTCGGATGCGTGGAGGCCTATGAAAAGGCGACCTTTGTCCATCTGCATCAGATAGCCGGAGCAGGTCGACCAAACTGGATCTCCGACCGGGCGTACTTGGACATGCTCATTACGCGCATTCTTACTCTGATCCGCAAACTATCCAAAGACGTGGGTCAGCTGGCCGTCCTGTGGCCTCTTTTCATCGCCGGTCAGGAAACCCGTAAGCAAGAGGAGCAGCAATACGTTCAACAAACCATGCACGAGCTTAAACGGTTCGGCTTTAGGAATGTTGACAAGGCGCTGGAGCTCCTCGAAGGTGTATGGTTTAAACGGCGTGCGTTTCCCGAAGGCTGGACGGAGACGCTGGATGAGATTCAGACCAATATTCTCTTACCATGATGGGAGAACCGTTGTCCCTCCTTCTCAGCACTTCAGTCCTTCGACATGCCAAGGGAAATAGTGTCTCATCTCTTTCGCGTTACCGCGATTTCCCCAACCTCTTCTCACACGATGCGCACATCGTGTATCTCTATACCCTCATTCCCGATTTGCCGGACTACTGTAACTCCGGCATCATACCCACAACATCTTTCATGATAGAACAGGGACGAGCTTGACACGAACTTGGAACGAACATGCTCATATCTTTTTGGAGTCCGGGTTTAATTGTTTATATACACATTACATTTCTGGACACATATTGTATTTTTCGGACATACCAACGTGGATAGTTAATGGTCTTATGAAGTTTCTCAAGCGAACCTCAAATTACTCATATCATCTTAATCATGACTCTATTTTTTCTCATCTTGACCGATAGATGACCGGCTAACCACGGGGGCCAAAAGCGAGCAGAATTAACTTTGACCATCTGATCGAGCCAGGCTCTCGAATATCGAGCCAAGTGGAGCTGCCCCAATGCCCAAGCCGGACCAACCAGTTTCCCGTTTGGGGTCATCACATCACAATCCGCGAATCACGAAGCTTACTGGCATCCTTTGCTGCGAACTTCCTTGTCAGCAATGCTCTGCGCATATCTAGCATTCGACACGATACATGAATGTGCCTCTGCATTCATGTAATACTAGCTAAGATTTTGCAGTGCGAACCACGGACGCATCAATCCGAAGCTCTGGTCTTTCCCGACGGATCCATCCGCGATCTTTCGCCCCAACCAGCTTAATTAGTTAGCGGGTCTCGGGCGGAAGCTAGAACGAAGCAAGTGAGAACGAGAAAAAAAAGGACAAACCGGAAAAATTCCTGTGTCCAAGTCTTGTTCCACGGACCAGACAGCTCCGAGTGTTCAACTGGTGGACTGCACTCCTGAATCCTATTGATCGTCACTATTAAGCTGTTTGCACGGATACAAGTATTCGCAGTATCATAACTCTCTTTTACTGCTACTACTGTAGGTTTCTTCGAGATATCCACGGTCGCTACTTAAACTCGGATCTTGAAGAACGACAGCTCACACAAACCCTGTCGATAATAGTATACTCCTCTACAGTCTGCGCAGTTTATTCATCTCCAGTCAGACGATCAGGAACCCCCCACCATATTCCGCCAGCTTAAGATCTTTGCTTTCGCTTTACCCAGACAGGTTACCGCCTCAAGCTAGCGCCCTCTTCCCTAAACTTCCCGCGCAGTGGGGTTGGCAGCTTCCTGTCTGACCGAGCGCGCGAAACGGCTCTGGATAGGCCAAGGACCTAAACGCTAATAACAACCAATTTTTTTTCTCGTGTGATCTCCTTCACCTGAGGTTCATCGAAAGACTTGTCCCATATAACTCGGCGGGCGAGCGCATTTCTATCTCTTGCGGGTCAAACTTTTGGGTTTCCCGTTTTTCGTTCCCGACTTTCTTGGGTTTCTTCGGCCTTGTCATTCGCTGCCATGGTGCATGAACGGGATAACCTCGTCGTCGGTCGCGATGACCTGATCGCCGACGGAGAGGGTGATCGTAGCTCAATCGAAGCCAAGGATGATGCTGCTTTGCTGGTAAGTGATTGCATTTTTCAACGCGTTGCTATGTTTCCCGCGGGCTTCCTTGCTGACTGCATGCTATAGCGAACGATGGGCTACAAGCCGGTATGTCTTGGCTTTGATATTTGATCCAGGAGATCGGCAACTGATGCGATTCTGCGAATAGGTGTTGCACCGGACGTACACGTTCTTCGAGAACTTTGCCACCACTTTTGGTACGTACGAATTCTAAACTTATCTGCTATTGCTGGGCTATGATTGACGATATCACCTTCTAGCCGCGCTTTACTTCGTCGGCGGAGTGCGCGTTACTTTTAGTACTGGTATTGCCGCCGGTGGAAACTTGGCCTACTGGACTAGTTACCTGGTTACTATGGTCTTTACTTTCATTACTGCTGCCGTCATTGCTGAAGTGTGCTCGGCGTCGCCGTCTGCTGGTTCTATCTATCTCTGGGCTGCCGAGGCCGGTGGTCCCCGTTTTGGACGACTGCTTGGTTTCGTCGTGGCTTGGTGGAGTACTACGGCCTGGACAACTTTCTGCGCGAGTATGACTTCCATTCTTTCCAATTGGCATAGAGCGTATGATGCTAATCTGAGTATTAGGCAACACTCAAGCGGCTGCCAACTACATGCTTGCTGTAGGTCTCGGGTGCATGACTACTTCATCATCATTTTCTAATGCCACTGATAGGAGCTCACCGTCTTCAATGTCGATTTCCCCCAAGACACTGACAGTGTCAAGTTCCGTGCCGTTCAGTGGATCTGCACAGAGATTATGCTTGCTCTTGCAGCTCTGTTGAACTTCCTGCCTCGTATGCTATACCTGTCGCCGACATTTCTCTTCCTATTACTAATGTTCAAGTATAGCCCGCTACTTCAAGTATGTCTTCTGGGTCTCTGCCGGATTCGTCATGCTCGATTTCTTCCTGAACCTCATCTGGCTTCCCATCGGTACCGCTCATACCTGGGGATTCCGCTCAACTCACGAGGCATTCATGACTACTTACAACGGCACCGGCGCCCCCGCTGGCTGGAACTGGTGTCTTTCTTACTTGGCTACTGCCGGTATCCTGATTGGTTTCGATGCTTCCGGTCATGTCGCTGAGGAGACTAAGAATGCTTCTATCACTGCTGCCCGTGGTATCTTCTGGAGTACCGTTGCTAGTGGTTTCGGTGGTTTGGCCACCATTATCCTCTTCTTGTTCTGTGCTGTGAGTCTAGCGGTCTGCAATTACGATCTTCATTAACTAACATCGCTATTTCAGCCCACCGCGGATCAATTGATGGAGTTTGGCTCCCCTCAGCCCTTCGTTCCCCTCTATGCCGTCGTTCTCGGCAAGGGTGGTCACATCTTTATGAACATCATTTGCATCGTTGCTTTGTGGCTGGTAAGGCAGACTCCTGTCTCTTTATCAATCCTCTTCTAACTCCCACAGAACACCGCCATCGCCATCATCGCCGCATCCCGCCTCGTCTTCGCCGTCGCCCGTGACGGCGTCCTCCCCTTCTCAGGCTGGGTATCCAAGGTCCACGGTGGCCAACCCCGTAACGCCGTCATCGTCGTTTGGGGCGTCGCCGCCCTGGTGACCTGCACCATCCTCCCCTCCAACGTGGCCTTCACCTCCCTCGTCTCGGCGGCCGGTGTACCCAGCGCCGCTGCGTACGGTCTAATCTGTCTGGGCCGTCTGTTCTGCACGCCGAACCGCTTCCCCAAGCCGCAGTGGAGTCTGGGACGGTGGAGCAAGCCGTTCCAGTTCATCGGTGTGTTCTGGAATGGATGGGTTGTTGCTATTTTGTTCTCGCCGTATGAGTGGCCTGTGACCGGGCAGACTTTGAATTGTGAGTTCCCCCTATTCGCTTGTTTATTTAGAGTGTAAATGCTAATGGCGTGACTAGACGCCCCTATCATTATGGCTGGTGTTACTATCCTAGCTCTGGTTTCGTACTTTGTTATGCCCGAGAGCGCGTGGCTTCCGCGCAACCGTATCACCCATTTCATTGATAGCAAGGGTGCTACTAACGTTACTGAGACTGTGGAGGAAGTTACTCCTTCAGCTCAGGAAGATATGGCTCAGAGATCTTGATGGATTCTTGGCCGGTGGGTTTGCAAAAAATAAAAAGGGTTTGATTGTGTGCTGTTAGGGGAAGGGAGTTGAAAGTTAATTGGTATATATCGCGTTTGTCTTTTTGTATATGAGCTATGAGGAGGTGGTTGGTACATAATTGTGTGATTTAGAGAAGAGGGCTTTCGTAATAATTGATGGTGCTTACTAGTGTTATTTTCTGGGCTGGATATGTGGTATCTCTGTTTTCAAGAGTGCTTTTTTTGTGGGATCTATTTGGTGTTGAGTCTATACTAACATCTGTCATGCTCTCGGGTGGTTTACAAGGGTTGATTTCCCAAGAACAACGGCAGGATGATTGAATGTGCTGCAGCCGAAGTTGGTAATCCGGTTTATTCGGTAGAGATTACTGGTATTCTTGCTTTTTTCCTTGTCTTTTCCTGTCTTTAGAGTCACTGAAGCAGTTAAGTTTCCTTATGCAGATGTCATGCTTGAGTAGTACTGATATCCAAGTTCCTACCTGTCTTGAACTACCTTGACAACCAACTGTGTCCCCAGCGCTTAGCCTGTCCCCTTTTAATGTAGTATGATCACATCCAAGAAAAGGGTGTAACCTATAGACTGCGCACTGATCTCTCAGCCCTTGGCACCCCCGCATTATCCGTGAGTCGGAGTATTTCATGGTTCGGCCCAACTGGCGAAGCTCGCAGAGGGCTCGCAAATCCTCCGATCCACGGATAATTCAAACCACTCGAACCTTGCATTCTTTATGCATCATCTGCGGGGAAATGCGTATCCAAGTATAGACAAAGCTCAGACGGCCGGTTACCGGCGGATGAGTGATGCAGCGTTGGGTAGACTTGGGAGAGTACTCGGTTCATTTTAAGGGTATCACAACATAGATTCTAAAGCTTGATAGTGAGTAATAGTTGTCTGATCTTATAGCCTGCTTAATAGTAGTTAGTAGTTATAACTATAGATGTATCTTGTTAAGATGATGGCCCCCCTAAAACGTCACGGTGGAGAACGGACGATCCGCTCCGCAGCCCCCGCGGGGGAGATGGAGAATGTGGCGCTGCAGTCTGCTGAACCGGGGATTTAACGGCATTTATTATTACTGTCAATGTATGAGAATCCTTGGATTTCTTGGATCTTTGGAACCTGGAGAAAAGACCCAATGGCCCGGATCTCCCTCGAGGCGTGTACCGTTTCATCGTAGTGTGTCAGGCAGTAACAACCGAATGGCCCTTTTGTCTCTCTCCACATCCGTTCGCCCTTCGCCAGTTGCCCTCTTCCCCATCCACTCCACTACTCTCTCTTACCTTCCCCCTTCTCCTTCTTCTCTCTTTCTCTCCTCTCTACCTCCGGCGCTTCGTCTTCCTCCGATGTGCCTCCCTCTCGTCTGATCGTCCGCTGCGAGACTGTCAGCCATGAGTGTCCCGCTATCCCTGCGGTCGGCACTGGGACCGTGTCTCGCAGTTACCAGTGCACGCGCGGGGAAGTTCGTCTTGTCGACCCAGTCCGGTACGTTTCTTTGATCTTACTGTGTGATATACACTTGATCACGCGAGCTTTCACTAACCTCCATCTCCTTGAATAGTCTCTCAAATTCGCCGGTTTACTATCCTCACCTCTTCGCAGAAGAGACGGTCGCTTCCTCAACTCCAACCCCAATGGTCTCATGTCTCAAAGAGAACTGCTACAACTGCTCCTCCTCCGACCTCGGAGCCCGTCTCGGCTACACCATACTCTGCATTGACTGTGGGTGTGCCTCGCGAAATAGCTCCGAATGAGCGCCGTGTGGCCATTACACCACAAAATGTTACCATGCTCCTGAAGAAGGGCTTCTCGCGCGTGCTCATCGAACGTGGAGCCGGCGAGGGCGCCCAATTACTCGACCATGTCTACGAAAAAGCCGGTGCGACAATCGTCGACCGGGACACGATCTATTCCGAAAGTGACATTGTCCTCAAAGTCCGAGGTCCACAAATCGACGGGCCCTTCAATGAGGTGCAGGCTCTTCGCAAAGGCTCCACGGTAATCTCGTTCTTGTACCCGGCTCAGAATAAATCCGTCGTGGATGCGCTCGCGGAGCGCGGTGTCACCGCGTTCGCGATGGACCGGATCCCGCGAATTTCTCGTGCCCAGGTTTTCGACGCCCTTAGTTCGATGGCCAATATTGCTGGATACAAAGCTGTTCTAGAAGCATCGAATCATTTTGGGCGCTTCTTGACTGGGCAGGTGACTGCTGCTGGAAAAATTCCTCCGAGTAAAGTTCTCGTCATCGGAGCGGGTGTGGCCGGTTTGAGTGCCATAGCCTCGGCTCGGCGGATGGGCGCCATTGTTCGTGGCTTCGATACTCGACCCGCTGTTCGTGAACAGGTTCAATCTCTCGGTGCCGAATTCATCGAAGTCGATTTTCAAGAAGATGGAGCTGGGCAGGGCGGTTACGCCAAGGAGATGTCCAAAGAGTTCATCGAGGCCGAGATGAAATTGTTCATGGAACAGGCTCGCGAGGTCGATATCATTATCACCACCGCTTTGATTCCCGGAAAGCCTGCTCCGAAACTGATTACCAAGGAAATGGTCGCTGCGATGAAACCCGGCTCGGTCATTGTGGATCTTGCGGCTGAAGCTGGTGGAAACTGTGAGGCGACTATCCCCGGAGAGCTGGCTAGCTACAAGGATGTCACGATCATTGGCTACACTGATTTGCCCTCTCGCCTGCCCACTCAGTCCTCGACCTTGTATTCGAATAACATTGTCAAGCTGCTGTTGTCTATGACCCCCAAGGACAAGTCATTTGGCATTGATTTCAATGACGAAGTAGTCCGGGGGTCCATCGTGACTCTTGATGGTGAAGTCGTTCCTCCAGCTGCACCACCCGCTCCACCTCCAACTCCGAAGCCGGAAGCTCAAGTAGCTGCTAAGAAGGAAGAAGAGCTTGCTTTGACTCCTTGGCAGAAGGTTACTCGTGATGTCACTTTGGTCACTGGTGCCATGGGCACTACCCTCGCTCTCGGCAAGGCCACCGGCCCTATCTTCATGAGTAACATGATGACCTTTGGTCTGGCTGGTCTGGTTGGATACCGTGCTGTCTGGGGTGTTGCTCCGGCTCTTCACTCACCTCTCATGAGTGTCACCAATGCAATCTCGGGCATGGTCGGTATCGGCGGTCTTTTCATCATGGGTGGAGGCTTCACCCCCACCACTCTTCCAGAGTATCTCGGTGCTGCTTCAGTTCTCTTGGCCTTTGTCAATGTGTCTGGTGGCTTCGTGGTGACGAAGCGCATGTTGGATATGTTCAAGCGGCCAACCGATCCTCCCGAGTATCCTTGGTTGTATGCAATCCCCGGTGTCTTGTTCGGTGGCGGTTTCCTCGCTGCTGCAAGCACGGGAATGTCTGGTCTAGTTCAGGCAGGATATCTTGTTAGCACGATCTTGTGTATGAGCTCGATCTCAGGTCTGGCCTCACAGCAAACTGCCCGACGTGGAAACATCTTTGGTATTTTGGGTGTTGTGTCTGGTATTCTGGCTTCGCTGGCTGCAGTGGGCTTTGATACTGAGACACTCACCCAGTTTGCTGTCGTGGCGGGTACTGGCGCACTCGTGGGAGGATTGATCGGTCGTCGCATTACCCCTACTGGCCTTCCTCAGACCGTTGCCGCTCTCCACTCGGTGGTCGGTCTCGCAGCCGTCCTGACTAGCATTGGTAGTGTCTTGGTTGACGTCGGCGACATCTCGACCCTTCATCTGGTGACCGCGTACATGGGTGTCCTCATCGGTGGCGTAACCTTTACCGGCTCCATCGTCGCTTTCATGAAGCTGGCTGGCCGTATGTCTTCTAGTCCATTGATTTTGCCCGGTCGACATGTCATCAACTCGACGCTGCTGGGTAGCAACATTGCAACCATGGGAGCGTTTGTTACCATGGCGCCCGGAAACCCAGGTATCGCAGCGGCCTGTCTTGGTGCAAACACTGTTCTCAGTTTCCTCAAGGGTTATACCACAACATCTGCCATCGGTGGCGCCGACATGCCCGTCGTCATCACCGTGCTGAATGCTTACTCGGGCTTTGCACTCGTGGCCGAAGGATTGATGCTCAACAACCCGCTCCTCACCAGTGTCGGCTCCCTGATCGGTGTCAGTGGTTCCATTCTTTCGTATATCATGTGTGTAGCCATGAACCGGTCTCTCACAAACGTTCTCTTCGGTGGTCTTTCCGCGCCTGCTCAAACTCAGAAGAAGATCGAGGGCGAAGTCACGCAGACTAGCATCGATGATACTGTAGAGGCTCTCTCCAGCGCAGAGAGCGTCATCATCATCGTTGGCTATGGCATGGCCGTTGCCAAGGCTCAATATGCTCTCGCCGAAATCGTCTCCATGCTCCGCGCCCGCGGTGTCAGCGTCCGCTTCGCGATCCACCCCGTCGCCGGCCGTATGCCCGGTCAGTGCAACGTTCTCTTGGCTGAGGCGTCAGTGCCGTATGACAGTAAGTCTAAACACTCCACCACTTCTTTTACTCATGTAGCGCCCAGACTAACATGCGGAAAGTCGTTCTGGAAATGGACGAGATCAACGACGACTTCGCCGACACGGACGTCACCCTCGTTATCGGTGCCAACGACACCGTTAACCCCATTGCAATGGAACCCGACTCCGCCATTTCTGGAATGCCCGTTCTGCACGCGTGGAAGAGTAAGGAAGTGATTGTCATGAAGCGGGGCATGTCAAGTGGATACGGTACGTGCCCCTTCATTTTGACTCCGACACCTTTATTAATTGCTTAATTTGTCCCCCCTCGTATACTGCGGCTGGGCGGCTTGGAAATTACTGGAGAAAACTAATACTTTTTTTCTGTGCTACAGCGGACGTACCAAACCCCATGTTCTATATGCCCGGAACACGGATGTTATTCGGGGACGCGAAGACTTCTTGCGATGGTATGTGGATCTATCCCCGCTTTTGACAGCTTAATGGGGATGCTCTTCTCTTCGGCCTTGTTTTGTTGGGATCTAGGCTAATTTATATCCCGCAGCTATCAAAGCCGCCCTGGAGGCGCGGAAGTAGACGTCGGTTAGGGTTTACACTCCGTGCTCCGACCACGGAGGCCTACTCTATTTCATTTTTTTTTCTTTCCCGTCCAAGTTCATTTTCCTTTCTTGGTTAATGAATCGTATCTCGCGTTTTTTTTTCTCATTCTGTGTCTTGTAGTGATGGCCAGTGCTGTCACTCATGATTCCGCATTATACCATGCGTTTGCTATGGCGCGTTTCTAGATCTCTAGAATGAGCCGAGGAGCGCTCAGTTTGAATGGATTCATCGTACTGAGATTTGAGATTACACGGCATCTCGTAAAGTTATATGAAAAGGGTCATCTCCTTTTCTATATGCTTAGCTTTGAAAGGTGGTCAAATAGATTAGGCCAACTATGCATGGAGTATAGTATGCCAAGATGGGTATTTCATTCGAGGTAAAGTAGCCTAAATAAAAGATCCAATCCAATCCCAACACCAAGCACACATCATTGTACTAGACATAGAAGAAGCACTCATATCTCCCATGAGAAAAAAAGGGAGGACATCATCACAACGAAAATCATGCAATCCTTCCTCACAATCCGACACCAAAAACCAGCCAAGTGAAGTAGACTAACAACAATCAAAAATAGGAGTCGACGTATCCATGGATAGGCTCCGCGCCGAGGTATCCACTAGAAAGCGCGGTCCAAACACTTGATGAAGGTTTAATTAGATAAACATTATCCAGCCCGAAATTTGAGGGACGAGGGTTTCCGGGATTGCGTTCGGTATGAGTTGAAGGCGAGACAAGTCGTGGAAATGATATTCCCGTCTTCGAGGAAAGGAGAATGAGCGAGCAGGGGGGGAAGAAGAGAAGATGAACGCCAGGAACCCGAGCAAATTCGAGCGGGAAAACGCGCCCATAACGAGGAGTAATAAATCAAATCAAATCAGAGAACCGCCGAAGAAACTCCAGAAACAAAATAAATGAAAAGGTTGATCGGAATCCGAAAGATAGCCCGAGAGATGAGACTAGAGCTATCCAGGGAGACGATTCAAAGGGCCTTTAGAAAGAAAAGACACTTTCAAAACGCCATTGCAGAAAACAAAAGATCCGCCCATAAAAACCATTACCGAATTAGATATACCTCATACCAAGGAAAAAAGATAAAGTGTAAATCAAAACGAAAAAAGGAAATTAGGCCTTTGTAAAAGACTTTTTGCCCAGCTTCAAGCCCATGAACTTCCGTCCACCGGGTGCAGCACTATTATGCCTTGCATGGCGGCGTTGGCTCGTTTTGCGGACAAGATGGGAATCATAGTTCATCGCTGTCAGGGGCATCTGGCTCTGACTCCCCGAGGCGGGCATGGGAGGTGCAGAAGTTAGACTGTTCGCGGCATCCATTTCCGAGCGGAGACTGCTCATGGAGTGGATGCTGGAAGTTTCCGAGTGCTTGCGTGTCATGCGGCGCATCATTGGGGATCGTTGGGAGAGGATGTTGGATACGCTGTGCTTTGAGCTGGTGTGGCCGCGTTTCGGGGGCTGGGACTGAGTCGGGGGCTGGTGGGTGGGTGGTGGGGAGGAGGCGTAGGAGACTGGGCTGCAGGTGCGAGAAAGAAGGGATCCGGCTTCGCTGTAGTGATCTGGGATATAGCCCAGATCTGATGGGAAGGGGGAGGCTGGGCGAGATGCAAAGGAGGGTACACTGCTGTTGCTGTTGCTGCGGATGGAGGCTGGTCGACGGCCTGGTTCCGTGGGGCGTCGTGGTCGTGCGTTAGGCATGGCTGGGAAGGACTTCTCGGCACCGGAAGTGCGTGGTCGTGGGCGGTACATTGATTGTGGCCTGATGCGTGGGGATGGGGGTAGGAATGGGACCACTGGAATCTCGGAGACGCGGTTGATGGTTGCGCTTTGGAGAGGACGGGGCGTGTCGTCGTCTGTAATGGGCATAGCAGGTGTCGTGCATGTAGATTCATCTGAAGAAGACTCGGAATTCTCGGTGTCATTTGATGAAGTCTTGATCTCGGTCAGCCGTGGGACCTCGAGCCCGTTTTCGAATCTTCCATCGAATATACGGGACTCGCGGTCTCGAGGGTTTCCCCTTGTGCGAGACCGGTTGAGTCGAGATCTGGAGTTCTTAGAGCGCGAGCCTAGAGAGTTGATGAACACCAAGGTTGGTCGAGCTGGTGGCTCCATCATAGTGATCTTCTTGGCAATCTGGATCTCCGCGTTTTCCACAGAGAAGATAGACGATGGCGAGGATGAGCGAGACCGAACGTTGGTCGTGGTCGGGGGAGTATTAGGGGAGACATAGATTGTGGGCTGCAAGAAGAGACTCGATGCAAGCGGAGCAGGACTATCTGGAGAAGGCAGTTCCAATACCAGGTCTTCTTCAGGGTCGAAAACGTAGGCATCCTCCACGAAACTAACATCGCTGTTTCGCTTCACGGTGTCCATGGAGACGGGGCGTTGTCGCTTAGCTCCACGATATGGTGCCAGCAACTGCTCCTCTCGGTCAGAGTCGGGATCATCATGCGAGTTCTCGTCGGCACTGATATCAGAGTCGAACGTCCCGGCTCGCTGAGAGCCTGTCAAAGGTGGGATAAAGTCGTGGCCGCCAGCGTCCGATTCGGAAACATCTTCTTCATCTGATTCGTAACGCTTCTGAAGGCTTTGCCGGCTCAGACGGTGCAGAGACAGAGCAGTAGTAGGCTCGTACATGTTGACGATGTTGTTTGAGAAAGATCAACCCCAGGTTTCAATCACAGTATGGTTCATGCAAGAGTCGGACTGTTCCAGACAGGGCAGGAGTCTTAGGAAGCGAATAATTAGATCAGATCAGGGAGAAACCAGCCCGCAACGAAGGAAACAATTAAGCAAAGAAATGTGACACGACAGTATCCTTTATCAAGGTAAGCACGTAGAACCCGAGATACAACCTCAGGGAGACGTGCCAGTTCCTTGGACGAATGTCAAATAGGTCCACGAGTTGAGAAACTGTAAAAAGAAGAACCAGTTCCTACTCCTGTAACAGGCCAAGGGAAAGGTCTTTAATATCAAGTGGACCCGTCCAGGGTTGAGAATAGGCACTAGAATGTTGAACAGGGGAGCCGCCCTCGGTTCCTGTCAAGGTCGCCAGGAACAGGAAGTATGAAGAAATAGAAAAAGAGGTCCCACTCTGTCAAGAATCCACCCAGCTTCGCAAGTGCCAAGTGGGAGAAAAGAGAGGGGAAGGGCTTTTTTAGGGCCCATCAAGAAAGGGACGGTGTGTAAAAATCCCTGTCCACGTGTGCCAAAGATGGGTCGGGGGCTTCAATCTAGTTAGTGTCCTAGCATTTTGCTTTTTAGGCTTGGGGTCTTTAGGTCTTGTGTGCAGGAGACTATGCATTACTGTCCAGTGTTTTTTTCCCTGTTTTTTTTCTGTGGTCGGGCATTTTTCTTATTCTTCTTGGTCGAAGTACATACAGTATTGCTGGCATTGCATCTGCAGGACCGTGTAGAACGGCCCTGGATTGGTTGGAAGGGCCCGACTAGTGAAATCATCCAGGGTCGGTAAGCAGTGTGATTGGGATGGGACGAGTTCACCCTTGCATTTGGGACCAGCAGGGACAACAGGGACAACTAGGACGAGCGAGGGTCGTTTCACCATTCGGCGACGCGCACTCTCCGCACACCGTGGCGGGCGCGCGAGGCTGGGAGGAAAAAGCTAAAGCGTGGATGCTGTAACGCCGGAAAAAAATCTGATAGATCAACGTGAGCTGTCGTTGGCTCTGGCCCATGCGCCTAACGCTGGGGCTGCAGCCGGGGTGGATGGAGATTGGTCATGGTGTCCACTACCTAGGTAGCCGCAGGGACTGGCGGCGGCAGCTAGATTGGATTGCTCCATGCACGGTTCAAGGGGAAATAAAATGGGTGTTTTCAAAGAGAGGGAGAGAGGAGGAATTCGGAGGTTCCACCGAAGTGTTGGAAGGGAAAAGGAGAATTTGATAGGGAGCTCGTAGCAGCATTGCGCCGAGGATGCGCCGCTCAGGGTGGTGAGATAGTCTGTACATCACAGAGTACTGTACCAAGTACATCAGCATTTCGCAAAAACGAGCACGGCTCTCGGTACACGGAGTAAGCCGTCCGGATAAAGACGGAGGCGTAGTTGTTGTTTAGTGCGAGCTGAAAGAAAAAAAAGTCCCACCGACCAGCGATCGAGGTTCATTACGAAGCGCCCGTGGTGGAGTGGCCCGACGGTTCACTCCGAATTCCATACAGGAACATACTGGAAAAAAATGGAGACGGCAGTCAGCTAAGAGAGCCTTCGGTCCATTCGGGAATTCTCTAGACTGCCAAGTTAGCCGCCGCTCCAGAAAGGTGGGGCGTCAGGTATAACTCAAACACGCTACCACGAACACTTGGGGCTCCTTGTCTGACCTCGAAACCGTGTCGATCGGTTAGAAGTGGAGCTCGGTTGCAAGATACCGAGAAAATATTAAAGGTCCTGGTCCGCATAACGCGCGGTCCTTGCGAGCCTGGTCTGAGCATCTTAGTGTTGAGTTTAGTTTTGCTGGGGATGATGCCAGGGGGAGGAGGAGAACGAGGAGGCAGGAGGAAAGTTGAGGTCGATTTGGTCAACTGGTTTGGTTTGGACTAGTTCTTCCACCGACCCCCTCCCCCTAGGTTCCTGATCTTCTTGAACTCTAATAATATGGCAATAGATATGGATTGAAGGGCAATTATCCTTCTGTATAGCTAACTAGGGGCAACTTACTGCAATGTGCACTGCAAAAGGCACATCAGGGGTACGGCATGGGAGAGGAGAGGCTGCCCCTACAAAGTATACGATAAATCATCCAAAGTGGATTGGATTGGATTGTAGGATGACAGGGCTATTCACTGTTCTCCTACAGGGAGCATTCTCTTATCTTCAGAAAGTAGGAGTGACTACGGAAATACCGAAGGGGACAAAAACGATAGGAACGGAAGTATACAATTGGTTTACAGGAGATACCTACTGCATCTACTTTCTTACATCCTGTACATTCTGCACAATCCAGCTTTAGTATAGTCACTGTACCTACCCAATTAGTACCTCGATAAACCCTCTCCCAGCCTCGATAAACCAACAAAGACCACTTTCTCCTTACATACGACCATCACCACGAATCGGCGAATTCTCCCCTCCCCAAACGATTTCCATCTCCCCACCGACACTCGGGCCAAGCTCCGGCCACTCTTCGGCGCTATCGTTTTATTTATTTATAGACTTCTAAGCACGGAGGACGGAATTTCAATATGAAAAGAGATAATAGTCCACACCTATGACATCTATCACCTGCAACCCTGCCAATCCATACAGTAATCCCGTCGCACCGTCGACGCCATAGTCCAAACCATTTCGACGCCATTCCCCCGTTGCAGAATATGTATACCCACTTCAGGCAAGGAACTCCGGTGCTAGTGCGGATCCTCATTGCTGGAAATATGCTTACCTTGGGGGATGAGAACGAGAGCCGTTTGAAAGTGAAACGCTGGGAATAAGAGCTTGGCTGGTTATGACATAGTCGTGGCTTATCTAGGCAAGTACAGTACAAGTCTGCGAACTACAATAACTCGAGAGTCGTTTCGAAACACACCATCCCCCTTTCCCTTTAACTTCAAGGAACTAGATGCCAGAGCTCCTGCTTCTGACAGCGGCGTGGCTCCCCGCTCAAGTTTCGTGGCTTGTTCTTAGCTTACCGTTTGCTCAACGGTAGGGGTTCTATACAATTCAAGCGCCGGTCATCAACCCAATGCAGTCCTGTTGATCCGGGTTTATTTCCGGCCGGACAAACTACGCCAGGAAATAAGCCTGTTACAGATAGAATGTCACAGCGAGACGCTGTCCATGTTATTTTTTATCGTGGTTTCTTTTTGAAATTCGGCCGGTTTGTATAGAAAGAGATATGCGCCGGGCATCTGGACCGCGCCAGGCGCCCACGCTTTCCATGTCGTTCACTTGGCAATCCGTCTGGGACCTGCTAGTCATTTTCTTTTCTTCCCTTTCTGCGTGCCTCCTATCTTCTAGGACTGAATGTTATCTCTACTTTCGTCGAGGGATGCCTCGGGACCTGCATGTAGGTTGTGGACCTTTTGGTCTGACCAAAGCATGGCTTGTACGACACGCAAGGCGCTCGTCCAACTTCTGAACTCACCAGTCTGTAATATGGTAGGAAATCAATCTTGGAATGCTCCTCGGTGCCAGGTAATAAGCTACTGTCCATCGATTATTGACTATTGACCGGAGGCGATAACGCTGGCAATCAAGAATGAATTATTGAATATTCCCCGGCCACCTTTTACATAGTGCCAAGTTATTGATCGACCTGTCAATGCTGCACTATTCTCCACCTCGTTGAGTTTATAGCTCCCATGCTTCCGGTGGCAGGTACATAACGCAATCATTATTGATCACGCCATGCGCCAGATAATCATCCCCTTTCAAACCAAGCCACCAGCCATCTTGCAAATCCCAGAGGTAAGTGCGTCAAACTCAACTCAACACCCTAAACGCATTCCCTCAAGCAATACGCAACACCCACATATTCACGTCTACCTTTCTCTAACACGTCAAAGTGTAGGTAATAACGATCGACCCTCGGCGACATACCAGCTCACGACCTGTCACTTCCGTGGCGTTGCTCGTACCCCGTTACACAAGCCATCCACATCTGCATGGATCGACAGGCCCGGTTAGTACCTGCATAACCATAGAATCCACCTATGTGATGCTGCACATTTAACATGAACGGGCACATATGGTTGTCCCCTCAACGGTTGGAGTGTTTATTGTGGTGCGCTGGACGCGACATTCTCTCCGAGATCAGGCGTGGTAGATGCTGCCCGATGGATCTGATGAGAGATTTACCTCCGAGGTGCGTTGATGTATGCTTGGGGTTATCTTGACGTGTCGATTGTCTGGTGCAGATGCTGCAGGAGATGATGGTGCATGCACGTCGATCTTGGGAAGGGCAAGGACTCGCTCTCATATCAAAGCTGACTGGAGCCGTGCAACGAGTTCGTCCTTGCTTTTTTGCTCTTGGGAACTTGACCATTGCTTTCTCGCAGGATGGTCCAGAGTACGGGAGGTCTACACGACGGACTGAATCGCGCAACTGATTACATTTAGCATGATATGTGGAACTAGCATCTATAAGTACTTTACTGACACAGAACAGAGAAAAGCAATTGGGAAAAATGGCCTGCCGCCAGCAGACTGTGCGGGTGATAATGACAAACATGAACAGAAGAAGGGAAAAAGAAAAAGGACATTATAGAATACAGCCAGGAACAACCAGGGACTGCCCGACAGTCTCCCTTCCCAGATGAAATGAAAAGTTCAGTAATAAAGGGTGGAAGTTCCCCTTCGTCCGCTGCCGGCATCACCATTGCGCCTCCACAACCCGGGCTGCATCGATCATCAGGCCGGGCCTCATGAAAAGGTCATTCATTAAAACAAGTATAGAGTGAATCACCAGCAAGCAATCACACCACTTCTGCTTTTTTCTGATCTTGCTTGCTCTTCCTCTTCGTCAAGGTGCAAATATGTTCGAGGAATTTTTTCGAAAATTCGTCATGTGAGAGATGAACTGGGGTTGTTCGGCTCACAACACTCAAAAACTCAGGATGATACTCATCCTCATACACAACTCCACAATCTCACTCAACTGGGTACTCTGAAGACACGGTCAAATGTCTCCATCATGGGCAAGTGCCCATTTAAGCCTTGCGAGAGCGAGTGACGGGGCCGTTGGAGCGGCCAGTCGAGCTAGCAGAGCCGTTGGAGCCCTTGGCGCTGCCGTTGGAGTGACCGGCGGGGGAGGGGACCTCGAAGTTCTTCATGTCGATGAGGGACTTCTTGCCAGTGTTGCTGCGAGGGCGGCCAACCTTGGCGGCCTTGTTGTAGGTGGCAATGTAGAAGGAGATGAAGAGCAGCAGGTAGGAGGTAATGATACCAATACCAGCGAAAGCAGCGAACTCCTCACCGGCGCACTGGCCCATGTTGGGAGCCCAGGGGAAGTAGGCGGAGGAGAAGTAGGTGTAGGAGGCGAAGTAGATGAAGCCTAGAAGTGATATGCATTAGTCCCCGGGGTCTTGTAAAGTGCACATAGAGTCCAAGAACTTACCGAGATCAATGACGAACTGGACGATCTGCAGCATGGTAATGTACTTCTTCCACCAGATGCGGATACCACGGGCACTCTGGAAGTAGTACCAGTACATGACGACGTGGACCAACAGGTTGATGGTGATGGGGACCCATTGCACAGCGGTCAGGCCGATCAGCTGGGTGTAGCAAAGCAGGGCAGTGGCACCGTGGTGGTAGGTGTGGAGGAAGGTCAAGGGCTTCTTCTTGAGGACAAGGAAGACGGTGTCCAGGAGCTCGACGTATTTGTTGATGTAGTTCAGCTGCGCAGCGAAAGAGCGGTTAGTCACGTCAATACTTGAAGTGTTTTGCGCATCTCGATGCGACACTTACGTAGTAGAGGATGATCAAAGGCTGAGTCCATCCACCGCGGTGATCGCAAATGGAGTAGAAGACACCGTGGCGCACAATGGTGGGCAGGAGCTGCTCAACAAACAAAGCCAGGAGGATGGCGCTGATGGCGGTCAGGACGAAGTTGTGGATCATGAACAGAGTGTTCAGCTTGAAGGCGGGGAAGTTCTTCATGACCTCACGGCCACCGAAGATGATGATGTAGTAGGTAACCAGCATGGTCGCGGTCTCCTTGAAGGTGGACATAGGGGTCACGCCCTCGACGAAGTTGAACTCGCTGGCAGGGTAGCCCATGAGCTGCTCGTAGGCCTTGTCAAAGATGGGCCATAGGTGGACGCCAAACGGCCGGTCCAGAGTTGGGACGGGCACTTTCTGAAGGAAGTCGGCCATTGTGTCTATTTGAAGGAAGTAATCCGAAACAAGCCCGAGGAATTTGGCAATTTCGAGTCGCGTTGAAGAAGGCGAGGAGAATTCCCTTGGGGGTGGGTTCAATGGAATATTAAAACAAAATCTCAGGCCACGCAGAGTTTGCGAATTAGGCACAGAGGAGAAGGAGGGATAAGGAATGGAAAGGACCGACGATGAAGGAAAGGAAAAGGGAGGAGGAGAGAGAGAGAGACCAGCGTTACTTTTTGCGTCCGGCGCGTCCGTTGGGTGCCCGATGCGGTTTAGCGTGGCCAGTAAAAGGGGGAAAATCCACCACCCGAGGGCTCCGGAGGGTTTTTGGGGTCCCTGAGGGTCTTGTAGATGACGATTTTTGGGTTCAATGGTTATGAATATTGCAGTTATGAAGTTAGAATGGTCTATTCGATAGTATTTTCCCTTTTACTCTCAAGATATCCGTGGTGGTTGTCGTTGAAGAGTCCGTTTTCAGTCTAATCCGGCAAAACTTTCACATGCGCATAATCAACGGCCAGATGAATGGCCAGGACCAACGAGAAGTAAACACAAGATGGCTGCCTCAGCCCTGGACCTATTGGTGTAAGCGGCTGCTCGAGGGAAATTGCAGATTATTCATCACCAGCATTGTAATCTCTACTCTTTAACGGAGAGTAAAGTAATCAAGTTGGAAATCCACCGGTTCCGTTCGACGATGGGGTTCACAGGGGATAGTGATACACTATTGAAGACCGTTCCACATTGTAGCAACGATCAAGTAGCCGAGGCTGTATTACCCTCGTCCTCGCTAGAGTACTAGACAATGGACTAGGACTGCACTATATACGATAAGGGGGTGCATAATTTATAGTCTTGAAGGATCATCTCCACAAGTCAATCCAAGACTGGCTTTCCTCGGTTGGGTATCGATCTATAGAAAGCCACCCCCATACAGAACAGAACTTCTCTGCCTCAGGCTGTCACCCACCGAAGGACAGACAAGTTACAGTTTGACTTGTACAACCATGCTGTACAATGGTTACCAATGAACATCAAAACAGATAATTCATGATACCATAGATCTATAGGCATCAATGCTTTTATCCATGCTCCGTTGGGGAACATTTCTAGTTACATAGATCGGGATTTCCGCACTGCGACCGGATCTATATTTGTAAAAAACGGATATTAATTGGGTCAGGGACTGACTAAATTATGTATCTCTATAGATGTGCCTTGATGTTGTACTTTCCAATTCATTTTTAAAGGGGGGTCTTCAAATGTTATTCGATGCTATACTGCTAGATCCATAGATGTTCTGTATATATATCTGCGCCCACTACCAATGACGGTTCCGAGTGTTGCCAAAACCGGGTACACATGGTATCGGGCACTTTATATAGCTCTGCTATACAGCGCATTATCACAAAACCCGGACAATCCATAACCATGATAGTAGAATCTAATATCCTACTTTATCATCACTTCTATATACTTTCCTAGCTACATCCTTACGGACTTTATGCTTGATGACACCCACTCTCGGGATGACGGGACCAACCAACCAATCAGAACCTCCATAATCCAAACTGCCCCATGACTAATACCGTTTCCTTGCTGCCTCAGGCCACAAAACACCACACCACCCGCAAAATCCAGCCGGGCTAACACGACTCTCTTCGTTCCTCCTCCCTTCCCCGTCTCCATCCACTCTCGCCTCAACCACCGTCCATTGACTCGGTCCAGCACCTCCACTCCGAAATGTCCTCTCTGTCCATCTTCCGCATCGCGACGCGCGCCGTCCGCCCTGCCAGCTTCGTCCGAGCTCCGATCGTCCGTTCCCGGGTGCAGACCCCAGTCACTCTGGCTGCTGCCCGCACCGCCAACTTCGGTACCACCCGTATGCTCCGCTCTGGCCACGAGGATGAGACCTATGAGGAGTTCTCTGCCCGGTACGATTGATCTTGCGACCCATTGGCTTCGTCGGAACCCGGGGAGAAAAGCGAACTGAAGGACGGGGGGAACTCTGCGCTGCTAGGCGCAGGGTCGCCGAGTCCTGCATTTTCTGCTTCCAGCCGTCTTTAAGGAATCGGGTATACTGACTGTGTGTGTCAATTGCAGTTTCGAGAAGGAATTCGACGGTGTCCAGGATGTTTTCGAGCTCCAGGTAAGATCCACCTGCTTTTGGGCAGTATCCCGGGAGATGACGGAGGGCCCCCTCCCTCATGCGATATCAACTATCATTCGACTCTCATCTCGACTTTACATTCACATATCTCAATTGAAACACTACTGACTCGTCAATTCTTTCCTAGCGCAACCTGAACAACTGCTTCGCCTACGATCTCGTCCCCTCCGTTGAGGTCCTCAGCGCTGCCCTGAAGGCTGCCCGCCGTGTCAACGACTTCCCCACTGCCGTCCGTGTCTTCGAGGGTATGCGCAAGCCATCCGATGCCAGAATTTACCAATTCAGACCAATCACTAACCCACCTCTTACAGGCATCAAGGCCAAGGTCGAGAGCCCCGACCAGTACAAGCAATACCTCGAGCAGCTCGAGGGTCTGCGCCAGGAGCTGGGCGTTGCTCTCCGGGAAGAGCTGTACCCCCAGGAGGAGTAAATTAGCGTCGCTCATGTTGTCCTACCCCCCCATCATTTCCACCTCACGTCAATTTTCTCTCTCTCCTTCAGTTGTTTACCCACCACCCAACCCTCATGTCAGACACCAATCGGTCGATTGCACAGTTTCCTGCTTTGACCATGGGTGCTCGGACCGGGTAGAAGAGAAAGCTGTATACATATTTTAGAGATCTCTTGTGTTGTTAGTGTTGCTGTTGTTTGGAAAAGGTTCTGCGGTACCTTGACTGGTGCTTTAATCTATCTTCCATCTCCGGTTTACGGCTGCTTACGCGGCAAGTACAATATGCTGTATTTCCACATAACGACTCAGATTGGACATGCAATCTCTTCGCCCAGTCTTTTTGGATGGCTGAGGTGAATAGATGAGAAGAGTATGGCTTTTCAATATCCGTTTTGTGTTTTCTAGTTGCGAGCAAATAAATGTCTTCATACGATTTATATAAGAGAAAAATCGCACGATCTAGCAAGACAAGACAGAAAAAAACACCGGAACGTTGAAAAGACGTAAAAAAACCAAGAAAAGTGGCCATGTGCAATCAATTATAAGTACAGAGAAGACCAGACCCGCCAAAGCTCATTCCATCGAAGACAAGCCCCCGCGGCCAGGAACGTATTTTGTGAAAATAGAAGCGAGAAAGAAGAAAAAGAAAAAGAGACCACAGGAATATCATCAATAGGTATGAGTCCGCTCAAACGCCAGGTACCAAGTCACATCGAAGGGTTCGGGAATATACTCATCGGGTATGAAGAAAAGGTGATGCAAAAGGGGGGTCGAGGTTTTTCATAAAATGGCAGCCCAACAGGGAGTATAGATGCGCTGCCACGAGTCTATCAATTTAGTGCGTGCCGACATACTTGAAGTACGTTGGACGGCAGTCCTCCTTGGCGAGGAAGTCTGCGCCAGAGTAGAATTGACCGGGTGTGCAGCCGGAACACTTGGGTGAGTTGGGGCAGTTGTAGTAGGGGATGTGGTTGTATCCGATGTCACGGAACCTAGATGAAGATTGTAAGTAGGGGATGAGTATAGCCTTGGAAAAGGGAAAGAACTTACCAGTGCACATCTGCGGCGTCGGCGAACAGACCGACACCCAAGGAGTGGACTGGCGCATCGCCCCAGCGCTCGTAGAAGAAACCACCGGCACGATCCAGGTGCTGGAAGTAGGACTCGTACTTGTCACCACGGAAGAAGTCCAGGTCACCAATCTCAAAGTTGGACCAGAAGTGGCAGGTGGAGTAGCCATTGGCGCCCTCGGTATGCTCGGGACGGGCCTGGTCGTCGGTAATCCACTCCCACATGTTGTTCTTACTCAGGTATGAGGGATTCGCTGCCAGGAACTTGCGGGTCTCGGGCCAGAGGGTCTTGATGGTCTGCGGGGCATCGTACAGGTTGATGGTGAAACCGTAGGTCTTGTTGTTATCCTCCATGTAGCGGAAGACGTCATAGTCGACATTGCAGAAGAATTGGACCTTGGGCTCGATACGCCAGTAGTAGCGGTACTTCTCGAGGGCCGGGTGCTTGTAGAACATGCCGCTGTTCCAGCGGCACATCTGGTGGTAAGAAAGCTTGGAGGCGTACTGGATGTTCTCCTCCTCTAGGATCTTGGCGGATTCGCGGAAGAGATCCTCGCTGATCCAGCTGGGCATATCCCAGTGTTCCTTGGGGACCAACTCTGTAGCGGAGCACAATTGTTAGCGATGTACATTCATTTCCCCACTTCCCCACTGAGTAGACAATGACCAAACGTGATCAAGCGCTTCGGAGATGCGTACCGTATTGAATCTTGGCCTTGGTGACGGCCTGGGTCTTCTGCTTAAACTCCTCGGAGAAAGGCTTGTCGTTGAAGAAGATATAGGGATAGTTGAACTTGCTGTTCCATGTGCGCTCGAGATCGCGCATGGTGTTGATCAGCTCGTAGAGTTCCTCGTTACGGACGAGGGAGATGAGGGCGGCATTGGTGCGAGCGGACTTCTCGCTATCGGGGGCATAGTCGTGGTCCTCGGAGCGCCATAATTCCCCGGCGGGTTCACCGGTGGCTGTTGAGGGGATCAGTATCTTGCGCCTTAAGAAGGTGGTTGATCTTGAATCTTGAAGAATTGCGGGAGTGGCAACGCACGATCTAGTAGGGGATCCCGGGTCATGCCGTGGACCAACTTGGAGGAAGGCTTGTCCGAGCTCTGGTTGAGCTGGAAAACCAGGAAGAGAGTAAGTAGAATACATGCTGCACCCAGCATGCGAATGGGACGTGCAATCGCCATGGTGTAAAGTTGGAGAGAGTAGGTGAAAGGGGGCAAGTTGGTCAAAAAGGGCCAGAAGCGCCTTCACTTCAGCCCGCGCCGCCTTTGCCCCTTGAGGTTTAGCGCCCGCACCACCGCGCGTCCAGTTGGCTTTCGTCTCCATCTTTTTATTAGAGAGTCCGCGTCGATCATATCTGATCACATCGACTGGCCCGGCCCATTGACCATCACCATGGCACTGGCGGCCTTGGGCTCGTTGACAGACGAGCTCATTACTGCCGTTGCCAAAATTACCCCCGAGCAAAAGGTAAATACAACCTCATCACATTGCTTGGATCGAACATGTATTGATTGCGCGTTCTAGGATTCACCGCGCGTCCAAAGTATCAAGCGCCGCGTAGAAGCTGCACTACGCCCTGGTACACATGGCCGAATTAATCAATTCGAAGTGGCCCGCCAGTTAGAGGGCCTCGAGGAGAAATTCCAGGTCTTGAATCGAGACGAGCTGGCAGCAGCTCTCCGTAGCCGCCTTGCTGAGTTACAGGGTTACCCAAATGCATGGCATCCCGAAATTCTGAGCTTGCTGGTGCAACTATCAGATCGCCCGGCCCAATTAACAAATCTTGATCGATTGGTGACTCCGCTCAAAGCGAATCAAGCCCCCGAGCAGCCGTTGTCATGGGCGGATCTCGATACTGGCGGGGCTGCATTCAGTGACGAAGATATCTGGGAAGATGTCGACTTTGCCCCTAGCTCCTCAGACGATGACTTTGCTTCTGTTACCAGTGAGGTCTCCCTCACGCGGGGACCGCCTCGAACACCATCTGCACCGGAACAAAACTACGTGATCCCGGCCGAGGTATTCGTGTCAGGGGAAGATGAAGACCTCATTACCGCCATGGAGAAGGCCCAGTTCTGGAAACCTGAAAACAAACCTCCAATTCCTCGAGGAAAAGAGGAAGCCTCTTGTCCTATCACCGAACTTCAATTGGCCAGAGAAACGATCTTCATGCTCCAAGGCTTACCAACGTCGATCTTCTGGCGCCTCGAGAATAATATTGAAGTGGACCGCAGCTATACACTCGCGCACTCGTCCCACACGGCGCTTTTATCACTACTGAAGTTCTTTACCGAAACTGGCTCAAAGATTGATGCACTGCGGCGGTTCACCGAAGCCCCGCAGTCTATCGCTTACATGCAGACGTTTTGCCGAGGCGTCGAAGACCGCCTGCGCGAGTTTGATGGGTTTCTCTGTAAGGTACAATGTAGCTATCTTTCTGCGGGCTCCATTGTCAGTATCCTTCAATTGAGTGATGATGTTCGCCAGTCGTCGCATCAATTGCTGCTCTTATCCGACTTGGTTTCAAAGGCCGAGACGAATTCGACAAATCAACCAATGCGTTGTCTCGACCTATTATACAATCTAGTATGCATGACGGAAGCTCTGGGTGACGAAGAAACCTCAAGAGCACTAGCAACCTTGTTCTTTTCATGCTTCAAAACCTATACACGCTCAATTCAACTTTGGATGGAATCTGGACAAGTGGATCCCCTTGACGCTGCCTTTTTCGTCAAGCTGAAGAGTGACAGCGGTGATTTGCGGACTTTGTGGCATGACTGGTACGAGATTGACGAAGGCTACCAAGGACAGAATATTCCCCAATTCTTGGAACCGAGCCTGCTCAAGGTCTTCACTACTGGCAAGAGCTTGGTCTTCTTGCGCCACCTGAACGCGCTTCCAGACCGTTCCGAGTCAGCCACAAGGACAGACACGATATTCGACGATGTCTATTCCGAGTCGACATATACGGCTCTTCCATTTTCTGCGCTAGTTGAGTCTGCATTTGACCGCTTGGTAGATCTCAACCACTCGGCCAGCGCGGGCTTGCTACGAACTGAACTTGACGAACAGTGTGGACTTTGGGTGTCTTTTGATGCCCTTCAACATGTCTACCTTGGCCAAGATCTCAGCATTATTGGCATGATCGATGCTAAAATCTTCGAACTGATGGACCGTGGCCGGTCCTGGGATGATAAATTCCTCCTTACCGAGGTGACCAGGTCCGCGTTCAGCGCAATGTCTACTATGGACTTGTCAAGACTGGTCGTGCGATCACATGGCTCTTCCTCCCGTGATTCTCAGAGCCTTGCAAGAACCGTCGATATCCTCGAAACCATCTCAATCGACTACGTTCTTCCGTGGTCTGTCGCAAATATCGTCACCCAAGACGCGATTCACATCTACCAACGAGTCTCGACATTTCTTATGCAGATACGCCGCGCAAAGTATGCACTTGTCAAGCAGCGCTTGCGAGATGGGCATGCCGCTGAAGCAGATGACCGCGCTCTGGTCCACAGTCTCCATCACAACTTGTTGTGGTTCATTGATACCCTCTACGCACATCTTACCTACCTAGTCATATCAACCGCAAACCAATCTCTACACCAAGCTCTCTCCAATGCTGAAGACGTGGATGCCATGATCGCCGCACACGACTCATACATATCATCACTGGAGACCCAGTGCCTACTATCCGAAAATCTCTCTCCAATCCACGAGGCTATCATCAACCTCCTGGATCTTTCCATCCACTTCGCGGATCTACAAACTGTCCACACAGCCGAAGAAGGGATGTTTGACCAAGGCGACGCCAGCATGCTGAATACACTACGGCGAAGGAAGAGTGACGAAGATGATTCGGACTCGGACTCAGATGAAGATAATGACTTTGAGCATGAGCAAACATTGACCATCTCATTCCGTGATTCGCCATATGATCTGCAGATGCGAAATGTAAAACGCCAATATGACCATTTGATTACCTTTGTTGCGGATGGGCTGAAAGGTGTTGCTCGTGCTGATGGTCTGCCTAGCTGGAATATTCTGGCGGAGCGTCTGGAATGGAGGAAAGGTTGACTGATAGCTTGACCCTAAAGAAATCTGAAGCCCCGAGAGGGTTACAGTACAGGGCGGATGGAAATTAATGAATTAATGATCCATTTTATACCATTTATGCGGTTTTCTATTCGATTTATAAGGCCCTTCTTATGTACTAGTATCGAGGGTAGATTACTTTCCTATCAACATTGAGGAAGGCCTACCTCTTTTAACATCTTTTTATCGACACCTTTTCTTCGACATCTCTTCTTGATTGATTTGTGTAAGGATTGAAGAAAAAATAAACCGGTCAATCCGCTCACGCTTACCTCTAGTTATAAACAAAGCTATATGTATTAATCTTGGTAGACTTCAAAGACCTAGGTTGATTAAATCTTTTTCTTAGCCTAAGATTTTGCTTGTGTAAAAGGGCCCCTTACCCCCTCCCGTCTTTGGAAGCTTTTACTAACTCAGATCCGAAGATTCGTCAACTCCCTCTATACATGTATGCCCAACCCGGAGTTGAGCTTGTATTCTATAGCTGGGAAAAACGCTCTTGATGATTTCTTGATACTGCTACAATCTGTCTCCCGCGACCGAAATTTAAAGAACCATCTTCTTAATGAACTTGAATATTTACTTTGATTTTGGTATATCTAATATCTCATATAGAAGCACTGACAATGGCTTCGAGGCCATGACATTCTTTCAGTTTCGTAAATGCTTTTCAACGCACTAGTTTTTAGCTTCAAACCTTACCACTCCGTAAAACCAGACCAAAAAATAGGAAATATAGACAGAAAGTGGGACAAAAAGACCTCAAAAAGGATCGGGCTTCTCGTCAAGCCCTTAACCAACCCAGCGTCTGGCGCTGAAGAAGATACGGCCCCAAGGACCGATCTCACCCCACTCCTCGGCGTTGGGGGGCAGGTAGCTGGCAATGCCGTTCATGACGGTACGCTCAGGGTGAGGCATGATGGCCAGAACACGGCCGTCGGGGCTGCGCACACCGGCGATACCCTCGGGACTGCCGTTAGGGTTGAAGGGGTAGCGCATGGTCGGCTTGAGGGTAGCGTTGTCGACGTAGCGAACGGGGGCGAGACCCTCGCGGACGAAGTCGGCAGCAGTCTGGCCGGGGGTACCGGCGAACGAGGCGCGGCCTTCTCCGTGGGCAACAGCGATGGGGAAGGAGGAGCCATCCATGCCGTGGAAGAAGACGCTGGGACGCGAAGGATCGGGGTCCGAGATGCGGACCATGGTGACACGACCCTCGTACTGCTCGCTGGTGTTGCGCTCGAAGCTGGGCCAGTTGCGGGCACCGGGGATGAGCTCCTTGACACGCGACAGGAACTGACAACCGTTGCAAACACCCAGGGCGAAGGTGTCGGGACGCTCGAAGAAGGCCTGGAATTCCTTGCGGGTGTTGTCGTGCAGCAGGACGGACTTGGCCCAGCCTTGACCGGCACCGAGCACGTCACCGTAGGAGAAGCCACCGCAGGCGGCGAGACCGGCGAAGCTGGCCAGCGAGACACGGCCGGAGATAATGTCGGTCATGTGGACATCGACAGCGGAGAAGCCGGCGGTGTTAAAGGCAAAGGCCATCTCAGCCTGGCTGTTCACACCCTGCTCACGAAGGATGGCAACGCGAGGCTTGTTGGTGAAGGGAGAGTACTGGGACAGGCTGGTCATGATAGGCAAGCCACGGTCCTTGGGGTCGAAAGTAGGGTTCCACGAGAGACCGGGGTTAGAATCGTCGAGGATGTTCTCGAACTCCTGGTCAGCACACTCGGGGTTATCGCGCATCTTCTGCATGTGGTAGGAGGTCTTGGACCAGGTCTGCTGGAGGTTGGAGCGAGTCTCGCGGTAGACCAGCGAGGCCTTGTGGTAGATGGTCAGGTTCTGCTTCTGCTTCTCCGAGACACGGCCGATCTTGTGGATCAGGCCTGGAGGAGGACCGCAAGTGGCGAAGCAAGAGCGGAACTGAATCTCGTGCTCCTTGCGAACCTGGAAGACAGCACCCAGCTCCTCGTTGAAGAGGGTCTCAACAATGTCCTGGGTCTGGAAGGAAGAGCAGATGTTGTCAATCATGATCTCCACACCGCAGCGACCAGCGAACATCATCTCGGCGAGAGTGGTCAGAAGACCACCGTCAGAACGGTCGTGGTATGCCAGAACAATACCGGCCTCCTGCAACTGCTGGGTAGCATCGAAGAAGTCACGGAAGATTTCGACATCACGGACATCGGGGCAGTCGGTGCCGACCTCGTTGAAGACTTGAGCAAGGGCGGAGCCGCCAAGGGTCTTACGACCGAAGGACAGATCGACAAACATGAGAACAGTCTCACCCACATCCTCCAGGCTGCGGAGAGCGGGGGTCCAAGTCTTGCGGTAGTCACCAACTGGGGCGAAGGCAGAGATGACACACGACATGGGCGCGGTGACTTCCTTGGCCTCGTTAGTGGCCTCGTCCTTCCACTTCATCTTCATGGACATAGAGTCCTTTCCGACGGGAATACTGATGCCAAGCTTGGGGCACAAGTCAAGGCCGATAGCCTCAACAGCCTCATAGATGGCAGCACCCTCACCAGGGTGGCTGCTGGCAGACATCCAGTTAGCAGACAGCTTGACATGGCTAAGGCGGTCGACAAGGTCGGAAGCAGCAATGTTCATGAGAGACTCTGCAACGGCCATACGAGCGGAAGCACCTGGGGAGATCAAAGCCAGAAGAGGCTTCTCACCCATAGCCATGGCCTCACCAGTCTTGACGCCCTGAAGCAGAGAGGTGGCAGTCACGGAGACATCCGAGACGGGGGTCTGCCACTTTCCGACCATCTGGTCACGAGCGGTAAGACCGCCGACGGTACGGTCACCAATGGTGATCAAGAAAGACTTCGAGCCGACAGCAGGAAGAGACAGGACGCGGTTGACAGCCTCGCTGACCAGCTCCACCTTGGACGAAAGCGAAGGGAGATACTTGGTGAGGCTGGAGTCGACAGCAGGCAGCGTCAGCTTGCGCGAGTCGACAGTGCGGGTCATGCGCGGCGGCTTGCCGAACAGCACAGAGAGGGGAAGATCAATGGGCGAAGGATAGTCCTTGGACTCGCGGTCAAGAAGAATGAGTCGCTTCTCCTCCTCGGAGGTACCACCACCTCGGCCGACGACTGAGAAGCCACATCGCTCACGCTGAGCAATAGCAGTGAACTTGTTGATGCTGTCTTCGCCAACAGCCAGGACGTATCGCTCCTGAGCCTCACAACACCAGATCTGCATGGGGCTCATGCTGCGGTCGGCGCTATCGACCTCACGCAGCTCGAACTTGGCTCCCAGACCGGAGTCGTGAATCAGCTCAGGAAGGGCGTTGGAGAGACCACCGGCACCCACGTCGTGAATGAACTTGATAGGGTTGTCATTGCCCATAGCAACACAGGCGTTGATAACCTCTTGGGCTCTGCGCTGAACCTCAGCATTGCCTCTCTGGACACTGGCAAAGTCAAGATCGGCAGATCCCTCACCAGAGGTGATACTAGAAGCAGCACCACCACCGAGACCGATCAGCATAGCTGGGCCACCAAGCACAACAAGGTAAGAGCCAGGTTTGACAACGTCGGGGTTCTTCAGAGCGTGCTGGGGACGAACAGTGCCGACACCACCAGCAATCATGATGGGCTTGTGATATCCACGAACCTCCTTCTGGCCGTTGCCAACATCAATCTCGGTGAGAAGGGTGCGGAAGTAACCACCAGTGCAAGGACGACCGAATTCGTTGTTGTAAGCAGCGCTACCAATAGGAGCTTCCAGCATGATGTCCAAACTGCTCGCAATGTGGTTCGGCTTGCCCACCTCGAGCTCCCAGGGCTGGCGTAGGCCAGGGATCAAGAGATCAGAGACACAGTAACCAGAGAGACCGGCCTTGGGACGGGAACCGCGACCAACCGCACCCTCATCACGGATCTCACCACCGGATCCAGTGGCAGCACCGGGGTAAGGGGAGACGGCAGTGGGGTGGTTGTGAGTCTCGACCTTGGCCAGGAAGTGCACGACTTCCTTGGTGTGGGTCCACTCCCCAGTAGTAGGATCGGGGGCCCAGAATGCAGCGGGGCCACCCTCCAGAACAGCAGCGTTGTCACTGTAAGCACTGACGGTGTATTCAGGGTTCTTCTTGTGTGTGTTGCGGATCATGGCAAAAAGACTGTTCGGCATGGGCTTGCCATCAATCACCCATGAAGCATTAAATTGCTTGTGACGGCAGTGCTCCGAGTTAACCTGAGCGAACATGAAAAGCTCGACATCGGTGGGGTCACGAGCAATGGCACCGTTCGGGCCATAAGCCTCAGCCAAGTAATCAATCTCGGACTCGTCCAATGCAAGACCCAATTCCTTGTTTGCCTCCTGAAGGACTTGCTTGGGAGACTTGTCACCTCCTTGAAGAGAGATGGTCTTAAGAGGAAGACGCTCGTGCTCGGAGAACATGAGCTTCAGATCAGGCTCGTCCTTGCCAATAATCTGAGTCATTCGATCGTGAAGGAGATCCAGGTACCCATCCTTGTACTCCTCTCCTTCCTTGCGAAGGCATGAAACCTTCATACCCCGCTCAATGCGCTTGACAGACTGACGAAGGCCGCAGACCTGGGCGATACCGGTAGCCTGAGAGCTCCATGGCGAGATAGTTCCGGTTCGAGGGAAGACATAGAAGGTATCGAATTGACCGTCATCGGAGGTGAAGGAAGGAGGGATGTCGGTGATGTCGCCATACGTGAGCAGTTGTCCGAGGACGGCACGCTGAGATTGGTCCAGAGGCTGGGAAGTGTGAACGTAGTGAACCCATTGAGCGCGAACATCTTGAACACCCAGGCTCTCCGCGATGGCATGTCCGCGCGAGCGAGAGAACGCCACCGAGCCGGGGATGGCAAGATAAGAGTCGGTGGAAGCCATCGTTAAGAAGACCGATGGGATTGAGGTGAAGTCGATCAGGACCAAGCCTCCCTTGGAATAAAGGAGGAGGAAGGGCTGTGATGCCACTCAAGTATGACTTGAGCAAAGGATTCCCCGCTATGACTCCCTCAACTTTTTCTTGAAAAAATGAGTGGCCCCGCCCTAGGCCGATTGCGGTGGGCTTATCGAAGAGTCACGTGGTGATTACGGGAAAGATGTCCCGTGACTCGAGTCTAACCCGGAGTTTTTTTAGCTTTCCATTACTAGCGCTTTTACATAAGCAAAATTTTAGGCCAAGAAAAGATTTTAGTTGACCTGGTTGAAATCCACCAAGACTAATAATACATAGAGCTTTGTTTACAATGATAATTGACGCGTAAAGATGAGCGGAACCAACTAATTTCTTCTTGCTTTAACCCGGGCTTAGACTCACTAATAAGATGTATTAATCAGAGGTCTCAAAGAGGTCTCAAAAGAGCCAGGACTGGCTTTCTCTATATTAAAGGGAAGATCCTTAGTAAGGGTAATTCACCCTCGACACTATATTATAAAAAGAATATGTATAAACCGAATAGGAAACGACATAAAAGCAGTATAGAATAGATAATGTAATCTATTAATTTCTACACCCTCTGAACTGCTTTTATGACGTTTCTCCAAGTGGTCTTCTCGACCACCTGATCTGATCTCTCCACGACTCCAATTTTTTTCCACGCCCTCACCAACACGCCAAAAATGCCTCATCCACAAACCAAAAGTCACCTAGTTCTTATTCTTGCTCTGAATCGGTGCCTGATATTCCTGGCTGAGGATTGATTTCTGCCGAGTGGGTGAATCAATTCTAGCGGATGGCTACTACCAATCTTCATTCTTGCCAACTACACACTCTCCATAGCGATCAGTCTCTTATCTAATATAGTCTTTCTTTATCCTTTTCCTTCTTAGCATCTTATGGCCCCATTCAGTCCTCAGAAGTGTTCCGGCATCGTGCTCGCGCGAGACGGGTCGGACCGAGCCGAGGCCCCCAAGCTCCACTTTCCCAGGTAGACCATACATATCCTGTACACTTCAAAGGAGATCAAAAGCATGCAGGCATCAGCCCAGTGGCTGGATGAATGCAAAAGGTCTCCGGTCAAAAGCAGGCGTCTGCAGAATCCTGGCCCCTCTAGAAAGCTTGTGAATGTGCTGGGACCCTGATCAAGGATGGAAAGCCAAGTTTGGAGTATATTGATGATCGGAAGACCGAGTTACAGCTATGGCAACTGTCAGCCAGTTAGATATACTGAGACAATAGGCTCACAGCTGTCGATCTCTGCTCACGGCTTTCGGGCCTTTTGGTTGCTCTGCCCGTCTCCCGTCACCTTTCCTTCTCTCTCTCTCTCTCTCTACATAGCCCAGATTGGTTCTACTCAGATCTTCTGCCTCTCGTCTCTTCGAGCATCACCAGTTCACATTTCCAAAACCAATTCGGTAAGAGTGACGATCAGTAAAAGTCGTTGTGCCGGTCATGAGAAATATGGACTAGGGGTCACACAAGGTGCTGCTTAGCGTTAAAGTCTCGGAAGGGATTGGCCTTAATCTCACTCAAGAATGGCTCACTCGCAGTCTTCTTGCTAGGATCTTATCCACCGAAGTCAACATCAAAGCAGGATTTAGAGGCTCTAGTCTTCTTATTTTCACGCTTCCCATAGAGGTCCGGACCATAATGCCGGCTGACGACCCATCGTACAAATTCATCGGACACGTCACCTCTCATATTCTCTTACCCGAACACCAAAGATAACCCCCTTCGTCGGGGTATTCTTGCTGACGCATGCGGGTTGGGGCAGACACTGACTTGTGTCTTCTCTAATTTACAGTCTAGCCCAATATACAGCGGAAAGAAGATGTTGAGGAGCCGAGACCATACCCTGTGGCCTTATTGTTGTTCCCGCACACGTGCTGCTCTAATGGGTCAAGCAGATCGATCAATAATTTAGATCGCGGTTTGAGGTGTTGATTGATTCCTTTTGGGGGGACTCAAACCACATCTCGGACCCTACTCGAAAGCAGCGCACGGTGAGAACAATTGAGGACTTACAGAGGAACCTGGAGGCGCTGGATATTACTGACTCGAGATCGGCTACACGATCGTCATCAACACTTAGGATACGATCCGCTCGCGGATGTACGACGAGGTAAGTACTCTTGTAACCGGATTCGATCTTATAATGAAAACGGAGTTGAGCCAACATCGACCTTTTCTTTAAGGTGACGAGTGCATGCCAAGAAATGCAACCCCTTCCACCAGAAGCTAGCTTTTAGCAACCTAGAGCACACCGTAAGCCTCAGTAACGATCTGGTGTCTCATATGCCGTATATTTGCTAGCAGAGGAGCAGGAACGAGCCTGGTGATTTCGATGAATTCTCCCTGGACTATTTATCTAATGAACTTGAGGTGGAATCTGACGCATGGTAGGTGAAGGAAAGGAAGAATCGTCTCGTCCCAAGCTAGCTGGAATCCCGACGAACACTCAGATTTATCTCCTCAACCGCGAGTCCAAGAATGAAACAAAAAGCTATACCTGAGCCACCAAAGTAGATAGTACCACAGGAAAATTAGAGGGTTGTTTCAAAAGAAAGGGAATGGAAGAATTTCTAGTTAAAGTAGTGCCACATCCAGACGGCTAAACTGATACTGGGACCTATAGATACGCACGTGCACGAGAGGTGGTCTTTCGAAATTGTAGCATTATCAGGTAAAGTCTAGAAAATCCAAGGTCTTCCATGACGGAATTTTCTCGGTGATTTGAAATGAAATCTCTTCCACTTACTTTGCTTGTACATTTCCGTATGGGCTGAGTGGTCGTCTAGAACCTCACGGCCAGCTCTTATTGCTTGTGTAGGCTTGGCGCTACTCTAAATTTCCTAATCGGGAAAATGAAAAATTGGCTTTCCTAAAGCGGCAATATGCCCCGATATGGCACAAGCACATCGCATGACGAATGACATTCCTGGAATGAACTTTTCATAGGGCTATCATAGCAGAGACGAAAAATCCCCACCGGTGCGAAAGTCCAAGCTTTTCCTGATTCAGGATTCCTGAATCATGAACCGAAGTCACCACGTGGCTCGCTACTGGTCGCGAGGCCCGAGGAAATATCATACGCTTCGCCTCACAAGTTAATTATGAATAAAGTACTGGACAATTAAGGTGACTATTGCACATACTGAAATTTGAAACCTAGCTTTTGATCTCGAAGGGGTATAACTACGCCAACACCTGTATTTCAAGACCTTGATTAGAGCGCTTCATGGATATCGCCTAATTAAGAAGATCAGGATAGAAGCCCCGCAATCAGTCATGTGAATTATGCTTGAAGAATCTGCTACATCTAACTCGACAAGGCTTGCTGTATAGGTGTCGAACTGATCTATAGAATGATTAATAGATTTGAAAACTATATGCGCGGCGGCGGGAGCTGTGTCCAAGCAATTAGGGCCAGAAGTGTAACATGACAGAGGATAGAAGAGACCAAAGTGCAGAAACTGAAATCCTATCATCATCGCCAGATCTCACCAGAGACCACTATCATCGAAAGCTGATCATAAAGATGAAGCAGTGTCATACCTGTGGGTCCAATTCCTTGCGAAGCATATTCCCTAATATGGCTAGCGCCCCAGTTCCCGTTCAGGCAATTCAGCACGCAGTGGGGCAAAGTACCCCGATATCAACGCGGCAAGGACCATGTAAAGGCCAGGCCACTCGGAAGCTCTCCCCTGTTACTCCATGCCGTATACCCCTTCCCGGATGAACCAAATTTTCAAATTTGATGTGGCTGAGACCGTGGAAATGTAGTATAAGAATGTGGCATATCTCCCTCAGGGAGTGGTCTTCCTCAATCAAGAATTACGATCATATCTCCTGTCTGGCCACATCGGCAGAGTATTCCCTCTTTACTGACAGGGTCGATACATCAAACAATATGGAGACTCCTTACTCCACCCAAACCAACACTGCAGCTACCAGCCGGACAGTATCTGTGGGATCTGGCCCTGGACAGACCGATTACCTCGACCTCCCCGTCCGTGAATTGAACGATGGCGCCGACCTTCGCGAATATACGACCGAGACACAAACCGGTGAAATCATCAAGCCAATCAAGTCGAACGTTACTGGTAAATTGGAAGACTGGAAATTAGTCACGTTCACTATCGATGACCCCGAGAACCCGAAGAACTGGTCGAAGGCCTACAAATGGTACTGTACCATGGTCGTCGCCTTCACCTGCTTCGTTGTCGCATTCTGCAGTAGTGTCATCACAGCCAATTTGGAAGGACCAATGGAGGATTTCCATGTGGCTCGTGAAGTCAGTCTGCTCGTTGTCACTGTCTTCGTTATTGGATTTGGTGTTGGTATGTCATATTGAGAGCCCATTGAGTTTATTGCCACATTACTAACTTTATCTCAGGACCTATGGTCTTTGCTCCACTATCAGAGATGGTTGGACGGCGACCAGTATATGCAGTTACACTTCTCCTTGCCGTCATCTTCGTCATCCCATGTGCTGTTTCTAAGAACATTGGAACATTGATTGTTTGCCGTCTGATTGATGGCATTGCATTCAGTGCGCCGATGACTCTGGTCGGAGGTACTCTGGCAGATCTTTGGAAAAATGAGGAGCGTGGTGTCCCAATGGCTGCATTCAGTGCCGCTCCTTTCATTGGCCCTGCAATTGGTCCTTTGGCTGGTGGTTTCCTCGGTGACAACTGCGGTTGGCGCTGGCTTTACTGGCTCCAGCTGATTTTGTCCTTTGTTGCATGGGTTTTGATTACCTTCACCGTCCCCGAGACCTATGCCCCAATTTTGCTGAAGAAGCGAGCTGCGAAACTGCGCAAGACCGAGAACGACCCTAAGTACACCACCGAAACTGAGCTTGATCCTCGCCCTCTGGGCCAGAAGCTTCGTATCTTCCTCTTCCGACCTTTTCAGCTGCTCTTCCTGGAGCCTATCGTCTTGTTCATCTCCCTGTACATGTCAGTGCTCTACGGTCTGCTCTACATGTTCTTCGTTGCCTATCCCATCGTATACCAAGCTGGCAAGGGCTGGTCCGCCTCCATGACTGGTCTTATGTTCATCCCTCTGGCCATCGGTGTGCTCATGAGTGCTGCTTGTGCTCCCTTTGTTAACAAGCACTACCTCAAGATTTCCGCGGAATGCGGTGGGAAGCCTCCGGCTGAGAAGCGTCTGATTCCCATGATGTTCTCTTGCTGGCTCATTCCTATTGGTCTTTTCATTTTCGCCTGGACCTCGTACCCTACTGTCCACTGGATCGGTCCCGCAATCGGCGGATGGCCTGTCGGGTTTGGATTCATTTTCTTGTACAACTCCGCTAACAATTATCTTGGTAAGCCAATTATCTCCTGAATTAAAACATTGAATTTCTTACTGACTTGAATTGCAGTTGATACTTATCAACACCAAGCCGCTTCGGCGCTGGCAGCAAAAACCTTCATTCGCTCCATGTGGGGTGCGTCTACCGTCCTGTTCACAGAGCAGATGTATAACCGCCTCGGCTACCAGTGGGCCAGTTCCCTTCTCGCCTTCCTTGCCTTGGCATGCTGCGCTATTCCTTATGCGTTCTACTTCAAGGGCGCGTCCATTCGCCGTTTCTCCAGATTTGCCTTCAGTGACGATGAGGAGCAGCAAGGTGTAAAGGCTTAATTGAACGACCAACCTGCACACGAAACAAAAGTTGATAATTGGAGAAGTGATCTATGTTCCTAAGACCAACGAAGCAGTCGAGGTACTTCCATATGGCAATATTTTCCAGTCTTTATTTCTTTCCGCCCATTATTCTTTCTGGGCGAGCGAATATCATGTTGAAACGGTTATTTATGGCGTTGATGGCTTTATCATGGCATGAAAATGTTGACATATATAGATTTAGACATAGATTCATATTTACATAGTTATTAAAGTATAGTATTTTTTCAAAAAAAATGTAGTTTTGGCACTACTAATTTCAGCTTGGAGATTTACAGTTATGTCCCTCCTCCCTTCTTAGCCTCATTAGGCAAGGCTTGTAGGGGATAGGGATAAAGTGAGAGAGGATGAATGATGAGAGATAGATGAGGAGAAAGAAAAAGAAGAAGAATATCCCTTCACCTCAGTCTTTCCCGTTTCCTATATCACTTATTAATCAGTTCGCGTACCCATTAATATAAGTTTCTAGCCTGTATCTACTACCCCCCACGCTTTTTCTCTACTAAACTCTACCTAATTACCTTTTTAATCCTCTCTCTCTTAGCCTCTACATTTCATCCTCCGTCTTCTATCCCCCGCCTCCCATCGTCCTTCTCTTGCCCTCCTTCTATGTACAGAATATGGAACGCCATCCTAGCCCTACAGTTTCTTGTTGCCCAAGGATATATCATCCGTCCCCAAGACCGTTCCCAGAGCGGCGAACATGGCTTTTCAGATCTTCACGTCTTCCAATATCGCAACAATGCCACTATAATACAAGAGGGCTGGCACCGAAACACAGGAGCTCTTGGGGGGCAAGTCGTTGATTGTTTAAGTCGGTATTTGAGCGCCACACACGGTAACCGTCGACCCGGAGATCGGACTCCTGAGCTGCTGTCGGCCTGCAGATGCGCGTGTACAAGTACAGCAATGTCAACGAGGGGGTTCTTAACTAGGCACTACGAGGTATTTGTTGGATAATGTGTGATTTAAAGAAGGATCCTCTCCTTCTCTTGTCCTCTACGTCTTATCCTCCTGCTTCTATCTATCTTGCTCGACACTCCAACTGACCTACGCTTTGCTCCTAAAACCCTGCTAACAGATCATGCAAGCTGCCTCAGAATTCTTGGAGATACAGACAAGGGAGATGGGACTGGGAAACTGCGGTACCTCTTCACTAAAGGTATCAAGATCGTTGAAAAGCTCAACCGGCTTGTGGATGTTTTTGAGGACATCGATCATGACACGTCTATGAGCCTAGAGCACCGGCATGCAGGAGGCAGAAGGTCAAGACAGACAGAATGAGCGCCCAAGTCCAACAATGTTTCAAGTACGGAGCATGTCGACGCCACGGATTAAGCTCAAGCTCAGAGCCTCTAATCTCGATGGTGTCTACCGATGAGCTGTTTACGGGCGTGACCGAATGTCGGATATGCGGTGTCAAGGTTGAAAGTATATTTATGAACATCTGACCGTCATGCATTCGGAGCTAACAGGGCCCAAGAATAGCTATTTCCGGGTATACGCCGAGGAATGGAAGTTCAATTGTATGGTGGATGGGTGTAATTTGACTTTTAAAGGGTATTTTTGCTACCGTTATCATTGGGGTTGCTCCTAACCCAATATTTCACAGCCAGCACAGGCAGAATATAAGGAGTATACTGCAAGCTTTGCGAATGATCCATATGACCGCGTAGTTATTCCGGCTGATGTGCTAGAATTGGATGTTTTTGGATTGGATACGCCTGATGTGAGTGTACCTGAAGTTATTGCTCTTGCTGCCAATGCTCGCGGGTCTTTCGACTTTGGAATGTAGCAAACAAAAGCTAAACATGCCAACAAAGGAAACGGACCTAAAGAAGGAATGGGAATCGCCATGATCCCTAGATAATTCCCCCGATCTATTAAGTATATGCTGACCTAGCCCCAATCAGTGCATACCCATATATAAAACGTCTATCATTGATTTAACCCCGGGTTAATATATCCAGGGAGAGGTAAATAAACTACATCCTTTCTCTTTTTCTCATAATATTAGCAGCGGGTTACTTGCCAAAAAGCATTTATGACGTAGAGCCGACCTTCCGCATTTAGAACCCCACGTCACGTGCCTCGGCAGATAAGCAACCGCGACCGATGATGCTTTGCGGGTTTTGTCTCCAATTCGACTCCATTTCCTTACACACAATGCGATTTTAAACGGTGCTATGGAATGACGCACATAAAGGCATTATCCGCCTATGATACAGCTCACCCTTTGTCTTCACTTCTCCCCTGTTGAACCTCCTCTTCCGCTCCGAGCCGTTCACGGTCGCAATCGACACTGACATCGACGAGCGCACGATAATCTCAAAAAACTATACCGGGCGTGGAAAGGAATAATCGGAACACAATGACCTCGCCATATCCCCAATCGAATTTGTTCTCCCAGTCGGATCTGACCGCGGCGCCAAACAGGTCTGTTTCTGACTTGCCTCAAGCTCAGGTGGACGCCATCATCCGTACAAAGCGCAAGGCGCGCGAGCCTAAAGCCTGTTACCCATGCCATGCGCGCAAAGTGAAATGCGATCGGAATCTTCCTTGTGATGGATGTGTTAAGCGTGACCATGCGGACCTTTGCTCCTACGAACGCCCCTCCAAGAAGCGCTCTCAAGCGTTCCACGAAAGCCCGATCGGTGGCGCTTCAGCAGGGTCATCGGCAGAGCAGCATGCCTCATACGGGTATGAGGATAGCGAGGTGCAGGTAAAGCCGGATCCTGTCCAGCATTTCCCGACTCAAATCAACGGGGCCCAAACCGGCGGCCGCGTGTCAATTGCGAGGGAGGAATGGGATAATGTGCGCAATAGACTGCGAGAAATGGAATCCACCATCTCCTCACTGCGCGTGGGCCTCGAACGTGCTGAAGAAGGTCCGTCTGTGACAACGGATGGCGGAACCGGGAGTGTACAGAGCGGCGATGCAAGTTCCCGGGCCAAGGGTGCGTCGCCGGAACGAGAGGGCATTCATACTACGAATACCCTAGGCAAAGGCACTGTCCATCTGGGCTCGCGCTCGGTCCTGGCTTATATCTTGAACAACAAGTCAGGATCCGACCAGCTGCAAACTCTATTGGAAGACGGAATACTGCCCAAGCTTGGGCTTGACAATGAGTCGGCAACTTACCCGTTTGTGGATTTGTGGTCGTCAGACATGTCGACTTTCGACATCAGCGCTGTTTGTAGCGCACTTCCAACTGATCAACAATGCAGAGAGTAAGTTGGAATTTCTCTTTGAATATTGTTTGGACCTACATATCTAATTGTGGCCCTGTGTGCAGGTTTTTCTATTACTACAAGAATATTGCTGGCGCGATTTACCCTGTCCTCGAAGATATCCGGCAGTTCCAAAACAGCCTTGAGCTTCTTATGCAGAACAGAGCAGCCTCAGGTGGTGTCTATAGAGAGGATGTTGACGAAGCCCAGAGTCCCTTTGGTGTGAGCATTGCCTACCTAGGCCTATTATTCGCTGTCCTCGCGTCCGGCTGCCAGTCATCCGACCTTGGAAGTAAGGAGCGAGAACTGACTTCGCAAGTCTATGGTATGTTTAACAGAGATTTGTTCGTAATCACCGTTGACTAACACCTCGTAAAGTGTGCTGCTCTTACCAATGCCTTCGCATGACCAATTTTTTGTCTCAGCCAACCATTGAAGCCATCCAGACGCTTCTGGTTATTGGAAACGTTTTGTCTTACAACATGAACCCCGGAATCTCTTACGTCCTGCTGGGCATGACGCTTCGGATGGGCCTGGCTCTTGGCTTGCATGTTGAGTCGAGTAGGTTTTCGTCACTGGAACGATATCGCCGTCGACATGTCTGGTAAGTTTCTGGCAAATGAAGTTCCTCGTTTCCGAAGTGGACTTGACCTAACCGGATTGATAGGTGGTCCATGGCATGGCAAGATAGTCACTTCTCTCTCTCCTACGACCGTCCCTCGACAACTGCCGTCAGCCAGCCCGAAATTGCTTATCGCGAGGGCTCAAAACCGGGCGACCTGTCGTATTTTGAGACTCTCTGTCGAGTAATATCTTTGGCCTTGGAAGTTGTTCGCATTCGGATGTTAAGCCCACATACCCAAATAAGTTTTGAAAGTATTCAGGGCTACAAAGAACGAATTCAGAAAATCATGGTTGAAGCAAAGCCGCATTTGCGAGATGCGCAATGGTGCACGAGTTCACCCGAGCATCTGGAACGAGTTGTGCTGAAACTACACTCTTCATATTTCTCTTCTGAGCTTTGCCGACCATCACTGAAACCGAGTTCCGATGCCAATAATGCGGATACTGCGAGTATGCGTCGAGACTGCGTCAGTAATCTCATGACAACCGTGGAGGCATATATCGAAATGTACAACATCAGCTCCCACGCAGCTCGATCTTGGATTGCGCTGCAGCGAGCAATCAGCTCCGCATTTCTGCTTGCTGTTATTGAGGAAGCCAAGCAAGAGCCGAAGGTTTGGAGCCTTCTACGCCAACTGGAGTCGATCATAGCCCAACGTGCCAGCAACGAACGTGCCTATGATACAGCCGATGTCGCTGGTACCGGTAGCAGCATCACATCGCCCCAGGGCATGCCCACCTACGACCCCATCACGGGAGCGACTAATCCACCGGGTTCTGCTCAACCCATTCTGGATCCCACTTCACCTGCTGGAGTCAACCCGGACAATCAAACACAATGGGCTAAGTCGCTGGCAAAAACGCATCGTGCCCTGCAGAAGCTTCTCACGGCATTCGGAAACCAGCATACTCGCGGCGCGACCGCGCGTAGCCCCGCATTTCCTCAATCAAATCTCAACGCGACAGCTGCCTCGGCCTCGATGAGTAACTTTGCTCCTCCTGTACCGGCAAGCATGACCCCTAGCGTGGGATCTCTTCCACCCCCGACCCCAGAGAGCTCTGGGAGTGGGGAATGGACAATTCCCAATATCTTGGACCGCGCGTCAGAGTATATTCATCCACCGCTCTGGAGTTAGACAGAGGATGATTTTGGGCTTTGAGCTTTGACATTCCTTCTTATTTAAGCGTGGTCCCGGAGCATTACCTGGCGTTTGTGTGTTTTACTAATGCTAGTGGCGTTCCCTGGTTCTTGAATTTGGTTGTAGGGACTGCCTAAAATTCTTCAAGATTCTCCTTTCATAATCTATGGTCGATCGATCACTTTTGATTCTTTAGTGCATGATGAACAGCGCATCAATATTTCATGACATTTCAATACTTCCCAATCGGCTTGTCTATATGTTTCCGGAAATCTATTATAATGTTTTTTGCCACCATTCTGGCTGACAAAAAGGAGAAGCCTATTGCCCTAGAACTTCATCGCAGGCTGCAGTTCACCAATGCACTCACCAAATCCAACGCCAGAATCAGCTCCACCCGCCACAGCGGTCATGCGAACTACATCACCATCCAACAGGAAATGCCTCTTGGAACCATCAGCAAGGGTGACAGGCTCCTTGCCAGCTTTGGTAATCTCAAGCAGACAGCCATAGCTACCATCGACCGGACCGCTGACCGTTCCAGTGCCAATGATATCTCCAGTCTGAAGGTCGGCCCCGGTGCTAGCAAGATGGGCAGCCATTTGACGTCCGCTCCAGTGCAAGTCCTGTACCTTTGACTCGGTGACAGTGGTTGTTTGTGTCCCAACAAGAATTTCCACCTTCATATCAATAGCATAACTGGAGTCGGCAATATCTTCGAGATGGCTTGCCAAGACAGCCTCGGGCTTGGGGCCCGCGACCTTGAATGGCTCGAGGGCATCCAATGTCACAATCCAGGGTGAAATGCTCGTTCCAAATGACTTGCCATTCAGTGGTCCCAGTGGAACCATCTCACATCCCTGGATGTCGCGTGCTAAAGACAAGGTTCGGTCAGCGTCAACTTCATGTCACCTTCCTTTACGGGTCGAAAATACTAACCGCTCCAATCATTCAAAATAACCAAGCCAAAGATGTGCTCATCCGCATCTTTCGCATTCAATCCTTGTAGACGTGAAACACCCTTGCCAACGATGACCCCGATCTCCAGTTCGTAGTCTAGAGCTTGCGAGGGACCATATACAATGGGCTTCTTCTCAGTTGGCGCAGAACGGTCAAAGAAATGGCCTTGTGGCCGGATCACCGGAGTACCCGAGACAAAAATAGTGCTTGCGCGGCCGTTGTATCCGATTGGAAAGTTGAAGAAGCCGGGAGGAGGGGATTCGTCATTGAGGATAGCTCGGCCTGCGTTCCGAACGTGGTGCAGACTGCACGAGAAGTCTAACGGATATTAGATTGCGTTGTCCATCAAATAACAATGGCACTTTACGAACATACCTGTAAAACCGCCTACAGAGACAGGCATATGAAGAGTCACCGCACTGATGTCTTCGGTGAGTCCCGTTGGCAGGGGTTTGGCCAGTGCCACTTGTAACACCTTGCGGACCTCGCGCTGAGTGACCTTTGGTAACGCCGCGTACTCATTGAGACTCGGCTGGTCAAAGATACCCTCTGGCAAGCTCAAAATATCAGCAAAGACACCCGTACGTTGTAACTCCGCAAGAAATATGACGTTATTCTCCAATCGAGTTACACATTGAGGCTTCGGGTGCGTGTTGGACGAGGCTACTCCGAACGGAATATTCGCGATAGAGAAGTGGCTCTGGTAGTCGACGGAGGCCATGATGAAGTCTTTGTCTGTCAAATTGGCATGAAAAATTACAAGAACAACATTTCTATCAATCATTGCGCCTCGCTACATTCTTATTATTGCGCATGGCCTCTGCATCCCCCACCATCCGAAGAAGGAATTGCGGGGAGCGCGGATGGAGCCCACATCCCGACGAGAAGGACTAACTATGGAACATTCTCTCAAACTGCTTCATAAGCCCCACCAATTCATAATTTGCCTCGGCCGCTTTGAAAAATATCGCGCAATTGACTGGTTATACTTTGTCATACCGCATTTCGTATAATCCTGGCCACGAGGCGAAGACCCAAACTCCAGGAAACCTTGCATGAACCACCATGAATCGCCTACACCGCTACTATTCCTCTTCTTTCCTAACAGGCATCTCATGAGTGATGACTGGACTCGAGGTAATGCAGTTTCAGTTACGTGCGCAAATCGGCGCTATCGGAAAATGCATGGTTGCACAGCGTCGGCCTGTTATCTCCTAGAGCGGGAACAGTCCTGACATCCACCGTGGAGGTAAAATCTACCTCTTGGGTTCTCGCCTGAACTAACGACAAGAGTCCAGCATGAGTCTGGGAGTTGCTAACCCTTGGCTTCTCGTGAGGTCGTGAAAAATCGGACTCTCCGACACCTCTGGCACTCAGTGAAGTCGCGTCACATCTCTTGAAAACAGGTCACAAAACCACTCTTTAGGCTGGTGAAAGCTGGCGAAAACATGTCTGCTACGATTAAGAAGCATTACTACAACGTCGGGGTCTTGCTCTTCCAGGGGGCAGATATCCTTGACTTCGCAGGTCCAATGGAAGTCTTATCCCATGTCTCGCATAACCGAAATCCAGATGACCCCGATCGAATGTTCACTACCCAGACTATTGCACGAAGCACTAATATTCGTGCTGCGAATGCATTGAGTGTACAGGTGGACACAATTCTCGACCATGCGCTGGAAAATATCTCCGAGTACGACATTCTGGTCGTGCCAGGAGGACCGCCCTCTGTGCTACAACCCATGGTCGATGTCAATCTGCCCGAGGTGGAGCTCATCCGCAAGTTTGCGCGTCTACCCCGGACTTCTTTACAACGGCCGCGTTTGTTATTCTCAATTTGCACCGGTAGTTTCTTGCTTGGTGCCGCGGGTATTTTGTCAGGTCTGACCGTCACTACTCACCATCGAGCAATTGATAATCTCCGGGATATATGCCTCAAATTTGGGGGAAGAAGTGACCCGTCAACAAACGTGGTGCATAAGCGTTATATTGATGGGGGATACATCAAAGGAGATGCTGTGCAAGTCATCACAGCCGGGGGTGTCAGCTCGGGCCTTGATGCTAGCTTCTATATTGTCCGCCTGCTAACAACACCGGAGATGGCCGCTTTCGTGTCTCGGCTGATGGAGTATGGTTGGACCGAATCGGACAAGCGATCCTAGATAGACACGTACACTAGTCAATTCATGGACACAGTTCACTGTCTGACCTGTATTGCGACACTGAATAATGAGCCGGCATTATGAACTCATTGAGGGCTACTGCGTCATGAGTAACATGGGTTTACCTTACAGCTAGAGCTTTCTCGTATATGATGTTTGCCATTTTTCCGGTCAGCCAGACCTCGCCCATCATATGTCTAGCGGCAGTTTCCTCAGGATCTGCGAACCATAGCCACATGTAGACCGGATGAATGGAGCTGAATACCGCGAAAGCCACTAGACTACGAGTATGATGCTGATTATATGCACCGACCCTCGGGAGTATATTCTGAGTCACATAGTCCCACTTGGCAAGAACTGGTGTATCTGTGATTTGCCAAGATATCTCCTTCCTTCAACATCAAATGACTGCTCTTCAGGATGTATGCTGGCTTGAATACAATCAAGGTAAATGGCCTTGTAGCCTTGACCCAAAGGAGTACGTCCATCGCTGCACCCCTGTAAATTAACGGTGGCACGTTACTGCAAGTCTCGTCACCAGCAGACAAAACTATATGTTTAAAACTATGCCAAGGGTATCTTTTATCCTCCGTCGCCACCTGACCGTATACGAGTTTTGCTGACACCTTTTAGATCGCATCGCAGCCCTTCCAGGTTCCTTATTTGCTCGCCGTAATTGACCTACTCAGCAGCACATGGTAGATTGACACCTACCCCAGTCAGAGATCTTCATGCGTTTCTTTTCTCAGATCATCTCGTACGTTAGACTTTACGCAGAGACATAGAGTGAAATCTGCACGGCAAAGCCTGTTGTACAGGCCTAACAGACCAGCGGTCTATGGTCTTCTACATTCAACTTCAAACTCTGCGTCTGAGTCCGCAATAGGAGAAATAGTCATACGGCTGAGCTCTCTTTCGTGGCGTTGTCGGTGCTCGAGAGATCTTACCTCGATCTTACATTGACCAAGCCCGGGTATATAGGACCTACTCGTTCTGCAGCGACGCTGAATTGTCTCGCCTGGTTATCTGGAGTTGACAGATCAAAGCAGGCAAATTAAATCTTTCTACGGTTTTCTGAAGATCTCAACCCCCCGCCCTTTTTTTTTTTTTTTTTTTTTTTTTTTAAACTCACGATACTCCGGGGTGACACCGTTTAACTTGCACCACCATGATTGCCCCAGCACCTATTGCCGACATGGTCACAGACCTCAATCCACAGAGTCCCACCAAGAATGGAATTTTTAATCTTGAAGAGAGTAATGCTACCGATCACATTCCGATCGAATTCTCCACTGACGATGTGGCACCCCCTTCCGAATCTGACATTGCCGATCCCGATCTGATTACCGCAAACGGCAATCCCTCGACACAACACGCAAAAAATGCCCTCAACCGCCAGTCTCCACCTGATTCTCTCTCTAGTACTCCTATCGACGATCGCAAAATGGCAGTTGATATCTTGAAGGTGATTGAGAGTTATGGCGTTGACTACGAGAAGAATGGCGGTTCCTGGAAGGGGTTGGAGTCGTTCGTTCCTATCGTCGTCGAACAAGTGAAGCGCCAGGAACCGATTCGGATGATTCTTCCTGCATTTCCTTTCAAATCACCAAATGCGCGAGACAAAGTCCTGGGTACGATGCCTGACTTTGGCGAGGAACTGGCGCTTTGCCATCTGAACGGACTGTGTGAGAACATCGCCCAAGTATACGAGCCCGGGGCCAATGTATATATCAGCTCAGACGGCCTCGTGTACAATGGTAGGTTAACTCATGGCCCAAACTCTGGCTTTTTCTAATTCGAGGTATCAGATATCCTTGGGGTTCCCGATGAGACTGTCTGGGACTATAGCGAGACACTGCGAAAGATGGCCGTGGAGAAAGACCTCCGCCATGTGAAGTTTATTCGCTTGTTCGAGCTCCTTGAGCATCCTTGGTTCCAGAGCAATAACCCAGAGACAGCAAAGGCCTTCTACCTAGCACATGCTAGCTGTCTACGCCGCGAGCTGATGTATATCTTTGGTGACCCCACGTTCAACGCCGATAAGGCTATCAAGACTGACAATGATACTTGTCTGACGTACCGCGGGTACATCAAATTCCTCACCAAAGATCTCGCACATCAAGAAGAGACCCAGACCCTTTCCAAGCGTGCGAGACAGACACAAATCTCCCAGATCGCGCGCCAGATGATCATTCGCGGGAAGATGTTTGCTGCCGCCATCAAAGCCAATCGAGGCGACTATGTTCGATTATCTATTCACGAGTCTGCCGGCGAGAAGAAATTGTCTGTTTCTGTCATTCCACAGCTTAGGGGAGCCCTTGGATTTACGCCATGGCACGCCTCTGTGGCCATCGGCCTGGATGGTTCATACCGAACAGTCCACGCTGAAGATGTGCGAGAGACACACGACCTGATTTATAAGAACGGCCAGCCATACTTCTTCCGAGAGAAATCCGAGATATTCGATTGGTCGAAGGATGGAATTTCCGTGAAATTTGAGCATTTATATCCCTGTGGAGTCATCATTCGCCCAGCCGACATTGATAATCTGAACCCGCGACCGTCGATCAGCGCTATTCCCATGAATAAGGCCAGGAGGATCTCTAATAGCATGTCACCGGTGATTCTACGTGGCTTTGCAGAGACACTTGAAGAAGATCTTTATGTCAAAGCCGGATCTGAACTTGGCACCATCCTCCCGTGGAGCTTCGGTATAATCCAGAAAGTGCGCGATGCAGGTCGCTCGGATAAGATGGGCAACAACGTTACTTCGAATGAGCCGATGCCAATGCATTTTGATGGCATGTTCAAATTCGAAGAAATCACCGATCCAGTCACAGGGGAAACCAAGAAAGTACAGCGCCCACCGGGTTACCAGTTCTTCACCTGTCCAGCGACCGCCCCGAAAGGCAGCGGATACACTCTGTTCGCTAGCTCGAGGCTGTTCTTTAGGTATCTCCCGCAGCCCTGGAATGCAGAGCGCCTGCAAAATGTCACCTGGGCCATGGATAATAATGGTTTCTGGGATGCGAAAATGAAGAATCTCCCACTGCTTGTGAAACACCCAGTCTCGGGATTACCTTGCCTGAGATGGCATCAACCGTGGGACTCCACGAAGACCAAGTTTTCCACTTGCGATGTGAAAGTTGAAAATGAAGAACCCAGTCTCGTTCAGATTATTGATCGCATCACGTATGATCACAGAGTCTGCCTTCGCTTTGAGTGGGAAAAAGGTGATCTTCTAATCAGTGATAACACTGCCATGCTCCACACTCGCACAGGGTATATAAGTGACTGTGATCGTGAGTTGTGGCGCATTCATTTTGATTAGAGAGATAGGGAATGTTGGTATTGGACGGCTTGCAAATTTGTCTTGGCATTTGCTACTGCTGTTATAGTTCAAGTCACTCGCTCCTTTTCTGTTGCCAGAATGTGTCCAATGTGTAGATAAACATGTCGTGACAATATGTAGGTCCTTATTTAGATGGGTCTAAAACTTAACAAGGCCAATTGTTTGCTGAAATCTACAAATAAAACCAGGGAGCCACATATTTCATTCAACGTGCTGAAGGATATCATCTGTCGCCGCGAGGGTTGCAAATATGTGGCGGGCTTTGTAGTGATGGCAGGCTTTGAAGATACCCAGCTTTAGAAGCAAGGTAGCCTCTGGAGTCGTGGTATATAAGTTTAATAGGTTGGGGGAGTTGTGATTATAAACGGAATTAATCTTTTTCCTCACCCTTGATTTCATTTTTTATTTCTGATGTGTGCAATCTCCTTTCTCCTCCCACCGACTTCAGGCCCTTCGCCGAAACTCTCCAAATCAACAAATCAAACCGTGTAAAGAGATAAAATTGGAAAGACAGAAGGCAATCTCCCTATAGGCTGTCCCCTTCGTCCTACGTGCTGGCTGTTTCTAGGGCCTTTTCCCCCATTCCATTCTGTTCTCTCGTTCTCCTATACAGATAGACATAATCGAACCTTCCTCTAATTCCTTGTACTGGCCAATATTAATTCCGATCACAGTCCACCCCTCCGCCAATTTTCGCTGCCGACAGCCCCGACTACTTTGAGGGAATGGCAGACGAGGATCTTCTGGGCCTGGACACAACCCCCTATTGATATTCGAGCGATGGAATAATGTTAGATCGGGTACTCGCACCCTCCTGATCAAGAGCACTATCCATATCCGCCAAGATTGGAATCAGACACTCCCACATTGGAGGCATCGGTATTGGAGGGACCCGTTCTCAGAGGGACCCATATCAGATGTTGGGAGCAGTCATGCCCCCGGGACCCTCAATTTCATAATGAGAAATAAGGAATAGGTGAAAAAGAAGGGAGGAGGGGAGCAGGAAGAGGGGGAAGATGAAGAAGAGTAAGTGGATTTGAGCAAGAAAAAGAATGTGGAGGTAGAAGATACAAACTAAAACTCGGCGAGGTGTCAAACCAAGTCAAACCGGAAAGACTGATAGACTCGAGATATATCGGAAGCTAAGATCCATCTGAGGGACTAGGAACTTGAGTATACTCTCCAGGAGGAAACAATACCTAGTTTGAATTAGCTCAGCTACTGTTATTAATTGACCTCCCATTTTTCTTTCTCTAAGAACACTATTCTTTACCTCCCTGTATATTCCCCTTCAGCCAAACTTTCAGCCACCGTTAATAAAAAGACTAATTAATCATAGAAGTAGTTGCGGTTTACTCGGACAATTTATATGATGGGAGCTATCTCAAAACTCTCAAAAGATAGGCTCTTAATTCTTTTTTTTTGAAACATCTTCATAAAGGTCTTGTGAACCATCCCTCTACATAGTTTTATGACCCCGTTTCACCTTATCTTCTGAATTATGATTTACAGAATCATTTTGAAGTTGATGAGGGAATTTGATGAGGGAAGTTGATTATATCATGTAGCTATCTAGCCACAGTATAAGATGAGTCATCCTAATTAGGCCTAGATTGTTGTACGAGTAACAATGATGAGGGGGGTCGTTCTAATCCCCTAACATTAATATTCTAGACCTAGGCTCGGAAGGACTTTGGAACCCAGTCTTTATTCGTGTGAAGCTACATGAATTCCAGATTCAATTATTTTCCTAGTGTGGCTGATGTTGAAGGTCATCGTCATGTTCTGATTTGATAGTGAGACAGTGAGTATGATCATCTCGTTCCGCTAATATTTGAAAAGGCCAAGAGCGACGGGGCATGAACTTAAGAATTGACTTTCTTTAGCATCTGTGAGCCACGGCTAAGAACCCTCATTCATTGTGTACCCTAGCTTATCAGTCTTCCACAAATTGTAGATTTGTGGCGATTGACGCCATGAACGTAGGTAAGCCCCCTTGGCGTATAGGGAGACGAACTAAATCCGATGAAACAAACTTTTGACTATCAATCAGCCTTGGCCAGGCCGTGCACGTGACCTGAGTGATGTTGCTGGTTGAAAAGTTGGTTGGGCCAATCGGAGCTTGCGCGGATGGGATTGATAAGGTCTCGACTCGAGAGGCTCGAACAGTTTGGCCACCATCAGTTAACTTTGGCGCAAGCGGAACGAATGAGAAGGTTATCTTGCCAGTGACATGGATCATGACGCATCTCTCCAATCGAACATGTGGGGTAATCGGGCACAAAGCGGAACATTATACTTTTGAATGCTAAAATTATAATTTGTTCTCAAGTCGTGTTATTTCCGGTAAAAGGCCACTACCATCACACGATTTACTGTCGAGTACAAATGCGGCTACAAACATGATGTTATCTCTCTACAGCAAGCTATGATTGCCGAGCACAGGGGCCGCCACAATTGTAATCAGGCGTATCTCAGAGCTCTCAGCTACTCATCTCACGCGATCAACGCTCTCTCTTGCTCAGCTAGACCTGGGCCTTCAACATTACCAAAACTGAATTCACAAAATGCAGTATAGTGATGCCTCCAAGGGTCCCGATGTTGTGCTTACATCTCAGACCTCATAGTCGCGGAATCCGCGGCAGCGCGTTGTTCGCGAAGTATCAGGCAGAACATAGAGTGTTGTCAGTCTCCTAGAACTGACAGGATTCGATTATTGGGTTTGATTACTTGTACACTTTGACAAACTGGCTTGCTTTTTCCGGTCTTGAAATTTGGTAGAATGCTTGAAATTCGAGATTTTCTGATTAGTTGGCCGTGTTGTTTGAGCCAGTCATGTTGAGAAGGTGACCTCGTGGTTGCATCATCGGACAGAAATCTTGGAGAGAATGATAGGTCGAGTTATACCCTTCGAACCGATAGGACGCCTGAGACTATGATTGCCTTTTGGCGTCATGTATTTGAGGGGGGGGGGGGTTAATAGTGAAATAAATCACACGAAATTACTCGTTAAATTCCGCCTATCAGGGTCAATAATCGCGTTGATTTCATTAAAATATAGAGCTATATATCAGATTAAGCTCCAATTGCACCGACCCTTTTCGCTATCTGAATTGTAGTATCCAGAGCTTCCTTCTCAACAGTAGTGAGATTCAAGAAATGGTCTGAAGTGAGGCAAAGAATGTTGTTGCCCTTTAATTCCCAAGGCCCAGAGCCCTTGATGTTACTTGGCTCGGTAATGAATGATTCAAAATTGACCGGTTGCAGATTGGGGTCATCAGAGAACTTGTTCGGGAGGATCCAGCCATTGAACCAAAGTGGTCGGCCTGCCCCGTCCAAATGTACCAGTTGTGGCGCACAGATGGAAAAGGCTCTCCTGGGCTGTTCAGACTCGGTATCTCGTAGTTCATGGCTATGTTTCTCGGGATCGTCCGACGGCTTTTCTTCAGCCACTCCCATCACAGCAACCTTGCCATCATGGAAAGCATAACTGGTATCACCAACAAGTTCATGACCGAGCCAAAATGTTTCTTTATCACCTGGTGGTAATGAGTATATGTTGATACACACAGGAGAAACCAATCAGGTGTCTTACCAAAGACCATATCATATACACCAACTATTCCCTCTTCTTTCTTTCCATCGCGATCTGGACCGTTCATGCGGGTGATTACCAAAAGAGCCACAAAATGCTCCCACTTATCAATCACCACAACGCCGGATTCCTGCATATGACTACTCTCGCCAGTCCAGAAACGGTTTTGTCGGATCTTGCTGGATACCGGTGTTGGCAGGATCTTTTTCAGCCACGTTCTTTTAGATGACGGCTGAATGACTCGATCCTTGAAGAAAAGTGCTCCCGTCTCCATATAATCTGGATCCTTAAACAGAATTGCGGGGTCGCGGAGGAAGAGGGAGTCCGCGTCGATGAAAATTGCCTCGCGGAAACTCGAGAGCAGGATTGCAAATGGCTTAAGAGCCCATCCAGCGAGCTTCCACCCTTTATCATTGACCATTGGGCTCAGGTCGCGAGTGATAACTCCATCGATTGCCTCCAGCTTTTGCCTATTTTCATGTCCCAGATCGTCATCTCCAAGATACATTATCTCGACAGGTAGATCGCAACCCATGCTTCGAAAAGCTTGAATAGATGTCAACAGATAGGCAGCCTGATGATCTCCGCCCGTCAAGACAATGCCCTGACCCCCACTCCAAAGTTGCGCGTGAAGAGTGGTAAGGTCTGGAAAGTAGGGAATTGTCCAGGAAAAAAGAAGTGTTGACAAGCGCGTAAGAAAAGAGTGAAACTCCTCATATCGATGAATAATACTTGCTTGATCCAGTTGCTGCCGAGATACCAGACTAGGGCTTCTTTTGAGATACTGCAATGTGTCCTGACGGACAAACATCTGATCTCGTGTGGGGAAGATATGAAGCGCTTCCCAGGCTTCGAAAGCGTCTTTGAAAATTCGCGCTCGAGCGCCAACTTCTCTAACCTTTTCCTCGCCTGTTCCTTCAATGGGCGCGACCGCGTCTTTAATATCAGGCTCGTCTGGTAGTATGGAAAGCATATTCTCCAACGCTTCAACGAAATGATCATTGTGGTCTCTGTCAAAGCCATCATCAATTGGCTTTTCCCAACCTACATATGAGGCCGCTTCTGATTGTGCGTGGTGTGGCCTTTCTTTCTCTCGACGTGACGGTCCAGCGAACGGCTCCCCAGAGAACGTTTCGGTATCTCGGTTGCAGGCTCCCGCGTAGTAGTCTTCAAGAGAATATAGGGTCGTCTTGCAGAAGTAACCGAAGATGAACATAATTATGAGGACTTGAAATGAAATCCTCCCACGTCTGGGGTAGGATCCACGCCTGGTGTAGCCAGACTGATGGGATAGATTGAACATTTTGCCCATAGCAACAAACAATCTACAGGAGATTGAAAAATTTGGGTAGTTGTTTGGGCAAAGTTCTCGACAGGGCTTCAAGGATTGAATTATTGTGATGTAAAACGCAACTTAATTTGTGGCTTGATCCGAGTCCACCAATGTCCAGATTGGAGCTTCTAAAGTGGCGATTGTTTACGTGTAGACTCTTGAACGAGCTATCATGGGGGTTCACCTAACTCTGCATGGTTATCCGAGCAGCGAACCAATCCTGATGTCGTGTCGAAGCCAGCAAGAATATAATCATCATAGAAAGATCCGGTGTCAAGTGCTACCGACATGTTAAACCACCGAATTGGCCTTCTCGGATTGGGAGCGGAGTCCAGAGCCCGCATTCCGCAAGGAAAAATCGCGGGGAGAGTGGGGCGGACGGACGAGCAAGAAAGTCAATCGAGTCCCCCAACGGCCGGCCTCGAACCCAATCGAGACCGAATGCGGAGCATTGATCTTTTGGTACTAGCTAAGTCTGAGAACCGCCTGTTCGCGCGGGAGGAAATTCTAGATCGCCAATAAAGAACGGTCCTGATTGCCGGCCAATTGGGACCAACTAGGTGTTGATGGAAGTTCCCGAGATGGTCATGTGACACCGTTTGATTAGCCAAGATAGACTTCCTCGCCTAGATATAGATGTCTGAGTCTCTCAGTCTAGAACATTGCTTGAACAATCAGACCCACAGCAACACGAAGAATCCAGGTTAAGGTGTTGGTCTTTGTACCGCATCACTATGTCATAGTCGGTACTACGCAAATAGTAGCGAGAATAGACAGATGGCCGAACAATGAACAAAGGGTAGTGGGTTTAAGATTAGAGTTTCGACATACTTATTTAAGAATGCCGTGACCTCGAAGTAAATTTCGATGAATTTGGGATTTATCCTTTGATGTCTCCATATGTGGTCAGCTCCTACCTCCACCGGTACTTCGGGGGACGCTGATCTTTTGAAAGCCTTCATCGTCGTATAGCCCTTTGAGCCCTGCGTTGCTATTGTTCTATTGTTCAATATGAAAATCCATCACTTTGTCGTGAGCATTGTAGTGCTCTTGCTTATGCAGCTTACTGAAGCTCGGCCATGGACTCTACGTGCGCGGGATGTAACTCAACAGTGCTCGACAAGTTTCCGTATTGGAAGTGCTAACGGAGGTACGATTATTGGGTCGGTCAATGTGGTAGTTGATGTCACAACACAAAGCATCGTTGTTACATACCCACCAGCTCCTGCCGGGGCCTCGTATCAGGAAGCTCATTTCTATGTCGGAACTTCGCCTCCCGCGACTGGTAACCCGGGTGGTTTTCCATATAGCGCTGGAGGCGCAGGCTCGACCTGCACCGGCTCAACGTGCTCCATTCAGATCCCAGGTCCGATATCGTCCATCAAGTGCGGAGCTAAACTGTACTTCGCCGCCCATGCTTCTCTATCGGGACCGAATGGCGGTACCGGATGGGCTTTAGGAACTTGCTACAGCTGTGGTAACTGTAACACAGCAACTTGTCCTAATTATTTCTCTTGCACCATCACATGCCCGACTACAACGACCACTACAACGACCACTACGACGACCACTACGACGACCACTCAGCCTACTACCACTACCACCACGACAACTACCACTACTACCACTGAACCTACTACTACGACTACAACGACTACAACGACTGAGCCAACCACTACAACTACAACTACCACCACTACCACTGAACCTACTACTACGACTACAACGACTGAGGAAACCACTACAACTACCACTGAGGAAACCACTACTACTACCACCACTGAGCCAACCACTACAACTACAACTACCACCACTACCACTGAACCTACTACTACGACTACAACGACTGAGGAAACTACTACAACTACAACTACCACCACTACCACTGAACCTACTACTACTACTACCACTGAAGAAACCACTACTACTACCACTGAGGAAACCACTACTACTACCACCACTGAGGAGACCACTACTACAACTACTCAGCCTACCACTACTACCACCACTGAGGAAACTACTACTACTACTACCACTGAGGAAACCACTACTACTACCACCACTGAGGAAACCACTACTACCACCACTGAGGAAACCACTACTACAACTACTCAGCCTACCACTACTACTACCACTACCGAGGAAACTACTACTACAACTACTCAGCCTACCACTACTACCACCACTGAGGAAACTACTACTACTACTACCACTGAGGAAACCACTACTACTACCACCACTGAGGAAACCACTACTACCACCACTGAGGAAACCACTACTACAACTACTCAGCCTACCACTACTACTACCACTGAGGAAACCACTACTACTACCACCACTGAGGAGACCACTACTACAACTACTCAGCCTACCACTACTACCACCACTGAGGAAACTACTACTACTACTACCACTGAGGAAACCACTACTACTACCACCACTGAGGAAACCACTACTACCACCACTGAGGAAACCACTACTACAACTACTCAGCCTACCACTACTACTACCACTACCGAGGAAACTACTACTACAACTACTCAGCCTACCACTACTACCACCACTGAGGAAACTACTACTACTACTACCACTGAGGAAACCACTACTACTACCACCACTGAGGAAACCACTACTACCACCACTGAGGAAACCACTACTACAACTACTCAGCCTACCACTACTACTACCACTGAGGAAACCACTACTACTACCACTGAGGAAACCACTACTACTACCACCACTGAGCCAACCACTACAACTACAACTACCACCACTACCACTGAACCTACTACTACGACTACAACGACTGAGGAAACTACTACAACTACAACTACCACCACTACCACTGAACCTACTACTACTACTACCACTGAAGAAACCACTACTACTACCACTGAGGAAACCACTACTACTACCACCACTGAGGAGACCACTACTACTACCACTACTGAGGAAACTACTACTACAACTACTCAGCCTACCACTACTACTACCACTGAGGAAACCACTACTACTACCACCACTGAGGAGACCACTACTACCACCACTGAGGAAACTACTACTACAACTACTCAGCCTACCACTACTACCACCACTGAGGAAACCACTACTACTACCACTACTGAGGAAACTACTACTACTACCACTACTGAGGAAACTACTACTACAACTACTCAGCCTACCACTACTACTACCACTGAGGAAACCACTACTACTACCACCACTGAGGAGACCACTACTACCACCACTGAGGAAACTACTACTACAACTACTCAGCCTACCACTACTACCACCACTGAGGAAACCACTACTACTACCACTACTGAGGAAACTACTACTACAACTACTCAGCCTACCACTACTACCACCACTGAGGAGACCACTACTACTACTACTGAAGAGACCACTACTACTACTCAACCTACCACTACTACCACGACTGAGGAAACCACTACTACTACTCAACCTACCACTACTACCACGACTGAGGAAACCACTACTACTACTCAACCTACCACTACTACCACGACTGAGGAAACCACTACTACTACTCAACCTACCACGACTACCACCACTGAGGAGACCACTACTACTACTACTGAAGAGACCACTACTACTACTCAACCTACCACTACTACCACGACTGAGGAAACCACTACTACTACTCAACCTACCACTACTACCACGACTGAGGAAACCACTACTACTACTCAACCTACCACTACTACCACGACTGAGGAAACCACTACTACTACTCAACCTACCACGACTACCACTACTGAGGAAACCACTACTACTACTCAACCTACCACGACTACCACGACTGAGGAAACCACTACTACTACTCAACCTACCACGACTACCACGACTGAGGAAACCACTACTACAACTACTCAGCCTACCACGACTACCACTACTGAGGAAACCACAACTACTACTCAACCTACCACTACTACCACTACCAAAACCAGAACTAAAACTACTTCTACTACTCGTCCGACTACGACGAAGCCAAGCACTACTACCACCAAAACCAGAACTAAAACTACTTCTACTACTCGTCCGACTACGACTAAGCCAAGCACTACTACCACCAAAACCAGAACTAAAACTACTTCTACTACTCGTCCGACTACGACGAAGCCAAGCACTACTACCACCACCAAAACTAAAACTACTCGGTCACACACTAGCACTGTTTCAACAGCATGTAAGACATACACGGTCTGCCAACCGGATTGGGACAAGGAGCGGCATACTTGGACAACAAAGGCTCGTTCAGATCATGAGATGTCTCATGAAGATGACAATTGGCCCCATGGTCATTAGATCAGAGGAGAGATACAAAAGGACTACTCGAACAACTTCTTTAAAGAAAAAAAAAAGAAAGAACAGAAAAGTACAGGAAAAAAGGACGTCTTTAATTGATATTGGAATACGTGGAGTTTGATGTTGGTTTTTTTTCAATAATGTACGAGGGCAAGGTTGATTGGTTGCTTTATTTTCTTTTAATCGTACTTTAATAGTTTGCTTTCTAGTCAATCTTAAGAATCTTTGAGAACCCCATATGAATGACTCCAAGTTATCGAAATTTGAAATAGTTGATCTTGATCACTCTTACTTTCCATGTTGGAATGTCACTATACTAGTAAATATCCTTTTCCCTATGCTTTAGTTGTGATACTCCGTGAGGAAATCGAACCACTTAAACCGGCTAAACTAAATCACTCTCTGATTTTCGCAAGGCGATCATATCCGTCAGAATCATATACGGTTTAGGTATACAATATCAATAGTAAATGGTGCATGGCCCTGGTTGGTCTGAAAGATGCTGTCCTTGCAAGGTGCTTGTATTCAAGACCAAAATGTAGGGTAAGGCTCATGGCACGCGGATATCGAGCACAGCACGCGATCCCACATACCACTAGTCCCAATTAGGCAATCGTCAACAAAAAAAATGATACATTCGACGTCTGCATAATACTCGCCAAGCCCTTGTATATGCATTTAGACTGCACGTCGGCAACGATGGTATTGTCAAGGGCAAAGAGGAAATTGGATGATAGAATGGTAAAGACAATTAGGATCTACTGTCATTGTGAAAAATAGTAAGTAACGCTGTGGTCAACGATGGAATCCGAGAAGACGCGTTGGGGTCTCGAACACGACGATGGAGACTCACTAATGGCTTGGATACCTTGGACTGGATGTCTTCCCAGATGCAGTCAACATCGTCGACGACAACATCCTTGGCACTGTGCTTGCTTTGGTTTATTGAGGGCGGTGAGCTTTTGCAAGGGAATAGATCGTAGGGTGGGTTCCTCCATGGCTGAGACTGGAGGTGAATGAAGGTGATGATGGAGGAGAAGGGGTGATGAAGAAAGAATTTCCGAACTGGCAGAATGTAAGTTGGGAAGTGACGACCGGGGATGGAGGTTAAAGACTTGTGGTGGAAGGAATGAGTGTGCGGGTGCAGCTCGGAATCGACTGTTTGATGTTTGTGCAAGACGATTGTATCTGGGGATGGAGTGATCACGTGGATCCCAGACTTCGAATTACGTAGTTGTCCTCGATTGAACATTTCGGGTTACGAAGAACGTATAATGGGAATACTATAACATCATCGAAGGAGTATAATCTACATGGGCATCCAGGGTGACACAAAAGTGCTCGGCATTCCAGATCCGGTATTCAATACAGCCATGTGGGATTGATACGTTGCAGCCGTTGGCCTCGTGGTCCAAAGTACACTTTCTTCTTTATCCTCCGGTTCCTTAGCGAATATCCCAGGGGATGCAATGGCTAGCTGGTTGAGCGGGTTCCTTAGCTCGGATCAGAACCAGCTCTACCAGGTATTTGAGAGAGTTGTGGACAGTCACGAAACAGTAAATCATGGTAACCACTGAGATTGCTACTCATGGTACATTGTGGTCTTATTGCTCCCGAAAGTCTTGATATGTCAGTATTTGACAAGGAATCAGATAGAATACTCCTTGCAGAGATTTCTATACAACCATAAAGAGAATTGTGTTTATAGGTAACATCAAGTTGCCAGCCGATATGTAGACATGATTCATGAAAAGCATTGTTCACAGGGCTCCGAATATTACGCTGAGATTGTAATATCCACGACCTCAAGACAGATCAAGTCGACTTGATGTTATTGCGTAAAGGAAATAACCTTTTCCGCCGACTATTGACAGTTCCCTGCATCTGACAAAGGCATTGTCTGCAGAACCAATCACGGTATATGCAGGAACTATACGTTAGCACATTATGGAGAATCCCATTATCTATATACATACGAGGCAATGCGCCAGGGCTGAATGCGGAGTTGATAACAAGGATACCCTCCGAAGGCAGACGTCAGATGTGATAAATTACGTATTGAATTGAACAATCCGCTCATTGACTATAGCCGATATACATAGAGAATCTAATAACTCTAAAATATCTAGATATAAACTTGTCCAAGCAAGGTCCAATTCCTCGTAGTTCTAAGGTCTAATATGAATAATGTAAGGTAGGGAGGTCTCTCTGTCGAGGTCTATGTAAATATGCAAGTCCCATCCTAAATAATAACAAGAAACGAAAAAGAAAAACATCGACGCTGTCGTGGTATCACAAATCGAACTGCAGAACGCCATTTCCGCTGTTCATGATGGATCGCTGGTATTCTTCCCCATCGCCCGCGAATCCGAGTTTCGCCCTTGAGCCATCAAAGGCGCTAGAGAAGATGGGACGACGGGTGAAAGGTGATAGGATAAGCGACATCCAAACATTGGCGGAGTATTAACAATTATGCAGTGTGTAAGAACGGATAAAATGGGCGTGTCAAAAAGATAAAAAGTCGAAAGCAGGTCGTGGCGCTCTATGGTATAAGACTGTTTGAGGGATGAAAAAAGACAAACATGAAAAAGTGGAACAATCGAATCAGGCATATCCGGACATGGCCGTGTCCGCAGTGAACTCGAACATCTTCGGGCTTTCTAGCAAGATGAACGACTCATAGCGTAGACCGCGCTCCTTACCTGTACGATCAGACCAGGGGTTCACGCTGCTATTCCAGACACTGCCGTAGCCGTCGAACAGGGCGCGCCAATAGCATGCCTCTGCAGCTGCAGTCAGGTACCGCTCACGGAAGGTCTTGACGCTATTCGTGGCGATGCGGTGCGCAAGATCGGTATCTGCGACTAGCGGCTCAATTTTCTCGGCGAGATTGCTAAAGTCGCGTTCGACTTCGACGTAGTTCTGATTCGGTCCACTGGCCACGAGGAGGTAATGGTGGTGTTGGATGTATTGGAGTTTATGGGCGACGATAACGGATTTGCAGGCCTGGCGGTATTTAAGGGATGCGGAGTAGGACCGGCCTGGATGAAAGAGCATGGTCAGTAACGAATTCCATGATCACACTTATACTCCAGTAGAGGAACCGGGGTATGGATCGACACACCCACCTTCAACATGGGCAATAAACATATACCGGCAGTGATCTTCCATGCGAAGCACGTTAGACCCAGTATCCCAATCAATCTGCTTAACATCACCCCAAGGTTTATCGCGGGCCGCTTCAATCAATGCGCGGCGCAGCTTCGGAGCGAAACTCGGCTTGCCGCGCCAGACAAGTTGCGGTGTCTTCTCATCCCAGGGTAAATCCACACGCTTGATACGATCCACCACCTGGTCAAATGGACCAATATAGTTCTGAGGATTATCCCAGGCCCAAAAGCTGAAATCCGGCATGAGCCAGACTCCTTCTTCCGTCGGGGTACGCGCAAATACCCAGGCCGGGTGATGAGCATTTGTAACGTCTTCAACCTTGTCTTCCACGGAAAATACAAATTCAATATCGCGTCTCGACGCCCGATCTCGGTCTGCGGCCAGCGCACGGTGGATTGAACTCAAGACACCTAGAATTTTGCGACGGTGGTCCTCTCCTTTGGCGCGCGCAGTGACCACATGCAGGTGGCCCTGAGAGATGAATGCGCGCACCATGCCCGGCTGGATGGTGATATCGTCAAGGTCATCAGTTACGAGGCCACCATCGTGAGCGCGCCAGTAGCGCTCACCACGCGCAATGTCTTCGAATAGGCCCTGGAAAGCGGCCTGGCATTGCGTTTGGTCGAGAGCCTCGTTACGGGCATCGCGAGGGTATTGGAATTTCCAGCTGGGGGAGGCAGACAGCTGGAGAGTTGAGGACTCGGAGCAGGAGACACAAGTAGAGCATTGAAAGGTGGTGGAGGTTTGACAGGCGCAATGGCCAGCGGGGAGGAGTTGAGTGAGGATTGGGTGGATGTAATCGCGGTCAGAGTTCATGCCATACCAGATAGCGAGAATGGCGAGGCACGAGAAGCTGCCAATGACGCAGAAGAAGGACAGGCCACGGCGCCGTGGGCGCATCCAGGGGTAGTTCGCGCTCATGACGGAGGGAAGAAATTGGAAAGCATTTCTGGAGAAGCTGGAGAAGGGTGGAGGAGGGGGAGGGGCAGAGTAATAGAGGAGAATGAAGAAGATAAGACAAGGAAAGAAGAGGACCCCAAGTACCAAGCCGGTGGGATGACGAAGCAGTACAACCTCAGGGCGTCAGGGCGTGTGCCTGGGGCCCTGGGCGGTTTGGAAGCAAAGGCTATGATTTGGTGACAGGCCCCCATAAAAAAACGGATACAAAAAAGGGGAGGCCAGCATGAAACACGCCTAAATTGGCAGTCGATTGACAAGCTTCCCGAAAGATCGGCGTGTTGAAGGGAGTTTCATGACTTCCATTGGTTCTCCAAAGAGCCGCAGCCCACTGGCTGTGGGGCTGTTTGGCGTCATTCTTCGGGGGGCTGATTGTGGCTTGCATGTTAAGAAGTTAATAATGATTACTGTCTTCTCGGACGAGGAAAATGGGGTTGGATGATTTCGTAGTAAGACATAATTTAAGGTGGGGATCTTAAATGTTCTTAAAAAAGCTACTCTAGTACAGTACTACAGGGACAATAGGGTAGACAAGGCTTTGGGGGTATTCTGACAATACGAAGACTTACTGCGTATATACTCTATTGAATACTCTATCAGTATAGCGGATGCTCCGTATACTGATACATACTGCAATCTATCCAGTACCTTAACCATCCTATCAAACACCTATATACTCCCAGTCAACCCTTTAAACATACCTCAACAGTCCTACTGGACGCAGGTACACCGCAGTACGTATCCTCCATACGTACCAAGACCCACTTTGCGTCTAATTTTTGGTCTCTGCCTAGACATCTCCACGTTGGAAATAATGACTCTTTACGAAATAATCCATAGGTCTCATTTGTAGGGTCAACTATAAAAGACCAAACGCAATAATAATCCTAGCACATGGATAGGTCAACTTCCCAACGGACAATAAACAATAATACTGACATACATTATCCCACGTCATATCCCTCCACAATTCAGGGTCCAGTGTTAGACGATCCACTCCCAGTCTCCCAGGGATTTCCCCAAGGGGCTTAGTGGCTAGTCTCTGGCCCCATCGTCAACTCAAAAAAGCCTAATGCCTTGGCAGATCGTCCAGCTTTCTCGTGTTTGATTCAACCTTGCTGGTAGATGCGAACTGGTCAGCGGGCCAAGACCAAAAATTATCACTGTACCAACAACGGCCAAAGTCCCTTGGCATAGCCCCCACTATGCTGCCATTTGTCCAATGTGAGTTCGTACAGTGTTTTCTTTTGTTTATTCCATTGTGTTGGACAGGAGAATATAGTGTAGCTTGTTAGGTCGAATATCAATGGAGAGCATGATTCAGGAGTATCTAAGAGACCCCAGGAAAGCAATATTGTACAGTACCTAGTATTCAGGCCCCATTAGTGGATAGTACTGAGTGGAAGGCTTACGCCCTGAATATTCGCTACAGGGCTCTCCATACCGAGACAAATATAGCCGTTGGTTAGCCTTACCCGCCCCAAATTCCAAGAGTAGGGGTCTAAGCTATTCCCTGCTGCGCCCCGACTGCCTGTTCCATGTTCCTGATAACACACTCACTAATGCAGCAGCCACTCAGTCATGCAAAGAGCCTCATATACGGGTTATACTATATAGGGGATTAAGTGATCTTTGTAGGAGGAAGAAATTAATGAATTAATTTTCCATTTATACTATTTATTATAGTTTTCTATTCGATTCATAGACAGCATACATTCGAGTATCGAGGTTGAATTACTATTACTCGAGATCTTCCTGTTGATCATAAGAGTTAGAGAAAGACCTTTGATATCTCTATTAAACGCCTCGTATGAACGCCTCTTAGAAACGCCTTTAAACACCCTCCACCGACAGTCCATGAATAATAAAATAAGTTATGCTCTATTTTGTATCAAATGTTGGATAATGCAGCCTAACTTCCATGGATACCCGCCTATCATTAGGGTTACTAGTAGTAAAAGTCAGGGAACAGCTAGTTCCTCCAGACATCCAGACCAAAACGCCCGTTGCAATGCATTCAAGATGAAAGGACAACGCCTTCAAAACACAACCCTGCCCATTCCTCATTGCCGTGATTGACTTCGTTGGGCTCTTTCTCGGCGAGTGCTGCGAGCCGGCGTATCACCCTCGATCAATGGACTAGCAGGCCGGGGTGTGCGACGCTGTCGGCCTCCAGGACGAACCCGACCCAAAGCACGTCCAAGAATACTATCCGCCTTGTCATCCAGCTCCATCTCAACCCGTTCTTCCATAGTCTCCGCAGCCTCGGCCATGCCAGAATGCGTCACTTCGTCCGTCCATTCTTCTGCATAGCCTGCATGCCGGATTCGACAACGGTTGCTCTCGTTCGTTCCAGTTCGCTCACGGCCTTTACGGTTCGCCGAACGACTGTTAGATGGCCGGGCAGTATCTTCCATCTGCTGAAGATCTCGCTCGCGACCTTCCAGGGACCAGAGCTCGAGGGCTCGATTCAGTAATGTCCCAGCAACTCCTGCACCACCGGCAGCATCGCCGCCGCCAGCACCACTTGCCCCTAACACTCGAACGGCTTCGTGGAGTGCTGACACAGCATCCCCTATCCGACCGAGTTCGAGTAGCAAAATACCACGCGAAGTATGCAAGGATCCAACCAGCCCCCGATCCTCGTATCCTCCGACCCCGGAGGCGGTTGCCAGGGCTGCGGAGCCCCCAGCTCCTCCGCCCAAAAATGGAGAATATCCCAGGCTGGTTCCTCCAGCACCAACCCGGAGACACTCCTCAAATTCCCGCAGTGCCTCGGGTAGACGGCCAAGGCGACGAAGGGCGTGACCCATGTTGGCGCGAGTTGCAACCCAAGCACCAGGTTCGCTATGGAGGGAGGCGGCCAGCATCAAGGCTTGCCGGAACATCTCCACCGCAGCAGGAAGATTGTTCTGATGATAAAAGACTACACCGAGCTCGTTTAGCACCAGAGGATCGCCTCCAAGGGGTGCTTCGGAAGAGGTGGGGGGAAGGTTGAGGGTCGAGCCTGGCGCCGCTCCGGTTGACATGGCATATGCTGCACACAGATACTCATGCGCGAGCGCCATATTGTTCAAGGCGAGGTGCTGCATGCCTAGGAAGAGCTGTGGCAAATGACTGCCCTGGAAAAGCCGCGCGGCAGTACTGTACGCAGCGATGGCCTGATCATGCTCGCCCTCGGCCGCAAAGGTATGAGCAAATCCGATCCAAGCCGGCGCCGAATGAGGATCCAGTAGAGAAGCCTTGGAAAAGAACCGACGAGCCTCAGCAACCTTGGACACTGCTAGGTAGTAGACGCCGATGGCGAGATACGTGTAGGGCTCCTCGGGGGCATGGTCAGCCAGCGTGTGAGAGAGCAAAAACAGAGCATTTGTAGCTCCCGTTTCATAGAGGCATGCCAGATGAAGAGGATAGACTGCAGGGGTGTGGCCCACATGGCTGTGTGCAAGACTGTTTGCGCCATTAGGTGGTGTAAAATCGTTCGATTGTGGTGTAGAAAGGATGGAGGATGTCAGTTCCAAGGCTTCAGCGAAACGACATTGAGTGTAAAGCGCCTCGGCACGCGAGAGCAAAATATCAGGATTATTAGCGAGGTTATAGTGTGTGGAAAGGGTTTCGGTTGCGTCTGACAAAACATTCGGTGCGGAGTACTTTGACAGGCGGGTGGTGTAAAGCATCTTGGTGAAGTGAGCCGCTTCTTGGGCAAGGGCTGGGTCGGGGGATGAGATCGAGTCGAAGTCCAGCGATTCAAGGAATTCCAGTTCCTCGGTGGGCGACATCAGAGAGTTCTTCATAAGCTGGTCGTATGCCTCGAAGCACTGCACGTCAATCCGAACGGCATCCTTGTAGCAGTCGCGTGCTCGGTCAAAGGCATTCTGCTTGGCAAAGCAGAGGCCCCTCAGATAGCACATGGAGGCCTCATATCTCACGCTTCCATCGTCATCCCTCTCTCGGTCCTCGCCCCGTTCCAGGCGTGCCGTTGTGTTCTTTCCATTCCGGAGTGTGACATGGCTTTGGCCGTTGAGGTGTTGAATCTTGCGACGACTATTGTTGCTCCGGATGAGATCGGTTGGGTTTTGTTCCCCAAGAATCGAGAGAGCTTGGTCGAACTGGTTCTCTTTGATGTAGCAATGGGCCGCAAGGTAGCGACAGGAGCTATTTTTTGTGATGAGGTCTCCGCGGGATAGAAGGGCGAGGGCGCGGGTAAAGTTATTGTTGTTGAAGTGAACTTGGGCTAGCCAAAAGGCATCTGAATCGCTGTCTATTCATTTACTCACTCATTAGCCACTTATCTAAAACACTGGGGGGACAAACGGGGAAGGGCAACGCGGGGCCTACCCGTGAGCGCAAGAACCTTGTCGCCAATGTAGACGGCGGCCTCATACTGGCCACGATTTAGAGCATCCTTCCGCCAGGTGCGCAGATAGTTCTCCATCGCGGATCTGACGCGTCTGACTCAGGGAGAATGGGATTAGTCGGTCAGCAAGCATGAAACTCAACAATTGCGATCGGAGAATTTGGTTATCGAACGCCGCGGTACTGCTCGCATGAGCGGGTCGTCAACAAACAGTGGCCCGTGCGCAACTGCCTCAAGTATTGAAAGTTAAAGATACGATCAGTTGCGGAAGGAGGGCAAAATGAGCAGTTGCTAAGTTGGAGAAGCAAGGCGAGAACTCTTGACGAATTCTGAGATTGTAATTTCCTACTACCAGTCGAATCATTCTGGGAACTGGTGATGGAACTCTACCAATATCCATCATCACGTGAGCAGACCACTATCACGTGCTGTTATCGATAAGTCCGCAAAGTCCAGTGCCACTTGACTTCGCATCACTTCTCCAAGCAACATCAACTTTCCCAAATCCACTTCACCTTTCCCTGAACTACCGCCAAGATGTCCGAGCGAAAGGTCTTGACCAAATACTACCCTCCCGACTTTGACCCGTCGGCGATCGGGCGCACCCCGAAGCATCTACGCCAAAAGGGTCCCAAGGTCATCACAGTCCGACTAATGGCCCCGTTTCCCATGAAATGTACCAACTGCGGCGAATACATATATCGTGGGCGCAAGTTCAACGCTCGAAAGCAGACTCTCGAAGAGAAATATCTCAACATCCCAATCTATCGATTCTTCATTCGCTGCACAAGATGCAGTGGTGAGATCACCTTCCGTACAGATCCAAAGAGTAAGTGCCGAATACCCCCCATGTTTCCCGGGCGAAATATAACTAACTATGAATTAGACATGGACTATGAGTGTGAGAAAGGTGCCAAGCGAAACTTTGAGCCGTGGCGAGATGCCAAGTCTGGGAAATACAATGAAACCGAAGAGGAAACGCTCGATCGACTCGAGCGCGAAGAAAATGAGCAAGAGGAGCAGATGGAACGGGATAAGATGGTTGAGCTAGAGGAGAAGATGCAAGATTCGAAGCGAGAGATGGCTATTGCAGATGCGCTCGATGAGATTCGGACGAGGAACGCGCGCATTGCACGAAATGAAGGATTGGAGGACGAGGTTGCTTTAGATCTTATCCACAACGAGGTGGACGAGGCAAAGTTGCGGGAAGAGCAGGAGGACGAGGAGGCCGCGAAGAGGGCTTTCATGACTGCTTCCGGCGAGAGAATCAAGCGTGTTGTGGATGAGGAGGAGCCGCCTGTACCGGGTCCCTCTCAAACAAAGACTGCCCAGGCTCAGATGCCGCCGCCATCGACGTCTTTTGCCCGAGTCAAAAAGCCGAAGAAGGGCGGTGTCTCCATTTTGGGCATCAAGAAGAAGCCATCCCTGGTTTAATGTGCTTTATTTCATCTACTTTCTTTCGGCATTGCAAGCGTTGGCGTTCTCATCAGATAGTGACAGGATTATACCATGGTTTACAAGTCAATTTCACACCTCCACATTACAACTACATACGCAAGACATTTGCTACATGAAGCACAGTAGATTAAGAACTATTGTCGGAGGATAATAAAACATGAAAAAAGTAGAATTCATACAGGAAGAAAGGTATCAAATATCATAAAGCCGGTAATAAGAAAAGGAGAGAATAATGATTCTCGCCCACCAAAGCGCCACGCTCAAAAAACACACCCAGGGAAGCAATCCGCCCAATGAATACCCATTTAGCTATGCAAATAAGAATGCAGTCTGGTCGAGATGAGGAGGAAGAGGGAAAGAGTCAAAGCAGAAACGCTACCGCTTAGAGGTACGGCATCCACAACGCATCGCACGAGGCCAAGTGCTGCGGGTTGACGGCCCGAGAGACCAAGTCAATTGTAGTCTGGTTGGCAGGCAGGTTACCCTCGGGTGGACTGGCGAGGCTAACAGCACGGTTGACGATAATTTCGCTGTTGTTATAGACCAGTTCACGGAGTTGGGGCACAGCCAGGTTACCACGGTGCTGAGCAGTGGCCCAGAACATCATCTCGTCACGCACAAAGACGCTCAGCTGCTGTTCCAGCTCGTGTCGAGGCTCCGTCAAGCAGCGGGCAATGGCCATCATAGCACAGGCAAACAGACCCTCGGTCGCAATAGGGCCCAGCAGGGTCTGAATGTTCGGAGTGAACCGGAATGGCACCTGCTCGGGGTTGTAGAAGATTGCCTTGGCGGGATTGATGGTAGGGATCAACTCTGCACCCCAGATGTCACCTGTCGAGCGCGACACAAGGATCTTGTTCGGGTACCGGTTGCCAATGTGCATAACGTAGGTCATGAAGGCCACCGCAGCATACTGGTAGGCGAACTGGCGACGGAACAGCCAGAAGTCTGCAAAGTTGGGGTATGTGTTCTGGAAGTACTCCAATACCACCGTGCTGGGAACCCATTTGTCTTGAATTGCGGTCAAGATCTCGGTACGAAGAACCTGCTGTTGATCGGCCGTGCGCTTTGGAGGGTTAGCAATGTTTGTAGAATGAAGATAGACTGGTAAACTTACGTTCTGCTTTGTCTCTGCCAGAGAGCGCATACGATCCATGGTGAATAGAACAGGCTCATCCTTGTTCATACCGACTCGTCGGCAGTAGTCCTCGTAGATGCCCTGCATAGAGATATACGAGGAGTCATCCCGAACCAGACGGATGTGCGGTGCCAGTGGTACCATCAGAGGAAGATGGAAGTACAGATTGCGGCGCCGGCTTTCCTTGCGCTTGGCAAGCAGCCCGTTGAAGATGCGGAACAGCTGAAGAATGCGTTCCTCACGACGGCAGTGGCGCGCAGCAGGGTGCTGCACGGCAAAGGCTTGGGTGCTACCGTCGTGACCACGGATCTTAAGGCGACGATGACAAACACCAATGCCCCGTACCAGATCCACATCAGGCAGGAAACGATCGATGCGAACAAAGTCCTGGTTCTTGTCTTTGTGGAGGAGATACTGCCCAGGAACTTCAACTTCATCAAACTTGAGGAAACGGAACTCGCTGAGATGCGGCGAGTAGCTCTCAAGGAAGCCTGACTGAGGTCGACGGTCGAGCTTCTCCTCAAACTTGTCACGCCAGCGGCGCAGCTTCTGAATGTACTCGTGCATCGTTGGCTTCTTAACCACAAAGTCTGCCTCGAAGGACTTGCGAATGTGCGCTGGGAGGATAGTCTCCGCGAACCGGGTAATGTTGGCCTCCGTCGCAGGAGGGAGCTTGAAGTCCTGCGCATAGGAGCCAGGCATACGTCCCACGTAGGCCAATCCATCGTTCAGGAGTGCAACGATGAGACGATAAGCATCCTCGTCAGGCGGACACTTGAAGTTCTTGTGGATCTGGTCAACCATCGTTTCCATGGAGAGTGCAAGCAGTGGGAATGCAGTCTTCAGACCAGACATGATCTCATCGGAGTACTCCCAAGGCTTTCTGAGAGGCTCCTTCTCGGTAGAGTCCGCGGGAGTGGCACCTTGGTTCGGCGGGACAGTTCCAGTCTGGCCCGGTACTTGAAGATGGGCTTGCGGCTGGCCTGGGTTGGGACTTTGACCCTGGCCCTGGCGCGGCGATGCCTGGACCGGTGGGTTCGCCGGCTGAGCGGGAGACTGGCTTTGCGTCGGTTGAGCCGGGGATTGAGCTGTGGGCAAGTTCGCGGCCTGACCAGCGGGAGAGGCGCTCGCGCCTGGAGCAGCACCTGGGGGCTTCTGCGCAGGCGAGGATGTGTCACCACTCGTTGATGCCTTGGGGTTGGGTGAAGATCCTTGCTGCTGTTGTTGTGCTTGTCTGACCTTGTTCAACTTTTCTTGCTTCTGGTCATGCTGCTTCTTGATGCTCAGCATGTCCTCCCGGTTCGTTCGAAGGAGGAAGAACAGAGCCTGTGGGTAAAGCTTGGCAATCTTCACCAACACAGCCTTGCAGAGGCGAGCTTCACGATGCGACAGACTAGTGAGCAGTTGAGGGATAAAGGTAATCCAGTACCATACAGGAGTGTCACCCTTGAAGTTCTCAAAGGCGGCAGCGATCTGTCCTTCATCATTGTCCAGGCTCAGAAGCCAAAGGATACGGCTCAGCAGCTTCCGCGATTTGGCACTCTTGTAGAGACCAGCTGCTTCCAGATAACAGCTGACGGCATTGCTGGCCAACTCATAGTCTGACGGGTCAGACTTAAACCGCTGATCGCTGTACTGTCCCCATTCGGACCAGGCCTTGGCGAGTCGGAGGTCGTAGTAAAGAGCAACTCCGAAAGCCTCATTGGCCTCATTAACGTGGTCGAGCTTCGCAAGGAACATGCCCTTGAGAGTGTAGAACTCGGCCTTCTGCTGGGGTCCGAAGTAGTTCAAGTTTGTGTTGTTAATGACATCCAGTCCACTGTTGAGTTCCTTGGGGTTCTGGTAGTGGCACTTAGCCTGCTCCCGAAGTTTAAGGAATGCCTCTTGGATCTCGATGTTGGGCAGCGTGTAGATACGGCTGAGTTGGTTGATGCAGACTTCGGGCATCTGGTGTTTGCGAGCAACGTGGGCAAAGCGGTTGATGATCCAAGCTGTCTCGTGGTATCCACGGTAGGCGTAAGAGTTGCTAGCCACGTTGTTAGTCTGGGGCGGAAGTAGACTAAGGTACGTCTGGTTGATAAGCTGGAAGATGTGCTGTCGCCAGGTGACAAGGTCCTGCCAGGTGTTGATATCATCCCACAGGTTTGGCAATCGGTCCCGCCAGGTTCCAAGAAGAAGCTTCAACTCAGCAGACTTGGTGTCCAAATTGCGCTCGTTAGTCTGAGCCAAGCTACCGCAAATGTGGCTGGCATCGTGCAGCTCAACCAGCAGTTGGAAGTGCTGCAAGATGGGGATATGAGCATTGGTGATGCGCTTGGGCAGTTGAAGCCATTTGCGGATAGAGAGTTGAATGGACTCGTCGCAGACACTGTTGAAGTCTTGCATATTCTCCTTCTTCATATGGTACTGAAGAAGCGCCATGAAAGCTTGGAAGAACGTGCGTCGTGGAGTGGGGGCATCGGAAACAGACTTGATCAATGACTCGAGTTGCTCGCGAGTGCCTTCGCTCTGCCAGTTCTCAATGTTCCTCCAGGCAGCCTCCAGTAGAAGATCATTCAAGTTCTCGTGCTTAGCGAAATCACTCAAGATCTCCCACTGCTGAAGCTTCTGGGCGCAGATCAACCAATGATCTTCCCACACAAAGTACTCGCCCTGTGAGAACGGCATTGCGCCGGAACGTGCCTTGATTTGCGCATTCTCGTACAGTTGCTGAGACTTATCCCACATGCCTTGTTGCTCGTAGGAGAGAGCTGCATTGGTTTCGACAAACTTGCAACGACGGCGCCATGTGCCATAGAAGAAGTCGTCTTCCTGGAGACCAGCATAGACTTCGACCAAAGCATCGAGGTTGCTCTCCCGAACGGTGGGGGTGTCGATGATTGGCTTGATGGCGCTTTCCTCCAGGTAGGTTGCAGCGGTGTACCAGGCATCGTAGGTCCGGCTAAGGTACTTCATGACATGGGGAGGAACCTTGAAGCGTGGGCTGGCACGCACGACACCTTCGAGAAGAGCTTGAACAACGTTCGGCCGCTTGTCCAATTGGCGCTGGTGGTATTCCCGTGTCAACAGGGTAACCATGCCCTTCTCAAGATCAATCCGATCATCCTTGGTCAAGGTGGACCAGTAAATAGGGAACAACGTGGTCCACAGCTTGTATGCCACCTGCGAGTCGGTATGCTGGAGCTGAGAAAGTGGCTCGATCAAATCACGAACCCGGACGTCGCCAATGTCAGACATGAACCGTCTGCGTTCAGCAACGAAATTCTCCAGCTGACTGTCCACTATGACGTCGGCCTTCCTCGAGTCCTTTTCACCACCCGCGAAAAGGAATGACACGGGGAACACCGTGAAGTCGTCTTGACGGAGTCGAGCCGTGGTGTTCATATCGACAGAGCCAAGGATCAGGTGAGAGGCTTGGGCCAACCAGAAGGAATCGGCAAGGGTATCCCAATTCTGGCAAGTCAGCACATAGCTCAATCGGGAGCTCGCAAGACGAGTCAAACTCTTATCGAAGATGCTCATGAAGCGGTTGCGCATCTCCACGTCTTGAGCTCGAGTACCGATCAAGAAAGCATGCTCCAATCTGACGGTCAGCTCAGTACGAGTAATCTTGGAGTCCTCGTAGATCCGAATGACGAGATCAAGGAATTTCTTGAGCATGGTCTGATCAGAGCGAGACTCGAAGAGCAACATCTTGTGCAACACCGCCGTTTTCTCCTTGAGGGTTGGCCATGACTCGGTTGAGTGGAAGATCCACTCCTCGGCCATGCCCAGGACTTTGCTGCACAACTTGGGATCCTGGGATCGCTCAACGATTGAAGCCAGCACGCTGAGGAACGGGCGACGCTGGTCGCCAAGATGAGACATCCGAACGGAGATGAGTTCGATGGTCTTAAAGATGAGGTCGACGCCCAACTGGAGTTCTTGCTCGTCAGGGACTCCTTCGGCGGGCTTCTGACCCTGTGGAGGCTGCTGGCCATTGTGATTGGTAGATGCTGCGACATGTTCCTTGGCAAGCTTCTGCGAGAAAGCCTTCATGACAGCAGGAATATGCGTGTCGATTTCGGCAGGCTTAAGCTTGGACAGAGTCCACAGTGTGTTCAAGGCAGCTGTGTAGTTGCTAGCCGATAGCGTCTCGGTGGCAATAGCAGACAAGTATGTAGCAAACTCTGACGGCGTGCTCTCAGTATCCATAGCATCCTCATCGTCAGGTTGGTCATCTGGGATAGCCTCGAGAACACGGCGAACCGGGGGCGGCAGTTTAGGAGAGATCTCCATGTCATCTTCCAGGCCATGCAAACAATCCTGAATCTCTGGGTTGTCAGACTTGAGAGGCTTCTCAAGGAGCTTCTGGATGGTTGCAAGGCGAGCCGTAATCCACTCATCAGGCTTGGACGCGATGAGAACGCGCAAGACTTGCAGGGCGTTGACCATAGGGGTGATCTGCTTCTCATCGGGTTTGTCCGCCTTCTCACCTGCCAGAATAGGCTCAGTTACCTTTTGATAAAGGTCGATATCCAGGTCTCCCCAGTATTCCTTCGAAAGCAGATTCCGAAGAAGGCTGACAGCCTTGTTGACCATCTCACCAGTGGGCACTTGTGGTGGAGGCGGCTGCTTGGTGGTGGTCAATGTGCGAAGATGGGCAGCTGGGACAACAAAGCGCTCAGCGATGGTGGTGATAAAGGTGATGAGGTACTTAATCAGAGCACCACGAAGTTCAGGAGGCACCGTGTACTCTGACCGTTCTCGACTGGGAGGTGGCCCGAGTGAGGGAGATGCGGAGGCCGTCTCTTGAGTGTCCTCAAGCTTGCGCTTCCTTGCATTCGGCGACTCAAGAGCCCCGTTGGGCACGGTAGGGCTCGTTTCAGACGCATGCACGCGTTTCTCTTCCCAGAGCCAGATTAAGCCAATCAGATTGAGAGCCAGCTTCTTGCTGTCATTAGATGTGTTGGGTGGCCCGGCAATCTTGATCAAGGAAGGGACGATGAGAGGCACAAAGTGTTCCCGCGATTCGTAGAAAAGATCGGGCTGTCGCACCAAGAACTGGAAAATGCTCATCACCTGCTGCAAGTTGGCAGTCTCCTCGGCCAGGATACGCCGCGGCCATTTGGCCCAAAGCGGGTATCGTGCCTCGGGGCCTTGGGTACCCGCAGTCCGAGTTGGTAGGACCGGGGCCAAAACATCAAGAGCCTGCGTGACAAGAGCTCGGCCTTCATTCTGGTGCGCTCTCAGCAATGCAACATAGACCTGGATCACAATCTTGAAAGGCGTCTCGTAATGGGCAATGAAGTAACTGATCAACACATAAGCACCATACTTATTGATGATATCCTCGAGACGGATGTAATTCCAGGCAAACTTGATGATGTCCTTGCGAGAGTCCTGCACCGTTTGGTGATGGTACTTGATCAACAGAGCAGACAACTGCAGCAGCTCCATGCGGGAATGATCAACACCAGCCTGGCTCGACTCCTCGCTCAAATCGGCCAGCTGGGGCTTCCACAGGCGACTCTGGATAGACTCGGTCATGCTCTTGTCCATCAACTTTGGAGTGTTGGCGGGGCTGTTCCACGTAGTCTGAACATCCATGGCAAAGATTGGGTTGACCAGGTGTCGGAAGGCGTAGGTCTTAGTCTTTTGGGAGCATGCACGCTGGCCGTAAAGGTCGAGACAGCGCATGATCACAGACCGGCGGTAGTCAATCGATTCGTTCACGATGATGTGATGATAAATAAACTTGGGGAGGGCCAGCGTTCGCTTGAACTCGTCGGCAGACAATCCGTCAATGACTTCAAAGAGGAAGTCCAAGTCATGCGAAGCTTCCGCCAAGTATATGGTAAAAATATCCATCAACTGATCTTCGGCCTGCTCGACACGAAGGCGCTCATCAGGTGGCAAGCTATCGCCGCGCAACTTGCGCTCCAGCTCTCGGCCGGAGCTCAGGAGCTTGCTCCGCAAATCCGCGTGGGAAACCAGCCAACGCTTAGTAGAGCTATATGAGCAGATGGAGTGGGCAATGTAAATACCATTAATGGCAGCAGTGTTTCTCTTCTCATCCGTAGCGTCTAGCCCAAAGGCGGCAGAGGTAAAGTTCTCAGTATCAGCCACCACGGCATTGCGAAGAGCGTCACTCTCGGGATCAGCCAAAATCTGTCCAAAGAAGCGTCCATAGCTCTCCTCTTTGAGGCGGGCAACGAAGAATGCCAAGCTCTCCTTGGGGTATCGGTTGAGATACTTGACAAGAGGCTTGCGGAATGGACTGTGGGATGTTCTTCGCAACTTCTTCTCCAGATCAAGAACCTTGTCGATGAGATTCTCCATGAACGATGTGGCAGCCGGGGGAAGGAGGTGGAAAATATTAAAGATTGCGGCCACAATCTTCATAGCAGGGTTCTGCTCAACCAGGCTAAAGGACACTTTTTGCAAGGTCATATCGTCGGCAATGACCTTCATGTGATCCAAAAGGCGGGCACCGATCTCGACCTTGAAATAATTGGTCAAGAGGGTCAAGAGGCGAGCCAGACCATCTAGGCCAGCAACGCTGAGACGCTTGGGATCCTGCAGATTCATCAGGATAGGGCGCAGACCATTCTGGAGCAAGTCTTTTGGAAGCTTATTGGTCTGGGTCAACACATCCTTCAAACCAGCATTTGCAGCCTCGATGACCTCGGGGGCTCGCGAGTAGAGAGACTTGAAAAAGACCGAGATGATTCGAGCACGGCTAGTGTTCTGTGGAGTGTTTGCGAAGTCGGGGAAGTTCATTGCCATGGACAGTAGACGCAAGCAAGCCACGCGCAGGTTCACAATCATGTCCGCATTCTTGAACTCATTTGGCTTGGATGCAAGCGAGTCATCATCGGCGTCGGCAAGAGCGAGGGACTCCAGCATCAGACGATTCAGCGGCTCGTTGAAGCTAACAATCTCATTCTGCAGGCTCAAGCAGTAGGTGATAGCATCAATGAAACCAATCTGCGTGGCAAAGGGCAAGGCCCGCAAAGGTTTGTTGAAGATTGACTGAAGAAGGCGATCCCTAACCGGATGGATGAGCTCGTGGACCTCGCAGCCAAGCTCCTCCTTTAGAGTAGCGAAGCAAAGCTTTGACGTCTCGCGAACATGCTTGTTCATGTGGCCAAGCTCGTACACAAAGAGACCGCACAGGGAGAACAAACGGCTCTTCTCGTTCTTGAGATCGTCCTTGGGAATGAGTTTGCCGCAGCGCTGCAGGATCAAGGTCATGGTCTCCTGCGACTGGACCCGCGTGGAGGCAGGAAGGTCGGCGGGCGTGTCTTTGATGACGTAGAGGAGTGCACGAGAAAATTCAACGTGTCGCTCATACAACCATGAGTCTCCGAGGTCCATCTTAGTAGCCAGGAGTTTGATACCCAAGCTTCCACCGGCTTTGATGAACCACTCTTCGCTGTGGCAGCTGTGACAGAACACACGGCCCAGATGTTGGAAGAATGGAAGCTTAGACGCCTTTTCCGGGGCCCCGAACATGACTCCAGCGGCTTCTTTGACAACCAGCATCGCCTGCTCCGCGGCCTCGCGAACTTGAGCGCTGTCAGACGAGAGACATTCGACGATCGCTTCGGCCAGAACTCGAGAGTCGAGGTAAACAGGGCCTTCTCCGTTTGCGACATCGAAAGGCTTCCGGCTGTGGCGAGCTTGGGCAAGAGCTCTGCCGACCTCAACGATGGCAAAGTGCTTGCAGAAATCAGCGACGAAAGCAGAGGCACCTGGCTCCAGTTCGGAGACAGTGGTGGCAAAGATACACGCCTTGAGAAGCTTCTTGACGGTGGCTTCCTGCGCCACCTTCTTCGGGATCGATGCTGATCTCTCAGACTTCTCCAGGATGTCAATCATGGCACCGGCTTTACCCTCAAACAGATCGTTGGCATGAAGGCGGATCAGGGAGGCCAGATCATCGGGAAGATTCTCAAATCCAATTTGGAGTTTGAGGTGCGAGCTCAGCATACGGTATGCTTGCTGCTTGTAGTAGATATCCGAAGCCTGGTTCGTTGGAGTTTTGGCAACCTCCATAAGCTTACCAATGGCCAGATCAATGCCAATGTCCACAGGGAAAGGCCGCTTCTCGCTTGGGCCAATGAGTCGAATGTCGAAACTCGGGTTGTCATCGGAGTACTGCTGGAAGGACAGCTCAGGGGGATGGTTCAAGAACTTGCGGTTGCGACCACCCAGCTTGCCAAGAATGCGCATCGTAGTGTGTGCATGGAAGTGGTTGTACGGGTGAGGTCGGAGATGATCCCAAAGCGCAGTCATCAGCTCATCCATGATGGGAGCCATGATCGGGTCGAGATAGTCTGCCGTCAGGTTATCCACGCAAAGTTCGAGTGTGCGGAGACCTTGCCCCACAAGATCAGAATCAGCACGCAAAGCCACCACAATCGGTCGCATGAGGTAGCTCAGGTGAGGCAAAAGATGGCTCAACCGCGCGGGAACGGTCAAGGTCAACTCGACATAGAGGTCCCGCTCCTGGGGCTTGCGAGCAGCGAGGAGCAAATTATTGAACGTTTCCAGGAGCATTTCCAAAAGGGGAAGAATCTCCTTGTAGAGAAGCTCAAAGCGTCCACCGCCAATACTACGGAACAGTGAACGCAGGAGGAGGAAATAGTTCATCGGCTCCTCGGCTGTGACTGACAGCTCGATACACTTGGTGACAATCTTCGTCACATGGGGGTGGAGGACCTGCTCATTCTGGACGGAGAACAGGGTTACAGCCATGAACGACAGCTTGAACATCCTAAGCAGAATCTTCGCTTTGGTCATATCCGAAGTTCCAACCTCGTGAATACGCTCCATCAGGTATTGCAACACCATTCCTGAAAATGCAGGCGAGGTTGCTTCACTGGCGAGGAAGAATTGTGGCAGGTGAAGCAGAGCCCCGTGCTCAAACATGAGTTCGTGCAGGTAGGGGATTTCGGAATGGAAGACCTCGTGGAATGTCGCGGTATCAATGCAGTGGAAGACAGTACCGAAGCTCTCCAGGAGCTCTTTCTCTTCTCGTGACATAGGAGCGGTGTATTGACTCGCGAGGAAATCGAATGGAGAGGTGTAGTTCATATCAGGGGGAGACTGGTCCACACCATAATAACGGAACACACGGGCACCCTCATGGAAGAGCTTCTTGATCACCCGAACCTCCTCGGCATTGTATCCATAAGAGACCTCAGACCAGTTGATCGGAACACTATTCGGATCAATTTGGACGTCATCTGGATTGCAATTCTTCAACTGATGGAAAATGTTCTTCAGGCCATTAATCAGATTCCTGAACAGGAAGATATTGTCCGAGACAGGGTCACCGCCGCGATCGCGAGGGCTGGTAGTCTTGATCGGGGAGGCAGAGAAGATGTCAATTTCGTCCCAGTCAGGCGGTTGGTCCTTCTCCGCAAGGTAGTTCTCTGTAGTCGGCTCCGTGTCCTTTCTGGAGTCCTTGTAGGCCTTGGAAACCTTGACGGCATTGTTGAATTGATGGTTCATGGAGGCAAACTTGTCACCTATCGCGTCCAGAATCATGATCAAGAAATAGCGTGCTTCGCGCTTGTCCTCTAGCCTGGAGATCTTCTCCGCCATGTTCAGAAGCAGTTTGGCACTCATAGTCTGGAAACTTGTGCCGGGGAAGTCATCGTGAAGGTTCTTGGTATATACTTCAACTGTGCGACGGATTTGATCACGGCTGAGGTACTCTCGAACATGGTGGATGAGATCAGCGAGCATACTATACGCCAAGGGACGCATTGTCTCGTAGACAGTGAGTCCATCACCGATAAGAGTACGTTCATCGAGGAGTTCGTCAATCTTTTCCAAGAAAATCTTCCGATAGTTGAAGTTGATAATGTGTCGAATGGCAACAAGCAGCTCTTTTCGTGCACCAGACTTCTCTCGGGGGCAATCTTGGAGAAGACGAACGACAACTGATGGCAGCGTGGGAAGGAAGTCTTGGAGTTGGTGAGCGTAGAGGCGAAGCAAGTAGGCCAAGAAACTCATTGTCTTCACTTGGGCTGTAATGAATTCGCCGAATGCTGCACGATTCTTAATCTCTTTGCAGACTCCGGTGAATATCGTGCCCTGGCTAGCGGCTTCCGCATGAGCCTTCTCTTGTGGCTTGGCCTGCAGAAGCAAGATTGACTTGATAAGCGGGACAAACAGTTTCACGTTCTGGGCGACCGAGTTTCGATGGGTCTGGAAGATTGAAACCACAATGATAGGACACTCAGCCAAAACCTTGAAAGACTGCATTCCCTTCAAGATCACATTGCTTGCCTGCTGATCAGGTCCGAGATCTGATACGGAATTAGCAGGGGAATTCGGTCGAGGAGACTGGAAGTTTTGTGCGCTCGTGTTCGGTGTTGAAGGCATGCCTGATGGTGTAGCTTGATTAGGAGTGTCAAAGGTATCCCGGACTACCTGATCCATCGTCTGGAACATCTCCTGGATGAGCTCCAGGAAAGGCTGGACCCGTGCCGCGGTAGCCTTTGCCTGATTCCGCTCCAGGTCCATGATGGTCTTCATGCAGAGAACGGCATTTTCTTCGTTCTCGATGCGCGCAAGCTCCATCAGCACATCCACCATGTCCGCGGCGTATGGTTCGACATCGGGAGAGGCTGTCGGTAACCGATGCAGTGTCTCGAGTATGCAGTTTCGAAGTTTCTAGATCGCGAAAACGTTATTGAAAGTTCCTGCATGAATGCGACCATCGATAACGATTGCGCCCTCGATCAGTTCGGCTCATCATCTCACCTGCTCGTATGACATGCTAAAGAATACCGGCTCCCCTTTGAGAATAGTCTTAAAGACGGGCCATAGCTTCGCCAGGAAGACAGGGTAGCTAGCACCCTGGCAAAGCGGCTCAATGCTGTCTCTTAGCTCGGTTGCGACATTGGCTCGAACTTTGATGTCTGCGGAGAGGTGAAGCTGGTTAATATTGTCGCAAACTGAGAGATACGCCGAAGTCAAAACGAGCCCATTGTGACATACCCAGCTTCTCGTCGCCCAACTTGCTAGCGTAAATATCGATATTGCGCTCCATGGCGGCGTTCAAGCCCCCTCGGAAGGGCCAGTCAAGGCAAGAGGACTGTAGTCACGGCCAGGCCCGGTGGCCGGCTGATATATTTTCAGCCCGCACAGTGATCTCGAATCAAAATGGGTAGGTCATAAGCGAGGAACGAGGTCGAATCGAAGCTTGGCGGGAGTCGTGCAATACGCCCGAAAAGATCGATTGGAAGGATGGATGAGCGAGGCTGGAGATTCGTCAAGTCATTTAATTTCGGGGGATGGCTTGCCTAGTCCTTTATGAAAGAGAGACAGGATGGCAAAGCTCAAATAAGTGAGAAACCCCGTGGGGGAAGGTGTGGGAGGGCTTTAAGGGAATGAGGAGGGTTGGAGATTAAAGCGCGCGACCTGGCCCCGAACAGAAAGCGCAGAAGGGACGCGGGCTATCGCAGAGACCCCGAACGAAACACTAGTCCGCTTTAGGCAATCCGGCAAGTGTTGTTCCGCTCCGACGCACGCGCGCCTACCAAGCGACTAGACGCGCGGATACCCCAGGGGTTTCCAGGGCTATCCGCCACCACGAGGGAAGTCGAGGAAACAAGTAGACAGCTCTAGTTGTGCTGTTATATCAAGACGTTAAGCTGATGCTTGATTTCCAAATACATCTAGATTGTTCTAGCTCACTTCTCAAATTTAGGTGCAGTGCCATACCGTCGAATATACTGGCATCAACATCGTACCAGTAACCTGCAACCCAAAGACACACCTCAGCCAAACACTCGGTGGCTGACCACTCTTCCCCAATGCACTTCTTTGCTACTATGAAAAATAACGAGTTTGCCCAAGGCGATATCATGTCTCAGTACTGGTCTAAACGAAAAAAAGAAAAGAAAAAACTGGCAACACATAGAAAAGAAGCCGCCGACACGCGGCAGTCGATAGATAGAAACGCCATTTGCACCCATTTTCCATGACCCGAACACGGTTCTAAGACAGAATCCAGCTCAGAGGTCCGCTTAGTAATCAAGGCCCACGGAAACGAGGAGCCGATCACAGAAAGGGAAGTATCAGAGAAGCCATGTACACAGATAACGTAGAGGATTTGGAGAGAAGAAAGATGGAAAAGAAAATGGATGCGGCACAAAAAAAGGGGCAGAGTCGAATGGGCATCAATCCGGCGAAGATACCGGTAATCAGGACACAAAGAAAAGAAGAAAAAAACATTCGTCGCAGCCCGTGTTCGCTATGTCATGGGTAGGTTTTGCAGAAAATCAAGGGAAGACACATGTTCACGAGCACACACACCATCACTGTTCGAGTGATTATTTGGTCGAGTTGCTGCGATGCAAGATCTGTACATTGGTGGCACTGGTACCACTGCCAACCGACCGTCGTCGCGGGCGAATTTCGCTACCGCTACCACTCCGTCGTCTCCGGGAACTGCTGCCACCACGAACGGATCCACGGCGTCGTGTCTGGAGCAAAACGGACGTTTCCACGTTAGAATCACGCAGGCTGTAAACGGGTGGAGATGGCCTCTTAGCAAAAAGACAAATACAAGGGAGGAGCGCGCCAAAAGTACGAGATTCAAAAAAGCAGAGAGTCCGGTTGTGGGGATGCACGCGTCTGAAACAGGTATCGCAGCGAGGTCGATCAGAGATGCTCGGGACTCACCGAATTTGGGGTTCCTTCGCGAGCAGGCCGTTCCTTGGGCGCCTCGGGTTCTTCATCGATCTTGAGGGTGTTCAACCGCTTTTGGCTTTCGTTGGTCATGGCCTCGACCTCGTCGATGGGCTCGGGGACATTGAGGGCGGGCGCGGGTGGGGGAGGAGCACCATTCTTCCTCATGGTCGCTTGTTGTTCGATCATGTCCCACCGATCTTGGCGAGTCTTTTCCCGTTGATCGGCGCTGTTCTGGTGTTCGGTGTATTCATGGGAGCACTCATCGAAGAGCTGGGGGTTAATCTCCATGAACATCTTCATGGCATTGTACACCATGCTGTGAATAGTTCTGTGGTTCAAATTATAGTCAGACAAGTTGTTGAATGGGACGAAAACAGTCGGGGGTTGCTTACCGGTTCCAATGGCCCTTGGAGTTCTCGTAAAGAGGAGCGAACATGATCGGGAGGATGGTTTCCACATTATCGCTGACGAGGTTGCAGAAGTATTCGTTGTTCCAGAAGTATAGAGCGCGCTCGGCAACCTAAAGGTAAATCAACAAATTAGGAGATAACTTTGAAGTGAAAGTCATTCAACGATGTGCATACCTGGAAATGTGGGCTGGCAACAGACTTGGCCAGCTGGTGGAAAAGGGGTTCCTGAACTTTGGCAAATTCTCCGGGGTCCATAACCTCGAAGATATCCTCGACTTCGTTGAGGTACATGACCTCCTTGGTGCTGTTGGTCTTCGGCCAGTAACGCAGCAAACCAAGAACGACCTGAAGACAGTAGGTTAGCGTATGATCCACATGATACGATTCAATAGCGAGGGTGCGAAGCTTACGTCTTCAGTCAGGCTTGAGTCCTTCTCCAAGAACTGAACAATACAGTAGGCCAGTTGAGGGTGATACATGCTCAGGCTCTTGACCTTGTGCATGGGCAACAAGACCCGAGTCAAGAACAGCTTGTGCTCTTCCTTGAGAGGCAGTGCAAATCCGTTGATAATGGAACCCAGGATTTCAAGCAGCTCGGCGATACCGTTGTGTCTCTCCGTCTCATACATGAACTGGAAGAAGACATTGTTGATAGATCGCCGAATGTATGACCGCAAATTCAAGAACTTGCCGTAAATCCGGTGCAGAGTAGTCTTCAGGAAATCCCGCTCGCGGGGGTCTTCAGAGTCAAAAAGATCCAGCAACTATAGAAGTGTTAGTAACACTTATCAGTACGATATCACCGCGGGTTCATACCTGAAGCACAAATTGATGGTCGATGTATGCCTTGGCAATGTTTGTGTTGAAGTCCTGGCTCTCAATGAACCGCAAGAAGAACTCGTAGACAACCTGGATATGCGGCCAGGCGACTTCGAGGACTGGCTCGTCTTCCTCCGGGTCAAACGCCTCGCCTTGAGGAGTCATAGGTGGAGGAATCGGGCGAAACAAGTTCTTGGCGAACATCTCCACGACGCGAGGATACATAGGCTCCGTAATGACAGACCGGTTGTTGGCGACATAATCCAAGAGCTCATGGAGAGCCAGTCTCTTGATCTCTTTGGACTTCATGTCGGCAGTAGGGTCATTGAAATCGAAAATTATGTTGCACTGATCAATCTTCTGCATGAAGAGGTCCTGGCGCCGGTTGGGGGCCACCTCGTGGAAACCCGGTAGCTTCTCCAGCTCTCGCTGACGCTGGTCAGAGATATCGAATCGTGAGGAGTGTTGGCGCTTGGGGGTCCGAATTCCTTCCGACATATCTTTCGGGGTCGTCTGAAGGCGATCGAAGACGTGCGATTTTCTCGGCGGCGCCAGGTCGCCGGGCATAGTTTCGGCAGCGCCCGGGGGAGCCTAATACATGCGCAGAGTCGATTAGTGTCAAGTCCAAATAACCATCCATGCCCGACGAGGATTATGCACTTACCGGCCCACTAGGGCTGATGATCACACTAGGCGCAACTGGCTGACCCTGCCTTGTTGGAGTACCCGGGCCATTACTGATAGGCTGGCCAGCGATGCCGGCTCCTTGAGGTATATAGTGCTGGGCCGGCGTGGCGCCTGCGGACGGAGTACCTGCCGGGGAAGCATTATCCGGCGACTTGCCTCGCGCATCGTTCAAGGAGGTCGTAGAGGATGTCGGGGTGCCTTGGCCGGGGAAGCGGACTGCTGTGTTTGGGAAATGCCGAGGGAAGCTTGGCTCTGGGATGACGAGTTGGAGGAGTCCTTCTTTTTCGAGGACTTGTTGGCGTCCTTTGCCCGCGACAACTGCTCATGCTATAAAGTAGGAACAAAAAAAGAAGTCAGCTTCGGTACGAGTCGAGCAAGGGGGCTAACCATGGTGGGGGAGAGGGGGATGATAGGCGGAAAGTGATCGTGCGGTGAAGCAAGAACACCATGGACAAGGATGACGACTTACCACTCTCTGTCTGAAGCCCTTCATTTTCACGCCTTTGTGGACAGCCACATGTACTCCACTGGTATTCTCGGTGCTAGTGCAGGCGGGCGCTGCACTCTAGCCAGGGTTACTTGGACGGCAGGCGAACGGGAGAGGGGGCGGGAGGAATTGTTTGGATCGAACTGGTAGCAGGTGAGGTGTTAGTATTTCGTATCAATATAGCACATAAAGCGTGAAGGATTCTAAGAATCCGTCTTCAAAGAGCCCTATCAGATCATCGACCAGGGAGCTGGGCGAATCTCAATGACCGTCGATTCAGAGCGGGTGATGTAGCAGCTTGCGCACGGGGCAAGGCGCCTCGATGTTGAGGATCAAGGACCGGGGGAGGCGAAACGACGATGGAGAGCGGGCAGTACACACCTCTTTGACCTGGGAAAGGACAATTGGCGTTGAGGTGCAAGGAAGACCGGACTGAACGGCGTGGAAGTTCGGTATAGGGCGAGCGTAGTTGGTCCGCTCTAAAGGATCTCCGTGTCGCTTAGTGGCAGGCTGGGGCGGGGGATTCGAGAGAGCGCCAGAGCCACCCGATTGCACTCCGCGACCTGAGGCAAATCAAGGGATTTCAGAGGAAGCTGGCAAGGGCCAGACAATGCAAATGATCGGATTCAGGGATGTTGGCGGGTGGGTGGGGAGGGAGGAGGAGGTAAAGGAGGGCGTTGTTGAGGTAAAGGGAAAGGCGGGTTCTCCTGGCTGTGACGGTGATGGGGGGAGGGGGCCTTCGACTCTCCAGTTCAGGTGCACACGGCGGGGGGTGGACAGGCTCATCTACAGGCGCACATGCTTTGCAGTATTTTATTTAATCATTTGTTTCTATTTTACTTTACTTGGTCTTAACTATCCCTACAAGCCATTCCATCGGACTTGTGTTCAACTATTTTGTATGCGTTTTCCCGCTTCTTTCGCGGCTTATGTCACTTAGTCACGTGGACACCTCCAGGGGGATATCCGAAGTCTTTCCAGTATGGGTCGATGGGTGTTTGGAGGTAATCCTGAGAGATTAGACCCATTGTAAGGCAACTGAATGGTAGTCTTGCGTGATGATCTCATGTTTGTTGTGGCAGCATTCACTACTAATGTATGCAATGTCTTGAGATGTCATAGGTAGTTCCCGGGTACCTGAAGAGATATATTATTCGTAGGGTACACAAATATCACTATGCTATCTAACTTATCAAGTCTTGGGGGGTACTGGAAGTAAATTCAGCTGCAACTAGAACGCTGGCTAAGGCTAACTACTGTGATCGTATTAAATGAGATCGTGACAGGATCACATTAATTTTATATCGTCATGCTACCCTGATCCTCAAACCAATTGAACCATGGTCGTGCTGACCCGACTTTGCGGCATCAAAGCTTAGTCATCCTCCCAAAGCTCTGAAGGTTCCCGCCGAGTCTCGATGGAAGAAGACTTGCAGCACACGCCGGGAATGTGAGAGAAGCACCGTCAATATCGAGGTTTGCTGTTTCTTTTCAAGCCGCTGGGTGGATTGTGACTTAGAAGGCTGTGACTAGTCGCTGTGGCCTTTACCCCGACGCGGCATCAAGCTAGTTTAATCTCGATTATCGGAGCTCCACTGCCTTATACTGATAGCCCGGCTACCAGGAGCATCGAGAAATCTCATCATCCTTGATAATCCCGCCGCGCTTCTACAAAATCAGTGTACTCACCTCATCATGGATACACATCGCGAGTCGAGGACTGCCTCCTTCTACAATATCCCGCCCCTGCACCTGGTCAGCGTGGAACACCCTGCAGTGATCCGCAACCTTGATAAAGCCGTCGCCACGCTGCAGGGCAACACCGGCATCCAGAAAGTGAGTCAAGATCGATCAGCCTGTTCGAAACTCGGAAGAATTATTCCTCCTAACTAGATTCCAGATCCTGAACCCTCCTAAGGCTGATACACCAATTAATTTGATGCTGCGGCCGGAAGATGCCATGTCGCGACCCATCCAGTCAACAAGCTGTTCATCAAATAATGTCCTCATTCAAGTCACTGTGCCAAAGCGGACGGGCCGGAAGCGCAAGAGAGGCACGAATGATCCCTTCGTTGATGCTACGCCGGAGAACGGAGAGCCCTTGCGGCGGCGCCCAGCAAAAGATATCATGCGCAGTCTTAGCGACAATCCCTCAAAGTATAGGGTTGAAGCAGTGGGCAAGATTGATCGGACTCATGTTTTTCGAGGTTTGTTTACATGATGGTCATATACATTAGTCTCGATACTGACATCGTTATTCCAGGTATGCCTGACTTTGTCTACTCGACTATGAACAGCGCCTTCACCAATAAGTTTCGAGAACAAATTCTTCCATATGAGTGTCAGTTCCTATACCTAAATCAGAAAAGAATCGAATACTAACTAACCAGCAAACAGTGGAGAAGATCAAGCAGTTCGATATCGAAATGACAAAAGGCGCCACGCAGAACGTGGATCTCATTCCCCCTCCATCCTTCAGCCAAGGAGAGGTGCCTTTCCAGTACATGTACGTCTAGCGAACCCTTGAATGATCTAAAGGATACATTAACGGACCAAAACCTACTAACACACACCTCCAGATACCGCCAAAACCCCATGGTGAAAAAGGCCGTCGATCAATCCGGCGAAGTCACAACGGTCAACACGCAACAAGCAGCCCGAGTCCGCACTCACCTAGTCCCCTACGACATCCCCCAAGTCCCAAACGAACCCCAAGAAGGCCTCCTCCCAATCGAGGAACTCGAAAAAGGCCTACGCGCAACCATCCAATTCCTCGAAGAACTCTTCTCAAAGCGACCCGCATGGACTCGCCGCGCAATCCGCAATTACCTCACCACCGACGAACAGCGAAACTTCCTCCGCCACGCCGTGCCCTACGTTGGCTACATTTTCCGCTCTGGACCCTGGCGCGATGCAATCGTCAAACTGGGCCACGACCCGCGCACTTCCCCAGATTACCGTGACTACCAGACCTTCATGTTCCGCATCTTACCGCGTGAAGCAGAGCTCGCCCGCGACGGCGGCACAGGCCGTCGCCACAATATCCCCCGTACAACAGTCGACGAGACGAGTCAAAACTCCGAACTGAAAAACACACACCACTTCACGGGCAAACTACCTCTACCACGCGACGGCCGGATCTGGATGGCCTGCGACATTACAGACCCCGTCCTGAAAAAGATCCTCTACCCGCCCAACCCACCAGAGAACTTCCTCCGACCGGACTGCGAGATCATCACGGACGGATGGTTCGGTAACGGCACGCTGGCCAAAGTGAAAACGATCATGCGGTGGAAGATCCAGGCGCTCATCGAAGATCGACAACCGCGCGACTCGGACTTTTGGCGTATCATTGCGTTCCCGGATCATGCGTACACGGAGGCTGATTTGGGGCTGTTTACGGTTCCGTTGGAGGGGACGACTAGTCGGGAGGTTAGTATGGCTACAGAGACGAGAGCTTCGATTAAGGGGGCGCCGTTGTGGAGGAAGATGCATGATCGGGGACGGGGGGATTTGGATGGGGAGAAGATGGGGGTGTTGAAGAGGGCGAGGGGGAAGGGGAAGAAAGGGAAGGCTGTGGTGCTTGAGGTTGAGAGTGAAGAGGAGGTGGATGTTGGTGGTAATGGGGAGGAGAGTGAGGGTGAGGAAGAGGAGATGGAGAGAGTGGAGATGTGGGAGGAACAGGCTGCTGCTGCGGTGAAGGCTCGAGAGGGTGCGTTGGCTGAGGAGGATGATAACGAGGATGATAATGATGTTGAGGTTGAGGTTGAGGATGAAGACGAGGACGAGGATGACGAGGGTGATGAAATGGATGGTGATGAGTGAACTTGTGGCAATGTATGCATTCAGCGGTCTCTCATGATACAACTTCAGCCAAGCTATCTACTACTGCTATTCGATTCAAGCAACACATTCCACTCATATCTCAATCATATTCGCTAGATACACTAAACGTCAAATCAGACAATTAATTAAACAAAGCAAAAGCACATGTAATTCAGAAGACACCAACAAATCACGAACATCAAATTCCAACAGCAAAAAGATAGACAAGGGTATTATTCCAAGAAACAAATAGAACCATCATCAGGACATCAAGACATCAAATTAACTCCGTCACCCAAGATACCAAAACCAGTACCAGTACCAAGACCAAGACCAGGGGCCAAAACAGACGCCGGGACCAGATGCAAATGCAATCATAAACTTTCGAAAACACCACAAAAGACACCTAGTCCTTTGTAGCATCAGACTCATTACTCGCATCCTTCGACTCGACGACCTGCTTCTCCGGAATAACTGTCTCCAGAACGGAGGCAATAGAAGTAGGAATAACGGGCTTCACAAAAACAGCCTGCTCAGGAGTAGTCTTCTTCGGAACAACCGCATTCTCACTCTCCCCATCCTCATCGTCGTAGACAACCGCAAACGAAAACGCATTACAATCCTCCGGATAATAATCCGCAGCATTCAATTCTCCAAGTGGGGAACGGTCTTCTTCCATCTTATTCGCCTTGCGAGTCGCGGCGGCTGCAATTAGGGCAGTTACCTCCGCAGAACGGGGGAGGTCAATACCCAGTTCTGCGGGGGGAACGTTTTCTTTACCGCGGTCGTCGGTGGTGGAAGACTTTGACTCGTCGTCGCTGATGTCGAGGACGCCGGTGGAGTGTTGCATCAAGTTGGTCATCTCTTCTTGCTCGGAGTCGACGTGGATATCGAAGAACCATGATGCCGGGCCTTTTGGTTTGGCTGGTGTAGTAGTCTTGTTTTTGCCGTGGGAGAGGGCCGTGGCGAGGGAGAATGGCCGGGCGACGCCGCCGCGTTTGCTGGGTTCGGGACGGGCCTTGGTGATTGTTGATCGGCGGGTAGAAGTGATGGATTTGGGTGGGGGCGAGCGGCCGGCTGGCTTCAGGACGGGAGCGGACTTGGGTGTTGACAGGGAGAGTTTGGATGGTGTTGAGAGGCGTGGGGAGAAGTTCATGTCGCGGACTGATAGGGCCATGCGCGAGGTCTTGAGGGGCTTTGGGGAGCCCTTGGAGATATCATCGTCATCCTCGAGGGAACGCTTGCGCTTGCCGGAGAGATTGAGGGTGTTTGGGTCGATGTTCTCGGCATTATCGATGAAGATGGTGCTTTTGGCTGAAAGAGTCGCGCCTGGATGGAGGTTGTGATATTAGACTCTATGTCTGCGGAACTATAGGAGAGGGGTTGAGATTGCGGGCTTACCATTTTGCTGGTTCTGACGGTTCAACTTGGACCGCATGAAGGGACGCATTCTGGGAGTGTCCAGACTGGCAAAGGGTTGGCGTGTGGGAGGAGTCATGGTGAGAGCGGCCATGACGAAGGATCGGAGGAGTGTCTGTGCTTGTGCTGGGTGGTTTGTTTTGGGCGTCGCGGCGCTAAGTGGGGAGTAGGCGGTCTACGCTAAGAGAGTCGATCGCGAGATCGAGTCGAGGAGAATGATCGAGTAGGAAATAGTAAAGAAGAGTTCGGATCTTTTCTCTTAATCTCAATGATTGAACCGGTCGGAAAGTTGGATAGTGGAGGTCGTGGTAAGGAAGGGATGGGTAGGGCAGACGAAGTCCACTACTAGCACCGTAATGAAGGAGAGGAATAGAAGTGCGGGGAGAAAGTACTGAGATATTGGAGAATATGAGACCTGATGGGAAGAAGGGAGGTGGCGAGAGGATATATAGGTTTAGGTTATATTGGTAGATACTCGATAGTGCTCACGGGGAGTAAGGAGGTATTTCACTGGGGATGAAGTGGAGGGGACGAGGTGGTGGAACTATTTCAAGGTCCGCGAGCGCGTCGTGCTCGCGTTCGGATGCAAGGCGCCCTCAGCTCGGGGCGATTGGATCATACCAGCCCAGCGGTGGCGTTCATGCGGGCACAATCGGATTCTCCAATAAGCGTTCATTGCCCGGCCGCTCGTGGGAGGAACTCGAGGGAGTATGTACAGTATGTATGAGTATGTCTGGCATGGCCCGTGGAATGTCGATCGCGACGGGCATACAGTATGGATGAGTATTATACAAGATAAAAGGACAGGTAGTTTGACGATAGTTAATTCCTATATTGATAGACGAGTATATTCTATAATCATGTAGCCATACTAAAGATAGAGTCAATAACAATCCCCTTATCTTCTAGCCAAACTCAAGACGAGAACTAATGCCGCCAGATCACACCCGCGCGTATCCCTTGGACGCGTCCGAGTCGCGAGTACTTCACGCAATACATCATTAAGCTACAATAATGAATAAACTATTCATACCAGCCCTATAATCCCCCAATAAACCCCCAATGAAACCCACCGCCACCCCCGCCCCCAAATGTACCAAACCATGTCACTCCTTGGGTACTTTATACTTCTTCATACTTTCCGAACGCGCGACACGCCTCGCGTCCAGAAAAACCCCTCCCTTACACCGCGACCCCCGTTTAACCCGCCGATTCTAATCTTGTTTAACGAGCTGTGCTGCATTGCATCGTCACGACTCACGACTGTGTCTCCAATAGGCCCGTACCTCATCCGGTCCTAAAACTCTGTCGCGGTCTTGCTATATGCATCGCCAACCCTGCCAACTCATACCGTCTTCGCGCCATTGGACCCCGTCTCACCCCGAGGCGAAATGGTTCATGAAACCATGCATCATGCATTGATGAAGCAGCTGTGAAGATACGAGGGCGCTGCCGAGACTGATACTCTGAGTACGGGCGCGTCTACCAGAGTAGAACCTAGAAACACGTCCCGTGGTGTGTGGGAATGTAGGACTAGAGGGGAGTTGCTCCTACATATAGCTCGTTTTGACTACTGTCCTCCCACTTGATGGGTCCTATCATCTCCTTCCCCAGATCCCCTGGATAGCCAGGCGCTGTAAGACGGTAAGACGTGGAGAATTCGCCACGGTCCGCGTGAACCTGTCATTCTTGATAGTTCCTTCGTTCTTGGTTCCTTTCTCCTTAATTCCGGATCCCCCTCCACGCTTCTCGTGGCCTCCTCCGACGCCATCCCCGTCATTGCACGTCTGACTCGCCGCATTCCGTGACTAGATCGGTCGTTGCTCCTGTGGATTGGCTCTAAGGGGTAAGTCAATGGCTGATCAGATCAATTGCACTGTATTCTAAAGTCGGAAAGAAAAGATATATTCCACTCGCTCGACCATCCATGATCTAATGATAATGTACATGCTTGCCACACTTTATACTCTTCTGTCTCTGGGTCATTGAGTAAACCTAAGACCGTAGACCTAGCTTAAGGTTAAAGTTCACTCTCAAACGGAATACTGTCCATTGCTCCCTGTCGCTCCACGGCGCGAGCAGACGCACGCGCTGCCAATCGCATACCCTCGTCCATCACCGTCTGGTACCGATACGGCTTCTCAGCATCAACCAGGTCCAGCCCGGCCTTACCATCCACACGGCGCTGCTCGCGCCATCGCGCAACCTTGACTGCATAGGCGCCCACGAACGTATCGCCCGCCGCCGTAGTGTCAAGCACCCGAGACACTGGCGCGGCGGGAATCTCATTCGTAAAGCGTCGCACGCCATCACTGGGGCCAGTTGTGCCCCCGTCCGTAGCACTGTACCAGACTCCCTTGGCCCCGAGCGTAATCAGCACATAACTCACTCCTAGCTTGTGGAAATACCGAGCAACTTTCTCATTACCGTCCAGTCCCGCTGCATCCGGGATTACGTGGAGCAATTGCTCCTCGGGAGGGCTCATCAACTCGGCCTCCGTCTCGTTCAAGATCAAATGGTCAACAGCTGCATAGACATCCTCAGGTAAACCACCCGGTGGTGCCGGAGCCGGGTTCAGCATAACGTCCGGTCCGCACTCGATACCACGCTTTCCCGCAGCACGGTTCTTCGCCTTGAACGCAGCAATCTCACGCAGAATCCCAACCACCGTGTCCACGGGGATCTCGCCTTGCATCACGATCACGTCCGGCACTGGGGCAGCCAACGCGCAACCCAGGACGTCGGGCGTGGGCTGCATACCGGTGTAGTTAGCACCAGGCGAGAACAGGATACGATTCTCGCCGCCGGCAGACGAGTCCACGATAATAACTGCCACACCGGTATAAGCATTCTCAACCACCCGCACGCGCGATGTATCCACGCCCGACTTTTCGAGCGTGGGGCGAAGTAGTGCGGAGAAGTGGCCGTCCAATGCGCCCACGGCGCCGACCATCTCGACCGTCACGTCGCTCTGCGTGTTGAGGCCGTCGGTTGTAGGTTGTGGCCGGGATAGTCGGCCACAGGCCACGGCTTGATTGGCGCCTTTGCCGCCGGCGCTGGTGAAGTAGGAGGAGGAGGTGATGGTCTCGCCGGGGTCGGGGAAGCGTGGGGTCACGGAGACCATGTCGGCGTTTAGGGAGCCGATGACACGGATGAGAGGGGCCATGGTTGTAGCTGAGTGTGATTTCGAATATCTCTGGGGTAATTTGGGTGTTTTGAGAGTGTCAAGTATGCTGCAGAGAGCTCGAGAGTCGAGGTGTTGGAGAGGTGGGGTGTGGCCCGTGGGAAGCCCTGGAGACTGAATTGGGCGATTGAAGCTGTAAAAGGGATTTCTCTGAGGTGGATCTGCGTTGAGTCAAATAGTAGACTAGCGATTTCTCACTGCTTGTCGTGTGTAGCTGGTAATGTCACGGTTGCGCAGGGGAGTGCGGGGAGTTGTAGCTGACTGGGGAGGTGACGTTGGTGGGGGAAGTTAAGGTTGTCGGAGGTGGTCCGCGCTTGGCGGATCAATTGATGGACTAATTATGGACAATTTTATATCTGAAAGTTTAGTCTATATTTAATATTTGGTGGCATATGTTGTATAGAGCCATATAGAAAGCTAAGCTGTTACTTTGGAATTTAGTTTCTCGTCTTCGAGTATAGTGCTATGATGGAAATCCTTCTAGCGAAGAGATTCATTGAAGTATAAAACCGGGCGTATAGCTTTCTAGGAAACGAGATGGATCTTTACTTGTGATCATAGCTACGTTCCATGGTAGTAGGAATATAATTTCCATATTACATCTCCAACGGTCTAAATACCTTCTTCGTAGTTCCTACTCGTCTCCAAGATCCACTCGAGCTTAAGCTATGATCCTATTATAAGTCTTGAAAATAGTGCAAGATTGCCGCCTGATGTAGTATAGGATTAGTACTTTGATTGCATGCCTTAGGATATTCGGGATTGTTTGATCGGTTCTCTAGGCGAATAGTGTGTTCTGCTTCCATAAACATCGGGGTGCTTCGTTCTAGGGTACCTTCCAGAAATGGACACCCATGTCGTGCCTGCCACCTCGCACCTTCGTGAGATTTCTGTGACTTCACCACCCACAACATCCAAAACACGTCCTTTTCTCTTCCTTCGTTTTCTTTTCCTGATCCTCGTTCCTCTATCTCCACCACTCCCTACTCTATCACTCCGCACTTCGTTCATCCATCTTGCTGATCTCTTCCCCTACAGATCCATCTCCCACGCTTGCTCCAAAGCTTACCCGTCTCCCTCCGTTAACATTCAATATGTCTGATGAGAGGAGAAAAGCCCTGGTGGGGCTGCCCACGTATCTGCGTCAGTCCGCAGATACCGTGCTGACAAAGGACCAGCCAGCCCATATTGGACACCCCCAGAGCCCACGTTCTCGCCCGTCTAACGAATCTCTCTCTCCTCCCACTCATCATTTAACCCCAAACGCATCGGCCTATCCAGTGGTTCCCCCTTTCAGGCTTGCATCTGAGCGCCTGTCATTGCAGCAGGACCCGGTCCAAGACAAGGACAAAGCGTCTCTCAAGCGAAAGAGACCTCCTGAGCCAGCTCCAACAACCTCCTCAGAGCCCCCGATTGAAGACAAGGACAACGAATCTCTCAAGCGGAAGAGATCTCATGAGCCAGCTCCAGCCTCCTCAAAGCCTGAAACCCCTGGGCCTGCAAAGATTTGCAGGTTCCAGGGTGTTATTGAGCACAGGAGGTGGGAGGAGGCCATGGATTTCGCTGCGGATATGGGAGATTGTGAGCTTAGCACTGATAAAGTTCACCGGCACATCTTTTGGACCGATGGGTCAATCGTCCAAGGTGCCTGTGCTGCTGCAGCGGTAGTTTGGAAACAGCCACCGTCGTCTAAGTGGATGACAGAAGGCCATCCCTACCCCTACCTTACCCAGAACACTGAGGTTGTCGAGATGTTTGCAATCGCTCATGCTTTGAGGCGTGCAGTTGATGAAGTTAGGCAGGCAAGAAGCCGAGTCACGGGAGGGCCTCACTTGCAAGTTACTCATGAGGTGTTTGTTTTCACAGATTCACTGGGTGCGCTGAACAGTATTAAAGAAGATGCTTGGGGGTTTCACACCCTAGGGAAGTGTGAACAGGCCCACACTATCATCGATTACAGCATTGAGCTCCGTAGTCTTGGAGCTAGACTGGAGCTACATCTGGTGCCGGGACACAGCAACGTGCCGGGCAACATGGAGGCACATCGAGCTGCCAAAAAAGCCGCTCATCATACCGCAGATCAAGCCGGAATAACCTCAAACGAGGAGGGATTCGCTTTGCACAAGAAACAAGGCAGTGTTGCAATCATTGTTCTCTCCGCACCCCTTTTGGTCCCAGCCTCGCCAGTCCCCGCTCGTTGCTCTAAGGGTTCTCGGGGTCGTGCTCTCCGCAAGTATCGTGATCTCCTCGCGCAACCAATCAGAAATTTAACTCCTCTCAACGCTGGTTCGACCTTGGCGACAGGAGACCAAGACAAGACACAAATAGCTCGGGTCATTACACCAGCCCTGAGCTCCCTCCACTGGTTCACACCGATCAAAGCCAGACAGACCCCCTCGACCGTGGATTCGCCCCAGTCCCAATCTGTTGGCGAACAGGAACCCGTGTTGAAGAAACGGAAAATAGAGACTGCTGCTGCTGAGTCTCTCTCCTTGCCTGGCCCTCGGCCCTTCGGTCCAGGGTTATTCACCTCTAATGCAAGCTCTCGGCGCCTGGGTATCGATAATGCAAGAAGTTTCTTCAAGGCTGGAAGATTATCATACCCTCCTGCGAAAGATGTGTCAGCAGCCATCCTCAATACCCCCCAGTCGATTATCACCACGTCAAAGATGAGGTCTTTCGCCTCTCCCGAGGAACCCAGAGATGGGCTGAGCTTGGCTACAATCTCATCGATTGATGACGTGAAACCAAACGCCCGTCAAAGTGTGACTCTTCCATCGCGTCCTCTATGGAATCCCGATGTGTGCCCAACACCTACTTCGGTGTTTATGGCTTCACAAATGAAGTCATTTGCTTCCCCCGAAGTACCAAAAGATGGGCTTACATTGGCACCTAACTCATGGTTCCATGAGGGCAAGATGAAGCAGATTGGAGAGCTCCCGGTCAGCCCATCAATTCGCGATGTGCCGAAGACCCCTGCGTTCTTCGTTACAACGTCGAAATTGAGATCATTCGCTTCTCCCGGGGAACCCCAAGATGGGCCAACCCTGGCACCCATCCCACCATCTTTTGATGGTGAGCTGCAGGATTGTGGAGCGAAAGAGAGTTCGGAGCATGATCGACCAGAAGATCTGGCCCGAAAGAAATGATCATTTTTCGACACGATGAGCGAGGAATGAGGGTAATGACTTGATTGGTCTGTTGAGTTTAATGTCTTGTGTGACGTGACATATTGTTATCCATTCAAGCCATGTTTGATTATCTGTTTTCCCGTCGTAGATTTAGATCTGCTTTCAAAGTATCTTCACATAAAGATGGAAATTACTGACCCTCTTAATATCTTCCAAACGCATTTTACATGTTCTCCATATAGCGAGGGCCAAGATGAGATGTTGGTTAACGACAGAAACATCTCGAGTGCCATAAGCCAATAGAGCTTGGGTATAATTATATTCATATCTGGGACTGAGCGAATATGATGTGTAAATTCTTAGCCTGAAAAATATTTGCTATCCCCACGAGTTGAACCTGCGACCTCTCGCTCCCTATATACTTCCTGACGATGCTCCATGTACAGCCCGCGGCTTCAACCCGTTACCGCACCCAGTAAACAACACATAATATAACTACTAGACTACCTTTTAAATAATTTTTTAAAAAAGGATTATATTCTATACAATTTAGTGATCATTTTGATATAGATAAAGTATAATAAAAAAGACTTTAAGAGAGGTAATTATGTAGAGATGTTAGATATAAAAAAACCTCACCCGCCGGGGGCCGCACCTGCTCCACAGAAGCTTCCTCGCAGTTACGACCGCCGAACCCACCGAAGTGGCTACGGGCGCCTAGGGGTTAACCCACTAGACAACCGGGCAGGATCAGTTACTGATTCCAACTGGAAGTAAATGATAACACTTCAAGCCATCCCTACCCCCGCTATCAACTCGGCTCATTTTTTGATCTACAGCAATATCAAAGCGCGTATTTGGATTGATTTATTGGACCTGCTACCTCGTATATTTCCATAACCCCATTTAGAATAGAAGAAAACACTAGATGAACTTCAAATGACCATCCTCGTTGGTGATCCGCTCCGCCAAGTTAATGTCTGCAGATACATTCTCCCCCTCGAGGTTACCTAAACTGGCCCGAAGCACGGGGATAGCCTCGCCATCATCTCGCTCATCGCGAGAGAATTCAATGTCCTCGGCACTATCCTGGAAGTTCTCGCCTCCCCATTCGAATGATCCTGAAAGACTTATTAACACTGTTGAAGATATATACAGGAAAGTGTGGTGTACCGTTGTTATTGCCGATAATCTCATTCAGGTCCAGCTCCGAGTCGACCTCTTCACCTTCGCTGTTCAACAGAGTGGCCTTGAGAATGTGGCCATCTTCCAGCTCGATATTGGTAGCGGAGGCGTGGAAGCTCATTGCGAAGATATTGGAGCAGAGCAAGAGAAGCTTGAAAGTGTGGATTGAATGTTCTGGATATTCCTGAAAGACGACGAGGTATGGCCATATTTATACCCGGTCCAGTGCTCTTGACATCCCTCCTATACAGTCATCCACCTTCTTACTGACAGGAAACCCTGCAGCAGCCCGATTTCTTGTCCGACACATGTCCCCGACTCATTTGCTATCCATTATGATGTGGGCTGGCTAGTTGCAGATGCCACCAGCGGGGGTCATCTCGAACAACACAGTCATGAGAGAGGTAGTGGAGCCATACTTGCCATGTCAACGAGTCGAGGACCCCCCACCGCACACCCTAGGGACCCAATCCTACGACCTCAATGCCTGGACACCTACACGCACGGTCAAAGAATGTCCTATACACCCATTCGCCAAACTGACATCTTCTACTCGCAGTCATCCATGACATACCAACGCTCCAAAGCACGACATACAATACCAAACGTGAATGCTCCCTATGCGCCATTATCGTGGCGCATGATGCAGCCCTAAATTTCAGCCACAGACATCCTCCGAGGCTGATGGCCGCTGATGTTGCACCGAACATGCAGGCCAAGACCATTTTCCCCCTGCCCTACGGTTTGCTCCGGGACGAGACGCTTCGTGGAGAAATACTGGTGCCTAGAGGGGGTTTGCTTGGCTGGGCGGGGATTCAAGGGTATCTCCACTTGGAGTAATATGCAGCCTCATCTTTGGGGGGTCTTGGCGGTTGGGTTCGCGAATGAGAGGTTTTTGGGGACCGGTGGGTTGCTTGGCTGTGGCTGGTTGAGGGTAAGTCATGTCATGTCATACATACTGTGACTGCGTGGGTGATACTGGGCTAGGGATGAGGGTGGCTGGAGTGTTTTGAGTCCTGTCAAGGTGTGGAAGTCCCCTTTGAAGATGATTGAAATGGATGAAATGTATTGAATATGCATTCGTCCCGGTAGAGACAACTAAGCTAAAGTATATCCCCAAAAACCCAATATCAGACACGCTCCAAACTCCCATGCCTCGCGAGCCGAATTGATGCACAAACCGAAGAAACGACCGTCACCCATTGCACGTACACGGTATAGAGAAAAGCAAACAAGAAAAAAACATGTCAGAATCGTGATACGGCCGGTGTTGGAAATTAGGGCCTGTTGCGGTAGATCTGCGAGCCGCCGGACCGGATCTGCACCGTCTCCCGCCGCTGCAGTACGACCAGCGCCCGATTAAGCGCTTGCTCGGTGTACCCCTTGCCGTCGACGAACTCGCGGCGCAGGGTTGCCAGACTAGTGCTCCAGCCCAATGGCAGGCGACGCTTCAGCTCGTCCTCGATCTTGGTGGCCTCCTCCATGAGTTCCTTGCTACCCTGGCCCTCGCCTTGGGTGACAGCGTCCATGGTGGATGCCAGGAAGAGGCGGATGGCCTCGTCGACGTGGGCTTCCGTGGCAATGGGAGAGAGGGAGAGTTTGGCGAGAGACTCGGTGATACGGACGATAGCCTCAAGCTGACGGACGGTGATGGGGATGGAGGATCGGGTGTTGGACTCTAGCTCAGCGCGGTGCACTTGCTTGCGGATGGACACGAAGTGTGATGAGAGCTTCTCAGCAGCTTCTGGTGAGAGACGAGGAGCACAGCGGCTAGAGAGAGTATGTTAGTATCAATGTGAAGAACGAAACAAAACGGCTTGTAAAACATACCTGCGACAGTAGCTGATATAACGCTTCATCTGCTCGACCGGAATCTCAGCCTCGACCTGCTCCTCAATACCGCGGCCACCCATATGCACACCCATGACGTGGCGGGCAATTCTCTCATCCCGGCCACGCTCGTGGTCGTCACGAACGATGAAGATCATATCGAAACGAGACAGAATGGTCGTCTGGAAGTCGATATTCTCACCGGGAGTCTTGAGATCATCGTAGCGACCAAAGATCGGGTTGGCCGCAGCAAGAACTGACGTACGAGAGTTCAGAATCGTCGTGATACCGGCCTTGGCAATAGAGATGGTCTGCTGTTCCATGGCTTCGTGAATAGCCACTCGGTCCTCGTCGCGCATCTTGTCAAACTCGTCAATACACACCACACCGCCATCGGCAAGAACCATCGCACCACCTTCCAGGTAGAATTCACGGGTGGTGTGGTCTCGCTGGACCGAGGCCGTCAAACCAGCGGCCGAGGAACCCTTTCCGGAGGTGTAGATGGCGATGGGCGCGGCCTTTTCAACAAACTTCAACAGCTGGGACTTGGCAGTACCGGGGTCACCAAGCATGAGCACGTTAATGTCACCACGAAGCTTCATTCCATCGGGAAGAATCTTCTTGGAACCACCCATCAGCAAACAAACGATGGCCTTTTTGATATCGACATTGCCGTAGATAGATGGCGCGATACTCCGGGCAAGAGCATCGTAAAGATCCGGCCGGCGGCTGAGCTCTAAGAACTCTTGCTCCTCCTCTTCACTGAAGACAGCATTGCCCTTGGCAGTCTGATCCACGTCGGTGTTGATACCCACAGCTCGCAAGTAAGGGTTGCGAATAGCCACTGCAGCCTCCTTCTTACCACCCTTGGCTTGGTAGATGGAGAAGATACCCATCACTGTGCATCGAGAACCAGGAACAACGCGGTTGGCCAAGTATCGGTCGGCAGAGATCAGGACATGACGGGGCAGTTCACCAACCGGCACTTGGTCGGGAGCTTCCTGAAGCTTGAGAACCTGCTGGTCCACAAACTGGCACTTCTCGTGGTGAACGACGTACGGGTCGAGCGGACATTTCTCATCTGGTTGGTCGCCCGGTACCTTTGCGCGACCGCACTGCCGAGGAAGGGACAGGCCAGAGAAACCACCATCAACGGTGATATTTTCGCTATGGTCGCAGTTCTTGCAGCGAATGTGCACCGTAGTCGCCTTTGATGAGATAGTCGAAGCACCGATCACGATACCGGGGATTCGGACGAGATGAGAAACGTTGGTAGCATTGAGGTCACGGATAGAAATGTGGGTTGCAGAAGAGTGAAGGAGCAATTGGTGAGAGGGGAGAGTGAGGTCCTGTTGGCCAGGGAAGACAATTCGCTTGGTGCATTCCTGAAGTGCGGCTTCGAACTACTCAAGTGTTAGATAGGGCTGGAATAAGTCGGATAACCGTGGCTGGCGCTGCCTTGCACCTACCAGAGGAATGATATCCGCAGGCTCAGACGTAAGCTTGTGCGCCAAATCTTCATTGTAGGAAATGAGATGGGCAATATCGATGTCGCAATAGAAGTTTTTGCCTAGCACATTGTGTCGTAGTTGATCGCTGGTATCGTGGTTGAGTCAGTGTTTGGAGGGCAAAAAAAAAAACAGCCTTCGGAGAGAATGATGAATGTGGGCTGCGTACCGGTAAATGAATGCATTATCGAGCTGGAATTGCAAAACAAAATCACGCAGACGAGCTTGAGTGAAGGAGCGCGAGTCCTCCGCACCATTGGTGCTGGATTCGAGAACGCTCAGGGTATAGGGGGTGCGTCTATCCATGGTGCGTGTGGACGGTGGTGATGAGAGGGACAGGAAGGGAGAACTTTTGGATTTGGGCGGGAACACCAACGCGTCGCGTCGAGGGAAGTGGGACGCGTTAAGTGGTTCTGCCTGAGTCGTAAGGCAAGAAATCGAGGTTGGGCCGGTCGGAGATAAAGTTATTCCGAACTCCCGTCGGACAGATTAGCGCCTTTCCCGATTGGGCCGACATGCACATGGCAACTGGGAAACAAAGCCACCTCGACAACTCCGCTTGGCACTTACTTCCGGCCTTGTGAAATCGAGGAACTATTCTCGGATTATACCTTTGGACCCGAGATCATTGACTGGAAAGTATCCGCGGCGGTACTGGCCCCGACTGGCGTATTCCAGCGGCCTATCTGTCATGATCAGATAACTCCGAGCTTCCCTAACGATCGACCCTCGGGTGGTTGTCGCATCCGCCTGGCGGACGTGGATATGATGGCGCCATCTAGTCCACGCAAGTCAATTGACAGCCTGGCGTCAGGCGCATCGACGCCGTCACTGTCGCATTATTCTACTTCCCAGCTAGAGTCTCCGCGGGTTCCCCCTCAGCGTTACCCCCTGAGGAGGGGGTCCACAGCGAGCTCAATCGTGAGCATTGGAGGCATCCTGGACACTTCTCAGCACCATGGCTCCATTGCAGAGTCTGGACAAAATGGTAAGTCTATACAAATTCAAGCTCCAAATTTCCCTATCGGCTAATCAATTAAACCCTCCACAGCTATCTCTACACTCCTTCAACCTCCGATCGTTCGCACTGGATTGACGCCGCATACCTCCGTATCTTCAACCGGATATAAACCCCCTCATCCCGCGATATTCCGCCAGTAACCTTGACGAATATCGCTCATGTGGATGCCAAAGCATTTCAACCGTATCTGTCGCAAGTGGGCTCCTTGTACGATGTTTTCCAACAGTCGAAAGAAGGCACTGGGGAGGACGCTCAAGCCTCGCCAGGCTTCAAATCTCCGAAACCGGATGATATGGAATCGTTAATGCCATGGAGTCCCGAGCGCAGATCTTCGGTTATGTCGACTGGCTCACAACCAACATCTCCCTATGATCCTCGCGGCCGACGTCCATCGGGAGCCCGTGGCCGTGCGCCTGCCGTGACCCCCCTGTCTACAATCCCGCCAGTCTATTTTGAGGAGGATTTCCACTTGGAAAATCCGCGCACATTTGATGTCATCTCAGAGAAGTCCGAGGTGGTCAAACCCCCGCGACCACCAAACAAGGACGATAAGCACGCCAATGGAGGGGCTACGGAACCAGTTCACACCGGCAGGAAAGCACTGGCAACGAATGCGATCCTCCAAGAAAAGCTCTCCTGGTATATGGATACTGTGGAAATTCACCTCATTTCCTCCATTTCCACGGCATCCAAGTCCTTTTTCACGGCCTTGGGTTCACTCCGAGAACTGCATGCTGAAGCGGCAGACTCTGTAAAGCGAATTCAGGTTCTACGCAAGGATCTGCAGAAGATCGACAAGGAAATGGCACTGGGTGGCTTGAAGATTGTGAATTTGCGGCGACGGAGAGAAAACGTGCGGATGCTGGCGGCCGCTGTGGCTCAATTACGCGACGTTGTAGAGTCGGTATCTCGTTGTGAAGAACTGGTCGAGCAGGGAGACATTGAAGATGCTGCCGAGGAACTGGAAGAGGTAGAAAATCTCATGGCGGGTGAAAAGGCGTCTGATCGTCCAGCCGAGGGCGACGAGAAGGATCTCCCACGCAAACCCATTGACCTGCGGGGCCTGAAGGCTCTAGATGGAGCTTCCGAGGATCTCGCTATGTTACGGCAGCGCATTGGAATGGGATATGAAACTCGTTTCTTGGATGACCTCTTAGGTGATTTGCGATCTCATGTTGGCAATGTGTCATCTGCCGTGACATTACAGCGATGGGGTGCCTCGTTCTTGCGACAACGTGGCGGTCAACGCCCGGTATCGACGGTTTCACCTGCTTATATGACCTTTGATAATGAGCTCCGGTCCCGGTTGAACACCCAGCTCACTGGACTCGCTCGAGCCCACTACACAACTGCCGCGGCCACATCGTTCAAGACTGCCGTCCTACGAGAGATGAAAGGTCTTATTCGAAAACATCTTCCCAGCTCTAGTGATGACGACAACGAATCCATGATCTCAGTTTCTACCCATAGCGATCGGCAACGGAGTCAGCAGGAGAAATCTTCTATTCTGGCACGGAACTTGCGTGCCCTTGACCCCGATGACGCTTATGGGATGCTCGTGGCAGTATATACCGGCATCAGTGAATGTCTGCGTCGGCTGAGCACTCAAGTGAAGATTCTCTTGGATATTGCCAGTGGATTGGGAAGTTCTCCCGCGGCAGGCATTAGGTCCCCCAATCGGAGTCCCAACCCGCAAAGCCCAGACCAGAGTATCAGGTCTCCTGATCGTGGATCTTCAGCTTCGGCTATGGCCCAAGATGAGATCTTGCAGGTCCTGGACATGTCAAGCCTCCTTGGTCAAGCAGTAGACATTGCCCAGTCTCAAATCACCAAGGTTCTAAAGGTTCGGTCAGAGCAAACTTCTCAGCTCTCGAAGGAGGAATTCTTGAAGTACTTCACTCTCAATCGCCTCTTTGCTGACGAGTGCGAAGCGATATCGGGACGTGGTGGCACTGCATTGAAGACCATCGTTGGCAACCAGATCCGTGAATTCATTACCCGATTCGGGGAATCACAACGCCACCGTATCGTCAAGGTCATGGATTCGGATCGGTGGGACGCCCGGGACTTTGGTGAATCCGAAGTCACTGTACTCACTCGTATTCTTGACGCAAGCACCAAGGACATCGAGGCTTGGATGGATGTTTCCAAGATCTGGATTCCAAACAGTGGAAGCGAACAGAACAATGCATCCGAAGCAGGCGCAGGTGCCAATGGCTCAGCGAAGGAGAAGGTTCGCAGTGCCGTGGTCGATGAACAGAAATACATCCTACCTGACTCGGCAGTGGCAATCATGCGCAGCATTGAGGAATTCGAGTTCCTCATGGCGAACATTCCTAGCATGATTCAGGACATTTCCCCGCAACTGCTTGAGATATTGAAGCTCTTCAACTCACGTTCCTCGCAACTGATTCTCGGCGCGGGTGCCACGAGGAGTGCAGGCTTGAAGAACATTACGACTAAGCACCTTGCGCTTTCGTCGCAGGCCTTGAGCTTTGTTATTGCTCTAGTACCGTACGTACGCGAGTTTGTCCGACGTCATGGACAGACGAACCAGGCCATGGCCGAGTTTGACAAGGTCAAGAGACTGTGTCAAGAGCATCAGACCGGTATTCATGAGAAACTGGTTGATATTATGAGCTCGCGATCTTCCGTCCATGTCACTGCAATGAAAAAGATTGACTGGGATAACGATTCCTCGACCGGTGTTCATCCATACATGGAGACGTTGGCTAAGGAGACCGGTACTTTACATCGGGTTCTAAGCAAGCATCTCCCCGACATGACTGTGGACATGATCATGATACCCGTGTTCAACAATTACCGTGAGCAGTGGACCAAGGCCTTTGGAGAAGCAACCGTTGAGACAGAGGCTGGCAAGAAGAGGTGAGATCCATATTCATAGAGATTACCATCTTTTGAAGAGAAAACTAACAGTATATGCAGGATGCAAGCTGATATTGCACAACTCCAGTCTAAGCTGGCCAAAATCGAGGGCGCCAGCAACTTTGGTGACAAGCTGCTTGAACTCGTCAATGCAAAGCATATTGCCGAACCTACAACCAAATCCGAGACTCCGGAGAAGACCGAGTCTGGCAGTGATAAGCAAGACTCTGACAAGGGGGCTGAATCCTCCAGCTCTTAATGATCCCCCGTTAATAATTCCTTACAACTCCCCTGCATTCAAGGCCGGTTATGTCTAGTCTTTATATACTATATTTCTCACGGCCATTACATTTACTCTTTAGAAACTGTACAGAAGCGATTATGTCATTTCTCGATTGTTTTACGATTAGACGTTCTTTTTGTTCTATACCTGTCAATTCAGATCCGGTTCGGGTAGTCAGAGGTTCTCGGTAGGCGTTAGAGTTAAATTCAACCAGTGTATCGAGATTTCTCTTCAAGTTTCGAAGAAAGGATGACATGTCTAATCTTACCACGTTCATGTAGAGTGGACGAGGCGCTTTCTTTTCGGCATGCCGAAGGATAACGGTTCGAACAGTTTAGGGAGGAATTGCAGGCTAGACTTGTGAATGTGATATACCACTGAGTCCACGAAATTCGTCAACGCCTGACTGCAGTCTATAATGACTGTACAAGAGTATACGAGTGACATAGTTTGGACATGACTCTGATCATTGATATTCATACATAACGTTATACTCTCCAGTGAGCTACATCAACAAAACTCCACATCCCATTGCGCCACGGTAAAAGTTGTGACACATATCTCGTTCCAAGGATATATCCGAAGTATCCTCGATCATGACAATAATATCTATGAATAAAAGCATAAGGCAACCAGCACCTTAGTTCACACCCTGAGCGCCACGACCCTTGTTCTCGCCGAGAGTCTTGGGCTCATGGCCACCCTTTCCGCTGTTCGAGCCAGCACCGCCCATACCGCTATAAACCTCGCGCTGAGAGCCGGTCTCTTCGGGCATGGGGGCGACTTTGTTGACACGGTTGAGGGGGGCGTCCTGGAAGATGCTATAATTAATATTTTCGATCATTGCGTGGTGGAATTGCCTGTGTTGTAACGTACAGTCGCGCCAGTGCCGTGTGCCTTGGTAGCGCCCGCCTCAATGGCGTTGTCGCTCTGGGGAACTCCGTTGTCGTAATCGGCGCCGCGAACCATTGTGAATGATGTTGAGGGATTGAGGGAGATAGGGGGAAGTTGATCTATATCAGTGTTCTGCCCGTTAGAAGCCTTTTTTCAACATTTTTTGACACTTTTTGTGAATTGAGCGTACCTTGATGATTTGAAAAGTTTGAACTTGAACAATTGTTAAATGGAGTATGCTTAAAGAACTTCTTAACTCCAACTATATACACCTTGTATTGTAGACTTTTGGTAGATGTGACACCATAGTGAAGTCATTTCCCCACAATGACTTAACTGGCAACTTGGCAGGCAGGGAACAGGGAACTGGCATCCAAAGTTGGTGAACGATCTAAGTTGCGACGATAGCATCATAGATAGGCAGGGCAGTCAACTGGGTCAGGAAATTTCTAGAGTATTCCACATTTGATCTACAGTTTTGTATGTTGTCAGAGACTTTGGTTGATCGTGATCGAAACTACGTCACGTGAGGGGATACGATTGCCCAGAGGGGAAACTTAGGGCTAATTTGTGAGGTAGCAAAGTAGCGACTGAAACAGATTCCTCGTATTGGTTTGCAAATGCCTACTTATCGAAAACCGGAAAATTGTCCTATTTTATGTAGTCAATATTCTTTCACGTTAAGGAGGATTGTCAAGAGGAGAGACCACAAACTAACAGAGATAGAACTCGGATCACAAGATGAAAAGACAGTCAACAGTACCCGAAGAGATTACCGACCATCCTCTCCGGAGCTAGTTCTTCTGGTCCCATGGAAAATTTCCATTGGCGAAAGGTGAGCCAGCCCGGAAATATAGCGACTGAATCCGAGGAGGAAAACTTAATCTCCGAGATCTAGAAGGCCTCAGATTTCGAATGGGTGCAATGGCACTCAAACGAGGGGAATTCTCTTCTGGTGATTGTGGGTGCACACGCAATGAGGGAGAAAGCCAAGTAGATGGCGCGAAGACTTCATCTTGACTGGACGACGAAGAAGAATAGACCAAAGGACTTCGTAGCGTTTCTGTAGGGATTGTAGTAAACCAGAGTTCGTCCATGTGCCTCGCTCTTTGAGTATGTGTGCCATGCATAGACATAGGTATCCCTGAAATCTCGGTTCCAGCAGAAAGGCTTGCTGGGATGGGCTCTTTGGGGATGTTCTCAAGGGGTCTCCTAGGACGAGCGATACGATTGGTCCTCTTGAGGCGATTAGAACAAGAGGCCACTTGGAATGAATTGGAGGGAGGTAGACTCCCCCGGACTTTGTGATGGATATGTTGGATTTTGTCGAGCAACCATCTTCCATGGCTGGGGACGGTGGATCAGGATTGGTCACATAGAGTCTTGGTAGAGGGTTGATCTTTGGCATGCTCTCATAGGACTTGTTGACTTGTGGACGACGGCAGATATTGGAAGAATCCGGTGGTCTTGCCTGCTGATGAGAGGATATCTCCGAAACCTGGTGACAACTGTGATCACATAGCTCCGGCGATGGAGTTCTTCGTCTGTATTGCCAGGGCGGGAGTTTCACGAATGATGGGTGTTTGTTCTGCCTCCGTGCCCGACGAGCTCGAACCTTAGACTTGGCCCTCTTCAAAAGCTTGGACAGACGTCTTCTCAATGCTTTACCGACTTGCTGGATGAGATCGGACGCCCAGTTGGCATAGACGTGCTCGTCTGGGTCTAGGTCTCGGGTGGATACCATGAGAGGAGACCGGAGATAGGAGAACGAAGTTCAAAAGGCGAGTATCATGAAGCGACTTCTTCTTGGTATTTATAAGCTTGCTTCGTGGAAAGTTCATTCTTAATTTTCGTGTAATTCTTTCAGCTCTTCTAATAATTGACAGGCACTTGCCGCCTCGAATTCGTAGATTTGGCCGAAACAAGCAATTGAGACCGCAACAAGGATATGAGTTTTAAGAACAATGACATTGAAAGAGCTGCCTATGATGTTTGATCCGATAGCCCCTTTCTGGGTTGTGTCTGAGCAACGGGGGCGTAAACCCGGGGTAATTCCTTTGCTGATTGAGTGTTTTGCCCGGAACATTTACAGATAAGATATTTGCGCTGATTTGGCTGATAGAAGTCCCGGATGCCCGTCGATGTATTGTATTCAAGAGGTTCCGGTTCTTTCATCCACGCTCACCCAGTATTTGAAGGAAACTGCCTTTTCTCGACCTGAGTGGTGTTGGTCATCATATATTCTCTCTATTTATCCTTTTTGTCAATCACTGATTAACGAAATTTTAGGATGGATTATACTGAGTGGCACTTTACTACGATCTGCCCTTCCTATTACTGGAACACACTAGGAAATGAACGATAATATCTAAGTTGAGAACAATTGCTTATGATTAAGCTATCCTGGGAGTCATACTATACCTAGGAGAAGTTCCTGTAGAGCCAATTACTTGCTAGAAGGCTCGATATCAAGATCTTCCCATAATTATGATTAGGGAGATAGTAAATATCTATGCTTATCCTATTCCATTACTTCGCACGAGCTATTACACATATCAGTACATAACCGGACCATAACCGCTGGTTGCAGCCGTTTCAACACTTTTGATATTACCTTCGAATCATCAGTCTCCAGCCCATACTGCACAGTCTGCCTTAACCCCTCTCGATACCACTCGACTGAATATCTCTCCAAATTCTGACGATACTTAACTCCTCGTTCCCGATCTAACCGTTCCGCCAAATCATAAAAAGCATTTACCCTCGCCTCCTCCGAAACAGGAACAACCTGTACCAACGCATCCCCTAACAATCCAAACAACCCCGTTTTCTCCACATCCCCAGCATCAGCATGAATAACCACAACCCTCAACACAACCAACCACCTCTCAACCCTCTCCAAATCCACCAACGCCTCCGCCGCCTTAGGATCACTCCTTAACCACACAATCCACTCCTCCATAAACGAAACCCTCCCCCCATTCCGCTCCGCAAACCACGCAAGCGTACGAAACGGATTCCCCCAATCATGCGCATACGCAATCCACCCATATCTAGGCGAATAATTCAAATGCACGATATCCCGCTCTGGATCCATCCAGTAATCTGATTCGGCCGTGGGTGAGTCGAACATGTCGAAGGGGGATAGGTCTTTGTAGAAATCTTTGTGCAGGGATTCGTAGCTATTCGCGTTGGACTGGTAGGCGACTTTGCGGGATTCGGTGCATACGCGGGCGATGACGGGTGAGCTGCCGTTTAAGATGGAGGTGTGTTTTAGGTGGCAGACGGGTTGGTTTGAGTCGTAGAGGCCTTCTGGTGTGGGGTTGTCGAGTTCGGTGACGCGGTGAGGGAGACAGAGGCGCCAGATTTGGAGGCGTAGTTCGGTGGGGAGTTTGGGGAAGAGGTGGAAGGTAAGTTCTGTGGGGGATGCTTGATCTGACATTGTATGTGCAATGTCTTGAGGGCTGGGTCTTGGGATACTGGTATATTAGCAGTCAAATATTTTTTTTGGCATTGAAGGCGATATATAGACCGAGGACGTTGGCCTGTATCCGTTACCCCTCTACTTTGCAGCCTGAGGCTGAGGCTGGGCGTGCGTAAGCAGAACTGGTGGCGTTCATCATGATGACCCTCGTGTCGTGGGTGATAAATCTGACTCGATGGATTGTACATGCTTCAAACTCGTCTAGTCGGGTAAGAAAACGGATAAGCTCGTGTAGATATGTATGTCTGCAGTGGATGTATGCAGGTGGATATATATTGTAGAATGCTAAATGTTAGCTTGCCAATGTCTCCGCATAGATCTTGCCTGTGGAGTAGAGCAATTGTGAGGCGCTTTTGCATTACATGTAGAAAGTTCAACACGCATGCGTCCGTTCGTGCCTCGGCGGGGTTGGTACGCTTACACGCGAATTTATAATGCGAAGAAGGATTGCCTCAACGATCTACATTGAAACGGGTTCTGGAGAAGTCATCGCATGAGAGACCTCTATCCACTCCCTAGGACGTTCGGCAACGAGCTTCAAACAAAGAAAGCCGTCAGCCTATTGTCTTCTAGGTCTCATACTTCGACTAAGCAAACTTCGTCGGCGTCTTTAATAGCGTAATCACTGGGCCAGAACCCCAAGATTCTCAAGGCGCCCCGCGCTAATTCCCGCTCTATAAGTACTTCTTCATCCGCACCTCTTGTTTAGAATGCATCATCTCCCAGGCGCTCTTCTTAGACCGCTATTTGGTATCTAGTCTCCCCCACTTCTCTAATTTATTTCTGTTCGCATTCAGCTGTTTGCTTGATCCCTCCCGCTTTTTACGACATTGATACGACTTCAGCCATGGACCCTGTTTTTGGGGAAACGCAACCCCAGGTATGTGATTATTAACTCTTCGCAATTTGTATTATATCTCATCGAACGGAAGGTGTTTTACTTCAACACGGTCCCTGTCCGTGCGGAAACTGTCCAAAAACTGGATCCACGTCGCGATGCGTATCGCTTGAACTTAGAAAAATGCCAGGAATTACACAGTCTTCCGGCCCTTGTAATCATCAAAAAAAATGAAAGATGGTTGGCAAGATGAATTCGAACAAGAGAAGGAAACCTATAAGAGATTGAAAAGCCTACAAGGATTAGTTATTCCCACGTTTTTCGGCCAAGAGACTTTCAACGACAACCCTGTCCTTATCAATTCGGAGGTACCTGGGAAAACAATCTATGAACTTGCCCATAGCGGGGTTCCTGTATCTTTGGATAAGCTTCGACGTCAGCTTGAGAAAGCCTTGGAGCTAGTTCATTCGCATGGCGCAGAGTATTTAGACCAGCGACTGGACAACTTCTTTCTCTGCGATACAGGTAAGGTCATGATTGTCGATCTGGAGCAAGTCAGGTTCCCGTTGGATCTTGAGGATTGGAAGGATAGTGTGAATTATGGGGGTGTGGGCTCTCTTTTATATCTTTTTAATGATATAAGAGAACGAAAGAGTCAACACACACGGGACAACTTTCTGCATGTAAAACCATACCTTTTGAGTGACTCACTTTATTGAAGTCTGCAAATGGGCTGTTTGGCCATTGTATCAATAGCGTATACTTGAACCCTATTGTAACCAACAAGTGATATAACTACCACTTGCTTTAAGCAATAGGCATCAAGCGTTTGACATGGCGCCGACCAGGGTTATTTCCCAAACACTGCAGAAAGTTAGAGGATAATCCTCTAGTTAGTCACATCGAATCGATTATGGTATGTCGTGCAGACTAAAAGTATAATAGTACATATGGTTAGTATATATAGTTCTGACTACATTGTACCTGGACTGTGGGCCTGGCTCGATTACATAATACTGATCCGTGGGACGGTGGATCGTCCGGATGACATCATCGAGGCCAGCTTTCCCCAGACGAGCTTTTTTCCAGAGTCACTTGACAAGTTTGGAATACAATTGGATTCAATTGGTGGCGTATCAATCCCGAGACTGCCATTGACCGGAGAAATTGACGATCGCCGGTCATCCGATTTGCCTCCTAACCAATGGCCGGAGAAGAGCTCCTTTGGAATTAAATATAGCGACCGTTGGGTGGTTGGGTTTAGGGTCGCATTGGGGGAGGCAAAAAAGGGCAATATCGCAATACTTTCTGACCGGGAGCTGTTTTCGGGCATTGACAGCTTGGAGCTTGTAGCCAGATTGATAATATATTTTTTTTTTCCTTTCTTTCTTTCCAGGGGAACCAGGGGGAGTTTTTTGTCACTCGAGTTCACCAGGCCCAAGAGCCCAGACCAGACAGGCACAGACCTCCCGTTGTACCGTGTTGAGTGTTTTCCCATCGCGGATCTCCCAGTCCAAAAGTTGGCTGAACCGGATCTTGTCAGATTTTCTGATCTGCCCCTGGTCATGATTACATTATTCTATTAGCTAGGGGGCCCAATTCTTCTTTTCCTTTTCCTTTTCCTTTTCTCTCTCTCACCGGAGTCTCGTCTCGTCTATTCTCCCCCCCAGCCTCCCATGGGGTAAAAAGTGTAAAAAGAAAACTAAAACCAGCCCAGACCAAGATCCCGAAACCCCCGCACAGACCGAGTCCGGAGGCCCATCCCCCGTACTCCCCCAACCCGAAGAGCTGTTGCTGCTAGTCTGCTCTGCTCGTTCTTCCCCTCATTTTTGCTTTTGAGCTCTTCTCTTCCCCCTCCTCCTTCTCGTGCTCCAACTTTCAGACCTATCCCTCTCTGAACGCCTTTTCCCTACTGCCTCTCCCCCGCCATGGCCGACGAAAACGGCGCTGAGCCTATCAAGCGCGATGTCCGCAACCATATGCTCTTCGAGATCGCCACCGAGGTGGCCAACCGTGTCGGTGGTATCTACTCGGTGCTCAAGTCCAAAGCCCCCGTTACTACTGCAGAGTATGGCGAGCGCTACACTCTGATCGGTCCTTTGAACAAGGCCTCGGCCGCCGTCGAGGTCGAGGAGCTCACTCCGTCTAACCCGGCCATGCGCGAGACCATCAAGTCCATGCAGGAGCGTGGAATTGAGATTCTCTACGGTCGCTGGTTGATCGAGGGTGCTCCCCGCGTGCTACTCATCAATACTGGCACGGGTTATCGTTGGCTCGATGAGTGGAAGGGTGATCTGTGGAATACTTCCGGCATCCCGTCCCCCTCTGCCGATCATGAGACCAATGAAGCCATTGTCTTTGGATATATGGTCGCCTGGTTCTTGGGCGAGGTATGTCCGACAGCTCGTTCCCGGTAGAGGTCAATGCTAATTTACCTCTGTCTTCTATAGTACATTGCCCACGAGCGCCGTCGCGCCGTGGTCGCCCATTTCCATGAATGGCTGGCCGGTGTCGCTTTGCCCTTGACCAAGAAGCGACACATGGATCTGACCACCATCTTCACCACCCACGCCACTCTATTGGGTCGTTATCTCTGCGCCGGCTCGGTGGATTTCTACAATAACCTCCAGTACTTTGACGTGGACGCCGAGGCCGGAAAGCGCGGTATCTACCACCGGTACTGCATCGAGCGCGCGGCCGCCCACAGCGCCGATGTCTTCACCACTGTCTCGCACATCACCGCCTTTGAGAGTGAGCATCTGCTGAAGCGCAAGCCCGACGGTGTCCTGCCCAATGGTCTCAATGTCAAGAAGTTCTCCGCCATGCACGAGTTCCAGAACCTGCACTCGCAGGCCAAGGAGAAGATCAATGACTTTGTTCGTGGTCATTTCTATGGTCACAATGACTTTGACTTGGACAACACCCTCTATCTCTTTACCGCTGGTCGGTATGAGTTCCGTAATAAGGGTGTCGACATGTTCATTGAGGGACTGGCCCGACTTAACCACCGTCTCAAGGCGAGCGGGTCGACTACCACCGTGGTGGCATTTATCATCATGCCCGCGCAGACTTCCTCTCTCACGGTAGAGTCCTTGAAGGGCCAGGCAGTCGTCAAATCCCTGCGGGATACGATCGAGAACATTGAGAAGGGCATTGGAAAGCGCATGTACGAGCGCTGTCTCGAGTGGAAGGAAGGTGATAACATGCCGGACGAAAAGGATCTCATCACCAGCCAAGACCGGGTCCTCCTGCGCCGCCGTCTCTTCGCTATGAAGCGACACGGTCTTCCTCCCATCGTCACCCACAACATGGTCAACGACAATGAGGACCCAATCCTGAACCAATTGCGTCGCGTTGAACTCTTCAACAACTCGTCCGATCGCGTGAAAATCGTCTTCCACCCCGAATTCCTCAACTCGTCCAACCCCGTGCTCCCCCTGGACTATGACGATTTCGTCCGCGGCACTCACTTGGGAGTGTTCCCGTCCTACTATGAGCCCTGGGGTTATACCCCGGCCGAGTGCACGGTAATGGGTGTGCCCAGTATCACTACCAATCTGTCCGGATTTGGTTGCTACATGGAGGAGCTGATTGAGAATTCGTCCGACTACGGCATTTATATTATGGATCGTCGTGCTAAGGGTGTGGATGATTCGGTGAACCAGTTGACTGATTTCATGTATAACTTTACTCTGAAGAGTCGCCGTCAGCGGATTAACCAGCGTAACCGGACAGAGCGGTTGAGTGATCTGTTGGACTGGAAGCGGATGGGCTTGGAATATGTCAAGGCTCGTCAGCTTGCTCTGCGGAGAGGTAAGCGGAGTTTCTGACGTCGATCAAGTGTGTGATCTTTGCTAACCTGAGTTTCTAGCTTATCCTTCTTCGTTCGATGGCGCCGAGGACTACTTCGACATCATCGGTGGCACTGACCAGAAGGTCTCTCGCCCGTTGTCCGTTCCAGGTTCCCCGCGGGATCGCTCTGGTATGATGACTCCGGGTGACTTTGCGTCGCTGCAGGAAGGTCGTGAGGGATTGAGCACGGAAGATTACATTGCGTGGAAGCTTCCGTAAGTCGAGAAACCTTACCCCAGAGATTTGTACGAGAGCGTAACAACTAATTCTATCATATTCATAGTGAGGAGGAAGAACCCGATGACCACTTCTATCCGCTCACGCTCCGAACTCGCAAGACCAACGAGCACCCCCAGTCCCCCTTGGACAGTATCTCCATTAATGGAGGTCGTGCTCCCGAGGGCAGTCCGAAGCAAGCCTAAACACCTAGCTCACGCTATAGCTGATGTCTAGTTTGTTCTGACGACACGGATCTGGGTTGAATTTATTGATAGGCTCACGATTGGGGCCTTGTCCTTTTAGTTTCTTCACGTTCTTCATGTTTTCTTCGTCTCTTGATCTTTCCTCTGCATTTGGTGTCACGCTTTTCTTTTCTTCTCCTTTTTACCGGAGTGTCCACTCACACGTCTCTCGATCTCTCCAACCCCCTGTAGCCTTGACGTCAGTCACCCATGTAATTTTGTGCCCTCTTGTCTTCTCTGCATTGCATTTGAAGCCCTGTTTGTTTACCTAAATTTGAACTCACCACCTGAATGCATTTGACTACGAGTATAATCTCCGTTCCTTTCTCCCACCGTGTAGCTTTGACTAATAGCTTTTATGTACTCCCTAGCTTTGCCAAGCACCTTGATCATCTCGGGCCTATTTCGGCTCGCACGGTTGGTGTCGGAAGCACGATGGTGGAACTCGAGTGGGATAGACTTTAGCTCGAAACCCAATCAGAAGTGCTGATCATTTTCGTGTCCGGTGAACTCTTTTCGTGGCCTGGTCATCATGAGCAAAGCTACTCTGTTTAACCGTTTAACGGAGTGGAAAAGAGGGTCCAGGATTGTTGCTACACGGGGCTCCCCACTCCGATGAAGGAGGGGGTCTCGTAGAGAAAGGTACAGTATTTAGGTTCTACCCCCTCCGCGAGACTGTTCCATTTCTTCTTTTTTTTTTCTTTCTCAACTTCGTTTCTCTTCTTTTATTTACGCTTTCCACCTTCGACTTTTTCGTCTACCATCGGTACGACTCCCATGGAGTTGCGCACGTCCTAAAGTTCGCCATGGCGACTTTCGTCCCCGCTGTGGCTGCGCGGGAGGAAAGTCCCGAGACGAATCTGGGACAGGGTCCTTGCTAGGCATTGTTCATTATGGGTCGAGGTATTGTACTTGGTATAACGGTCACTGCACACGCATGACAGGTGTTCGATTCAGTCTGTTTCTTTGATTTTTTATTGTCATAACCACGAACTATGGGGATGATGGTAGAAATGAAAAGGATGGACTGGTCGTTCTGAGATTATACTGTCAAAACTTGATCTAGATAATACTAGCGAAAGGACATGCGTGACTTTTGATTGTTTCCCCTTTGCTTTGGTATTTTTCTTCTATTTATATTTTTGATTAATTGATTCCATCAATTCATTTGATGATCTATTGATCGAAGATACAATGGAAGAAGAATACCCTGGTCATTGGCATACTGACTCTTGCCCAAGTACTCGATAGCTGAACTTGCTCGTCAAAATGGCTACGGACAAGATCACTTTCCTGACCAACTGGTATGGCTGACACTTATAGTTTCTTCTTGTTACTATTTGCATTACTTGCGTCTGCATCTAAGAATAAAGGCTAAGTCTTCTCAAGGCACGCCACCCCGTACCACGCCCCGCTGTACCTCGCCCAGGCCCGCGGCTACTTCAAGGATGAAGGCCTCAAGGTCGCTCTCCTAGAGCCCAATGACCCCTCCGATGTCACCGAGATCATCGGTAGCGGCAAGGTCGACATGGGCTTCAAGGCTATGATTCACACTCTGGCTGTACGTCCCCCCCCCCCCCCCCCACCCATCTAAATGTCCATAAACCACCCAGTATCCCTGGCTAACCCCATCCAGGCCAAAGCCCGCAACTTCCCCGTGACCTCCATCGGCTCCCTCCTCGACGAGCCCTTCACCGGCGTGGTCTACCTCAAGACCTCCGGTATCACCACGGACTTCCGCTCGCTGAAGGGCAAGCGCATCGGCTACGTCGGCGAATTCGGCAAGATCCAAATCGACGAGTTGACCAAGTACTACGGCATGACGGCCGACGACTACACCGCCGTCCGCTGCGGCATGAACGTCACTAAGGCGATCATCAACGGCTCCATCGACGCGGGCATCGGTCTCGAGAACGTGCAGATGGTCGAATTGGAGGAGTGGCTCGCGACCCAGGGCCGTCCCCGCGATGACGTCCAGATGCTCCGTATCGACCAACTCGCCGAGCTAGGCTGCTGCTGCTTTTGCTCCATCTTGTACATCGCCAACGACTCCTTCCTGGCTGCGAACAAGGAGAAGGTTGGCAAGTTTATGCGTGCCGTGAAGCGTGCTACCGATGCGGTCATTGCGGACCCCGCTGGTACTTATGAGGAGTACGTTGATATGAAGCCTATCATGGCTACGCCTGTTAACCGGAAGATCTTTGAGCGCTCGTATGCGTATTTCAGTCGCGACCTGAAGAATGTTTCGCGTGATTGGGAGAAGGTTACTCGTTATGGAAAGCGTCTGGGTATCCTTGAGGAGGACTTTGAGTCTAACTATACCAATGAGTTCCTCTCTTGGGGTCTTGATGCGGACTCCACTGATCCTACTGGTGATCAGAAGCGGATGGCTGAGCTGCAGAAGGAAGTTGCTGCTAAGGGTGGCTTCAAGCGTTTGGAGGTTTCGGCTTCTGCTTAAGCTAAGCTGGCTGGAGCTGGCTGGAGCTGGTTCCCTAGGTACTAGCTCGCCTTTACTAGGCTCTTGCTTATTTTTTTTGAGAGTCTTTGCTGGTCATCCGGGTTTCACTCTTTGACCTGGTGATACTATTATCAATGGAATAAGAGCTTTTGCTTGATTTGGAATGCGTAATGCGTAATTGTAAAATTTAACAAGTGCAAAGTAAGCGCTAAATGCATCCAAACGCCATCGTCATGATTATTATACAAATGAGAGTAACCGAATCGACCGATCCCGTCACTCATTCTTGCTGTTGCTTCAGTAAAGAGTCACTTGCACGATCCCCAGACTCGATATCACTGAAACCGCCCAGTTCGTCCAATTCTTCCCCTGTAGACACCCTCTGCCAGGCTTGCTCGCTCTGTTCACGGGTAAATAGGCCTTTCGGAGAGCAACTATATGCAATCTTGCATACAAGCCAGACGCAGAATCCGAGTATGGCCACTGTGATCAATCCAATTCCCACCGTCCAAGGGGATGTTGCATCGGGTGCTTCCCCTGTATTCCCATCATCATGCGGCTCCTCGCCACTGTATACCGCAACTTCGGTGTTCATCTCTTCTGGCTCCCAGTCCAACCCTTTCGTTGCACCAAGCGAGACACCCTTCTTGTCAAGGGCGATAATCCGCAATTTGCTATACACAGTATCGGCCGGCACGGGGATGATCGTCTCAAATCCACTTTTCGGGACAGCAGTAATGAATTCGAATTTGACATCACCTTCCTCGTCATCGGCCCGTTGTCGAATAGCCACAGCGTTGTCATCCCCATTCACCTTCCCCCTCGGTAATGCACCCTGTAAAACCCAAGTCACCACTTCAGTAGCTCCATTCCAACTAACAGCTGCTTGGGTCCCAGATAACGCGACAGAGGGACTAGTCAGCGGTAGACCAACCCATTCCTGCTTGAAAACGCGATACGAAACAATCTGACCACGGTGGAATTGAGTCTGTGGTCCGAAATGCACTTCGCAGAGCGGTTCCCCATCCGCCGTGAATTGCGTCCATGCAGCGCTGTACCCGTATCCCAAGACGACGTTCCCGTTTTCGAGAATCTGCATCGATCCTTGTGATTGACTACTGATCGGTGTGGGATTCCAGTACTCTTGTACCACGGCTGCGGTCATGGTTTCCTCGTTGATTTCAATAATCAGCCCACGACTCGTGTGTTCGGGCGCGCCTTCACCACGGGAGGCGTTGTCGAAGAGGGATATCGTCCGTGTTGTATTTGTGTCGGCTTGTATGTGAAATCGGGCGTGGTGTTGCCAGCTGATATTCGTTGATGCGCCGTCACTCAGATCTAAGAAGGAATTCTGCTTCCCGCCTAGTTTCCAGATGATATGGCCTGTACGCCCGTCGATGTAGGCTAGTGAATTCATGTACCGGGATGAAACGAGGTAGTTTCCCCGCCAGTCCTTGTCGATACTGTTGATGTGGAAGAAATCCCAGGGATTCTCTTCGGTTTCACCGTCGCCCTCGCGATCGCGCTCGGCTTCTTGCAGCGGGAAATGCTCTGATGCTCGCCATTGGAAGAGGAGTTCGTTGGTTTCGACATCGACTTCTTGGAAGAGACCGTCGTAGATCCAGCCTTTTTCTGGGCCGTTGACTTCGCGGAGGTCTCTCTCAAGTATTTCGTAGACGGCGAAGAGGGCAGTGTCGTCGCGGGTGATTTGGAATTCATGGAGATCTCCATACAGCCCGTTTACACCGTGGATTTTGTATACCTCTTCGTAGTGGGAGTTGAGCTGGGCTTTGTTAGATCTTGAGATATTTGATATGTGTCTTCCACGGCGATTCGTAGTTTGCGACAAAGAGTATGTATTCAACTCACCATATAATACGTGCCCTCCCCGTGCCCTCGAACAGAATCATCACCCGCCCAAAAAGTCAAATATCGCTCCCCCTTGTACTTATGCACATTCGCATTATACGTCGTGGGCTTGTACTGCTTAAACCACACCAAATGCCCCTGCTGATCCACGATCATCGGGCCCGACTGCCGCACCGAATCTCCCCGCGGCGCAAAAATGGTATACAAGCCATCCTCACAGGCGACACTGCGCTGCCAATAGTTTAATATCGGGCCTGATACATCGGCGGAGCGATATCGTTGCAGTGGGTATGGACCCTCGAAGCCTTTAGCATATTTTTCTGAGCGGAATCGGGGTTCTTGATCGGGCGATGCAGTCGCCGAGATGCATAGTTGGAATAGCGTGTAGATGAGAATGTAAACTAGCGGCAGGGAAGCCATTATGCGATGGCGCAGAGAAAGCGCATAGTCAAGGCATGATCGCGAAAAAAAGAAAATGACGACAGAACAGGGCCTTAACGCAGTGGGGTTCAGCTCGTTCTTAGCCTCCGGCAGTTTCGGGGAGGTCAGTTCATTTTTATCGAAATTGGAAATCTGTCTACGCGGCCAGAGGCAATGGTCTTGGATTTGCGTTTTCGCGTGCCAATCAGAAATTGAATTGTCGACTGCTGATTTGACCAGTTGATTCGCTAGTCGAGCTTGGGGGCGCCACAAAGGGGGAATTGTGGAGACTGCCGCGACGACTTTGGAATCGTCAATCGGTACTTGAGATAAAGATAGATTCAGGGCTAAGGTCTCAAGGACTAATACAGTTCTGATATCGATTAAACAATGAGGGCTGGTAGATCACCGATGAAAAATATAGGTGGTTGACTTGCTTCCTCCCGAGTCTTCTTTACAGCCTGTCATTTCCACATCGCAAGGACGCGGTCAAAGAAACCAGGAGGCTTCTCTTCGGGACAGAACTTCTGGATCATTTCATGGATTTCTTCAAATCCTGGGCGAGCAGGTTCACCTGCGCACGCAAGGCTCAATTTCACATATTTCCTCACCGGTGTCATCCCCAAGATTTTTCCTTTGTCTGCATCTGCTCCATGTTCCAGCAGGACTTGGACGGCAGAGACATGACCTCGAAAGATCGCCCAACCAAGACTAGTCCAGCCTGCCTTGTCAAGCTGATTTGGATCAAGCCCTTTCTGAATCAACAGTTTAACCATATCTCCATGGCCTCGATTAGCCGCGTAAAATAGTGCCGTTTGCCCTCCGTCTGAATCGTGTCTCAAGGCACTATGCCTTTTATCCACGTGGTTGAGATCGGCACCATGTGCTAGCAAGGTAGATACGATCGTGGTATGCCCATTTTCAGCAGCCCAGAGAAGGGGAGTTCGACCAGAGACTTCCTCTTCCAAGTTTGGATCAGCTCCCTTGGCAAGTAATTGAGCAACAATGTTTTCCTGTCCATCCTCGACGCAGTGTGATAGCACAGGACGGCTTTGAGTGGAACATCTTCGTTCAAACTCGATATCAGGCTGCTCCAATAACACTGTGACAGTTTCCTCATGTCCACGCACGGCAGCCACGGCTAATGGGGTAAGATTGCCGTTGATTTCTCCACCATTTGGGTCTGCTCCAGCCTCAAGTAGAATTCTCACGATTGTTGCATGCCCCTCCCCCGCGGCCCACTGCAAAGGTGTTGTATTTTGGAATTTAAAGCCGCTAGAATCCCAAGGAACAGAGTCATTCTTCTTATCAACCTCTGCTCCGTGTTTCAGTAAAAGACGGACCACCTCTTGGTGCCCGTTGCTGGCGGCAAAGGTCAGTGGCGTATGTCCAAATAACTCGTATCGACCGCAATCAAGGTTATCGCTCTGGCTGAGGAGAATCTTCACCAAATCGGTCCATCCATTTTTTGATGCACGGAGCAGTCGGAGGTCGTGACTGTCTGATTCCTTGTCTTTTCCATCCAGTGGCTTTTCTTCTTCTGAAAAGTTGACTGAGTGACTCATGTCTTCTGGCTTGGCGGAGCTCATATTGTGATAGGGTGGTGATTGTAAAAGGATCACACGCGCAGTATGACAATTGGCGGGAGTGGTTCTGTGTGTTTCACATGGAATCAAAGTATCTGATTAGGAATAAACGCACAGGCTCTCACGATGCTGTATGCGATGTTCTGGCATTGAGGTGGGGAGGGTTGAGGCTGAGGTCCTTGGTGTCAAATCGTATGCCGACGCTAAACCAAACTAGTCCTACAACCTGATAGCACCGCCGTATTAGCTATTTAAAACACATCTCACTGTAATTTGAGCAATGAGGACTTGCCATCATTCCCACCGTTTGCTATGTGGTGGTGATGCAGGTTTTGAGAGAGGATTGTATTGAAGTGTGTCCTCTGACAACTGGACATCAAACCGAGATGATAAGATTACGTTAGAATACCGAGCAAACTATGTACTGTGTCAAAACTAGGCCTAGGAAATACCCTGCTCATTTCACATACGAAATGCAGGCGTTGATAAATCTGCTTGGCAGGTCCACAAGCCTCTTATCCTTGTCTTGCAGTATCTGCTCCGCCTTCTGACTGTACGTTGTTGCAAATGCGTCCCATAGCTCTCGTTCAATATCTCCCTCCCCATGCGGCCGGGGGTAATATGGATCATTGTCAAAGAAGGCTTGGACAAGGTGAGAGACAAGTCCGTCTGGCTCGCTCAAGGCGATTTCTTCGGGCCAAATATGGCAGAGATTAAAGTCAAGTACCCACATACGTGTACTACGTTGCTTGAAGTTTGTTCTTAACTTGGCATCCAGGTCTTCATGAGAAGACATACCAAGAACTTGCTGAGGAGTTAATTTGAGAGAGACGGCGATATCCTGGTTGTACACAGAGTATGCATCCGCCTCACTTCCCAGCACGAATTCGATATCGTAGCCGTCAACGTGAGCTGCCCAGTGGATAATAGCTAGGGCCTCTCCCATGGCACTGGCAAATAATAGCACGGGGAGTTCCATCTCCAACATCTGATCAAGATGGAGGTTGAAGTTGCGTAGAGTGAAATTAGGCGATAGAAGCTCTGGCCGTTGACGGCGAGATCCAAGATATAGCCGAGCTAGGCAATCTCTGTTGGTCGGATCAGCACTGACATTGGCTTGAAGCCCTGGTGGGCAGTATCTCTCGATCAGTGCTTGTCGAGCTATCTTAGGAAGAGGGAGGATATGCTCTGTAACCAACGCTGGCGTTGGCAGCGGCAACAGGCCTGAGATCTCTGGAAATAGGAAGCGGTTCTTATCCCACCACTTTGTTTTTGACTCTGGAATCCATGAGAATAGCCTGGGTACGCGGCATTCCGCGTTCTTGTTGGCCTTCTGCTGAGATGCTTCTCGGACCATGAAGTGTGCTTGAAAATCAGCCCAAAGACCCTGTTTATACGCAGGTCTAGCCAGTTTGACCACGTAGTCTCTTCCAGGCCTTTCGCAGGTTATACCACATTGTCCGAAGCCAATGCGAAGGTAGCCAAGTGCTGGACCTTGCTGACTTTGGCGGATCAGGGTAGATGGAGACGAGGTAATAACCACCGAGCTAGGTGATAATATGTTTGCAATGATATTGCTCGGGGAGGTGTCGGGAGGGAGCTGAGATTCCAGCCGTTCGTTACGCTCTTTATCAAGAAGATACGAGAGTTGGTTGGTAAGCTCGATATTAGATATCATCGACTCATCGCCAGGGTTTTGCATGGTTCGTCCGGCCATGGTTGAAAAGTGAAGGGGAAAGTTTAGACTTTACGTGTGGATGTGATTTCTATAAGCACAGGTATTTATTTCTAGTAAAATAGTTCACAATGCGAGCATTCTGAGAATGAAGGCAGCAGCGATTGACATTTTTCAGCTTTTCTGCCTGGATGGACTAGGATATTGAGCGGCTGAAGCCCAATTAGAAGAAATGCGGAAGCCTGCACAGTCAGAAACTCCAGAACGATCTCATCAATGCCGCACGGAAACGTTAATTGAAGAATCATGCTTTGCTGATCTAGAAAGACGATTTCAATTACATTCCGAAAGATCCTTCGAATGATAGAGGCTTCAAGCATGTAGGTAAATTTACGGCACACTTACCTAATGCAAGGCTTGCCGAGAAGTTGCATCACTAGAGAGCAAGTACTCCCGCCTACATAAATGTTGATATCTATTCAACCAATGCGAAACAGATACTGCCCGAAAATCTATTATGTTCAATTATTCCAAAGTGCTGGGAACGCCCTGCATCTCATATAGTCAAGAATCCAAAACAATCGCTGGGTCGCTTTTGGTATCTCAAAGGCCCAAATGGTATCTAGTTCATCTATTTGGTGCGCTTGTAGATCTTGGCCAGGAACGACTCAAAGACCTCCTTCTTCAGGCCAGTGGTCTCGTCCACGGCGGCAATCTTGGCGCGCAGCTCGCCAACAACGTTCTCCTCGTACTCCTTGTACAGCTTCTCCAACTCGAGCTCGTCAAAGATCTTCTTGACCTTGGCCTCCTGCTCCTTGTCCTTGCGGCCGTAGGCGGAGTCCAGCACCGCACGCTGCTCAGGGGTGGCCCGAGCGATGGCCTGGTTAACCAACCAGGAGCACTTGTTGTCCTGAATGTCGGTGCCGATCTTGCCAATGACAGAGGGGTCACCGAAGTTGTCCAGGTAGTCATCCTGGATCTGGAAGTACTGACCCAGAGGGATCAGGATGTCGTGGGCCTGCTTCAGGGTCTCGGGGGTAGCGACCTGCAGGTAAAGCAGAGCCAGAGCAACGGGAAGGTAGAAACTGTAGTAGGCAGTCTTGTAGGTGACAATGAACATGTACTTCTCCATCGAGAAGTTGTCGAGGTTGACATTGTCCTCGGGGGCGGTGATCAGATCGCAGAGCTGACCAAGCTCGGTCTGCCAGGTGGTCTCGTGGAAGAGCTCGACGAGGTCAATGTAGGAGGGGTGGGACTTGAAGCGCTGCTTCAGGATCAGGTAGATGGCGGACTCCAACATGAAGGCGTCGTTGATGGCGATGAGGCCGACACCCTCGTGGCGGTACCAGCAGGGCTGGCCACGACGAGTGATGGAGCTGTCCATGATATCATCGCTGACCAGGAAGAAAGCCTGGAGCAGCTCGGTGAGCCAGCCCAGAATGCTCAGGTGCTCGAATTGCTCCTCGGTCAGGGGCTTCTGCAGGAGGGCGAGACCGGTGTCGGGGACGGAGAGGCCACGGTTGAGCTTGCCACCGGGGGTGTTGGCGAACAGCGACTATTAGATGTATTAGTTCTTGATTGTCCCTTTCCATTGAGCGGTATCACTCTAAAGGCATTGGAATGTAGGACGGGGTAATGTCTCACCTTCTCGAACCACTCGAGGGCGTTGGCGGGGAGGTTGTACCGCTTCGCATGCTCAAGGATATCCTTGGCCAGGCCAGGGAAGACCGCCTCGAAGTCGGCGCGCTTGGTAGTAGAAGCCATGATGAGACAATTGGGCAATGAGGAAGTCAGAAGGGGGAACTTGGGCGAGCAAACAATCCACAATGGGCCTTTCCCCCGCGGCGGAGAGGGGTCTGTTTGCTTTGTTTGGCAGGTTTGCCCAGTTTGGCAATTATCAGGTGCAACTGCTGCGCGCAACGAGAGCAGTTCATCTTGTTGAATCAGAGACATGGTGCGGTGAGATTTGTTGCAGGATATCTTTTGATTGAATTGATTACCTGCTGATTGGATCTCCCAACAAATTTCCTTGACACCGTCTTACGCTGAAGCTCGCCTCCCGACCGCGTCAACAACGCGCCAAGCCCGCGATAGTTATTTGTTGCGCCAGGTCTGGGCTTGAACCTCAATTGCGATTACCCCACGTGTGGCTCGAGACTGGAAAGGAAGCGAGGCTCTTAAGCTGATACGCTCTGTGAAGGAACATTTGAAGACCTGCTTTCTGGTTGCCCATTAGAGTGTGACTGCCGAATAGCCTCACTTATTTGCGCCTTCCAGGCTCAATCAACAGCTACCATGGAGTTCACAGAGGATGATCTGCAAGAGCTGAAGTACCGCTTCGAAGATGCTACAATCAAGTGCTCAGAACGATGCTTATATCAATCAGCAAAGTGGTAAGTCTCGCTCTGAAATCATTCCCTTCCTTGCCAAGGTTAATCCGATTCGCGCATACAGGGCAGCAGAAATGCTCGATTCCATCGTACCAATTGATAATGCGGACACCGATCATGAGTCTTCAATGGACATAACCGAGCCAATAATTCCACCGATCAATCCATATCTGCGTACGCAAGACCCGACAGAAGCTGCGCTGGAAGCCCTGGAAGCCCACAAATACCTCCTTGCCAAATCCTACTTCGATACCCGAGAGTACGATCGCTGCGCCGCCGTGTTTCTGCCTCCAAAGACACCTCCCGTTCCTCTATCCGTGACCTCGCCCAATGCCAACCCCAAACAGGCACGAAGCACCCCTCTCAAGGGCAAAGACAAAGCCTCGCCTTTTCGAACCTCCAAGACCCTCGGCCACGGGCCGAGGAACCCATATCCTAAGCTCAGTCAAAAGTCTCTCTTCCTTGCTTTGTATTCAAAGTATCTTGCGGGAGAGAAGAGGAAAGACGAAGAAACGGAAATGGTATTGGGCCCAGCAGATGTCGGGACAGCGGTCAATCGCGAATTGCCAGACCTCGCTCGAGGATTGGAAGGCTGGCTGGGAGAGCGCAGCGCAAATGGGTTGGACGAACAGGGTCAAGGTTGGCTAGAGTATCTCTATGCCGTAATTCTGCTGAAGGGACGGAATGAGGAACTAGCCAAAACTTGGCTCATCCGCAGTGTGCACCAAAACCCTTTCCATTGGGGTGCATGGCAGGAGCTAAATGACTTGCTAGGAAGCATCGAAGATGTGAGTATCAATGTTCTTAATCTGGAGTCTTACTCGATGGTACAAAAACTAACATGGCTACAGTTGAAACAAATCAAGGACCTTCTGCCCGAAAACATCATGACCCTCATATTCTATGTCTACTGCAGTCAAGAGCTTTACCAGGCTACAGATGACACATACTCAACATTAGGTGATCTGCAAGCCATCTTTCCTACCAGCGCGTTTCTGCAAACCCAGCACGCCCTACTTTTCTATCACAATAAAGGTAAGTCTGCACCAAGTCCCCCAATGTCGCCCGATGCTAAGTACTCGCAGACTTTGAGCGAGCGTCAAAAATATTCAACGAAATCCTCGCAACATCACCACATCGCCTCGACAGTCTCGATCACTATTCCAATATCTTGTATGTCATGAACGAGCGGCCTCGACTTGCCTTTGTGGCTCAAATCGCGACTGCCACTGACAAATTCCGACCCGAAACCTGCTGTGTCGTTGGCAACTACTACTCCTTGAAATCCGAGCATGAAAAGGCCGTCATGTATTTCCGCCGTGCCTTGACACTTGACCGCAATTTCCTGTCTGCTTGGACTCTCATGGGTCATGAATACATCGAGATGAAAAACACGCACACGGCCATTGAATCATATCGGCGGGCGGTTGATGTCAATCGCAAAGATTATCGCGCGTGGTACGGTCTCGGACAGGCTTACGAGGTTCTGGATATGTCCTTCTACGCTCTATTCTATTACCAGCGTGCGGCAGCCCTCCGTCCCTACGATCCCAAGATGTGGCAGGCTGTTGGATCATGCTATGCGAAGATGGGCCGTGTCGAGCAGAGTATTCAAGCCTTGAAACGTGCATTGGTTGCTGGCTCTTACTACGCAGACGATAATCCTGGTGCTGGTGCACGGAAAGTGCTCGACCCTGAAACACTGCACCAAATCGCAACTCTTTACGAGCGTCTTGGTGATGAGGAAGAGGCTGCAGCATACATGGAGCTCACTCTGCAGCAAGAATCTGGTGGCGCACCTGTGGGAGAACAAAACGAGTCTGACGAGGAAGAGTACTCGTCTGCCTCGGAGCGTGCCGCTCACAGTGATGGCGAGGGTGAGGGTTCTGGCGACGACGAAGACGGGCGAAACACTCGTTCTCGACGTCATCGCCGTAAGCCCCGTCCCAGAACCTCTTCATTCGGTATGCAACAGGACGACTCTACGGCTGGGGAGACGTGGCACCACCCTACAGCTACGACATCAAAGGCACGTCTCTGGCTTGCGCAGCATGCATTGCGTAATGGGGATCTTGATAGAGCGGACCAATTAGCCAGCGAGCTGTGTCAAGATGGGATGGAGGTAGAAGAGGCAAAAGCTTTGATGAGAGATGTTCGTGCAAGACGAGAGGATGTGGGCTAGGCCTGTGGCCCGCGCAGCGGCCTGCTATCTGGGTCTGTTTCTTTTCTCAGTTACATGATAGCGCAGCGTTAGTGTTCATCAACTCTGCATTATGACGGTAGCGATATTTGCTCTTTTTCATTCATAATTAAGCTATTTGTACATCACAGGGTCGTGGGATCGGTCAAACCGTCCAGAGAAGTGTACTCGCCCAATGCGAGAATTTCACCATTATCAAAGCTAACCAATAGAGAAGGCGAGGGTCTATCACTGACGCCTCGGCGATTGCCACTTTGGTGTGCAGGTCGGATCTCTAGTCCAGCGCCTTCGTGATCACGGCTTTTGGTATATTTCCAACGAAGACAAGCGTAGTAGTGTTTCATACCAAGAGCCCGCCAGGTCTGACGCAGGCAAAACTCAGGATCTTCAGGTTTGATATTCTCTCTCAAGATGACGGCATCCAAGAAGAAAATTCGCCCACTGGAAGGAAGAGTTGACTTTTGAACCCGAAGAGCCCGAGAGAGTCCCTCTGCAATCTTGTGAATCAGTTGTCCGAGAGGCAATTCGCCGGGGTTGACAAGAGCTATGCCAAAGACAGCATCCTGGCTAGCGGCTTGAGGGTTCGAGCGTTTGAAGAGAGATTTTGTTTCGTCGGAGCCTAGAGCTTGCAAGAATTGGGAGAGGCTGGAGGAGTCTTGCGGGTCCGAAGATATGTCGCCCTCCGATGGACTTCCAGACATGTAAACGGGAATTGTAGTGAGGGGGGATATTGGAGTGTCGATTTGTTCGTAGGGCTTTTCCAGACTGGGAAGAGTCTTCGTTTGGGTAGGATTGACTGGTTTATCGTTCGCTCGCGTCTCATCTCGATACACAGAGTTTTGACTGGTGCCTCGGGCACCGGATGCAACTGCAGGAGATGGATTATCTTGCGAAGTCTGAACAGCTGCTTTTAAAGCATGGTCATTGTTTTGATCATCGATTCTGGGATCTTTATGCCTGAACCTCCTGTGGTTGGACGAGTTTTGAGTTTCAACCAGAACCTGGCCGTCGCAAGATTTATCACTGGCTCTTGGAGATTGTCGTGATTCGTCGACATAGACAGCAGGAGTACCCTCAATGCTGTCAAGGGTCTGGTGAGGATTCGTTTTGGAAGATGGATTTTCCACCCACTTCTGCGCGGGCAGTAACTGCAGACCATCTTCGTGATTGCCCATCGTAGTATCAGAGCCACCGGGTATATCTGACCCAGTACTTGAACGGCTCTCTGTCGACAGGCTGCGTGATCTCCGAACGATGTACTCTTTCAGCCCATTTCCAACCTTTAACCGCTTGCGCCACTGCTCCTCTTCCTGTGACAGCTCGTCAACAGGCACCGACCGAGCGTCTTCTGCTAGAAGCTGTAGTTCCCTGAAAGATGCAGCATCCTCGGAGCTCCTCTCGATGTGAACCTTCAGAATGCGTGGAAATCGAAGAGTGAAATATCGGGCGCCTGACGGCTTCTCGAATCCACTACCCATCATTTCCACAACAAACGGCTTTTTGAAAATGACAGCGGCTGCTGGTAGGCCCGCTCGTCCATATTCAACTTCGAATCCCTCGAATCCCTCGGGGCTACTTGAATGGAATTCGCCAAGCTGATTAAGAAGTTCCAAAAGCTTCCAGTGCATGCAGTGTCGATTAACCACATCGACCACCCGGTAATGGGGCCTAGCCTCACAATTTAACACGGCGTCTTTGTTCAGAAGACATCCGACTAGGAAGTGTGTCCACCGCAGATGTTTGAGAGACGTAAGAGCAGCACCATCCTGAGCATTGTAGCCTGCGCCAACTAACACCAGGTCAACGGTGTCCCCCAGACCAGGAATGTAGTCCTTCTTGAGCTTGATCCAGCGGCCAAAGGAGTTGCTCACTCCGGCTGCATAAATTGGAAAATAGGGCTCGTCAGAAGCTTTCAGTACGTATCCTTCCCACCTGTGTGCGATAGCTTTGGCAAAGCTAGCCTCAAGCCGATATTGGCTCTCTGCCCGGTCAAAGTCGAGTATCTCTTGCTCGGCAATGTCAGCACACCCTGAGATCTTCCGCACTACCTCTTGCAAAAGTAACCGTCTTTGACGATGGGGTGCTCTGAGACAAACATCATCATCCAAGAGAAGAATGTCAAAGAACACGACCATTAAGTGTTCATATGGCTGCGGCCTGCTCCTATTAGAATGTACTCTCACCGTGAAGAAAGGTGTATACTTACGGGGAATCGTGGTCAATCCCAATGAAAGTTCCTGCGCGAGGAAGGAATTTTCGAAGCTTGTGGAAATCTGCTATTCCACCAAGCTTGTCACTCCACACAAGCAGCTCTCCTTCCAAAATACAATGCTTCGTAAACTTGCATCCTTCCATCCCGATTCGGAGGCTGTCCTTCAAGACTGGAACGACGACAGATCTGTCTGCGGTAGAGTCTTTGCCACTCTTGGAGAAGATCTGGATGGGGGCTTGCTTGTTCGTGAGGTCCACATGAATCTGACAATACTCCCCATCGTATTTCCGCTCTATGCTCATACGGCGGCCTTTTGCCATCTGGTGACAATGCTTGATGCTTCTAGCCTTAAAGTACTCGGGCCGGCCAATTTTGATACCCGGTCGGGGCCGCAGACAGTCGACGGCGATTGAACATAGGCTGGCAGCCAATTTTGGATCCGGTCGAGGAGGGAATTTATCCATGGGTTCAGAAGAGAGCATGTCCAAGGCGCCCTCGAAGGTATTTTGGAATTGAAGCAAATGTGGGAGTAAGAAGTGGAATCGTCCTAAGGTGTATTTTTCCGGAAGTGCCACAGGGGAGTAGCTCTTAAGAATCATTCGGGTGAGCCATTTGGCATCACGACTGCTCAATCTGCGGTACAAAGTTGCAAGGGAGCTTTCCACATCGACGGCGGTTTGCTGACGGCGCACTCGCGGCCCTGAGAAGCGACATCGAGACGCGATCATATCCAGTGCTTGGTCAATCTCTTCCACTGAGACCGCTCGATCAGCACAAATCCGATTTTCAGCCTGACGCATCACATTCTCCACACATTGGCCGAGATCTGGGCCTCCGGGTTCGCGCCATTGATCCATGTCTGATAATCTTGAAGATCCCAAGCCCAAACAACGACCAATCACACGTGCCAACGAGGTGGCTTGCAGCCAGTACACCCGGTCTGGGCGTCTCTCTGGAAACATGCATGACAGTAGAGCCAGCCTATCTGTTTCCGGGTGATAGATGTGCCTCTCATGGCGACTGAACCACTGACCAATCAAGCGGGTATCTTTGTCCGTTGCGGTGACCTTGGCTATCCGGTTGTCCTCGAGACTTGACAGCAAGTCACAGAGAAAGGAGAATTTGAACCCCATGGGGCACTGGGAGATGTGGCATGTCAAGAGGACCACGTCAGACAGTACACGGTTTCACACTTTCTCGATTGTCATCATCATGAGGAAGGAGACTCTAAGTGGGACGCGAAAATTCGCGGCGGGTCACACCCATGGAACGCGAAAGCACGTGACTACGAACTATACAAGGAGCCTTCAAAAGAGGTTACAATGACAAGCATGGAGAAATGATAATGGGTATTATTCTTGAAGTAATCGACCCATCAGACGCCTAAGTATTGAAAGATTGGAAGCCATCCGTGATATTCGCCAAACTCCAAGCCCCTTTTGTATGATGATAGCACAGAAACCCTATTGGGCTATGATTGAAGCGAGAGATGATATATCTGATCGTTGTTTAGAGAATACCCTGCTTTTGAAGACTGTAGAAGATTTGGTTAGCAATTTTCCAAGTGTAGATTCAAATGGGGTGCAACTTACTCAAGGTAAATCCTCTCCGGCATAACATTACCCTCGGCATCCTCCATCTGCACGACGTTATCGCGAGAGTCGCGCTCCTTCTTGCGGTCTTGCTCGAGCTTCTCCCAAAGTCGCACGGCGTCATCAATGCGAGTGATCTCGCGGAACAAGTTGGTATTAGACGTAACACCCAAGCACTTCAACCCATAAATGTGCAGAGCTTCGGAGAAGTGTTTATCGAAAGCTCGACGGCCCATGTAGACAAAGTTACCGCAGATTTCGCATGGGTATTCGGTACCAAGACCATGCAACTTGTAAAGCCAATATGGAATGGGCTTGCCGTCCCAGGCCAAAGGCAGCTTCAAGGGGTTGTAAAGCTTGTCTGCATCCTCATCATCAGACTGGTCTCGGTCGCCACCTTGCATATATTCCTCCGGATCAGCCATCATGGCTTCGTTATCAGCTTGACGCTCTCGCTCAGTCATAGCCTGTCTGCGTTCAACGTTATCCCGGGTTGCTTTCCGGTTTGACTCGAGCTCTTTCGACAAGCATCGAATCCGGTGCTCACGCTCGGCCACTGCTCTCTCCTTAAAGCTGAAGGAAGTTGTAACCTGGCTCACGGGTGCTGCAGACTGCTCGCCCGACGGGCTAGCTGCCTTCTTTGCCTCGGCAGCCCGAATGTGCTTCTTGCCAGTCAAGTGATTCCGGTAGACATTCTCGTTGCTGAACTCTTTTTCACAATCCGCGCACCAGGTTCCGGCTCCCGTTCCCTGCGTTTGAGGGCCAGAGGGACCGTTCTCTGCCTTCTCTTCCGTCCATCCAGGGACCTCCTTCGCTGACCATTGCTTGTCGAATTCTTCATCGAAAGACCCGAATAGCTTGTCGAGATCTTGCAAAGGCCGAATCCGTTTGATGAACCCTTCAAGGTAGCTAGCTAGTTCACTGACGTAGCGGAAGTACTTGTCGGAGACCTTATCTTTTCGCTTGATATTCATGGTAGGTGGCGTAAAGGAGTCAAAGACTCCGAGATATTGGGTATATGCCAGCCGCTTCACACCCGGTAGGTTCAAGTATTGTTCGTGGTTCATAGTCAGGTCCAGGAATTGTCCGAATGCTTCTTCGCCAGTAAACATGGCATCCACATCGAGGCGGGGCGCTTCGCCCTCGCCAGGTTGACGCCGCTTGTATGCGCGCTCGATATCCTCGACTGGCTGGGTCGGGTATCGTTTGTGAAAGTCTTTGATTCCATCCAACTGCTTGTAGAACTCCTCAAATTGATCTCCGGTCGAGATTACCTGCGCTTCCTTTTCGAGGAGCTTGTCTGCATCGTTGTAAATCTCCAAGAGGCGCTGTGACTGCTCCTCAATTCTCGCCAGGAACTTGGCAACTTCATGATCGCGGGCTAGACGTTGTCGAATCTAGAGAAATAGAAGACATGTTAGTACAAAAAGTCAAGACTGATTCAGAGAACGAACGTCACTGACATTGGAGGGATTCTCAGCCACGCGATCGGCAACTGCCTGTTCTAGCCTCTCCAGATCTTCATGAATGAATCGCAAATCTTCGAACAACATTTTGAGAGTGTGACTATGACACAATCTCTTCTCTTTGCTGAGGCGCAAGCAGTTCGGTTGAAATCTGCGGCGATGGTTGGAGAAGAAGCGGCGGGCTTAAAGCTGGAGCTTTGCGGTTGATCACGTGAGAGGCCACATCCATCGCAAAAAGTCATTCTGGACTGCTGCTTCGGACGGCGATCTCTTTGATAACCCCTCAAGAATACCCATACCTAATTTGTCTAGTCATTTGAACTCGTCACCTACTTCAACATGGCTGAGGGAATTGACAGACGTGCCGATGGTATGTATCCTCCGAGGCTTGGTTGAAATCCAGTATCCCTAACGACTACCCAGAGCGGATGGAGTTCAGCACCTCCAAGGAGGTCACGGTGGCCCCGACCTTCGAGGACATGCACCTGAAGGAAAGCCTGCTTCGCGGTATCTACGCCTATGGTTACGAATCCCCATCTGCGGTCCAGTCTCGCGCCATCGTTCAGATCTGCAAAGGTCGCGATACCATTGCGCAGGCCCAGTCTGGTACTGGTAAGACGGCGACTTTCTCGATCAGTACTCTGCAGGTCATCGATACCGTTGTGCGCGAAACTCAAGGTATGTATTCAATGCACTGTCTGACTCTGAGAGTCGCTTGCTAACCCGTTGTTTCATTTGCGCGATAGCTCTTGTCCTCTCTCCGACTCGCGAACTTGCGACCCAGATTCAGTCCGTCATTATGGCTCTCGGTGATTACATGAACGTTCAATGCCACGCATGCATTGGTGGAACCAACATTGGCGAGGATATTCGCAAGCTGGACTATGGCCAACACGTCGTCTCTGGAACCCCCGGCCGTGTCGCTGATATGATCCGCCGCCGGCACTTGCGCACGCGCCACATTAAGATGCTTATTCTCGATGAAGCCGACGAGCTTTTGAACCGCGGTTTCCGTGAACAGATCTACGACGTCTACCGTTATCTGCCTCCAGCGACCCAGGTTGTCGTCGTTTCAGCTACTCTGCCCTACGATGTCTTGGACATGACCACCAAGTTCATGACAGACCCCGTTCGTGTCCTGGTCAAGCGTGACGAGCTTACCCTGGAAGGAATCAAGCAATACTTCATTGCGGTTGAGAAGGAGGAGTGGAAATTCGACACTCTGTGCGATCTTTACGACACTTTGACGATTACACAGGCTGTTATCTTCTGCAACACCCGCCGCAAGGTCGACTGGTTGACCGATAAGATGCGCGAGGCCAATTTCACCGTGTCTAGCATGCACGGTGAGATGCCTCAGAAGGAGCGTGACAGCATTATGCAGGACTTCCGCCAGGGTAACTCCCGTGTTCTGATCTCCACTGACGTCTGGGCCCGTGGTATCGATGTTCAACAGGTCTCGCTTGTCATCAACTATGACCTGCCCACCAACCGTGAGAACTACATTCACCGTATTGGTCGCAGTGGTCGTTTCGGTCGCAAGGGTGTTGCTATCAACTTTGTCACTAGCGATGACGTCCGTATCCTTCGGGATATTGAGTTGTACTACTCGACTCAAATTGATGAAATGCCTATGAATGGTAAGATATCTTGTGCCATTCTAATTACGATTGGCAATGAAGTGCTAATCTCAATACTCTCCAGTCGCGGATCTGCTCTCATAAACGCCATGATTCCAGCTATCCTTTATTGAAGGGGCAGAGAAACAAGAAAACTCATAACCGCCATTCTTGAAATCCTTTTCTTAAGACGAACATCGTCAAATGTACATACTGGCGTCGATTCGGGGTTCAAAGCGTGGCCGGTTCTCGCGTGGAGGAAAGGGAAAACAAAACGTTTCAGTGAGATGACGCTGTCGAAAACCGACTGATGCCCTTCGCGCTAACACTTTTGGCATCTCCAGTATCAGAATGTCGAAGGAGGTGTACGTCAGTCATTGGTACACCAATGATCATTTCTCATGAAAGCTGGGGGTTTGAGACAAACTCTGCTTAATCATTTTTGCTTTTATTAGTTCACCCAGGATGGTTCGTTCAGGAGTTACGAGTGATGGATTTGAATGCATTACCTTCTATTTTTTTTCTGGTTTCTTCCAAGTTTTCCCCAGTCTTGGCTTTAGGCCAACAGCTTTGCCCGAAGACAGGAATAAAAAGAGCCCCCACGAAGGCTCATTTGGTAATCCAAACTATGCTCGATCCTCTGAACAGCAAGGCAGGACCTCCAAGATACTGCATTCCTTATGATGCCATTTCCTTTCCCGTTGCCCAGCTGTAATAGGATCTTTCTCTGTATTTAGCAACACTGACAATCCTTTAAGCACAGCTCTCAGGCAAGGCTTATACAGCGCACAAACTACGTAATTCCCTCGTATATGTAGCTCTTCACCGCCCCATTTCACCCAAGGCACGGATGCATTCATTGACATCTTGCCCAGGAATAGATCGTCCTGGCCAAGTTGTGCTTCCGAATCGGGATGAACCCAGCGCTCCCATTTGGGGGCCAAAACAAGGTTCGCCACCAACCTTAAGACCCTTTTTCTCGAGCTACAACTACAGAGCAAGCACCTGGATGAGGCTGAGTGGAGTCCCCGGTTTTCATGCGCCATCATTCTCCGAGTGCGTTGGTATACGGCGCTCCGATCAGTCACATTGGGTATGATTCAAGACTTGGCTTACGTCTGGGAGCGTTGTATAGTTCACCAACGCATCAATGTTGAGGATCACAGCCACAAAAGATCAAATATATAAGATCCAGAGTTAGACTTGCTTGTACACTTACAATTTCAATCAGACACAATCTCACGAAGCCAATTCCATTATATCTGCTTTCTATCAATCTATCAATTGAATCTTTACCATGCTTTGGGACAAAGTATTCATTACGTCCCTATTGGGATTCGCAGCAAGCTCAGCAGCTACCATTGTAGCCACCGATGAAGCCCCTCTGATCGGCCCAGCCTTTATTTCCAATTTCGATCCCTCAAATTCAACAGCAATACATAATGCGAAAACGAAGTTACCTCGCCTTATAGAAAACCTCTTCTCCAAGGGAACCCTCAACCGCACAGACCTGGCCTTTCACATCGACGTGTTCTCGGCAGCGACAAACAAATCCATCTATAGCTATTCGCATGTCGGGAAGGATGCGAATAGCACATTGACTGCTGGAGTCCTCAATGAGAAGACGATAGCGCGCATCGGAAGCGTCACCAAGCTCTTCACGGCCTATGCCATTATCGCCAAGGGTGGCATGGAAGTGTTCTCCCAGCCAGTTACAAAGTTCCTGCCTGAACTTGCTGGTAACTCTTCTAATGATCCATTGTTGAGACTCGATTGGAAAGATATAACTGTCGGGGCTTTGTTGTCTCAGCAAGCTGGCACCGGAGGACCAGGCGGTTAGTATTTATCCAGATTTCCCATGAATCATGGCTGATTTCTGCAATAGATTTTCTAGAGAAATATTACAACCCCGATGACCAATTGAACTACTCGACTAAAGGTGAGTGGCTGTCCATACATTGGTTGTCATGATCTCCAGAGTGATTAACCCCTCCCTGTCCAGATTTCCTAAATTTCATGCGCGACGATAAACGGCCTGTGATCTCCCCATACCGCAATGCCGTCTATTCCGATGCCGGGTTTTCTATTCTGGGCCAAGTTCTCGCTCGCCTGACTGGCAAGAAAACATACAGTGAAGCAATCCGCGAGACCATTTTCAAGCCATTGGGGCTGGATAGCATGTCGACAAAGGCCCCGAACGGTACTGGCCTGAATGCGATCAATCGAAAGCCAGTAGACGCGAATTCATCATGGGGAATTGATATAGAAGTTGTGGCATCGTATGTTGATGATTTTCTACTTATCTACGCGACATGGAGTACAAACTAACCACTATCCAGATCCGGCGGTATCTACGCGAATGGTGCAGACCTTCGGACGGCAGGTCTATCCATCCTCAACTCCGAGCTCCTCTCGCCCACCAATACCTCCGAGTGGATGAAGCCTCGCAGTGGCACGGGCACTATAGTAGAACTTGTCGGGGCACCGTGGGAGATTACTCGTCTAGAGATCCCCGTGTCTCCTGGCTCAAACCGCACCCGAATCTCAGACTTGTATACCAAGGCTGGTGGTAACGGAGACTATACCACCATCTTCGCCCTTTCTCCAGACCATGGCATTGGCTATTCGATTCTCATTGCCGGGCTTACCGCCTCGGCTGCTCGCTGGCCTCTTCGCGATACAGTTGGCGAAACATTCATCCCTGCTGCAGAACACGCAACCTGGGAAAATGCCCGGCGCAACCTTGCGGGCACATTCGCTGATAAGTCTGCGCCAGGTACCAACCTGACGTTGACCGTCGACAAGGGCCGGCCGGGCCTTGGATTGGGAGCTTTCTGGGTCAAGGGAGAGAATGGCCGTGACCATGACCATTGGCGCATCTACCCAACTGGACTTAACTCCGTCTCGCGATCTCTGTCGGCCCTCTACAAGAGTAAGGGTAAGATGCGTGTGGCACACCGCATGGTACAGCCAATGCCGCCAATGCAGCCTCGTGCTGCCGTGGAAGGAGGCAAGGGAGGATTATTCGATAACTCGTTCACGTGGATGGACATCGATTTCCAGGGTCCTGCTGATGAGTTGATTTTTGATCTTGTTGATGGGCGACTCGTTGGTGTTGAGCTTCCGGCGACTGGTTTGGTCCTTGAGCGGGTTAAATAGATGCATAGTCTCTGGTTTGTATTTGAATTTGTGGGTTCAACCCGGGATTTCCTCGGGTGTCTTTGATGTTACACAATAGAAACAAGATTGTTAGAAATTATCAGTTTATCTTGTACATTTTTATAAGTGGAGATGCTTTCAGTACCACTGTAGTTGGCATGAACCAAGGTTTGTGGGCTCGTTGACTGGATGGGTTCGATCGTAGAAATAGTCGAAGAGGAGCGATTTGAGAGAGTGGAGTTGATGCTTTCAAAATCTGAGGGATCGAGCACACAGGTATGCCTTTCTGATGTCTGGGTTAATGGCATTGTCATCATAACTTGACAGACTTAATTGAACTCGGGTCGTAAGTCCATACCTTTGACGATGCTATAGCCACCATAACCCCGGATGCCATAGCAGGTTAACCTGAACGTTGACTCTGCAAGACAGCCTGAATTCCATTCGCAAAAAGCGCTCTAGCATAAAGAGCATGGAACCACTTCCCTATCTCGGCGACAGCCTGTTTATTTGTCTGGGGATTACAAGTAAATCCTTCCAGACTAATCCGTATTTGAGCCTTTGACGGCTCCATTTCTGATACTGAATCTGATGTAGTCTGGTGTCTCGTAACACTGAACCGGTGGCATCCCGCGAAGGAGTAGTTGTCCGAGCCAAATCCATAGTCGACATAGCTGAATTGGGAGTCTAGTGATTCGGAGATATGCTTGTCGAGAAGTTGAAAAGTGCCAAATAACTTTGTCCCCACGTCGCAAAGCTGATTTTCAGGAACTTCCGAGCTCTTCCAGATCTCAGATGTTTGTTGGTCTTGCGAGAAGTCTAGGGTACTCGTCAACTATAGGAAGGAGACCATAGAAATTGGAGAGAGAATTCTTACTTGTAAAATTCACAGGGAGTAATCTCCAAGCACCAGCATTCAATAAAACACCCTCCATACCAAAAACAAATCCCCCGAAGAATCCCGATGTAAAGGACGATAATATCTTCGAATCGTTCATACCTGCCAAAATCTCCGCATCAAAATCTTGCCAGACGGTATCTGAGATCACCATATGGTGGCGTGGATTGACGAGCTCTGCAGAGCGAGATGTAAGAAATCCATCTCTACCGTAGTTGACCGAATTGCAGTTATAGAGGGTGTCAAAGAATGACTTTTTCGGGATCATTCGTGACCAGGGCCTAGCGGACATTGAATAGATGATAAATACTGTTCAGTTTGTTATTGATTATTTCTTGAAAGGGTGTACTTTCATATGTAGAACTAGAGATATTTATACGGATCTGCTAAAGGCTTCATGACGACGGTATTCGGGAGGACTCGGGTTTTTAGGATTGAGTCACTTGACAACGTTGGCCCCCACATAAGCAAGCCTTGTGGGCCTCCGGGCATCCGATTTCACTCGTTTTCAGTCTGGACACCAGGATACAGATTGTCGAAAACGTTAGATCCACTGCAGTTACTTGGAGAATGGCTTGTGGTCCTTCTACAAGGGGACACGCGCCTAGACATATAACACAAACACCAAGAAGGAGATTACCAGAACCAGAAGATCAAATCTACGCCGTATGCATGACTGAATGACGTGGTATTCCCATTGAAACGCTAGCGCCGTCCCTGTATTGACTGAGATAGATGCGGGCAAAGAAATCTGCTAACTTGGGGAAAGGGAATTGGGTGTAGCAGCACATGGTGAAACTTGTCCTGTGAATGCAACGGAGCCAGGCGGAGGTAGGAGCAGGAGGAGGGAGGGTATTGAGGGTAGGATCGAGAATTGGAGACGTGAGTTGGTGCAAGTGTAAAAAGAAGGGAGAGCTGCACAAAGTTGCAAACAGAGCAGGAAAGGCGGAGGATGGGAAAATCGAAAAAGCACGATTTATCGTCTTTGAATCCAGATGCTCCAAAATATGATTGCCCCGGCCGAAGTGAATGATTTGCAGATCAAATCGTTGACAATTCAAGGAAAAACGCCCTTGCGGGATGATAGTCATAGAAACATTCTTTGCTTGTGCAATCCAATAAGGTATCAAAATGTTGAAGTAGTCCGTAATGCGCTTGTCCGCGGGAACCCAGTTGATGATATGCCTCCTCGTTGACTCGCTCCGCCGATTGGGCGATGTCGTTCCGGGTCTTTGGACCAGCTAAAGAGACTTGTTAGGCCTGTACATAGCATGAAGCGCGAGATCAGAAGGGTTCCAACTTACATGCGCACGGCTTTGTCGTCACCGGCTGAGACAAACATGCCTGGATTTGTCGGACTCCAAGATATTGAGTTTACACAACCCTTGGTATGAGCCTCCAAGGTTTCCACGAGGGTGCCGTTCTCCTTGTGCCAGATGTAAATTCGGGAATCTGGAAATTGTTAGCATGCTGAAATGCTCTTTCAAGTCCATCTACGGCAGAATACTGACCTTCACTGCCACTGACGACAAAATTCTCCGCTGCTCCACCGAAAGTGCTCCGGATCACATAACTGCCCTGCTTGTATCCCCGGAACCGTCGAACGACGGTGGTGGTTTCCATATCGATCAACTGAATTTCCCCCTCAGCCAAATTTACCAGCATGTGCTTCGAGTCCCGGCTGATCGCAACGGAGGTCGGTTTGCTCGGAAGAGAGAGGCAATAGACTTCTTCATAGGTGTGGAAATCAAATACGTGAAGCTTGGAATCCGTGTCTGCTGCCACGAGCCGTCGGCCATCGGGGCTGATGGCGCAATCTTGTGTACGGAATCCTCCCTTCCAAGTGTGGAGTGGCGATCCCCTCATGCTCCAATGGCAAAGCCCCGAGTTCGCATCAAATGATGACGTTACGAATGATTCGCTATCGGGAGCCCAGCCTGCAGCGGTCACCGGATGGCAGTGATGATCAATCGTCAAAAGACAGCGACCAGTCTGGGATTATCAATGAGTTAGTTTAGTTTCAATGATGATTTAGAGGTGTCAAAAGTATTTACCTCTGCGTTCCATACACGGGCCGTCCTATCTTGCGAGCAAGTGATAAGCTTAGAGTCATCGGGACTCCAGCTGGCAAAGGCAACTCCGTCCAAGTGTCCGTTAAGTCTATGGAGCACCGTGAAAGTACTCGTATCGTAAATCAGCACGGTGCGGTCCTGGCCTGCAGTAACCAATTTGGTTCCGTCATGAGAGAACCCGCAGTGCCAAACCTCATCGATGTGCTGATTGAGGTTGGCGGTGACGTCCAAGGGGAAATCGCCTCGGTCGCACATGTGGTCGGAATAGAGTGACGGCGCCTCGGCGGTATTATGATAGAGACAGTTGCCGATCTGACCCTGCTTCACGTAGTCTAATAGAATTGCAAGACGATGCTGGGGGATCATAACGGAGGGGGAAATGGATTCTATAATTGATCAGCAAGAGTCGGACCATGCAGTCTAGTCTGATTGCTTCTTACTTGATAGGTCGGCCAGAAGCCGTTCTCGGGACGAGCTGATTGGGCCGTCCCAGCCAGCCTGCTCGTGAAGCAGTTCCGTCGGGCACATCAGGAGACTGCAGAACGGATCATGTTAGTGGTCAACCACCGTAGGCCAAAGAGGATTCAAAAATGACCAACCTTGAAAGCGCATGGAGCCGGTCCACATCGTAGTTCAAAGGCGTGAGTTCTTGCCGAAGCACTTGTAGTGCTGAGCCCAACTCGCGAGCTTCGAGGAGCTCCAAGAACTTCTGCTGACGGAGATAGAACAACATTTCACTCCTGTCCGCATCCTCTGCCAGTACCAGCATTTCTTCGGAAGCACCTTTTTGGCCATTCTTTGGTGCCATGTTTCGGAAAGATTGAACAAGAATTCTTTCTGCCTCGGACCACCGTCCGTCGAGTACCGCGCTCCGGAATGTTGCAACGCCGGGTGTCTCCAGCTGATAGCCGCTCTCAGAGCTCAAAGTCGATGCTGCACCGCCGTAGCCCAACTCATACAGGCTCTGGATCAAGATCCGCGTTACTTCCTCCCGGTTGTGGCCAAAGTAGGAGCTTGTCAAAGGTTTCACGGCGCCATTTGACTGCGACTCTCCATTCGCCGACGTATTTTGTTGGCCATTCAGGCTGGCTTTCCTCGAGGTCGACCCGTAAGCGGCCTGTGAAAAGCCATTCGTGCTTGATAGCCCGTCGGGCCGCATTGTTGCTAGGCGCCTGCGCTTGCGGGACGGAGACCGGCCGTCAGCTCGGCCGAGCGTGAGATTTGGATCGTCCTGGGACACAGCTTCACGTGTCCCGGTGTCGTCTGCGTGAATGTCCGTGCCTGCCGTCCTCGTAACTAGAGACTCCTCGGAGCTGTTGCTCGATCGGAGATGACGGCGTCGGGAGTTGAGAGGTTGAGGTGTTCGACTAGCGGCGGAGGGCAGTTGCGAAGTGGAAGTAGTACCTCGAGACGGCGAAGAGGATGGGCGATGTCCAAGACCAGCGTCGGCGGAGGAGGAGATGGCGGGAGGATTTGGGGGAAGAGGAAGATCGGGGTGGTCGGAGGCGGAGGGAAGGTAAGAAGAATTGTCGGCCAGGTCGACTTCTGATCAGGATCTGCCCGGTTCCCTGGCTCTTGGAGAAGAACCAGGTGAGCAGACCTACAGGGTGGTGGTGGCGGGTGGATCAGTCCTCGCCGGGGGGAGTAGGAAGCTCCGAATGGGGGATTCGAGTGGGGAGGAGCTCTTGGTTCTTGCAGGAGTCACAAGGATTCAAGGCTAGAACATCAATAGGATTGAAATGAGGACTGCACAGATAGCAAAGACAAAGGTAAAGAAGTGATAGGTATCGTAGGGACTTGTATTCCCCTTTGGTGAGTGGTTAAGTGGTGATGGTGAGGGTGATGATGGTGGGTTGGGGTTAAGTCGGGCGGAGAAGTTGCTTATCGGCGGAGAGAACCTTTGGGAATAAACGAGTTAACTCACGGCTTTCGCAGGGAGTTTAGTTAGTTTAGTTAGTTCCGCCAGCGGGCCAATTAGCCAAGAAGCTGCTAAGAAGGCGATTGGAGGAAGTGGGACCTCATAAGTCACAAGTCGACTTTGGCCCGTCACAAGATGATGACGATTAAGGTGATCAGGATTCGATAGGCGTCTGTGTCTTGGGGTTTGGAGTTTCACCAGTGCTGAACTTGATTTCTCAGCTGATCCAACAAAGCAGTCTGTCTTTTTCTTTCAAGCGTAGGCCGAGAAGGCTCTAAAGGTGATTAAGCGGTACTTAAAGGGTCAACGAGTGCTGCTAGCGCACTGCTGCTTGCCGATCACCGGGCGCCTACAGGCAGTGGGCACAAGCCATGTTAGCAGAAGAGAAATCCTAGCAAATATAGGAGAATAGAGATAAAATGGGGTATTCCTAAGAGTATTCCCATTCAATACTAGCATTTGGTTATAAATCAAAAACTTGGAGGCCATATAAGAGTCCAGTTGCCTAGTAGTTGGTTTAAATGGATGGCCAGGATCCTGCGATGGAATTATATACATCCAAAGCTATACCTGTTGAACTCCACAGTCTATATCTACCTAGCAATCCCTGACCCAGAGATCACAACTCTGCTAATTATGCCAGGAGTCCTGAATACTTATTTCAGCTCTGAGCTTGGGCGCATTCCATTTACTGTGGTTCGCCCTCCCCGCTGACGACATCATGATGCTGATGGTCCTACTTCCGCAGCTCCCCTTCCGCATATATGAAAGGATCCCAACCACCACCTGCTACAACTTCTTGATCAAATATCTGTTCCTTTAAAATTAAGCTACTGATAATCTTGAAATATCCTCAACCGCTTTTCCACTCTACTATATTCACCATGGGTTGCGGCTGCGGAGCAACTTGCAACTGTACCGGTGCCCAGGGCTGCACCTGCGACAACACTTGTGTCTGCAAGGGATGCGGAGTATGTGTGCCATGTTTTTGCCCCCCACCCCTGAAAGAAGCTGGGTCTATAATACGATACTGAGATCGAGGCTGACCTGTGCACATCGTACTTGATAGAAGTAAGAGGCATCCTTTCTCCGATTGGGAGGGCAGTTACTCGCTAGCCGCCCTTGCTCTGCCATATGAAGAGCCACGATTTTCGTTTCTGGGAGTTTATCTGAATGTGACATTACTATGAGTTCGCTCTTTACTACTAGATTGAAATGATATCCTGAAAATTGTTCCCATCTATACATTAGCCGTCCGGGTTGATCCGCCCCGTGACAATGTAATATGTAGACGTCATCAAGGTCGTTCTTTGAACACCGCCTCGGAGGCCTTGAGTGCGCCCGTGATCGTAAAGCAAATGAATGGCGATAGCGCATACATTACCTAATATCATTAGCAGGCGTACACTTTCCCAACTCTTATGAACCTTACCGTCAATGTCTTCGCAATAGCCATTTTCTCCGTTTCCGATGCATGCGCTAGCTCTGCCAGTCCCGAAATCACCAGTGCTGGCGGCCCGGCCGGCATCAGCATCATGCTAAACCAGAGAACAGGATCATCGCCCAGAAGCTTCGTATGCTTCGCCAGTCCATATATCAACGAGATACTCACTGCCGGCCAGGCCACCAACCGTACTAAAAAGATAATCGTGATGGCTCGGATGGGAATGCGACTCGAATCGCCTCTGGCCTCGCCCCCGGCTATCATTCTCTCAAAGGTTACCCCGAGTTTACACCCAACTAGGAATATTTGCAGGGTTGTAAAGAGCCGTCCAATATTGCGCACGCTCGTCGTCAACCACGCCTGGAGATACCCGCCTTCCTCATCGCCCAAGAAAAACAGCCTATGCAGCGCGGGGACAAGACCCAACAACGCACCGACAAGAGTACAGCCTATCGCTACACCGGCAAATGGATCTCCAAATGGCGCCATGAGCTCTTCTCTCACCCGTGACGGGAAGAACGAGACAAGCCACCTGCTCCAGGACCGAACGCGCACTCCGACGGCTGCCTTGGCGGTTTGTGCGCGCCGTGGTAGCAGGGAGGTCGTCTCAGTCAAGCGTTCATCCTCGCATTCAGGTAGGTGTTGTTGTTCTTCAACACAGCTCTGATGATCCTCTGCATCTGTGCCGTCGTGGAGCATCCGTGGACCGACAACGTAGGCAATGGTTTTGCTGACGACTGCACAAACGAGGAAGTAGCTCTGTGCTCGCTCAATTGCATCGTCTGTGCTTTCGCCGTTGCGTAGGATGAGTCGCAATGAACCCACGCTGCCGAGAGATTGGAGGAGCAGTAAAGGGAGGGAGGAGGTGTTGTTGAATGTTGATGCTGGGGCAACCCATTGGGGTAGTCGAAACAGCCGTGCTAATACATGAGACAGGCCGATGGAAGCGATGGTGTAGATGAATGACCAAGCTAGGTATTTGGTGATGAGCATCACTAACTCGATGCTAAGATGGATATGAACCACTCACCTAGAACTGGAATATAATTCAACGCCGTCCCGATGTGAAGCTCCTGGCCTAAATTTACGACAATTAGAGCCGGCAAGAAGAGCTTCACACCTAATGCAGACATATCATTAATGGTGGCATCGTGGATTAGACTCATTCGTCGCGCGGCAACTCCATAGCACATAGTTAGGAGTACCGAGACGCAAGCCTGGAGAGCCCCCAGAAACGGCGGTAGTAAGCCATCAGCAGGGTGCATGATGGCGACCCTTGCAATTAGAGAGGACTATTGTGTGTATGGGAATGTTTGAAAATTTTCATTGGAACGTATAGATTATTTGATAACGTCATAGTGACCATAACTAAGATCCGTTTACATTTTTCCGAAAAAAAGGAACGCAGTATTAACTAAAAGCAGCGTACGCCTTGAACCTACTCATATTAATGAAACACTTAAACACGCATGACGTGTAGAAGCTGGTCCGATGGGATCAGCTTTGCGGCAAAGGCCAAAGCGACACCGAGAGTAACCACCGCGCCGAAGGCTGTCATAAGCCCTAGGTGTCCCAGACTCTCGAGACCGGGACTTTCGAATTTGGTCGTGCGTCGTTGACCCAAGCGTGTTGTGCGTGTAAGTGTGGGCAAGTATTTGAACTCGTAGCGGCTTTCGCCTCCGAGGCCAAGTTTTTCGTCCATAAGCATCTTGTAGAAGTATTTGCGGCGCATCTAGAGGATAAAGGAGGGTTAGTTCCACAACGGCAATAGGGCTGGGATAGAAGCGAAATGCGTACGTTGATCATGAACCGATCCATAAAGTAGATTCTAGGGATGATTGTTGATACAAGTCTCACCCAGAAACAGTACCCCCACAAGATGACCCGGTAGTACAGACTGGATCGTGGGATATCAAGTTCATCGGCAAGCTGATCACCATTGAGAAGCCGACTCATCGCCTCGAGGAACTCCTTTGAGGCATAAGACGGCGCGGTGTTCTCCAACCCGATGATGATATTTTTGGCCAGAATCTTGCCAATCTCCGTGGGATCGATTTCCGAAATCAAGAGTGACTCCATCATCGCACGGGCTTTGGCTGTGGTTTCGAATGGCTCCGTCGGCGTTCCCATATAGTAAGCGACAAGACGCCAGAGTGCGATGTAATCTTCGATTTCCTGCTGGTTGAGGTAGATTCCCTGACGAGGTAGGCCGAGCCAGACCACTGAACTGCAGAAAGTGTTGATCGTGCCGATACAATCTAGATCATTGACCGGTGTACCGTACTTCGTAACGTCGTAGTACTCTGGCTTTTGTTCTACCAGACTGAGGATTCTCAGGCGAACGGAGGCGTGTAGGAGTCGTACGCGGACAGAGGAGACGTTCCCTTCACCACCGGGTTTCATGCCCTCTGCCGAGCTGTTGACTTGGAGGATGTGTTGGAGTGTTTCTAGGAGTCGTCGGCGGACTACTTTGGCGCCGAAACCACCTGTTCGGGCAAGGGTTTCTACGACTCGCATGGCGCCCCTATTGGATGATTAGTTAAGGTTGTATAGAAGGTGGAGGGATATGGATGGTTTGTACATTCCACCAAGTAAACTCTCAAACCCAAGCTGATATGAATAGTCAACAATGGAGATCTGGGTGGAAGGTCGAAGGTATAGAACTAACCACGTTCAGGATGGGGACACCATATCGGAAGAACACATCCTGTCCTCTTTGAATCTGCTCCCAATCCACCCATTCAGGAACCGTACTGACCTCATCCCATAGCTCCTTAAGCTTAGGATCCTCGTCGGCATGCTTCTTCAACAAACCATATAAGTCTTTCTTGAACGGTTTATCCGAGTCTTCACCAGTGGGAATCTTGTTCAAGATCTGCACACATTCATCTGCCAGACTGTCATATGTTTGAATCATAGGATGCAACTCCTCTGCCGACCGATGAAGGTCAGTCCAGTGAAAAGAGTAGCCCCAGTAGTGGCACTCGGTGGAATTTCCTTGTCGGGGGCTCTTCAACGCCATCGGGAATCGTTGGTAACAGTCAAGTACAACAGCGATAAGAAATACCGTCTATTCGGATGAGATGCATTCTCTCTAACACCATGAGGCTCGATTTCATCTGTATATATGTACAGACGACCCGATGTTGAGGTTAGGTTGCCCCTCTCCCTCCATCTATGACCAACGTGGCTCCCCCTTTGTACCGTGGTCCGTGGTCCGGGGTAAAAACGTGAGGGGCGTGGGGGACGCTTTGCATGTGAACCCACCCATTTTCCGCTGATGATCGACACTCGCTTGTGCATGTTAGCCTTATTTGGGGATGTGTAGTTCTTGTCCACTAATTATGTCGATTTTATTCATTGATGATCCTTGGGTGATTGGTTCGAGGGCACTTATCACGAGCCGAACCTCCTGTATACTCCTTTGGGGCATCAGGAGGACAATGGATGATACGTTTCACATGCAATGATCTTCGAGAGGAGGCTCTGATCAGTGATGTCTGAATCAATCTGACATGATATTGTAGGCGATGTGATCGTGAATATTTCCACTATTTCCATGCGAAGTGTATGTATAGGTTAGGCATGTGTTTGTTTTGGGGATAGGGGTAAATCATCGGACTCCCACAGAACCTAGGCGACAGCGATATTCAGATGTTATTACTGGTAAACAGTGTCAAATGTTAATGGTTAGTCCAGAATGTTTCCGCTATTCAATAAGGACCTCGCACGACAATAGTTGATTAGGCATACATAGTAGGTATCGGGGTGTGAAGCACGATAGGGAAGTTGGCAACTATAAACACAAGGGCAACTCAGCGCGATTTCGTGTAGGATGCAGCGCATGACTTCCACTTAGAGATCACTGATAAAAATGATCCCAAAATGGCCACCTTTGTTCTCAGATCAGGACCGACCGGGCGCCAATCCCTCGGCGGGCAGAGCGAGACCTGGATTGGATAACAGCTTAGGGGGGACTCCACGATGCAAGCACCCTAGTCCATTGGCCGCCACCTTTATTGCTCATCAATAATAACACCTGATCTCTGCCCATCTTAGTCGAGCGAATGTTAGGATTGGGAAGGCCTCGACTCAAAGCACGGCCGTCACTGCTGGATCTGATTAGCAGACGCGAGGATACTACTATTGCAACTTCGAGTGTTACTGCTGCGGCGGACCATTCGTCACCACCGTCACCGCCCGAGCTGCCACCGCTTCCAGACTCGCCCACCTCAACCAGCTCGACTACCTCCACCACCTTCCCCGTGTCTACCCCGTCCACTCAAACCTCCTCCACAATGGCTCCGGCACAGGATGACAGCCATGCTCATGGCTCGGTCTTCTCAGTCTCCGGCCCCGTCGTTGTCGCCGAGCACATGATTGGCTGTGCCATGTACGAGCTGGTAAGTTCCCCCCAGCATTCCTCCCCGGGAAGCTCATCGCAGCTTCACTTCCGAGAGGACTCGCCCGTGCTGATAGCATTCACCCATCCAGTGCCACGTCGGTAAGGATTTGCTGGTTGGTGAAGTCATTCGACTTGATGGCGACAAAGCTACTATTCAGGTCTACGAGGAAACCGGTACGCCTGCTCTTTCTCTCACGGCCACGTATGCTCGGCATCGCGGCCGCCTCCCCACATCTCGACATTAACTAATTGTTACGCCTATGCGATGAAATACAGATGGTCTGACTATCGGCGATCCCGTTGCGCGGACCGGCAAGCCCCTGTCCGTCGAGCTGGGCCCCGGTCTGATGGAGACGATTTACGACGGTATCCAGCGACCCCTCCGTGCTATCTCCGACAAGTCCAAGGGTATCTACATCCCCCGCGGTATTCGCGTCAATGCTCTGGACCGTGAGAAGAAGTGGGATTTCAAGCCGGTCAACTTCAAGGTTGGCGACCACATTACCGGTGGTGACATTTGGGGTACCGTGTTCGAGAACAGCTTGGTGAACGACCACAAGATCCTTCTGCCTCCCCGTGCCCGCGGTACCATCACCCGCATCTCCCCCGCCGGCAGCTACACCGTTGAGGAGAAGCTGCTGGAGATTGAGTTCGAAGGCAAGAAGTCCGAGTTCGGTATGATGCAGACCTGGCCCGTCCGTGTGCCCCGTCCCGTCAGCGACAGAAAGTCCGCCGATTCGCCCTTCATCGTCGGTCAGAGAGTGCTGGATGCTCTCTTCCCCAGTGTGCAGGGTGGAACCGTGTGCATTCCCGGTGCCTTCGGATGCGGCAAGACTGTCATCTCCCAGTCTGTGTCCAAATTCTCCAACAGTGATATCATTGTCTACGTCGGCTGCGGTGAGCGCGGTAACGAGATGGCTGAAGTGTTGATGGATTTCCCCGAGGTAACTACCTTGAGGTCGTGGAACCCGCAGAGAAATCCCTCCTTGCTAACCCTCATTCTCTCTATAGCTTTCCATCGACGTCGGTGGCCGCAAGGAGCCTATCATGAAGCGTACCTGCTTGATCGCCAACACCTCGAACATGCCCGTCGCTGCCCGTGAGGCCTCTATCTACACCGGTATCACCATCGCCGAGTATTGGCGTGATCAGGGAAAGAACGTGGCTATGATGGCTGACTCGAGTTCTCGCTGGGCCGAGGCTCTGCGTGAGCTTTCGGGTCGTCTGGGTGAGATGCCTGCTGATCAGGGTTTCCCCGCCTACCTGGGTGCCAAGCTGGCCTCTTTCTACGAGCGTGCCGGCAAGAGTAGTGCTCTTGGTAGCCCCGAGCGTATCGGCAGTGTCAGCATCGTCGGTGCCGTCAGCCCGCCCGGTGGTGATTTCTCCGACCCCGTCACCTCCAGTACCCTGGGTATCGTGCAGGTCTTCTGGGGTCTCGATAAGAAGCTGGCCCAGCGCAAGCACTTCCCGTCCGTCAACACCTCCATGTCTTACAGTAAATACACCACGATCTTGGACAAGTACTACGAGAAGCACAACCCGGATTTCCCTCGTCTGCGTGACCAAGTTCGTGAGCTCCTGTCCAAGTCTGAAGATCTCGACCAGGTCGTGCAACTGGTCGGTAAGGCCTCGCTGGGTGATTCGGATAAGATTACTTTGGACGTTGCCGCCATGGTCAAGGACGACTTCCTCCAGCAGAACGGTTACAGTGACTATGATCAGTTCTGCCCGCTGTGGAAGACCGAGTATATGATGAAGGCCTTCATGGGCTTCCACGACGAGGCCCAAAAGGCGATCGCTCAGGGTCAGAACTGGAACAAGGTCCGTGACGCCACTGCTGATCTCCAGAGTGCTCTGCGCAGCATGAAGTTCGAGATCCCCGATAACCAGGAAGAGGTGTCGGCCAAGTACGAGAAGCTTCTCCAGTCCATGACTGAGCGGTTCGCTTCCGTTTCGGATGAATAGATGTAGATTGGACTTGATGGGTGTATCTTTGTTTCATTTTTGCTTTGCTACCTTTGCATCATCTCTCTTTTTCCTTACGGATGTTATATCTGCCTAGCACACATTACCCTGTAGTTATTCTTGAACCACTTTTCTTCTCTGGGGCGGATACTTGTTCTCGTATAGTATACCAGTACTAGATAGTATACGATAGACCCAGATCAGGCGACAATGAAAAAGACTGGACCAGATAGGGCAGCTGACCCACGTCTAATCCACCTTTATGGTTGAAAGTGTACATTTACTACAGTAAATAATAGTGGATGCCTGCTGTCAGGTACTCCAGTCCTAACTAACTGGCTAATCAGAAGAACTCCCGTGCACGGCCAGTCGCTGGGCTGGACCGCCACCACCTTCATCACCGCCTTCGTAGGCCTCCCCGACCAACAAACAATCTACCATTCTGCTTCTCTTCACTTAATCAACTCCTCCTTCTGCTCTCTCCCCCTCTTACTTTCTCCTACCTTCGTCTCTAAATCCCCTTAGTTACCGAAGGCAGACCCTCCCAAACCTCGCCAGCCATGGCAAACCCAACCACTGGCTACTCGTGCGTAACCCCCCTGCACCCCCCTCCACTCCGAGATGCGGCCTAGAGCTAACTTGTGCGCAGCATAAATGTCAACGATCCCAGCTTGATTTCCCTGGTCAACAAGCTGCAAGATGTCTTCTCTACTGTGGGCGTAAGTGAAATCGAAAGATTTGCACCCGTGGCAACCCTAGTCTTGACCATTCGCACTGACACCGCTGCTTTGATTTAGGTACACAACCCTATCGACTTGCCCCAGATTGTCGTCGTCGGATCGCAATCCAGTGGAAAGAGTTCAGTGCTAGAGAACATTGTCGGCCGTGATTTGTATGTGCTTCCCCGACCCTATCATGCCGTTCCTTCGCCTCCCCGAACCTTTGCGCAACCCACGTGGTGGCGGGGGAACCCTCCCGGCGGTGTCGTCAGCCCATTGCTAACCACTTCCTGTCTGTATCATATAGCCTGCCTCGTGGTTCCGGAATTGTGACTCGGAGACCTCTGATCCTGCAACTGATCAACAAGACCCCTGCGCCGCAAACGAACGGAGATAACAAGATCGAGACGACAGATGCCGAGTCCAATGTCGATGAGTATGGCGAGTTCCTGCATATCCCTGGCCAGAAGTTCTTCGACTTCAACAAGATTCGTGAGGAGATTGTCCGTGAGACGGAGACCAAGGTTGGCCGCAATGCCGGTATCTCGCCCGCCCCGATCAACCTGCGCATCTACTCGCCCAACGTCCTCACCCTGACCCTGGTCGATCTGCCCGGTCTGACCAAGGTGCCCGTCGGAGATCAGCCCAAGGATATCGAGCGCCAGATTCGGGATATGGTTCTCAAGTACATCAGCAAACCCAACGCTATCATTCTGGCCGTCACCTCGGCCAACCAGGATTTGGCCAACTCCGATGGTCTGAAGCTGGCGCGTGAGGTGGACCCCGAGGGCCAGCGCACCATTGGTGTGTTGAGTAAAGTCGATCTGATGGACGAGGGCACTGATGTTGTGGATATTCTCGCTGGACGAATTATCCCTCTGCGCCTGGGTTACGTTCCCGTTGTCAACCGTGGTCAGCGTGATATTGAGAACAAGCGTCCCATTGCCTATGCTCTGGAGAACGAGAAGAACTTCTTCGAGAACCACAAGGCCTACCGGAATAAGGCCTCTTACTGCGGTACTCCATACTTGGCCCGCAAGTTGAACCTGGTAAGTGATTGGTCAAGCTATGGGGGAGATAGAACTGTGGCAAAGCGAGTACTAACATCACCCGCCACTTTTTGTAGATCCTGATGATGCACATCAAGCAAACCCTCCCCGATATCAAGGCCCGCATTTCCTCCTCCCTCCAGAAGTACACTACGGAGCTGGCACAACTCGGCGATTCCATGCTCGGCAACAGCGCCAACATTATTCTCAACATTATCACCGAGTTCAGCAACGAATACCGCACTGTTTTGGAAGGTAACAACCAGGAGCTGTCCAGCATTGAGCTGTCGGGTGGTGCTCGTATCAGTTTCGTGTTCCACGAGCTCTACTCCAACGGTGTCAAGGCCGTGGATCCCTTCGACCAAGTCAAGGACATTGATATCCGCACTATCCTTTACAACTCCTCCGGTTCTTCCCCGGCCCTATTCGTCGGAACCACTGCATTCGAGTTGATCGTCAAGCAGCAGATCAAGCGTCTGGAAGATCCCAGCAACAAGTGTATCTCTCTGGTCTACGATGAGTTGGTCCGCATCCTGGGCCAGTTGCTGAACAAGCAGCTGTTCCGCCGCTACCCCCAGCTGAAGGAGAAGTTCCACGCTGTTGTCATTGCTTTCTTCAAGAAGTGCATGGACCCTTCCACCAAGCTGGTGAAGGATTTGATCGCCATGGAGGCTACTTACATCAACACTGGCCACCCTGACTTCCTGAATGGACACCGCGTATGTCTTGACTCCCTGGTATAGTGAACATAAACCAATGCTAACTGAACTGAACGCAGGCCATGGCTATTGTCAACGAGCGCCAGCAGGCCGCCAAGCCCACCCAGGTTGACCCCAAGACCGGCAAGCCCCTTCCCGCCCGTGCCCAGAGCCCGTCTCTCGACACCACCGGGGAGGCTCAGAATGGCAGCGGTTTCTTCGGCAGCTTCTGGGCTTCAAAGAACAAGAAGAAGATGGCCGCCATGGAGGCTCCGCCCCCAACCCTCAAGGCTTCTGCCAGTCTGTCTGAGCGTGAAACTTCTGAGGTCGAGGTTATCAGTAAGTACTTCCACTTGCAGCATCTTCTTGTGTGTTGCCCCGTATACTAATTTTCTTGCAGAGTTGTTGATCACCTCATACTTCAATATTGTCAAGCGTACGATGATTGACATGGTTCCCAAGGCTATCATGTACACCCTGGTGCAGTACGTATCTCCGTGAATTAACTTTGCTACCCTCACATACTAACTACCCAATCAGGTTCACCAAGGATGAGATGCAACGTGAGCTTTTGGAGAACATGTACCGCAACAACGAGTTGGACGACCTGCTTAAGGAGAGTGACTACACCATCCGCCGGAGAAAGGAATGCCAACAGATGGTCGAGAGTCTGGGCCGTGCCAGCGAGATCGTCAGCCAAGTCCAGTAGACAGCTGGTGCTAAAAGCATGACAGCTTCTCATCTTGGTTAGTTGAAGGAGGGAATGATCAAGTCGTCGAGGCCGACTGTATGATTGAAATGATTTCGCGCAGGCGGGAGTTGGAAACGCCCTCTACATCTCTCATCTTTCTTTGTGACTTTGCACCGGGCTCGAAATCTTGACTATACTCGTATTTTTCGCCGTTGCTCGTGCCCACCTTCTGTTCAATGAGCTGTTCCCCGCATATAGCGATGGGGTTCGGCTAGCTCTAGAGCTGTTGACTCTTCTTCTCGGTTTGGGAGCTGCGGCTGTGTCTTGAGGGGAAAAAAAGAGGAGTTGGTTTAGCCGGGAATCGTCTGGTACATCTCAACTTCGCCCCTTTTTTTTCCATCTTGTTTTTTTTTCCTTTTTGCCCCGAATTTGAAAGCCTTATACCGTTTTCCTTGTTTCTCTTTCTCTTTGTTGGTCCGTTGTCTGCTGTCCGCTTGTTTTGAGACTCATGAGCCTTCTTCCAGATGACGACTGTATCAACTAATGATTTTTTCTCTCTGTTCTATGACTTTGCTTTAGAATTTTGATCCATTCACTTTATGCTGTTGGCCTTTGTATAGAATGTGCTAAGATAGTTTATGTTCATTTGCCTAGGCTTGCTCGCATCACAGGCCAGATGACTGAATGTGACTGTACATCACGTGAGGGGATATAGCCCTACCAGTAGTGGATTGACTACGGGACTGTATTCATTTACGGAGTGTATACTTTGTATGGGAACAAGCTGAATAGCTCGTATAACTTATGGTCTCTCCAAGTAGCAGTGATAGTGGGGTTTGCAAGTACAGGGGGATCGATTGAAAGCCCGAAGTCTTCTTAAGAAAACCTTATTTTGTTCTTTTTACTAATTTGTCGTCTACACCATGGTCATGCTAGAGTTAAATTTACTCTATCTAGTACTAGCTTCGACGGAAAGTCCATCTTTTTCTTTAGTATCGGAATACCAAAGCACTGTTGACATTTCTTCTACAAAACATCCAGAATCTCGTGGCTCATTGTCTGGCCTAGCTATTGATACAGTCATACCAGCATGCTCTCACGTCTTGTCATTCATGAATCACTGGTTGGTAGCTGCTTGCTCATATTTTGCTCTTTCCTTTATTGTTTCATGATGGAATTTGTCGGGAACCTCATGCGAGTCTCGAGGTGAAGACGGCACCTTCCTTTTTTGATTTTCTATAAGCCTTGCTCTCGCCTTAGGCTTCTCCCCTCCAACCCTCCCCGAATCATCCGCCTTCCCCATACCCCTGACTGACATCGATCCAGACCCGAGCTTGTTTTGACTTGGCTCCCAAGCATCCATGGCGCGTGGCATCAACAACGAGGAGCTGCGAGCTCAGTTCCGTCTGGCGGTTTGCCGCCTGATGAACCAGCTGCGCACCTTCTCCAGCTACATCCTCAAGGTAGATGAGCTCCAGTCAGTTGGTGTCTATGTTTCTGAGTTTGACCCCTTTGACCTCAATGAGGCCATCATCTTCCAACCCTTTCCGGAACAAGAGCTCCTGGAATACAACGTCGATGAGGTGTTGTTGCAGGATGAGGAGGTTTTGCGGAGACTTGAACTTCTGGATTGGACTCCGCCTGAGACTGCAAATGGTGTGATTTCCCGACGCGAGGAAGAACTTGATGCCATGAAGTCCAGTGAGCGCATCTTTGAACACCTGGAGGCAATGTATTCCTGTTTGTCGAAGAGCTATGAGCCCAAGAACCCACTCTCAATGGCTCGCAACTGGACTGACATTCCGTGAGTGATATCTACAAGACTCTTGCCCCTCCCGACTTCCGTTTACTGACCACTATCATACTAGTATCCCGCATCCTAAATACAACTGGCCTCCCGAACTTGACATCAACAGCTGGCCCCGTGAGTCTGGCCTTTTGAACCACGGTCCAACCGCAGAACATGTCGGATGGCGCTGCGAGCAGGCAGCTGAATGGAAGGAAAACCTACGACGAGGAGAACCCAGAATCCAACCACATGTACGTCTCATCGTCGTCAATGGCGCAACCGGTACTCCAAATGGAGTCCTTCTTGGCGAGCTGGGCCCTATTGCACAGGTAATCTACAACCGTCTTAACCAGCCACGCTTTGAGCACGAGTCTTACTTTCCGGTGCGTTTTATACTTTGTTTTGATACAAGGATTTGAAGCTCATGGGAACAGGTACTGGTGATTTCGCTTTTCGGACCCCGCCATGGACGCATTCTGCAGGCCGTTTACAGACGTTCTGGGTACATGGAGCTTCGCACCACTCAGGTTTATGACTTTACTAAGACTAATGATGCTCCGTTTGACCTCTTCCTGCGCTATCTGGCAAGCAACCCCCGGCGTGATGAAGATTGAGTGGAGCAGCTCGTAATACTATTAACCTTGGTGGGCAAGACTACCTTGATATTGGGGTACACGAGGTGCTTGATGGATATGATGAGCTAGCATCGCGAATACATTTCTAGGTCTATCTCTAACAGGTCACAGTCTACTTGAATTTGAAAGCTCAACATCCATAGCAATTCAAATGATTTCATTACAGGAGAACCTATGTATCTCGTTGGTCCTGCATTTATGCAATATGGCCACTGAACTGCTGGAAAGATGTCGAGCAATCTCTTATAATCTCCACAATTTTCAATTCTTACCTATACTCTTTGAAAATAGACCAGGTAGTCTCGCAACGATATGGAGATTTGACCCTTTTCTAGAAAACGATCAAGCCAGATCAATGTCATTTGGAAAGTTGTTAGCTCTCTTATCATCAGCTGTAGCATCAACTTTTTGTTCCTACTTTTGCGGAGATGCTGGGGATACCATAGAGAATGACGCATGTAGATTCATCTCACTCCGGGCATGATAAAGCTATGAAACTCTCTTACTATGCTATATTTACCATTTTAGCAGCATCGATATCTAGAATACAAGGTTATCTCTGGAAAGACTGATTAATGGAGAACACTTATTATCCGATCAAACGTTGTTTTGGCAATACAGGTCCGCGTACAATAATCTAGACACACCTCATCAGAACCTCACACCTCATCAGAACCTCACACCTCATCAGAACCTTTTGTGTAATGCTTGCCCTTATCAATTGACGTTGTGTTTTATCGGCGATGTGCTACTGCTTTTGCGCTGACAGGTGCTTTTCTACTCTCTCCTCTCAAGCCATTTCCACTTGTTACTTGGTTCTATGGTTATGCGTCATCGCCGTGTTTCTTCAGACAGCTCTCTCATTGTGCACCACTTTAACGATATTAGCTCGTTTCGCTGCAGATGGGTCACTACCCATAGAAGGACCAACATGGTAACGAATGTTTATTCATAATGAGAAAATAGTCAGCTATGGTTCTCGCTCTGAGATCACCTGCACAAAGCTACGCTCGACAGTGACACCTTCATTCTGTTGACTCGATGAATTCGGCCCGGGGTTCAAAGCTTCCTGGCTGCTGTTGGCATCGCTTGATAGCTGGAACCCAGGGGAGGATGCGATTTCCACCAGAGTCTTGGTATTGGCGTCGGTGTCTGGGCGCCAAAGGTTGAGATCTTGAGATTTTTTCGCGCCATCATGCCTGAAGCTAGAGAGACGATACCGTCCTGAGGTTCTCTCCGGGGTATGTCCATTCCGGCCGTAGGACAAACTTCCATCAAGGAGCCAGCGGAAAAGAGGTCGAAGGGTAATGAGGCTGCCAGCGGTGATTCCAAGGCCGGTTTCGATGATAGTCCAGATGGCGATTTGATAAGTGGAGTCTAGAGATAAGTTAGTCTGGGTTTCGGGTTTCAGGTTTCTCTTGACATGCCATTGTGCAGTGGCAGAAACGTACAAAGAAAATTCGTGTCGGCATAGTGATGAAGGAATGGTATTCGGATGATGACAGCTACACTCGCACTAATTACAATTAGCTTATCAGTCTCAGATGGGGATACGATTTGCCAAGGCACGTACATAGCTCCCAGACTGAGAATACCGCCTACAGCTGTCTTTGTCTTGTGATTCATCTGTAGTTTCCAAACCAAAAAGCATGGTAAAATGCCAAGAGTGAGATCGCATACGACTGTGAAAGCACTGTAGACATATGCGACATCAAGCAATGTCTTCACTGGCAAACAGCTCCCAGTATGCTTTCCATCCGCCTGAGTCCAGAAAAAGGAGATTGGGTGACATTCAAATAGTAGAACGAGCCAAAACATAAGACCGATGACAATGGTCAGAGCGACTATACCCCAAAGAATCATGCGATGCACCTTCTTCACTGCCAATCGAAGCAGTGCAGCGGCGATTGAGACTTTAGCGAAGCCAGAGGCCCAGATGTAGAAGACTTGACTAAGCCACCACCACTTTGAAGATTCAAGATTTAGCGACTGCCAAACTTGAAGTACCATTCAGTCCAACTTCACGATAACTTACCATAAGTGCTGTCTCGAGGACTTTAGTGTTTGCGAGCTCTATGAATTTTAAGTTTGTATGACCAACTCCATACGCTGCTCCGATCATGCAGCATATTGCCAGTACAATAAATAGTGCCTGGAAGTGGATTAGATCGATTCAGTAGCATAAGATTTGAAGGAATCCTTTACCAGTGCAACGAGCATGAGGATATCATCCCAACCAAAGGCCCGGACAATGACTGAACGAACAAAGCATCTTAATGAAACTGTCACAATCGATATGATCATCAAAACGACCGATGTGACAAAGATAGCCAGGCCTCGACCCTCAAGGGGCATCGGGGTGCTCATTTTGAAGAATTCAAGTATTTCGAGGGGTGATGTGCTGTAGTCGTGGAATTGAGCGAGCCTGTTATCGCCCTGTCATCGTGATGGATTATTCTGTAGAAGATCGTGTGTCCATCTTAGGTTAAAGAAAAATAAAAAAGTATAAGAAAGTATATGAGAAGGGAAGAATTTGAAAGGGGTTCCCCGCTAAAGCTTTGCCGCTGCACGAGGGTGTCCGCGAAACCCGCTTAACTGCCGATACAGCGGGTCGCACTCCCCTTAACCAAGTATGGAATAGGTCGGCTTCACTAAGATTAAGATGCAGTTCTTCGGCAAGAATAGAATCTCCCGATTTGCTGATATTTACGCACTGACGATCGCTATTTCAAAAATTGCTACTAGCGCAGCCGGTGTTTTCGCATTACCGAACTCTGATCCAAACTACGAGGCGCCATTACACGCTGAAGATTTGCCGAGGAAGGGGTCGCCCCATACTCCGTACTGACACCTGAAAGTGGGCGCCTATCACCTACTGAAGCATTCAATTAGCAGGCGTCGAGTCGAGCTGCATATTTTCTTCCCCACAGCACGTCTGGTACACTAGTACGGTCATTTTAATAAAGTTTTTTAGCGTACACATAATTTTCTCGAAACATAGGCTGTATTTCAAGCCTGGCCTTGAAGAGTGGGAGTGAGGCCTAAATGTAAAGACATAATTTAATGCATAATTATATGAATGTGGACTAGCTACTGAGCTAGAATTTTTCTTGATCAGGCAATAGGCAATAGACAAAGTCCTAGTAATGAATAGCTCTATGGCGACCCATTGCCACTCATTGACATCCATACCCACCATATCTTTGTCGAAAAGTTGACCCGACTCTGTTCAGCCTTCTTTATTTGCGATAGCAGGAAATTTCCTATTCCGTTCTATTCTGTCAACATACGGATGTTTTGTGGTCATGTGATGAAAGACCCACTTATATACACTGCTTCTTAACGGGAATTGATAGGGACACCCCTAGAGCAACCTCCGAGCGGGAAAGCCGAGAAGTCGACAGTAGTCTTGTCAAAGCTCAACGATATACCCTGCTTGCCCCGTCGCTCCTCAGGGGTGCCACTCATCGAGGAATTTCTGGAATGCTACATCTAGTTATATGGGCTTGAGGTGGTGGCTTAATGTCAGTGGAGCTGCTCTCAAAGCTGAGGGACCTTGTTAAATCATCCAGCAAAAATGGCTGAGTAAACGACGGTTCCTGAACTTCGGCTTTATGCATTGGTGTAAAGTCACTGCCAGCGCAATCGCATTCCGAATTTCGCAATAAAATTCCTTTTATCTTGCGTTCAACTGCATATGGCGGAACGTAGATGTTGGACGGGGTGGCCTTGCAAGATAGAAGAGTGATAGGCGCTTCGATGGTCAGTAACCGGAGAGCATTCTGCTTTTTTGCTAATATATCATCCCTATCTTCCTTGGAAAGACACAACACGATCTGTACGAGGGTTAGCAATGTCATATAGATTGCTCGGTCTCCAGGGCAGAGGAAAGTTAAGTAGATTTCGCAGCCCCTTACCTGGATCCAGTGGTTAACATTCGGTTTACCTGCTTTGGTGCTTGTATGAAGTCGTTGCCACTGCGGTCTTTCTTTCAATTCAGGGCATCTGGGCAATTGCACCTCCAATTCAATTTCCCGTGTTTCCTGTGCTGCCCCGAGCAGACTCTGAGTTTGCGTATCCGTCGGTTGTCTTATATCCCGGTTTGAAGCGATCCGAATTTTGCTGCCAGGAAAAGTGCTTCTGTAGTCATTTCCAGCCTGCTTTTCGAATAGAAGCTCCTTTCTTTGGCCCAACTGTAATAAGCGAGTTTCCCGTCCAGTTTTCCAGTACTGCATGTGCTGAGACACATAGACCCTGAGCCAGCAACATCTAAGGTTGATGGAAGGAGTGAGCTTCAACCTTATTGGTATCTGGGAGCCAAGGCGGAAGCTTCTGCCGAGAATGCAAGCATCATAATGGAGCTGCTCACACCAGTCTTTAGAGACAAGTAATGGCTCGGTTAGTTCCAGCGAGTTCTGTGAAGGCAAACGAAGGACCGGAACATCCAGTTGTGATCGCATTTGTGAACGGAATATACCAGGGAGTTCTACTTTCGCTTCCAGGTAGTAACGAACAGATATGAGCTCAGTGCTGATAGTTTCAGGGAGAGAGTCGTGCAAGAGAAATTCGAAGGGGTAGGTATAATCGCTAACAGGAAATACCGTATAATCGCCTTTCGAACGACTCTTGTTGGTATGCCGGGGATTTCTGCTACCAGCACCCGGAAAATCAGACCGATCTAAGCCGTCCGAATCATACTCCGGAGGAGAAAGCTGCTGAGAGCACGACGCTGGGGCGCTGTCTTCGCTAATTCGTCCAGTTTCTGTAGCCTCTATAGATTCGCCGCACAGGTTGTAACAGCCGCCCGAAAATGTCGCATGCCCGGCCTCGAAGTAGGTAATAGCAGACGTGATCAGATCCTGTCTGTTCGAGCTCTCTATTCGAAACATATAATTATGAGTTAGCCCGATAAAAAGAAATGGCGGTGCCACCGTGGCGCTCCAAGGCAAATGGAAGACGTACCCCCCAACGGCTTAAATGTCCCAACACCATGAAAGCAGGCGAATATGCTCTTGATTTTAGTCGGTTTAGTGACTTTTAGATGGAGGTAACCCCGACAAATTGCCGGCTGGTTCTTGGTGTGGCGATCCGATTTGATGTCGCCTTGCAAATATATGACGGGCTCGACCAGCATAAAGCTGAGCTGTAGTCCTCCCCGAATACTCACAATATGGCTGCAGTATCGGCAGTTATTGATTGGATCGTCTAATGAGTCCATAGTGTGCAATTGGACAAGCCTGCGACCAATTCAGATACGGTTTCCTAATAAAAGTTGTGGGCACACACTGAGGTTTGATGTACGGTCGTCACTGAGGTTGGTTCTTATTCTAGAAGAACACGGACTGATAGGTTTTGAACCGGCAAAGTATCGTAGTTGAGGAAGGATTTAAATGAAATGTTGCAGTGAGTAGGCGAACTATCACAGTGGCTAACTATCTCCCACTTTATATTTTTACAGGGCTGAGAGTCATGTGCTCGACGTTGGTGATTTACTTCTCAAAGCTTTGTATTTTCGGCAGTCGGTCCGGGATAGAAGAATGCTCTTTAATCTCATGGATCGATGGGTCTCATTGGACAACCTCCAGGTGGCAACATGTCAACTCCGGGCAAACTATTTTCCGTGCGTATCTACCAGGGTTTTGAACCGCTACCAGAATTATCTCATGACCGAGTAACCGTACGACCGGGGTCGGCATGCTCCATGTTTAGGTATTTTGTGGTTCGTTCCACTTGCTCACAGTTACCTCCTGGTCGAATCGTTCCGAGAAGGGTAGATGAAGAAATTTCCATACCTAGCGTGACGACACAATACCATGGGTGGAGAGCTGTCATCTGGTATTCCCCGCTGGCCAGGCATTGCTATCCAAACTATTGGACGGTAAGCCATCAGTCAATCGGACGAATTAAACTCTCGGATATGTTTCGGATTACGAAAAGCAAGGGACCGGTCAACCTAGAAACTAGAAGACATACATTCGAGGAGAGGGGCCTACAGCTATCGATCTCACTTCATAGGAGGTCCTGCTTTGCGCTGGGCTCAGCAGTAGGGATATAGAAACAAACATGTCAGTCTCCGGCCTTTCCAGTGCCAGCCGCAGAGGCTAACTTATTGCGATGTAGGGAGTATCTATATCCACGCCAACTTCATCCAAGCGCTATGTAATTCAGTGCGCGGTTTTGTGAACGGATGTACGAGCGAAGTTTTACGCAGGCACATGATTTGTTATCCGTTTACGAGCTACGCCTAACAGACGACTGGACCCAAGGTAGACCTGGTTGCTGATACCCGATGGCTAGACACGGAAGGGATACAACGTGGTCGTCAGATACTTGATTTCCATGCGCTTTTCTGAACAGTGGCTAAGAGAGTGGAGTAACCGGGTCGTTCTCATAGCGCGCTATTTTAGCCTCGTTAACGATAACAGAGGGTCGTGGGGATATTATATTATGAAAAACCAGGAAGAGAGGGTTATCGGTCAATAGCCGCGTAGTTGACGGCCTGGCGAATCTATCGCCACGCGACCGAGCTAGTGTGGGCCAGATTTCGCGGACGGTGATCTGCAAGCATCCGCGGCCGCCAATCAGCTGCTCCATATATAAGTTCATGTCGTCATTGGTGTAGACCACAAGCAACACTTGGCGCCTAAAAAGTCACTTTCCTCGGCCGAGGAGGACTTCTTGAGGAAGAATTATAGAACTTTGACATGGCATAGTAAAGTATTGTAGCGGGAAACTTTTTATAAGCTCCCCCACACATAATTCTCACTCCGTCGTCGCGACATGTGAGCCTACCAACGATGTCATCATGATAATCAGCGGGAAACTGGAAGAGAGAAAATTTTTGCTCTATTGAGAACGAACAAAAGAATCGGCTTTTTCGTTTGAGACTTTACAAACACAATGTTATCTATTCTTCGAGTTCAGTTCTTCCTGGTGTGTTCACTGTGCAAACGAAGAAGGGTAAGCTTTTTACTCTCGAATGGCGCAACCATCCAGCGCCCTGAACTCACCATTCCTCTCGAGTGGGAATTCGATGAGAATTCTGGAGATCTTTGCATTTTGCACAGACGCCAAGCATAGTTGATCTCCTCAGCTATGGAGCTAATGTGAACATGTGTACCCATTTTCGAAAAAAAACCCCCGCTACATACAGCTATGCAAAAGGGTCAACGGGCGTTAGTAGACGTCTTGCTTCATTTGGCGGGAAGCGTTAAGACGATAAAATAGGAGTAGCTCGGTCAATTGCCAAGACATTATGGTGTATTTTCCTCGATGGCGAAAATCACGCAAATTTATTGGCAAAGGACACAAAGCTCCTCGAAGCTGTTCTTGTTTCATTCTTGCGATATCTGTATGACTGATCTGGTTCTGTATCTAAACAATTGATTGACTCACCCTATATACCCCCTGGAAATATTATGTTTCAATACAGAGTTTCTCTTATTATACTCTGTCCCTCTCTTTAAGACTGATGTAAGAGATAGTCATTAACTCGGCAGAACATAGGCCTGGACCATTAACTTGGACCATTAACTTGGACCATTGGTGTAGATCCTGGTTGAGAAAATAGATCATATTGTATATCAGAGACCCTCTCTTTCTCATCTGGTTCTGCGCCACAAAGACACCCTCCGAAATGGACGACCGAGAAGTAGATTATCCGCTGGACCATCAAATATGTAAGCGTTGCACATTTGCTGTTTCTTATGGTCTTATGGCTCACTCATACCTCAATAGAAGCCCTAGAGCAATGGGGTTTCATGCCAGAGTATCCTTTTCTCTGCCTCATAGTCCACGATGGGCCACTACCTGACCTTCAGGGCGGTATACCGCTCCTGGTTGAATTACTAGATTGAAGGCAGAACTGAATATCAGCTCACTGAATAGGCTGAAGTAGTTCAATATGCCACAACCCCTACAATATCACTATCATAGCTCCTAGAAAGTGAATTGAGGACTGCTATACTATTTTTATACTGCGCTTTAAATTAAATTAATTTATTATGCCGAAACCTTCCTAAATTTACCTTGAACGATGGACTCTTGCTAACAGAGCTTAATGAGGTATATCATACCGGCTGGATATTAACCCCTGGTCTACTGCGCTGCCCACGAATTTACCCGCCGGTGCCCCTTTCTACATACACAAGAGTACTTTCCTAGACAATAGGCCCTGACTGTGAAGGGTTACCATCGCTAACTTCTAATTACGGAGGTAGAAGTATCTTGAAGGCATGGCCCCGAGGAAGGACAACCGCAGGGGCTAGAAGACCCGGGAGCTTCTGCAGGTGCAAGGGATTTACCAAAGGCTGGTGAGTGCCTGCATGCCCAGGAGGATTATGTTGGGCTAGCTAAAGCAGCTGAGCTGTACATCTGTACGTCTGCGCTTTTGTATTGCAGCGTAGCGTCTGTAGGTGTTCTTGGACCACCCCTATCCTTTGCAGTCATCATCACACGCTTCGAAGATCTCGAGATGTAGCCGCTAACGGATATTTCGATTTAGCGGCCATTCGAATACTATTAACAGATAGTTTGCTACTAGTTATGATCATACTAATATTTTCATTTGTCTTTGTAAGGTGGCAGTGCCGTTACCAAGGGAAAAATGCTTAGTTGTTCTGCTGCGAGCTTATTTATGTTATTATGGCCACTGTTGTATTGTTGCTATCGCGGGTATTAGTCGCTGACGTGGAGTTTGTTGGGGATGTAGGAGTTGACTTTGCTTACTAGAAAGCAACGCCCATCCTTCTTAGGCTCGTTGCAGATCTCCGCAAATTGAAGCGACACATCGATTAGCAACAAAAACTAAAGCTTAACATAAATACGTCGGCATGAACTCATGACAGAACCTAACAATATGTAAAGTAGAAATCCTTTTTAATAAGCTATCTAGAGAAACGACCATTGGGCACGTCGTTAATTTTTTTTTTCTTTTTTTTGTTTAAGGCGTTTTGTTATCCTCTCTGGTTAGCGCAATTAGTGTGTGTCGGGGAACTCATGACACAAATACTGAGTGGGCACCAAGGACGACATTGCGTTTCGTATGTAGGAGGAATGAGACTAAAGAACTGACGGGTTTTCCATGAACGCTATCCACCTGTTTACTTCTCGCGCAGTTACTCGTCACACCATATAAGTGGAGGACTCTGAATCTCCAAATGTGGAGTAAGTTAGAACAAGTGCGCCGGAGATAACGCAAGACAGATTTCGTCCCGCGAATCACCCCACGATTCGTTGATCGCCATGACCGTGTGAATCTTTAAGTTCAAGTGATCATGGATAGCATCCCTTATTCCTAATATGGCTATAGCTAACATTCCTAAGCTAATAATGAAAATAGTTGAAATATATTAAGATTAGAATACGTGGTTCATAACAAAATCTAGGATTGCGATCTAAACGCTTCGCCGTTACGCTGAAGACACAACTATTACTCTATCGCTTATATATATCAATCTCGAGAGTTACGTAGTGTATACTTACACGTTGCGGGAAAGGCAAGTTTCCGCAAACTCCCTAATTTCCCTTGTAAGGTACCAACTTATTCCCGAAGAGCAAGGATTTCTTCACAGGCTTGTTCAAGAACACTAATTTTCGATGCCCGTTTTGCATTCTGAGTTGCCACGTCGACCTTGTTCCCAAGGATATAGGAGTCCTCCAAGACATTTTGGAGTTCTAGAAACCGGTCATTGAGGCTCGAACGATATCTTTTCTCAATTTCATTATGGCTTTTCCTTCTTTGGAGCGTATTCGAACTGCTTCTATTGTCTGAAGTACTTTGCAATGTCGAGGGAGCGAATAGTTATATGTTTAACGCCCTATTTTTGCTCTTCGTATCAGGGTGCTGTTGATATGTCTGATCCTCAGGATTCCCTAGGTCTGATGGACGTATATGCGATTCGTTGACACTCTGATGAAGATTTTTGTAGCTTAGAAAGGAATTCGGTTCTACTGGGCGAAGCTGGTCATCTGTCTTTCGTGTTACCGAATCAAGAATGGATTGGCTGTCAGATAACGGCTTCAGATAATCACCTGGTATTGAATGATTGACTGGGTCTGAAGACTGTGGGCAAAAGCTTTGGGGCGATGATGGACATGGTTTACTCCAAAACAAAGACTCGCTTGAGCGGTGTTGTACTTCACATGTAGATGCACTTTCGAGAGGTCTCAGGTATACCTGAATTATACATCTTATACTCAGAGATACATGAATATCCATAGGTTCAACAGAGATTCTGAATGATAACCACGCGGGTAGTGGTATATGGCGAGAGTAGTTAACTATTCAGGACTCAAAATGCGCGGGAAAAAACGTGTTATGGAGGGTTCAAGCTTAGTCGTTGCCTTTCCTGCCTATTCTTTTGAAAGGTGATTCTCGTCAGGTCCTTCTTCTTGCCCTTCTTGTTCTCATCCTTTTCCCTCACCCTTCTTCCTCGTTCTCCTCCCTCCTCAACCACCATCTTAACAACCTTTCCTCCCACTACTACTACACATCACCACCATCATGTGCTTCACCGAGCAATATGCTGTGATCCCAGAGGGTTGCTTGGCCTCAAACAAGCACACCCACTTGGTCAAGGAGACCACCCCCTGCGCCGCCGCCATTTTCCTCTCCATGATCCGCAACAAAGAGGCGGGGGGCGACTTAGCCCAACTGTACATCACCCTTTGCGACGAAAAAGAGTGGGTAAAGGTCGACGGTTTTCACCGTAAGCTGGAGACCCGAGCCCTGCAGACCGAGGCCCCGTACTGCCCGGTCTGTACGGGTGAAAAGACCCTCACTCAGGCCTTGACTGCAGCGGTAAGTTGAGAGGATTCTGGTGTATGAGAGAGATGATAAACATGCATTGAACAGCTCAGTTCTAACGATGTTATGCTTTACTTTGATGCAGGATGATGAGAGCACCGACTATGCCATCCTCCCAAATGGCACTATCCTCTACAACACCGACGACACCTCCCACCTCCGATCCTACCTCCAACACCGAATTTTCAGCACGGAAGACAAACTCGAGTTTGATTCTCTCCGTCTCAAGAAAAGACCGAATGACAAGTTGCGCTATATCCCATCGCGTGACTTTGTCCCTACCAAACTCTGGGGTGATCCGGAGAATACCCGAAAGCTCAAGATCTCTGTGGCCATCTTCTTGAAGGTCTGTCATGCGACGGAGAAGGAGCTTGAAGAGGCTGGGGATCTTGAGAGTTGGTTGGTGGCTAACTGGGGCAAAGAGTGATTTGTGGGCCGGGCTTTGTTGCTGTTTCTTTTTGCTTGTTTTGGGGGAGGTTATGGTTTTTCTTTTCCTTTTTGTGGATTCTGCTTTTTCTGTTTCTTTTTTTCTACGGTAGTTTTTGCTTTCGGATGTGGACTCAGTTGCCTGGACAGTTTGTTTTCTTGTTTTTCCGACATTCAGTGTGTTCCTTTAATATTTCTCGCATGCAAAAATGGGATGGGTGGTGGGCTTTTTCTTGCTTTCTGGTTTTTTCTACATCTTATTTCCTTCGTAGCCATCATGGCGTGCTTTTCTTTCTCCAATCTTTGTTGATTGCTCTGTAGACAGCCGTAAACGACTAAACCACAGTATATGAGCCAAGCTTATGAGCACCTAGAAATCTAAATCCACAATTCAAACCACTCGCATCACCGTAGTGACGAATGCCTGTATACATAATGCCAATCCTCCTTCCCAATATCCTGTCTAACCTTATAATTCCTCTCCGCAATATCCAGCAATCCAAGATCCATATCCACAACACACACACCCTCCTCAGTTCCCATCTTCGATACCGGCCCCACAATGGGAAGGGTAACCTGCGACATACCGAGGAAATGCTCCTTCGGACCAGCTGCGTTGACGAAGATAATGCCACAGGTGTTTTCGTAACAGCGAGATGTAATTGTGGAGGAGAGGAAGAGGGCTTCTGAGTTCGGGTTGTGCTGGAGGGATTCCGGGGAGGCATCGGTTGGTGTCCCTAAATAGTTAGTAAAAGATCATAGATGGGGAGGACTAGGGGATTGCCTACAGAAGGTAGGAATAATCACGATATCCGCTCCATCAGCGATTAACTCGCGGAACGCCTCTGGGAATGCTAGATCCCAGCAGATCAACATGCCAACTCGACCAATCGGCGTATCAACCGCCTCGTGGCGCTCTCCAGCAGAAGAAGTCAAATGCGGTCTCTCGGGATGCCAGATATTCTTCTTGCGATAGGAGCCCAGGATGCTCCCATCATTGGAGATGAAGTATGCCGTGTTGTAGAACAGACTGGCCTCGTTGGGACCAGCCTGTTTCTCAATGATTGTCCCCGGGACAATGCATATCTTCAGCTCTTTAGCTAGGGCTTGGTAGTTTGCGAGGTATTTGGCCGCCTCGCCGGCTTGCTCGCCCCAGAGGGGGTCATTGGGGACCCAGCCGCTTAAGTGGTATCTAGAGAGGGGAGTGTGAGCCCTAGGAATCGGCAGGGTTCTGGGTATACTTACTCTGGGAGAACGGCAAGTTCTGCACCATCAGCAGCAGCCTGGCGGATATAATTGCATGCTGTCGAATGGTTCTCCTCGATGGCCAATTCCTGTAAGACTCTAGATTAGCTGCCATTCGTAACTTGCGTCATTGATAAGGCCGGGTGGACAGGATCGTACCTTGATATGCCACTGAATGGTGGCAACGCGACGTATGGGTGCCATATTACACGAATAGAATAAAAAGTAAGAATTGAACGTCTGTACAAAGAACGGAAGATAAGAAGTAATAGATCATAGGTCGATTTATAAATTCAAGACGTCGAGCACTACCGGACTACCCCATTTACCCCAAAAAAGTTGGAGACGGTGGGCCACGGACGCATCCGCGAATCAAAATTGTCCAAAAGATTAACCCCGCGCCGAGCGTCTATTGCCATTTGCCATTACGCGCGATATGCTTCAAAAGGGGTATTAGTTATAGGTTATTCCTTGCGAAATTGACACTGTACATGATCGGGAAACAGGTACAAAAAGTAAGACAGCAGCATTGGAACATTAAGGTTGAGACATATATCATGCAGAAATGGTGCAGGAAGGGGAAACACGCATCAAACGAAATCCTCTAAACGCCGGACGAGATAAAGACCAAGAAATCTCTCTTCTATGCAGAGAGCCGTTTATTCAAGACCTACTGCATCCGCGTTGAAAGTCGGCTTCTTGCTGACGCGGTAGACCAACCGGTCTGTCCAGAAGTGCGCAAATACGGCGTGCAGCGTTGGCACGGCGCCGAAGACGGTACCCGCGACGGGGAAACATACTCGGTCCAGCAGGTACTTTGGTCGGTACCAGATGCGCTGGGAGCAGCCAGTGTCGGGGAGATTAGCCTCGCGCATGTCTTGCATCCGAGTGTTGAGGCAGAGTGTGTGCCAGCGTTCGTACAGACTCAGACAGATATTCATTCCAATGAAAGAGAGCGCGCGAAGCAGGTCCGTGAAGGAGAAGGCCCAGGCCAGCGAGGGGTGCAGTTGCGAAGCGGGCACCCAATTGGAGTATATAACGGAAAATAGCATGATGATCGTGAGATGGCAGGGCATAAAGTGGGCTTCCCAGAGGAGCTCGAGGAGGGCAAAGTGGCGTGGGCGCAGGAAGAGACACCGCTGGTTGAAGCGGAGGTAGCTCATTGTGCGACGCGCTGCGAATCCCGAATCCAGAGCTCCCCACATGTGTCGCAAAGCCTGGCGGTACCGGGCGAAGAGGGTATCAATTGTACGGCGCCAGCCACGACCTCCGTCGGCAGAGACATTGCATTGACTGGCTGGAACGTGGATCACGCGCGAGATGACATTGCCGGCCGTCTCAAAGTAGCATTTAAGCAGCATGTGCATGTCCTCGCCGATAGCAGTAGGATCAGCGTCCCATCCACCGACCTTCTCGGCCATGGAGAGTGGGAGGGAATAGACGGAGGTAGGGATGGAGATCCAGGTACCGGGGTACATGGTAGACAAACCAGCAAAGCCCCAAAGCAGATCGGCACATCGGACGAGAGCAGGGCTCTCGTGGGAGTTGCGGTCAAAAATGATAGGGCAGCAATAAAGAGACCGGTCAGCCTCGGTGATGTGCGAGTAGTGTAGACGGCGGATTTCGCTAAAGTAGTCGCGCGAGAGATGAGTGTCCGCTGGAAATAGTTGGGTTAGAACTGTGTCCGCTTATGGAGGCTATGCAAACTTACCATCCATAACTGTGACCACGACATTGCAACAATCCATCTTCAGCTCCGGGCGATGGATCTCGATAATCGAGCGCGCGGCGCAGGCTACATTAGAGCTCTTGCCAGCAATTTCACCCGGGATGCCAGTGGGATGGAAGGTAGATCGAATGTGCAGGAAAGATTTTTCGAACATGGAAACCAAGTGGGATGCTTTGTCGGTGGCTGAAGCCTCCTTCTGTTCCATGGCCAGATAAATCTACTCCAAGTTAGGGGCTAAGTTCACAGATTGTTCTTGCCTTCACAAATCACCCCCTCTTAGAAAACTTACCTCATAATGTCTTTGAGCTCGCGGGTGGCTAGCCAATACCTTGAGGGTGGTCTCCAAAGTGTGCAGGTCCTCGCAATAGTTGGGAATGATAATTGCATGGATCAGCTCCTCCTCTTGGAGCTCGTTGACGGTAATATTGGCATCGTCAAACTTCTTGGAAATCGACGAGTCGGAAGCCAGCGAGATCGGGGACAGTGGCTGTTCAATCAGCTCCTCGCCAGTCATCTGAGGTGACTGGACAGGACTGCGCCATATGCGCCGGTTAAAGGCCTGCTTTGCGCTAGTAGTCGCGCTGAAGATGGACCATCCTAGGCGCAGCGTGAAACCGAGCATATGGCAGTGGATAAGCACCGCATAGATGATGAAGATGGCCTGAGCCAGGTTGAGCCCGCTCCAGAATCCATCTTGCGGCGAGGGCTTGCTGGGGTGAACTGGGTTCGAAGGGAAGAAGCTCTTCCACAGGGCGGATTTGCAAATGTCGGAGAAGGCACACAGCAACAAAATTGCCAGGCCGATGATGCTAAACCCCGGCAGGCAGCGTGTCAGCCATGCCAACATTGTGACCTGAGGAAGAGAATTTAGAGGCAAGGAAATAGTTAAACGGCCACCATAAAGGATCACAAACAGTACGCCAGAAGGAAGAGGAGGGGAACAGAAGAAAAGGAGAGCTTCGATAACAGACAAATTGTCGGAAGCCAAAAAAGAATAAAAAAGGTTATCGCGAGGGACCCCTGAGAAAAGATGGGTCACCAGGTAGCTTACCAAGTAAACGCCTCTTCTGCTGGCTGGCTTGCGCCTCACGTCCACCTGGTCTCATCTTCGGCACCGCGATAATGGAGGATTGGAATATGGGATGATCGACTTGCGATCAGCATGTAGATGGGGGCTCTAGGAGCTCCATGTGAAAATTGTCGACGAATAAGAGTGGCGGACGAGGGAGTATGGGAGCGGGTGCACCAGGGACTCGCTGTTGACCCGAAGAGGTAACTATCAGCATTGTAGAAATAGGAAATTTGGTAAAATTCTTGCAGAATCAGACCGTATCGGTGTATCCAAACTGTATAGATAGAAGTACTTCGGTACTTATAAGTGGATAGTGGGAATTACTGGACCCTGAGGAGTCCCTGGAGGAGTCTCCCAACACCCAGCCGTGTTTTCAGCTCCGATATACGGTACTTTTCCCACCTTAATCAACTATAAAAAAGCCCAAACCACCGCATCAAACGGCCAAGACCCTTTTCCCAAGTGGGTCTGATCCCCCAAAGCTGCAAAGCTTGGCTCAACGTGGCCATTTGATTGGTGGATGGCCTGGTGAGGTAAGTAGTGCCGTGCACGTTCCTCGGTGGGCATTAATTAGCGAGAACCAATCAGAAAGACTCGAACTGAAGCGTGCTACAGTATGCGAAGACTATGAAAAGTCACGAAAGTTAGAATATTATCATTTCCACTTTCGATTGCCTGCTGCCTGCTGCCCGTCCCTTTCTCATTCGATCTCTTCTCGTCTCCCGAGGCGGGCCAAATCTTTCAGCCGATAGTCTCGCCGTACGCTGGCCCAATCCCATTCATCCCCAACCAGCCCATAACTCTCCCACTCCCCCGTGGCCTTGCGTGCATTCAGGGCCCAATACCCCCAGCTGGCATCCATCGCCTCCAGATATCGCATCAGATGACGCCAGTAATTCTGGTCTCCTTCGCTGGGCGTGTCGGGTGTACCAAACTCCCCCACCCATACGGGGGCAATCTCCTCCGTCAACAAATACCCCCAGTTCTTCCACATCGTCGTTGCAAAGTCCTCATACGTTCGTGATGAGAATGGCCGCAGACTGCCCCAGCCAGACCATTTGTATACATGTGCCGAGTATACCACCCGTCCCGGAATGCTAAGCTGCACAGGACGAGTTCTCGCCCCGGACAGATCGTTCGCCGAGGAGATTCCCTCCACGAACATGAGCCAGTCCGGGTTCATCGCTAACAATCGTTCAGAGGCCTTTTCAGCTGCATCCGCCCATTCATCCCAGTGCATCGTACCCCAGAGACCACGAACTTCGTTGCGCAGATCCGCCCCGAGAACCAGAGGGTTCGACACCAGCGGCGCCATCACCGTCTCCCAGTTGCGGATCCAGCGCTCTTCGGTCTGCGATACCGTACATAGAATGTCTGCACCAAACCAGTCATTCTTCCAGCTCAGATCGCATGGATTCACCCCACAACACCATGTCGCTTGCGTGATATGATTGTTGACAATGACCAATAAACCCGCCGCAGTGAGACTCTCAACCACGGCATGGAATAAATCGAGTGCGCGCAGCGGTTCATCTTTCTCACGCTTAATGCTGAACAGATCTAGGTTCGCAGCGATGACACTCGGCCCGATGACCGGGTTATTCATAACGATCTCATCCGCGTACGGAAGCCGCACACTGTTAAACCCGAGATCCCGAATCAACGCCGCGATCGTATCCCGATGCTGCACCTCCAATCCACCGGGGACATAATCTGTATCGCTGGCTCCGTACCAGTTGATGCTGGCGAGTTTGAGCGGGATGTCTTTCGCATCGAGGATATGTCGGCCCTTCGTGTGGAAGGGTGGAGTGAAGTTGAGCGTTGCGGGAGTTGAATGGATCACCGTTGCTGTCGTGAGAGGCGGCATGGTATCCATCTTGTCTCCGTCCCATTTCCACAGCTTCGTTTGGAGGAGCATCACTGTCGTGGCGACCAGCACCAAGGATGCCCGACGGTTCCGTCGGATCCAGTGGATGAGTGCGTGCATTATGGGATCGTGGTACTCATTAGGGTACCGTGACAACAGTGGTAAACAGTCTTGGAAAGTCTGTAGATGATAGAGATTATCTTAGATGGGATTGAACGAGATATTAAGAGGAATGGCGATGGATTTGTAGGGATCTCTTGATCTGCGAGGCGACATCCGGCTGGCCCGCGCTGACTTTCTGGCCATGTGCGATTCCCCTTCGGGCATTCGGCCAATGATGCAGCCGAAGGGCTCGGCGGAGTCGATTCCTCCCGATTTTCTTGTGATGGCGACGTGTCTTGTTGATAGAGAGAGACTTGGCTAATTTAGCTTGTAAATTGAGATGCCTAGTAACTAGTTTGCGGATACTGGAGATCTTGATGCCTTTGGGACTATGGATTAAGGTTTTGCGTGATGGGTGTGGCATCGGGTTGTTCCATTAATGTTGGATTGGTATTGTTTCACCCTGTCAGTGTTACATGAAGAGTGTGTATTTAAGCTAGACAATAACTACTAGTTCCTTTATGTCTGCCTGGATACCTTGGCAGTCGAAATTTATGATGCAAAGGACAGATCAGGATAAACATTCAGGGCGTTACCACATGGTCAATCTAGTTATACGGGTCTGAGTCCATAGGTAGCCCCTAACAGTACTTGATCAGTCACATCTACTACCTTCAACCTTGGCCGCAAGGGTTGTTTTGAAATTTGTCCTTTGTTTGCTTGCCGTCCGCTCTCATATGATCCCAGCCTAGGAAGGGCAACGAAGAACCAAAGTAAAATGGTTCCAGCTAAAGCTTGTTCGTAATAAAATCATCTATACAAAGCGTCAGACCTCCCCTTGATGGGTGTCTCCCTAATAAAGTGGCAAAGGTCAGTTCGATTGTGCCGAGCTTAGGTGGTGAGAGACTCGTGTTTCCACACAGCATCTAGCATACTAGAATCCAAAACAGTGTGCATATTTAGGAGCTTGAAGAGGCAGTGCGAGTTCCCAAGAACTACCGCAGCAATTATACTTTCTCGGTTTAAAGTTAGAACATTACACCTACTTAGACTTATACTCGTTCACAAATCAGAGTTGATAGAGATGGACATGGGCAACCATACTCACTGACCATTAAAGGGCTATGAATCTGATCTTAAATATCTATTACGAGCTGGATGGTCTATGATCAGTCATTAAAGTTCAGTTCCTACCTTAATTCATGGCCTTTCAAATTGGGCGTCGGAGCATTGTCTAGCCCTAAATGGATTCGGCATGCCGATTCATGATATCAGTATCGCGTCTATCATTGAAAAAGTTTTCTCGCACCACCTTTTTACATATTTAGAATCTTGTTTCCAAATTCCAGGTTTCCTCTCATTCAATTTCCCAAATCTTAACCATCTAGGGTCACTAAACAACCCTACGTTCTAAGCTACACTATAATACTTCAAACTTGTTCATGCGTGATACTCCAGGAATCACGATGAATTCACGATCAGCACGCAGCTGGTCTCTTCGCAAGAAAGCCATTGCATCCCCGGAGCTAGTCATTGGCACATCAATTCTAGCAGTCCTTTTCAATTTCATCCCAGGCGCAAAAGCACAATCATACCCAGACTACTCCCCCTTGAGATATCAGTTACAGCATACCTACGAGGGCGCCTCATTCTTCGACCACTTTAACTACTATTCCGACAGTGATCCAACAGATGGCTTCGTAACGTACAATCCCCCCTGCGCCACCCAATTAACACCAACTAACCACAAACCAGCTACGTGACCAAAGACACCTCCCAAGCCCTAAACCTCACCTATGCCACCGACACAACAGCCACCCTCCGCGTAGACACATCAACCCCCAACCCATCCGGCGGCCGTAACTCCGTCCGCGTCGAATCAAAGAATACATACGACTCGGGCCTTTTCGTCTTCGACATCATCCACACCCCCTACGGCTGTGGGACATGGCCAGCACTGTGGTTAACGGATGGTGCTAATTGGCCTCGGAATGGTGAAATCGATATCCTCGAGTCTCATAATCATGGCTCGCATGGGAATGAAATGTCCCTGCACACTATGGCGGGATGTAGTATGGATGTGGAGCGTAGACAGGCTGGGACGGCGATGGATGGGAATTGTGATATTGGGGCGGATGGGAATGCGGGTTGTGCTGTTATGGGTGATCCGTCGACTTATGGGGTTGGATTTAATACGGGCGGTGGTGGGGTGAGTTTCTTTCCCCGATGATTATCATTTGAAAATGTACTAGTGAAGGTTCAGTGCTTATTGATATGCAGGTTTATGCGTTGGAACTTCGCACTGCTGGAATTCGGATATGGAATTTCGCTCGTTCCAAGATTCCCTCTGATATTCATGGAGGATCTCCAGATCCCTCGAGCTGGGGATTGCCGTTGGCCGATTTCCCTAGTACGAACTGTGATGTTGCGTCGCACTTCCGTAATATGAATATCGTGGCTAATATTGATCTCTGCGGGCAATTTGCGGGGATGTCGTCGCATTATACTCAAATGTATGGATGTCCGGGCTCGTGCGCTGATTTTGTGGCAAGTAACCCATCTCAATTTGAGGATGCTTATTGGCAGTTTGGGGGGATTAGGGTTTACAATGCTTCTCAATAGATGGACTTGGGTGTCTATTTTTTATGCTTGATGATGGGACGCTTAGTTGCTTGTTGCTGTACCTCTGTGGGCTTACAGATTTTGCTATATTACCCGGTCTTCTTTTCGATCTCATTGTTAGAAGAGAGCTAATACGCTTATGAATTGAATGAATTTTCAGTAGTCAATGGGTATCTAAACATGTAACCATACATTCGAAGAACGAAAGACAGCCTCGGAAATTCTCGTCCCAGAGGAGCTGACGGTGAACTCATTGTAAATTAAATTGCCTCCCACAAGGTTCCTACCACCGAGAGAGCCTCCAAAAGAAATCATGTCGTCATCAGGGATCATTTACTCACAGCTTCCGCAGCAGACTGCCTTCCGCAAAGGGGTTCTCGCCCGACATATCGATCAGCGGACGGGTTGCATTGCGGTCACCCGTCGCAACGCCATGTCCCCCAGGTGCTCTGCTCTGCACCTGGTGACTGGCCATGTTGCGGCTCGATGCCGCAAGCAAGCTGTTCGCCACGAATGGGCCGACTGGCGAAGTCGGGCTGGCTCCCACTGAGCTGGCGCCTGGGTACTGAACCTGTGCCGAGACCTGTCGCCCGCTCCGCATGGTATTCGACCGGTACCGACTCTGCGAAGTGACTTCGGCAGCAGGTCGTCGCCAGGCCGTAGCCGGAGGGACGTTCACCGTACCAGGCGTCAGCTCGGGACCGGTGGCAGCATCGATCAGCTGCCGGCCAGGTTCAACGGTCACACCACGCCCTTTGCGAGTGTGCTGCGGTGGCTCCACAAAGACCGGTGTCAAGTCCACCAACGGCTTCTGACCCTGGTTGAGGGACATTGTACGCCCCAAGTGGGCAGCCGCATCTGCTTGGGTGAGCGTATTAGTGCGGCTACTCGGCTGTGCAATTGGAGAGTACACGGGGCTGCCTGAAACCAGACCCTGAGCAGCAAAAGGGTCTTGCTTCGCTCGCTTCTCTCTCTCTTCTCGCTCATGCATCGCCTGTTGTCGCTGGGTGTACGTCCTACCCAATAGGCCAGATGACGTGAAGACAGAGTCCAACGTCTCTTCGGTGGGAGACCTGTCATGACGATGATGACTCGTGTTGGTGTCGATGGCAAGGGTCTTTGGGAACGAGCTTGGGGGAGGTCTATGCTCGCGGGTGGTCTTTCTGCGAGGAACGGACGCTTCCTTTCGGGCACGCTCAACAGACCGGCGCGTGGGCTCTGGCTCACTGTTTTGACGATCCAACCGAGGTATATCGGAAGATACGCCTTGCGGTTGTGGAATTGTCCTCGTCACCGATTGTACCAGAGAAGCCTTCCGATCCGTCTCATCCGCCGCTTTCACTGGATTCGCAACACCCACCTTATTCACCAGATACCAGCTTCGCCAGCTCTGAACAGCTTTGTGCCACTTGTCCGCAACGGCACGGTCATTAGTGCTGAAGAAGTGCACAAAGTTGTCAGTCGAAAGGAACATGGACGATTTCTCCTGACTCTTGATTGCAACGCAGATTTTCTTAGGGGGTTTGATCTCCTTTGCAGGTGATTGAGCGCTAGGGGTGTAGATGTCAAAGTCCGAAAGGTGGCAGATGTTAGTGGCATCTTTCAAGTTCTCTTTCTTGGAAATTGTCACTTGTCCATCGGTGCGGAGAGTGACGTATCTTTTATCCCACTTGCGAGGTCGGTGAGAGTAGTAGCAGTAGACCGTGGTCTCCGTAGGCTTCTCAGTAGGAACGCTTTGCGCCTCGAGCTGGGCGATAGCCTCCATGCTTGAAGGCGGTACGATAATGAGGCTCCCGTCAGTATCTAGGGCCCAGGAGTTCATGACATCTCGGATACGCTCATACTGGCGCAAGGGTCGTTCCAGACCGATCTGTTGGAAAGACTCGATCAAGATGAAGGTGTCGGGATTAATGTCACGAGAAATTTGTCGAGTAGCAGCCTGTAGCAGATCTTGCACCTGGGTGAAAGGAGTCACGGGCAACTGTGCACTGGCATCGCCAAACTTGACAAGCACTAAACGCTCACCCGCATTCACAGCGGAGACTGGCGCATCAGTGCCAGGGACAATACCGCCACCTCCAACTCCGATGTAATTGGGCTTTGACGAGGCGGAGCTAGCAGACTCTTTGGTATGGTCTTGGGACAGTTTCGACTTGGACAGCCCGACCTTTTGTAGCAGGGACTTGCGGTTGCTATCACTGGAGGAGGGTGGGGCATCCGCTTTGTGTCGGCTTGACTGAACAGGTCGCGATGATGTCGTCGCGGGTGGATCTTTGTGAAGCGCCTTCCCCGATTGAACTTCTCTCGCTGCCTTTGCAGACTGTGATGGGAGTGCCTGAGTAGGAACAGGTGCTCCTGTCAACTGCGCCATCGCATTTTGCCTGTGTTGTTCTCTTGCCCGTTCTTCCTCCGCCCCCAGCGCCGGCTTGGCACTGCTTGGCAGAGCAGGCGCACACTGAGCCTTTACGCGACTAGGCAGCGCAGGCGTGGGAGGCGTCGCTGAAGCTGCAGAAGGTCGGTTGCGCCGGTATCGAGACATACTCCTGGCGATCGAGGGATTCGGCTGATTTGTTGCATTTACCCCTGCAATGGCTGGGTGTGCATTCGTTTCGGTTTTGTCTCTGTTGTCGCGCTGTCTGTCCACCAGGGTTCGATCTTGGGACGAATGATACGGAGGGCTTTTCGAGGACACCTGCTGCCCAGGCGCATCTTCCGTGTATTTTGACATGGTTGCAGAGAAGAGGAAGGGGAAGAAATCGTGTGTCGCATACACTCTAGGACTTGATTCCCAAGTTCAGGGTTCGAGTCCAAATCCTTATCGCTTTGCGCTTCGTGATCACAAGTCGCATTCTGGGGTAAGCTGAGGACCACAGGTGTCAGTGCGCACTTCCACACAAGATGCGACAGTCAACACCCACTTGCGCGCAGGTCAGAAATGAAGGTTAAAGGAATGGGCGACAGGGCGGAGATGTTTGTGCGAAAGGGCAGAGAGCGAGAGAAAAAAGAGGAAGAAAAAAGCAAAGGGAGACAGTGGCTAGGTGCAAGGGCGGGTATGAGGCTAGAGTCGAATGCGACAGCTTCGATCACAGACCTCTGGCCAACAAACAGCCGGGGATCCCAATGAATCTATGGTTTCCCGTTGGAGGAAAAATGCGCGTGACGATCAAAAAGCAGACTGGGATTGGGCTGGAGTGGTGAATGGACGCGTGGGCGCGTCTGTGGCGCGAGATGCACCCAATTGCACTTACCAAAGTACAAGTTGGAGTGGCGTGAATGTGGAAATTGAGAGTGCGCAAGCCGAACGTGGGTGTTGGCACCAAATTAAAGAAACAAAGGAAATGAGCTCGTCTTTGTGGCTGGCCAAGGAAGAGGTTTCCGGGTTGACATTCCCCAAAAAAGAAACACGGCTGATCGGCGGAGACTATTGGCAATATTCACTTTTTGCCCGACTCTTCTGAAACTCTACTCCGACGACTACAATCTTGGTCCCCGTCGCACAAAGTCTTGGCTTTTGACGACACTGGGAGACAAAAGGGATCTGGATTCTGGACCCCCAAAAGGGCTCCACTACTGACTGATCCGCAGTGGATGGGAGCCCGAGGTCCACTCTCTAGGGTGGGCTCAGGAATCAGGGATACGCCTCTCCTCATCACTGGCCCGTCACGAAGGCCCTGGATGCTCTGTCCAGCTGGTGGGCCCAAATTGAGTCGATCTCTGAGCTCTCATTGTGTTTGCGAGAATCATCCGATAGTAGTTTCGTGCAGCCTCCTAAGGACGACTCCCTCGTCGCTTGGCCTTCTCCACAGTCGCCGATGCCCTTGATCCACCTTTCAAAAGAATTGATACAGCAGATTGTCATAAAACATATCCTACAAGATGCCAGTTTTCAGAACAACAAGATGCACGAGTCAACCGCCTTTCTCAACGATTTACTGTACTACATCTGTAGCTCTTGTATGTTAGTTTGTCACACCTCAGGATGTTTACCGAAGAGGACAGGGGTCCGTAGTAGACAGCGTTACGAATCTATAATATCGCTAGGAAGATCGAAGTCAAGGAACTCGATTTCCCTCCAAGAGATTGAATCATTGAAGGCTTCCTGCACACGATACGAGTTCCACAATAGCAATGTTCTGCGTGATGGTATCCTGATGCTGCAGATACGAGTAGTGAACCAATTACTGCAAGACATTGGACCTTCATACCCACTCTAGATGGGCAGTTCGATTTCTTTTTCGTTTAGAAACTTGTATATCGCCATTTATCCCTTCACCGGATCAAACGTTTTCTTCAGTGTCTGACCGCACCCAACTCCCTCCGCCTGAAACAAGCAAATATTAGCACGGGGCCCAAAGATCCAAACTTATCCCAATGGATGGATTCACTCACCACCAGGAAATAAAGTCCATCGTTCGCACGTCGATGCCCAAATCCACCAGCGCCTTGGTGGACAGATGCGTGTCGTAGGGTCGCTGCACACCTCCAGGCTCATTCCCCTGCTTATTGCGGATCATTCCAGGCAGAGACCAGCCCTGCACCTCAGCCAGCTTCTCGCAGATTTCATACTTGGTCATGCGGTCCTCGGAGCTGAACTGTAGGATGTGTGGCATTTCCTTGATTTGGTCCTTCTGCTTCAGGTACTTGATGACGATATCGCGGACGACGCGGGCCACGTCTTCAGTGTTGGTGGGATAACGCTGGGCCCAATCATCCATCTTCACACCAGCATTCTCATCCTGTGCCTTCTTGATGGCGTCGAAGAGGACATTGACCGCGCTCTCCGAGTTTGATTTCGCGGTACCGTACAACACTGGCACGCGCAGCACAACGCCGAGTCCGGACTCCTTGGTAGCTTCGAGGACGGCCACCTCGCCATCACGCTTCAATTGGCCGTAGATATTTGGGGGCTCGGTGGTAGCATCCGCTTCGTAGGGAGCTTCACCCTCCTTGCCGGGGAAAACGTAGTCGGTCGAGATGTAGACGAGGAATGCCCCGCGAGCCTGGCATTCTTCAGCCAGGGCACGGGTGGCGTCGACATTGACCTTGCGCGCTTGGTCGGGATTCTTCTCACACAGGTCTGGGGATCGGTTTGCCGCGCCTGAGGGTTTCTCGTGTTAGTCTGAGCCTGGGAAGCAATTGTGCGGTTTCGAGGACCCGGTAGGTAGGTGACTTACTGTGGATGACAATCTGAGGCCTATCGTGAGCAATTCGTAATTAGCAATTCGACTGGTTACTAATAGCCCGATCATATCTGACTACTTACTTGACATCGTTCAGAAGAGCCTTGATATCCTCTGCCTTCTCCAGGTCCGCCTTAAGAATGGTTGGAGGGGCAGCACGCGTGAATCCCTGCCCAACCACCAAGACTCCCGAGTGCTGGAAAGTGGTAAACAGCTGGCGACCGAGAAGGCCAGTGGCTCCCGTAACGAGAACCGTGGAAGTCATTTTTCAGGGGTTTGAGGGAAAAGGTGAAAGCTCTCTGGTGAGATTTTTGAAGCTCCCCGCTTGCAGGGAGAGGGCCAGTGGGGCACCGACATGACGTAGCTGACTCTCGCGTGGTCAGGTTTGACGGTTCAACCACCGGGTTTTTTGTTTACTGACATTACGAATATATTTTTGAGAATTTATGATAGAAAGATGCAGGAAATATTTCCAATTCTTGCATGATACTCTCCACAATGTTTGAAGGGGATGTGGCGTTGCCGTCGATATATTTCGAGACGGACAAGCAATGAATTAGCCTAATTTAAGGTTGGAAGCTCCCCTATCAAGAGACGATCCGCCCCGAGTATTTTCGAAGGTGTAAGTACTAGAAAGGATAGGCTAAATCATCAATTAACAGTGCTCTTTATTGATAGCCCCCGTACTATGCGTACAATTCAGATTTACGCAGATGTCTGGCGGCCTGGACGATCGCCTGATGAATGCGGCGAAACGCTTGACCGAGAACCTATTAGAGCACCTATATCCTGTATTTTACTATTCAGAGGATTCCAAGAGTGTTTAAAGATTGAAATTGTATCCTAGTTGGTTAGATACTAAAGACTTGCAAGTGTTGGTAAATTTTGCAGCTAAAAAGCTATCGCCGAGAATCACCGAGAGCGTACATCGGAGAATAATCCGAGTGCACGCAATGGTGCAATGGTCCTGCATCGGGGGGAGATCGGAGCGGGATCTCCACTCTTCAATTGACCGGTGTAATCCACCCCAAAATTTGTCTTTTGTGCTCATTCTTGCTCCCTTCTCACCTCATTCCTCTCCATTCTCCCTCTCCACGCCATGTCTGGTGCTCGGAACCTCTCAAACGCCCTGCGGCGGGCACGAGTGCCTCGTCCTCGCATCGTCGTCCGACCTACCCTGCTTCAATCACCAGCTACGACTGCTATCCGCACCTTCAGCGTGAGCTCCACTACTCGCGCCGACAAGCAGATCAAGTACACTAGCGACGCATACCCCAATGTCAAGCGCGACCCCAACTTTGGCGAGCTTACTGCCAACGATGTGGCCTTCTTCAAGGAGCTTCTGGGCTCCCAGTCCGCCGTTGTGGACGGCGTGACCGCCGATGCGACGGACGACATTGAGCCCTTCAACAGCGACTGGATGCGCAAGTACCGCGGTCACACACGTTTGGTCCTGAAGCCCCAGACCACGGAGGAGGTTAGCAAGGTGCTAAAATACTGTAATGAGCGGAAGTTGGCGGTGGTGCCCCAGGGTGGAAACACTGGCTTGGTTGGCGGTTCGGTCCCTGTCTTTGACGAGATCGTGATCAACACCTCGCGGATGAACCAAATTCGTTCGTTCGATGAAGCTTCCGGTGTGCTGGTTGCCGATGCTGGTGTTATTCTCGAGGTGGCAGACCAGTACCTTGCTGAGCGTGGCCATCTGTTCCCTCTGGACTTGGGCGCCAAGGGATCTTGCCACATTGGAGGAAACGTTGCGACCAACGCCGGCGGTCTGAGACTGTTGCGCTATGGCTCTCTTCATGGAACCGTGCTGGGTCTTGAGGCAGTCCTGCCGGACGGGACTATCGTTGACTCACTTTCTACTCTGCGCAAGAACAACACTGGATACGATCTCAAGCAGCTTTTTATCGGTGCGGAAGGAACCATTGGTCTGATCACAAAGGTTGCTATTATTTGCCCCCCGCGTCCCAAGGCTGTCAACGTCGCCTACTTTGGATTGGAGAGCTTTGAGCAGGTGCAGCGTGCCTACCGGGAGGCCAAGGGCCAACTTTCGGAGATTCTCTCCGCATTCGAATTGATGGACGGCCGCAGCCAGCGCTTGGTGCACGATTCCACCGGCAACAAGTACCCCCTGGAGGGTGAGTACCCTTTCTACTGTCTGGTTGAGACCAGCGGTTCCAATGCCGACCACGACATGGAGAAGCTCGAGTCGTTCCTCGAGCACGTTCTGAGCGAGGGCATCGTCGCAGACGGTGTCTTGGCTCAGGATGAGACGCAGTTCCAGGCCATCTGGCGCTGGCGTGAGGGTATCACCGAGGCGTTGAGCCACCTGGGTGGTACCTACAAGTACGATGTGTCGATCCCGCTGCCTGAGCTGTACCAGCTTGTGGAGGACTGCAAGCAGCGGTTGACCGAGAAGGGCTTCGTTGGCGACGACGACTCCTTCCCCGTTCGTGCCGTTGTCGGCTACGGCCACATGGGCGACTCTAACCTGCACCTGAATGTGTCCGTCCGCCAGTACAACAAGGAGGTTGAGAAGGCCATTGAGCCTTGGGTGTACGAGTGGATTCAGAAGCGCCATGGCAGTATCAGTGCCGAGCACGGTTTGGGTATTGCCAAGCGGGAGTTCATCGGATACAGCCAGAACGACACTATGGTTAAGCTGATGAAGCAGCTGAAGGCACTTTACGACCCGGTGAGTATTAAACATTCCTATTACTCGCCTACACTCTTGGAGCACCACCAGCTAATAATCTCTCTCTATAGAACGGTATTATGAACCCGTACAAGTACATCTAGGGATGACCTGCTAGATTTGCATGGGATCTGTAGTTGTGTACAAAAAATATATCCTTTTCTATTTCCTTCACTTGACAACCTATCCATTTATCGAGTATTATTTAGAGTATTTTAACCCTTTTTATGCATAGAGTTTCGAGTCTCGTCCTTGGGGATGGAAATGCGGGCACACATGACGCAGTGCCATCCCGTGACTGGGGTTCCTTGCATTGAAACCAGTCCCGATCAGGTTAGCTCCATCCCCACTTTCTGGCCTCAGGCACTGCCGTTGCCATGCGAAACGAGGCTGTTGTTTGGACGATTATCGTTAGCTCAATTCGATGCTCCACCCCTTTAGCTGCCCGACTCTTCCTCTCTTTTTGAACTCTCGTTGTTGCCGCGAAACTTAGAGCTCTTCCATACGGCTTACGGCTGACCCCCAAAAGCTTGCCAATTTTCGCCTCCCCTGGATGAGCATCGCCCCATTCGTCGCAGCCCTGTCCGACCGGAGTTGTTAGTTGGGTCCGATTCTTTGCGCAACCATGGCGGACGATATGGCGAACCGTTACCAGGTGATGGAGGAATTGGGAAGTGAGTTGAAAGTCTGACCCTGGATACCCTGTACTTGGGGCGCTGACCGGTTTTCTCCTTTCTTTGTCGACAGGTGGGAGTTTTGGCACCGTTTACAAGGCCATTGATAAGCACACGGGCGAGATTGTCGCTGTTAAACATGTATGCTCCCGAATAACCCGCAGTCGCCGGCTGGGCATCCCTCGATTGACAATTATCTACCTCTACAGATCGATCTCGAGTCCAGTGAAGATGATATTCAGGAAATCCAGCAAGAGATTTCCGTCCTGGCCACTTGCGCCAGTGCGTTTGTTACACAATACAAAGCCAGTTTCTTGAAGGGCCACAAACTTTGGATTGTTATGGAATATTTGGGAGGTGGATCATGCTTAGACTTGGTACGTGGGATATCCCTGCTCGGTAGTCGGTCAAGTGTCAATCGCTAATCAAGTCGCAGTTGAAACCAGGTGTATTCAACGAAGCGCATGTCGCAATTGTCTGCCAACAACTACTACAGGGTCTCGAGTACCTACACGCCGAAGGAAAGATTCACCGTGATGTCAAGGCCGCCAACGTCTTGCTCTCGAATACAGGAAAGGTGAAGCTGGCAGACTTTGGTGTGGCTGCGCAGTTGGTCAACATCAAGTCTCAGCGCAATACATTCGTCGGGACTCCGTTCTGGATGGCGCCGGAGGTAATTCAGCAGGCTGGTTACGACTTCAAGGCAGACATCTGGTCTCTGGGTATTACTGCGATCGAAATGATCAATGGAGAGCCACCGCATGCTAGCACCCATCCCATGAAGGTCCTGTTCCTCATTCCGAAGCAGCCTGCGCCCCGTCTTGAGGGTAACGATTACAGCAACACCTTCAAGGACTTTGTTGCGCAGTGCTTGACTAAAGACCCGGATCGCCGGCCCAGCGCAAAGGAGTTGCTACGACACAAATTCATTCGAAATGCTGGAAAGACCGAGGCACTGCAGGAGTTGATCCAGCGCAAGCAGGAATGGGACGCCGGTCGAGGAGTCTCCAAGGACGTCAAGTACTACGCCGAGTCTCTGTAAGCACCCTAGCCCTGGCCTCACCTTGAGAAATGACTAACATTGATCTCTAGTAACACGCTTACAAGGCCACCTCCCCCGAGGACGACGAGGACTGGGTCTTTGATACCGTGAAGGCGCCAACGATGTGGGTGCCCAAGGGCAAAGACTGGTCTACCCTTGACGAAGAGGATGACGATTGTGATCCGGCCGAGCTGTTGCAAGATATGCACATCTCTCAACCACCTCCAGCACCTCCCAAGCACCAGGTCAACCCGGCTGTCCAAGCCAACTCGACTGTCCGACGCACACCGAACGTGGAGCGATCAGCCGACCGATCCCCTTCTATTCGGCGTGCCAACACCAAACGTCGATCCAGTGGTGTCAAGCAGCCGTTGGGCCTGGACTTGAGCTTTGGCAACAGCCCATCCACTGTTCGCCAATTCCGTCGTGTTTCGGACAAGGTCCCGAGCGAGTCTACAACTCCCAAGGTTCCACCCGGGTTCGACGAGAACACCAGTCCCAAGCCATTCTCCCCCTCTGAATCGACCAGCAAAGAGGCTCAGCTTGGACGTCGTGCCTACAGCAGGGCCGTCGGCATGTCCTGCCAGGAGGTCCTTGCCAACACCGGAGACGGCGAGAAACGAGAGGCTATCTCCCGACTGGCCGAGGCCTGGAGTGATCTGGAGATGGTCGATCCAGAGGGTCTCTACCACATTATCCGAACCATGAATGAGCGACTGCAAGCCGACCCCCGCCTCGCCTCCTTGATTCCCGCAGCCCCCGCTCAACCCGACTCTCCCTCCCGCCCTCGCTTGGTGCTGGCCCAAAACAACCCACACCTCAAGAGCCACCGTCGCCGACAATCGACGCATGTGGTCGACCCACTACCCCAGTCTCCACCTCGCTCAAGCATGCCCGGTCAAAATGTACCTGGCATGGAGCACACCAAACAACTCTCCGATGTACTCTACCAGCGTTGGGCAGAGGGACTCCGCAACCGATGGGGTATCTAAAACGCTGGCGTCCTTACATAACGCAATATCTTCCCTGCCGTGTCTTTTCATCTCTGGTGCTCCAATGGAGCCTTGTTCACATTCGTTGTATAGACCATCTTGGCGTTTTTGATCTGTTTCTATAACCCCCCTTGCGATCGTTCATATTCCGTTCCGAGCTTGCCGCTGGCTTTGCATCCTTGGTGTCCATTCATTCCCCTTTTTTATGATTTCCCGCTCATTGATCTCTCAGCGGGATTTGGCCTGGAGTTTCTGTATGACCATGATCTGGTGTAATATTGTCTTGAGTTTGATTGTTTTTATGTTCGGTTGTTTCATTGTCTACTTTTTACTACTTTGCACCCCCGACAGAAATGTGTGCTGGACCTGGTGTCTTACTAGGATCCCTTGTGTTTATTTTGCTCTTCTTCATACATAGATAGCTATTTTGCTTTCTGCGGTTGTTATTTCTGTGTATTATTCTCGTTGGTGTTTTTCGAACCCCCCCCCCCCTGCTTCCGTTGTATTGTGCATTGTGCGGGGAGTAAGGGGTTTCCCCAACGAGCAATTTGTTGTTGAGATCTCTGTGAAAGTTTTAGACGTTGCAATATATGGTCTGATTGGACTACTCTCTGTTTTGTTGACATCCATGAGGGATTTCAATGGTGCTTCTGAATAGAGTTTCCTCAACTTGATGCATAAACTCAACACGTCGTTTAGTCGATGCTCTATTGCAGAATAGGTATTGATTCAGTTGGAACTCTAATAGATGTCTCCCAGCAAGGACATGATTTGTTTCAGTCTGGTCTTCTACACACTTGTCAGATGATAGATATGTTCTAGATATGTTTATGTTGATTGTTTACATTCAATCTTCTTTCTACTGCAGCTCAACACACATCTCGAGTTAACCCACGAACGGTAGTATGGTTGACCAACGCACTCTAGTTCTCATGTCAGGGGGTAATGCACAGGATTACAAATACTCAGGTCATTTTCAGCTGTAGGTCCAGATCACGAAGAAATAATTCTATTAGATGAAATGTGAACGGTGGACGTGGAAGTGGGCAGCGGTAGAGTAGTACTGGAACCACCTACGTTAGTGCAGCTCCATAAAGGTCTCTTGAATATAAGCAGAGACTGGCTTTTCTATTGACAAGCCTCGACCAATGTTCCTTTTTCAAGAGATCGCTAGAACATCTGATTCGGCGGGGATGATCCCCCACAAATGACGAAGTTTGGAATGCACGTGTTTCTTGTTTACCCCCTGGCGGTTCAAGCTTATCTTCCACGTTGTGTTCTAGGCATACTCAGGATACTTCGGGTTCATATTTGGGCTTCCTTGAGATTCTGGGCAATCTTTTTTGCGAAACTTATAGTACGTTAGAAGGTTCACCTAAAGGTAATTTCAATATGACAGAAAGTGTCAAAAAACACCATATCTTCCATTTTCAATCAAAGACAAGATAATAAATACCATACGCTGGCGCATTGCCTGAAATAGGTTCTTTAGGTATATCTGGATAATTCATTAGCAAAAGTCTCTCTTAACACACTTATACTATCCATCCTCTTGGGATGCAACTGATAATAAGATTATTATGACTGGCTTTTGCTGGGCTACCCGTCAAAGTGGATCTTCTACTTTGGCGTCGAGTCCAGGCTTCATCCGACGGTGATGATTAGTTGCTCACCGTAGCATGACCCACGCGGCGGGTGGAGGAAGAGGACCACGACACGAGTACAGTACTTTTAAAGGAGTGTTTATGTTTATTTTTATGGGATCAACTGTTATTTGCACTTTACATAGTATCGTCAGCTAAGGTCTATCCGAGTCTCTTCGGCGTGGTCGGAAATTAAACTGCTCGGATGTGATTCGCGGTGGGCTTCACATAGTTTTGGCGCAGGGACAAGCCAGAACGCCGATCGCTGCACAAGTCCGGGGTGGGTACTCCGTACAAAAGGAGATGAACAAACTTTCGTCAGAGTAGGGAGTAAATGATCAAGTACTCTGGACGGAGTATAGCTCGTAGGCTTGAAGATATTCTTAGATATGGTAAATGAGAATGGAGACTCGGAGATTGACCATAACATGAACAGTAGGAGTAAAGCAGCGGAACGAATACCTCGGGGCCCCTGAAACACTCGTGGCAAGCGGACGTGGAGATCCACTTGTGACTGGCCCAGTCTCTCTCTCAGAACTCAGGAGAAAACGGAACCCTCTTCAATCCTCCTCCACGTCAAAACTCTCTTTTCTTTCTTCTCCATTTTCAATTCCGCTCCCGGTCTTGTAAATATCAGCATGCATTTTTTTTTTCTTCATGTTCAATCTTGTTTAGACTCTGTCAATACTCCCCTTCCTCTCGCTCTCCTCGTTGGCTGGTCCACCATGGAGCTCTCCCCGGGAACGGGTGACGCCCTCATCCACGGTCCTCATCCGAATGCGTCCCCGACTTCGATGGCGGCCGCAACTACCACCACGGCCGAGGCCGTTCACGCTTCAGCACAGTCAACTACTACCCCCGAGAAACCACTGTCCCGATCAGCCTCTCTTTTGCAACAGAAGCGGTCTTCACTGCCTCCTCGTGCTCACGCCGGAGCTCGCCACGCCAAACGCTTAACCCTAAACTTTCCCATCAACATTCCGCTGGACCAGCCTCCAGCTGCTGCCTCCGATCCGAGTGTCTCTTCCCCAGGATCCATGACCCCCGTGACACAGTCGTCGACTCGTCCGTCCCCTGCGCTCCCCGCGGGGACTCCTATGCCGTTCGATGTCGAGGACGACGGCTACGATTTCCTCCGCGCCATCGCCTCGCAGGAACGAAAGGTATTGGAGCTTCGAGAGGAGCTGCACCGGGCCGAGACGGAGCTGTCGACCTTGAAGAAACAGTGGGCACAATCAGAGAAGACAAGGAAACGGACCGAAATTAACCTCCATGCCGAACCGCTGCTGCCGCTGCGATCTCCCGATCTCAGTACACCCGAGGCATCAAATTCACACCACCGGGAGCAGAGCTTGAGCTCGGTCGCAAGCTCATCGGTGTCGCAAGAGCGGGTTAGTCGGGAGCTCGAGAGACGTTCCAGTGTTCGTGTAGCTCCTGTGGCTCCTCCTAAGGGAACGACTATCTCGGCCAACGGTCGGCGAGTGTTTCAGGGGTCTCACACCCGGACGCTCTCTCTGCTATCCCCGGTTACCGCGAGCAGTCCGTTGACTGCGGGTGCCAACACATCTGATAGTGATCGAGTAGGTCGGACTCCACGATCCGCGACTTTGCCCTCGGTTGAGCGCGAAACTGTCTCTAGTATTGGAAGTCCCATGGACGAGAGCCAAGTCCCAGAGCATGTGCTGGCTCAGTGGCGAAAGAATATGCCCCCTCCTTCGAGGGAGGCTCTGGTACGAACGGGCAAGCAGATGGCTTCGGATCTACGCGAAGGCTTGTGGACATTCTTCGAAGATATCCGACAGGCTACGGTCGGCGAGGAAGGTATCAACGCGACGGAATCACGCACCATGTCTCCACCCAACGGGTCACTAGCACCATCTACCGCGCGCAAGCGAGACTCTTTGGCGAAATCACGCAGTCGAGATCGACTCTCTGCAACGGGAACTGTCTCACGATCGTCGTCTTCATCGTCATCACGGGGCAGGGGGACAGCGGCCGAGAAAACATCTGGTAAAGACACCAAACCGGCGGACATTTCTACGTCTTTCTGGCATGAATTCGGGGTTGATTCACCAGCGCAGACGTCCCCCCGCCCCGGCGCTCATCGCAGCCCCTCCGACAACACCATCGCCGCCTCGACCCGACGGGACAAGACCGAATCCGGGCCTCCCGATCACCACTCCAGCAGTCAAGTCGAAACGGATGATGATACCGCCGATAACTGGGATATGTGGGATACGCCGTTGCCTGCGTCCAAGATCACGCATACACCCTCGTCGAGCCGATCGACGGTGGAATCCTCGAAACATGATCAATCGCCCAATACCCAAGGCAGCAGCCCCCGAACGAGTGCTAGGTACCATTCGACCTTTTCTGATTTCATCTATGACAACCTCGTTATGCGCTGACGCCCGCTCCCATAGCTTTAGCGAGTGGAACCCGAGTTCCGCCGCGCCCGATCCCAGCGTCACCGAAGGCATCCCATGGCCGACCATCACGAAGCTGGCTCCCTCGAAACTCCAGCGCACCGCCTCGAATCTCATGGCCGAATGGGAGCGTAGTCTTTCGCCATCCCCGTCTCCCGAGCGGAAGGACTCACCCGGTTTTAATCGCGGCAAAAACGACAAAAAGGACTAGATCATGATCCTAGTTCCTTCTTTTTTTACCTTCTTCTATGTACATTTTTAACCCCCATTTTCCTTCTTTGACCCCTTATACTGAGGGTCTCCGTTGGACGAATTGGCACGACACATTCCCCCCATCCACGGACTTATGCTAAGCTACGACTTGTTTAACGCACGAGAGCGTTGTTTCTTCTTTCTCTTGCTTATATTTGGGATATCTGGCTGTGTTTTCGGTCTTCTCACTTTGCACATCTGGTTTGGGAATTTGTCGATACTGGTATCTAGAATTTCCCATAGCCATTACCAGAATCAAGACCTACTTACTTGGTATTTTCCCCTGAAATTCTGCATCTTAGAATTCATGAAATACTTCTGCTGCTGCTGTAGTCAAACCCATTGTGACACTTTTCATCGTTTTGTAGATAAAGTCACGTGGTAAACTGCGTGATTGGTCTGCTTGGGCAACCGTAAAATAAATTTGCGCGAGTCGCCGCCTCCGCAAGATCTCCGCGCCTCTCGGACCAGACTTTTGTTCCAGTCGCATCCACGCAGGGGAACGCATGCCCACTTCTCTTTATCTGTATCTCCTTCGATCAACCCTCGATTTTCAGTCTTTCCTTCACGTCACTTTACTTCGATTCAATCTTCACCTTCAGTCAACATGAGCGTTCCCGGCATGCAACACGGTCTTGGAGGCCTCGGAAACAACCAAATGGCCGGCATGAGCGAGCAAGAACAGGCTATGGTTAAGATGGTATGCTCATTCATTACTATGTATCCTTCTATCTACTCTTTAACTAACAATCATTCCTCACTAGATGCAAGCCGGTATGGAGTCCTGCCCCGTCAAGACCGTCATCTCTGGTACAATGGGTTTCGCACTTGGTGGTGCCTTTGGTCTCTTCATGGCCAGTGTAAGTCCAACCCATTTCCCACCCTTTTCTTCTAAAACACCATCTCCCTAACCCCCTCCCTCCTACAGATGTCCTACGACTCCCCCCTCACCCCCCAAGGCCGCGAAATCGCCGACCTCCCCTGGCGCGAACAAGTCCGCCGCGGCTTCAAAGACATGGGCAAACGCTCCTTCTCCTCCGCAAAGAACTTCGGTATCGTCGGTGCCCTGTACTCCGGAACAGAGTGCTGTATCGAGGGTCTCCGCGCCAAGAACGATTTGACCAACAGTGTTGCCGCGGGTTGTTTGACGGGTGGTATTTTGGGTGCTAAGGCTGGCCCGCAGGCTGCTGCTTTTGGCTGTGCGGGCTTTGCCGCGTTTAGTGCTGCTATTGATGCTTATATGCGTATGCCCTCAGAGGAGTAGAGTGGGTGGGTTTTGGGTTTGTGGTGATACCCGGTGACTTTGTGTTGTGTTGTGTTGCGTTTGACTTGTATATTATCATGGCGCTTGGCGAATTTGGGATAGATGGGAGCATAGAGGGCGTTTTGGTTTCCTTTTTTTCTTTCTCGTGTTTTACTTTGTCTTCGTGTCTTATATCTTTTTCGGTGCTGTCGATTCCAGGTGATCGTTGATCGGGCTGTGATGTGCCTTGGCTCTTTGCATTCCCTCGACCAGGAGCTCCGATAAGCATATAAAATCTGGAGCATCTCCATTCTTTTGCTTGTCTTTACCTTTTTTTTTCTGGTCGGTATGGAACCGTCTTCTGCTTGGCTGTATTATATCTACGTGTGGTATATGGATCAGAGCTTTGAATAGACATGGATAATCACTCTTCTCATTCATTGGTATTCCTTTTGCGTTCTACCCAATCTTAGTACATTCCCAATTTGCAAGCTCAGCAGGTGGTGAGCTTTTGACTCGCTGTAATTGCATATGCTGTCCTGGGGGAGGAGTATACGGTGGTTTGACGGACTAGGAGACATTACACATAGGGCTAAAAGGTGAAGCAGAGAGGCACGTAAACAGAAAGTAAATATTGAGATAGAAGTCTGAATCCAGACAGAGATGTTCAATCTACTTCTTCAGTTCTCATCAATCCTTCCTCCCATCTTCCCAGGCTCTATAATGTCCCCTCCTAATCACGAATAGTCGGGACTATTGCAGTCTATAAGAGCCCCGTACGCATTATTGGCAATCGACCACCAAATATCCTCGATCCTCTGACGGCCACAGTATTTCGGAGTTTGAACATTCAAACCAAGGTAATTGTGATCCTAGATGGACTATTGCAAGTTGAGTTGTTTCTTGTAATTGCTTCCCTTCTGCTATTTGATTCTACACCAGGTGTGTTACTAAGGAAGAAAGCATGGTCTATTTCAAATATCTCGTTTTGAAATGACAATAATATTGTTAAGTTGGCAATAGTGTCCTATTTGCGTCTAGGTAATCTTGCATCCCTAGGAGTGTTAACTTCCTTGGAGTGTATGTTGATGTTGTCGCGGGGTCTAGATATGACCAGCAATCACATGACCGCTTATCGCGGTTCCCCGTTTGGGCTGTTTGTTTACCGCCCGCCACTCCTCCTTGCTTTCATCTGTGGATGCGCGACTGCCATGCTTTTCGCCCTTCACTAATTGCCTTTCGACAACCCCACGCCCACCATGCCCGGCAGAGTCGCCGCCCGTTCGACTTCCGCTGCGACCCGTAGGTCATCAGCACAACCGTCTACTGGACGCGCCCCCTCCGTGACACCGTCCTTTGCGATTCCCGAAGAGCCCGCACTCCCCTCATCATCGCCCAACCTCCGCCGAGATGTGTGCGCCATATTTGCAGATGCCCAGCGATCAACCACCGGCCACCGCAAGTTGATGGTGCGCCTGCGCAAGCTGCAGGAAATCTGCTGTGGGATCTACCAGAAGAACAAAAAGGGAACGGATCGAGAGCAGGAGGAGATTGTGATACCCGAAGAAGCGACAGTCGCAGAGAAAGAGTTCAATGTCGAAGTCGGCCGCTGTGTGCTGCGTATTCTTCCTATTAAAAAGTCCGAACCCGTTGGCGACCGAGTTCTGCGGTTCCTGGACACTTTCATCGCCCATGCCTACGAGAAGGATAATGAGCTTTTCGCATCCAAGGATGAGGAAGAGGACGATGGAATGCAATCTGCGCCCGAAACCCCGACTTCGCGTCTCACTTCGAGTCTTGTGGACTTGATCAGCCCCGTTCTCGCCTCGAAGGACAAGGTGGTCCGATTCCGCGCCACCCAGATTATCGCACACATTGTTAACACGCTCGAGTCAATCGACGATGAGTTATATCACACTATTCGGCAGGGAATGCTGAAGCGAATTCGCGACAAGGAGTCTTCAGTGCGTGTACAGGCTGTCATAGGCCTGGCACGACTCACTGGAAATGAGGATGATGAGGACGGTCCCGACGATAACTCCACGGCACTTCTAGAGAAATTGATCGAGATTATGCAAAACGACACCAGCGCAGACGTGCGCAAGAGCCTTCTATCTAATCTCCCACTCTCTCAAGTTACCCTTCCCTACCTCCTGGAACGAGCCCGCGACCTCGATGCGGCAACACGACGAACATTATATTCGCGCCTATTGCCTACGTTGGGTGACTTCCGTCATCTGTCTCTGGGAATGAGAGAGAAGCTGCTGCGATGGGGCCTGCGTGATCGTGACGAAAGTGTCCGCAAAGCAACTGGTAAGCTGTTCTACGACCGCTGGGTCGAGGACTGTGCTGGTACCAACCAAGGCGAAAACACTGGCCAAAGATCTGCCCCCAATCAAAGCGCTCTTCTCGAGCTGCTGGAGAGAATTGATGTCGTCAGCTCCGGCATTGAGAGCGGTATTGCGCATGAGGCGATGCGTAGCTTCTGGGAGGGTCGTCCTGACTACCGGGAAGCGGTTCTTTTCGATGAACCTTTCTGGGAGTCCTTGACCGGAGAATCCGCATTCATGCTCCGCACATTCAACGAGTTCTGCCGCGTCTCGAACGAAGGAAAGTACGATGATCTCGCAGATGAGAAGATGCCCACAGTCACCGCGTTGGCCTACTTCCTCTCCAAGTACACCACGGATTTGTTGCGGCGGAAGAAGCTTGGCAAGGTTTCTGGGGATGCCAACGACGAAGATGCCACTGAGAATGAGTTTATTGTGGAGCAGCTGTTGCATATCGCAATTACTCTGGACTACAGTGATGAAGTGGGTCGGCGAAAGATGTTCTCCCTCCTGCGGGAGTCACTTGCTGTCCCAGAACTGCCAGAAGAATGCACCAAGCTTACAATCGAGGCCCTCCGATGCGTTTGCGGGCCAGATATTGCTGGCGAGAGCGAATTCTGCAGCGTGGTCCTCGAAGCTATTGCTGAAGTGCATGACACGATCAGCACTGAGGACAGTTTCGTATCGGCCAAGTCCGAAATTAGCGATGATGCTAGCAGCCGTGCTCGATCTGAGACCCCAGCCACCGAGGATGAAAGGCCTTTCAACAAGGAAGAGGCCAAGGCTAAGATCCTCCGGGAGATCGTGGTGAATATGAAGTGTCTTCACATTGCGCAGTGTATGCTTCAAAATGTTGAGGGTAACCTGCAACAAAACATGAACCTCCGTACCATGTTGAACAGCCTTGTGGTCCCCGCCGTGCGAAGCCATGAGGCTCCTATTCGTGAGCGAGGTCTCTACTGCTTGGGTCTTTGCTGTCTTCTTGACAAGGTTTGTCTATTTAACCCCTTCTTCCTCGTAAAGTACTTTCCTGCTAATACGTCTCACCCAGAATGTCGCCGAGGACAACATGACTCTTTTCATCCATTGCTACAGCAAGGGTCACGAGGGTCTCCAGGTGACCGCCATCCAGACCATCTGTGACATGATCACAACACACCCCTCGCTCCTCGCCCCAGTCCCAGAATCTGACGGCGAGACGGTCACGACGCCCGCCATCCAGAAGCCTATCCTGAAGGTGTTCTCACGTGCTCTAAAGGCCAACTCCCCCGCTGCTGTGCAATCCGCCGCTGCTACTGCACTTTCAAAGCTGCTGCTCACCAACACCTTCACCCCATCTGGACCGAACGTGCCGCCTGCTATCCAAGAGTTCAATGAGAATGCCGTCGAAACACTCCTGCAGAGCCTTGTCGTTGCTTTCTTCCACCCCCGCACTCGTGATAACCCCGCGCTTCGTCAATCGTTGGCATACTTCTTCCCTGTCTACTGCCATTCACGATTGGAGAACACCCAACATATGCGACATGTTGCTGTACCAGTGGTTCGAGCAGTCATTAACGCCGCCGAGGAGTACTACTCGCTCGAGGCTGAAGAAGACAGCGACGGTGAGATTGACGAGAGTGTTGGCGAGCGTGAAGTCAAGGCCCTTATGACTGGTGTCATCGGTATGCTTGCTGAATGGACCGATGAGCGTCGTGTTGTGGGATTGGGTGGTGAGCGTGTGCTGGCCGGTGGTGCAGCTAGCTCTACTGCTTGTGGCTGGGTACACCTGGCGCTTGTTAAAGACATTCTTGAGAGAGTGCTAGGCGTGAGTGCCGGCACCAACCGCTGCTCTCGGGAAGAGCGCAAGCTCCTGTTCTCCCTGCTCAGCAAACTCTACATTTCGGCCCCTACGCTTCCCTCTCGTGCCAGCTCACGTGCTCCCGAAGGCGAAGATCAATTCCGCACCAGCATTCGCAGCGCCACTAGTATCGAAATCGACCCCGATAATGTCCAATTAGCCCAGGAAGTCAAGGAGTTATTGGACCAAACCATTGACGAGGGCTTGGCCGGAGAAGCTTCTAGTCGCAATGCACTCGTGAAAACCAAGAACTCCATTCTCAAGATTCTCGCGGTTGCTCAGGATGCTCGTGCTGCTAGCGTTCGTCCTCGTGCCGGTACCGAGGATCTGGAGAGTGATGCTGGAAGTGTTCGCTCCTACAGTGTCCGCCGCTCCGTCGAGCCCAGTCGTCGCCATGTGTCTGTGGAACCTAGCATCATGGAGGAAGACGAAGGTGACAGCGGTATTCGCTCTGGAAGAGTACGACCTTCCGTTGAGGGTGGGTTTGCCAACCGGAATGTAGTCTCTATTGAGCCTAGCATTATGGAAGAAGATGAAGAGGATGATCATGATACTAGCCGTGGCACCATAATCAAGGAGGAGGCTGTCGATGAATGATGAAATTTACATGTTTTTGTCTTGATTTATGGACTGGCGTTGGTCGTGGTTGAGGGTTGGAACCTGGATATCATGGCACACGGGGACTATCTCGGCGCTTGTATAGGATATCATGTTGGTTCTTGCATTGCTTTTATTTCAATACTACCTTTGAACATATCTTGTGCAACCTATTTTGAACGTCTTGAATCATCTTTGCACCCTCTTTTGTAGGTCCAGACTTTACGGTGTTGAGGCTCCTTTGTATAGTTCTTTTCGCACTGTTGATTCTCACTTGGCTTTAGATGATACGCTAACTCTACATTAAGCAGCTTAAACACACAGAAGACAGGGGTACAGATGACTTTCAAACATCGCAAAATAAGACATCCTATCACAGGGGATGCACAATATCAGTATATTACCACTGAAGATTCTTGCCTGCAGCAATCTCCTCCAGTACCGCCTGCCCATTTCTCCGCAGCAGCGTTGAATAGCATGATCCGGTTCACGGTCCTAACCAATGCGCACCTCAATCACCAGGGTGTCTCTTTGCCATGACACACCACATCCTTCTCGCAGCGTCCCCGGTTGGCACAATCTCGCATCGACGGAGTGCCCAGAAGCACTACACACCATACAAAACCACGACGTCGGCATGTGCGGGATGGAAGTCAAGGTGGACTGGTGGTCCTGCCCCAGCCCTCTGGTTGTGAGAGGTGATTCGTCGCCATCCAAGGCGGAACTGAGAGATTCGTGAGGATCTCCGGCGGGCCCTTGCTATTCTTCATCCTGCTCTTCAGCCTCCTCGAGGTCGGCAGGAATTGGGTTCTGGTTCCTGCACCTCCTCAAGGCCAGTTGCCAGAGGGTCAACGTCAAGAAATTGGCCGAGCAGACCGGCGTCTAACATGAATTCAGCCACGATCGGTCTGGCTTCCTTACTGCTGAGCAATTCGTCGGTTCCCACTGCCATCGAGACATGCACATCGGCTAATTGTTGGTGTATGCGATTGCGCAGGTCAATCAACTGGGGGAACGCTAGAAGAATATGTAAGACCGTTTGGCAGCCCCGGTCGTCAGTGCACTCATCAGTCTCTGCACGGTTGATTTTGATCAGATAACCCTGAGGGCAATCCAGCCGGTGCGTAACTGGATGAGAACTGATCAGGTTGCCTTCCGTAGGCCCTCCCAAATATCGTTAGACTTGGGGGCTCATTCTGTCTGTCTTGACCTGTTGCCTCTTGCATGCCGGCGCCCTAGGCTCATAGACGTGTCATAATCTATGCCCTCGAAAAGATCCACAAGCCGGTTGAGCTTTTCAACGATCTTGATACCTTTAGTGGAGAGGTACCGTAGTTCCCCAGTCCCATCTCCCTTATCTGTATCTGCAAGAATTATAAGGCGGCTTGCAGGATCTGTTCGTAGGGCTTTAGAAGCAAAGCGTAGGTCGGTTGGAGTGTCGAGTAAGATAGGTCGGAGGAAGGCCATTTTACCAATAATAACACTGTAGCTATCGGCCTGCCTATGCCCAGGCTTGATAGGATGTTGTAAATAAAATGTTTCAAGACCGAGAATAGGTACCCCCAATGACACTGCGCTATTTTGCATTGTTTACCGTTAGCGAGAAAGTCGAGCGCTTCACTGGGAGCTACATCGGACTATAATTGAATTTGACTGACTGACTGAAAGTGGCGTATGTCGTGCGGCTTGTGCAGGTGGCTATGCGGCGGGTGTTGGCGAGTATGGGCGTGCTGGTGGCTAGCCTGTCTAAGGACAAGGGCAGTTATAAGGTCTGGAAGGTCATTATAGGCGTCAGCTTTACCGGCGTGGGCTCAGTGTCCGCGAGTTACGCCTCCGACAGCCACTCCGATCGTTTAAGTCGTAAAGCTTATCGTATAAAACTCCCTAGGCTATATATCTAAAAGGAAACGCTTCCTAGTAGACCTTTTCCTATTTTTTACACTACTATCATTGTCTACGAAGCCGCAGAATCACTCACAGGCCCAAGGAATAGTTCATGGCAATGGAATTGTCAGTCAATTCAGGTGTGCTAGAGGGAGGCGACGCGGTACTTCTCCTATCCGCTGTGGTCATTGATGATGTGAAAAAAAATCTCACAAAATACCATGGTGCACCAAATTAAGACACATTGGTCTCAGTCCAGGTACTGCTGGAGTCCAGAGAAACAGAGTATGTCCCCGAAGAATCCAATGGGTTGATAGCTCCCGTCCAAGTCGATCCAACCAAATAAACATACACCTCGCTATAGTCGTCGACATAAATGTCACCTTCCACAGTGAGATCCTCCAAGTAGATGTAAGCAATGCCACCATTGCTGCCACTAGTACCCCAGTCACTGCTAGCGGTGATGTTCACATCGACATCAGTGAGATACACATAGGCTTGGATATTTGCCACGAAGATCAAGCCGTACGTGCCATAAGTCTCCGCGACAGATCCGCCAGTAACATAGGCGTAGGCGGTGTCGTCGGTATTACTAGAAGATGAGGTACTGACAATTTGGAAAACGCCGTTGTTCTGTGTACCAGATGTAATGGCTGGGTCTTTCAGTGTGAAAGAGTTGGATCCATCGATACAAGCTGCGGGTGCGATATCCGCCGTGCCGGTTAGGGAAGTAACGGTGATGTTTCCCGTGGAGTAGACGAGGGCTGAAAGTGCGCCGTACGTGTATACAGAGGAATCTTCGACGACGATGAGACCACCGCCTGAATCGGTGGCAATGGCACTTCCGTGGCCGCCGTAGGTGTAAATTTCCAAGTCCTCCCCGTAGATGGTGCCACCTCCGGTGTAGATGCCGTGCGAGCCATCTCCTTCGGCGTGGATATAGACATTGGTTAGGTGCACGGTAGATCCATCTTCGTAGGTGTGCACTGCATTGGCACTGCCACCGCTCGTGGTGATGTTGCTATCGGTGATGTAGATTGTGCCGTAAGTCTCGACGCCAACAGCAGCATTGAGGTCTGTGAAAGAACTCTCGCTGTCGTCGGTGGAGTCTCCAGTCTTGATGAGAGTGCAGTCGTTAACATAGGCAACTCCCGTCTCCTTGACGATGATGACACCTTCGTTGGTTCCGGTTGCAGTCAGAGTCGTGGAAGCAAAAGTGGTGGTTGTCCCGCTCACATAGTAAGCTGCAGTCGTTGGCAATGCGCTTGACGAAGAGGCCGCCGGTACGGGAGATGCATCTGCTGAGGATAGGAAGCTCAAGATACTTCCTATAGCAAACACCAGAGATCTTGGTGAGAATTGGACGAGTTGAGCCATGATGAAGTAAGTTTCAATGAAAAGAGATGTATCGATGCTTGTGCCTTTTTCCCTCGTGGTGTTTCTGGTACAATCACTTCTATCGCCGAGAATTCCTCTCAATTTATATTCTTCACTCATCTCATAAGCCCACTCCTGTATGAGTCTCCAGTCGGATTGTGGCCCAAATCCCTCGCGGGCTCTTCTCTCCTCGAGAATGTCCATGAGCTACTGCCGGCCCGGTGATGGAGCATACGACTTGACCAGACGTCAATCGGCCCCACGCCTTTGTATAATTAATGTTGTAAAGTAGTATTAGGAGGAAATAGATTTCTCTCATACAATATCATAATCTATAACGCTGGGGCTCAGGGTCTCCGCTGGTTCTGAAAGGTTAGAAAGCGCCGAGGGTAAGCCACGACGCCATGTTACAGCGACTGAAGAAACTATAATGGCGAGTGGAGAAGTGTAAAAGTATCATTTGGTCCATGGTTTTGGACATTTATCCGATCTACAATCCCACCTCCCCGTCATTAGTAGGGTAATTTTGATGATCACCTTTCTTGAGTTTTGGGAGGAGATATTGAAATAGGTCCAAAACATATACTGGAGACTATGCATTGAATGATTCCCTGTTCCCATCTCAAACTAGACTACCACGCCAATGGCTATCATTCTGGGGCAGATTCCTCCTTCCCCGCAAATTGTGTTCTTACGTTGCGTAACTCAATCTATCACCACGAAGCTGCACTAAATCCAACTCGGCTCCACTGATGTTCCTGCATGACGAGGCCTTGTTGTTTCTGGGGGAGATGATTTCGGCTCCACAACTCTGATGCATAATGGCTAAGTAAAATATCAAGCTATTTTCAAGTAGCTTGGCAATGTTCGAATACACGAGAGTATGAGCTTGTAGTTTGTTTCCCCGCGTCGATCTTCACGCGGTATGTGGGGCAATCTCGGATACTGTAGAAGGAATCCATGAATTTGAATTCACCTCTAGATGAACACGATGAATCTGCTGCAGTCCGGTATAGCATTCAAAATTCTTTTTTAGGATCAGGCTACTTTACCTAGGATGGACCATTTACAACATTACCGGTATTTCAGCAGTGGTGTGGGCATTGGCAAGCAGTGTTGGTCAACGGGATAGGTACCTACCTACTCCCCCGTCACAAACGAAAAAAGTAAATATCTCGAGGTCGTTTAAGTGCCTTGGGACTCGTTCAATAGGTAATTCTAAAATGCGCAGGTCAGCTTGTTCTCTTCTGATAGAGACCCAGAACCTTATGGGAATTCCTTTCAAGAAAAGCAAGCTACAGTTTTTGATGCCAAGAATGTGCTGGAGCGCGATATATATCCGTCGAAAAGCATCGATACCTGATGAATTGGGCGAGACGGTAATCATCAACTCGCTTCAAATTGGAGTCAACAAAATAGCTTTAATTCACCGATGTCAGTGTTAGTAGGATATCTTATCCCATAGAATCGATAGAATCAACGGAAACGACAGGATTTATATACCCATCCAATTGTTCAAGATTGAATATCGGATTAATCAGCCATAGATGACACGTGACTGTCCGGTGAGGATAACGCGGTTGACCAGTTGATGGACAGTCCATTAGATCTTTTGGGACACCGGGTTGTATGTTTTTTAATCTTTGTATTCCTCCTCACCTACATTGCCCTTGATTTGACCCAATGGAATACATTCCCTAGGTCTTGATCGGTCCCTGGCCTTCGTTATTATTATTGGGTTTCCCCTCCTCTTCCTCTAGGCAGCATGGGCCCATTCCCGCTTGAATTCTGACAGGGGATCCACCCGTGTGGTAGGTATGCTAACAGGTTTCTCCGAGGTGAATAGAGCTATCAGGTAGACATGAAGAGTAGATCTGGCCGTTTTGAATCTTGCTGACTATCTTCTCGGATTTAAATTAATTACGGGGGGAGATGAGGGTATTCCATTAGTGAGACCGTCGCAGGGATCTGGTCCGGTTGGGGTTGCACGGCGGAAGCCCGTGGGAGACGAAGAAACGAAGTTCCTCAGGGGAAACCAGAGAGAGGAATGGAGATTGTAAGAAAGGGTAGTCAAATGAATCTAGTTGATTCTATATTTAATTATAGTATTACTCTCTAATGCTATCAATCCTGTCAAACTGCATCCCGGTCTGGCCAACTGTACAGTAATCTTCTCTCCCGTCAACCCGAAACTTTTCTTTTCTCTCGCAACTCCACACCTTTTCGCGCCAGTTGGGCTTCTTTTCTTTCCTCTTCCCTTCTTCTTCCCCCCCCCCCTTTCTCTCTTCTCCCCCCGGGCTTCTTCTTTCCTTTCCTCCACGACAATCACCGATCTCCCCCCTCGGTCTGTCGTGTTGAATTGTCTCCTGCATTTCCCGGCAGAGACATTCCCCCCTCCCCCCTTTACCCCCCTCCTCTTCCCCCGGGCTTCTCCCCTGCCGCTCCGTTGGCAGTCGACAAGTCAGCGATGGCGGCCGTATCAGCACCCACTCCTAAGCTGGATCGCTACATCGTTATCCACGTTGCGACCACCTGCGACGAACATGGCGTCTATGTCACCAAGGACTCCGCCGAGGTCATCGAATTGGGCTGGATCCTGCTGGATTCCAAGACCTGCGAGGAGGTACACACAATCTCCGAATCCCGCCCACATCCCCCAACGGTTTTCCTTATGCCGTGAATTCTTCTATCCACGCCAGGAATCTCCGCCCATTTCCAAAATCTACAACGAAATGACCACTCTGGCTAACAATTTCTCGTTCAATCTATATAGCTCCACCGTGAGAGCGTCCTTGTCAAGCCCGTCAACACTCCCATTACGCCGCTGTGCAGTAAGCTTGCCCCCTCCTCGGGACCGACAACCGAATTTGCATACCCAATATCCGCCCAAAGAACAATTCCAATAGCTAACCCAATGTGATAATTACAGCGAGCTTGACTACCCTGACGTGGGAGCACGTCCGCTCGGCTGGCACTTTCCGTGATGCCATCTCCCGATTCGATGCCTTCGCTCAGGAACACCTCACCAGCAAGCAACTCGAGTTCGCTTTCGTGACCTTGGATTCATGGGATCTGCGTGTGCAGTTGCCCCGCGAGGCCCGTGATAAGGCCGTGGTACTGCCCGCCTATCTGCAGCACTCCCGCACCTTCGACTTGCGTACCGAATATCAGCGCTGGCAAACCCACCACCCGGAGTCGCTGCCTTTCGGACCCAGCTCCCTCTCTAACATTTGCGCCGCTCTCGAGGTTGAGCCCGTTCAATCCTCGGCTCCCATCAAGCACAACTTGCCCTTCCACCTGCAAGCATTGGCTCCCGCTTCGCCGCGCCGTGCTATGGAAGAGTCCATCACTCTTGCCCGCGTCCTTCGAGGTCTGATCCGCAAGTCCCAGCCCCCACACGAGCATCCCGAGATTCTCACTCGCCCAATGGATGCCCACGCCGATGTTCGTGCCTTTTTGGCCGAGCGCAGCAAGGTTCTGCACCTGAGTGGTCTCCCCCACGACACCACGCAATCGGAGTTGGAGAGCTGGTTCACCCAATTTGGTGGCCGGCCAATTGCCTTTTGGACTCTGCGGACTCCAGACCAGCACAAGCCTACTGGCACTGGATTCGCAGTGTTCTCGTCTCACGAGGAGGTAGGATCAACTCGCCGAAGAAATAGTGATCTCATCTCTATTTTTTTCTTCATCCCATACCCGCTTGCTATTTTATCTGTTTTTGCTAACCCTCATCTAGGCCGCTGAAAGTCTGTGCATGAACGGCCGCGCCCTCAACGAAAAGGCCATTGAGGTCTCTCCTTCTTCCAGCCGTGTTCTCGACCGGGCTGCTGAGATTCTCACTCCCTTCCCTCCCTCCAAGAACCGCCCGCGTCCCGGTGACTGGACCTGCCCGTCCTGCGGTTTCTCCAACTTCCAGCGTCGTACCGCCTGCTTCCGTTGCTCGTTCCCTGCCATGGCTGCGGCCCCCGACCCGATGGGTTACGGCTACGGCTACGGCCCGCCAAACATGATGCCTCCTCACATGGGCCACGGCCACGGAATGGGTGGTCACGGACGTGGTATGGGTGGAAATGGTGGTGTCGTTCCTTTCCGCGCTGGTGACTGGAAGTGCGGCTCCGAGGGCTGTGGTTACCACAACTTTGCCAAGAACATCAACTGTCTTCGCTGCGGTGCTCCCCGCTCGGGCGCTGCCGTTGTGGCCGACTCGGCCTTCCCCTCGCCCATGGACCCCCCGTCGCAATTCGGCATGGGCCCTAACTCGATGGCCAGCACTCCCGCCCCCGGTCCCTTTGCCTCCACTGCCGGCGGCTTTGGTGGATTCGGCCAGCAGTTCGGTGGCCCGCCTAACAACTACGCTCTCCCCTCTGGTGGCCTGAGCAACACCCCCGGTGCCTACCCGCCTATGGGTCAGGTCAACTCGGGATACGGCTCGTCGAACACTTCTCACTCCGCTGCCTCCTTCGCCAACCCGGCCACTCAGGCGGCTTTCACCGGTGCTGACCACGGCGTGCCGTCCACCAGCGCCTCCAACGGTGCCTTCTACGGCGGCTCCGAGGGCTCCAGCGACCCCTTTGCCTTCCTGTCCTCCGGCCTCGGCGGCCTGACCGTCTCGGATGATGCTCACTCGCGCCGTAACGGCGCCGGTGCTAACAAGTCCCCCGCTTAAACCAGCGGCATGACTGTATCTATTTCTTTTCCAAAATGCCCGAATGACTCGGGCGGTCACACACTTACGTTGTCCATATTGCAAACCTGCGTTGTGGCAGGTATATGCGCTGGTTGATACTCGTTGATACGCATTTGTATAAGGGATTCTGCGGTTCCGGTGCATCGGGTTGGAAGGAGCAGGCGGGTAGCGTGTTGATGATTCCGAATTTCTTCTTCTCACCTTCTCGCCGTCCTGTGATTTGTGGGATGTTTCTTTTTATTTTCCATCTTTTCTCGATTTACTCTCTGATTTGGTTTTTTTTCCTGTTGTCATCTCTTTGGTTGTTGAGCGGCTCCGGTCCCCCTTGATTCCATCTTGAGCTATCTATGGTTTTGGTTTTTTTGTTACAAAGGATGGCGGCGACTGGAACCTTGGCCGGGGCGTGGGTTTTGTTTTGATATGAAACCGTTGTCTCGAGTCGGTTTCGGACGCAAACGCATTGTGAGCCTGGGTTGCGCACTCGACCTGCTTTGCATTTTAGATCTTTGGTCGTCCCTTTTCTGCGTTGGGTCATGGCAAGCGTCGGAGAATTCACGGTATTGATCTCACGGGTGGGATATACAATGGCTCGGACTCCGTTGGGGGTGTTGGGGGATTTTCCTTTTCGCGAACTTGCGCTGGTGATGATGGATGGGAGGGCTCTATTTTCTTTTCTCTCTCTCCTCCGTTTCTTCGAATTTTGCCAGTGCATGGTGAATGCAACAAAAAAGATTGTTTTGTCTATATTTTACTTCCTGGTTTTCTGTGTATTGCGTCTATTCGTCTCTTCGTTGTATGTGTTTCTAGGGCGGGCTTCGCATGGTCTGGTCATGGGACTTGATCACTTGTATAGGGTTATAAGGGGGTCTTGTATTACACCCTTGGTATATGTGTTGGGTTATAATTGATGCGATTCCGTTTTGTGATTGAGGATCAATATCCTATCGAGTAGCACTCAGGTTTAACGTACCAAGCCCTTGTACATGGGGGGTTTCTATAGAGTCATGGCTGGACTCGGGCAGACAGCGTAATGATTTATCAAAGAACATGTTGGTTGATCCTATTTTTGACAATTAGAGACTTTTGGAAGAATCATAAAATACGGTAAATAATCATCTCGAGATCGCAATTCCCATCTATCTACGGAGTACTCGAACTTGCAAAGTTTCCATGTTGAGTTTACCCGCGCGGCTGCGCCAAGGCAACCGTACGCTGTCGCGTCCACCGCCCGCTGGAACCCCGTCATGGCTGCTGCCGAACATCATTACCATCCTCTCTACCCAGCGCCCTTCTCCTCCAGCCTCTTTTCCCCCTCATTGATCTCCTTGGAAGTTTTTCTTTCACTTCTTTTCCACACCTAATTCATTCCATTACTCCTGCGTCACCATGTCCGGCTACGACCGAGCTCTTTCAGGTAAGTCAGCTAGCTCCCCGAATGACCAGCTCCCTTGGCTCTCCTCTTTTAACTTGACACAAACGATGCTAACTCATCCCAGTATTCAGGTATGGATTTATATTATAGCGCTTCAGCTCCTTCGATATACTGACCTCCTTCTTAGCCCCGATGGGCACGTCTTCCAGGTCGAATATGCCATGGAGGCCGTGAAGCGAGGTAAGGCTACTCCCCTTGGACGAGCCCTAGCATCTTAGCTCCTAGAGCTGTGATTACTCGGAAAAGATACGTCTTGTTATCATTTGGACATTTTGCTTATCGCTGTCTCGGAATAGGAACTTGCGCCGTCGGTGTCAAAGGCAAGGAAATCGTCGTCCTCGGCTGCGAGAAGCGCTCCGCCCTCAAGCTCCAAGATACCCGTATCACGCCCTCCAAGATCGCCAACGTTGATGAACACGTCTGCCTCGCCTTCGCTGGACTGAACGCCGATGCCCGCATCTTGATCGACAAGGCCCGGTTAGAGGCCCAGTCACACCGTCTGACGGTCGAGGACCCCGTCACCATCGAATATATCACCAAATACGTTGCCGGTGTGCAACAGCGTTATACACAGAGTGGTGGTGTCCGTCCGTTCGGTATTAGTACGCTCGTCGTCGGCTTTGACAAGAATGACTCTACACCGCGCCTCTACCAGACTGAGCCCTCTGGTATCTACTCCGCATGGTTAGTATTTTCCACCTTGACCCTGACACCTGTGAAATATGTCTTTCTAACTCCTACTTCCTACGTATAGGAAAGCCAATGCCATTGGCCGATCCAGCAAGACCGTTCGCGAGTTCCTCGAGCGTAACCACCAGGACGACATGGACCGTGAGCAGACGATTCAGCTGACTATCAAGTCATTGCTCGAGGTGGTGCAGACCGGTGCGAAGAACATCGAGGTGGCCATCATGGCCCCTGGCAAGCGCGTGGAGATGCTGCCCGACGACCAAATCGAGTCGTACGTTAAGAGCATCGAGACCGAGAAGCAAGAGGAGGCGGCCAAGAAGAAGACCAGCCGGGGCGGTGCTGCCACGGCTGCTATTCTGACCCGGCCTGGCGGTGGCGAGACGGCCGAATAAGAAGGATAGAGGAGGCGTCTGATTACCCGCCGGGTGGTTGGATCTGTGATTTGTGCCTATTTACTGTAGCGCTGGTCTCTTTACTTGACGAGAACTCAAAACCACGAAATTCCTACACAAGACCATTCATGGAAAGATGGATCCCCGTAGTGTATTAGAATAGATGTGGGTATTGATAACTCTTGGTCTATAGCTCCCATAGGAGAATATTATAACTTGAAATAAAAGGTAGAAGCGGAGGTAGAAAGTGTAGTAAAGTCGTCAATTTCATGAAAATGAGCGCCACGAATGACTCTCCTCTAGCCCATCCGGTCGGAAACATCACGGATATTGAACAAAGATCGTTCTTGGTCACCACGAACACGATCATCCTTGAGCATCCTACAAAATTGTCAGCATTCGCATCGAATCTGTATTCTTTGCAACTCTCCACGTACCGGTTATCCATGCGCGCGTCTTCACCTTCCACTTGGAGCGTCGCCTGGGGGGTCACGGCCTCGAGAACGAAATGGTTATCGCAGTGTGGGCAGTACTCGTCACTAGATCAAATCACAAGGGTGTTAGTCCACAATACTCCTGGTCTGGACGCGGGGTATCAATACCTCTCTTCGAATTCGGCGGCGTCCTTGCGGAAGCACTTCTTGCACTTTTTGCATGCAAAGATCTATTTTCGAAGACAAAGAGTGTTAGTCCAGATCGCATAGGACCATTCTAGGGTTGGACCAAGACAACGCACCATCTCCTGAGCCTTCTTCAGCGTATGCGACTCCTGCTCCTGGTGGCATTCGGCGCAGTCAAACCATTTCCGGCCTTGTCGAGGTCAGTCAATTGTTCGTCAAGGATATAGACTTCTTCGGACTGAGCGTACAGCAAGGGGAGCGAATAGAGACTTGTGCGTTAAGAATGTGTTTACTGCGGACGCATGACTATTAGTTGGAGATCGCCCCTAAGCCACCCAAGACCCTGGATATCGAGCTCCAACAGAGCTGAGTCGAGCAGACGAAGACTTACCACATGGCTGCGAATAGTATCTGCCTGGTCACTGGCAGTTGGTTCTCGTTGATAGACAAATTATTGCAACACCCCGCGTCGGCGTTCAGGAAAGGAAAACGTTGCGCAGGAACCAGTCGACGATCTGCCACTCCCGTGATCGTCCTCCACTTTCCTCCCCGCCACTCCATTTCACCCATTCCACTGAATCCACCATTTCCTTTCTTCTTTCTCTCTCTCCTCCTCCTATTTCCCCTGATTCTCTCTCGCCTGATTTCTTTGATTTTTACATGCTCGCTAGTCCTACGTTTTGCAGTGTCGCCCGCGCTCCTCCCGCTTTCTTTCGGCGTCCCTGTTGCCTTGCGGCATTTACCCCCACCTAAGCTTCTACAACAACTTTCCTACGCCCGTCACACAAAATTACCTTCTCTCCCAGGGACCGAAAAATTAAGCTTATGATCGAAGCTGCCGGCTGGCTCTGGCGACGGATTCGTGGTTATGGCCATGGAGGGAAACGGCAGAGAACAGGAGAACACTGACGACGCTCCCATTGTATGCTTGCGCAGCTGATCTAAATATGGCACGCGGATAACACTAACACCGCCCCAACAGAGACCCGTCTCCTCTTTGCTCTCACACTTTGAGAACCTCTCCCATACTCAGCCGCGTGCGTCATCTGCTTTTGGTACTAGCCCACGCGACTCGTCTAGTCGCTTCTTGAAGACCCCCGAACCTGTCGACGAGCCCCGATCTAGTCGCGCCTCCTTGGATTTACCTCGACCACATTCCCCATGGACTACGACGGGTGATGAGAGACCATTGCGCGAAAATGGACAGAACAATGGCGATCAGCTGCGGGCACGCGGATCCCCCGGAGGGAGATATGGCCGGCCTATTTCGATGAGCATTCACCATTCGTCGCCACAGCTTCCGCCTACGTTGACCGTTCATTCTCCCAAGTCGCCGCCGCGGAACATGGAGCGTGAGCGTCGCTCGCCTCCTCAGGATGACCGTCGTATATCTCGAAGCTCGATCTACTTCCCTCGAGAGTCGGTCTCCGCAGGGGTCTCGGCTGCGCCTCGGCCTCGTCCGGTGACGCCGCAGTTCGGCTCGTCGGTGCCTGCGGCGGAGACAATGGAGCGGCTGTCGCCGGGTATCCCCACGGCGAATGGGCGTAGTAGCCCCGCAGACCGCAAGCTGAAGAGTGCATCATTGCCCCCGCCAGCGAACCGGGCTGAGAAGCCGAAGATCCCTGCCAAGCCGGCGATGTTCTCGCATCCTGATACCGGCAACCTAGCTCCCCGGCAGGATCGACCGTCAGCGGATGACCATGTCTCGCCGTTTAGCACTCCCCCGAGTAGCCCGGAGAAGGCGCCGCTCAAGCCGATGTCTACGGGGAAGCTCCCACCGAAACCACCTGGACGGCCTATTACGGAACCTCCTAGTCGGCGCTCTTTCGATGAACGGTCACCAGCACCGTCAGCTCCCGCAAGACCCGACCCTAGGGATCTAGGCTTCTCCAGGTCTCGGCCAGCCCTTGAACCATCTCGAGCTACCAAACCCCTGAGCGTGCAAATCCCACCTCCCTCTCCTGGGATCATCGATCCTGCGTCGACGGCTCCACCCCTCTCTGCGCAGAGACTCAGGGCTAGTGACAGTCCTTGGGATCGTCCAGGACTCCCTCCAAGATCAAATTCTACAGCAGTGCGTCGAAGAGGACCTTCGCCCGCCAGAGACCCTCCACAGACGGTGGCCAGTCCAGCTCAAATGACGCCTATCGCCCGATCTGTGCCTTCGTTCACACCTATCAACAAAGAAAGTCAAGCTCCGCGTCCAGTTGCGCGACAACAGTCATTGCCGCGCGAGTCGCTTATGCCGTCTTACCCGGAGCGGCGTGTGGTTCGAACGGATACGGAAGAAGAGGAGCCGATGGCCGACGAGGGTCCAGTCTCAAGGACGGATTATCCCGATGCCTCCCAGGCCAATAGACGTCCTCCTCTTTTCAAGACAGGGCCAAGAGAGATTCATACTAGGTACGACACTCGACTGCTCGCCGTGTGTGGTAAGTATGTCTGTACGACTGGGTATTTGACTCGAGTCTGGGATCTTACTACTGGTGAGCAAGTGATGAGCCTGAGTCACGGCGAGACGGTGAAAAGCTTGTCTCTAGCCTTTAAGCCAGGCACAGCGCTTGAGGATGAAGGACAACGTATCTGGCTTGGGACTAGTGCGGGAGAACTACATGAAGTTGATATTCCAACCAACGCCATCGTGGCTACTCGATCGTATCCATCTCGTCGCGAAGTCATTCAGATTTTGCGACACAAGAAAGAAATGTGGACGCTGGACGATGAAGGGCGGCTGCTGGTTTGGCCGCCAGATGAGACTGGCACGCCTAATCTGCAGTATAGCTATCACAGCCCTCATGAGCGTGTCGCACGAGGCCACACCTTTTCGATCGTTGTGGATGACAAGTTATGGCTGGCGTCTGGCAAAGATGTTTATATCTATCGTCCCAATACGCGGGACGACTCTGCCTTCAAAGTTCTCAAGCGACCACTGGGTCAACAACATTCTGGAGATGTGACTTCCGGCACCTATACCACCCAGGACGGCGGCCGTGTATACCTGGGACATGCGGATGGTAAGGTCACCGTATATTCCTCAACGGACTACTCCTGCTTGGCAGTGGTGAATGTGAGTGTTTACAAGATCAACTGCCTCGGCATGGTGGGAGACTATCTTTGGGCAGCGTATAAAACAGGTATGATTTACGTTTACGACGTCAAGACCAATCCTTGGACGGTGAAGAAGGATTGGCGTGCCCATGACAGTCCCGTCTGCGGCTTCGTGCTGGACACAAGTAGCGTGTGGACGATGAATCGCCTCCAGGTGACGTCCCTAGGAACGGATAACACTATCCGGATTTGGGATGGTATGCTGGAGGATGACTGGCTAGGTGAGTTTTCCATCACTAAAGTTCTAATCTAGTTGCCGCGTCTAACATTAAACAGAGAACCGCATGCAAACCAGAGATGTCGAGTTTTGCAAGTTCCGTGAGATTCGGACGGTTATTGTTACTTGGAATGCTGGAGCATCAACCCCTGGTAGTATCCGCACGTCAGATTTCATCCGAGATGCTGTTCACCCGGAGGATCCGCCTGATATTATTGTTTTTGGGTTCCAAGAGTTGGTTGACCTTGAGAATAAGAAGATCACAGCCAGTAAGTGCCATCGTATTGGGGTTGTGTGTACGTCTACTAACTCCCATGCACAGAGAGCTTGTTGCTTGGAAGTAAGAAGAAGGAAAACGGCGAAAAGGAACATATGAGTCGGCAGTACCGGGTTTGGATTGATCATCTCACCCGATCTTTGCACGAATGCATGCCTCTTGAGGAATCTTACGTTCTTCTTCATACTTCGAACATGGTTGGACTGTTCACCTGCGTCTTTGTTAAGCACAAGGAACGTCATAACATCAGCAATATCAGCGCATCGGAGATCAAGCGGGGAATGGGAGGATTGCACGGAAACAAGGTTTGTAACAGGTTGTCTCCGTCTGTCGCAGCTTTCTCTAACGTGTGTGTTACAGGGTGCATTGATCTTCCGCTTTGTCCTCGACGATAGCTCGCTGTGCTTTGTCAATTGCCATCTTGCTGCTGGCCAGACACAAACTGCCCATCGCAATAACGACATTGCGGCCATTCTCGAAGCCGAGACCCTACCACCCGAGAACAGTCTCACAGTTCGCACCGATCAGTTCGCTAGTGGCGGTGACGGTTCGATGATCATGGATCATGAGATCTGTATCTTGAACGGAGACTTGAACTACCGTATCGATGCCATCCCACGTAATGTCATCATCGACGCCGTCCGGCAGAACAATCTCCCCAAACTTCTGGAACGTGATCAACTCTTGGCTTCTCGACGAAAGAACCCGGGTTTCCGACTCCGCAGCTTCACCGAGGCACCTATCACCTTTGCGCCGACTTATAAATATGATGTCGGCACTGACCAGTACGATACGAGTGAGAAGAAGCGCTCCCCTGCCTGGTGCGACCGCGTTCTTTACCGTGGCCTGGGCCGTGTCAAACAGCTCGAGTATCGTCGGCATGAAGTTCGTGCCTCTGATCATCGGCCCGTCAGTGCGACCTTTAAGGTTCGCGTTAAGACGGTGATGCCGCAGGAACGCGCTGTGACATGGGAAGCGTGTCAGCAGGACTTTCAAAATGAGAAGCGACGACTGGCTTCGGAGGCTAGGTAAGCCAACGATCCTCTATGTTTTGCTTTGCTTGCGGATTTGCTAATGTTCATTTCCAGCATCGAGTATCTCATTACGGTCCTTGGCACTGATCCCCGCCAGGCTCGTGGGTTGATCCTTGGCAAGGGTCAATAGCCTAGCCTGGCTATTTCTGCATCTTAAAAAACAAGACTTGAGCATGGGCATTGCGGCGGCGTGGAAACCCTTTTCTTTTTCCTAATGGCATGGGAAGCACGGACGTATATTGTACGAGTAACGATTTCACGATAGACATGTATCATGACGGAGCTAGAACCTGCCTTGCTTGCTACTGTAGTACCTGGTTGCATTGCGTTTAGTTTGCACAGTCGTATTATCCTCTGTTGATCCCAGAAACCCCCACTATGAACCGGTTTATCGGCTTGTTCTGTGGACGCCACAGCAGAGAAACATACTTCGGTGAAGTGATGTCCGGGGCAGTCCGGGGTATAAGACAACGCAGTCAAGCTTTTCCTAATACTACTGTGTATGCATCCAATATTCCGAACCCCATTAGGCAGTTCCAATTGCAGTTTTCAAATTCATGACCTGAGTACCTTTTGTTTTCGCCCCGATCCCTGTCCGAATAGGATTCCCACCAATAATGCGTGATGCCACCCCCGCGCGCAACGCGAGGGATCGGCATCTTGTTTGTCTTTCTATGGACAGGAATGTCGCTACAAATTTATCCGAAGTCTTTGATCTGGGATCTTCCCCGCTCTACGTAGGTGATGATTGAAAGTATAAAGAGTAGTGTGTCTGGGCTGGTATTTCTCAATTATCATACGCCAAGCACCTTCTGGCTGATCGTTTGAAGTATACATTATGTTGACTTCGTTGTCTTTGGCTGCATTGGCATTCTTGCCTTCGGCGAATGCGCTCGTCAGGAAGGATGGTGTGGTATGTCAGATTGCTCTTCTGAAATTGACCGTGAACAATCTGATGTGGGAAACAGGGTCGATTGCCGGCATTGGGATGGAATAGCTGGAATGCCTTTGGTTGCGATGTCAATTCTACAAAGATCATGACTGCTGCCAATGAAATTGTCAATCTCGGTTTGAAGGACCTTGGATATGAATACGTTAATAGTGAGGCTCCTGCTACCCCAGAGAAGGGGCTATGTCTAATTGGACGTGTTGGATAGTTGACGACTGTTGGTCTGTCGAGAACACTCGCAATTCGACGACCCAGCGTATCATTCCTGATACGTCGAAATTTCCAGATGGAATATCTGGGATCGCTGATCAGGTGCATCAGTTGGGCTTGAAGGTTGGCATTTATAGCAGTGAGTGAGTCTCATCATACTCTAATGTCCTACATTAAAAAAACATCTTGTAGGTGCTGGCGAGACTACTTGTGCGGGGTACCCTGCTAGTCTGGGATACGAGCAGGTTGATGCAGAGGCATTTGCGGAATGGGGAATTGACTGTGAGTTATTTGTCGTCTCGAAATCCTTTCAGGAATTCTACTCATCCATTCTATAGACTTGAAGTATGATAACTGCGGCGTCCCAAGTAACTGGAAAGACCAATATGCCGCCTGTGTCCCTAGTAGCTCCACCGACGGTGCCAATGGAACTTGTCCTGACCTTTCTGACCCGGCGCCCGCTGGGTATGACTGGACTCAGTCTAAGACGTTCACTCGGTATACTGCAATGCGTGATGCCCTTTTGGCACAAAGTCGAACCATTCTATACTCCCTGTGTGACTGGGGCCAAGCCGACGTTAACACTTGGGGCAATGAGACTGGTAACTCGTGGCGCATGTCGGAAGATATCGGAGGTGGGTTCTTACCAATTATGAAAGTCGAGATGGACACAAGAAGCTAACTAGAGATCAATAGCGAATTGGGATCGCATCTCTCTAATTGCTAATGAAAACAGTTTCAAAATGAACTATGTTGGATTCTGGGGCCACCCGGATCCTGACATGCTTGAAGTTGGAAATGGAGATCTTACTGCAGAGGAGAATCGTGCTCACTTTGCCTTGTGGGCAATCATGAAGTCTCCACTGATTATTGGTACTGCAGTAAGTTTCAACACGAACAAGCCGAGTAGGTCGGTTATGTTAACAATAATCTAGCTCGACAGCATCAGCGATGCCAACTTAGCCATTCTAAAGAACAAGTACTTGATTGAATTCAACCAAGATCCCATCGTGGGCCGCTCAGCCCACCCATACAAATGGGGATACAACCCCGATTGGACCTTTGACTCCGATCACCCCGCTGAATACTGGTCCGGTCCTTCCTCGACGTTGAAGGGTACACTCGTGCTGATGTTGAATTCGGAGAATGTCACTTCTACCCGTACGGCGGTGTGGAAAGAGGTTCCGGAATTGAAGCACCATAATGCGTATCGGGTTATTGATGCTTGGAGTGGAAAGAATCTTGGCTGTGTTAAGAAGCAGTATAGTGCTTCGTTGGCGAGTCATGATGCTTCTGTGCTTGTGGTAAAGGAGGCTTGTTGAGAGGATGTTGAACTCTTTGGGGAAATGAGCTCCTGATGCTTCCAGGTTAACGAATGCTTACTTCCTTGAAGTATCGAGTTGTTTCTTGTTTTGAAACTAGTCAAGGATATCCCGATCTAGGCAGAGAACTCACGGGTTTGTTGGTCGAGATGCTGTTAGTGAAAGCCCTTCGAATTAATTGCTGTCTCACTCTCTGACAGCTGTAAATAATATCAAAATAAAAATGATGGATGTCATTGCCTCGCTGATTGTACAATTCCTGATTCGAGGGTGTTGCATATCCATAGAGATCAATGGATATCGTCCGTTCAGGCTCTCTCTTCTGGTCGGGGAGATCCATAACATAGCTCCGTGAACTACCACGTTCCGCCGAGTTGAGATTGGAGTAATGAACAAGTTATAGTTTAATTAGGATAAAAGAAGCTATAGTCTCTCATGACTTAAAATTTCGGTGGTCCTTCGAACCAATGTAACTAGAAAATTCACAATCCCAAATTCCGCTTTGCAATCTTCAATGCATCGCGCAAAACGCTCCAGCGGATCGCATTATTGGCACGCCACTTGAAGACTTGAAGTGGAACGGTTGGCCCGACATATACTTGATACGGGTGGTGCATTGCTAGTGGCCACATGTCTTCCAAGAGAGCTGATTGAGCCTCCAGGAATGCATACAATTCGCCCCATACCAGACTTCCAACAATGCGCATCTGCCCGATGTAGCCAGGTGACTCGTCTGGTCGGCTGGCGCCCTCTTCCGGGTCGAAATTCGGGTCGATTGCGAGGACGAAGCCGGAAAAGTCACCTGGAAGGAATTCGGATGTTGGGGCTCCATAGGTATCGGTTGTGTAAGATGCGAAGGAGGCGGAATCAACGGCGAGGAAGGCATTCGATTGTAGTTTCAAGAGTAATGGATTTTCCCTTTCCTTTCTATAGCCTTCAATTTCGGAATCGTCGTTGTTCATCATTTTGTTGAAATGTCTAGCTCGGTCATTAGCTTGGGTTCACTTGCGTTGCAGAGACGGATGGTAAACTATACTTTTTGGCGGCTTGAATGTCATTCTCAGCAAATCCAAGTTCCTTTCCATCTAACCAGTGAAATTTCAAATAAGGTTTGAGGACATCACTGCCAGCCTGGCCTGGACCCCAATCAGAGATGTGTGCTTCGAGTTTCTTGACGAATTCCGTCCACTCGGACTCGGATTGCCCATGAGTGAGACGATAAATCGCTAATCCACAGTCTTTAGGCTCATTATTCTCTTTTGCACGGCGAATAGCACCCAGGGGGTACGTCATCCAATACTCCTGCGGTATGGAGTCACTAGAATCTCCACGGAGCTCTCGTCGCACCTGGTTCTGGGCTTCAAGTTGATCCATTGCAGAGTCGCGATAGGATTCTCCGGAATTTTGGTTACGGCTGCCTCCACTTGCAGCACCGTTTATAATCCTTTGGATCATTATTTGGTGACTGATTGTCTTCAAGCGGCTGGAGTATACCTTGCCACGCGTGGACAAGTCTGCAACGTACATTTCCACTGGGCCGCTGCCATTCTTCGGAGCTGTATACCCTCTGTAGCCGTTCATAGGAATCATGATCCCGTAGTCTGCACGTACGGAAATTTCAAGCAACATGTGTAGCCTATCCATGATGTTCCATTGCGTTCCGTCGGCGAGCCCAATTCCTTCAACCAGGGGCCGATGGTCCAAAATGCCTTGCATCAAGGGAGCTCGCAAAGCATCAATGTGCCTCGTGACCCAGCTATGCGCATTCTGGGTCATCACCTTATATGAGTTGGTGATGTATATGGTCCAGCTATTCGCCACACTGATGAGTTCCTCGCCCTTCTCCGCTCGCTTCTGGTTGAGAAGCGTATCCAGCGTTTCCCAGTGCTCGTAAATCAGATTGAAAGTCTGGCGGAGATTGCTTCGGACTTGATTGGTGTTGAGATATTCAAACACCGCGACGACAGCCGAAAAATGCTGGCAGGCTATATCGAAGTTTTCCGGGAGATGCAGTCCGTTCTCCTGCCATCTTTGATCGCTCATTGGCACGATGCCTTCCCAAAGACGGGATTTGAGAAACTGGATATTTTTGCCGACTAGACAGAGCCGGTTACCGTCCTCCAATGAGCCAATTCGGCTCATGACACGGTTCATGATGGTTTCACTATCAGACCCTGGGGGCTGACTGCCCATTATAAAGGGAAGCTCATCTTGGGATAGCGTGCCAATGGAGGAGGGCCGGGTGCCATCGGGAAGTGGCTGCCCGAACATAAACCCAACAAAATGTGCAATAGTCTGCGGCTCCAGGATCCGATCGACTGGTAAATGGGAAAATTGACTCCATTAGCTGACTCCTGAAAGGAGAATTGAAAACGCGAACGCACCGATAGACAAGTCTGCTTGGGCCTGGATGTGAGGTCCACTGACCGGACTGCCGGTACCCCGCAGGTGGCTGTACATTGCGACTGCGCTATTGGTAGTTGAGATCTATTCAGAAAAAACAAATCGACCCCTAGGTGAGGAGAGAGATGGAGATGATGTCTCTTTAAAAACTTGAGCTCGGCGCCAAGGTTTCCGCCTCTAGGGGCAGCCCATTGAGAGCCGCATGAGACCCTGAGTGGCTAGTGTTGTTTTAGCGTGGATTGGGGACTCTAGATTGCCTCAAACGGGTTTGGCGTGGATCGCTGCCTGTCGCTTGGGCTTTGGTTGTCATTTATTGGGGGCGATTTCAAGCGGTCCACTCCGCGTCCGATCCAGTAAGATCTTGTGACGTTAGAGTAGCCTGGCAGCGCCGGATGGTGGGATAAACACACACTCAAGCTTTGATTAAACCCGTTTGATGGACCCTATTACTAAACAGGGGTTCCGGTACATATTTGACTATACTTGGAATATTTGTTTCCAAAGAGTGCCTAGTCTTCTGCTGACAATTATAGCAGTGTTTTGCTGCTCACTTATATTGAAACAAAACTACCTAGAGACGGAAAAGTCTAGCGGGAACATCTCTAGGTGCCATCAGGTTGTTCAGCCTCTCATCGGTGATCTGATAGAGTGCCGGGAGGCGACCGGTGACATCTTCACCTGCGATCATGGCACCGAGTAGCTCTCCAACAAGCCAGCACTTATCCATACCATAGCCATTGAACCCAACCGCAGCCCATTCCTTGTCACCCGGTCTTCCAGTTAACCTCTTACCAAGTCGGCCTACCATGGGCATTCCGTCTGGTGTAAATCCCATGATACCAGACCAAATTCGGCGTGGGTTAGATTTCAATGGCTCTCCAGTTGCTGACTTGAACGTGCCAGCCATCAAAGAGGTCAAATTTTGAGAGGGCAAAGTAGGAACAACGGTGTCATCGCTGACAAGAATCTCTTCTAGTCGTTGCTTCTCACCACCAAAGAAGAAATCACCCGTCTTTGCATTCTGCGTCATATAATAAAGACCGAAAGTAAAAGTGCCCGTGGCTGGATCAAACTTGGGCTCGTGGTAGATGCTCCATGAGTGGCGGGCGCCGTGATTTGGGAGGTTCGGAGCGATTGATTGGGTCGACATGGTGCCACGGAATGGGAAGATCTTTCCTCGAAGCTGTGGGATCAAGTGTGAAGTGTATGCGTTCGTGCAGTAGACCACTTGATCGGCGTAGACTACTCCGCGAGGCGTTTGCAATTTATGACGGTAGCTAGACTTCTCAGCCTCGTATGTGACGCTTGTCACGGGTGTATTGGTGTCAATTGAAAATCGTGATGGGTTCTCTTTGAGTAGTTTGGCGAAAAGTCCAGTGATAATGCGATAGGGCCATACTGCGCCCGCAGGTTGTTCGCAAGCCCCAGCAGATTCATTGAATTTGTATTTCTGAGCCAATTAGTTTTTGGAGATAGATGTACTTAGGTGTGGAACTCACAGCTTTAGCTTCTTCGGCGGAAAGAATCTTGAATTGATCTGAGAGTTCGGGGCAAGCTGCCGAGAACTGGCGGAGAGAGTCCTTAAAGTGTTCAAAAGTCGCTGGTTCAAGGAAGTTCATGACTTTCTGGACTTTGCGAACTTCCGATGCATCTCGAAGATCGTCGTCTAGCGTAGACACAAATTCATGGAATCTCTCGAGATTGCGAAATGAGAATCGTGTTACCTCCGCAGCCTTTTCAGCTCCAAATAAACTCGCAACTGCTGCAAAGTCGACAGCTGCAGGAGAGACCAAGTGTCCACCGTTACGACCAGTGGCGCCACTTGTCAATGCACGGGCCTCGAAGAGAGCAATCCGCTTATTGCGGAGCTTGGGGTTGCTCAGAAGAGTTCGCGAGACACTGCAGCCAGTGATTCCCGAGCCAATGATGGCAATGTCGACTTCTGTTGGAAGCTGTGGTGACTGGATTGTGGAAATAGCATGAGCGGGCTCTTGCCAGAATGCGACGGATGGCCCCTTACGAGGGAGGCCGGGGTCTTGGGTCACCAACGACACAATCTGCTCGTGGACCGCCTTACGCTTGTCGTCAATAACCATAATGAAGGTCTATAAGTGAAAGTATCTTTCTCGTCAAGTGATGTTGGGTAATGAGCCTTGAGGAACTTTGTCTAATCGACGGGCATTGGGAATCAAGCTGGTACTTATAGGGTCGAGATGGGATAATACCACAAGTAGTCGTTATATGCGTTGACCAATAGGCAACTGTTACTTGAAGATAAGTATCATTGATCTCCCCGGGTTCGCGTAGATAGGCCTCGATTAGGTATATCTATCGCAGCCCCGCACATTCCCCATGCTCTGCCGACGCATTAACCCTTGCACCAAGACTGCCTATTTGGGCATGTCCACCCGAGTATGTGGAGGCAAACTGGGATCCTATCTTAACATACCCCTCGTTCAGCAGTATGGTTGATAATTAATCATGTGAAATGGAGACATTACCAGGCTAGTTAAAATATTGAAGAGAAGCTAATCTTTTTTTTGCAACTATGTAATGTGTTCCTGATAACATGCTCGTTTCTTCTCATGCGCGCATCTACCTTCTCTTTTCGCACAATCTACACCCGAATAGTAGAAAAAGCTAATCATCTAGTGAACCCCTATCCACTTCCGGATGGCGTTATCCGAAAGAAGATCCCTGCGTTGATCAAGCACAATAGTCAACCCATATATATATATACTGTACTTTCACGGCACGTCCGAGTAGAGTGTCACTGTCGAGATTGCAGTATGCGCCGATCGACCAACACGAGTGACCCACTCCAATCGCGGGCGCATCCAAATGCAGACCCAGCCATGATCTTGGCACGAGGGGTTTAACTATGACCCGACTCTCCAATCTTTTTACAAAGTAAATTTATTTTGATAGTGGGATAGTCTAGGATAATTTTAATAATGCCCTGCGTCAAAGTCTTGAAGATCTTGATTAAACCTGAGGCTCTTACTGTGCCCACCCAGGAACATAATTTGCGGAGGCCCTCAAAGTCTGTTCTCTTTTCTAAGATGAGGATCTCTGGAACTTTGATAACATACTTTCTTGATTGTCTCATCAAGCCCCAGTTGTTTCATAAAATGTGAAATAATAAAATTTGGCTCGCATCGAGGAGGCAGAGTTGATATAAGGCTGTCAGGGGCCTGGTTCATCATTTATGAAATTCCAAAAAAAATGTCATAGTCTTCTGAACAAACAACCCCCAGGCGGCTGCCCTCGTCGACTCAGGTCCAATGCATTGAAGTATGAGGGCTACAGGGGTACCCGTTATTGCACTCCGTGTCCGTTGTTGTGCAACAGTGATACTATGGCCCCCACTATACAGGACTGTAGTTCCCGTCCGCTAACCAACTAACCGTTGTACCTTTCGTGAGTCATAGTTTATTATAACTAACTTATCAACGAAGTAGAATGGAGAATCACTTCGTCTTGTATGAGCTTTCGTTAGATCGCCCTTATCATACTCAGCTTCTAATTCCCAGCGCCCTATGGAAATAAGGCTATACCTATGCACATCACAAACTTGAAACCATCGCGATTCATGTGGGTACATGTATGACCTGAAATGGCCCCTTTCTTGATTCATCATTTACTCTGTGACTCATTACAATATTATAGTTATAAATCCGCCGAAATACCCTGACGCATGAAAATACTGTTTCGATAATCGCTCGCCTTCAAAGTCTCCGCACTCCTGACCCAGTGGACGCCAACACCATGACATCAAAATGGCAAGCCATACATCTTCTCCATGGAGTCCGAGCCATAGTTGGTGGTCAAGGCCCCCCTGTGATTCTCATTCCAGGCTGGCCACAAACAGCAGAGGCGTTTAGCGACATCTTCGAGCCCCTTTCAAAACAGTATCAGTTCTTCGCTCTCGATCCCCCAGGCTTGGGCGATTCACCTGCTCCCCTCAATGGTTATGATACCGCCAACGTGAGCAAAGTCATGGCCGAAGCTGTTCACGATCATTTGAAAGATAAATCGTACCATCTGGTTGGCCACGATGTGGGTGGATGGATTGCTTATCCCTGGGCTGCTCAATTCCAATCGAAAATCAAATCGCTCAGTATACTGGACGCATCGGTGCCGGGTTTCTTGCCCAAGTTTGAGTTTCCATTGTCTCGCCAAACCAACTTGCGTCTTTGGCAATTCTCATTCAATGCGCTTCCTGAATTACCCGAAATCCTGACGACTGGCCGCGAGCGGGAGCTACTCACCTGGTTCTTCAATTTGAAGACCGTTCATCCCGGTGGTTTGCCTAAAGATCAATTTGAACGCTATATCCAAGCGTATTCAAGACCGGGAGCGATGAGTCGGGGGTTCGAGTATTACAGAGCTTTTGAAACAAGCGCGAAACAGAATTTGGAATTTACAAAGACACCACTCGATATCCCTGTCTTGGCTTTAGGTGGTGCTAGCTCGGTCGGTTCGGGCATGATTCAGTTGGTCCAGAACTTTGCGACTAAAGTTTCCGGTGGAGCTATTGAGGATTGTGGGCATTTTCTCCCTGAAGAACAACCATCTGCTGTGGCACAGAGGCTGCTGGAGTTTTTAGAGGCAAATGAAACGGACTAAAATTCCCTTGGACACACATTCCAACATCTATATAGATACGGAATTAGATAATAGCATGAGGGTGTCACGCTACTAGAGGTTAAAAGAGTACACGGAGAGGCAAACAATGGTAGTACTGTATCATAAGAAGTTAAGACATTGTGGAGGAATCAGCTAGAAAACATTCTTTTTAGGGCGGCACTTAGCTGGTCCTTCCGGTACTTCTTAGTTCCCTTTAAATCACGACCGACTATCGGAGCGATAATTTACACAATAAAGAACAATAGTGTCAAAATGGAATGATGATACACGGTCATATTTTCTCTCCTTAGCCATCTTCGAATCGTGAAGCACAGGCCATCGGGGCTGAGTTCTCCCCCGATCGACCTTCTTTCCCGTCGGCTGCCCCGTTTTCAGTCGATGCGGTCGCTTTGAGTTAGCGCCACATTTGATGGCCGCGCAATCCGATGACTATGACAGCGGGAAGTCACAGAATCGGTGAGAAGCTTAACACTCGGGATACGAGTTGATGTATTGTGGTTGAATGGGCGACTTCAATAATCCGATGTGAGACACCTATTAATCAAGATTCCCCTACAACGACAAAGCAATTGTACTTCAGCACAGACTTTCAACTGATCTCGCGTGATTCTTTGCCGGTTAACTCGACCAGGGCGTCCAGGTTCCAACCAATTTGATATCCACCCGCTTTCAGTTCCCCCAATGACGTGGTTTATCTCCGACTCGTGCAGCCGTTTCCGTCGCAATACTCCACCGAACTGGGGCCAGCCCCTCCGATCGCAGTCGAAGCTGTGTATTATCTGAATCCGTTAGACGGAAATGATTGGGTCGTCCTTCTTTGTTATTTGGCTGGAAAGGCCTACTTGGCCCCATATAGCTATCTTTCCCCCCTTCTATTCGGGGGCTCCGACCACAAATCTTGTTGGCGGTTTCATGGAAATCCTGGGGACTCATTTACGTCAATTTTGACCTCCTTGACTACGATTCAACACATATCTCAGTCTTTATTTTCGATTAAAAGACTTTCAAAAGCCCTTTCAAAACGCTATATATCTTTCTGTTTATTTTCATCATGAATGCTCCACAATGAACTGGCTTCCTCGCTTTGCATTTCCAGGTCGCGGCTCCCGGGAGGCAGGTTCCAACACCGGTCGCGGGCGGCTATTCGTGTATTTGGCTTTGACGGCGATCGCATTGCTACTTTCCTATCAGCTAGTTCTGAGTCGCGAGTCGTTGAGTTCTGTGTCGAGATGGGCTGTGGGTAAAGGCTTGACACTTGCCGTCAACCATGCAGAGTCCAATGGAAATCAGACGTCGGAGGGGAAGCCCGAAGCGCATCTAGTGTCGCAGAAGCCTCGCGAAAAAGAGCTTGTGCTTGCTGCTATGAGTTACAGTAACATGTCTTGGGTGCAGGAGAATGTGCCAAATTGGTATACTAATATCTATCGCGCTGATGTGCCTCCTGGTGAGGCTGCTTTGACTGTGCCGATGAATAAAGGCAACGAGGCAATGGTTTTCTTGACGTACGTCTACTTTATTTTGATGCGATCTGATGGTTAAAAGCTGACAATCTATCTTAGTTATATCATCGATCGCTACGACAGCCTCCCCGATGTATCAGTTTTCATGCATGGAGGTCGATACCAGTGGCACAACGACAACCCACTATACGGTATGTACCTCGATATTCGGTTATACTCTACAGCATCGAATAGAAATACCTGACCCGCTTGCAGACTCAGTCATCTCAATTAACGACCTCCAACTCGATTACGTCCGTGAAACTGGCTTCGTCAACCTCCGCTGCTCCTGGGTCGTCGGTTGCCCCGTCGAACTCGAACCAGCCCGCTATTTCCGTGAAAAGCTCGAAGACAATGGTCATCCCACCGCCGTCGAATACCCACATCGTTTCATGGAATTATTCCCCGGCGAGGAACTACCCGAACTCGTGGGCACGGCTTGCTGTAGCCAATTTGCGATATCGCGGGAGAAAATCCATGAGCGGGGCATTGAGGATTATCAGAGGGCTCGTCAGTTCTTGATTGAGACGCGTTTGGCGTCGGAGATTAGTGGGCGGGTCTTTGAATATGTTTGGCACAGTACGATTGTCCCCTTTCTTCATGACGATATTCTTGAAATCAAAAAGTTCAAGGGTGTTTGAGTGACTAGTGCTGACTTTATGTTCGTGCAGTTATGTTTGGCAAACCAGCGCTAAATTGCCCGGATGTTCGAGAGTGTTACTGCCGAACGTATGGATATTGTAATATGACCGACGACGACCTGCAGAGACAGTGGGTGTGGCGTGGCTTGGTTCTGCCTGAAGGCTGGCCCAATGTCGACCCGAACGCAGGATTGCAAAAAAGAGACGAGATACCCTCGGTGGAATACTGGAGGAAATAACGCAGAGGCAACGCTGGATGGGGCCCGGATGGTTGAAGATACCCAAATACATAAGATTGAATATGCGGCTACAGTCTGGTTACGGAACCTAATGAATAAAAGATTCAATAGCTAATTAGCTACCTTGCATAAGCTTTTCACTTGGAATCTTCCACATGACCAAAGGTCCAAATAGCTCCCCTGGCTTTGGCCAAGCCATGCGTACACACGCTCCCCTTTTGCCTAAGCAAAGTAATATTGCGGCCAGGCATTCAGTCGTGGCCTTATTCTGCCCCTTTTCAATTTCTGACCATCTTCAACGCTCTTCTCCTCCCTTTATATTCCGCTGTCATGACTCAATGTTGATCCTGGAGTCTCAAGCCGAGTAAGGCATTATCCAAGGACGCACAATCTAAGAATACGTGCTCATGGTGCCTCATGGATCACTTGGACCGGAAATGTGCCCTTATTGTCGGATCCCGTCAAGTATTCAATGAAAAAAGAATGGGAGATGTGAGCGGGATACTGGAGGAGTCGTGCCGTCATCATCGGCAAGAGAAGCTTGATGTGAGCGAGCTGTGACTCTCGCCAGCGCAGCGCGTCCTAAAAGTCTTCTGCATAGGCAACGTCGTATTGGCGGGAAAGCGTCAATGTTTCCGGGATAGGGTTGCGACCCCAGGCTAGATAAGAAGGGTGTTAGATCCGAGTGATATGTGCTACATCCTCCTCATATGGCAACGTAGTATGCTGACCAGGATGAGCTCGATGTCGTCCAAGATGATCCGGAGAACGTCAACCATTATTTTGATGGAGATAATCGATTTTGAAATTCTTTAGGCTGGGTGGGTGTCTAGGTCGGCCAGGAATTACGTTGATCATCAATTCTACTCAGTGAGCAAAAGCGACGAGGGGTGAGACTTTATCTGGTATATATTCGCATGATTACACATTGTTTCGTTATATCATATAGCACATCGCTCATACAGCTCAAAGAGATGCTGACCATGGCTAAAGTTAGTGCCAAACTATCGACGCTCGCAACAACAAAATATGTTATCAAGAATTACCGCCACAGATCTTGTCGACTCGACCGTTTGTATCCACTACTGCTCTGTGGACGTTCTCCGTCGTCCGCAGGCACGGCCAGGAACCCGCCAAAGCCATTGCCCACAAGTACACTTTTCCGTGCATCACCACCCCATGAGCGACTGAGTTGCGCTTCGTGGAAGCTGACTGGCCTCGTGCCTCTGCGCCCGAAAGCTGGATCGGGATCATAGGGTGTAAAGTTCCACTCCAGCTCATCCAAGCCTTTGCTGTAGACGTTGAGTGGTTGCGTTAGACCACCGCCAGCAAATTGTGGCCCATTCTCACCACCGCCGAATAGTCTGGGTGGTGGTGCGAGGAGCAGCGTATCGGGGAATTGTGCATCGCGGACATATAGATCCCGCAGTGCAGGAAGTGCACGGGACATCAATGATGAAATGAGATAGGTGTAGTATGTTACTGCAACGGGAGGAAGCCCGTTCGTCTCGGCCTCTGATGTAATCTCGTAGTGGAGCAGTCGGAGTGACTTGGACAGCAAGGGGGGAACCTGCTCGGCGGGGAATGAGCGAGTCACTTCCTGAACGATGGACAGGGTTGCGAGCTGCGGAGCCACTGGTAGAATTCGGTGTAGCGTAGACGGGAGTACACCAGTCGAGGCGAGTGTCAGTGACTGCAGTGCTTTTCGGTTAATCGGGACGGAGAGTAATGCGGCAAGCCCGCTTGCCGTAACATTTGGAGTATCCCGAAGGGTGAGCTGCTTCAATGCGGGGAAAGGAGGGAAAGTGCCATTGACAGCGAATGCCGAGTCGTCAAGCCAAGGAAGGTCATCCAACGTGAGATCGCTTATATGGGGGAACGAGGCGAGACCGCTCCGCAGAGTTACAGCCTCGATGTGCAATCCCGACAGTTCCAATTTCTCCAAGTTGACCCAAAGATGTGACCCAGGAAGGCGTGCAAAGCCCCCCTCGGCTCCGTGACGGTAACTCATGCGACGAAGATCAGGGCAACGAGCCATGAGCTCCTGCTTCAGCGCCGCACATGCGGGTTCATCGCTGAATAGACCGGATGGAAGGTCGACGAAACGTAGATGAGGGAGGACGGAGATGGTACGGGCGATGTTGGCCTTATTAGCTTCGCGGGTCATGTAGGGCATGCGAAGCGAGAGGACCATATTTGCCAGTCCTTGTGACTCTCGGACAGCTCGCATGAAGAATTCGAGGCGGACCTGGGGCGCGTCGATGGGGTCGCCATTGCGATCGAAGAAAGACCGGCGTTTGCGTTTTGCAGCGAGTTCGACCTCGAGTTCGCAGTAGTGGACGGGGTCAATGCGGACATTCGTGTAGCTATGGAGAAGAGAGGCGAGAACATGAGTCAGTAAGAGGCCACGAATTGGGATGAACCACGGGGGCAGGTTGTTGCGGTCGCATACAGAAGAGCGCGTGCCTCTAGGTACCAGCGCTTGCTGACCAGGGCGCAGTGCGCAAGATCGCGCATGTCACATAGCATGCAGCCATCGGTCATGGACTCCTCGGAGGTCTCATAGGAGTTGTCAACGGTGTGTGGACAGACATAGGCAAAGATGTAGGCGAGCACGGGACGAGGCAGCTTTCTGGTATAATCGCGGCCTGTTGTTTTGGCCGAGCGGGGCGGCGTTTGGTGCTCGGTCGCAAGCCCCGCACTGCGCCGGGGCCGAGCCCGAAGCCGGTCCAGGAGACCCATTCTGAGAGAGATTCAGAAAGGGATCAGGACGAAGAGGTGAGGATGGGGGTGCATGAAGGGGAGAAGGAGAAGAGGAGGAGGCTGGAGGCCAGGACAAAGAGGGAAGACAAAGCGAGGGCACGGGGGGTTCGCTGTAATTTGATCGATTTGATGCAGGGCCCGCCCCCGCCAACCAACGGCGTCACAGAAGAACAAAGCTGAAACGCCCAGGGAAATAAGCAGCCGCTGGAGTCGCTTGTTTCATTTGGTTCTAGTCGTTTCTCATTTGGTGGTCAACACTCCTGGAGCAATTAAAGTACTGCCAATTTGGCCAATCTGGAAAATGGTCATCTCTGCCGTTCATTGGAGATTCCCGGTCGCTCATAATAGCGAATAAGCAAAAGGGTGATGCTATTGTGCTATTATTAGTGATCAGTGAATACCAAAGTTAACTCTGAGCTTACTGGCTACTTAGCTAATTAGTTAGCCGATTGGAATAAGCTTCTTAAGGGACCAGAGCTCCCTAGGGCCAGGAACATGCCCTGACAATTGGCGATAAAGTATATCCAATATAGTATGCATTCTGTTCGTCTATTGGATATTCAACCATAGGGTATCGAGAATAATAAGAGATTCCAAAAGTTATTTGAGGTTAGATCTTCGAGTATAAACCGGCGAGACCACCAGCATCATGACATCACTCCGGGGGATGCTAGCTATGCAAAGGGACAAAAGGTCCAAACTAAATCAGAATTTAAACGAAACCAGTCATGATAAAAGGGCACAGAAATTTCACACCAATAAATGGAAGTCGTGTGTCTAGGCCATGGTCTTTGCTCACTCAGAGTATCGAGGCTCGTCATTGTGGCGACAGTCAATCTTCAAGTCCAAACCAAGTACAAGAAGACCCAATTAATGTGGGTCTTTATAACTGACATCATATCCCCTGGTCAACATAAAACCAACAGGACCTCTTCTAGCCTGCAGGATCATTGAGAAAGTCCTTGGATACTGCGACATCCAAGCTCGGACTCGTCGCAATGGCCGAAATGGGCGCCCTCAAGACGGAGAACCCTCTACCTTCCCCAGCATTCACCAACAATCATCATGAACACACCCTGGAAGATGAGGCCTGGAAACATCGCGCTCCGTATCAAATCAAGAGCCCCGAGGAATTCGGACCGGCCAAGTGGCGCGCCAAGTGCAAATGCGGGCGAATCTCATACACCCTGCGACGCGACAAACCATTGAATGCTAAATTCTGTCACTGTCGCGGATGTCAAGTCATGCACGGCGCTCCCTTCCAATGGGCTGCCATCTTCCACAAAGAAGATATAAATTTTGAGAAGGGTTGCAGCGGTTTGTCGTTCTATTCGTCTTCGCAGAACTCGCGGAAGTACCAGACGCCTACCAAGGTGTCGTGTTCCTTTTGTCATTCGCTTATCATGGATGAGGGACGCAATATGTGTTGTTTGTTTCCGCAATTGATTGAATTCGAGGGCTCGCAGGATGAGCAGAGAAAGCAGAGGGAGGTTTTTAGACCGACGTATGTATCATTTCTACACTGCGAAAGAAGTATTCCCACTAATCAAAGCTTTGGTAATGTAGATGTCATATCTTCTACGAACAGCGAATGATGGATATTCCAGATGGAGCACCGAAGTGGGCAGGGATGGATCAGAGCAGCCAGCTGCTGAATGATCAAGGTGTTCCAATTGACCAAAAATGAGTTAACATAAGATGATGTGTGACGTCAATACGAGATGCATCTACAGCAAATGGGTGTTCAAGGAAAAGGTACATCTGAGTTATGAGAGTTGGGTTGGTTTCTCAACGATCGAATGGATGAACTGGGATCTCTCCTCCATGCAAATGCAAACATATTAATATCAACCTCATCCGTTCATGATGAACAGGCCATGACGAAAACGGCAACGTTCGATTGTATTTGGGAACAGAGAACTTGCAGAGGTCACACTATGACGAACTACGGTAGAATAATAGCTCACTCTATCGCAAGCTCGGTCATGTTTCTGAAATTTCAAGTTCAAAGTCTCAAATAAAATGACCGTTACTTCGCTTTGAACCAGGATACCCTCCATAAGTTCCATCAGGACACCACAACGCTGCACAGTGATTGTAAATTGAGCATTGTATAACCATGCAAGGTGAGACCGATCAGCTGCCATTGACCACCAGCAACACGATGGAGATCAGGTTTCACTACCAGTGCGTACACCGGTCTGAATAGAGCAAAGAACATACCCTACCTGGCTGGCTATTTCTAACCCTAGTATTATCTTGCCGACGACTTTTGCACCGGGATTCGTTGAGCTATCAGCCACGGCCACAAGCACGTCCAGGAATATCGATGTAGACTCCAACGCCTCGGCAGCAAGCGCAAACTTGTCACTGGTCATAGACTTGTCCAGACGCGCAAAATAGCCTATATCTGCCACAAGGAAGACGATCGCCAAACTTGCGTCGAGGACTGCCCATCTAACCTTGGACGGTGTTCGAGTCTTGATAGCTCGAAGAATGAAATTGATCGTGGAGATGCCCAAGTTCAAGTGATACGGCCAGTCCATCTTGTCGCCGAACATCTCTGTGATGGACCACGCATAACAAGGAAGGTCAAATATGATGTCGGCTAGGAATTCGAAGGCGGATTTCGTCCAGGTCATCACTGCAGACTGCCTCGTCCGAGTAACCCACATGACCATCCCCCAGCCGGGCAACGTGCAGATATTAGCGATGGACACGATGATGTTTTTGGTCTCCTCTGGCATCCCTTTGTGCTCTGCTTTTGCTTCATCGGTGATTCTGGTTGTTCGTGTCGGGTCGTTATCGGACGCCAAACTGCGTGGCACGAGTTCTGTCTTGAGGCTCACCAAGTTCTCCAGGCGCAGCAGTTCCGTAGCGACCTTATCGTCTGGGCATGGAGCACGCCCGGTCGCTAACTTGTAAATGATTGTGGATGGGATGGCGCAAATGAGACAAAATAGATCCAGGATGGACATCCCCTTCTTGCCAGTCGCCTTTTCGTACAACCAAGTGATTACGGGAATCTCGATTGGAGTATCGACACTCTCGAGTACAGCCTTGAGAATTGCCTGGATAATATCCAGAATGGCGTGCAGAATATTCTTTGCAGTCTTGACCAGGACAACGCTGCAGAGAGCCAGTGTCTTGGTGATGGCGTCCACGGGATCCAGAGTTGACAGGTTATCCGCGACCTCGCTCTTGAACGTCTGAATGGCGGCATGGACATCGTCCACTTCGCGATCTGCAGACTCCTTGAGCTTATCCATCAGGCTGTCACACTCGCTGCTAATGTTAGCCGACGGTGTGTAATTCGCCTTTGCAACATCGGCGCCGTTCTTGAAGTGATACGTGCCCCAGTTGGTTTGCGGACTTCCAGAATGAGTGCTTTGAGACTTGGGATCGTCCAGCATGCCCGTTGTGCTGCGCCCGACTGGCTTAACGTTGCCTAGATTGGCAATACGATCGGCAAGGCCGTCCAGCATGGTGTCGGCTGTGGTTTTGAGAGAATCCACGGAGCCGAGGACATGGGCCACCCAGAGTTTGTAGACGCCCTTGATCGCGGCTTGTGTTCGCAAGATATCCTGCCAGTCGAAGATAAAACCAAGCCACGAGACAAGGTCATTGAAAGCAACTTTCAGCTTCTCGAACACGAGTTGCATGACACCCACAACCGCCTGCGCCGTGTCCACCACGGCACGGTAGAAGCTGGAGCCCATCTGGACAACAAACTCATAGGCACCCTTCACCTGCTGTACAGCAAACAGCCCAACCTTGCCGGCGTAGTACGAAAATGCCCTGAGTAAATCACCGATCTTTGATGTGATTGAGTCGGCAAGATCCCCAAAGAACTCGACATCCTCGACGCTTCGTTTCTTCCGCTTGTTATTGAGCAGATCACTGACTTTTTCCTGCCCTTCATAGTAGGTAAATTCGGGGTCGCTAAAGTCAATAGCAAAATCCAGTTGAGGTGGTTCTCCGGGGTCTCCTCTTTTCTTCTTTCCAGACGTGGGGTCCAGTTCCTGGCTGACTTGGCCAAGCTGGACGAGGGTTTTCGCGGCCTCTGTGCGCTGTTTGGGGGAGACGGTCGACGGCAACAGAGACTTTTTGGTTCCATCCTCAAGAGTGATTTCTATTTTCGCCAGACTGTCTCCGTCCTTGATATCGAGCAGCTTCGCTTTCGCCTTGACGAGCGGGTCCACAGTAACTGCCTCCGTTACGGTCCCTGGGATTGCCACGGTGAATGGTGCAATGACCAAACTATCGGATTCCAAGACGATAGTGATCTCCCCAACCTCATCGGATACAAAGGTCAAAGGCTTGCTCGGTGATAGAGTGTAATAGACATTGTTGACGAAGAAAGATGTATAGGTCGATGATGAGATCGTGACAGTAGTGTCAGGAGCAGCCCGGCCCAGGTCATCCGCGGTGATAATGCGGGTGGTGGAAGTCTGATATTCAAACACCTTTCCCGTGTCCTCCGTCGGCAACAGGATGGTACGTGTAGTCCAAGAGCTCGTGGCTGGGTCTTGTATGAGCTGCTCGAGATTATGGCCGTGATGCTGTGCGAAGACGACATTGCTTGCGTTGTCGACATTGACAAAGCCTGAAAAATGATTGACTTGCACCAGGATGGGGCAAGAGGTAGTCCACGCTTCGGGCTGATCCTCTTTACCCGCAGCACAAGAGAAATAGAACATCTCACCCACGGCGTTCAAGGCCCAAATCGTAGTCGTCGAGTTCAGGGTGACGGCAGAAAGACGTTTGACGTTCCTAAAAGTTTCGGTCCGCCCAACGAGCTTCTTGCCTAGTGCTCCATTGTGTTGATTGTTGGGAGCAAAGAGATATAGGCCATCCACGCCCGACAAGAAAAGCATCGTCTCACCCTGGCTGTTGGGAACAGACGCGATGCACGTGGATGAAATGGTGCATCCGTCGGGAAGTGTGAGCCTTGATGGGCTGGGGGCCAGTTTTGTGTTGAATGGGTTCTTCTGAGGCGTGTAGATCAGTTGGACCTTCTCTGGGGGAGCTGCATCAGGCTTCTCTGTCCCAATGGGTCCACCTACAGCCCCCAGAGTGTATATTCCGGGAACCAGGTCACCATGCCGGTTACCGGGGCAGCTCTTGATAGAGCCAACTCTGAGTTCCACGGCAAGAGCATGGCGAGCCCAACAATAAAAGGATTCCGGAGTGATGTAGTAGCGATCCAGTAGTTGCAAAGAGTTGAACGGGGCCCGTTGAATGTCAACAAAGTAATTCTGAACGTTGCCATTGGGACCTGGAGTGTTCATCATAAAGACATCTGCAATGACCAACTGGTCGGGCGTATCCTCGCCTTCGGCGTCGAATGGGAGGGATTGCCACAGAATATCGCCATTCCAGGTGTCGGCACTGCTGCTATTGCTTTGCGACATATAGAGATGATCAGACCCCTTGATCGTTACGACGAGGGCGATATCGAACAGGAGAGTCTTTGGGTTTTGACATAGTTCGAATGATTTGACCACGATGGGGGTATCTGGATGGTCTCTTGCGATAGAAACCGAGAGTTCCAGCCTGGTCCAGCCCGTAGCAGTGGCAGGGGCCTCGCGAGCCGCATAGAATGCGCCATCGGCACCGATGAAGAAGAAAAGGGCATATCCGGCAGATGTCTGAATGATTTGGAATGAACCAGATGGAGATAACAGCTGTGCCTGTTTCTGATTTTTCATGAGCTCACTCTCGTAGAGGACCTTCATGGTGTGACAGGTTCGTCAATGGAAATGCAGAGAAAATGATATTTAGTCTGATTAGTGAAGGGTCTTGAGCGATGTAAGAGTGTTTATTATGCCTGGATCCCGGTTCGTATTTGTGGACGGCGGATAAGCACATCCTGATATGTCGTGAATTGGAGAGCTCAGCAACAAATGGTTCGCAAGGGCCGAGTCTGGCTGGCTGAAGCCATATCTCTGCTCCTGCATGAACGGAAGGTTTGAACATCTTGCCTTGCGCCATTTGGCTCAGGAACGAACAAGACATCAAGGTGTATCATTCGTCGAGTCGTGAGCATCTAGAAATGAGTCCAGTGCGGAGCAAATGACTCCACTTTCGAGCTCCTCCTCGAGCTCTGGATTCCGGTCAATGTTGCAAAATTAGCCGACGCGAAGTCAGCTTGAAGGTTTGTCTCCGGTGATGTTAACAATATCGAGTGGTTTGATCTTGCATTTCCGAGATAATAGCTATAGCAGTGGTCCTGTTCATGCACGAGGTGCAGAAAAGTATCAAGCCAGAGGTTTCGATGAGATCAGATCTGAGACCATGATTCACGGGATGGCCGCCTCGCTCGTATTCAGCTCAAGCCATTGTGCGCCTAAGAATTCGTTCTTCCACATCTGAAGTTGTGCTCTTGTCCTGCTGATGCCACTGGCGCCATTGACTGGATCTAGCAATAGTTCGTCGGCACCATACTCCGATATTGGTTTAAAGAACGATCGGCAGGGTCCAGATCCTAGGCTAGTGAGCACGTAGCAAACGAGCATGCTCCATATCGTGGGAGTTATGCAGAATAAACAATCCTATCATCGTGAACTCGCATGGTGATTGGCTGGTGATGGAAATAAACCTCGTACGCGTTGTGGGGGCATCCCAGCCTGCATCCTGCAGCTACGTGTCACAGCTCGTCAATGGTCCCGACACTTTGGGTTGCCAACCTTACTCTCTAGGCAAGTCTTCGTTCCCCAGTTTCACGAACTGCATGCGCTGAGATTTTGAGTGAGATTATGGATGATGCTGCCGGTGGAGCATTGTGGAGGTGATTGATTGCTGGCTTGGCTCGACCAGATTCGTCTCTTCGTCTCTTCGTCTCGCCCGCCGCGCCCGCCATGGAGAATAGCGTATCGTTGTATCGTGGACTTCGTCCGAATCTACAGTCTTGACACTGGTCAGCAGCTTCAGCCAGCCACGGCGCAAATGAACAAATTGATCCGGACTCCAAGTTCATCTCTAGACAGATTTCGAGGCAGATTGAGGGTCCCAGCACAGTCGCTTCGATCGTTCCACCGATCATTGGCTCTTCACAATGGCGTTGAGGCGCAGGGTTTGCCTAACGCCCCTCGCTCCTCACTCATCGCAGAGAAATTCCGATTCCAGCTCGGCCCGTCCGCAATGTTTGGGGGCCCGCATCCAGTTCACAGACCAAGAGGGCTCGCAGCTGTGTTGTGACTCGTGAGATTCTCGCACCAGACACTATGAGATACTCATACTCGCCTATTTAAGCTCAGAAATCTGCACGCTCGTCATCTCCTTTCGTCGGATTTGGCGTTGAACATTTTACCCAACCGACAACGACCAGATAATTGCTGCTTTCACTTGCTGCTTTTCTTAAACAAACATCGACTTATCAACCAGACTCCAGCAGACAGTCAAAATGACTTCATACAATCAATCACAACTTTCTCAATACAGGTTTGACTTCGTCGTGGCTGTGACTCAGGCGAGCATCAATGCCACTATGAAAGCCTACTTGAGCACTTGCCCGGAGCCCGAGATAAAAATCTGTTATGTCGTTGGTCACGATCCTATCACGTCACAAGTTGTTCCCGAAGAGATTCCATATGCCAAGCTCCTCGAATTGACTGAGGGGGTTGATCCGTTCACGGTGAACATCCCATCGTCGAACCCGGAGACTGATCCAAACTTCCAAAAGTTGATCAAGGCAAAGTTCATGACGGGCTTCAAAGTCCGAATGGGTATTCCTGTCGGAGCCGATGTTGCCACTATCCCGGATATCGTGGGACTTCGAGCTGATACAGCCACCGTGAAGTACAATTTGATCTGCAGCGAATTCATCATCGCCGCTGTGCAGAACGAATGGGGAGCCTATTCCTGGCTCCAGAAGGCGCAGGATCCCAAGAAGCCATGGCTTTACTCTGCCACGGTCGATCTGCGCATGGGAGAAGTTCCCGATTCGGCCTATAGCAAACTTCCCAAGGCCGTTCAGGACCAAATCAAGAACCTTTCAGGCTCGGCCTTTAGCATTCAGCAGTTGCTGTTCGATCTCAGCAACGCGGGGTTGTCCAGCGCTCCCAGAATCGACGGCGTCGAGGCAGGCTCAGCCCTTGAAACCATCCTCAATCGCTTCTTTGTGTCCAAATACGTCGCAAACCTGCGCGAAATGGGTGACCCGATGTTGGGTTGTGCCGTCGTTCCAAAAGAGACAGACAAGTCCACGCTCAAACTCACGGACCTGAACTTCTCTGTCAATCCCTATATTGATCCCAAAACCGCGGATGTAGTGCTTCCTCCTGGAACTACGGAGCAGAACCTGGCTTGTCTTAACTATCTTTGTGCAGTCGACAATCACGTCCTTCCCCCTCCAACTCGGTTCCCTTGGAACTGGTTGCAAGGCAATGATAATGCCGATCATGACGGAATTGTATCCATCAATCGAAACAACATGCGGGATTGGCTGGAGCCTTCAATTCAAAAAGTGGTGAAAAAGCACTGCCCAAAGCCAAAGGTCTATGCCAAACATCATGACGGCAACCTTCTGAAGCTACACGTGGAGGTATATTTCGGACCCGACTTGGAAGAGCCGACCGTCGAACGAAAGGACGAGGGGCAGACAGTTATGACGATGTCGTACGAGGGATATTCCGAGGACGATGACCAAGCGGGATCGATCGAGCTCAGGTACAAGTACACTGTGAATGTGGATTTCGTCGGCTCCAACATCATCATCACGCAGAATGTCTGGGTATGGTATTACGCAAAAGCCATTTCAACGTCGAACCACGATGTTGTTATCGACGACCTCCAGACAGACATCTATCCCATCACCGTTAGTAATGGTGAGCTCATTGTAGGAACTGCAGATTCAAAGTTCGAGAAAAGGGCGAATCCTTCGGACAGGAACGGCTTTGTCGGTGCCTTCTCGGGTATCAATCGGGTCACCGATAGCATTCAGGACCAGTTGCAGAAATTGCAATCAATCAAATTGGAGACCATCCCAGTTTCCGCCATGCAGGGATTTGTGTTCCCAGGAGGCAACACGTTCGCTTTCAAGCATGCCGAATTTTCAGAGCACCAGGACCTCGTTGCGTTCATCACGTACACCTCTTGATCACGGAGTGAAAGGGGATCTTGCATGTTGATTCCAGTTATGTAGTGGGAGCAGAGAAATTTTTTGCATACAGTCTGCCTGTTCTTCAAATACAATGCTCGTTGATCAACTTCCTATTCACATGTGTCGCGGTGGACGCTGTGGGTCATGTGGCAGATTCTCCGTTGCACGTAAACTCTCGGACCTTGTATATTTAGGTATAGAAAGTAAGACATGACCTCCGAATGACCAAGAATGATGAATTTCTGGAAGTGCAGTCTGCCTGAGAGCTTCAAAATCGTGCATGTCCCTATCGTCGAGGTTTTGGGCGAACACATACAGGTGGGGGCTCCCCGCAATTGAAGTGTCGATCAGTTTCCTAGGGATCCAGAATCTACATTGAGAAGCTGGCTATACCCGGCTCTTAGGTTGCAAGTTGTGTGAGCATTAAAGATTTCGATCGAATTATTCGAGACAAGCCTTCTCTGGCTGTTAGGCTGGTTTGAGTAGGTAGTGCCGAATGTATTTGGCATCCGTACCGCACCTAACCAGAAGAAGTACATATCCATCTCTTTCAATGATCAAAAGCAAACTAGCTTTCTTTCTGGCCATGGCGCATTGTTGCAATTCGAAAAATACTTGCCGCGAGAACTAACGAGATAGAATATTCTTCTCTATTACAGTCTTAGCCGGTCAGGGCTTGCGCGTGCTGGCTAAAGCGAGACTCGTGCGTTTGTAGATTAGGCCGACCGGGATGTAATGCCGAGGGACAACACACGAGCCCCTCACAAGTCAATGATGATCAACCCCAATAATTGAGTTTCGGAGAATGACATCCAGTTTCTTCCAAACAAGATGCTTTTCGAACCTGCATCGTAGGACTCGAAATCTTGGAATTAAGATATCTTCTCGCGGCTGAGTAACATGGCGACACAGCGGCCGGCACCCCCAATAGTGCCCACGGCCGATATTTGGGAGTTCCTCTTTGAGCGGCCATCTCTGCCTTTCCCTCCAGATCATGGTAAGCATCCCCCTCTTTCATTTTTGCTTTCATTCACCGACACGGCCTTTAGTAATCTTTTGTTCCGCCACCACTGGCGACAAATGGACCTACAAGGGACTTCGAAACCGTGCAGAGCAATTTGGACTTGCACTACAATCCCGCTGGCGATGGAGCAAAGATGATGTCCTCATGGTGATGAGTCCAAATGACATTGATACCCCGCCTGTTATCTGGGGATGCCATTATGCGGGCGGCATCGTGGCTCCCGTCAATCCAGCTTTGTCCATTCAGGACCTTCGCCAGCAGATCGAACGCAGCGAGGCGCGCGGACTCGTGGTTCATCCAGACTGCCTTCCTGTGGCTCTAAAGGCTGCGCGTATAGCGAATATTCCCACGGAACGTATATTGGCCCTTCGCTTTGACCAAGAACTGTCAACCAACGATGGTATATCTACCGTGGACGAATTCATCGCAAGCGCTAAGATGGGTCCGGACATGATAAGTTACCGTCCAAAGATCGATTCACAGAGGGATACTGCTTTTTTGGTCTACTCGTCAGGAACTACGGGTCATCCTAAAGGAGTGATGGTTTCACATCGAAATGTGGTCGCAGATGTCTTTTTGCAATCGATCGTTGAAAGCGATCATATAGATTGGCGCCGAGATCGCACATTGGCCGTGTTGCCCATCTATCATATATACGGTTAGTCTCATATATAATGGGTAAATGGTATGTACGAAAATGAAGCTAAGAAATAGGCCTGGTCTGTCTGGTCCACGCTCCTCTCTATCTCGGGACAACCACGATCTATATGGACAAATTCGAGCTCACCGGATTCTGCCGCTCGATTCAAGACTATCAAATCACACACGTCTTCGTCGCGCCGCCAGTCTTGCTTCATCTGACGAAAAGTGATAAAGTGAGTGAATATAATTTACAATCACTTCGCATGATCACGTCTGGCGGTGCTCCTCTGCCTGCGAATCTCATCACTGAGCTATATGAGCGACGGAAACTTGCCGTTCGACAAGCCTACGGACTTTCGGAAACAACTTCAGTAACACATATTCAGGTATGACTTTGAGAGTAACCATGAACGGAAAAAATTAAAGACTAATACTTACCAGCGCTGGGAAGACTGGAAAAACGGCATTGGTTCAAACGGACAACCACTTCCGGGGGTAGAAGCAAAATTTGTTATTAGTGATACACAAACAGCTTCTGTAGGGGAGGAAGGCGAGCTTTGGATACGGGGCCCTGTTGTTTTCAACGGCTACCGTGGAGAGCCCGAATTAACTGCAGGATGTATGACAACGGACGGATGGTTCAAAACTGGTGAGTTCTTTCCCGGTCTATCTACTATAAATATTTCGAGTGCACTTTTTGATCATCTTAATTAGGTGACATTGGACACGAAGATAAACATGGTAACATGTTCATCACGGACCGCTCCAAAGATTTGATCAAGTTCAAGGGATATCAAGTACCCCCCGCAGAGCTCGAAGACCTTATAATCAAACACGAAAATGTGGAAGACGTTGCAGTTATTGGAATCATGAACGAAAGTCTTGCAAGCGAGGTTCCGTTGGCCTACATTGTGGTCAAGCCGGTTATACCAGAGGACGAAGCCACCGCAAAGCTTATCCTCGACCACGTCAAGGTTCAGACACTGAACTATAAACATCTCCGAGGAGGAATTATTTTTACGAGAGAAATTCCTAAAGGACCATCTGGCAAGATTCTAAAGCGAGTCCTTCGCCAGCAAGCGGCAGCCGCTGGGGTACGTCGAATTGGGGCCATCGAGTATGAGAAATACCCGAGGGGATCGAAATTATAACCGCATGAAGTCGTTCAAATTTGGCGACTGTTTTTATTGCTAGAGAGACATTCACCATATACATTTGATAGAGCAAGAGTATCCGAGGCCATGATTTGCTATCTTTTCTGCGACGTAGTGTCGATACCATGCAAAGGAAATGCACTTTCCTTATTCTCACACTTGACCTGTCAGCCCTTTTCCTAAACCAGACAACCCCCGAAGAACCTTCATTCTTCAAATTCAGTGGAGCCCAATCATGATGTGATAGCTACGGCGTGCCGAATTCTCAGCGTCTCATCGCCGGTGGCTGGGGCCAAAGTCAGCCGATGCGGGGCTGCAAGTGACAATAGCTCCCGCGACGATGTGACCCTTTGCAACTCATTTCCTGAACGGGCAGTACGTCGAGCACGATGTTTCAGTCAGCCAAGCACGAGAGATAGGTTCTTAAAAGAGGTCTCTCTCTCCAAGCGTGATGCTCAAATCTACTGCCTTCTGTACATGGACATTATGTCTCTCAAGTCGTTGGTGCGTCTCGCTGTTCTGGCTGGTCTAACTAGCTCGGTCGCCGCAGTCACGCAAATCACTGACGATGAAATGACATCGCTCCTTAACGACGGTGGATTGGATTTAGCAAACCGATACGCGCCTCTATGGTTCTTCGGCCAAGCTCTGAACCAACCCCCGTGCTACCCGACATGGGCATACAGCGGATCGCCCACCACCCCCGATATCTATGATGATGCCCACAAGACCCCGGCAGCAGCGCAGTGCGAATATCCCAACGTTGGTTGCAACTGCCGGAATCCGGGGGTTGGTATCGGGAACCCTGGGCCTGCGTTCCCAGTCTACTATACCTATCAGCGCTGTAGTGATACTGAAGTTCGGGTTGTGTACAACCTCTTCTATGAGAAAGATGGCGCGACCTTCGGTGCTATCCAGACCGGTCATGACTAGTAAGTCCATCTACCAAAGGAAGAACTTGTGCGTGCGTTGACATATTTTGAAGCGACTGGGAACGCGTGATCGTCATCCATTCGCGTGATAGTAGCAACATGTGGGCTCCATCGCGTGCACTCCTGTCAGCTCACAGCGGCTATCATAACTTGGCCTGGGGCGATATTCAAAACACCCTCACAACAGATGAGATCAACGCCGGTGATGCAAAGGATCCCAATGGTGTCAAGAACAATGATCATCCCAAGGTGTACGTGTCTTGGTCGAAGCACGCGAATTTCGACACTCGTAATACTGGCTGGAATGATCCGGCCAGTCAGTCTTTGGAGGATGCGTTCCGCAGTCAAGATTGGCGGTACTTTGTGGAACCTCAATATTATGTCCGTTATCCCTTATTTTAGGGGATACTTGAATACTAACAGAATTTTTAGATTCGTGCAGATGATAGCACTGATGCTGGGAAGGCCATTGGCGCGGCGAACTGGGGAGATGCCTCAAGTAATCCGCCTTCGGTGCAAGCAGCCGTTTGTAGTGCGTCGTAGAGGATGGATTTAAATGAAGAAGTGCGAAGGGATACTCGGAATCTTCAGGAGTCCATACCGTATATAACCACATGAAACTATACATAAACTTCTATGAAAATTTGCCGTTATACTTCTGATGTAAATGCTTCGCTGACTATGCGATCGCGTGCGCATCCATGCTGCTCCACCAGCGAGCCCCGCTTTGCTTCGTTATCTCGACACATTTGCGCTATCCTGGAAATCTCCGACCAGGACTACTTCATTTAAGCCCCGTGAACCGCTCCGAGTCCTATTCAGACACATTAATTCTTTTCTGAACATCACGAACCACAGCCATGGCTTCGTCGACCGAGACCCGAAAGCCGTTTCCCCAACCAGCTGCGGGGTACACTCAGTCCTTCTGGCGAACTGAACTGGATCCTTTAGATAATCATCGGAGTACACCAGACCTACCCATTGAAGCAGATATCTTGATTATTGGCAGTGGTTATGCCGGGGCTTCGACCGCTTATCATCTCTTCCCCGAGAACCAGCAGGGGACTCCCCCGAAGGTTGTTCTCCTCGAGGCCCGTGAATTATGCTCCGGTGCCACGGGAAGAAACGGTGCGTACCGCTATAATCAAACTAATAATTATTTTAGAACTGATTCCCATTCATTCTTTCCGAACAGGTGGTCATCTCAGACCCGATCTGTATTCGGCCACGAAGATCTACACAGAGCGATATGGACTCGACGCTGCTGTGGAGGTTGTTCGATTTGAGATCGCCCATATGAAAACACTTGAAAAGCTTGTTCAAAAGGAGAAGATAGACTGCGATCTCACCTTCACTAGGTCTCTAGATATCTACCTTGATGTAGACCAGCTTGCAGCTGCGAAAAGTTTTTATGACTATCTGGTCGATCAAGGTTTGGACTTCATGGATGATGTCCAGTACCTTTCACAAGAGGATGCTCAAGGTGTGAGTATTGGAGCAGCAAAGAGCATGATTCATTTCTTGACTGACACCAGATTTAACAGAAAGCAAAGGTCCGAAATGCCCAAGGAGGCTTCAGCTTTTCTGCCGGCCACCTTTGGCCCTACAAGTTGATATGTCGTCTCATCCGCATCGCTGTTTCTCGAGGACTCAATCTCCAAACGAACACAATGGTCACCGAGATTGGCCAGGACCGTACACCGGAGGGTCTTTGGCCCGTAACGACCAATCGTGGTGTCATCCACGCACGAAAGATCATCCTCGCCACAAATGCTTTCACAGGTGCCCTTGCTCCGGAGTACTCCAAGGCCATTGTACCGTGTAAAGGGCTGTGCACGCACATTGAGCCAGCACCTGGTGCGCCTTACCAGGAACTACCCGAGACATATGCCATTCGGCAGGGGCTAGGAGCATTCATCTACCAAATTTCGCGCAAGGATGGGTCAATTATTGTGGGTGGTGCACAGTATACATACAAAGATATACCAGATCAGTGGCACAATAACCCTGACGACGGTACCTTGATTAATTCCGTGGAGCATTACTTTGATGGCTATATGCAGCGCACATTCTTTGGTTGGGAAGACAGCAACGCGACTGTGAAACACATTTGGACAGGTGGTAAGTGAATCGTTCCTGCACCCTAGTCTGTGTGATCGATGACGAGCTGCTATGCTAATTCTTGGACCTATACAACCACAGTGATGGGCTACAGTGCAGACTCGCTGCCACATATCGGAGATATCCCGGGAAAGCCGGGGCAGTTTATTGCCGCAGGATTCAATGGGCATGGAATGCCGGTGGTTTTCCTGTGTGGAAAAGCTATCGCACAAATGGCTCAACATTCGGTTCCTTTCCAGAAGACTGGCCTGCCCAGACTCTTCGAGACATCTGCTGCACGATTGGATCCAGTCTACAATGACACTGTAGGCTAAAATCAAATGAAACAACGTGAAGCCTTTTCGGGGCTGGAGCTGGGTTAGTAATTGTATTTGGTTTATTGATGTATCCTAGCTACGAGATAATTGCCGGAAATATGGAAAGATATTTTGCTGCCCGTGAGGCTCGGTCCAGCATGGCTCCAATCGCAAGCTCCAAGATCCACAATCAAGTAGTCTCTTGTAGTAGAAATAGCTCTAGACAATTATGTTGAACCTTTTACCTATTCGCAGCCATTTGATGCAGGGATCTAATGAAATACCTTGACTCGAGAGAAATCTTAGTACCTCCTTGGGCTCGAGCTCCATCTCGACACAAACTGCTTGGGATGTATGTAGATTCTTATCCTATGTTTTGTAATTCCCTGGTTTACCTGTGGGCACTCAATTTGGTTCCACACGTGCTTGTTGCATAAAGAAGATAAGAATTAAACTTTTGCCATGAAATTTAACAGCCAATCACCAATTGGGAATGACGCACATGCATGTCACTAAACGAAAACATACCGCTCAGCTCCAGACATAAAATTGGCGCCTAAGCTTTTGTCGCGTCAAACCTCTTTTATTTTTGAGGCTATCGAGCTCGTGTAACTGTCCCCTTTGTCGTGTGAGCAGGAGCACCTTCAATATGTTGCTCCCGGCACCACTTTCGCGATATGTCGGATCGCTTCGCTCCCTGGGACAAAAGTGGCGCAGCCACACCGAATCCCGACAGTATGATGGAGAAGAAGATTCGCTCGCTCATCGCCTAACCGATGTCTTTCTTCGCACCTGGGACTTGGGCTTTATCGCGTTCGGTGGTCCACCTGTGCATTTTCAGATCTTGCATCGTAGGTTCGTGGAAGGGAAGGGTAGGAAAGAGAAATGGGTGGACGAACAGACTGTAAGACTGGTCTCAATTGCCATTTATCGGAGTTCTTCATAACCTACTCGACTAGTATCAAGAGCTCTTCGCTATCTGTCAAGGCCTCCCTGGTCCAGGCAGTACGAAGATGCTATTTTGTCTGGTCCTGCTGCATGCGGGCTTCATTCCAGCCATTATGGCGTTCCTGGTTTGGAGGTGAGAATCCATAGCTCCTATCTCCGAAAATATTATTAAACTGTCGTCAGTTTACCTGGAGCAGCGGGCATGTATGGTCTCTCAGTCGGTATTCAAAATCTGAGCACAACCCTCCCTGGCCCAGTCTACGGACTTCTGTCGGGACTCAACGCGGCGACCGTCGGTATTGTCGCAGTTTCCGCCGTGCAGCTCGCGGAAAAGGCCATTCACGACAAGATCTCGCGCATCCTCATCATCTTCGGAGCATGCGCGGGTCTCTGCTATAACGCCTTGTGGTATTTCCCTATTTTGATGGTGATTGGCGGTATCGTCATAGCTACTTGGGATGGCTGGCTATATTCACAAGTCCAGAAAGCGAAGAGGGTTTGGAAAAATAGGCATCAACGCCCCGCAGACTCGGAGGAAGCAAACTCTAACAACCTGGAAATGGAGCCCACAACGACACCAGCACCGACCGAGCAAACTGAAGCAGTGCGATCAAGGAAACTCAACCAGGCTGGAGACCTACCACAGGCCTCTGGGGCCATTGCGGGATCAACAAGGTCGACAGAGACTGAAGCCATCCAATCGCCGAAGTATCGCGTCCGTGTCCGCACTGGACTTATCATCTTCGTTGCCTTCTTTGGTATGCCCCCTTCAGAAAAATCTGTCTGTGAGCAAAACTAATGTCGAACAGCGTCGTTCATTGCTATCCTTGTCGCAAGAGGGAAATTGACTCCCCCTCCACTTGCACTAGACCTATTCGCTAGCATGTACCTCGCTGGGACTGTGATCTTTGGTGGAGGTCCGGTTGTCATTCCTCTTCTTCGCTCTTACGTCGTTAGCCCTGGCTGGGTTTCCAGTCGTGACTTCCTGATCGGCCTGGCCATTATTCAAGCCTTTCCAGGACCAAACTTCAACTTCGCAGTCTTTTTGGGCGCTCTCGCCTTGCAGCACTCACAATTCCCCACTGTTTTTGGCGCATTCCTCGGGTGGCTAGGCATCTTCGTCCCAGGTATCACTCTTGCCGTCGCAATTCAGAGCTTCTGGAGTGTGTTGCGAACGAGAAGATCTGTCATCCGTTTCCTACGTGGCGTCAATGCCACTGCGATTGGTCTGGTCTTCACTGCTGTGTACCGACTATGGGAAATTGGCTACTTGACACCCGCTAATAGCGCTGGACAAAGTCTGGCTAATGACCCGTGGTGGTTGGTGGTCACGACTATTTCGTATGCAGGTAACGCATGGTTCCGCGTTCCTCCCGCCATGTCGATCGTTATTGGCGCTATACTTGGACTGTGCTGGTATGGAGCCGTCGGGCGGTAGTACTGGATCATCTTCAGCCGATGTGACGTTTGTCTCCACGGGCTCACCTGCGCAAAAGATATATGGCAGCACTTGCGCCTAGATCTTACCCTGCCAAAAGTTTAACAAAATTCTAATTTTAGTTTTAATTCTAGAGAGTGAGACATACTAGTTACCGTATATCATTAGGATATATGCCCCGCATCTAGGGATCTAATCAATATGTGGTAAACTGATAGAACCTTCCAAGGAGTCAATTTCGAAAGGGATCTCAAGGTGGATGAGGTCAGGTTCGTTAATGGCTAGGACTTGTATGCTGGTCTACATCATCCAAAAAGAGAGAACAGAAAATGTTCGAAAACTATATATTTCGACCTTTTTTCAATTAGTACGAGGGTCAATATTGCTGTTGAGCTGCACTAAGGTTGATTTGTTGTCGTCTTTGCCGCGGACACCGAAAATAAGCTGGACCTGGTCCAGCTGATGAGACTGACTAGCGACGCTTAGATCTCCTCGCTATTTCCTCAATACCTACCATGCTAATTCAATCAAATGTCAAACATCACCTTCAAATTATTTGTCCTACCTAGTTGGTCAGTCGGCGACTGAATTGCTATCGGGCCTGTCGAAGGTCAATTCGGGTTCTAGCCTCGCATGCACCCACCTTACTGAGCACGCGATGAATTAAGGTTTACGAATCATTAATTGGTAGCTGTAGTAATCCATAAGCATGGTACCTAGGCTCAAAAGAACCCCGCTTCAGCCCAATTTCAGGGTAAGTTCTCTAACAATGACGAGCCCTTTGGAACTTGAGACGGCTCACGCACCCTGCTGGCACAGTGGCTGCCTTGAATCTATTGAATCTATAGTCATACTGCAAGTCATACTGCAAAGATTACTGAGGTGACTGAACCATCTGCTGCAAGCTCAAGGGCTTCAAAGGTAGTGTCAAAATACAAGAAAATTTACCTGAGTGAGTAAATAGCACTTTCATATTGAGGCTAAGCAGCTAGGGTCTGAGATAGTCTGTACTTTTTTGTGCTGAGGCAAAAGGGTCTCCAGAAGCTGCTTCTGAGCCACCACTAAAGCTAGAAGCAGAAATACATGCCAATTCTCTTGAAAGTTCCGAGAATCTTGTTTTGCCCTGGGCTGACCGGCCCGTGTGTACTATCGGACTCGTGCACTCCTCCTGCAAGATTAATCAAAGTGTCATATCGGTCGGTAACCAAATCCATCTCGTCTAGCTTCACAAGCTTGGTCTTTTTGATAAGCTTCCATCCAATGATCATGATGATCAAAACGGGAATCTCAAGGTAGAAGGAGAAAAAGTCGACCACATTAAAGCTCGGACTGAAGCACGTCCAGCCCTGGACCAAGATTAAGACCACGTTCATACCGACCGTAAAGATTGGACCCCATGGGTATGTCCAATTCTTGAAATTTAGTAAATGTTCAAGGTTCTGCTTTTTAATACCTGTCCGGAAGCGAAGGGAGGCTATGCCAATGACTACCCAAGATATTTGATTCGAAACACCAACGATACTGTACAATATGATTAGCTTATTCAAAAGAGTGGGTCAACGAGGGAGATACTTTTGTAACCAAACCCATAGCTGTCCTTGTCCGATATAGCTTGCGCCAAAGCAAAGGGCACTAATTACCAGAGTCCCCAGGACTGCAACCCACGGTACTTGGAAGCGGTTGATATGGCCAAGGAACCGGGGGGCGTGGCCACTGATAGCAAGGGTGTATAGAAGCCGCGAGCCGACAAAAAGCGCATGATTAGAAGCTGAGATTGCGCTGGTGAATATAACTGCATTGATAAAACTGCCCGCGGCGGCACTGCCGGCCTCGACAAAGACGATAGTGAATGGGCTCGTGCTGGTGGACTTGGTGGACAGGCCTGGATAGGTGTATGGAACATTGAATCCGATGATAATAATAGACAAAATGTAAAATAGCAGGATTCGCCAGAAGACGTTTCGAACAACGTGTGGGAGAGTCCTTGCTGGATCTTTAGTCTCTCCCGCTGTGATTGCGATAGACTCGGTCCCTCCACTGGATTCGGAAAGAGACATCAGCTCTGCATTGTTTGCCTTGGGAATGAAACTCACTATGCAAATGAGGCCGTGACAAATACCGAAGCAAATCCTCCTATTCCACCTACAAAAGGTGCCTCGCCGACATGCCAATATTGATCACCGATATATTGATGGCCTTGGTTTCCACCACAATTGACTACAATTCCAACGATAATAAAGACCTAGAATGTACGTTAGAAAAAAGGAAATTCTCCGACATCTTTTGACACTAACGATGATAGTGGCTACTTTAAGGAGACTGAGCCAGTATGAGACCTATGGGTTTTAGTCGACCGGCTCCAGTGAATACTTACCATGGCTAACTTACCTCACCGAAAACTGCCACAGGGGCCAGATTGAATGCGAGAACAAGGACCAGGAATATCAAACTAATAGCCCACCCTGGGAAATGATCTGTCCAGTACTGGAGTAAGATTTGCAGGGCAAGTAGATCCGCCGCTGTCGATACAGCGTCGTTGAACCAGTAGTTCCATGTAAGTGCAAAGGACAGAGAGTCGTCCACAAAGCGACTAAATCGATTTATTCAATGAGAAAGTCCCAGTGTTGAATTTGATTTAACTTACCCCGCAAATGTGCAAAATGAGCCAGAGACAGGGATGAAAGCTGCCATTTCTCCCAAGCAAAGCATGGTGAAGTAAATGATGAGTCCACAGATAGCGTATGCGAGCAGAGTGGAGCCAGGACCTCCAGTTGCAATCGCCTTTCCGGTCCCGAGGAACAATCCTGTGCCAATTGTACCTCCAATGGCAATCATCGACACTTGCCTTGCGGAAAGGTTTCGAGCCAAATTATTGGTATTGATTGGGGTCATCTCCCCTTTCTGTTGTGAGAGTTCATTCTCGGTTGCCTGCTCCAAATCTGGTGGAACTTGGGTAACCTTTTCAGAGTCAAATCTCATATTGGATAGAAAAAAATGACTTAGAGAAGAATTGGTGGGATCATTTGTTACTCAAGGTTCAATGCAAATTCTCGAGAACGGAATTCGGAGATATCTAGACTTTATAACCCGTATCATCTGGCTCCGCAACCGTACTCTATGCCATCCACGAAATGCGGGGGAAATGAGAAGCTCCATCTTTATCTCTCGGCGGTCCCCGCACTTTTCGGGCATTGATGAGATCGAGGCACCTGGTTCTCCGATTTCCCCGACACTCCGACATTACTGTCACATTCTTTTAGTTGCAATCCACTATTTGTATCCTGGTGATAAAGCTAAGTCATCTAGTATTGATAGTTGTGACCTAATTGAGGCCCGTGAGTCGTCTTTGGCCCAAAATGAATTAAAGAACTTTGTTCTTTAGAGTGAATTTCGTGTTTCTTAAACGGCCAAGACCTTCGGCATCGGAAGTTTTCATTCGCCCATTTATCTAACACATCGCAAAAGAATGTAGGATTAGTGTATAGGTCGAGAAGCTTCTATCTGGTCGGCCAAGAAACGCGATGCTTACGCATGGTGATAAGAAGCTGCAATTCATGACAAGCAAGAACGGGGTTTCGTAGCTTCCTTAGAAAACCTACATCCGTAACAGAACATTCACCTATCTGGCAGGTATAAAGTAAGCCCCGTGGAGGCAAACAGTGGAACCGTGACAAGGATTTCGGAGCGACGGGGAATACGGAGTGATAGATTTCGCGGGCCACACACTACGATAGGGTAAACGCACACGAAGCATGGATAAACCGTATTTTATCATACCAAAGCATCTCCATGGATAATACAGGGACTCTCCGGTATCGGGATAAAATCACGTACTGCGGGGATGTAAAAGATCCAGCCCGGTCAAGATCGTAGGCCGCGATGTCGCTCCAAATTGGGACTCATGTTTGAATCGGCGATTGAACTCTACTAGGACCAAATTAGCGATCCGAGCAACGCCGGATATAGCAAAAAGATTAATATGCAGAATTTACATATTCTAGTATCGTGACAATTATCCGGTGTTTGACATTGTGAAAGGTGGGGGGAAGAACTGGATCTCCGAGCTAACGAAGGGCTTTGCTTGGATATCATCGGGAATCGCTCTCGTGAATCATCTTCAAATGCGACACTTAAAGACAACATAAATTGTAAGCCTAACGTTCCCAAATTCAAATTAGAAAAATTGATTCTCTAATCATATCAGCCATATCATATCATTATACGAGAGTTCAATATGACTGTTCACGCGAACCATAATAGCAGCGGCTTTGCGACTCGTGCTGTGCACGCCGGCTCTCCCCATGACCAGACGACTGGTGCGGTGATCCCTGCCGTATGTTCAGATAGTCCCATTTCTCCAAAGTTCCAGTTTTATCAATACAGATAATTGAAAATAGATCTCTCTTTCTACAACTTTCGCCCAGAAAAGTGTAGGTAACCCTGTGGGTGCCTACGAGTACACCCGAAGTGCGAATCCTAACCGGTCAGTAATCGAGGGTATCAGCTGTTTATTTCATACCTGATCGCTTCTAGTGATAATTTTGAAACTGCCATCGCAGCACTGGAAAATGCGAGATATGCCCTTGCTTTCGCATCTGGGTCGTCGACTACTGCTGTTATTCTCCAGTCCCTCCCAATCGGTTCTCACGTCGTCTCGGTGGCTGACGTGTACGGCGGATCCCATCGGTATTTCACCCAAGTAGCCAATACTCATGGTGTTGAAATATCATTTACTCCTCATCTAGAGGATGACTTGGAGAAGCTGATTCAGCCTGGCAAGACTAAGCTCGTCTGGGTTGAGACACCATCGAACCCAACCCTTGGCCTGGTGGATCTTCGCAAAGTCGCCTCCATTGCTCACTATCACGGAATATCCCTGGTTGTTGACAACACTTTCTGCAGCCCCTACGTCCAGAACCCACTGTCTCACGGCGCAGATATTGTCGTGCACTCTGTTACCAAGTATATCAATGGGCATTCGGTGGGTGCTGTCCTTGGTCTGAAAGGAAGAATAAATGCCGGCTGATCTCGGTAATTTCTAGGATGTCATTATGGGCGTAGCTGCTTTCTACTGCCCAGTTTGGAAGGAGCGTTTAACATTCCTTCAAAATGAAATCGGTGCTCTGCCATCCGCATTCGACTGCTGGCTAGCTCACCGGGGCTTAAAAACCCTACATCTACGCTCGCAGGCTGCTTGCAAGAATGCCACGGCTATCGCACTTGCATTAGAGGTATCTGAAGATGTCATCTCTGTCCTATATCCGGGCATCGAGCCACACCCTCAAAGAGACGTTGCAATTCGCCAGCACCGTGATGGTATGGGTGGAGGCATGTTGAGTTTCCGCCTGAAGGGTGGCCGCATAGCAGCACATGAATTCTGTCAGAATACAAAGATATTTACCCTTGCAGAGTCATTGGGTGGGATTGAATCTCTATGTGAAGTCCCTGCAGGCATGACTCATGCGGGTATCTCCGAGAAAGAGCGAGAGAGGTCGGGTGTTTACGACGATCTCGTCAGACTTAGCTGCGGCATTGAAGACACCAAGGACCTTATTCTTGACGTTCAACAAGCAATCAAGGTTGCAACAAACTCTACTTTTAACCGGAGATCTATAAACAGATCATAAACCCTCGCCATATCAATTTACTTCCCGTCATTCGGCTACAGGAACTGCGAGGCAAGGACAAAGATAAATATCAGGCCAAGTAAAGAGATGATCAAACAGAAATTCAAGGCGATTGTTTAAGGGAGGTAGAATGCAAGTGAATCTGGTCAGACCATCTTTAATTACACCATATTCAGACCTCTTTGTACGACTACTGTGTCGTGTGTGAGGCGTGAGAGAGGTGCGAACGATGCCGAGATCAGCAGAGAACAAATGATATGACCAGAACTTGCTGATCTAGGCAAATATTTTATGTTTATAGTTACTTAGTTTGCTAGAAGCAGATTTATCTTCTTCCATTTTGAAAAAAGCCTAGCTACCCTACGGGCCCCTCAGGAACAGCCCGTATGCTATCAAAAAAACGATCCAAGGAGAAGGGTGAGAAGTAAAGTGGGCAGGCATTTCATAAAACACAACATCAAAAAGGACATGACAGAGGAGGTTATTGCGAAAACAGTCTTCGCCAAGTTTCACTCTCATAATATGTTGAACTCGTCCGTTTCGAGCACGATAGCGATGATACCATGTTCTGCGAGGGCGTATGGGGCCAATCAGGAAGTGGTTTGGTTGCTACGAGCGTAGTCTGTCATGATGTATTGAGTTAGTGAGAGGTCTGGGAGATTCAGGTTACACATACAGTCCTTCTGCATTTTAGCTTGGGCGAGAGCCTTTTCAGCTTGAACAATACACTTTCCAGCCTCCTCAATGTGATTCCAGGTACGTGGAACGTCATCATACGCATTCCACCAGGTGTGGAGGACGTAGAGTCGATCATAAGCTGACCTGATGTGGGCCATATGTCGGTATTCTGGTAGGGCTGGATTTGGACTGTTTGGAACATACTTTAGGGCGTGCTCGCCGAGGTCGATCGCTAGGCACGCGACCCGGAAGTGGTCTTTGCTGTTTTCCTCTGCACGATATCGATCTCTGGCGTCCTTTGTTTCAAACACACTTTGTTTGTATTGGGCATAGCGACCTTCCAGCTCCTTTGACCACGGATCCATCTTTTTGTAGGTGATCGGGTCAATACAGGCCACCTAAGCCTGAAGAGACCGAATTTCACGGTTTTTGGCGAATAATTCTTGGTCCATACGGTTGAAAACCTTCTCCAGGAACTTGATGTTCTGCTTGAAGCTTAGAGCCGAAGTGGGATCCATCGTCAAGGTTGAGAACGTCAGGACGGTGAAAGGGTGAAGGGGAGAAAAGGCAATTCTCAGGTTTGCTGGTCAGTAGGGAGCCAAGGGCATGTGGGTGCACCGGCAAGGAGAGATAGGAGGTAGGAATAGGAATGAGGGAGAAAGGTAAATGTGGAAGAAAGTTGGAGGGGTGAAGGAGATGGGAGGGCGCTGCCTGGAAGAGAAGAGGAAAGCTCCGTCGGTGTCTCCGTCAACTAAGCAAGTTTGTAGAGGAACCACATTGTACAGTTTGAGATAAGACCCGTCAACAACTATACACGCGTCCTTACAGAAGCCCAACAATAACAACAGAAATTCCCATATCTCACGGTAAAGCTGAGAGTAATCTGGCCACTGCAACAGGTGACTTTTGATAGCCTAATGGATGGAGAGATGAATATACTTTCAGTCGAATTACACGTTGATAGTGCTATATAAGAATATAAACTGCGGTGGGAGTATTGAGCGTAGTCCCGAAGTTTACTGAAAGTGCTTGGTTTGGCTGATAAGGTCGCCCTTCGTCCTTTTATAAGCCTTGGGTACCCAAACGGATTACATACGCAAATATGGAAATTACCGGGGGTCAACTATCAATGCTGCAATTGGTAGTACATCAACTCCTGAAGGGAGGCTATGGGTAGATACCATAAGACGGGGGGGATGAACAGATGAAACTAGGAATAGATGGAGAAATCGGTTTTCTCCGCGAGACGCACTGGCGGAAATGGAGGGGGTGAGGTAAAGTTGGACGAGAAAGTCGAAGCATGTCCAGTCAGGGATGCGTCGAGTGACGCAAATTAGGTCGACGGTTGTCGTTCTAGCAATTGCAGTATCGGCTGAGCTCTGCGAATGGTCGTCCTGTCAGTCATGAATTCGGAAATCTCTGGATTGGATACATGCGCTGCTTTCGAAGAATCACCTTCTGGACGGCTTTTTGCCAGACGACAGGTTGCTCTCAATCTGGTGAATGTGGCTCTTGACATCTGGCACGTCGTCATACACGTGTTTCCATGTCTGAAGGACATCGAGCCTGCCTTCGGTGGCCCTGGAAATTCCGGGTTGTTCAGTGATGGATACTGAGAGCCCGATGTATCATGACATACCTGAGGGCGACCTCGGCCCATTTGATCGCAAGATCGGCAATTTCAACCAGTTTCCCGGGGTCCCTGCAGGGCATATTTTGTCGGGTAATCTCTTGATATGCCTGCCTTGCCGGACCGATCTCGTCAACCAGTGTTTTGTATGCCCGGTAGGCTGACCAGAGCTCATCTGGCCAGGGATCCAGCTTTTTGTAGGTTGAATCGTCCAACTGCTTCATCCACTCGTTAAGGGACTGGATGCCATTGTCAAATTTTTCAATCTTGGCTTTCATTTCCGCTACAGTCTGATCCAAAGACCGAACTTATTCAATGATAGTGGTGTTTCCAGGTGAGTGCGCCATAACTGGGGGACATTCTTTTGTTAGCAGGTGAATTGGTAGAACACGACATGGGTGGGAGTCAGATAATTCGAAATCCATTCGCAAAGACTAGACATACCTGCGTATTGGTGATGTGCAAGGTGGTTGACACGGCTGCACTTGAACGGGGTAGATTGGGGGGGTTGTGATATGGAAAGAAAGTCAGAGAGAGAATGAGAAGGTTGGGTATGCAAAGAGATCTGGGGAGGTGGGGGAGATGTGGTGGGTGAGTGTAGCCTGGAAGTGAGAGAGCAGCTTCTGGAATCATGCGCTGTATTCTACTGAATAAACTCAACCCATCCTTAGGCAAACAACGCGTGTTGTATGGCCATATTAAATAATTATGACCCATCGTACGACGTCAAATGTTTGCAGAAGAAGATATTATCAATCCACGAGTCGATATATGGCTACCGATCTCATACCGACGTGCAGAAATGAAGTGCTATAGAAATTGAGGGCGAATAGGGGACAACAATGTCCAAATAGTCAACGCTCCATATCTAGAGCATCACGATTGAGCTCGCGTGAGACAGAGCTTCTAATGAAGATTTTATAAGCCCGACAACTGGAGACGGTCGTGCCCACCACACAGCTACTCACTTAGAATCGCTATGATTGTCTGACTGATCTGCCACAAAGTCTACCCTAGGCAGCCATCGCCGGTGTTGTAGGATCCCGGAAGACATGTAGTCAGACTCTGGTATGTAGAGCTAGGTCTGCAAAGTGGTAGGGAATGTAGATATGTCGATGGCATGGGCAATATCCGGCGACGTAGGCAGAACCAGTTGGTATATACTCCCGTAGCGTATGTACTGCACGATGGACTCCACTTAGCGACGGGAAGAGCCGTGGCTACCCGCGCCACGTGCTGCTAGCGTTAACCTTAATCCGCCGCTCACTGGGACACTTCCAAAACTTCGTCATTTTCGAGGGGCACATTTTGGATGTCTTTGTAGGGGTCTGGCTAGTTGGGGAAAACCACAACCCATATCTACTCTTTCTGCCAGAACTCCCTCAGTGGCAGAGCCGTGCACTCAATGAAATTTGCTTTAACGGCCTGTATCTACGTTACGCCACATCATTTCCCTTGACCTGTTATTCAAGATTTTCTGTCTATCTTTCTAGGTCGACATGTTCCAACAGCCCATATCGGGTAGCGAAGTGGATCATATGCCGCTCGCTGAGCGACCTCAACAAGGTCGGCCCTCCTTGTCCCCTATTGATCTTCTGTGGCCGCTGTGCTCAAGGTACCCGACTTGTCTCCCCCAGAATTCCATCCTTTCGGAACCTTCGTTCGATAATTCTCCGGTCAAAGCTATCTGTTCAACCTCCCCATATCACCCTTCTTGGACGACGATGACCGCCATTCTCTGCTCGAAAGCCTTCCCCCAGAGCTTCGCCTCCAGATTTTGTACAGCTTGGACTTTGACAGCCTCCAGTCTCTGGTTCGCGCATCCCCGGTATTCCATCAACAGTACTTACTGGATCGCCAACGGGTTCTCTCTCGGTGCCTTAACACCACTCTAGGAAGCATCTCGTGGGAGGCATGCGTTGTGTACCACACCAGTCTAGAAGAATTTTCAAGATCCAGATCAACCCGGAGCGTGACAAACTTCTTCCATAATTCTTCTTTTTGTCACACTTTGAATTACGACAGAACACTTGGACTAGCAGATATTATTTCCATGGCCGCATCCCACCATTCGATCGTGAGCCCGTTTGTACACTGGTACGCGGATTGGGCTTTGCAAAATCTTGCCCGGCGGTCAGATTTTATTCAGACACAGAATATTTACATTCTAAGCCCCACTGACGAGTTCCGGATCACACGTGCCTTTTATCGTTTCGAGATTTGCTGCAATCTTTTCGGGCTTGGTCCGCATAAGATCGATGCGTTCGGCTTTCGCGTTGCCGTCGAGCCATGTGCTGCAGACATCCTCACCTGTCTTGAGTCGGTCTGGGAGCCTTGGGAGATCGAGGAGGTTTTATGTATATACTTATTTCTTGAGCACATGTGTAACCGAGTCTTTGATATGATTCGCTGGGATGTCGATGAAAGGAATCCAAAGTTTGCGGGGCAAAGTCCACCGACCCCAGATGGAGCGTTTGCTCTTAGTGTGCACGGCAAGTTTAAATCTGCGATAAATCCCTGGCCAGCATTTCTTTTGAACTTCACTGATATTAAAGGGTATAGAAGATGCATTTTTGAGGGGTATCACCTCCAGGGGTCTGAGGTTTCTCCATGAAATTTTCTTTCCAGATCGAAAACCACTCTCAGCTAGTATTGATCATGCAGGAGAACCTAACTCTCATGATTGGAAGCTTTCTGTGTGCAAGTCAACCAGACGAAGCTTTTAGCTGGTGGGCAAGGGAAACAAGAAGGCAACATGGACTTTCCGACCGAGATTTGAAAGAGCGGCGGCGGGACCTGTTACCTTTCCAGGGTGACAATTTCGTCGATCCAGATCAGCTCTATCTGCCACTAGGATGGATATTGGTGTGAGGTGGAACGTACAGTAACATCGTTGGTTGCTGCCAAGGAGAGGAGCTACATTCCTGTGGTTACTTCTTCTGGGATTCAACACGTCTGGAAACTACCGGGGCAAAAGAGATAATCCTACGGCGATGGAATTGCCTTCAGGGTTGTGAAGATCCGAGGGATAAGTGAATGGCCCGGTATGGTAGACATCCTAACATGAACAACATACTATGTGGCTTCATCATCGCGAATCCCTAGATCAGCTCTCGAAATGCCACGACAGATTCTACACTATTCCTTCTACCCCACAGATTTTCAAAACCTAGATACCGTCTTGAAATCTTAACAAATTTTTGAGATCATGGGTAACATTTGTTTGAAATTTGATATGACACTGTTCCTAAGCAGAAGCTTGGCTAAAATCTTTCTCTTTCACAATAGCCTCACCAAGCGATCAATGTACGAGTCAGGAGGTCTCTGTTCTATTCTTTTGACTTCAGTCGTTAAAGTCCTTTGTAAGGGCATCTCATATAGCATCTTGGTAACATTGTTACCTATGACTTAAAAATCAATGGAGTTGATATAGCATCTATGAAGTTGGTGGAGACATATTTTCTACGGAAGGACGGCTGTAATGTTCGCTTCAGCTGGTTGATCATTCTACTTGTGTAAATTGATGGTTTGATAAAAATCATAGTTTACGTAGAGGGTCGCAGAAATCTGCCTGCACATCTACTAGTTAAAGTGCATGATTCCATAGTATTTCGAGGATATATTCAGTGGGTAGACAAGAAGACCCAATGTCCAGCCAAGTCTCTGAATGCAGTAAAGAAGTGCTATGCCGATGTGGTGCTCTTCTCTTGTGACACAAGTATTAGCTCATCTTTTGAGACATCTTCTATGTCCTCTTTCTAGACATTCTTAAGCATACATATGCATTCGAGCACGCACTTGGGAGCTTATCTCCGATCATCATTGAGGTATATAAATCGTCTTTGTCGGCAGTCAAGGGCGATCCACTGTGGCTACCGTATCGACTTGACAAGGATTGACAATAGGTACGATTTACAAATTAGATGCTCCCAAATTTATGTTTCATGACAGAGCTAATGCTGTTAGTGGAACCCGGTCGGTATGGCAAATTTGTATGGCCCTAGGTATGGCTGAAATGGAACCAGTGTAGCCAAGTCATACGGCTACCTGCTTGTCGGGCGCCCCATCGTATAACCTGACCTGCTGCATTTGGTTTGAAATCAAGTGTTGCTACTTCATTCAACTCCTCGCTCCCCTTTTTTTCTCCACGGGTTTAGCGGCCAGACCTAGAGCTGACATAAATGCTGCCTTGGAGTTAGTCTGAGTCATACTTGTTCGACATCAAGCCCGGAGATGTGAAGCCCGGAGATAGTGATGCACACTGATAATCAAAAAGTAATTCAACTTTGACTGTTGCACTTAGTGGAACTCACTCTCAAGCTAAATTTTCTTTGTTTCCTTCATGTTGCCTGTTTTTCCAAGCGGACAGTATACTTTTCGGTGTGGGGCTATAGTTCCTTAAAGTTGATACCAGCTTAGTGGAGGCCTGAGTCATCCGGTAGACGGCACCTGCCGCCAACTTTATTTGGCTATCAAGTGCTTGTGGGTCCTTCCTGACTCTACTTCATTTCCTTCCTTCCTTCCTTTCCTCACTTTCCATCAACTCTACTCTGGAATCCGCACCTTCAAAACACGTTGAATGACTTCATCTCTTCTGACTAGCCCATGTGGCTCACTTCCTCCACAGAATCATAAAATTACTCTCCTTTGGCATTTCCGCTTCGCTCGACTTTCCTTTATTCGCCTCCTTCCCACGACATCGACATTCGTCATGAAGCGTTTTGGAGACTCCGGGCCGAGATTCAAGCTTTGCGACTCGTGGCTTTTCGTCTACTCCCCCGAACCTAGCCCCCCGACCGTCACTGAACACGCTGCATACCTGGCCGACAAGGTCGGTGACATCAACCTCAATGATTGGAGCACGAGTGAGGTGTCAGCGAAGCTGCCAGCTGAACGCCAACCTGAAATCTCAGCCCCGACACTTCCCAAAGAACCCGACACAGAGCCAATGGTTCACATCCAGCCAGCCAACCAGTCTAAGGGTACTGATTTGGAAAAACTTCCCCCGGAGCTACGTCTTCGACTGCTGTCTGGACTGGATTTCAAGAGCTTGAAAGCCTTGGTTCATGCATCGCCCGTGTACCATGAGCAGTATGCTATGAACCGCAAGACTTTACTGTTTCAGTCTTTCATGAACATGCTTGGTGGTGCTGCTCTAGATGCCCAGATGGCTTACCATTCCGGCACGCATGACTATCTACGCGCGCGCAACAAGGATTCCGTGGCCCAGTTCCTGCGAACATACCTCAAGTACCGTTCCTCCACCACGTGGACAAGTCCCCATGGGATGTCTGCCGACGGTACAGCTCCCGACAATCTCCGTCCTATCGATACATTCACTCTGGACGAGATCCTTCCCATGATCACGTTCCACAAGACAGTCGTCAAACCTCTTCTGGGACATTTCGCTCACTGGGCATTGGAAAATCTTGCTCAAACTCCCGGAGCCCGCAGATGTTTTGAGCTTCTGACCCAGACTGAAAAAGCTCGAATCTACCGTGCTCTTTACCGGTACCAGATCTGCGCTAACCTGTTTGGCTATCGTCCGGGAATCGATGGGAAGGGCTTTGACGCGCCCCGACCTGATTTCGACGGTGTTTACATCCTGGCGTCACTCGAAGCAATGTACGAGCCTTGGGAAATCGAGGAGCTCACCTGCATCACTCTATTCTTCGAGTGCAGTTGCAAAGATATTTTTGAGCGTGTTGGTTTTGGCTTTGATGATTCGGAATCAGATACGGAAGAATCACTTGACGAAGAAGACGGTTCGTACGGCTCGCTCTCATGAAGTTTATCTCGCTGACTTGTGAAATTAGTTGTGGTGTACACGGCTGGATTTCTGTCTCAGGGGTTAGAGCTCTTGCACAGTCTCGTGGGGACAACGGAAATCCCTGATCTGTTGGCGATTGTGAAGGACAACTTAGTCTACCGACTGGACGGCTATTTTCTGGGAACCACGAGCTTGGATGCCTTTGGATTGGATACTCTCGACTACAGACATGTGCGGGGGCATGATGAACGGGACTTTAAACAACATCGGCGTGACCCATTGCCCTTCAAGGGAGACCAGACAATGGATCCGAAGGGCGTGTATCCACCCCTCGCATGGACCCTCCTATGGTTGGAAACGTACAACAATCGAGTTGGGATATTGATTGAACGCAACATCCAGCTCTGGGGTTATGTTTTCTGGGACTCAAGTCGAATGCAGTACATGAACGCGAGGAAGGTAATCGAGACCCAATGGCCACGACTGCACTGGGACCAAGATGACCCGAGACGGCATCTGGATTCGGAAGGACGTGTGATTCCTGGAAACGATGACGACCTGCATTCACGCGGGATATTCCCCGTGACTCATCCTCAAGCTGGATTTTTAGCATGAGAGCTGGGCTCACACGTTCAGACAATCCTGCTGTCTTTCATTTCCCAGTCGAAGATATTTTCACGTTTGGAGATAGCCCTGATCGGAGTGTTGGGTGATGTTTTCCGCATTATCCATACACAACATGCCCACTCCACGCTCTCGACTATCGATCTATTCATAGCTCCTCTAATGTATTATTCTCCATATTGCTCATCCTTGCAATGTTCTCTCTCACGCGTAGAGAAGTATAAGCAGCGCGCGGACCCCAAATGACATCAGCCCGCTTCCCCCCACCCAATGGCATCCCACTTAAATCCGTCGAAATAAACTCCCCGCTTTACTCTTCCTACCCAACCCAGCACACCTATTTTTCAACATCATACTACACCGCACACCATGTCCTGGTTCCAGAAGAACTTCACTCTCCCCTCCCGCAGCCGCGGCTCCTACCTAATCACCGACACCGTCCTCTCCGAGCTCCCCGAGATCCGCGATTACAAGGTCGGCATGTTGAACCTGTTCGTGCAACACACGAGTTGTGCACTGTCGCTGAATGAGAACTGGGATGACGATGTCCGGGCTGATATGAGTGATGCGCTGGATCGTATTGCGCCGTATGATCGGAAGGGAAATTTGTATCGTCATTCTGCGGAGGGCGAGGATGATATGCCGGTGGGTTTTATTCTAGCTTGTTGCTTTTGCTGTTTACAGTGGACCTTTTGTGGTTACCGAGTATTCGAAGCTCTTTGTACGCGATACTAATACTTGTTTTGTATGCTAGGCTCATATCAAGTCTGCGCTCATCGGTGCTTCGGTGAATATTCCCATTTCCAATGGCCGTCTGGCGACCGGTACCTGGCAGGGTATCTGGTACCTCGAGTTCCGTACCAGTCGGCACACGCGCAAGGTTGTTGCGACTATCCAGGGTGAGAAGGCTTGACTTGGTGATGGAGCGAAAGAGCCTTTATAATGGGGGAGATCGAGTGCATGGGTACATTTCCATTTCTTGTTTACGGATATACAACGGCCAATTGGGTTTACATATGGCGGCGCTGGTAAGAACTCAGCAACCGTATCATTGCCAACCACAATGGCAGCACCACTACCGACTTTTACTCGGGTAGGCGGTTCAGGTAGATATTTAGAGCCTATCCCAACAGCTCGGACACCAAGATTTAGAACATTTCACTTCACCACGCAGCGGGCGAACGGCAGATCCATTGATCGATATTTCTGTACACGGCCTCAGGCCCAAAAACCAATATAACATACGCAAGGGGAAGAAACAACGCCGACAAAAGGAATCTGATGCTAGTCGTTTACCGCTGCTCGAGGCCACCCTCCGTGACGCGCTGGCTCTCGTTCACCTCGGCGGGGTCGTTGGTAGGCTCGAGGGGGTAGCTGGTGGCGGGGAGGGACTCAAGGTAGGTGCGGTGCTGCTCGTGAGCCTGTAGATAGGATAATTAGTCGATTGTTCGGAATCCCATACTGTGTGGGGTAGGGCACTTACGAAGGGGACACCGCAGTATCCGCAGGTCGCGATCTCGGCCTTGTCGGTGTTGATGAAGACCTTGGGGTGACCGAGAGGACCACCGCCACCGTCACAGCTGACAACTCGGGACTTTGTCCAGCGAACGGGTTGCTTGTGAATGAGCTCAATGGCGGCCATTGGGCGGGGCTAGGTGGTCAATTGGTCAGTTTCTGTGTTCCTTGTAGCTCGGACGAATCTCCCCTAGCTCAGAAATTCGAAAAAAAAAAGGTAACCCACCTGAGTCTCCATGACGGTCTGCTCAAAACGAGGGCCAACCATGGCCTGCTCGCGAGGCTGTTGGCTAGCAGCCCAGGTGGTGGCACGGTTAGGCGCCTGGAGGCTGCGGATGCGCTCCGCCTTGACGGGGTCCTCCTCCATCAGGCCGTCCCAGACGACGTGGCGATCGGTCAGTTCGGCATTGGGCTTGACGACGGTGTCATTGGCCTGGATGCGGTTCTCGGATAGCCGGGGCACGGTGGAGGAGTAGGCGCGGACAGCGAGAGGGCGGAACGACGCCAGGGTCGTGAGGCGACGACTGCAGGACATCATATTGGGCGAATTGAGTCCGAGGAAGCGGAGTGGGGGTGGACAGACGTGGATTGCGGCGAGGGAAGTCGAAGGTCGAAGTTCCAGGAACTGAATAATCCGCGAGGTGTGGTTTGGTGGTTGTTCACCGCCTCCCGTGGGTTGGGGCCCGCGGAGCTGGTCGGGTTTTCTGCCGTTGGATTTTCCTGGACTTTGCAATCTTTTTTGCGACGTTGCGCTCACTTGGAGAGCTTTCAGATATTCTATACGCCTATCATGTCGGGACCTTCGAGTTCCCCTGCAAAGCCGGAGAAGACCATGTCTTCCCGTCTGTTGACCATGAAGGTATGCTCTGCCGGATATGTCATTCTTGCGGCACAAAGCTAACTTCTCTCCAGTTCATGCAGCGCGCTGCTGCTACTGCAGCGACTAAAGAACCACAGAGCCCAGCTGCTTCAGACGGCAAGCACACACCAAAACGACCCAGGCTTTCTACTGAGCTTGCCAGTCCCTCGACTCCCCAGTCTGATCTGGAAGCTATTTCCGTGGCGCTTGCGGCCGAAGAAGAGAAGCGACGAGAGGCCATTGCGCGGCAAGCAGCAGAGGCGGGCGAGTCAGAATGGGTGCTGGACGTCCCTGCTGCGAGCTACACTCCGCAGCCAATCGTTCTCTCGGCGGACTCGCTGGATGCGGAGGGTGATATTCCCCAGGGTGGTCGTCGCGCATACGGAAACTTCATGCGCAAGAAGCCTGTTGTAAGTTTTTTCTCTCTCTTGAAGCTACATCGCGAATGTCTCCGACTTATAACTTGCCACCAGGTGCCCGTCCTTGAGAACAAACCCGAGACGAAGCCAGAGGATGAGGAAGATGAGGAAGAGAAGAGATTGAAGCGTATTATGAACCAGAACCCAGCTGACCCCGAGGCCGTCGCCGCATATTATGCGAGATTGAAGCAAAAGGGCCTGGAAAGGGCAGAGCGTCAGAAGGCTGCTCAAGCTAAGGCCGAAGCGAAGAAGCTCTATAATATGAACAGCATTTCGGGCGGCGGCTCGCGCGGAGCTTCATCCCCGAGAATGGGAGCTCCTTCGATGAAAAAGAAAAAGCGTAAGCACTAGGCACCTGACTTGGTAGAGTCGTTGTTTGTTTGGGACTGCAGATATACTGTGTGGTCTGGTCATGTCAAATCGGCGTTTAATATGGAGCATTGATTGGCGTTGGGGTCCTTGGGCAGCACAGTACACAGCTGTCAATGCATATTCGAGTACAAAATTACATTTCTATTCCTGATAAAATATACAATATTAAGCTATAACGATTGTATGATCTATAGGCCAAGAAGCCCAACTCTAGACAACTTGTACAAACCATAAGACAAAGGTATACACCCCACAATCTCATTACAACTTGGCCTTCTCCTCCCTCTTCCTCTTCTCCCAACCCTTCTGCGTCGCAAAATTCACCACCAAATTCCACGCCGCAATCCCCATCCCCACCGGCGGCGCAATCAACAACGCCCACGCCCACCACCTCGGACTCGACGCCGCAATACTGGACATGGCCCCCTTGATAGCACCCTCCAACTCCACCTTATCCGCATCATTCCAAACCACCACGCCCCTCGCATTCGCTGTCCCACGGAACTCAGCCTGCGCCGCCTTCGTCCGCACATCACCTTGACTGCGGACACGGTTCTCCGCATCTTCAGCGGTCAGATGTGCGTCTCGCGCGCGGAGACGGGCCATTTGAACGGCTGGATCGTGTACGCCGACGACTATCACCGTGCCACAGATAAGATCCATGCCACTTTCAAAGAGAAGCGGTACATCGAGGACGATCGCCCATTGTCCGCGGAGGTAATAGTAGATGAGCGACTTATAGACTTCCCACCGTACGGCGGGGTGAATTATTCTATTCAGCACTTGGCGATCGCGTTTGCGTTCGTCCGTGTCGCCGAAGACGCGCCGGCCCAGGGCGGGTCGGTTTAGGGGGTTGCCATGTGGAGAGGGATTAGGGACATCCTCTAGCAGAAGGTCTGGTGTGCTGGGGCCGAAGTAGTTCACTATGGCTTTGTAGCCGGCTGTGCCTGGTTCGACGACTTTGCGGGCGAGAACGTCGGCGTCGATTATGGGGAGGGAGTAGGGTGGGGAGGAGAGGATGGTGGAGACGGTGGATTTGCCGGTGGCTATGGAGCCGGTGAGGCCGATGATGAGCATGGCTGTAGTAGCACTGCTAGGAGAGTTGCAGCCAAGGCAGGTTGAGGGGGTGAATTTCTTGCTGGAGAGTGGAAGAGTAAGAAAGGAAGTTTTGGCGATGACGCTGGTGAAATTGCGGGGAGATCCACTCGAACTACCTCGGCCCGCTTTGGGGAAGGACTACGGTAACTACAAGATCTCGATCTCTTCGTACGGAGACCATCAAAGCTCATTTTCCAAAGGTGACATTAAGCATTTCAAGGTTTGGCTATATACGTTACTGATACAGGTAGATCGCATTCAAATATGCGAGATGCTTTCCAGATTTTGCTGATCTGGATTGGTGCGGCTTCTAGTCTCGGCCGGCGTGGAAGATCTTCCAAGCTCGAATTGCAAGTCAGTCGCAAACTTATACTGAATCTTGCCAGGTAGTGGAGGATTGCGCGACAGCTGTGCCGCTAGAAGTGCAGGTTATGATGGCCCGACTTGGGCAGGGCTCTGGTGATGACCATGAGTGCTTCCGCTTTCGCCCTTTACAACGAGGTTCATCGAGCAGTTCCGATAGTGTGATGAGGATCTACACTCTCAAGATTCAGGCAGCCCATGTGTTGGGTCCTGCTTCTGGCCATTCCACCCAAGATACGGCCAGCCCTTGGGCAGCGGTGAGTAGGGAGGCAGAACATATCGGTCATCGCACGCATTCGGTCCGGGACAATTCAAATTGCACAGCCCAAAGACATTGCAGTAGCATTCTTTGGCATCCGGGCAGTGGACAGGCTCCTTGCCGAATATCACTGCAGCAAAAACGTTAGTATCGATTTAAGAACCGACAAAATGACTAGGTGCACATACTATGCCATGAATACTCCATGATCCGTCCACTCATCTCGTCCTTCAATTCCGTTTCCGTAAGCCACTTGCGATAGAATTCATAGTCGCTCTTGGGCCGCATCAATACTCGGTCCCGAGTCACACCGAACTGCGCGCAACATGATACGCCGACTTCTTCGGGCACCGGTTTATCGGGGAATAATTCAATAAAGGCATGTTTGAAGTACTCGCCCGCGTGTACGTCTTCACGGTGGATATCGCTGAGGGGGTGAATCTCCACTGGGCAACCGAGGGTCCAGACACAGCGGAGGTTCACGTATCCTTCTTTTTGGAGGTAGGAGGTTTGGAAGTTGCGCAACATGGGGACACCGTCGTAGTAGGGGTCGTCGTTGTGCCATTGGTAGCGCTGGGAGTGGATGAAGAGCATTATATCGGGAAGGTTTTCGTAGTTGTCAATGATGTATCTGTGAGTCAAGAGGGGTTTCATGTCAGCGACCCTAATCATCGAACCATACTAGCATGATCAAGTCAAATTTCGAGCTTGAGACTCACGTCAAATACACCATCGACTCGCGCCCTTTGTTGCGCGCAACGGTCAACGGGGCATTCATATCATCCACCACGTAGATACTCCGCGACCAATCTTGAAAGTACTCGGCCAGCCACGAGGTATCATCACTCTTCATGCTGGCCACGACCATATCCTTGTGTCGTCGGACCACAGGGCGAGCCAGCTCGTCCGCAGCCTTGGGTGTCGTGAGGGATTCAGGTTTATGCGCATATTTGTTAGGTTGGTCATGATAGGTGGAATGGGAAGATTCGTTGCCGGCGAAGAAAAGGAAATAAATTGCGAGGACGATGCCGATGGTGATAAAGATAGCTTTCAGGCGATTGCGACGACGGGGACTCTGCGGTCCGCTCGGGGCGAACAACATGGCGATATTGGGGGGAGGTGACAGGCGCTGAGCTGTCACCAGGGATCAGACATCGGATAGAGCTTTGGATGTGCTTTAGAGTCGCATAATGTTGGTCCGTTGGGCGTTGGAGGAGAAGAGCAGGGGGCGAGTGTAAAGCGCGGGGAGTTCAGCTTGGTCGCACCAGCTGGAGACTGCAGCCTAGCGCTCGGACGAGTGATTCGGGGAACGAACGAGAAAAGTAGACAAGATAGTTTAAACTTAGATAGCACAATTGATCGTGCGAAAGAAAATCAAAGAGGTAATGTTGAAGATATTCAAGAGGACGAGTTGAATGATAAAGTTGCGGAAGTTGAAGTTGCCAGCTCGTCGAGTCCGCTTCGGGAAATCTTCGGGCGATCGGTGGGTCCGACACCAAAGCACTTTCTGGACTTTGGTCGACTTTATACTTCTTCTTATCCATTGATATTCATTCCATATTCACATTCACATTCATGATCATAACTTCCATACTAACAACATTATGATGCCATCGTCTCTCATGAACAACCATCAATATCCACAATATACCAGTTATGCGCAGACACACTATCTCCACTTGTTCCAGCATTACCAGCACTCGAGCCCACGCCAGTGACTTCGGTGACATCGCTAGTCGTGACGGTCACATCATTACCGCTGGTAATCCAGTACTCAGGACTGGCATGGGTGAATCCCCACGAAGCTGGAGGTAGCTTGGGCACGATGTCATTCGAGTGGGTGACACGCCAGAGGGAGCCCTGATTCGTCATATAGTCGGCCAGCGCGGTGTTACCTACACGTGGTTGGCCATAGGTATACTGCCAGTCATGCATCAGCGTCAACTCTAGAACTATCTGAACGGGATCACTTACTATATCCACAGTATATCCCGCATTGCGGAGGGCAGTTCCACCCAGCGCAGCCAAGGCACCGCCCAGGCTGTGACCGGTCACGACCAGTGTATAACTGGGATAAGTCGACACGGCACTCGCAACTTGCGCGGTCAGAGTATCAGCGACGACTCCCCAGGACTTGTAGAATCCAGAGTGAGCCTCGCAGCCACTGCAGAGGCTACTGGCATCGGTTAAACCAAAGTCTAGGTTGGCAATCCAATTGCTGAGGGTAGAACTGCCTCGGAAGGACAGCACCAGCAATTTGTTGGTATTATCGACGGCGAAGAAGCCTGTCACGTCGCCAAAGTCGGTAGAGCTGATGAGAGGTTAGTTGGGCCTTGTCTACGGCACTCGAGATTCTTCTTGACATACTCTTCAAATTCGTATAGGGTCGTCGCTCCTGCGGACTGCACCTCTGGGCAGTAGCCTCCTGAGCATGATATGGCATCGCCCGTGGAGCCAATATTGTTCGAGCAGTACGCGGCCGCCGCATATTCGGCGAACAGAGTCAACTCGCTCAACGTAGCGGATGAGACATCTGCGCATAATGTTAGCCTGTGCCAGACCTTTCGCCAAAGATCTTTTCTCCCTATCATACCTCGAGGCACTGGTCGTGCCGGTGCAGCAACCGCCAGGGCTGCCATAGCCACCAGCATCCCAAATTGACCCATGAACACCATCTTCACTGCTATACTCTGTACAGAATCTGGAAACGACTATACGAATGCTATACACTGATGCAGAGGAAACCGCAAGTCAACCAGGACTGAAGCGGACTTTTTGCTTTTTTCTTGGTGATCGTCTTCTCCCCTAGGTGGCCTACCTCTCTGACCAGCAGGACTTGAACCGATGTTTTATACTCATTCCATGCCTTCTTGACTATCCTATATCACAAGCAAAATTTCTTCAAACGAAACCCACACTTCTCCATGACGAGCGGGGTATCCGAAGACCATCCCTCCATAAATGCCAGCACGAAACACCACGCATACCTCCGAATCCGCACTAGCCAAGCTCCTCACGATCCAAAACGGCTCGTCGTCCGTTCCTGACCAGAGTCGGACGCCTGACTGGTGGGGATTCTGGCAAGATCGGCATTCTTGCAGCTGGAATTCTTCACGCGAATGTAACCAGTCAGACTGGCATACCTAGACGGAGTGGGGACATGAGGAGGAACCCAGGTAGAAGGTTGGAAGAGTTAGACCACGAGGACGACCGGAGTGGGTATGTATGGTTTTTAGTTTTTAGTTTGTTAAATTGACTTTAGTCTTCTTCTATGATATTCTTTCCCGAATCCGGGGTGGATGAGGAAGGCGGATCGGTGGAGGGGTACGATTTTGGTGTATATTCCGTGCTGTGATCCACGCTAGGAGAAACTTTTTTTTCTTTTGTGGAGAAAGAGACGGACTCTATAGTAATCTTGGTATACTTCGGCCTCGGTACTTCCCCGACGAAAGTGGACTTGGTAGACTTTCAGCCACGAAGTACATCCTAGTCGAAAGTCAGTGTAGTGTATACATCCTGGTAGGGTGGACTTGATAACTCCGGGGTACGCAAGAACTAAGCCGTTTTCGATGCAAACTATCCCCAATTCGCTCTATCCACGCGATACTTTTGCGGGTACGATACTACGTATGTAGTAGTTCTACTAGTTTACTGGCTTACTAGTTACTTACTGCAGTTAGTAGAAGTAAGCGCCCATCCCGCATTCTTCAGTGTGATCGCAGCGGGGCTATGCGTGATGACAACATTGTCGGTCAACGAATAACGCTAAAGCACGTCTTACCCAAAGAATGTCCCAGCGCCGTCGGAGTTACGGAGTACGCGCGGAAAATGCGCCAGGTTCGATTTGTTCTATGCATCCTGAATGGTTCCTACATTGTCTAGGGCGTTTATGACCAAGTTTTATCCATCCCGTTTAAGAGGGATGGCCAAGTACACCGACTCGTGGAGATGATTCGGAGAAATGCAGCCTCATCCCAGCTTGGTTTAGGGTATCGGGAAATGCAGGAGTTTACAGAGTTCATGTTGTATTATTTTGGCAGTCATGCAGGACTGACTCGGTTGATTCATGTATCGTCAAGGGGAAGAACAACGACGGGATTGTGTCTGATCTCACTCGGTTCTTCCCCGCGTCCCCTTCGCATGGGGTTCTGGCTATTCTCCGGCGATTCACTTCTCCCCTTCGCCGACATCGATCATCCCCGTATCCTCCTCATCACCGCCCGCCAGCACCTTGGTGCGCGGGATCTGGTCCGCTGACAACGGAGTGCCGGGGGTGACAGCGACAACGTTGTCGTTCTCGTCCACGAACTCGAAGTTGTACCGCGACAGCAAATGCGGGATCGCGGAGAGCTGGGGGCCGTATCTCGCCGAGTTGTCGTACAGCTCGAAGAGGGGGACCGCCAACAACTTCATGTTCTTGGGGACGGAGAGGACCTCTGTAGTAAGTAGACAGGCGTTAGCAGAGACACAAGACAACGATGAAACCGTCCCGAGTATCAGAGACAAGACGAAAGAACTACGACTCACTCTTCTTCGGCAGGGTGATGAAGTACAACTTCTTGCACTCCTTTGGCCGGGTGATGTGTGCTGGCAGGAACGGGTACATGAAGGTTTCGAAATTGGGGCGCCACCACTGCGCAAGCGTATCACCAATTTCCCAATCCTCATTGACACCCTCGCCGGAGAACTGCGATCCTACGGGGGCCAGGCGCTCGTTCAGGCGCTTCTTGAAGCCCTCGATCTCCTCTTCGTCGTGAGGGAGGTAGTCACCAGGGCTGTGAGGTGAGGCCGTTAGCAGTGTGTCTCATATTTGGTCGCCCAAGAGAGAGTTTCCATACAGTTTGAAGAATGCATTTGCTATCTGCAGCATCAAAACGTGGGGGTGGTTGTGTTCGTGGCAGACGAGGACGCCCTCGCAGGTGCGGCGCATGCCGTGGAGCTCATAATGCTCCTCCAGGCGCTTGAGGCGAGCTGGCACGGAGGGATCTTCCTCGGGCTGAGTCTCCTTGGTACCGAAGGTGTAGTTGCTCAGGGGGTACAAGCGAATTGTCTCGGGTTGCTGTGCGGAGAAATCCATGGGGATGATGGGACTGCGCGAATTGGCCCATGTCAGTACCGACACTGCTTTCTGGAATATCTGATGGACAAGCTAAGCTGTCTACTCACGGGTGGCTGCTCTGGATTGCCGTCGCCGTCGTGGTTGCCATCTTGTCGGTGGAGAATTGCAACAGGGACGAGGGACGCGGAGTGCACGAGGACAGAGAGGAGGAGAGAGAGGAAGAGGGACGAGAAGAAGAACAGAAACATCGTAGCTTCGCCGATGGTGATGCATCTCGTTATCGTTATCGCTGTGACCGCCTACCGGATTGCGATGGTGGACAAAAACAAAGAAAAGCGGTGAGTTCGGGATGGGGGACTCGGTCGGGGAAGCGGTCAGAGAGAAAAGGCAGAATGGACAAGGCGGAATGAAGTGTGAACAGAGTGCAGTACTACGCTGGCATACTTGGCTCATATTGGTACTTAAATCCGATTCCTTATTGGCTAAGGACTTTTCTTAGAGTATTCTGCTACTACTTTTTGTCAGCATTATTGCTATAGCATTTCTAGTTTGGCCACTGTTGCTATTTGTAGGCTAAAGGATCTGGTAGCTATGAGATTGATAGCGTATGAATGATCGAGTATTAATTGATGTGAATTTGGTTAACCTGTAGGTAGTAGATAGGTAGATGTGATTGATTATAGCGTATAACCCAATGCCAAAGCAGAAGCTCTCTACACTCGACTCCACAACTCTCATGACATGCTCCCCAGGTCCAAGCTCCAAGCTCCAAGCAACACCCCCAACTCGCTTTGGATAGAAAACAAACACTTTCAAATGATTCACAGCTTGGCATCAAAGTCTTCAAATTCAGTAAGGTCAGACACGGGCACGGGTCCAGTGCTGACGGGCAGGCGAGCCTTAAAGGTAGACACGTCCGTGATGGTGATGGCTTCCTGGGGGCTGGCGGTCGAGGCACCGTTGGCACCATTGGCCCCGTTGGTCTCCGGCTCCAGTCCAAGCTGCTTCAGCTGAACACCAAGATTTTCCTCCAGCTTTTCGGTGACTACCGCGATCTGCTCCTCTGACAAAGTCAGCTCCGTGGCCAAGAAGGTCTTGACAAGGAACACAATCTGGGAGCGGTCAATAATTGCCATATCCAGTTGTTCAAACGCCGCAGTCAAGGTGTCGGCATCCGCGGCAAAGCCAGCAGCGTCAAGCTGTTTCTTGACCAGCTCGATCAAGCGAGACCGCTTCTGGGAGGCATCGGCATGGGCATCGGTTTCCGCAGCCTTGGCACCGGACTGCGCATTCAGGTGAATGGCCAGCTTGGCGCGGGTCGAGGACGAGGGATCGATGTACTGCTTGTAAAAGGCAATGAGGTCCGCCTTGCTCAGCAGGCGCACATTGGCAGCATCAGTTTCGTGCTGCAAGAAGTCAAAGTACTCCGACCCAACGTGCGACCAGTAGCGGCTAGTCTCAGATCCCAGGTTCTTGAGCTTCTCCAGACGTTTGTTGATCACACTGCGCTTGTGGCCCTCAAATTCATCCTCAGGCATGCTCTCCAGGGTCTTTCCAAACTCGCGGAGGAAGGACTCAATGCGGGATTCCAGGTACTGAGCAGTACGCTCACTCTGGATGATCACGCGGTAGCCCATGGTGGTTGCATTGTAGCGGGATCCACTCCATACAACGTAACCGAGCTGCTCCTTGCTACGCAGCTGGTCGAATGCAGGCTCGTCTGTAAGCTGAGAGAAGAGCTGCAGTTTGGCGCGCAAAGCATCGTCAGAGAAGAAGCCAATGTATAGATAGTACTCGATACAGTGGTTAACATTGGCAGGGTCCTTCAGGCTTCGCGGGTAGACGTAGTTGCTTCCCGAGGGAATAACCATGTTGCGACGCAGATACCACTGCGATGGGGGCAGTGCACGTCCCCCAAGAGTCTTCTCAACCATATCCGTCATGCGCAGAGCATCTTCCTTGTAGAGGTTGCCATGAGCCAGGACTTCGATGTGAGTTTGCTCCAAGAGTTGGGGGAAGAAGTTGATCACATCTTCGGCTTGGATGTGCTCCAGTTCCTCGATGTACTGCTCGTTGACCCAGCTGCGCTCAGACAGCAGGTAACGAGTGTAGTCGCCAACTTGGTAGAAGGGCTGCTGGTATTCGGCGTTGCGGAAGGCCCGGGTCAGACGTTCCTTGATGATGTTGAACCGATCTTGGTTGACCACCAGGCCGCGCATAGTGTTCAACACCTTGTCCAACAGCACGGACATCTTGTCATTGTAGCCACCAACAGAGATATCCAGACCAAGAATGTTGGCCGCAAGGTGGTAGTCCAGCCCAGCAAGCTCGGCGTCGTACGAGTACTCATCCAGGCTGTCGCGAACCAACTCGCAGTAGAGCTTCGTCTTGATGAGGTTGGCGGGTGTAGCCCACACCAGAGGGTTACGCAGAGTCACGTGAACAGTGCCCTTGGGCACCCAGAATCGATCATCCTTCTTGAACCACAGACGAACACGATCGTCATGGCGGATCAACTTGGGGGTCTTTGCGGGCTCCGCAACCTCCTTGGTCTCCACCGACAATCGAGTCGGGACAAACTCGTTCTTGTGAGGCATGTGCACGGTAGACGTGCGAGTAGCCTCCGTGGACTGCAAAGCCTTCTGGATGCCGCTCAAGAAGTCCTGGGGAATCTTCTCGACCTTATACTCGGTACCGTACCACTTCTCCTTCTGGTCCCACTGGCCAGGGTATTCCTGGGACACGATAATAAGACGGAAGTTGTCAGCGCGCAGGTAGGACATGGCCTTCTTGATAACTTCGGCGTCAAATCGACGCAGCAGAGCTCCGCTGAGCAACCACTCGCGAGGCATAGGCTTCTGCATGACGCTGCTCAGGCGGCTGGTAAACCGACTGGCAGGGGTCTTCTGCTTGAACCGGAAATCCACCTCGGCCAAGTTCTTCATCTCGTCAAAGATCCACTGCTCCGGCTCGCGCTCCTTGATCATCGCAATGTACTCAAAGATCACCTTGGCGACTTCCTGGTACTGCTTCAGACCCTCCGGAGTCAGGCGCACGGAGATAGTGAAGAATGCCGATCCAGGGCAGATAGGCATAGCGCCTGCAGACAGCCCATTGGCCCAGCCCTTTGCCTTGAGGTGGGAGAGAACACTACCCGGGCCTTCATGGCCGATCAAATGGCTGATATACCGGCTGGGCTGGACATCATTCAGATTCTCCTCATCCAAGAATGGGAAGTACATATCCATAGAGCGCGAATCCATGACCGGCTTGGCAAACACCTGGGTGCACATATCTTCCTCGGAGAAAGGCTGAACGTCATCCCAGCGGTTCTGGGGCAGGTTCTTGTTCTCAACATCTGCGAACAATTCCCAAACCCACTGCTCAAGCACGTCCAGGGTCTCCCGTCCCAGGACCACCAGCTTGGCCCTGTTGGCAGAGTAGTGCTTCTCATAGAATCGAATGAACTCGCTGCGGACCTCGAGACCGCGTTTCTGCGGGTCTTCCTTCAAGGTCTGCAAATTACCGGTCGAGAAGTGATGGTATGGGTGCTTAGGGTTGGAGAGTGACTTGTTCAGTTGCATCAACCGCCACAAATCGCTCTGCAGGTTCTTCTTGTTCTCAGAGTCTACAGCCCGCAACTCACGATCTAACGTCGACTCTAGGAAAAGTGGAGACACGAAGAATTGAGCAAATCGATCGAGAGCCCCATACAGGGGTGATTTGGCATCTGAATCTCCAGTGATAGTAGATGAGGTCTCGCTAGCAATCCCATTGGTGCCATTTGTAGATTCGGTTGGGGTATTCTGCCCGGTCGACTTTGGGGGGCTGGAGTCACCGGTGGCCGATACTTCAAAGAAATAATTCGTTTCGGTAGCGGCAGTGTATGCATTGGACGAGCCAGAGTGGGCGGCTAGATACTGGTTGTAGGCATTCTCCTTGGGGTACTATTGATGTGGCCAGATAACGCACGTCAGCATTGGTACTGTCCGCTTGGCCCATTTCTACAGGGGCTCCCCCGAAACGATCAGCAGCGTACCTTTTTCGTTCCCATAAACAATAGATGCTCAACTGCGTGGGCCATTCCTGGCATATCATCTTGGTCGGAAAAGTTGCCAACATTGACGTTTACCGCGGCACTGGCCTTGTCGGTATCTGGGTCATGCACTAGAAGAGCCTCAAGTTGGTTTGGCAGGCGAATGACACGGTATGACCGGTCATCCAGCTCAGGCTTCTCCAAGTTCTCTGTAATGCGTTCGATTTGCGTCATGGTGGGAGAATTGGCGGAGAGGATCAGGGAGGAGTGGGAGAACGAGCGAGCCCAACGATGCTTGGAAGGAGGAATAAGCGGGGCGATTGGAGAAATGGAGCGAGTCACGGAGGAAATGTGTAATGGCAAATATGGACGTGCAGTTGGATTGCAACTCAGGCGTCTGTACCACAACGCAGTAGAGGGGGACCTTGGGAGCATCAAGGTATGACCAAATAACCCAGACAATGGGGCAAGTATGGGAGGGAGCTGGTGGCGGCTCCGAGACCAACTAGATGCCAATTCACAAGAGGATAGATCAGGGGGGTATATGCACACAACAGATAGTTGAAATGAAGAATGTGATGACGAGAGAAGAGACTCTGATTTGCAAGCAACCGAGGGGCTCGGCGATAGTCGCAGGGGCGGTGAGCCTTCAAGATCTGCCGTTATCGAGGGGGGCGGTGGCGTTGAGTCACGGGGTAAGGTTCTTGCGGGGGGCGATTATGCACTTCAGAGTCTTAGTTCAATAAGCGGTGGATCAACTAACTACTGGAGGGAATCAGCTTACAGATTGATGATTCTGTAAGCTGATTCTTAGGATTATACACAAACTCCTATAGTGAGTACAGTATTGGACTATGCTTACTCTTTTGTGAGACATACCAGACTCCACAAGTCACCCGGGTAGACCAACTATACTGAGTATAGATGGTACAATGTATGTCCAGAGCAAGGGGTCTGGCCCCACGTCTATAACTTGATTAAATATGGTTTCGGTGTATGTCGCTTAGACCCCTACTTGCTAGCTAGATCAAGTAATGACTTACGCCACGAGAAATGCGGCTCTAATGTCCCTGATGAATTCCAGGATGAGCCTTGTTTGGAGAAACAACCTTACTCAGGACGGGACAGACTGGGCTGGGGGAATATCAGCCTCATATTCAGCGGGCACTGACCTAGCTATCTAGTTATATTTTGGGAATTATACAGAAAAATTCGGCCTTCAAAATACCAGGTAATCAACACTCATCACGGGTGTTTACTTCCCCATTGATTGACACGCGCGGACCTTCGGCCATCCGCCCGCGAAGAATATATAACGCAATTCTAGAGCACGGAAAACAACGCCGTACTTCGAACTTTATTTGAAGAACCCAGCAAAATGTGCAGCATTTGGAATGACAAATTTGATCAAAGCGTTTTCTTATAGCTGGATTTTTATGGGCGTTGAGCCTCCTTGTGGGGTCGATAAATACATTTGCAGGGATTACAGCTCCTTTGAATGATCTAGCCATGTTTAGATCCATTTTAGGTTTGAACAACATGACACATAGTACTTCGTATCTCCATCATACCAGTAGCTTTAGGAAGTTTTCCACGCATAGACTTTTCTGACAGAATAAAACTATCTCATTCAGACTAGTCTGGGCAGCTTTAACCTATATCCCCCGAACCAATCGCGAAGCTCCGTACCCGATGAGGCTCTTTCTCCCAGCCTCCTTCGTATACTCCCCCTTCAAGACCCCGCCGCACAGTCCCCCAGAGCCTCCAAACACACTGAAAAAACAAACGAAAAACCCAAGTTCCCCATGAATCACCTCACTAGTTAGGTACAACACTAACCATGACCCCGTCTAACACGACTCCGCACACAACGTCAGCGTAATATCCGCATCGGTACTACAAGCCTCAGTCTGACTCGTAACCAAAGCCCTAACACCCCCACCCCAGCAAATATTGGTGCAAGTATCAAGAGACGGGTGCACGACCAAAGTGCTTCCCGAGAACGGGTCCCCGTACACATCAAACAGATCATAGTACAGGTGGTCCGTCAGCGCGTACTGGAAATTGGTCTGCGGGCTGCCGTCGTACAGCCCGTTCTCGGTCCGGGTAATCTTGAGGGCGATGCCGCCCGAGACATCGTCGTAGTGCGTTGTTTCGGTGTAGTTGGCGCCAGGCTCGACGGTTTGGCGCTCGCCGACGGAGGCGCCGACGGACCAGAGGTAGACGGGGTCGGTGCAGGCGTTTTGGACGATGGCGTTGCCGGCTAGGGCTAGGGGGGCGAGAGTGGCCAGGAGGGTGGTTGTGAAGTGCATTTTGATAGTTTCTTGTTTTTGTTTGATAGATGTTTCTGGTGGATTTCAAGTATTCAAGTGTTGATGAAGCTGGAACTGTAGATGGATGGATAATAAGATATCAAGCCCTGGAATTGAGGTCATCTTTATACTTTTCAATCCAGCACATCGCAGTATCTCTCGCAAGCACGACTATCATACCGTCACTTCCTTAGGACATCCTTTCGTGGAAATCCAAGAGTCCAGAATTAGGACTCCCATATCCTTCACCGTCCATCCACTGGATCAGCCACCATCTCTCCTACTATTTCCGTAACAATCCTGTGCCAGAAACCGATCACTCAAGACATCAACCTGGTCAGGCCGACCATCCAACCATCACAGGATCTGCCCAGACTTGGTCTTCCATGGTGCAGGCCCCGCAGGTACGGTGTTAAAAGGCACCAGGGACCGAGTGACCGTGGCACGAAGTAGAGGACTGGCACGGCAAGGCCACGAAGACGGCGATCACGTCTCAGACTGTTCCGACCGGAACCTGATTCAGATCCTTATTTCTTGGCATCAGATTAGAAGTGTCTTTAAGGCTAGGGAATAGGTAAGGATCTGGATAAGGCGGGCTGCGATGAGGTGGTGATGCACGCCAAGCGGGGAGGCGTTGCGGATCGCGCTCGCCCGCTAGACTGAACCAGATGACAGACCGGCTCCACGCCGGATATTTGGTGTTTTGTGCAAGTGGAAATGTGAGACACCGTTACATTTTCAGGCACGATATGTTTTGCTCTGTCAAAGCGGCTGCGGGATCTCGATGCTAGTCAGCTGCGAGGTCTGTGGTGAATGCCGAGAGTCGGCAGTGCTGCTGGGCGATGTCTCACTTGTTGGGGCCTCCAGTAGAGAGCATCAGGTCGGAATGCAGAAAGTCAACTATTCTTTCATATTGTTCTTGCCAAAAGTTGAATCAACTTCTTGGAGATCCCCTCTCAGCCTTGGGTATCGAATATCTTGGCAGCGCAGTAGACTTCTATTTCGGGAGAATATACCTGGACAACTGTGGAGTACGGAGCGATAATCCATCGGCACTTCCGAGTACCACATATAATCTTCTATCAAGTTCATAGCTAGGCGCAAATAAGACTACTCTAGTTTATCGAAACTACCACGGCTTGCATGCTAAACTACGCCACCGTATTTTTATCTCGCGGGGAAACCTAACTGAAGAACCATGGATTACAACGGGTGTGGTGGTGTCAACGACCGGAACTGACTGATATGAATCAATTCCATTTAGTAAAGAGAATATGCTGGCCAAGTCTCCTCGTACTCGCTTCGTTTAGCGGGGGTTAATATGGAGAACAAAAATCAGGAAGGTGACTGTAAGAACTGGGAATCCAATCGAATAGTTAATGCCAGACGTGCGCCAAGATTCGCCGAGCCTCCGCGTGCGGTAGGCCTAAATCTAAGGAACCTCTTCCTTTCGCTCGTTCACCCCTTCATCGGCAAGTCCTCATCGACCTCATCTTCCGTCTCGTCAAGGGCTTCATCCGCGCGCTCAGCGAGCCACTCAAACACTTGCTGCTGGTTCTCTGCCATCATCTCGCCCAGAGTCGATTTTTCAGATTTGTACAGCCTGCCGTAGCGCTTGGATGGCTTGCGATCCTGGTCTTTCCAGATCCCGTGAGATCCGGCGACGAACACGAGAGAATTCTGTACGAGTCAGACATATGTTAGTCTAGCTGTACACCTTTTCCCTGCAAGACTAGACTAAAAAGGCGCTGAAAACTTACATCGCGATACCATTTGGATAGCCAGACCTGAGTGGAAGATGCAACGGCACGGACGGGGTTCTCCGCCACAAATGAGACAATACCGTTAACGCGCTTGTACAAGTTCTCTGTTCGGAGTTAGCCACAGTTCTTTGAAATCTCTTGGCTTTAGTGGCCGACGCCAAGAGAAGACGGATCGACGAGATTTAGGCGTACCTCTGTTGATCAAAAGGTTGACAACACCGGCAAAAGCACTGCCGATACCGAAGAAAAACACATCTCGCTTCTCATAGAAGCTGTCAAGAAACGTGTTAGCTGGGCACATTCCCATCAACATTTCGTCAACGCGTGCAGCTACTTACTCGATGTAGTTATCCCACAAATAATTTGCCAGCTCTTCGGTTGCGGTAGGACGGTTCTCGTCTTCGTCTTCGTACTTTCCTGTGGCCTGTATGTCTCGATTGGTTACCCTGGGTCTCGAGAAGGTTCGGGGGTATGTCAGAGCAGTCCGTACGGGTGTCTGGGTGATATGTTTCGGGATGTTAACGTCAATCACAGCATAGCCCTTGCTAACGATCCATTCAATGTATTCCTTTTGGGCATCAGACTTGGCAGTATTAGCATCTACTCATTGAAGTCGCTCAGCACCAATGTTGGGTATACGTACCATCCAAACGTTGTGGGCTTCAAGTTTACTGGTTACGGGGTCTGGATATCCCATGAGTTCCGGTCTGGAGATGGCGTCAGCTTCAACTCGGTCAAAATAGGAGCGATCCCAAGCAAACTCACGGGTCATGGAAGATGACAATTAGCGGCACGCGCTCATGATAGTTTGCGCTGTTATGATTGTCAGTCTATGGGAGACGGATTTTCTTTGGCATCTTCAAATCCTACCTCGCCAGAACCTGGTTCTCAAACGACCTGGAGATTTTCGTGCGATAGATGTACAGTGGGGTGAGTTTGAAGCTTTCATACAGCGTTTGAGCTTGGTACCCACGAAGAACATCTGTAATTAACATTAGCTATTCACCTTGTCGCTAGATGGTTTCAAAAATGACATACCGTGCAGCCGATCCCCCCCAATGGGATGTTGGGGTGGCTTGGGGTACATGCAGCGCCAATGCTGGGCCTGGATGCTCATGACCCGACCCACGGTCTCAATCGCATCCCTCGTTGGCGCAGTCTTGGTCAATCGGTCGGGGGGCTCGCCCATAAGGGTTTTAGTCACCGCCAATGCAGATTTGGAGATGGATCGGAAGTTGTATCCTCCCTGAACATTCGCGCATCAGTCACGACCTTCAACCATATGGTTCAACAGACTGTTAGACATACCTCCAGGCAGACTGCAACCTTGCCATTTGCAAGAGTCATAAGCATGTGGGTCATTTGAGCATAGCATGAGGGCGACACAAAGCAGCCACCCAGCACGTCACCAGCAGCGGCATCGAATCCAGCGGAAACTAATCCTTCGTCAGTAATAACTTAAAACATGGAGTAAGCCACAACTCACTGATCACCAGATCTGGGTCAAATTCCAAGGCAATAGGCATCACTACTTTCTGGAAAGCGTGCATGTAGTCACCATCGCCCATACCCTGATCAGGCCAAGGGATGTTGACATTCCTAGATTCGATAATGAGTCCAAAGTCCAAGTCAAGATCCCATTTCAAGTCCGACAAAACTCACTTTCCCAGTCCGGGTCCTTCACCGCAGTGATCCCAGTTGCCTTCATCGCCACCGGGATAGAACTTGCCATTCTGATGGACGTGAATCGAGATGTAGAGAACGTTGGGATCGTTGTAGAAAGCCTTCTGCACTCCGTTTCCTGTTCATATGTTAGATGAATATTTCAATGGAAAACCACGAACGGAAATTTCCCAAGCATACCGTGATGGACATCCCTAAACGCTTCGGTCAGTCAAGTCATGCAGTTTTGGAGCCAGAAAAAGTACGCACCAGTCAAGGATCATGATCTTCCGGCACTGATCGCCGAGAACATTCTGGCAGACACGTGCAGCAACAGGCACGTTGTTGAACAAACAAAAGCCCATGGCCGTGTTATGTTCAGCGTGATGTCCAGGCGGACGAATAACCGCAATAGCGTTCTTCACCTGTCGTCTAGCGACGGCCAAGCAAGTCTCAATGGCACCTCCAGTCGACAGAAGGGCCGACGCAAAAGTAAGTCGGTTGAAATAAATCGAGTCCCGCGTTGTCTCCAGATACACCAAGTCGTCATCGAGCATGTCTATTTTCATCGTTAGCGTGATACTCAGTCTGAACAGAAACGGTTTTGATATCATCCTACTAACCCTGGGTGCTTCTGACAAATGCATAGTGAGCCTCGGAATGGATCAGGGTGATCTCTTCCTCTGTGGCATTGCGAGCGTTGATACGCTTCAAGGTCTGCGGGGCTAGTGGATGTACCGACTCGGGATCATCTACCAGACCAGCCCGACATAACTCTTTGTAGATGTAGTAGATTCGTCTCGGGTCCTCGGGGTGCACCTCAGACGTGGGGCGAACTTCACAATGGTACCGCATACGCACATCATAACAGAGGCCGGTAGGAAGCGAACCAACTGGGAGACCAGCCCTGGCCACGACCTCTTCGTCAGACCAGTCTGAGTTCGTTTCAACCAGGCTATCGCGCTTGACGAGGTTGTCCAGCGAGTTAGTCTCTGAGTCGCTCATCTTGATGCGATCAGGTGGCGGGGGCATCCCCGTCAGGAGGGTAGTTTGGGTTGGAAAGGGATCAGAGCCAGGGGAAGGTGATTTGTGAGCAGATGAAAGGACAGAGGGTGCTAAAGTGGGGACGCCGCCACCCTGGTGGATATGTGTAGAGGGAGGAGGTTGAGTGAGGGAGGAGGAGGAGGGTAAAGAAGGGAGAGGGAGCTTCTGGACCTCCCCCATGACGGTGTCCTCGTCTCCCATCCCAGATTCGGACAAGGTGCAGACAATGAAAATTGTATAGAAGCAAACACCACTCCCTTTTTGAATGAGGTGATGGACTTTGTTTGAGAAGCTTCAATATCTCATGACAAAGAGGGCTTGCCAGGTGGAGAAGCCTCTTGTTCAATACTAGCACCCTTGGTTTCCTGGTAGGATTCACCAGTGCGATAAGGTAAAAGCTGCCGTAGATATAATCAGAAAAGGGCCTTTTTGCAAGATATAGTCCCTCTTTCGAGGCCGATGTATTGGATTGCTGGGTGTGGAACCCTCGTCCGTATACAACCACTGTCTTGGTGGTATTTGGTTGTGAACAAAGACAGCTTACCGAGGACCGTGGCAGCACCCTTGGATAGATCAAATCTGATGCTGTGGGATCAAAATTATTGATCTTATTCTTCCACTGAATGGATATTTGGCGGTATACTGTTGCCCCTGCAGAGATGGGGAATTGCAAGGGTAAATGGGGGAATAGATGGGATGTGCATGTTGGATCCCTTTTGGGTCGCTCCTTCATACTGCCGGACATTTTAACTCTCACCGCTTTTGAAGACCGCTCTTGGAGATCCATTCAAGTCTGGTGCAGTTTAGAGATGTGATAGCCGGAATAGGTGGCTGACTCATGATATTCCACGTTTTAGAGGACACCTGTTAAACTGTTCGGATCCATGACACTTCTAGTCCAGGAAGTAGCAAGATTTCCATTCGCTAGACTCATTAGGCTAGGAAGCTAAAAAAGCACAGTCAAGCCTTGGAATGCACTAAAGTCTAGATCTGTCAGAATTTCGATTCAATAATGAAATCTAACAAAAATAGCATAGTTTCTCTTGGGCGGATGAATGGAAGTTAGTGTACGCAATGTAAACCTAGACCTCATGCATGAATCCCCATCTATGGCTAATTCTACCCTTCCTGGTCTAGCGCCCTGTCATACCACCTATGTCTTAGTTGCCTTCAACAAACGCCCAGCCTGCCAATTAATTGACACCGTGGACTACGAAACAATGTCAAGAAGTCTCATGTAAGGGCGGTCGGGATTGTTGGTATACAGCAGCAGTCCAGCCCTTCAATTGCAGTATTCCTTCCAAGTACAGGCGGCGAAGCAACCATATAGATTGCGTCAGAAAGAGACAGAGACGCAATATCTCTGGTCTACACCTGCCTTTCGCTAACAATCTGTAGTATGCTCCAACCATGGCGGCAGTTGAGGCCCTCTTCGACCCCTTTACGAGGAACCCCGGTTTTTCGACCACATTGGGACTCCAAACGAAAGCTATCCAGCAGTAATAGCAGACCTAACATACAATCACCACCTCCTTTATCTGATGATCTATCCAAAGGGAAATATTGCAGATACCCAACTCCAGGTTAGTCCCTTCCTCTACTCTCAGATCCACATACATTGCAAGATTTCATTCCCACTAACTACACCCCTAGATCAAGATCCATACTCCTACACAAGTGGAAGATGGCTACACAAAGATACTCTCCAACGAGCATCTCGCAATATCAAGTTCAACTTCCCCGCACTCTGTGACAAGGTGATTTCCGTATGTCCCGGAGCAACTCGTATCATCAAGTGCGAAAAACGAGAAGGAGGGTTCAACAGAGTCTTCCATTTTACAATGGATGATGATTCTTGTGTCGTCGCACGATTGCCGACTAGCATTGCTGGACCGCCGAGGTTGACCACTAATTCGGAGGTTGCAACGATGACATATTGTAAGTGGAGCTTGTACTATATGTATACCTGTGAACATACTAATTCCTATCTTTACAGTACGATCTAGGCTCACTCTTCCAATCTCTCGAGTTCTAGACTGGAGTGATGACCCTTCAAATCCTATCGGCACAGAGTATATCATCCAGGAGCCCGTAACAGGTGCACCACTCCATCAACTCTGGCCTACCATGACCTCGGAACAACACATGCTATGCACCAAGGCACTTTCGCTAGCGATGAAAGAAATGGCCTCCCTGGACTTTCCAGCCTATGGAAGTTTATATTTCTCAGATGCACCGCTAGATTCGGCACGCAAGATTCACCTTGAGAAAAGCTTTTGCATTGGACCTCATTGCGGATCGATATATTGGAATCGAGGCCCCAGGGAAATTGAACTCTATGGTGACTCAAGTCCTGATTGTGGACCTTGGAAGAACCTGGAGAGGTATTGTCAAGGCTTGATACAAACTGGTTTCTCCCGTTTACCCAAATACGCCATCAATAACGAACTTCTCCCCCATCAAGGGTCGAATCAAGAGCATATTCGACTGTTGAATACCAGTCAATCGATATTACAACACCTCATCGAGGATACGCGTGTTCAAGAGTCTGCGACACCGACTCTACTTCACCCTGATTTCCATATGAGAAATATCTACGTTTCAATCGAAGATCCAACGGTTCTTACTGGGCTAATTGACTGGCAATCAACGAGTATCGAGCCTGCATTTACTTATGTAAATCAAACACCTGATTTCGCCTCTATTCCCGAGGACTTCGAGGAAGACACCTTTCAAGACGAACGTGACCCGAAGCAGAAGCAAAAAGAGTACAAAGATGCATTAATCTGTTACCAAACATAAGATATATGCATAAAAGGATTCGCACCGAAACTACGACCCGCAAGACTTCTCGACGAATCTCTATTCCAACTCTTCCGCTACAGCCACACCTCATGGAGAGATAGCGCCACCGCTTTACGGCAGGACATAATCGATCTTTCGTCTCGGTGGGATGAATTAGGAGTATCTAGTTCTTGTCCGTTTTCGCCGAGTAGAGAGGAACTTGGCCAACATGCGCGGGATTATGAGGATTTGGAGATTGTGAGGGGACTTAAGCGGTGGCTTAGACGGTCGCTGGGTACGAATTCGGATGGGTGGGTGGAGAATGAGGGATGCGTATCGTGCGGTTTATGATAAGTGGATTCAGACGGCGAGGGAATCTGAGGGGAGGGGGGAGGGGTTGATGGTGAAAAAGGCGGAGAAGTTGTGGCCGTTTGATGGTAGATAGGACTTTGATATGGGGGAATGAATATACTATGGATCTGTTTACATTTTGAAACGGGAGGAAAATTGTTTGAACATAAAGAAATGTATTTGTTTCATTAAAATGACGTTATCTTGGTTTTTTCGAGGCACCAGCTACGAGCAATCACTTCTAGTAAGCGACGATCACAAGCAACTAAGCCACCTCAAAGAACACTCCTGACCCCAGGACGCCGTCCTGATTCCTACTGGCCATCGACCTTGGAGATGTAGGCTGTAAAGCAAGATGGTTAGTACATATCAATTGCAGTTCCTCGGAGAGGTATAACTTACAGATCAGGTCAACAACACGGTGGGAGTAACCCCACTCGTTGTCGTACCAGGAGACGAGCTTGATGAAGTTGGGGTTCAGGGCGATACCAGCCTTGGCATCGAAGATGGAGGAGTGGTCGTCACCGTTGAGGTCAGTGGAGACGATGTCGTCCTCGGTGTAGCCGAGGATGCCCTTGAGCTCGTTCTCGGAGGCCTTCTTGATGACGGCCTTGATCTCCTCGTAGGTGGCGGACTTCTCAATGCGGCAGGTCAGGTCAACGACGGAGACGTTGGCGGTGGGGACACGCATGGACATGCCGGTCAGCTTGCCGTTCAGGGCGGGGATGACCTTGCCGACAGCCTTGGCGGCACCGGTGGAGGAGGGGATGATGTTCTGGGCCGCAGTGCGGCCACCACGCCAGTCCTTAGCGGAGGGACCGTCGACGGTCTTCTGGGTGGCGGTGTAGGAGTGGATGGTGGTCATCAGACCCTCAACGAGACCGAAGTTGTCGTTGATAACCTTGGCGAGGGGAGCCAGGCAGTTGGTGGTGCAAGAGGCGTTGGAGAGGACGTTGATGTCGGACTTGTACTCGGTGTTGTTGACACCCATGACGAACATGGGGGCATCGGCGGAGGGGGCGGAGATGATGACCTTCTTGGCACCACCCTTCAAGTGGGCAGAGGCCTTCTCGGTGGTGGTGAAGACACCGGTGGACTCGACGACGTAGGTAGCGCCAGTCTCGCCCCAGGGGATGGAAGCGGGGTCACGCTCGGCGTAGAAGCGGATCTTCTTGCCGTTGACGATCAGGCCGGTGGTGCCATCGATCTCGATGGTACCCTTGAACTGACCGTGGGTGCTGTCGTACTTGAGCATGTAGGCCTGAATTGGGTGAGATGGTGGTTAGTAGTGCGTAGTGGCATGATGTTTGATGCGGGGCAGCCAAAACAAGGGAAGTAGAATCGCTGGCAGTCGTGTGGCATCCCCCGTCACCAAAACGGAGCTTAGGGAGAGAAACGTACAGCGTAGTGGACCTCAATGAAGGGGTCGTTGACAGCGACGACATCGACACCGCCATCGGCGATACTGTAAAGAGGGTGTTAGGATGTTGTGTGGCCAATTGGTAATCCACCAATCCGTGGACATCACGGCGGGAGAATGAGCAAGTCAACTTACGCATTGCGGAAGACCTGAAGATACGTGTTAGCTCAAGCTTGGATGGACCCTGAGGCGAAGGGGGAAAACGGAGAGCAACTTACAATGCGGCCAATACGACCGAAACCGTTGATACCGACCTAGACGCAAAGAGTGTGAGTAGGAGAGCGCGGTGTCGAGATGCGACTCGAAGCGCATACCTTGGGGACCATATTTGCGGTGATTTTTTTTTCTTCTGTTGGGAGAGCTTGGTGAGCTTTAAAACTGCGGATGGCCAGGCGGGGGTGGGGTGACGGGAAGAGAGGAGGGGTAGATAGTAGACGGAGGGGGGGGGGGGGGGGGGGAAGACGGATCAAGGAGCAGAGAGGAGGGAGTGGGATGGAATTGAGGAGAAGGAATTGAAGCTTACCTTGGGGAAGAGTGTGATAGATGGGAAAGTTTGGGAGGATGGGGAAAGAAGAAAGAAAGAAGAAGACGAGGGGGAAAGCAGAGGCAGAAGTAGTTTTTTGGGAGGGCTGACGCAACGAGGGAATCACAGGGGGACCTGTTTTGGATGGTATGGAGGAGGAGATTCAATACGATTAGGTTACGAGATGGTCATACACTAGACTACTGGGTAGATCATGGAACGAGACTCTCAATGTAAGAATCATACGAGCTACACCGAGAGGCCTAGCCCAGGGAGCTATCCAGCTATCCAGCTTCACCGGGTTCCCAGGGGAATTGGTATACCCTCGTAAGATGATGATATTTTCTATTCAGTATATTATTGAATATTAGAATCAGCAATAATCTATTCTATGTATACATGTATCCTGTACTATAGTATACAATCGTGACTACTATGAATAATGATTACCCTCGAGTATCCTTTTCCCGGTCATTGCCGCCCGCAGCCCTGCCCAGCGCCCCCTTTCCGGTTTCATACACCGGGGAAAGCAGGAAGCCTCACGATATTTCTTCTTGTACTCCTGTCTGTAAGCCAATAAGCGTCCAATGATCCTCGGTCGGGTTCTCGTTCTACCTCGGACTCTCTCTTGCTCGAGAATCTTTTGCCCGAGCAATCGGGTTGGCAAGGGGATCATCATGGAGATTCACGATAATGGGATTACTTTTCCGTCGTGTATTCCGGGGGTGGTAATTTTTTGGAGGGGGTCCCGATGGTGAAGCTATGACGAAGGGGAAAAATAGAGGGGTGGAGAGGAGGGGGAGGGGCAAAAAATGGGAGGGAGTGGATGATGCCACGACTGAGGGGCAGAGTCGAGGAAGTATCAGGTACTTGAGATTGTTAGTCCTATCGTAGTATTAAATGGTAGAATATACAATTAATTACTCATGCTCCTGTCGAAACTATTTGATATACTGTATACATAGTAGAGTTAGCAGTATACTGTATGATCAATACCATCTTTTTAACCCCCTTTCACCGTCTGTAATTTTACCAATGGATCAATAATATCCAAATTGATATTCATCCCCTGCCATCTCCCCTTCTCATTGGAGCCCAGTCCATCACCGCATGCGGTGGGCGGGCAACGGGTTAGCTCAAAACAGTCTGCGGTGGACCGGTGTATAAAGAGAGCGACCTCCCCGCCCTGAAAAGAGTCACCGAAACAGGGGTACCACCCACGGGATTCTGCAGACTTTTTGGTACCAACCCGTTGGAGGTCTCGTCAAATGCCGACGGAGATCTGAATGGCTCGACTCCAAGTATATGACAATGGCGCTTTCGCCAGCTTATAAATCCCGTCTTCCTGCTGTTGCCCCCGCGGCATACCATATCCGAGCGGCGAAGAGGCGAATGTACCCCTCGATACTGAATGATCAATGACCTCGTGGTCACTGACCGCCTCCAATGAATCATCTCATAGCCAAGACCACATTCTGATGGGCTTCGTTCTGATATGCTGAGCGCGCCGAATGAGATATATGAGATATGCGCCGAGTCGCGGCTAGGGCCCTGAAGGCGGTGGAACACCGTGGAAACTGACCGACCAAAAAGGGCAACACTACCTTGTTGACACGACATCACGGGTATCACACTGCACGGATGCCCAGAATGCATAGATAATGCATGCCTACCGTTGAGGCTCTGACTCTTCGATACATATACAATCTACGTAGGTAATTCCAGACTGCTCGACATTACAATTATCGGAGATTTATTGCAACGGCCCAACCTCGCTTGCCAATGCCACGGGAAGGTAAAGATATGAAGGTATAATACAGTCAAGAAGCAATCGCCGTCAACATGACCGGTCATTCTCCACCCTGGACCCCCAGGAAAGAGCGAAAAAAAAAGCAAGAACATTCTATTTCAGAATAGACTTCCAATAGCCCTTCCCGGCTTCTTCCCTTATGATCCATGCCAATTTCAAATGAGAAAGAAAAAAGTCCCCGCGGGTTATGCATTTACTCCTCCTTGACACCACCCCGGTAGTTCTTCTCCGCGCTCTCAATGGAGGCCTTGTCGCTCTTGGGCTGGCCCTGGGACATGAAGCCGCCGGCGTTCTTGAAGGGGCGGGCCAGGTCACCAGTGGCGGGCTTGCCGAAGACGTGGATCTTGACCAGGTTGGCCTCGAAGGCGCCCTTCAGGGGGATGATGGACTGGATGAGCAGAGGGTTGGTGTACTTCATGTACAGGTGCATCACCGCCATCATACCAACACCCATCAGCTGGCTGCGGATCAGCTGGCGCAGCTGACCCTTGTCGTAGTCCATGTTGGTCGTGGTGACCGGCTTGGCCTCCTCGCCGGTACCCATGGGGGCAGGCTCGACGTACTTGAGGGTAGTCATGTCTGTATTGAAGTAAAGAAAGCAGTTAGTTGATGTGATGCTTATTGTTGGATATTGCGCACGTGCGACCATAGTTTGCGCGATGATAAGGGGGGGGGAAGAAACTTGGTCGCACGCGATCATCAACATACCCTTCTTAGCGTTGATCTTGGCCTGAGTGTAGAGGTAGAGACCCAGGATGAGAACGTTGGACAGGATGTACAGGCCACGGACACCCATCAGGACCTGAGGATCCTCAAAGGGAACCTTCTTGGCCAGCTGCATCATCACGAGGATGATGCCAAGGTTGGTACTGTAAAGGGTGGTCTGTTAGTTCAATTTGACAATAGAAAGAGGATCGCATCATCGTCAAGACATCAGGAATACATACACTTGAGCGGAGACCATTTTGCCGAGAGTTGAACCTGTAAACCGGGGTGGAGGAGCAGAGAAGAGAAAGGAAATGGATGATCGGGGAGCGGAGAGAACGGTAAAACCCAAACTCGACGTTGCCTCCCCGGGCCACCTGGCGTTCTGGAGATCGGACAAACTATTCGGCCGTTATCAGTAGATTTTAGTCACGTGACATGTCACGCCTGTCCGCGCGGAGAATCAACCCGTCCAGCATCATCATTATTGGAAGATGGCTGAATCGAACAACGACAGTTGGTCGACTATCCACTTCTATTTTATGGAAAATCAAACTTGACCAGCTATGAGAATCTCTCTCATGTCTGCCAGCTTTCCAACCTTGCCCATGCCGGGATGAACCGGTGGTGGTGGAAGGGGAAAGTGAAGGGCCCGCAAACGGGTTCTTACTTTGCTCTGGCTGACGCCTCTCCACCCTTTCTAGCAAAGGGTTCAAAACGGATCACATATTTTGATATGCTGACTGGACATATTGAGAATAGCCAACGCTATCTTCTACGTGGTTTCTTTTGCATGGGACCTCCCCATCTTATGCCATGATCTTGCGGGTGGGCGACCTTGAGATGACTACCGCTTTGGGACTAGCGCCGGACCCGCGGTCGCAGTCTTTAGCGACCGGGACGGTTGGACATTTCTGACTTCTCCATCCATCAACAACGCGCGTGCCTTCCGATATCGAGATATCGCAACTTCATCTCCCCGCTACTCGCCCACGATCTCTTCAAATACCCCGCGCTTTCACTCAACATCTCAACAACCCCCCACATTCGAAACCTATCTGTCCAAGATGCCTGGCGGAAAGGGAAAGTCCATCGGTGGAAAGGGTGGTTCCAAGGACTCGGCGGGGAAGGCCCAGAAGTCTCACAGCGCAAAGGCTGGTCTGCAGGTGAGTTGTTGGGTTGGTCAGGAGTCGTTGGGCGTGGATGGAAGGGACATGCGATAGGGGCCTAGCAGCGCCTCGATGGATGATGCAAAGACGCGTCGAAATTCGACCTTTTCCCCTCACTGCCGCGACAGTCATGGTGATCGAAGGCGACTTTTCGCATCATGCCATCTTGTCGCATGTCCTTTCGCTCGCTCCTCGCGACCTGGTCGCACCCTGTTTATCGCGCTGTCATCGTCAAGTAACTAACATGACTTGTCCCGGCAGTTCCCCTGTGGTCGTGTCAAGCGTTTCCTGAAGAACAACACTCAGAACAAGATGCGTGTCGGTGCTAAGGGTATGTCACCTATCCATCCTGTCTGTTCATTTTCGATGCTGACAAATTCTAGCTGCCGTCTACGTGACCGCCGTCCTCGAGTACCTCACTGCCGAAGTCCTGGAGTTGGCCGGTAACGCCGCCAAGGATCTCAAGGTCAAGCGTATCACCCCTCGTCACTTGCAGCTGGCCATCCGTGGTGATGAAGAGTTGGATACCCTCATCCGCGCCACCATCGCCTTCGGTGGTGTCCTGCCCCGCATCAACCGTGCGCTGCTGCTGAAGGTTGAGCAGAAGAAGAAGGGCAAGCCCGAGCTGTAAATGGGACCTGGATGGATTTTTTGAAGAGAATGGTTGAAGGCGACCGACAGGTTCAGAGCATGATGAGCTGATCTATGTTTCTGATGGTGCTCCTATCCTCTTAAGGACTTCTCTCCTCTCTCTCTCTCCTCCCGGGATCTCTTTTTTGTCATTTCGTTCTTCACGGCGCGCGACTTTGATGTATTGTCTTGTCTATTCCCCGGCTTTTTTTCTTTTCTTTTCTCTTTTCTATGTTTTTACGTGTTGGATTCGTGTGATGTCTATTTCGAGTTCACAGGGCGCTGTAATGGGAAAATGGGGGATATCCTGGTAGTGTGGAAATTACTACTTCTACTTTTGATTAAATCTGACCACGCGTAGTTTTATTGATCAAATAATATATAGGATCATCTAAATCACATATCACATCTTGAAAATGTATTCACCACCCGAGTTCCGACCGGGACAATCCGAGACTAAACCAACTCGGACAGAGAAACAATAAACAAAAAAGAGGGATCCGCGGGACATTCTTCGCGCCCGCCACAATAGTCAATGCTCAATGCACGCCCCCTCCCCTCCTTTTGGCATGGAATCCACAGCCCCTAACTATCGCGTCGCGACTCATCAGTTACATCGTATGGAGTATAAGTAGGAAAATGGAGAGAAAGCAGAACAAAAGTACCATATCTTATCATGCAGAGCCGCCGATTACCTAACTGTTCTCTAGTTGCGTGGAAATGGAATGGATGCCTAACTTGTGTCAGTGCCAAGATCTCTCTAAGAGCTGAGAGTATTGTAAGATTGGGACTAGAACGTCGACGTGCATGGAGGGGACGGGGGATCGGCAGGGACATTGCCGAGATTATCATGGGAGGATCCTTGTCTATGTCTATGTTGGAGTTTACTAACTGAATAATGCGGTAAAGAGTTCATCAGGCTCTAACCAATACAGATCTCTGTAGGGGATATATGTGATTCTTAATTACTGGCGGGTTTCCGGTTTGATAGGTTTCTATAGATTACACTTCTCATGAGTCGAGTATGAGTAACAAGTCAGGATAAAAATGATTAAACACTCTGCTTTCTACTAACACGATAACGAGTAAAAGATACATGGATTTTCAAAAGAATTCGAGTTACAAGATTTCAAGAAAAAGAAGCCCCCTAACAGGTTTTAACAATGCCCAAGAAAAGAATTCCCCTCGATGATCAAGAAAAGCTTATATAGAAAGGAGACGGAGATTGCAGAAATCAACACTGTAGAGTAGAACCTAGAAGAATACCTACATGCAAAGCTGAAGGTATTATAACGGAGATCTAGGTCACGCCACAAGAGTCAACCCTCGGAATCCCTGCTCGAAGCATCCAAGCCCAAATCTCTTTCGAGTCTGCACGAACACAGCGCCCAAACGCAGTTACATCATGCAAACGGTAACAAGAGAAGTGAATCATATAAGAACACCTCTGCCACATCAGGTATATAAAGAGATACCACCGCTCCTCTCCCCAAAACGTCACATCGCACACTCAGGGGTTCAGATACGGACGGCATCGAGAAAAGAGAAGAGAAGTGGAAGAAAAAAAACGGGCCAAACATTAAATCGATCGAAAGTCGCCCCCCATGTACAAACTAGAACAGGCGAAAAGAAAATATGCAAATGCTGAGATTGTCGTGTCTCCCGTCGTGTGGACGGGGTTCTTTTGGTCATTCTTCGTATGCGTCCCGCGTCACCAAAGAGCACTGTATCTGGATATCATGGGATCATTATCATCATCGTGAGAGAAACGATAGAGATCAAGAAGAGAAATCCGAGGGTTGCAGTGTCCGGGGGAACACCAAGTAACAAAGCCATGGAGAAGATTTGCATGCAAGAAACGGCGCCCGCAGGAAAAGGGTCGAGAAAAAAAGAGAGAAGAGAGGAAGGCAGAAAAAGAGAAAACAGAAGTAGAAAAGAAGAAAGGACAAAATCAACAAAATCAAGTCCAGAGTTTCATTCAAAGAGTAATGGGCGATCAACTGCCTCGAATATTCTCCAGAGAGAAAAGATCCGAAGAGCAAGATCAATCCCATGAAGGTGTGTGGTGGAGGACTCGGAAAAAGAGGTGCAAGTTGCAGAACAGAAGTGCAAGTGCGAATCGTTGGGCTGCCCCAAAGTAAAACAGAAAAAAAAAACGTCTAAACTTGGCTAGTAAAAAGAGTAAAGTAGATCAGATCAGCGACACAATGGATTTTTCTGGTCTTTTTTGGGGTGGTTGTCATCTCGTCATCCCTCATCGAAATCGTAAGCCGGTAATTCGCAGAACAGGGCCTCGTGATACAAGTTCGTATTCGTCTCGCGGCAAATCAGTCGGATGCTGGCAAAAAATAAGGGGTAAGGGAGTCGCCATCGTCTTTCAAATAAAAAAAAAGAGGGGAAGGAAAAGAAAAGGAGAAAGGGGTGATTCTTTTCCTGTTCTTTTTTCCTTTCTTATCCCGGTTCCAACGGTAACAGGCAAAAAATAGTATAATGGTAGTATAGCAGTCGGTTCGGTTCGGATGGGGATCGGGTGGGTGGGTGTGTGTGTTTGATTTGAGAATAAAGGAGGTTTTGGTCGTCTACTCCACGATGATCTCAACACCCGAGGTAGCACGAAGCTCGTCACTGCCACGGGCCTGATGTCCGTTCTGGCGGCGGAAGCCGGTGCCCTTCTCGGGTGTCGGGCCACGGGGCTGTCGGATCGGCATGCGCTCTTGCTGGGTACTGTCAAAACCCATTCCCATGCCACGGTTGCTACCGATAGTACCGGCCACCGAGGACTGGCTATCCTGCTCCCAAGAGAACATACCACGCAATCGTCGAGGGCTGGAGTTGGGGCCTCCGATGCCGGTTCCAAGAGACAGGCCACCAAGGCTGTTCACGAGCAGGTTATCGTCACGCTGCATGCCCAGAGAAGAGCCCGAGGGCGCCGAAGTCAGAGTCGGGGTGTTGGAGGTACCGGTCGGGGCACCTTCGTATTGAAGACGGGTTCCGTTGGACTGCAAGGCGGCAGGGAAGCTCGCAGAGGACGGGACGGGAGACGGGGTGTATGATCGCAGGTCGGCGAAGGACTTGGCGGCTCGCAGGTTTTGAGTGTTGGCAAAGTTGCCAGGCGAGTCCATCACACCCAGGAAGCTAGAAGTCTGACCCCGTAGGGTGTTGAAGGCACCGGGGCCACCCTCGTTACGGGCCTCACTGAAGTCAATCGTGGCCGCACGGTTGAGACCACGGCGAGCGCTATCACCAGGTTGTCCCGCAGGCGGGATGGCCGACAGAGGGGGGCTGACATTGGTACCAGCCGCCACCTTGAAGACCTGAACCTGGCGCTGATCACCATTACCGCGGGAAGCATGGCCCAAGCCCATGTTGTGAGCCAGAGTGTGAACCGTGCGTCGCTGGGATGGGGTCAAGTTGGGCGGGAAGATGACAGAGTCGCGGGCGGTGTCCTCCTTGAACAGGAGCAGTTGCGAGTAGTACGAAAGAGTCTGGCTGTCGTTCAAATCCACCTCTACTTGTTCGTGTTGATGAGCAATCAGGTCACTGTCGGATGTCGGGAAGTGCCTGATTGACTTACCCAGCTTCTGACCGCGTTGCGAGACGGGCGAGGGCGAGGTGGCCGGGATATGCGAGGTCAGCGAGGACATGGAACTCTGCGTCTGCAGCTGGGACGAGGCCATGGGCCGGTGCTGTTCTTCCAGCTGGCCACGGCGCTCCCGCTTCTCCCGTTCGATGCGTTCCCGCTCCTGCAGGGGAAGCATCTTCTTGTACTCTACACGTAGTTTCCGGCCCTGCAGTTCAAAGTGGTTCAGGACCTCGATCACCGTAGCAGTCTCCTCCGCCGAAGTGAAGTTGGCAAAGGCCAATCCACGGAACACGCCGTTGTCAAAGTGGTAGTTGAAGGCATAGGGGAGGGGCAAGTTCAGCTCGGTCATGAGCTGGACCAGCTGCTCCTTCTTGACGGCAAACGGAATGTTCTTGATAACGATCGCAGTTGGGATCAGTTCGTCGTCGCCCTCGGAGGAAGCCGATGCTTCCGGGCGCATTGCACTGCTCTGGATGGGGCCAGGGCCCAAGTTGGAGAAAGCGTTGGGCATACCGGGTTGCTGATCCAGCCAAGTCTAAAAAGGAGAATGAAAAATAAGTTTTAGTCGGGGGACTTTTTTGGTTTGCGACGGGTAGAAAAAAAAAAACTCTGGTGAAAACAAACATCCCAAGGGAGGAGGGTAGTTGAAGGGAAAAGGGACGAGACGGCCACAGAAAATTTTTCGTTTAAAACCAGCACGCTGGAGCATAACAACACTACATACCGTAGGCAGACCGGTGCGTCCGCGAGCATTAGGCTTCAAGCTAGCCGAGGCCGACCGAATCCCACCAAGGGACTGGGCGTTGGCGAAGCCATTCGGGTTCCAAGTCTGGGATCCGGACAAGTCATAGGCATAGGAGTTGTTGTTCTGGAGCGAAGGGTTCAGACGCTCTAGACGGGCAGACTCGTATCGGGCCATTTGATCCTCGTAGAGATTGACGGGCATGGGGCCGTAAGCGTCAAACTGGCGAGAAGGTTGGCGGTGCAGGGGTTGTTGATGCCGCTGGGATCCAGGGGAACGCGCGGAGGGATCGTGATACATGTCCGACTGTTGGTAACTCATGGCGGAGGAACGAAGGATTCCCGGGGGAGGCCCGAGGAATGTGAGCACGTAAGATCCACCACAACAAGGTCCTTTAGATTTCGAGTCTTCCGAGTTCGAGTCCGAGGCCTTTAAGTCCTGACTCGAGTTTCCAAGTTCCCGGGCGGGTTATAGGTCGAGCAAAGAGTCCGTGGAAAGCACGGAACTACTCGGACATGGGAGTGGGCCGGGATAAATTTGTCGATGTTCGGGGGGGAGAAGGGGGGGGGGGACGTAGGGTAGGAAAGTCAGGAGTCTTGGTTGTTGGGAGAGGAGAAGAGGGTGGAGGAATTTTGCGGAGGAGAAGCAGGACAAGGCACCAGGGCAGAAAAAGCGTGCGGTGCAAAGAGGGACCAAACAGCAAAATCGCTCACGGATGCAAAGTTCGTGCTCGTTCGGGGTCGTGAAATGGGGAGAAGGAGGAGGGGGGGGGGGGGGGGGGGAAGGTATGAGGCAAAAAAGGAGGTTCTTTTTTTGTTTTTGCTTTTTAGGGGGAAGGAGAAGTAGAGACGCCCGAGAATTTTCACGGTGTCATTTAAGCAGGGAGAAGAGAGAGAGGGAGAGGAGAAGAGCGGGGGGGCGAAAAGGTTTTTGGGAGAGTCGGCGGTCCACACAGTCGAGAGACTCGCCAAGATTCGGGAGTAAGGAGGCCCGGAGAGTGTCGAATGGTCGAAACGTCGACGAAAATGATAGTTATGATACCACGGCTGATCAAATCGGTTTCTTAAATTCCAATAGGAAAAAATTATAGAAAAAAGAAAAGAAAAGAAAACCAGAAGTCGCGATCGTTTAGGGGGAAGAGATTGGCTCCGGCACTTATATAGTAGCCGGTGGCCTCTAGGACGAGACTATCTCCGTCTAGCACGCTAAGAAACCCAGAGTGGTTCTGCCACGACGAAATAGAAGGAGCTGGGATAATAATAGTATAGTAACGGTCAATAGAGCAGAAAAATTTAGAGTTGGAATTAAACTAGCAGAATTCGGAGAACTACTCGAGCGATTCGGACGATCATGGTCCAATTCCAAATGTACAGTACGACGGAACACTGAGAACAGAGTACTTGTATATATCACTTCTGTTGGGAATGCTTGGGGTAGGTCTAAATGACTATCTACTCTATCTATCATTATCTTAACCTAATGGTTTAGACTACTCATTACTTTGCCTACCTTGAATATTACAATACCCTACTAAGTTACTCCCAATGATCATGCCCCTGGATGTTCTTCTACTCCCTCTCTATCGACGTTCTGGACAATCGATCGTGCCAATCGGAGATTCAACCTCCCTATTCAATGTTGTCTCAGCTCCCCACTCCTCCTAACACCCACATACTACTAATGTACCATATGTACTATATACGGAGTCCTCTTCCCCCCTATCCGACCTCTCTAGTTCCTACCCGTTCATCCGCCCCTCTTCTCTCAATCTCATTTCCTTCTTAGCCTTCCATTTCACCTTCTAGCACTATCCCCTAGTACTCTTCGAGCTTTGCGTTTTTCATCCCTGATTTCTTCCCGAATTCCACCACGATCGGCCCATCCCCACTACCCCCTATTGTCACTGGTTGGAAAGTTCATCTGCATTGCGCATCGAATCAGCGAGCGTAGAACGGGTTCCAAGCTCATCTTAGTCGCTCGGCTCCCCTGTCCGTCATCTTTCTGTCTTTTCCAGTCAGAGTACTTTTTCTGAATTTCATATTTCTGGTTCCTGACGCCCGTGCTCCCCTCTTCCCGGTGTCATACTTGACACGTCTCCGCCACTGGGGACATCGGCAAACGCAGGCGAGCAGGAGGCGTTTAACGCCTCCTTGTGGCTGTTGCCTGAAGAGGATGAGTGTGCGTATGGGGTAGTTAGTAGTATGGACTATGGAGTAAGTCATAATAGTATTATGATGGTATAATTAGTTCTCTTTATTTGCAGCAGACTCTTCTTTGAAATTCTTAAATTCGGTAGAGTATTCGGAGGAAAGGCTATTGTCCGGTGCTTGCCACCAAGTACTTTGTACTCTATACTCATTCGCAAAGCAATAACCCAAGCATGGACATCCCCAAGAAAGTCGTGCAAAGCCGCTGCGGATCGCACGAGCAGTTTCAGAGTGACATTTGACCGGTCCAGCCCTCTCGGTTCACGCCGTGCCTCGTGCTCGCCGCATCGCCACTTTATTTGATACGTTGACGGCTCTCCCGTCCCGCTGCAGCTTTACGCATTTTTTCTTTTCTTTTTCAACGAGCATAAGTCTTAGTAATACGGAAATAGCTTTTATGATGCATTACATGACTACGATGACTATTTATCCGTTTAAGTTATTTAGTTACTATTCTTATCCCATTATTGTATTCTTTTTAACTTGTACAAAGTCCCCTTGGCCAGTCCCCGTTTTTTTTTCCTTCTTCGTTTTCCTCCCCATGAGCTCCCGTCGTAAACGAATCGATCCACCCCCTAAATTGTTGACCTCCTTTTTTTTCCTTTTCTTCCGAAGTAAATCCACTGGCCTTTCTTCCATAGAAGGGATAGCGTGGCTTTCAGGGGATTGTCTCGATCTGTGATTCTTTTGCCACTTCAAGGGTACGGAGTTCAATTAATGATCATAGCTCCACGCATCACCCTTGGCCTTAATTACCACCCAATCATCCGCCGAATATTCCCATCTAGCAGCACAATGATAATTGAACTTACGGAGTTACATTGCTACAATAGCTGTAAGCATAAAAACGACCTACCATTGTGGAAACTCATCAATAGTTTGGTCCAACGGAACGGCCCCGGCATTGGACCAGTTCTCGAATCCTCCTATTATTTGTTAACCCTCCATTTTTCATTCTTCTTCTCTGCCTCCACGAGTCCACGCCCTGATTGACGGCGCATGGTGCTATACCACGCCATCTCCACCCATCCTCCACTAGCCAACCCCAAAATAGGAAAAGAAACCTGTGCCCGTCTCCACGATCCGCACATCCCCCGTTTCTAGTCTCCCGCGGAACTTGGCTGCAATCTGTCCGGCTCCTCCCAAGGCTCCAACCCATCAGCTAGAAACCCGCTAGAGACGGGTTAGAAGGACCGTCCTGGTGGGAACGTCAGATTTCCAATGCTTCCTAATTCCTAATCCTGGGAATTGGGTCGGATTGTGGAGTTATCCTAGGAGAGTTGTTGGTCGTTACTGGTTCTCCTTACTCCCGACTTGACGGTGCCGGTTGCGCGTGGCGGACGCCGTCGCGGTGCCGTGGCCATGTCGACGGGGATGATGGGGAAAGCTTCCGGAGCTTCTGGGAAAGTTTCCGTGTGAAGCTACCAAGTACGATTTCTTTTGCCTGATTGGTGGTTTGCGGAATCGGTACTTTCGTGAATGGGTGCCTTTTTGGAGGGTGTTCCCCCCTTTCTCGTTGTTTGAGATGTGAAGGATTTCAGGTGATATTATCGGTCTGCAGTGATCTACTTGTTGCTGCTCGTCTTGGGGATAGTGCTCGACATATGAACCCCCCCCCCCCCCCTTTTTTTTAAGGTCTATTGACGATCGTTCATCCTTCGTCCCTGGTGCTCTGCCTTGACTCAGTACGAAAGAAGTATCAACTTGCTAATTGACCATGGAAGCTTCGGCCGAGTCTTGGAGAAGACTATTCAAGTAGGTTTCGAGCTCGGCCTTCGAGAAGGAGCTTCCATGAATGTGTCTGCTAAGTGAGGCGATGAAGAGCCGTTCCGATCCTAAAATATCAAATTCCAAAAAAAAAATAGCCTCACGCCCTAGTGGAATGGCCCGGTCCTTTTGGCGTGTCTCATCATGTACCGGGGTCCGGGAGCGTCGGAGAAGATGTTGTGCATTTCTATTTCACATTCAGGGGAAACGAGGTCCCCGTCAATAGACGAGTGGGTCGAGGATGGCTATTCGCTGCTCTGGCGAACCTGGTTCCTTCATGTCCCTACGGATGCAAATAGTTATGGCAGGAATGAACCTAATGATTCTGAGCTTAACCATGTACTTCGTCCAAGGTACTCGATTATGAAGCTTTGCTGTTTATTGTCGGCGAGAGCAGTTCCCGATGGTCCTATCACGCGAGCAGGACTGGAGTATCGCTCGTAAGCATTAGTGCTCGTTCTAGTGTTGTTTTTTTGCATAGATGCGACGATCTCCAAGCAAGCGTTGAAGCACAGTCGACTCGGTGGCCCAAGGGGTCAATAGCTTAAATATTTCCCACCAGTGTCTCATCATATTATGCAATGTCATCAAACAGGGGTCCAAAAATTCCACGTGGAAGTGGGTTTGACAAAAAAAGAAGTGAGGCATGTTCCAGGACGGAGGAGAGGAGATGGAAATGATCAGCAACCTAAGGGGCTTTGAGTTGGAGTATTCGGCGGCCCGACAATTAAATTAGAGGTTGAAAGAAGAAATTTAGGTATAGGGACAAATCGCGAGCGGAATCAATTCCTAGAGTACTATGCATGATGAGCTAGGCTGTTCACTTAGAATCGCTCACCTAACAGGCGGGGAGTGGGTGCATCTGTATACGGCGGACTATTGGGTTCACGTCCCCAAGTCCCTTAGTTGGCGATTTTCAAACCGGCAGAATCTCGATTTTACCACAGGGGGACCATTAAAATTGATTTAGATTAACTCAACTAATTAGATTAGTAGAACTAACAATCTATAACTTATTAGTCCAGGTATAACTTATTAAATCTCCAAGACCAATCTCAAGACTAACCTCATTATTAAACCGGCCACGTTAGTATATAATACTAGTAATTAATGTTTCTTCATTGACGAGCTTATAGTAACTCAGATAAATATATGTGTGATTTATAAGATAACCTCCATAGTTAGTTATACATCAAGAATATTTAGTTATAGCGTATAGGGCGATGGAATAAGTGGTGAAGGCACTTAGTAGGATTTAGGGGTTTTGGGGAAGTGAACCCAATAGTCCGCCGTATATTTAGGAGTTCCTCCGGATGGTCTAGAGAAGGAACGTTTATGGAATAGGGTAAATGATTGGTTAGTCGATTAGTTTTAGAGTACAGGTGAACACACCTAGCGGTTTCCCATTGTGGTATCCTTCGCGTGGTCGGCTTGCGTCACTAGCCCGGGATATATATCACCGAGTCAGACATTGATTGAGGCGGGTACCAACCACGGCGATGGGATTATACCTACAATACCCAGGATATCCTACGAAGAACACGTCGTCCGATATGACTCGTAATATATCCATCCATGTGCTCTGCAATATGGTATATTCTGCTCTGATAAAACGCCGGCCCAGAACACAGCATGGCAACGCTCAAGGGTCTCTTCAGGGTCTTCTCGAACAGATCAAAGTACTCAATACTCCCCAGGCCCAAACCATTGTACTACGTCAGCCCTGGAAGGGCCTGCAGAGAACTTCGTGCCACATGGCCACGCCAATGCGAACAAAGATAGATGTAGAAAGCAAACCATGAAAGCCCCTTCATTCTTTTGAACCCGAGCCGACCCTGTTTCATCAAAGAATAAGCATCGATCCCTAAACGCAAAGGCCAAAGTGTCCACAAGCGAGCTTCTTTCGACGTCAGTCGGCCCAAGAGTAGATTACCCTCTACCAAGTCCCTCATTCAGTACAATTGGCGGGGGTTGCATCGCTTGTGACGATCCAGTGTTATCTCGTCGGAGATGGACGTCGCTTAGACTGATAGACAGTCTGAACGTTCAACTCAATACATACACTCGTCTGCTAGAGACGCGCCCGTGGTGATCGCCGCCAATGAGGAGAACAGCCGTGGCGTAGACAAGAGTGCGGGACATGACCCAGACATGGATCGTGAAACAACCCACGGTTCCAAGGGGTACGAATGGCTGACGAGTTTGGGGCCCCACTGAAATCCGATCGTTGCATTTGGGAATCCTTAGAGGACGTCAGTATTTCCCCGATTATCACTAGAAGAGTGGAAAATTGCCAACTTATCGGTAGTGCAAGACGGCTTCTCCATGGAAGTGTTGGGTCGTGCATTTCAATAAGCATAGCCTTGTGGACAAGAATAGTTTTTGGAGGCAGCCATCGGGCTTGATGGCGCAAACCGGTCCTCATACGCGGCCTCTGCAAGCCACTTTAAGCCCAGTGCCGATCGGCTGGGGCGTCACCCGTCGGAACGATGAGGGTTTGAGAACGAGGCCAGTCAAACGATCCAGTCGCATCCTCTCGTGGGCGTGAGTGGGGCCGATGATGCTTGACAGAGCCAAAGCCCCCAAGAAAATGCTGGTTTAAAACGTTGTCAGCCTGCCCTTCATGGTGGAACGTAGCGGCTGAAGAAGCTGGGAGAAGTAGTGAGTCTATAATTTGTCGTCCTTTTTAGTTCGTTGCTCCTACTGTTCAATCGAGGGACCTCCAGCAGGAGAAGCCTCTTATATCGGTCGCGCAACGATGCGCATCACTTTTCGCGTGTCAATAGCCGTCGCCTTGGTCGTTACTATCCTGCTCGTCAAGAATCATTTGGATTCTCTCGAGCCAAAATGGCAAGCCGACCGCGGCGCTGACCTTGCGCCGGAATTCGTGCTGGACAGCGCTGGCGCACATATCGAGCTGGTCTCGGCCAATCCTACACGACTGTCACCTACGTACTCTTCACATTCTTTACAAGCATCATACTCTTCTTCGCCAATTGCACCCCAATCAAATCCTGCGCCGCCCTCCAAATCGTGGCCCGAGCCGACGAATCCGCCCGTGAAGCCGACCAAGTTTCAACCGAAATCAATCCCGGTCGATGTGCCGGGCGCGTATGATGATATTTGGCAATATCCGTTCTGGATGGATCGAGATGATGAGGCTGGGGTCATTCATAACCTGAATGTGAAGCCGAAGCCCAAGCCCAAGTCGACTCCCAAGCCGAAGGTCTCGCCGTATCCCGATCGCGTTATCGTCTTGGGTCGTATGTCGTGGGAAGACTCGGATTGGTTGGAGGAGGAATTGCCCGAGTGAGTTACCAGTGAAGTTAAACTATTTCAACACTTTCGACTAACATTTTTGAATCCCGCAGATGGCAACACGCAGTCTACGTGGTCGATGAACCCGACTTCGAATACACCGTTCAAATGAACAAGGGCAAAGAATCCAACATCTACCTCCAGTATATCATCGACCACTATCACAAACTCCCCGAATACATGGTCTTCCTACACGCCCACCGCAACGCCGATCATGTCGAGTTCTGGGAACAGGACAATGCCCTGACCGTCCAACGTCTCCAATTGGACTACTTGAAGAAGGTCGGCTATGTCAATCTCCGCTGTGGCTGGGGCCCAGGCTGCCCAGATGAAGTCCAGCCATTCCGCCAGTTGGACGGGCGCACGACGGAAATTGCTTTCGCAGGCGCTTGGATCCGTATCTTCAATAATACGGATGTCCCCGAGGTAGTGGCGACCCCGTGCTGTGCGCAGTTTGGCGTGACCAGGGCACAGGTTCATGCCCGGCCTTTGAGTGACTACCAGTCTTTTCACCGCTGGCTGATGGAAACTGAATTGGATGATGAGACGAGTGGCCGTGTGTTTGAGTATTTGTGGCATATTATTTTCGGGCAGGATCCCGTCTTGTAAGTTTGGCCTTGACTTGTTGTCTTGTGGGAGCATCGCGCTGACATCTCGTTCTTTTTAGTTGTCCCTCGAAACAACAGTGTTATGAGGATGTATATGGAATGGAGTGGGACCCTGCCTACGAGGATGATTATATGGATTGGGTTAGTGATGATTTTTGGGACATGCCATGAGTGATGTTCTGTGTATAGACTGTGATATAAAACTCGCCCTGCATAGTATTGGCGCATCTCGAGACGAATAGATACCCTTGTGCCTTTTTTTTATTGATTGTTTTGCTCTTGAATATTGAAAGCCCCACCTTAATACCATGTCGTGTCCTTGGGGCTCTCTTCTGTCGAGTTGTACTTTTAAGATAAGGTTACGCATGATGCATGGCTCGTGCCGACCTCCGGCCAACTTCAAGGTGTTGCTGGCCATCAACCAGGGTCCATCAGAGAACCCTTCTCTTGACATAAAAGTCATAGCTACTGCACAACCTTCGAAAGCACAAATATTATCAAATTGTCAATACTGTTCAACTCTAGAAATAAATACCAGATCCATTCAATTCGTAACGACATCTTAACCACTATCAAAAAGCTCGTATTGCGTCGTGTTCCATTCCCATGCACGTCACGCCTATCCTCCAAGAGAGTCCGAGAGTCTGTCATCTACAGCCAAGCGAGAGGCATGAGACCAGAAACTGCAACTAGAGAGACAACTCCTGGAGCTGTCAAGCCCACCGCAGCACCAGTGGAAGTGCTCGCGGCTGCGCCGCTGGTAGTCCCAGTCGAGCCTTGAGACGAGGTACTAGTAGAGCCAGAGCCAGCAGCTGTTCCACTAGTTGCAGTAGCAGTAGCAGCGGTTGCTGCGGGATCAGTAGTGCCAGTAGCCGAGGCACTAAGAGTGGTGGCAGCAGCAGCGTTGTAGGTAGTGGTGCTGAACTTGCAGGAGTGGACGAGGTCAAGGGCTTCTACAAGCGGCACATCAGTATGCTGCCATCATACAATGAAAAGGGTTCGAGAAAGTTCTTACCATTGTCATCGTCGTCGTCGTCGTCATCGTCATCACGGTCATTGTCACGGGGGCCATACTGGGTAATACAGGCAGCGCAGAGAGGAATTTGTGTCTTGGCTGCTTCCCAGTTGCAAATACACTGCAATTCGGCAGAGTCGTTGTCATGCTGGTTATCGCAGCGTCTGGAGACTCCGACTACAGAGCCACAGGCATCCCAGCAGCGATTTGGAACGTCGTCTTGCTCCAACTTGGCTGCGATTGCAACGTTGCCGGCGAGGATAAGACCACCGAGAGCGAGGAGCTGTTGGGCACGCATGATGTTGAGTTTTTGAAGTTGGAAGGAACTTGGAAGTTTGAAGTTTGTTTGAAGAGATTGATGAAGCTGTTGATATGATTGTTTGTTGATGGAATTGAGCTCTCTTTATATGTTTGCTTTCACAACCAAGACCCTGATGTTTCTATAAATGAAGTTATCGATAGGCGATGCCGATCTAGTACATTGCGGAGTTTGTTTGTCTTCTCTCCACCGCATGTTTCCGACAGACAGTGTGAGTATTGGGCAAGTGAGTTGCTGAGCCCCAAGGGACAATGCAGACCCTGAGTATCGATATAGAAGCGAAGCTCATCGGCAGGAATAAACCCCACCGATCGCCTGGGATAGGGCCAATGCTCTTGAAAGAAAAGGCGCTGCCTGGTCCATCCCTAGACCAGCCAAGAAATAGCCAAGAGCAGCATGGTGGGGGATCATTTGGTTATGCATACGAGAGAAAAGCAATTCTGTTACATACTTTTGTAGAGACTTCGGTGTAACTATATCCCTGGTGATCCTGGGCCTACGCTAGAATATCCCAATCCTAGGTTGAACACTATGGGATACCTTACAGTCCTCCTGAAAAGATCTCCAGGCGAGTCCCATTCCCAAGAATCCAAATATCCAAAAAGTAGCTTGTCTGCCAAGAGCCATGCCCGAAGATAATCATCTAAGCCACCCTGTGGGGCCGCCTGTTCTTGGCGTGGTAGCTCTGCACGACAGTTCGTTTAGGCCTCCTCATTCTCGAAAAGAACCGAGAGGATAATCTGGGGGATATGGTGGAGGTGTTCCACAATCTGTCGTCAAGGGCATTTCCTGTTGTCAAAGAAACAAAGTGTGGCTGTTCCCATCTTGCATGGACCCTGCCGTTACCCAAGCCAATATACTCCATCAACCCGATCCAGTAGTTATATATAGACAGTGGAACTTGTAGGGTGCGTCTAGGCTTCAACATTCTGAAGAGGATCGCTACAAGGAATATTGGGTTTACTGTTCTTCGAGAGGTAGACTTGAGACTGGGTGAGATAGAGGCAAGCTATAGCGGGGGTGGGAATCGCATGAGGTAGGAATGGCTTGAAGTGTTATCATTTACTTCTAGTTAAAATCAGCAACTGATCCTGCCCGGTGGTTTAGTGGGTTAACCCCTAGAAAATTGTAGCCACTTCGGTGGGTTCGGCGGTCGTAACTGCGAGGAAGCTTCCGTGGAGCAGGTACGGCCCCCGGCCGGTGAAGTTTTTTTTATATTTAACGTCCCTACATAGTTACCACCCTTAGAGTCTTTTTTATTATACTTTATCTATATTAAAAAAATCACTAAATCCTACAGAACATAATCCTTCTTTTGAAATTTATTTAAAAGGTAGTCTGGCGGTTATAGTGGGTATTGTTTATTCAGTGCTGTAACGGGTTGAAGCCGTGGGCATGGAGCATCGTCATGAAGTATATAGGGAGCGAGAGGTCGCAGGTTCAACTCGTAGAGATGGCAAATCCTTTCTAGATTAAAAAATTTCCACATCTCGCTCTTTTCGTCGGGTAAATCTCTCCGGAAACCCGTTATCTAACCAAGTATCCGGTGCGTACATAATGGAGAATTTATAACAAAAACACATGGAGAGGAAATCGTAAAATGATGTTGATGTATATTTCTTACGTAGGGGCGATGCCCACTTCCGCTAAGGACGACCCCGCGGAAACCTGAAAACATCCAAGTTGAAGATAGACTCTTCTGCCAACCACTGCAGCTTACATCTTGACAGCAGAATCGAGACTTCACCGAGATACCGCCCATCACAATATGGCCCGAGCAGCCGGAAAAATGTGGGAGAAATATTGTCTACGATCCGTTGGAGACTCCACCCCCACCGTTCTCCCAGTCTTTCTCTACGGGACCGCCTGGAAGAAGGACCGGACGGCCGACTTGGTCTACACTGCGGTCAACGCCGGGTTCCGTGCCATCGACACTGCAGCACAGCCTCGTCATTACCAAGAAGATCTGGTCGGCGATGGAATCCGCAAGGCGATCGCGGATGGTGTTGTCCACCGAGAGGACCTCTACGTAAGTGGGAACCAACCTTGCGGCTGCACTCGGATAGGATTAACATATCCTTGCAGGTACAAACCAAGTTCAGCCCTATCTCGGCACAGGACCCAGATAATATGCCGTATGATCCAAAAGCATCGGTAACTGAACAAGTCCATGCCTCCATCGAGTCTTCACTGCATAATCTTCGTCCTTCCGAGGACCCGAAGACTGCGGATGATGCTTATATCGACACGGTAGTGATCCACTCACCACTGCGAACTCTTGACCAGACACTAGAGGCGTGGCTGGCCCTGGAGACCTACGTCCCTCATCGCATCCGCAATCTGGGCATCTCCAATTGCTCTCTACCTGTGCTTCGCGCATTGTTTACCGCTCCCGAGGTGAAGGTGAAGCCGGGCGTGGTGCAGAATCGATTCTACGAGGACACGCTGTTCGACACCGAGCTACGGATATTCTGTCGCGAGAACCAGATCATCTATCAGAGCTTCTGGACATTGACGGCAAACCCGGACCTGGTACGGTCTGAGCCTGTCCAGGGACTTGCCACGGGTGCTCAGATCAGTCCCGCAGCAGCGTTGTATACCCTTGTGATGGGACTGGGGTATATTGCAGTGTTGAATGGAACTAAGAATGAAGGCCGTATGAAGGAAGATCTGGCAGCTCCACTTGCCGTTGAAGAGTTTATCAAGAGGCATCCGGGCCAGTGGGAGCAGCTTCTCGCGGAATTTAAGGCGGAGGTTGGCGATCCTAACTGATCAGGGTGAATTCTATGTATGAGGTAGAGGTAGTGATAAGGAAGAGCATTTATGAGAATTATTATTTGATGTGCTAAGTTAATAAGGGATCAAATCTACGATTCTTGTATGGAAGTACCCAAGGTTCTATGAACTGGCGGAGTCGGCCAGTTGACAGCCCGCGCTGACTCATCCCAGCGCTGGGGCTCCGAATTGACCTCATCGTCGCCAGCGCAGAATTCCAATTTCCTTGTGTCGCCTCTGCTCCCATTCCATCGGCTCTGGTCGCGTGGTTATACGCATCCTCTGCTCTGGAATCTTGTCTATCGGTCTGGTATATTCCACGAGAGCTGCCTCCACAGACGGTCTGGATGTCGCATTTTTCCCTGTTCTGATTGTGGCCTCACAACGGTCATTCTGGATCGCCATCACGCTTCCTCGACGATCTCTTTCCCCAGAACCACCACCTTCTAGCAACTACTATCGCCCGCCGATTGTCGTGCCTAATTACTGCGCTGCCTTTGCATAATTACGCGACCAGCTATACGGTACAACCCGTCTCGTCGGATTCGACTTGTTTGCTCGCCTCATCTGCGGTCCCAACCTTATTTTTTTTTATACGGCATTCACTATCACCGGTGACAATCAAGGCCACAATCTGGAAATTCGCGACTTCTGCCTTTGTTGACGCCTACAGTTGCCTGGGCAGGTTTGCGTACATAGCGCTTGACGAGACTTACATATTTATTCGACCCTTTACGACACTCTCACCCCACCCACACCGCACTCCGTTGTCTACAACCTCGATTGACTTTCCGACATCATGAATTCTCAAGGAATCACTCGCAAAAGACCGGCCCCTGGGACCACCCCCGCGGTGCACCCCCAAATGGGTTCTGCTTCGGTTTTCCAACAACCCACTCCCAACTCCCAACTTTCCAATGACCAGTTCCTACAATGGGGCCAAAACCCTCCCGCAAATATCGCCAGTGCCTCCTTTGTCGATCCCTCCTCCTACAATTCCGCCGCATACGCATCCAGCCAAGACCTATCTGGGCCTACAGCCTCCACCTCCAATCAGTTGACCCGCCGACCGCAGCCCAACCAGCTGGTTAGCCGGAACCGTGGCTACGAGCAACCACCGGCGACCTACTCGGATAACAGTGCTGGGGCAGGTAATGGAGAGGGCGCATGGGGAGAATCAATTGACGAACTCTACAACCGGGCTCTGGCTGCCAAGAGAGAAGCACAATCCAAGAGGAAGCAAATTCCTCCCTTTGTGCAAAAACTAAGCAGGTATGTCGAGATGTGATCATCCAAGCTTTTGCAAACATAAATACTAACCATCACTTGTTCTAGTTTCCTTGATGGAGCCAAAAACACAGAGCTTATCCGATGGTCCGATGATGGCAATTCGTTCATTGTCTTGGATGAAGATGAGTTTGCGCGGCGTTTGATCCCAGAACTCTTCAAGCACAACAACTATGCTTCTTTTGTCCGACAGCTTAACATGTACGGTTTCCACAAGAAAGTGGGACTGTCTGACAACTCCATGCGCGCCAGCGAGCGCAAGAATAAAAGCCCCTCCGAATACTCCAATCCTTACTTCAAGCGTGGCCACCCGGAGCTGCTTTGGTTGATCTCTAAACCGAAGAATGCAGCCGGCCATGCCAGTAAAGGAAGCAAAGGAGGTGCACGTGTCAAGACGGAAGATGCCGACGATAATGATCTGGACGACTATGCCGAAGAGGGTGGGCTTGGTTCTCGCGACGACCGTGCTCGGCCGCGGCCTTTGTCCCTTCTGACCGACTCGGAAATGCCCAAGGACCAGCTTGAAGGAGTTGTTCAGCAATTGAAGGCCATTCGTCACCAGCAATCGGTCATCTCGAGTCACATTGCTAGTCTGCGCAGAGAACATGAGCAGCTCTCCGCGCAGGCGGCTACCTTCCAAGACCAACACACCCGACATGAAAATTCGATCAACGCCATCCTCACTTTCCTGGCCACGGTGTACAACCGCAGCTTGCAAGGTCAAGATGGATCGCAGAACATTGCCAACTCCTTTGCCGGAGCTATCTCGAGTGACCACCCAGGGAACATTGTTGATGTGGGCGATGACTTTTCCTTCAGCCCACTGTCCTCGATGACCAGCCCAACTGGACAGCGGATGATGAAGAAACAGCCATTGCTGCTCAAGGCACCGCCTTCTGTGAACGGTGGCAATCGGGCAACCACTCTTTCGCCTGCGGCTAGCGGGACTTTTGATACTCGGCCCCGTGGCCATTCTCGCCAGCCCAGTGCTAATCAGCCGGGACATGTGGAAGAGGTTCTGGATAGCAGCCCTCGACAAGGCCCAACCAATGTTTCCGCTGGACAGGTACCGGATGAGAAATTCCCGCAGAAGGATATCATGTCCGTGATCCAGAATTCGAATGCGCGCAACGCCGGCCCAACCACCTTCTCCCAATTCCCTGATGTCCTGTCTTCGCTTGAGAGAGGAGGCAGTGGCCCTCTGACTCCTGGCGTTCGCGCCGACATGCTTAGACTGATGGCAAATGACACCGGCCACCATGGTGATTCGCCCGGGGCGAACAATGCTCTTGTCATGCCAACCCCACCGCCTATGCCACATGACTACTCGACTCGCCTTTCCAAAACTCGCCAAGAGATTGACAGCCTGGCTAAATTGCAAGCCGACCAAGACCGCTCCGTACAAAACTTGACAAACCTTCTCCAACCTCTGAGCCCAACCGGTGCTATCCCCGGGTTGGACAATGACGCCAATGCCCCGCTTCCACTTGAGCTTGATTCAATCTTCAATGGCGACTACTTTAACGATCTGGGTGACACCTCGGGTGCTGACCAGAAACACGACCCTTCCGCTCTTGATTTTGGAACCGGCACCAATGTACACGATCCCATTGCTACTACTCAACCTGATGTTGGCGACGCCAACGATCTTGTAGACTTTGACCACATTCCTGACGATGACGACCTCTTCAACAGCAACCAGGGACCGAACCATTCGTCCTACAACTATGGCTTCGACGGCACTGGTTACGGTGCAGATGCGGGATCTGGGAACTTCGACTCTGGCCGGATTGTTGAGCAACTGACCGATAGCGAAGCCACCAGCCCTGCAGCCCCTGATGATCCTTCCGTTGAACCCGAAGATGGCGGCAGCGCTGTTAAGCGGCGCCGCAAGGCCTGATTTTGCCTAGTTCTTTGGAACTGATGAAGCCCGTGCCTGTGACTGCTTTCGGGGAAGGAAAGGAAGGATCAGTTTTTGGAATACCCCCGGGAGAAACATGGCGTTTGCTGTTCATAGGGTTCTGCTTTCAACCTTTGGGAGGTGGTTTTTTGGGGTTTCTAGCTTTGTATGTAGGGATCTTTTCTCATGATATCATGACGATTTCATTCAAAGAAGTCTGAATAAGACTCGATTTTAGACTTTGAAGTTATTGCCCAATTTCTAGACCTGGTAGACCTTGCATAAAGACATATCCTGTTTTCAGTCTTTGTCAAGGCGGTTGATTCAAAGTACCATATCAGTATTATAGAGGACTACAAGTCCTAATATCCCCCTTCCTATAATCTCCTACTTCCCTTCACGATCCCACTCTCTCTCCCCAGCCCTCTCCCTCTTCCTCTCCCTCTCCCGATCCCTCTGCAACCCCCTCTTCCGCCCCCCACTCGGGCCCCCAAGATCCCTCTCCTTCTCCCTCGGATCAATCACCATCAACGAATCCGCATCATCAGGATGCTCCTTCTTCCAATTCAAATCCTTGCCGAGCGTGTCCTTGCCAAATCGTAACGTGTGACTGAGCCACCCTGCATCGTGGGCGTCTTCGTCTGAGTGGTCCACGGCGGAGGGGTCGTCCCATGATTGACAGGATTGGCAGTTTGCGATGAAGTGGAGGTCGCAGAGTTGCGCTTCTTCTTCGTCTTCGGCGGGGTTGGCGCGGGATTTGCCTTTTTCTTTGCTTGTGTGTGTGGTTGGTTGGGATTGGGTTGTGCTAGTGTTGGTGGTGGTTGTTCCTTCGAGTTTGGCTTTGAACGCGTTGAACATGTCCAGCGCTGCTTTTTCGGCGGAGGTTCTGGCGCCGGAGAGAGATGATGCCCCGTTTGTAGTGCCCGGTGCTGGACGCTTACGGCCGCGTGTTGCGGTTTCTGGGATCATTGCTTCTAGAGCGGACTTTTTGCGGCCTGTATCGGCGGGGCCAACGTCGACATTGCGGCGCATGGATGCCTTTAACGAGGCTATTTCGGCATTTGTTCGTGACAGTTTTGATTCCTTGGCTGGTGGGGATGCTGGTGTGGGAGAGCGAGAGGGTGATTCGGGATCTCGGAGAGGTAATTGTGTCTGGGGGTCTGGTGTCTTACGTCGCTGCTTGCGCTCTGGCGAGGATGGACGTTTTGGAGATGGAGAGCGTGCTCGTTTGCGTGGTGCTGGCTCTGTAGCTTGTGGTTTTGTTGCCGCGGTCGTATCGTTCGTCAATCCAGGTACATCCGCGACTAGTTTCGTGTTGAACTTGGGCTTTGCGGGTCGCATGGGCATTCCCTCGTCGCCTTCTTCATCACCAAAGCTCAGCAAGACCTTTCCTCCTTTGGCAGCCTTTTTCTTCTTCTTGGGCTCTTGTTTCTCGGCTCCGCCAGCTGTGGTTGAGACCACCTTGCGATCCTTCAATTTACCAGCCAACGGTCCCAGCTCTCCAACCTCGCAGGACGTCACTTTCACCGGATACACAGGCCGTTCTGTACCCTCCACGCGTTCCGCATCTGCAATCTTCAACACATTGTAGATGCTGTCGCCCTCCAAGCGTCCAAATAGTGTACATTGCCCACTCAATTCACGCTCGGTATTGGCGAGTGTAATAAAGAATTGACTTCCATATGACCCATCCTCGCTCTTCGCCATGCCCAGCTGCCCACGCCGATTGAATCGCAGGCGACTGTGGATCTCATCTCGCAGGACGACGCGCTCGTTCGGGTCGCGCGCTTCCGGGTCGTACTCGAACTCGGGATATTCGTAGATGGATGTACCACCGGAGCCAGTGCCCGTGGGATCACCACCCTGGATGACAAATTCGGGCGCAATGCGATGGAAGATCGTTCCTGCATAGTAGTTGTCCTTGCAGTGCTGAAGGAAGTTCTTGCAGGCGAGAGGAGCCTGATTGGCGAACAGGGCGATGTGAATTGGGCCAACGGTCGTGTGTAGGGTCGCCGATGCCGTTGGATTTGGCTCGCTGGCGTATTGAGTGGACATGGTGAAAGAGAGGAGAGGGGAAAGGTATATGCGGCCAATCCACGGCCCGTCAACGCTTCGAGGGCGTTCAAGAGGCGAGAGCGTGTTTCTTCGGGCGATTGGGAGCTTCGAGAAAAGTGGACGTCATGGCACGTGATCTGGGTATTGATCTCGATGGGGATTGGCTGGGGCTAAAGTATATGCATTTTTGAAGCCAACGGGCCAGAAATATGTACAAGAATACGAGGAATATACATCCAGGAAGGTCCGCTTTTTTTCTATGTTCAAATCTCCATTGGAGTCCGTGGTCGCTTGGTGGAGTGTCGCTTTCGGCATAAAAGTATGTGTCTCAAGGTCGAGTGTAGGCGAAGTTAAAAGTCGCACGGCTGAAATGATCAAGTTGTCTATCAGTGTCGCGAGCGGTTTGTTGCAAAGGGAGGTGTAATGTGTTGTCTAGCATGGGGTAGCAGCATGTTGAAGATGTGCGTTTCGTCATGAGAGCGTCGTAGTGTCCACGGCCTGTCCACCCAGAAGCGGTAAGCGAGGAACTAAATGAGCGATGCTACCATATACGATAATCAATCAACTTCAGCAGGGCTGACCATACATGTCATAGATGATGTTGACGATGATAACGAGAAAGTAGATGATGGCGCATGGTGGGGGTGTTTATTTTCAAGCCTTGAGAGCCAGTGCTGAGCCAGCAGCATAGAACTTACTGCAGGCAATCCGGTGGAGGGAGTCCTTGAGTTGTCGCGTAGGGAAGAAGACTCTAAGGGAAACCGAAAAGAAAAGTTTTTTTTTGTCGCGTAGGGGTCGCATATGGGAAGTGGTGAGTTGATTTCACCGGCAAAGGAAGCATCATGGCCATACGGAGAGGGCCTCCTCGGGTCAAAGTCCATGACCATCTTTAGCTGCAAGCACGGGAACTGACATGGCAATGGGCAAAGGAACTGGGACCGGCCCAGGTCCCCGTTCCTGATCGAACGTGGAAGCCCTCGCATGAAGCCCAAGTTGAAACCTCAGCCGCCGAAGCGTCCGCTCGGAGATGTCATAACCATCTTGTCGCAGTAGCTTCAGCATTGCCTTGTCGGTCAGCCTATCTTGCATGAAGAGCACTTTGATGCGTGCATGGAGCACCTCGTCCGCAGTCGTGGTCCGACTACGTTTGCGGATACCCCACTTCCGTAGCCGTGACTGAATGGTCCGTTCTTTGACCTGGATGTTATACCGGCTCTCCAGGGTGCGGCTGATAGAGTCGCTACTGATGCCGTGTTGAAATAGCGTGATAATCTCGTCCCGGTAGGGTTCGAGGTTGATTTGTTGGCGCGGCATGGTGAGAATCAATAATGTTAGTGTTGTTGTTGTGTGGGGGAGGGGGAGAAAGGGGAAAAAGGGGAAAGGCGGAAGGCGGAAAGTTCAGGTCGAAAAAGGCGGTGGAATGTGCGGGATGGCCAATTCTCCCATTTGGGCGAAGTAATTTAAGTTAAACTTCAGGATGACTGGCATGGCCAGGAATGATTGGTCTGTTATCTGATTATACTCTGTAGATTAGGGCTAGAGGAGATCATGAACACAGACCATACGATACGATATTGTTATTTCAAGTTACTCGTCTACGGGTGGAATATGAACATCGGGGTATAGAATGGATTATTATTCCTATTAGCATCGAGTCGTAACGCATCTCAGATTCGAATAGCAAGTCTCAATCTGGAAGATACCAGCAGACATGACAACCTGCCCATCCCATCGCATAAAAGATACTATGTAACATGTTTCATCCCGTAGAGCATCACAGTTTACTTCTTCTCCGCGGAACCACTATCGGCGGCAACCATCTCGGGGCCAGCCTTGTTCCGCTTGGAGATACGGAATCCACCAACCAGGAAGAAGAGGGCTTGCAGACCGAGAATAACGGCCAGAGTCACCATGGCGCCAATCACACCAGCAACGGCCCGCGACATGCCACCGGAGCTGGAGCCAGCCGAGCTGGAAGAGTCGGAGGAGGTGGTGCTGGCAGTAGAGGTATCGCACTTGCCATCGGTGTTGCCGCACAGGTCGCACCACTGGGCATCGGAGGTGACGGCAATCTTCTCAATGCCAGTCTTGAAGTCAGACCACGAGAGGAGATCGTTCGACTGGCCGAACAGAGGGTAGACGGTGGGCTCGGCAGAGCCGGTGATCGTGCCGTTGTGGAACATGAAGCGCACGCTAATCTCGCTCTCGGCGGGAATGCCGGTGCCAGTGGCATTGGTCACGAGCTCAAAGACCATCGAGGAGGCATAGTCCGGGATACCGGTGAAGTCAACCGAGGCAGCGGGCAGCTGCATCAGGCCGAAGAAGGACAGGAGAGTTCCGTAGGAACCAAAGGAAACACCCAGCTTGAACACGCCATCACTGGTAATGGTGTCGTTGAGGCTGGAGAGGATCTCGCCAGCCAGCACGGCGCCGTCAATAGCACGGACGGTGTCGGACTTGTTGTAAGCCAGGTTATACTGCTGGTTGTTAGCCAGCTGGAGCAGCTGGGTGTAGTCCTCATCGGTCAGGTCCTTGAGGGCGGGATAATCGTCGGTGGAGTTGTGGATCTGGGCCACGTTCAAGTAATCAAAGATAGAGTAGGCATTCTTGAATGTCATCTGCGACGAAGTGAACGTCGAGTTCAGCATGGGGGCCAGTGACTGGTAGAAGTCCTTGGTGGACTTGAGCATCGAGTTGTAAGAGTCCGATGCGTAGTAGTTGTTGCTGCTGACGGTGGCCTTCTGGCAGTCACTCGAGCCTTGCAACCAGGTGGCTCCCTCGTTACTGTTACTGGAAGTCGTGGAGGTGACCTGAATCAGCTGGTAACCCGAAAGGGGCGACACGACGGTAGTCGAGTTGGCCAGAGTCTGGTTGGCAACGTTACCAGCCGGGGGGTACACGCCCTGCAGGAAGCCAGTGGCCGAGTTTTGCAGCACGGCATCCGCCGGGGAGCTGGCGCTGATCTGCTTGGAGTTGACGATCAGAGAGCTGATACCCTCGATGTGCTTGTCCGAGTCGGAGAGGATATAGCGGCCATTGTAGAAAGAGCCGGCATCATAGACCTCGTTGTAACCCAGATCAGTCAATTGGGTGTTGCCGAGAATCTTGGCAGTTCGATCACCGTGGCGGGCAAAGAGGTATGCACCGACGACACGCTCTGCCTCTACCATCGAGGTAGATAGAGAGGCGGCCAGTAGAAGGCCGGATTGAATGGAAGAGCGCATGATGAAGGCAGTTCCTGACCCAACGGCGGAGTGGCAGCAGCAGCAGCAGCAGCAGAGACAAGTGAGAGATGATACAAGAGAAGCAATGCAACCCCCTCATCAATGCTGCAGGGCACACACCACTACTTATGCCAGACAGGGTTGATCCGCAGAGATGGAGTGGGATCGAGACCTCTAGCGGGTCAGTCCAGCAAGTTCTCCCGCCGAACCAGACCGGCTCCGGGCATTTTTCTAGTGGTGCATGTTGCGGGGGTCGTATAGGATGCGATTTCGGGCAGCGGGCAGCCCATTAGTGTGATTATTCTGGTGATGATTGGGGCAGAGTGCACGGAGAGGACCGAGAGTGGTTTTTTTCATCACCGAAACAAGCGCAATTGGGTCAATTGCCCAGGGTCCTCCAAGAGTAGCCTTGGTAGGGCATGCAGGCCAAGTCCGAGGGGCGAGGAGTTGGCACAGCATAAACAAATTAGCTAATAGGAAACGAGCGGGCACCATCCCCAGACGATAAGACAGAGGGAAAAGTGGACGAAAGAGTGGACAAGAAAGAGAGAGAAAGTGGAGAAGAATGGGTGGAGACTGGCACCCTGGGAAAAAGACCCCGCTTGGTCAGGACTACAGTACTGGAACTACCGTATGCAAGTCAATTCCTACGCTGATAGGCGTTCCCAGCCATTTGGGAACTGCAGTGACTAACAGCCCAATTAGGGCTGGTCCAGGCAAGGATTACCGAAAATGAGATAATTCTCGCTGACGGAGGGAAGCGAAGAAATAATCGTCCAGGTCGCATCGGCATGCCTTTCTGAAAAGGACAAAATTATCATATCCACTTCATCATCCACGAGCCTAACCATGAGCCTAACTACCAAGTCTAGATCATCTGACTATAGATGGGTCTCTCTGTTTTTTTTTGGTAATAGGTGATGCTAAAGAAATGCCATTCATAGGGCGTATCCGGGTTGCAATTGGCTAGAGATTTTCAATCCAGCTCATTTCATTTGCCGAGCTCGGTATAATTGCTTATTCCCACCGGTCGTTCATTTCGTTCATGCCATGGCGATGCCTTTATCACCCATCAATTCGCAGCCATTTCGCACCACACCAACCATTCCACCAGTCTGAACCGCTTCAGATCCGCCACCAGATAAACGCCACTCGATTTCGGCCAGTCCCTCCAACCAAGTGATACGTGTCTGCGCCGGCACTTCTAACCGCTGCAATTGATCCGCCAGAGCGGACAGAATATCAGCCAACGCTAGACCTTTTGTAGATTTGAGCGTATTCACGGTGTTGAGACACGAGGTCACGTCGCTGGTGGAAAGAATAGTGCTCATAATCTCCTGAATGTCGGCCGGATGGGGCGCCGCAATGCAGTCGTAGATTGTGGCGTTGGTGATCATTTCGGGTTCGGGTAAAGGTGCCTTGGGGGCATCGCGCATGGGCAATGGTATACCTAAGCGCTTTAGTTAGCTCATCTGATAAGGCGAGAGAGAATTTTGGGTGTGGCAATGGTCAAGCATTTCCGCGGAGAAAGGGTGGGGGACCCACTACTGGCATGACAGGCCTGAAGGACGTTCAACGCCCTTCGCATATCGCCCTTGCTGAGTCTTACTAGACTGTCCACTGCGTCGGGTTGGATTCGAACGTTCTCTTTCTCAATCACTTGGTCTACTAGCACTCGAATGTCGGCTTCTTTGAGAGGACTGAATCGGAATCGGGTACATCGTGAGAGAAGTGCGGGAGAGAGTTTGTGTGTGTAGTTGGCAATGATGCAGAACCGCGTGTTCGCCGTATATTTCTCCATGATACGGCGCAGGGCCATCTGTGCTGTGGATGTCATGGCATCGGCCTCGTCGAGAATAATCAGCTTGAAGCCGGCGAGGGCAGAGTTGCCGTCTGTTGCCGCGGGAGCCATGGAGAAGATTTGTTTCGTGCCTATGCGACGTGTCAATCAGCATTCACTTCGTCTGCCAGCATCATTTTGTTCTGGATTTCCATACTAGCAAAGGTTTTAATCTGTTCTCGGACAACGTCAATGCCACGGTCGTCACTGGCATTGAGTTCAAGCACCATCTGCCGCATATTCTTCGTGCCGTATATCCGCCGCGCGAGCGCAAGGATGGTGGAGGTCTTTCCGGTTCCAGGGGGGCCGTAGAGGAGTAGATGAGGTAGTCGCTGTGATTCCATGAGCATGTGTCGCGTCAATTCGTCCGAATAGTACGTACGTTCTTCTCAACAAATTTGTTGATCGTGGCGAGAATGTCTTGATGACCCGAGACATCGTCTAAGGTATTTGGGCGGTATTTCTCAACCCTATCAGAAAGTATTAGCAGAGGCTTCTTCCACTATGTGAACATGCCATACCAAGGGAGGTTGTCTTGAGCTTGAATGGGCAGGTCGGCCGCCGTCCTCTTTTTCCCACTGGCATTCTCTGAGCTGAACTGTACGTCCTTGGAGGGCGCATCCACATCCATTTCATCCTCGTAGTCGGACATTGTGAAAGTATTTCTGATGGTTGAAGTGATGAGGTGGGTTGGTTGAGTGGGCAGAACAAATCGCGAAAAGTGAAGCTTGACGCGTTCCGCGCGTAAAGAGAAAGCTCGGGGCGGAAAATCAAGGGGAGAGCTGGAGCCGATGACATCCTCCTGGCCCAATTGCACCGCCTGCACCGCCTACCGACTCCGCAACATCACTCTGTTCTCGACTCCCCGGCAATCCCTTTTGTCAACCATCCACCATGCCGGTAAGATCGGACTGCTATTTGATATCTTGTCGATTTATTTAGTCTCTAACTGCTTCGTCCAATTCAGGCATACCACTCCATCTTCCTAGAGGACCGCGATGTCCCCGTGATAGGTACGCTGCCCCGCCGACAGCTGTCCCCTCCATGCGACATGCAACGACACCCACGGAAGATCATGCATTGACTGTCTATGATATAGGGAACTTCCCTATCCTGCCACTGCGCACTCGAACTCGTGGTCCCGCATACACTTTGCCCGCTCTTCCCCCCAATACCCCGGACGTGGACGTCACCCCCGAGAACGAGTCCTACGACTGTGTCGATGAGATCCTGTCCCTCTTCCGGGCGAACGTGTTGTTCCGCAACTTTGAGATCAACGGCCCCGCCGACCGGATGCTCATTTATGGAACTCTCTTCGTCAGCGAGTGTCTCGGCAAGGTTAAGCCTACGATGAGTGCCCGGGACGCTGAGAAGGTAAATCCTGCCAGCTCCTGTCGCATCGTATCTTGGAGCTATTACTGACATGCTAACTTGATAGGCTTTGATCAATGCCGCCCTGGACAGCTTCGCCATTCCCGGTGACGTCTCTTTCCCGCTGAACCAGGCCTTTGAGCCCCCACGCGACCGCCAGGATGCGGAGAGCTTGCGGGCGTACGTGAACCCATGGCCCCATAAATAATGGATAATGAAACCATCGATCAGTCACTGATATTTCCGATTAGATACATCTCGCAGGTTCGACAGGAGATTGCCGTTCGGCTACACGCTAGATTATACCCCGGTGGAGAGGGACCGTCCAAGGTAAGCCCCAGGCAACAACAAACAATTACTGATTGAAAGCGCGCTAACATCTCCATAGTTTTGGCTTAGCTTTACGAAGAGAAAGTTCATGGGAAAGAGCCTGTAGAGTGGCAGGATGGTTGTATATTGTTTCATGAAATTCAGCGCATCAATGGACCTTTTTTGATTACGCGGCGTCATCAGACCGAACCCTCTTCGTAGCTGCCAGAGCCGGTTCCTAGGCAGCAATATGACCCCCTTGAGAGTCCCCTCTACCAGTATTCAAATCCCAATTCATAAATAGCCACCAGATCTATTCACCGCCATGATCCATTTCGAAGCTTGGCACAGTTTGGCTTATGCTTACCTAGCAGAGAGAAATATATCGAAGGGCAACATTCAATGAATCATTATATTCGTACACAATCCAACGCCTATCCCGTGCTAATATTTAAGAGGTCATCTCCACGTCTCGATCGCTAGCAGGCGTCGAGGTGGTTTCTACCTTGCGCTTCTTCCGGAATGTACCCGCAGCCTGAATGTTGGCTGAGGCGGGGATGACGTGGACACCGTGGAAGAGATAGCCCTCTGCTCCTCCACGTCCGGTCATGAGAGGATGCGTCCGGCCAGGCAGGACTTGCCAGGCGCGAACGCGGGTGGTGTGTAGCGTTGGTGGCAAGAGTCGGGTGGGATCGAGAGGGAACTCCTCGGAGAGTGGCGCGAAGTCCACGGTCTCTCCGTCGGAAGTCTTTTGCATCTCGAGATCCCGCTTGCGATTGATAAATGCCGTCCGCCGGGCGGTGGAATATAGATCCATGAGCTCGGTGAGGGGTTCAATGGTTGGAGAGTAAATAGCAACCGCGGCAGAGCCCGACAGAAGCGGAATGGTGTGCTTCAAAACACCGGCGGGTTCTAGCAGAGTAGCAGCGATTAAACCGTCGAAGCCGCCTGCACGAGCCTCATCTGTGACGGCACGGAACTTTTCCCAGCGGTTACGCTTAAAGTAATAAGCAGTGCGCTTGCTGGCCTTCAAGCCCGAGAGCTCTTCGGCGGACAGAGCAGGAGGTTCATTGGAAAGAATGGGGTCTGTTGAGGGATCCACCAGCTGCAACCATGACATGGTCTTGAGATGGGTGTGAAGAGGATGAGACTCATCGGGAGTGTTGATGTCGTAGCCGAAGTATTTCAGCAATGACAAGTTGGGTTGCGAGTAGGCGTGGATGACGGTGATTGTGTTCCCAGAGGCAGACATGGGTCTAGGACGTTTACGCCGGGGCGTTGAGGTAGTCTTCTTCTCTGTGGTTTCCGTTCCATCTTGCGCCATGGCGGAAGAATCCTCGTTCAGGTCTTCCTCCTCATCGTCTTCGGGGTACAGAATCCCCATTCGCTCCGCCATTGCCGCGACAACGAGGCCACCGGTTTCGTCAACCACGAAGTATCGACCATTCGGCTTGATCGTAGGAATGGCATCCAGGGTGGAGTTTCCGCCGTGATGCACATTACCCAAGCAGCCGAGCAGGCCCACGTGCTCATCTCGCAATTCCATCGTTCGCTGCGCGTCCCGTTGGTCAAGCAAAAAGTTGGTGAGGAAGCCGACGTCCAATGGCAGAACCGTGAATCTCCGGATGTACTTCTTGCGCTTGCGCAACGTATATTTGGCGAGTGAGAAGGCCGTCTTCTTGTCCAGGTTGGTATGCGACTCGAGGAGCTTTGCGACGATATCCTTGCCTGCGCCACTGGCCTCCTTCTTCAACTCTTCAATCTCCTGGGTCGTCAACTTTTGAGTCGACGCATCGTCGACAATGTTGCGATTTGTGCGCATGGGGGTGCTGGCGCCCGATTCTCCTTCTTCGCCCTCGCCATCTGCCTCGGCTTCTTCGATGAGGTTTTCAGCATGTAGCTCTTCGGCGGGGACTACACGCAGCTGGTAGCCATCACTCTGAGGAGCATCGAGGATCTCGAAAGTGAAAAAGAAGGGTCGACCGAGAATTTGGTTTGCGGCAAAGCTGCCGTATTTGCCTAGTTGCACTATACTGTATGTCGCAAGTTAGTCTATCTGTCAAGTTAACCAGGTGCAAGCAGGTGGACAAACGTATTGGGAACCAGCTTAACAATGCGCGTCTGATCTGACGGCAGCTGGATAACCACAAATTGGTTTGGACGAATCGAGGAATGCATTGTGAGAGAAAGCCCCGAAACCCGACGGTGGACAAGCGACACAATTCCAGCGTTGAAGCTCCGAAAAAACGACTCCGGCAACTTTTTTTTGAGGGTTCGGGCCAATCAGCAGTTACCTCGATGGTGAGGCGGGGAGCAACCGGAGGAACTGATGATCCGAATAGATATCAATTACATAAGATGCTGTCAGTCATGTGATGTTATCGTACTGTATTGTAATGGACGGCTTTACTGCCCCGCCCCAGTGGGTCTTTGGTGGCTTCCCAGCGCCGAATTGCCTCAATTTAACCCATGATCTAGGGTAATACGAATACGCAGAGCCGACGCACGGTTGATCGACGGAATGTGGGTGCCTGTCTACGCTCTGATATCATCGCCCAGGCGGAGAGCGGAGGCTGGTTGAAGCTGGGCTTAGCCAGTGCTTCAGCCTCCTCCTCTGTCGACTCCTCTCGCGCAAGGCAGTTTTCATCCCAATTCTAAATGGATGATCTGCCCGTGACTTGCACGTGTCTTTATTTTTGGCATCGGCAGAGCTTCGGAACCCTTGTTGCCTGGTAACTCTCTTGGGGTTCGAATTGCCACGACGACACATCCTTTACATACATTTATCTCTACCAGGATACCAACATAGTCCTCCATCCCTCCCTTCTCATTATTATACTCCTTCATGGTGCTCCGAAAGCCTCCCCCGCCACGTTTGGAGAACCTTAATAAGTGGAATGCTCGTTCAGCTTCCCCGACATCTCCCTCGAAATACTCTCCTTCGAAGCACCGGGCCCGCCTGAATCGAGCTCCCTCCGAGGACTCTATCTACTCTCCCGACCTCAATACCTCCCCGGCATTCGACCTGATGCCGCTCGAAGAAGCTCAGAGGTCCCCGGTTGGCTCTCCGGCCAGCCACCCGCCAAATCCTTGGACCGAGAGTTTTGGAGACCCGGCCAAGTATGAGTACCCAGCCACACAAGCACAGTCATCCTATCCCATAGATGCTGAAAGTGGTGGACAATGGATCCCATTGCCTTTGCAGGCGGGCTCACATGCGACGGAGAATGGCTGGCACCAAGCAGCACAGCCAGCCCCCCCAGGTCACAATGGCTCAACTGGAGAGATTCCCGTGCCACTCCAGTCAAACAACCCATTCTTGAAGCCACGGACCGCCAATGTGCGCCAGAATTCGTCAGATTCCAATGATTGGAACGATCGCCATTCGCATACTACAGCCAGTAGTGACCCTCTCAGTCAAAGTACGATCGCCTTGCCCTCTCCCCTTCCACGAGCATGCTGACAGATTATAGCCGAAGGATACATTCCTATGACTGCTCGCCTCTCCTTGCTGGACTCTTCGGAGCAACAAGAGTCTCCGTGGGCTGATCACGAACCTCCTCACGCCGGCGGAACTGCCCACCCGATCTCGGTGGACCCGCCCCACGACCCATCCCCGTGGGGTTCACAACATTCGATCAAGATATCGGCGGCGCAAGAAATCTATCTTCAGGGTGGTCAAATCAGCCCCTACGCACCACCCGTAGTGGTACAGTCCTCTAACGATCCGGTGGACTCTTATGGACTACAACCGCCATATGCAGAGGGTAGACTTGGCTCAGATGCGGGTATCAACACCCCTTCTATGATTTCCACTGCAACATCTGCAACGTCACATGAATTGATTGATTTGGAAATCCCGAGCGGCGCACTGGGAGTGGAAATGGGATCTCAGCAGGGCAACTCATCCATGTACTCAGAGGAGACTGGAGGGAAAGGCGAAAAGTCACAGTTGGACTCCCAAGTACCACCGGGGGAGGAGTCCCTCCACTACCGGCCAGGGACGTTGCGCACGAAAGAGTTCCACCATTGCCGAGCAGAAACCTTTCTCCCGCTGAGGCAGCACGGCAAAAGGAGCAGCGAGCGGAGACCTACTCGATCCGCCAAATTAATTGGACCAATCGAGAGGGATCTTTACTACAGTCGCCGATCCTGGTACAGAACAAAAATGGACCGTGCCCTCTGCTTGCTCTTATCAACGCCCTCGTTTTGCGCGCCGATCCAAATTCACAGCCGCCCATTGTCAGAGCATTGAAAACTCGCGAGCAAATCTCACTGGGACTATTGATCGAGGCTCTATTCGAAGAGCTGACTACTTGTCTGGGCCCAGATGAGGAATTTCCAGACATTGAGGCACTCACGCAATTTCTCACTATGCTGCATACTGGCATGAATGTGAATCCACGTTTGACATTGGTAAGCCAAACAACTCAATAACTACTAAGACGACTGAAAGGCTAATATAGAAGTAGGAAACCGTGGAATCTCTTGGTACTTTCCTTCAAACCCCAGACCTTCGCTCGTACAGCACATTCGGTGTACCTCTCATTCACGGCTGGCTCGCCTCGTGGTCAAGCCCCGAACATATCGCCATGACTCGAATCGCTCAGTTTCACGAGGATGTCCAACTATTACCTTTTCGCAAGCAGGATATTGAAGATCGCATCATGCGAGGGGAGTCTTTGACCCCAGAGGAAGAGCAAAACATGGCAGACATTCAGGCTATTCAAAATTTCGTGGACATTGAGAACGCAACCCAGTTAAGCCCATTCGGCTTGACACAGCTATCGACACGGTTGGCCCCAGGATCTGTCTCTATTCTGTTCCGCAACGATCACTTCTCGACTCTATACAAACACCCCCAATCCCACCAGCTCTTCACCCTGGTAACCGATGCAGGCTACGCAAACCATGCAGAGGTCGTGTGGGAATCCCTGGTCGACGTGACTGGCTTCAACTCGGAATTCCTAGCAGGCGACTTCCGTGCTGTTGGCCACGGTCCCTCCAGCTCGGCGGGCCCAACTAGTCCGGCTGGTCCACGCACTTCGAGTGCTGCAGCTCCTGATGCACCATCCAACAACGAGGCCACTCAAGGACCGTTGACACCGCAAGAACAGAGTGATGCAGATTACGCCTACGCCCTCTCACTTCAATTCCAAGAAGAGGAACAGCGAGAACGTAACGAAAGCCAACAGAACGGTGATAGTGGCGCTGGAAATGGCACTGGCCGTGCCAACCGCAACTCAGTACCCGTTCGCTCGACCGAACCTGCAGCTCGCATGGACAATCCGCCTGCTCGAAGCTCTAGCACCGGTCTGAGAACTCGACCACCGCAAGTCAATGCGGCCGCTGATGACCCCAATGCACCTCCCCCTCCCTACGAACAAGCAGCTGGCGGCCCGCGATATTCGCCTCCTGATAGAAGGCCCACTTTTGATGACATTCAAATCGATCCGTACACGGCGAACAACCGGAACTCACGGAATCGATACTCGCAGCCGGCAATGAATACGAACCGGTACAGCAATGATCGGAATAGAAACAAAGATTGCATCATGATGTGAATGGCTGATCTTCGAGCAAGCGTGTATTTTTGCTTCCCTTTTTCTACACCCCCCTTTCCGTACATGGCTACGATGATGCAATTACGAATGACCGTAACGAAGAAATGGCAACGAGATGTACCTATAGACGAAATGCAGCATGTTCAGCACAAAATGTGGCTTTCGCATATCCTAGGATTGTCATGTCTTCGCACTATAACACTTCTTATTTCTCCACGGCATCGTAGAAACCAACACGGACCGTCTCCGCGTAGCGTGCCTGGCGAAGAACGGAGATGAAGGCCCGCAGAAGTGGAAAAGCGGGGAAATCACACCGTCTGCAGATTCCTTAATGTCCTGCAGGGAATAAGGGCGTTTCGTCACGGCGATTTAGTCCGATTTGGGAAATGAAGGGGGAATGCAATCGGCGGTTTCATTGGAGGATTTTCGCCGCTCCAGTGTCTCATGCCTAACCAAGCCACTGGCTCCTATTTAGACCTTTTTCTCTTGGGCCTTAATTATTATGATGCCTACCGAGACCAACTGTATGATCTACACGGCCGTCAGGGCATAATTGATACTCACAGTAATGTCACTTGGATTCTTCTGGGTCATTTGCTCGTAAACTATCAGGGACCAAGCTAATTGTACTAGCGCCCCCGGATTTCACTCCTTAACTAGCCGAAGAATATAGCTGTATATTAAATGAACTATAAGCGGAGGCGAGCCCTTATCCCTATTGTTATTAGCCTAATACCCGGCGGATGTATACAAGCCACCCCGTCTCTGCAATCTTAGACAAGGAGCTATAAAGGCGCGGGAACTGCATCGCTATTTGTGAGCTTTGGTGCGGATTACAATCGAGACTTTTGATTAGTTATTACGCTGCTGCGCAAAAGTTGGCCATGCATCGCCTGTGTGTGATAGCCATTGCGGCATTATTTGGGTCTGCCCACGCCCAGGTAGCAGGCTACGGGCAATGTAGGTCAAAGTTATTTGTTCAACTCTAAATCAGCTGCTGATTCTAGAACAGGTGGTGGTACTGGCTACTCTGGAAGCACGACATGCACATCGGGCTATTATTGTGCCTCGCAGAATCCTTGTAAGCATGAACCAGAAGATTTGATATGTACTTCTCTCATGAATCTGTAGATTATTACCAGTGTGTTCCTGGAACTGCAACGACCAGCACGACAACCACGTCAAAGACGTCTGTCACGACGACTACTACTACAACTTCTAGCTCGAGTTCAACATCAACTACGCTGAAGACGACTACTTCTCAGACAGCGACTCAAACCTCCACTTCTACTGGAGCGGCCACTTGCACTGGGACATTCAGTGCAATTTCGGCATCCGACTTTGTTGCGAAGCTCCATCCCGGTTGGAATCTCGGAAATACTCTCGACGCAACCCCAGATGAGGGTTCCTGGAATAATGCACCAGTTGTGGCCTCTACTTTCAGCGATGTGCAAAACGCTGGCTTTAAGAGTGTTCGCATTCCGGGTACGTTGTCCTGCAGCATATCGGATTTGATCTAGATATTGACGGAATGCAGTTACCTACGCGTACCACTTCACTGGCAGCTCTCCAGACTGGACTATTGACCCAACTTGGCTCGCTCGAGTTTCTGAAGTAGTCGATATGGTCACTTCATTGGGTCTATATGCCATTGTGGATGCTCACCATGGTAAGCCCGTCCCCTATTCACCCTCTTTTCTTCGGGTAGCTTATAAACGATTAGATTCTTGGATCTGGGCCGATGTGACTGCCTCCGGTGCCAACTTGACCATGATTGAAGAGAAATTCTACCGATTGTGGTATCAGGTTGGAACTAAGTTGGCCTGCAAGTCGAGTCTCGTTGCCTTTGAGCCGATTAACGAGCCTCCTTGCAATACTGCAACTGATGCTGCTGAGATCAACAAGCTCAACCAGATCTTCCTTCAGGCCATCAATGATGCGGGTGGCTTCAATCCTCAGAGAGTTGTGACTCTTGTTGGAGGTGGCGAAGATAGTGTCAAGACTTCAGAGTGGTTTGTTGCACCGACTGGGTTCTCGAACCCGTACGCTATTCAGTTCCACTACTATAGTCCTTGTAAGTACAATCCAAAATTTGAAGATTTGAACACATGCACTAACACGACACAGATGATTTCATCTTCAGCGCATGGTAAGTCTGCTGGTAAATTTACAAGCCAGATATTGAGCTGACACCTTCTAGGGGCAAGACTATCTGGGGATCAGACACTGAGAAGGCCACCGTGCTGTCAGACTTCACATTGATACGCAACAACTTCACAGACGTCCCCATCCTAATCGGCGAATACGATGCTTCACCAACAAACACCGAGCCAGCTGGCCGCTGGAAGTATGTGGACTATCTAATCCGTTCAGCTCGTAGCCTCAACTTTGCCTGCGTTCTTTGGGACAATGGCCTGGATCATCTAGACCGAAATGCAGGCACCTGGAGAGATCCCAATTCCATCTCGATGATCACAAAGTCAACAGCTACTTCGGCAAACAGCTTACCAGATAGCTCCGAGGATGCATCTGCAACCTCTCAGTGGTCTTCAGCTTATATCTTCCACCAATACGGAACTAACGTGGTGGCACAGAGTCTTCCATTTATCTTCAATGGGAACACACTTACTTCGATCAGCGACTCGACTGGTTCGACTCTGACATCCGGCACAGACTACTCCGTCTCGGGCGCTAACATTACTTTCACTGCTTCCTATCTTTCCAAGCATATTACCTCGACGACTGCGCCTGGCATCATTGCTAATCTCACACTGACCTTCTCGGGTGGCCAGTCATCGCCAGTTGTCCAGCTTGTTCAGTGGAAGGCGCCCACTCTTTCGTCGACCTCTGCGGTTGCTTCTTCAGTTTCTGGTGCCGATCTCAGCATCCCCGTTACTTGGGGTGGTCTCCCCGAGATTGCAGCTGTCAAGGCATTGACTACCAGCGGAGTATACCTGGTGGATGACTGGACAGTGTATCTAGGCCCGTTGCAGCAGGCTAGAACGGTAAGCTTGAAACTCGCTCTACTTGCTAGAATTCGCACTTACATTTTCGTCAACCATCGCAGACCTACAGCAGCCAGTATAACTGGGATTCATCCCACGTTATTATCACTTCTTCTGCGATCAGCTCGGTGATTTCAGCTGGAGTGTCTACTGTGTTTACATTCGAGTTCTACCCGCGGGTTGAAGGTGGCGTCAACTCTGTCAACTTCACCTTGACCGTCTAGTTTACTCTATGCGAAAGTGTCTGTGTCGAGAATTATTCATTTATCAATTGATTGGACTTGCTATATCCTGATATCGCCCTATTAACGCCGTAAGTCCCGGTAGATCGCTTGCTCCAAAAACCCCAAATAAGCCAACTATAGTCACGCCAAAATATAGTACTGTACAAACCACCAAAAAAGTCCACCTAGATAATCGTTGCATCATCGTTCTTGTGGCAGAAGCCAGACAAGAAAGCTAAAGGATAAAAAAAATAGCAAAACTAATTAATACAACGTCTTCAACTCTCTCAATGGAAGTCCGGGGTCGTATTTGTCCCAAACAATCTTGTTCTTCTCATTCAAGTGGGCACCCTCATCCGTGATATTAATGTTCGGATCGGTCTCCAAAACTTCGTGTCGGCTGAAACCCCACTTATCGCGTGGGATCCAGAGTGTTGGAGGTGGAGAAGCGACGCACGGCTCAAAGTATGCGGTGCGAAGTTCTTCTTCGGTGTATTCGACAGGGGCGACATTCTTGCGCACCTTCCGACGGAGAGCGGCGTAGTCGTTGTAGACATTTGGATGGAACCAAGACCAGAAGGCCATGACGCGTGAGCGACGTTGTTCGTTGATTTCGGCCACGGCGTCCTCTTTCTCTTGAAGGAGGTCTTCTTCTGCGTCTAGAGAGCGCGGGAGGAACGTGTTGAGCGGGGCCAGGGCTTCGTTGAGAGATAGGTGTGACAGGATGGTGGCAATTGTATAGAGAACCATGATAATCACGGGCCCAATCGCGGCCTTGATTGCGAAAAGACCGATCATACAGATCTCAGCCAGGTAGATGCCGGTCAACAAGTGTTGAAGTGCGCGTGGATATACCAGGCCCTTGGTGTCGATCTTGATGTCATAAACAAACAGGAAGTTGTATCGATACGCTTGATATACAAGATACAAGCCAACGAAGGCAAAGCCAAGAATCAGGGGTGAGATACAAGAGTATGTCAAGGCTGGATGAAAGTTAGACAGTGCAGGTAAGCAGGGGAGTAGAGATATCTTACCGATCACACCCATGTTTGTGAAAACAGGGAAAACGTTGCCCCAGCTGAGACTACCCAGCTCCGCCCATCGTTGGAACAGACGACGCGGAGAATAGGCGAAGAAGGTAGTCACAAATTTGAACAATAGAGCGCTGACAATCTGAACAAGAGCCATGGAGCTCATACTCAGACCCTGAAGCAAAAAGTAGGAAATGTAGAAATTGGTGGCTTTGGGCAGATTCTGAGCCAACAGGTCCTTTGTAGAAAGAGGGTCCTTGATAATCTGGGCTGTAGCAGCAGACGCAGCGGAGGTCAAGGTTGTCACCAAGAAGACTTGTACGACTTGGAAGACGAAGTGAGCGCTCTGGGTGAAGAGCTCGACTCGAGCCAAGGATGGCACTCCAGCACGGCGAGCACAGACTTTGCGATAAAGTTAGCATAAATCTACAAATACCGATGGTAGCGTAACACTTACTTCGACAAATAATCGGAACCAGTGACATCAGTGCCACAAGTGCAGCAGATGGAAGCAGGCCCTCGATCGCGCCCTTGACAAAATCAGGAAGTTTAAGGATGAACTTCAAAGGAGGAATAATCTTAGACAGATAGGTGATGTTCGAGATGGTTCCAACAAGGGCGGCTGGGAACGACCAAAAGACGACCATTGCTGCGAGGCCTCCTTTGACGGCAAACTTTCGGACAATACGCTGCCACCAGCTCAAGTTCAGAGCTGACCAGACAACATCACCTGGGGCCACACCGATGAAGCGGGGGGTCATGTGGAATGGCTGGTGGTGTGAGAGGGTTTGTAAAGCGATCTGAGCATCGGACTGCGAACCGAACTCCACAAACATTGCCGAGAGCTTCTTAGCATCGCCATCCTGATGCGTCCTCTGGAGGACCTCGACTTCTTTCGTGACTTTGACAAGCTGTTGGCGGTACCACCGAATTGAATCGACTTTCTGACCGAACAGGAATCTCAGACGGTGCGTTGGACGTTTAACTTTATGGGACCATCCTGGGTTGCTCGACTCGCAGTCGAGGCATGTGTCTGAAGCGAACTCGCCGTTCTTCATAGCATTTTGACGGACTTTATTCGATCGCCGAATGAGTTTGGTCTCTGCGGTTTCCAACTTGCAGGCTAATTTGTCACGCTCATCGACCAGCTTGGCGAGTTTCTTGCAGTCTGATGTGATCCAGATGCGAGTAATGGTGTCGCCAAATACCTGTCGCAATTTTGTTTCATTCTTATACGCGTCGGGTACGGACATGAACAGTACAGTCCTGGAGGAGATTCGAGTAGCGTAGGCGGGGGAGTTGAGGTATGCCTGGCGCAGATTTGCGTAGTAGAGACTTTCACGAGTAATAACGTAGAACACGAACGCTAGCCTGAAATTAGGAAAGCTCCTTTTAACGCGAAATTCGAGTACTTACTGAAGTAGATTAATGCCACGACGGTATTGGCGTAATACTTGGTTGGGTTTGCGACATTGCTGAAGCTTAAGAGGTCCAGCTGATCGTTCCCATTTCCACCCGTCGCGTGTATCGGTAGAAGGATCGGCCAGGTTATCAAACAACCAAAGGCACATATCGCGCACAAGACGCGCAAGAATCGTAGAAAGAGATAACCGTCGAGCGACGAGTGATGCATCACATGGTTGTCTTCAATCTTCAAGAATGTGCCGAACCAGTTGACCCAACCCGAAGGTAATTCCGGACTCCGTTGATGTTCGTGAATGTCGGGCAGGTGGGATCTGGGAGCGTACCAGCGGCGCTGTGTTCGGCGAAAGATAAGAAAGAGTCCGAACCAGAATGCTGCATATATTAAAGCTGGCAGCAAGGTCATCATCAAGGCCGAGGCTGAAGAGCCGCCTCCGCCAGTAAGACTGCTCGCAATTTCGCTCGATGTCGTCGAGGCATCGCCTCGAGAGGATCCGACATTCGGATCGTTATTTGGGTCCTGTTCGCGGTGGATTCAACGATCAGCTCCATCCTTGTTTTGAGGTTATCGGTGGATATGGTCACATACAATCGACATTCTGAATAGGTGCCCTGTGCCTGATCACCCTCTCGGGAGTGGTGATGACAGGAGATGGGGGGGGGGAAACACTAATCAAATATTGACGGCGGATCTGGTCCAAAAGAAGATAAGAAAAAAAAGAGTGACCATGATCCATAATTTCTCCGTCACAAAGCATGACGGCCCGCCCCTCTCGACATTCAATTGTCTTCCTGGTCCCGCCTTTTGGACCTGTCACCTTTCAAGGGGAGTGGACATAGTTCGGCTTCACGCGTCGGCGATCGCTGATAGGTGCGTCGCATTTTCCCAAATCTTCGGAAGGCGATAGTTTGTCGATCCCCATAGTTTTGTGCGCCGCACATCATCGGGTCCGACGCACTGCGCTGCATTGTCCAGGCAGACTCACATTTCGTTCCAGCGACTCGATAGGTGCTTCTTTTTTCTTTTGCTGTCAGTTCAGCCCTACATGATCAATGCCAATGACCCGGTACCTGGAAATGAGGCGCTATAACCCTCGCGGAGAGCAAAAGCAACGAGAGCCGCGAAATCCCCCCGGTGGGTCCCCGAAGGAAACCAAACTATCGAACCGAGACGCACGACGATCGCGATTCGGTGGATCGATGGGGGGCCTCTGTCTCTCCCCCCGGCTCCCCTGAACGCATGGACGCCAAGTCTGGAACTAGGATTTGGCATCTGAAAGGTGCAGCCCGTGCTTTCGACTAAGTGCCCTCGCTAGGCTGCGGACCAATTGACCTCGGGTGACACACGTTGGCATGCTGGAGGGTACTGCAACGTCTTGATGGGCACTGGTCAAAGTATGCGTGGGCTGCAGGGCGGTATAGAGGTGGGCATAGCCAGCGGTGATGGAAAGCCAATCGTTGTTCCAATCTCGAATGTAATTGCTCATCCCGCACGGGTCAGACAACACTCGTTGCTTGTGTAACACACGCGCTATCTTTCTCCCCCCATCCAGCCCCTCACTAGGGCTGACTCAATGAGTGGGAAAGTTTCTTGACGGCGTCATGAGTGTTGATCCATTTTTCTTTGGCCTTCCCACCGTAGTTTGACAGCGGTTGACTCCTTGGCCAGCCAGACGCAAGGGGCGCACATTTCTATTGCTTTCAGACGGCGGGCGCGGATGCAGCACTACTCTCCAGCGAGACCGCGGCGGATGGAGACGACGGAGTGCCGACCCATGTTTGTGGCAGACTGGGGGGCGCATTCTGGCATCTGTCTGGACTCTGGAGTTTTGGACCTGGCACTCCAGATGGTTGGTGGCTGATAGATCCAGATTCTCATAGGTCTGAGCGCGGATTCAATGCTTCTCGACCAGATTTGTTTCCCATGGAGTCATAAACTCGACCGGGTTTCCTGCTGTATCCACGTAAATGTGTAACGACGAGGGATCGACCTGGAGGTGAGTGGCGTGGCATGATCTGCAAGCAGGTGGGAACAAAGACAAAAGTCTTAGTCGGTTTGATTGCCGGATGGACGCGACGACTGGGAAGGAACCCGCATGAACGTCTTCGCGTCGTACTCGATCCGGTCGCATGCAGTGGGCCACGGTCTTTCCATACATTCGAGGAGGCTCATCATCTCTTTGCCGTGGATCTGGTTCGAGTGCAGAAAGTTGAAACATTAGGCCTACGCACGTGTTCCACCACGAACTATGACGCTTGTAATTTTATATGCAAACTCCAGAAAATGGTGCGTTGAATTTGATCTATCTATTCTCGCTCGCACCCCCGGGGGCCTTGGATTTCTGGCATAAATAATACATAGTGTTCAATCCGGTCATCTACAGAGTACATGTGGCTAAACTTCAAATCCATCTTATTACTCATGCTTTGAAATACGTTACCTACTTAGATCGAGAGATATTATGCAGGCTATTCAGAAAGATATCTCAAAGGACCTTCCGAAAGATACTTGTACTCATCTTCCTAACCCAGGGGGCGCTGATACAATCGATCGGCCTGCTTCAAAAACAGCCGCAGCTTTCAACAACATCGCATCCTCCCAGCGTCGGCCAACAAGTTGCATCCCTATTGGCAATTGGAGCTCAGGTTGATTTGGAAGACTCTCTGCACGGCCAAACCCACAAGGCACACTCATTGCAGGGTGTCCAGTGACATTAAACGGTGCCGTGTTCGTAGTCACCCCCACGGCGGCCGAGAGCTTCTCCATGATGGTTGACTCGGGCCCATCGCCATCAGCCTGCATCTTGGGATGAGGCATCGCAACGGTGGGAGCGCATGGAGTCACCAGGATGTCAACTTGTGTCAATGCGTGATCGTAGGCTGCTCGAAGCTCAAATACTTTGCGGTGCGCCTTGGCTTCAACGCTGGGACCGAAGTGTTCCTGAAGAAATGGTCCAGAGAGCATGACATTTATTACTGCCGGGTTGGTCGCGGTGAGCAGCTCATACATTCGCTGGTCGGGTGGCCATTGGGCTTGGATATGTGGTGGTAGGAAAGACAAATGTCCAGACGTCTTACCCTGGCAGGCCCATTCAGACATGTGCGTTCTCGTGGCGGCAGTCCAGATGAGGCTGCCTTCGCTGTGCAGAGGAACGGATATCTCTATCAATTCTGCTCCTGCGGCGGCAAAGAATGACCGGGCAGATCGCAGCACTGTCTCGCGAACTTCTTGGGATAGACCCGGGACGTCGAATGACTCCGTCAACAACCCAATCTTCATCCCAGTGCCAATCCTATCTCCATCTTTCAGGTCGCGGTTCCGAAACTCCGCCAGAACTTTGGGGTAGTCTTCCACTTGAGCTTGTAGTGGAGATTCCGGGGTCATTCGTGGATCAATTCCATCATATCCAGCCATCACTTGCAGCAACAAGGCGATATCTTCGAGGTTAGCCGCAAGGGGTCCCAAATGATCAATCATGGGTGCCAACGAGACCGCACCGGTATAGGGCACGAGACCAAATGTGGGCTTCAGACCATAAATACCACTATAGGACGCTGGATTCCGGACCGAACCAGCTTGATCCCCACCAATCGCAATATCGACCGTTTCTTCAAAAGAGTGACCAGTCTCACGGCGTCTGACTGTCGCTGCAACAAGAGCAGCGGATCCACTGCTACTTCCACCAGAAGTATAGCCAGGAGCCAAGACATTATGCACAGGACCACTGGCAGCGCTGAACGAGAGTGGGGAGGCACAATAGTTCTCGCAAGTGGAGGACCCTTTGATCGTTGCACCCGCTGAAAGGATTCGCGAAACCACGGATGCATCAATGGGAGATAATGGAAGCTGGCCATCCTTGCAAAGCAACTCGGTAAATGTGCCTACGGTGGTTGGTAGGCCACCAACTGAGATATTGTCTTTGATAACTATAGTTTTTCCACGGAGTAAGTTGCTGACCGGGTTTGCCGCGATAAATTCGCAACGAAATCTCCAAGCATTCAAAGGATTTTCTTCCTTTGGAGGCTCCCAATAGGTACGTGGAGTTTTCGTTGCCACAGGGGATAGTACAGGGTGAATGTAGTCGTTGCTGCTCTGGATGCGTCTCATCACGGCCTCGACCGACTGGAGCAAGTGCAAGTAAGCCTCCGTCTCTTGGCCGTCTGGAATCTTAATACCGAGCTTAGTAGCTGCATTCTGCAGATCCTTGACTGATATATTCGACCTTCCACGAATTAGTCCATCTAAATACACATTGAAGTCGCCAATCACTTACTCTATGGGATCGGCCAAGAATGCTACCGACATGATGAATGGCTGTAGGTGAGAACAATTTCAAGAAACCAAATTAATCAGCAACCATGCAACAAGTTTATCAAAGGTTATTATTGACGGCACGTACTAGTAAGCATACGAGATAATGTAGAAGAGAAGAACAAGCTGGCAGATCCACAGCATCATCGGAGGTGCCGCTTCGCCTCGGCGATAGTGCGGGGTCCCCGATGACAAGGATGTACTGGCAAGAGAGCCACGAGAAGTGAAGCGCAGAAGAGAGTCTATGATTCCAAAAGACATGAAAATGCTAAAACGTTGGAAAGAAAACTCTTGAATTGAGATATCAGTTGAAATATAGTGCAGCTTTCGTATCATTCCTGTCCATTCGCTACCAAAATTCGGCCACCGTCTACACATAACGAGACGCCATCCACGTATGCCTGGAAAAGTCCCACGATTAGCATTCAACGGGAGGGAAAGCAGTCTATTAATTATTCTAAAGCCACTTACCCCAGCTTTGCTCACAAGATACAAGATCGTCCCCGCCATATCTTCGGAGGCGCCCGCCCGTTTTGCTGGAACCTTGTCAAACAGCGAACTGAAGATATTCCCTTCAGTACCGACAGGATTCATATTGCTTGGGACAACTAAAAATACGGCTGTATCAGTATTCGACTGAAAAAAAATGTATGCTCAGATCAGTCAACTCACATCCCGGGTTCATGCCCACCACTCGGACATAGAAGCGATTATATTTCGCTGCCAGCAACTTGACTAAGTGGTCGGTAGCCGCCTTACTGGTAGCGTAGCTAGTCAAATCGACATTTGTCACATTGTGCATACTGGCACAAGAGCTGGTAATGATAATCACACCTTTTCCCTCGTCGCGACCTTTTCCTCCGTTCCCCGTCTGCTTCTCGGCTGCCGCAGCGAGAAGGGGAAGGAAAGCAACACTTAGGAAGTAATGAGCCGTCGAGTTCACTCGAAATGTATCTTCCCAGTCTTTCTCCTCGATGGACCACATCGACTTTTGAAGCTCTTCCAAATTCGCTGTCAGGACATTGCATGCCTGTGGAGGGTCGCGACGAATGCCCGCATTCGAGATTAGTATATCCAAGGACTGTTCTTTCTGAGAGATGTGCTGGACAAGTCCAGATATTGATTCTTTAGATGATACATCGCATATGAAACTAGATATCCAGTCAGCTTCTGACCAAAGATCTTCCGTATGGTTCATACCCCTCTGCGGTACCACCAGCATCTCGCCCCATATGGTTGAGCTCGGTAACGACGTCGGCGATGGGATCACTTGGCAATGCAGCAATATAGACCTTTGCGCCATTCTGGACGAGTCCCTACTCACTTGGTCAACTCTGGAGCAATGCTATCTCTAGCACGACACTCACTTTAGAGATCATAAGCCCTATTCCGCTGCTTCCGCCTGTGACCACCGCGACACGGCCTTGTACATTGAATAAATCTAAAGCTGCGAGAGAGGCCATCTTCAAATGTAGCCGGAAGAGGAATATGGGAGCCGAGCAAACTGTTGCATAGGACAGTATAAATAGATTAGACTTCCAGAGAGAAAGTGGGGAAGCGATTTTGGCCCGTCGGAGCAGCCGAAAGGGCATAACGCAACACCCATTTCGAGGAGATGGAAAGTCTTGATAGACGGAATTTCTCACCTTCGTCGCATTTTTAGCAAATAACGGAATTCCGTACAAAAGTATTGGTGAGTTCAAAATAATATTCAAATTTTCTACGGCATCTAGACTTCTTCTCTCAAAGTTGCTATGATTCTCCTTCACATTCACACTCACGCAAAAATCTAACTGTCTGAAGAGAAGATTTCATAATGAATACAGTATCGGATACTCTTGATCATAAGCTATAATGAAAAGCAATGTGACTTATATTCTAGTATCCTTTACCCCTCTCACTCCTTATAATGCTCCTTCGTGCGAAGCTCTGCCAAATTCAAGCATTCACTGGTCATAGCATCATCTCTGGGTATCAACCGGACCTTGAAATCCCTTGGAATAGCAACAAGTGCAGTTTTGAACTGATTATACTCCACATAGTCCGTATTTGGTGGATTCTCTTCACTGGCAACGATCTTGTAGGAAGAGAGAAGGCGCACCAGAGCACTGTAAAGTAGTCGCGAGGCAATGAATTGACCCGAACATGCCCGAGACCCTGATCCAAAGCTTAAATGAGGTAGACCACTCCCCTCCGTCTCGACTGGAGGATCGATGGACTTCAACCACCTTTCGGGGTCGAACTTGCCACCGTCTGGGCCAAAATGATCCACATCTAAACCTGAGATCAGTATTGCGAAGTGCCAAATATATGAAGCTTACTTACCGTGATTGCCTGCTTGGGCGTTTATCAAAATCATCGTTTTGGGTGGGATGATTGCTCCGTTCCAGTTCACTTCCGTCACGGTCTTCCGCGGCAAGCTCATTGCGCTAACTGTGTAATAACGCCCTGCTTCCTTGATAATGGCGTTGACGTAAGGAACTTTCTCTTCTGAAATGGCGCTTGTCCAGGCCTCGCGAATATCAGGGTAATGGCGCTTGATATCCTCATAAGCACGATCCTGCCAGATCTGCCCTTCGGGGGTGGACAAAGAGCCGATGCAGGACGTCAAAGTGCCAGGAATTGTTTCGAAGCCACCAGAAACTAGTGACAAGCAAATCGATGAAACTTCGACTCCCGTAAGCTTTGTTTCTTCATCCTTCAGAATAGCAGCAGAGATGCATGGCTTATCGGTGCCCTTCTTGATCATTGCCCGGACCTTGTCCAGGAGGAGATTGAGATACGCATCGCGACGATCGCGCAGCTCTTTTGATCTGGCAGTTTTCTCGTTATTGGGAAGGTACCGTAGAAGAGGGATATAATCCTGCAGATTCTCTGAGGCACTTCGTAAAAGTGAAATAGCAGAGCCGACATGTAGAATCTCGCGCAAGAGGTCGTCATATACGGCGTCCATGCGAATCCCATAACACAGTGTCAAAGTCGTATTCAGAGCAAATCGTTGGATGTATGGTCGCACGTTGAGTTCAACTTGACCATTTTTGCTATCGCGGTAGATGTCGCGAACAATGCAGTAACTTTCCAGATCAAACATCGGATGATAATTTCGCAGGGCAGGCCTTCCAAGCGCCGTACCTGCTGCCTTGCGCTTTTTCTTGCATGAATCGTCCCAAGGTGATGAGCCGATGGTGAAGCCCTGGGTGCTGCTCACAACTCCATGAAAGGTATACAGCTTTGGGCGATCGATGATTGCATTCTGGTGGCCAAGGAGCATCTTCCGGCAGTCATCAAACGAGTTGACCACAACAGCCCTTGTGTTTCCAAGCTTGATTTGAAAGACCGAGTGGCCATATTCCCGCCACCATCGCTCACACACTGTTGCGTGGTCTTCGCCGAGTTTGAGGAGATGGCCGAACACTGGAACTGCCCCCGGAATCTCCGGGAGGCCTTTAATGTGAGGAATATCGGTCGCCAACGTCCACTAGCAAGAAGCAAGATCAGACTTGATTATATAAAAGCATATAGACGTGTGATAAACGTACCTTGTATATCAAATAAATAAACAATGGTATAATAGCTAGAGTATAGCTCCGAGGAATAACCCCCAGGAGAGCTAGATGCTCCTCAAGTTTCATGTCGATCATTTTGTCGTCGGCCAAGGCTCGCCGTTAGAATCTAGTCTTGGCGCCGCTCAAATTGACTCCCTGCGTGCTCTATCTCATGGATTAAATAAAATTTGTTCAAAGCGAGAATCTTTTTAAAACCGGGCCCATGTGCCTCTTCTCACGCAGTGTTACGTCGGTCGCAGATTGACCCCCTCATCGGTCCTGTTCAGTCCAATCGCACGACAGTCGGACTGTCCGACCACCGCTTATCACATCGTGATAAGGCCCTCCATTGCGTCAAGTACTGTACTTAGTTATCGTGTGAGAGAATGCAGTGAGGGGCAGAAAACATAGATACGGTAAGAACAAATCCAACTAAATCCACTATTTCTTCGCTATACGGCAGGGAATCTGCTATTCCGAAAATCCGAATGAATTGTCTTCGAATGTGCTCTAGGCAATTCATGGAATTGAACATACTATACATAGTACACAATCAAGTCCAAGAACTACTCTCTAGTCTCTAAAAATTTGGCAATCCTTCGATTCATCCATTCTGTATCCTTTGGGTTGGCACCGCCTCCGCCAATATGTCCCCAGATCGATGGGATAACAGCCAGCTCTCCGTTCTTTAGATATGACACTTCTTTTTCACTAACTTCCCACTTGAAGTACTGGTCCGTCTGACAAGGAATAAGAAGAATCCTCGTATTTAGGCTCTCGAGCGCTTTTTCGATGGGAAGATTCTCAGAACCAGATCCCAAAGCAACCCCAATATCAGACCTTTGCCACATTCCTAGCATAACGAGAAGATCATCCGCATGCCAGTCCTCGTAGCCTTCTTCGCCCGCCTTGCTCCATTCTTCAATAGTTTTGAAGCCACTCTTCTCAAATAGACGTTGTTCAAACCATTCCGCACTGGTCAGCCAGGCAGAGTATGCGCGACTGAAGGCATGCAAACCGCGAAGTGGCACCCCTTGGGTTCTCATGGCACTATCGTTGTAATCGATTGAATGCGATAAAGCCGCTTTGGGCCCTTCCAGGAACTGATAATTGTGCAGACTAGTCTTTGCCGACGAGCATATAATCACGGCATTGCGGAGCATCTGAGGATACACGGCAGCCCAATGATAGGTACACTGTCCACCCATGGAGAAACCAATCATCACGTCGATGGAGGAGAGGTTGAACTTTTTGGTGATCAGCTCGTACTGAGCTTGAACGCAGTCTCGATAGTCGAGAGTAGATGGAAAATTCTCGGTATTGGAAGGACTCGAAGATTCGCCATTGCCCAACAATGCCACGACGATAACTCGATGGTCGCGCAAAACTCCCGTGGTAAAGTTCAAAGTCGTATTGATCCTCCCGCGAAAACAAGTGGGAATCAGTGCGATCTTTTGAGCAGTAGGGTTGAACTCTCGATAGGCGAGTCGCACCTTGGGAAGTGTAACTCCATTTTGGAATTTGAAGCCCTGGAGCTCGAAATATTCGATTCCGGTATCATCGTAGGCCAACGGCATTGTGAGGGATTTGCTCCGCGCGTATTCAAAAAAGACCAAACCCCAACAATTAAGTGGGGTTGCGTTCAAGCAGTTGATGGAATTGCGGGGGGGGGGGGTGGGGGGTTTGAGGCTTTTGACGAACTACTAGCCTAGGTGACCGATATCGATCTGAATTTTGGGGGTTCGGAAGACCCGATGAACATGTTTTTGGTAGTTTGGTAGATGGATAGATCTCTTTCTCTTTAAATACAGAAGAATATTTGACTCCACTTTTACCCCTCACACGATTGATTTCCAGAGCCTCGTTCACATCTCAAGCCTCGAAAATTGCTGTTGCCTTGATTTCCACCGCAAAACGAGGATCTGGCAATTCTTTCACCCCGATAGTCGCTCGACTCGGCGCGCTTGCACGATCGGACCAAATCTTGTTCCATTCCTCATTCATGTCGGCATATTGCGTCTTCATATCGAGGATGTAGACTGTTGAATCCACGATATTGTGGAGATCGGCCTTTCCATTGGAAGCTCCCTTTATGATGCTTTCGATTCGGCGTAAAACGGCCGCAGTCTGCTCTCGTACATCGATTGTGAAAGATCCTTCCGGGTTTTCCTTAACTCCTTCATATGTACCCTCCGGGGTTACGGCAGCGATGCCCGAGATGTAAATTGTATGGTGGGTTGAAGGCGCTACGACGCGGGCGTGTGAGTATCGGGTGGGCCCCGCGACCTTCTCAGGGTCGAGGAGAAATGACTGGCCGTTGGCTGGCATAATGAGGAAATGCTGAGGCTAGACGGGTAGGGTTCTTTGAGAAGAATGATTTGAGTATCCGGATAGCACCACTGCTTTTCTCTATGACTTTCTTATATTTGATTCAGTCATAATCACTCTACATAAAAGTAGGCGAAGCGGACCCCCCGACGTGGAAGCCGCAGGCGGGAGAGCCGAAGGAAAGAGATCAGACCGAGGTCAAAGTCAATCAATTTGAATAATAAACAATTGATTCTTATGGCTGTATGAATTAAACCTTTTAAACGCTATCCAACCAATTTTCCGTGTCGAATTAATCCATTTAGCAGTTGTGGCGGATTGGAAGTCTGAACTCGAGACCAAGAGCCGGTCAACGGCCAGATATGCTTAAAGGTTTGCTCGTTAGGTTATTTGAATCATCCTTTCAATTATCTCATATCATCTCTTGCTCTATCCTCAAACTTGGGATCGATGCGATGACTTTAATGTTTATCTAGAGCACTTAAATACCGCCCTTCAGGCTGTAGCAATGGAATCTCCAATCTTTCTATTCCCTCTTTTGCAACATGAGTTCTCTAATTTCTCACCCAAAGTCTTAAAAGACCCTTGTTAATTGCGCACATGGATTAGCCTTGACGGTCTGCAATCGGAGATACAACCATGATGATCATGGAAACTGACACGAAAATGATAGGCCCGTGGCGTTGAAATCACGCATTGTATTTCTACAGATGCATTTTGCATGCAGAATCTAACATAAGGGGCTGTGTGTTATTGCCTATAACTCCTTGTGCGGCCGTGACGACGTACCAGTCTACCGGGTATCGCCTTTCATGGACGTAAGATGTCAATAGGAGCTATTCATACACATATTTTAGGGACAGCAAAAATACCAAACCCCCATTTACAATGATTTGTGAAAAACAGGGGAAAAACATTCTGCGATAAATAACTGCCGTTTTTTCGAAGCCGGCGCCACGAGTCCTTTACCACGGAATTCCCAGATACTTAACGATTTTCAGGTCGGCGAGATGTGTTCCATGCCACGACAGGCAAAAATGATTCATAAAGACTTCCATTCTTGGGGGGGCGAGTCCACTATCACGACGTGCATACGTCCCGGATTGAGAGCCAATTCACCGGCTGTTTTGTGGTATGCTCTCGATAGAGAGGTTTTCTCATGATCATGCCCCAAACCCTTCTCTTGTCCCTCTAGTACCTTCCAAAATAGGTTCACTGACTCTGCGTACTTCTTTTGATGATAGACAGTCCGGGCAAGATCGTATGCCGTGTCAAGTGTCATTTTATGATCGGGACCTAGGGTCTTCTCTAGTCCCTCAAAGGCTCAGCGATATAGATCCTCTGCCATGTGGGGATTGCCTTTCTCAGCTGAGGCTCAGTATCCCGATCAGTATACTCACGTGACTGGTCAGAAGCAGTGAGCTGACTACCGGGTACCTAGGTACCTAGGTCGGGGCTAGAGTAAGTTAGTTGACTAGCGAGGTCCTGAATGAGGGGTGAGTAGATCCCTAAGCAACTCTGAGCATCCATGTAGGTGCAGATCACGTGCGATATCAATGACTAAATCTATGGTAAACATCATGGACCTATGGATAGTTGATTTACGATTAGAGCAGTTAAGAGGAGCCGTTTTTGACGTGGCATATACCGTCACCCAGCGTTGTGGTGTACTCTATATCAGATTCAGAAAAGAGAATCTCATAGTTCTTCTCATGATGACCGATTTCCCCACATGGCGGATACAAAGGGCGACCCCGCTATCGTCAATTCTCAGCGTTTGATTGGCAATTGGCCCCTTTCTCTCCCCGCACGGTCAAGTCACCAGGGCCAGGGCCAACAGAGGATATTAGGAAAGGAGTGGAGATTAAAAAGAGAAAAATCACTGTTGTAGAGGTTAAGATCTTGATTTGCAATACAAACGGCAGAAAGACTGAAATTGTGTCTAGTAACAACCATCGTTGTACAATACAAAAACTATCAAAAGTATGCCACAGGGGAGATAACGCGAGATAAGTGAATCATTCCGAAAGCTCCCCTCTCCCATCGACCTTATCTTCCCTTCCCCCGCTCTCAGCAACTTGTAGAATCCTCAACTTGATGCTTCATGCCGGACGACAATGATGCCCGAACCCGCTGCCCGGGCGGAAAGCTCCTGCAAACGCTGTCATCGAAGGAAAAAGCGCTGTGACAAGACTCTACCACAGTGTCAGGCATGTCAACATGCCAAGGTCTCCTGTAGCTTTCTAGACGATGAAACGCAGGTGGCCTCTTATCCGATCGCGTATGGAACTTCGATCGCTCCTAGAAAAGCCTCCATGTTTCCTGGTTTATATAATTGACAGCGAATAGATACGTACGCGGATTAGAGAGACGAGTCAAAGAACTAGAACAACGGCTTACGTCGTCGCTCATACCGCAGAATTCCCAGCCCGGTCCATTTTCCTACCCGTGGGATCAAGATGCAGACATTCGTCTAGGCGAGAATTCGATGGACGTGGACAACCTCACAGCAAATCAATCACCTCCTGCACCGTCAAAAGAACATCCATTGCCTCCGCCCGATACGCAACATATTTCTCCCACGTTAGATATAGCCGGACAGAGAACCGGTAGTCTGGCCGATGAGCTCAGATTGTTATCCTTGGAGGCTGCAGCAGAGAGATATTTGGGCTCCTCGTCAGGTCTTTCCTTTGCCAAATTGACCCAAACTGTGCTACAACGGCTCTCTCCCGACCAAGAAGGATTCATGTTTGACGGCGGCGTCACAGATAATCAACAGCAGAGTTGCGACTCCGATCCCGAGCCTGATCCGCTTTCCAATTCAAATTCCATCTTCTTTGAAATGAACGCCTCATTGACAGGCCTCCTTCCTCTAAACTCGATCTTTGGAAACCCCGTGGTTGAGGACTTTGAAGACTCGATGGGCCTCGCGTTGTTGGATCCTTCCCATATCAACTCCCTACTAGAGTTCTACTTCGCCCACTCGCATACTCTGTACCCCTTTATTCGAAAAAGCGAATTCGAAGCCGTCCTATGGAGGATATACGGTGACCCACTCGATCCCCTGGCCCAGTCGCCTCTGTGGCAGTTCCGAATTTGGATGGTCCTCGCGATCGGCTCCACGACTTACTGCTCTGTATCTCTCATGGACGAGACCGAACCTTTACAATTTTTTAATAAGGCTATGACCTATTTTGAGGCAGCAATGGGATGTGGGGACTTGGTGAGACTTATCTCACCCGCACTGGTATGATCAGTAAGGCTAATGTAATCTAGGCTGGCTTGGAGGTCCTGATGCTTCAAGTTTCATATTCATTCTTCAACAAAATTGGGCCCAGTATGTGCAAAGCATTAGCCCAAATACTCTCGTTGACAATCAAGTCACTGACATGGGGAAGACACCTGGTTCCTGGTAGGTGTAGCCGCTCGCATGGCGACAGGCATGGGACTCCATACATCAGACGTATACCAGACTCTGGCGGTAGACGTCGCTGAGCAGCAGAAGAGGCTTTTCTTTTCTTTGTATATGATGGACCGGTATGTCTCTGGTTTGTACTGACATAATTTTTAAGGTGGTTGATCGGCTAACTTATTCCCAGTGTGGTGTCGTTAGCTTTAGGAAGACCTTTTGCCATTCAAGATGACGATATCACAGTCGAGGTTTGTCTTCGTTCACGGTCAACTCATACCCCACGAGCCCTTAAGAAAATCGACTAATAACTTGCTTCTACTAGCCGTTTGCCAACGCCGACGACGCAAATATCCAACCAGACGGCATTGTCGCCGCATCAACACTGGAGGCGTCCACAATGGCAGTCCCCCTTCACATCCTAGCACTTCGGAGGATTGCTAGTGATATTGGCAGTCAAGTACATTCGCAGAATTACAGTAAGCGACAAAGCCCAGAAGCTCGAGAGGAAACCATCCAAAAACTCCATCGAAGGCTCCTTGAATGGCGCCGCAGCATGCCATTCCCACTACCCGACCTTCAGTCAAAGGTGCCTCATCTATGAACGAGCTGGTTCGATCTAAACTATTACACCCATGTTATCATGCTCTATCGCCCATCACCACTCAGCCCGACGCTGGACGCCGCGCGAATGAAGATTCTTGCCGAGGCATCGGGTATGGCCATTCGACAAGCAACTAATCTGCACCGGCAACGCCGGTTTGCGTATAACTGGCTTAATTTAGTAGCCATATTCAATTCTGCATTGTCACTTATGTATACGTCTACGGCTCACTGTGAGGATCTACCCTTGGTAGTGGATCACTCACGAGCCATTGATGATCTTGAGTTGGCTGTGGAATTATTGGAAGTCTTTAGTGGAAAGTTTCCTTCTGCAAAAAAGATCCAAGGCATGATCCGGACTGTTTCTGCAAAGCTGAAAATGTACAATATACATTCCCTGGGATTCTGAGGAATAAATTCAGTCATGGTCATGGGGAATGTTGCCCAATACCGGTCTCCGAATAGTCTAATATCATTGTACATGGACAGAAAAGACTGATATATTTTGCTGTTTTTTATCCAGATTTATCCTAGCATTCAATGTGAGAGAGCTTAACGTTTTCTCGGGCGATTGACTTCCGAAGCAAATTCTGAGTAATGAAAAATGGAAATATAGACAACGTAAATACTTCAGTAATTATTTTAACCGCAGCCGTTCAGGCTTGGCCTGTTTGCCTTTCAAGAAGGCCTTTGTTTCCCCTTGTAGCATGAGACCCATCACAAAACAAGGCCCAACGAACTCATACAAAGGGTACGCCTGATGATCTGCTTGTCGTAGGATAACGGGGTATTGGAATCGGTCGAGGACACATAATATATCACCTGTCGTTACCCCTAGAGGGGCTAAGCCGATAAAGCCCTCGCTAATCTCAAACAAATGGCCAATGTTAAGTACCTCAAACATGCTCAGAGCTTCCACCAGTCCCTGAAGTGTTACGGTAGGATCTGAGGCCATTATTTGCCCTCTCTCATTTTGTATACTGTCCCGAAAATACCTTTCTATGCCAGACCAGATTGCCATATCTGTCGCATCATTTTCATGGGTTGAAGAGGCAAGCCGCTCCAACAGAAGGAGAATCGCTCTTGCATCGCAAATCCCGTCAGGTTGTCTCATCAAAAGTGCATAGAAGGCAGAGGCCAGAGGTAGACCGGAAATATATCCAGGGGCATGCCGTCCAGCAAAATCGATTAGGTATTTACGCATTGCGCCATTCTGTAGAAAGTTCAAGCTGGGCCGCTCGCCGACATGGTTAACAGTACTCATGCGTATGCCCAATACATAAAGCTTTTCGCCCATCAACCTGGGCAGGCTGGGGTAAGCTCGTCTTATGTAGTCAAAATGACCTTTATCGGCCTGAGCTATCCAACTGGGCCCCCGCTCGCGGTTTTCCATTGGTAGGTGATATCCGTGGGCCCATGAGGGCATATCATCATGGTCGCCCGCATCAGCAAGGCCAACAGCATCGTGAAGGAAGAGAAGGGAATATGGTGTGTTGCGTGTAGCAACTAAGAAAGCTTCCACGAAATCGATACAGGCCGTTCCAACGGATTTGGCAGGGCCATAATCCGGCTCCAGGGCGAGCTTTGCGACTCCAATAAGGCTGTAATAGTAGTCCCGGGGATCGGTAGCACGTGTCAAATGAGTATATGCTGACAGAATGCAAAGAGGTGGTCGCATTTTATTTTGTGTCCCAGCAAGCTTCGCCTTCGCCACCAAAAGACGTTGAATCATTTTGAGACTATTGACAAGGAGTGGTAGTCGTTGTCGAAGTATGCGCATGTCATCTGTGAGGACCGCTGGTCGCCCTTCATCGACCATACGGTCCACCAAACATCTCAGATTTGAGATAGCATTCTCGAGTTCATCATCACTCATCTGAGCGCCGGGACTAGTAAAAGTGAGGCTGTGGGGCTTGGAGAGAGCTATCTCTTGGAAAATCCACATCCTGGACCAGTAAGGTAGATCGACCAAGTCTCGGGGCGCTGCCCAAAGACGATTCGGTATAAGGACGTCCTCGCGTTCTAATCCCACATCTAATATCAGAAGCTCCGGATGGAGCTCACTAACAGTTTGAATATCCTGACTTATAGATCGCAAGGCTTTGAATGCCAAGGGAATATAGGGGGCATCCCCGAGCCAAGAGTAGACATGATTGGCGGCGCCGTAGATGTTGCTCATAAATTTGACCTGTTGGTTCTTTTCTTCAACGTCATCTTGCTTGATGCAAACAGCGTCGACCCATAGGTGAAATCCGTTAAGAAATTCGACACCTTGCTGGCTGAAATATTCCAGCGCCTTTGTTAAATTCGCTGTGATCTTCGTTATAGATCCATTCAGCACGATATTTTCGGTTATCGAGGGGTCGCCGCAGACATACGACAGCGCGGCGAAGGATGGGTTATCTCGGAGGGAAACAGTGGTCAACTGACCATAAACCCGAATTTGACTATCCCTTGGGACTGGCAGTAGCTGGAGAAGTCGGATCTCCTCTCTGTTCGGGCAGAGGGTTCGATAGACATATGTGCTATTCGCGATGTCTTTGTTTGTCATTCGGCTTGCGGCCACATCCATTTTTACTTCGCTAAAGAATCTCCGTGAGAATTTTGCCTGAGGGTAAAAAGCTTCAGGTGGGGTGTGAGCGGTTGACAGAATGGCACGCTTGGCCCCTGGACCGTTTGGGCTATCTGCAGCTACATGTATTATAGTATCATAGTACTGCCAAGAATAGTGTCAAGGTTGGAGTGGCCATAGTGAATATAGTGTGTTGCGTAGTAGGATTGGAAAGAATCAAAGCGAATGGCAACTATGAAACTAATTTTGATCCATACTGTACCTGTTCGCTCTTTCAATCGTTTATGCCAGATATCGGCACCGTCCGCCGAATACTCGGGTACACTATATAAGGCTTAACCCGGTCCATTTCCTATCTATATACTTCGAAAGTTCCTCTTTAATCAATCACTCATTTTCTAATGATTCCGGCAGTTATAGCTCTTCCTAGTTCATACTAGCTTATGCACCAATTTAGCTCACTTTGACATAGTGTTATATAGTTAGTGTTGTTGGATAAAATAGGGCGGGATAGTCGGCGGTGAAGAAAGGAGAGGCAGAAAAAGCGTCAACAACCATCTCTCCACAGCTCCTGAAGCTGCTGGTCCTTTGGCGCAATTCCCTCTTTGCGACAACGTACGGTCATCGGCCTCATGGAAGACCGGGCAGCGAACCGGCCCGGATTTGAGGCGCCATTCGAGCCAAAGCAACCCTTCCCGCCGTTGCTCGACGAATTGGCGTCACCGGAGGAAGTACAGGAGAGCTACGCGGAGGATGAGAGCGTTACCTCTCCGGGTTATGACGAGATCGAGGTCGAAGACGATGCCGACTTCCAGTCGCACTATTCCCTAGAGCCACGATCCTTGTCGGACTCGGAATCGGAAGACTCGGCGGATGATATTGGAAGAAATCACCCGTTTCGACAGTCATCAGGCTCCCTCCATGGACCTAATGCCTTTGCGCCTCCCTTTTACAATCGCCCGCCGACCCCTCTACCACCGTCGCCTTCATTAACATCCCTTCTACGACCACCGTTCTCCACGACCACCTCTCGTCCCACTACCCCAGACAGCTCCGATGTGGAAACCCCAAACGACACCGAGGCCGCTGTGGCCAAGTCCGCCCGACGTGCGACCACCGTCCCTCGCGCCAGCCCTAAGGTTCCAACCTATGAGTACTACGGTTTTGTGCTCTACTTGGCTTCTTCTCTCGCATTTTGTACGTTTCAAACTCTGTGGTGTCTAGTGCATGCCAATTTCGACTATGGACATGCTGACCTTGTCGCGTTCTAGTGATTTACCTGCTATGGTCATACCTCCCCTCCCCGTTCCTTCACCAACTTGGTATCTACTACTACCCCAACCGCTGGTGGTCCCTAGCTATTCCATCGTGGCTGGTCATGTCCATTGTCTACATCTATGTTGCTCTGGCTTCATATAACACTGGGTACCTGACCTTGCCCATGAACAGCATCGAAAATATTGTCGATGAGGTTGCAAATGTAGCTGTCATCGATGGAAAGGCAAGGCGACGGCCTGGAGGGTCCACCAAAATGAAGCCTGGAGCGACTTCATACCAGATGATGGGTCCGCAGAATCGAAAGGTCAACTGGCGTGAGATCTGGAGCGAGGGAACCGATGCGGTGATGGATATACCAGTTGGGGGTGTATGTGAGGTGCTGTATGGTCAAGAACGCGATGAGGATGCAGGGACTAGCGAGTTTCCATAATGCGGACTCGTAACTACAATTAATCAAGAAGACCATCGAAGTACAATTCTCAATGACGTGAGCGTTCAACACTCGAAGGGGTTCCGGTCACGTGTTGATAAGCGCTGCCGCCGCCTACGAGACTCTTTGCATCTTTCACGTCTCATCCTTCGTTGACGAGTCTACCCTCTTACTCCGTTAGTTGTCGGCTCTTTCAGAAAATGTCAGCAGACCGTCCTTCAACGCCTCCCCGGCAGAATGCTGCCGAGCCTGGACAGCTTCCTCGCGGACCGTTGACGCCTGAACAGAAGCGAAAGATTGTACGTCCTATCTAGAGATCTCCCTCTAGCTTTGGTTCCAGGATTAATCAAGCTCTTTCTCTCTCTAGGAAGTGAATCGCATGAAAGCCAAGGCCCTTCGGGAGCAACGTGAAGCCGAACTAGCTGCGAGTGCTCGCGCAGCAGGAACATCCCCGAATACTTCTCAACCCGCCCAAGGACTCAAGCGTTCTCACGCCTCGATGGTCGCGACCAAGTCGACTCCTGCCACCGTACGAGATGCCCGTACAAATGCATCTTCCCGCCCGCTTGACGAGATCAAGCCCGCGCGCAACTTTACTAGATATGTCGAGTACGATTTCAGCAAAATGACGGATACCAAGGGTGGTTTCTTGACACAGGAGGACGATCCATTCAACAAGGCACTTCATGTGTCCGATGAAAAGGAGGCTCAGAAACCTGCCAACATGACACAAAAGGAATGGGAGCGCCATCAATTACTTCAATCTCTCCGACGGAACCGCGAGGGGCCTTTCGAGCCGGGATTGAGTGTTTTGGATGATAAAAGCAAGCAAAAGACTTGCCGCGAATGCGGCAGTTTGGAGATTGACTGGAAGTGGGAAGAGCAGCTTCGATGTCAGATCTGCCACTCCTGCAAGGACAAGTATCCCGAGAAATACAGTCTTCTCACCAAGACGGAGGCGCGAGAGGATTATCTTCTCACAGATCGTGAGTTCAACCCGTAATGACAGTATGTTCTGTTGGCTCTTTTTACTGATTCTCCTCAATAGCCGAACTCCGCGACGAAGAGCTACTTCCTCATCTTGAAAAGCCCAACCCCCACAAGTCGACCTGGAACAGCATGATGTTGTATCTCCGCTACCAAGTGGAAGAATATGCGTTTTCAGACAAGAAGTGGGGGTCTCCCGAGGCATTGGATGCCGAGTTTGAACGTCGTGAAACCGATAAGAAGCGGCGTCGCGAAACGAAATTCAAAACGAAGCTGCAGGATTTGAAGAAGCGTACTCGGGTGGAAGCCTACCGACGCAATCGGCAAGGTGCTGCAGGTGGTGACTTCGGCGACGACCTGAGTACCAATCGAAAACATGTCCATCAATGGGGTCGAACGGTAGATAACCCAGAGACGGGCATCGGGGTGAAGACGTGTGTGGACTGTGGTATGGAGGTGGAAGAACTGGAGTTTTAATCGATATCCATCTGTACATCATATCCCACTGTTTTGATTAGCAATCATGAGACCACGAATCCTACGGGCATATATCCATATATCATCCAGCCGTAATTGTCCTACCTGTTACCGAAGTTGGTTTTTTGATACCTAGGTAAGTCAACCACTAGGTCAAGTATGCGGCTCCACTGCTTAAGGTTAAGGTGTTATCCTTCGTTATATATTTCGAGCTTCGGAACCAGGTCAAGCTCTATGAGACAGTTAGCTGGAATGCTACCTGACTATTAAAACCCATGCGATAATTCCCAATCATAGTTGGTTCCATTCCTATTTGACCACTAAGGTTTAATCCACGGAAACCTTTCCTAGGACCCGAATCGCGTAAGACAGTTATCAATGTACTTGTGGAGTGGTGGAGTCGACACCTCATAGATCAGGCTCCCTCGCCGTGGAGATGAGCTTCATTTCACTCCGGATTCCCCTCTCCCTCCCCCCCAACAGTTCCATTGGCACCGGACCTTCACCCCTTTACTCTTATCTTACCCCGGTCAATCCACTCTCTCCTTTTCTCTTATTTCTCCCATCCACCGCTTTTTCTTTCTTTGTGCGTGCCCACATCCTCTGGCTGTGGTCCTTGTCTATTCTTCCCGAACAAGCAGGCGGTCAACTCCTCGTGAAGCCCCCGAAAAGCCACCCAGACTCGGCCATAACAAACGAGCGCACGCACTCGAACGTCCTGCAGTTGATCAGTGGCTTTTTAGTCTTTCCTCTTATCTGGGCCTTTCTCCCCCTTTCACTGGTGGACACGGCGTGGAACGCGGTTCCTCTGCTGTTGTCGCTCCTCGGGGGACCTGATCTCGCTTACTCCGGTGCGGATACCACGGAGGTCAGGAGAACGAGCTGCCACAGGTCGTCGCTTTCGATCCATCGCGGTTTCGCTTCACTCTAGCTTGATTCCCCACGGCTCAAGTCGACCTGTCTGTCCCTGAATCCTCTGAACTACATGGCTTGGCAATCTCCCTCCGTTGGAGGGATGTCCGGAGCCATGGGTGACTCGAATGGCGGGCACCCGCAGGGAACGGAATATACTCTGCAGGGTAGGCAGTGCCTCTGATTTTATCTTCCATTGTCTCTTACTGACATACGCAATCTAGGTGTTATGCGCTTCCTCCAGACCGAATGGCACCGACATGAACGCGACCGCAATGCTTGGGAGATCGAACGCGCGGAGATGAAGTCTCGCATTGGCCGGTTAGAAGGAGAGCTGCGTACAAGCAAGCGCATGCAAGAATCATTGGGCAAACATGTTCGGTTGATGGAGGCAGCGCTGAAGAAGGAACGGGAGAAGGTCAAGAAGCTCTCGAACAACGAGTCCATTGAGGATCTGCAAGATCCCAAGGACATTGCGCGCGAGAGCGTGAACTTCCTCAAGGGTGAGCAGAACAACCCCCTACTCACACAATTCGCGTATCATCATACTAATCTATCTGTCACAAGAACAACGTTCTGCTTCCAAGTCGAACCCGGATGCGAACCCAGATGATCCCTCAAACCCCGAATCGCAAGAAATCACCCACGAAGACGAGCGAGATAAATCCCGAGTTTACCTATCGAAATGTGCACAGGAAATCGCATATCACGTTATTCCCACGTCCCATCCTGTTCCCGATCTCAGCGACCCCGATCTCTCAGGTCATCTCTATGGAAACCAGCAGCTCTCCCAGCAGAACCTCGAGGAGGCATTTCTCCAGCAACAACGACAAAAGGCCAACCATATGATTTCACGTGAGGCGGTGCTTCCTAATCATCAGCAGTCTGGTAATCAATACACCGAAAATGCGCCTCCCTCGCGTGCCCAAAACCAGTATAATCAAGTTCCCCTGGCTGTTGAGCGGCGTCAAATCGAGCAGCAGCAGCAAACTCCCGTTACTGCGATTGACAACCGGAAACTAGCGTACGAGCAAGGGCTGATCGATGAGCGTGGTGTAGCGGGGACACAGCAGCCCGCGCACGATGCTCCAGGGCCTTCAGTCGCCGTCAAAGAGGATCTACAGTCTCACAGTGCAACCGAGCAAGGCACCGAAGATGTCGATGGCTGGAACTTTGATGAGCCCGCAGAGGTGGCACCGGCCACCGAGTCCATCCCACCCCATCGACCTGATACCGACGCATTCCCCAATGCTAATTTCGTTCGTGGCAAGTCACCGTCAAGGGGCGGGTCCCTCTCCCATCGACGAAAGAGCTCGGGCTCACGGCGCAAGAGTGACGGCAGCATTGAAACCAGAGATTTCGGCGCGAACGCCAATCAGCAGGATACCAACTTCAAGGTTCGATTTGCCTTGCGGGGACATCTTGATGTCATCCGTTCCGTGATCTTCACTGGTGGTGGCAGCCCCTCCGAGCCTGAGATTTGTACATGCAGTGATGATGGAACGATCAAACGTTGGATTATCCCTGCAACCTATGGAATGTTGGGCGCTCATGGACCGAGCTCGAGCAATGATTTGGACATTACCAGCTATTTCACCCATCGTGGTCATGTTGGTGCGGTCACGTCGCTTGCGGCTTGTTCCCCGTCCCAGAATATCTCCAACGGTGGCCGGGCTTTGGGTGATGGATGGGTCTTCTCCGGCGGACAAGATGCCAGCGTGCGTGTCTGGGAGCGTGGTCGGGTTGATCCCAAGGCCACCTTGGACGGCCATACAGACGCCGTGTGGGGTCTCTGCGTGCTTCCGGGGACGGCAGGGTCTGTCTTTGGGGACTCCAGTAGTCACTATGGAGGACCTGACCGAATTCTGCTAGCCTCCGGTGCTGCAGATGGCCGGATCTTGATATGGGCTGTCAGTGCTCCGCCTCTGGCATCCAACCCCCAGGCCGGTTCGCGTCGTCAAGGTGGAAGCCGTCGTGCAAACTCCATCTCTTCTGGATCCAACTTCCCCTCGTCTCCCCAACCCAGTGTTGCCACATCTACACCATTCCATTATACCCTCGTTCATCACATTATTCGCAGCGATTCTCCTTCTCCAACCTGCATTAGTCCGTTGTCTTTGGCTGGTGTGAACTTTGTTGTGTCCTATACTGATGCCTCCATCCTCGTGTACGATACGCGAACCGGCGAAGAAATCGTGGGCATGGCCAGTCTGGAAACGTATGACGGCACACCCTCTACTGGTGTCAATTCCGTGGTTACTACAACCATTGGATTTGACGGATCTGCAAACTTGGACCCTAGCCGCACCATGGCCGAGGAAGAAGTCGTACATGGAGCTACTGGATCTAGTAGTGTGGAAGGCGTCATTATCAGTGGTTATGAAGACCGATACATACGTTTCTTTGATGCTAACAGCGGTATGCTATGACCTGCAGAATTCCCCGTTAATTACAATTTACTAATCCTTCGTCCTAGGTCAATGCACTTACACAATGTTGGCCCATCCGGCTGCTATTGCCTCGTTGTCCTTGTCTCCGGATGGCCGTGAGCTCGTCTCAGCTGGCCACGATGCAAGCTTGCGCTTCTGGAATCTTGAGAAGCGCAGTTGTGTTCAGGAGCTGACCAGCCATCGGTTAATGCGTGGCGAAGGCGTCTGCGCCGTTGTCTGGAGTCGCGACGGCCGCTGGGTCGTCAGTGGTGGTGGAGACGGTGTGGTAAAGGTCTTTTCCCGATAATCAAAAGACTAGACGATGAGATGACAGCCTTGTATGATCCTTCTATTCTCTCTTCTTTCTGCCTTCCATCTTCTCTTTGCTTTTCTACTCTGGTGTGCATTTCTTTGGTCTTTTCCTCGTCGTGATATGATCTCATGAACCGGATGAGCGATTGGCCAGGCCAGTTTTCCTTTGAGCATTTGCAATGGTGTCCTATCCAACTGCTGGCATATGGTACTCTTCTAAGTGGTTTTTGTTCTCTTCTTCTTCTTCTACATGTGTACTTCTGACCCTTGACACTCATATGCCGTCTTCGCGATGATTCCCTGGCGTACATTTCTGACCATCTTGTGTCCCTTTGCATCTCTTGCTCTGCTCTGCTCCTGCCCTTTGCTTCGGTGCATGACCAATGTCCTACTTGACATGGCCCTGCTCCTCACCAGATTCCCTTGTTATTTTGATTTCTCGATGACTGTTCTGCTTGCACTATGAAGATTCCATACCCCCCTTGGTCGCTGTTCTAGGGGCCCAATGACTGGACATTCTGGATTTGCTCTTTTCTTCTTGGGTTGATGGGGGGTTATCCCTCTGAGAGCCTATTTTGTGTGTGTATAACATTGAAATCCACATCCTAAATTTACGATATCAAGCCATGTGTATCTTCGTTGAAGTTCCATCAATTCATGGGTATTAGAAAGGCCACAAATGTAACCATTAAATAGGTATATGCAACGAAATCAGAATAGACATGCCCTTTCTTGCCCTCTATTGATTGGAGCTCCAAGCACCCTTAAAGAGCACTGCTAAGCGCTTCGCCTCATCAGCATCCTTCAACCGCTGCTCCATAAATCCCTGCAAATCATCCCAGAAAGCATCCGTCTTCAACACCTCTGCACCACTGGGCCCGACTGCTGGCTTGGGTACCTCTTCTGGGGCGGCTTCTGGCTGGGACTCGACTGCCTCAATTACCTGTGCACCTCCAATAATCATGACACCGAACTCAACCTCTTTACCCCCGGTCAGCATCTCGGGCTCATCGGCCAAGACCTCAGCCACCGTCTTCCCAGTTCCTGGTACGGGCTTGCGGCGATATAGGATCTTGATCTTATCCAATGCTACCGGGGTTCCTTGCGCATCTGTGACACGTTCCCGGACGGCATCTTTCAGGTCTTGGACGGAGGTAGTTGTGACGGGCGCATTGGTAATAGTGAACTCGAGAGTCGGGTTCCGCGCAGATTTGACTTTGATATTGACCGATTTCGAAGCGCCGGGGGCCTGCGTCTGCTTTGTTTTCTTGGGCATCTCCGGGTGCGGGGCTTGCAAGCGGGGGAGGGTGTACTGTTCATTAATAAGAGGTATTTTAATTAGCTATAGTTCTCCTGAAAGCTCCAATTCTGTCCTTAGGTGTAAAGGAGATAGACATACCGGCACGCGCAGGCCAACTCGTTCCGGATCAAAGACATGATCAGCACGGATCTTGATGGGACGAGAGTCCAGCGAGGAGAGGAAAGATTTGGCGAATGCGAGCTCGGACATGATGGGCAGTAAGCTTAGTAGTAACAGGAAGGAAAGAATAAAGAGGTGGAGGACTGCAGGAATCGGCTGCTTGAAGGTAGATGGAGGTGCTTGAGGATCTTCTGAAGCCAAAGTTGATGATCTCCAAGCGGGACAGCTAATTGACAGCCTGATCGAGAAGGCAGCAACAGGCACTACTTTTCCTCCCGCAATGTCGCTCACCGCCTTTCTCATCGGTGGTTACTGCCCGTCTCCACCGCCGCCGAGAAAAAATGCCTAAAAAAAAGTTGCTGGGCAAACCCGCAAACCATCCAAACCAAACACGATATTCGCTATGGGAAAGGGACGTCGCATGAAGAAGCAGGGGCCTCCTGCCCCCCTGGATGAGTCCAAGATTACAATTTTGAAGAAGCGCAAGGCCGCCGAGGCTGCTGAGACCGAGGCAGCTCCCAAAGTTGTCGCAGCCAAGAAGCGTCGGAGATCCGATGCTGATGAGGATGTTGTGACGAAGAAGGATGCTCCCAAGAAGTCCAAGGTCAACGGTGCGGCCTCCAAGCTCACTGGAAAGGAGAACAAGAAGGCTGTTACAGCGAAGAAGCAGCCCGTTCCAATGTCCGACTCCGAGGATGAAGAGATGGACGACGAGTTTGGTGACCTGGACGATGTTAGCGAGGGATCATTGGATAGCCAGGATGGTCTCGAGCGCTTGTCCGACTTGGAGGATGATGAGGATGACTCGGTCCTTGATTCTGACGAGGAGGATCACCCCCGTGAGGCCATGTTCTCCGACGACGAAGACCTTTCCGATGCCGAGGAACGATTGACTGCCGCCAATATCGAGGGACTTTCTCGGAAATTGGACCTCCAGAGACAGGCTGAGGAGGAAGAGGCTGAGCAAGAATTGCAAGAGTCTGCTATGCAGACCAACATTGCCGGTGACCGCCCCGATGTCTTCGCCGACGAGACCCGACCCGATGGTCTTGCTCCGGATTTGCAGCTTCTGCGCCAGCGTATCACAGACACCATCCGCATTCTGGGTGACTTGAAGACCCTTGGACAACCCGACAAATCTCGCGTCGACTACGTCGATCTCCTGCTCAACGATATCTGCACTTACTACGGCTACACCCGATACCTCGCCGAGAAGCTGTTCAACCTGTTCACCCCCATGGAGGCTTTCGCCTTTTTCGAAGCCAACGAGACCCCCCGTCCAGTCGTTATTCGTACCAACACCCTGCGAACCAACCGTCGTTCTCTCGCTCAGGCCCTGATCAACCGTGGTGTCGTTCTCGAGCCCGTCGGCAAGTGGTCCAAGGTCGGTCTGCAGGTCTTCGAGTCTCCCGTTCCCCTCGGTGCCACCCCCGAGTACCTGGCTGGTCACTATATTCTGCAAGCTGCATCTTCCTTCCTGCCCGTCATGGCGCTGGCTCCCCAGCCCGGTGAGCGTGTTCTCGATATGGCTGCCGCCCCCGGTGGTAAGACTACTTACATGTCCGCCCTCATGCGCAACACCGGCTGCGTGATCGCCAACGATGCCAGCAAGCCTCGTGCCAAGGGTCTTATTGGTAACATTCACCGTCTCGGCTGCAAGAACACCATCGTGACCAACATGGATGCCCGTACTGCCTTCCCCAAGGCTATGGGTGGCTTCGACCGTGTCCTGCTGGACGCTCCTTGCACCGGTACCGGTGTCATTTCCAAGGATGCCGGTGTCAAGACCTCCAAGGATGAAAGCGATTTCCTCCGTATCCCTCACATGCAACGCCAGCTGCTTCTGGCCGCCATTGACTCCGTCGACCACGCGTCCAAGACTGGTGGTTACGTGGTCTACTCCACTTGCAGTGTCACCGTGGAGGAGAACGAGGCAGTTGTGCAGTATATCCTGCGCAAGCGTCCCAACGTGAAGATTGTCGACACCGGCCTCGGTGACTTTGGTAGCCCCGGTTTCGTCAGCTACATGGGCAAGAAGTTCGATGCCAAGATGGCTCTTACCCGCCGCTACTTCCCTCACCGCGAGAACGTCGATGGTTTCTACGTCTGCAAGCTGAAGAAGACTGGTCCTACCCCCATCGCCAAGCCCACCGACGACACTACTTCTTCTGCTGACCGCCACCCTCGTCGCGCCAGCTCCAAGGCTTCCTCTGCCGACGAGGAGGTCATTGACAAGACCCCCATTCTTGATGAGGATGGTGCTGCTATGGACTTTGAGGGCGGTGCTTTCGGTCCCTTCGAGGATGGTGATGAGGATGCGGAGCGCATTGCCCGTGCTGAGCGTAACCGTCTGCGTCGCAAGGGTATCAACCCTAAGGGTGTCTTGAACAAGCCCAAGAAGAACAAGGAGGAGGCATCTAAGACTGAGGCCAAGGCCGAGTCCACCCAAGAGGAGAAGAAGGAGAAGAAGGAGGACGCTAAGCCCGAAGCTGCTAAGAAGTCCTCCAAGGGAGAGAAGAAGACCGTGACGAAGGCGGAGAAGAGTGAAAAGGCCGATAAGAAGGAGAAGAAGGAGAAGAAGGCCAAGAAGGCAAGCAAATGATCTGACCCGTGAGCGTCTTTTGTGTATCTATAGCTCTGGCACGGCAAAAAGCATCTTCTTTGTGTGGGTGGACTGGCGTCTTGGACATATACCTTGTTTTTTGTTCTTGAATAGTTTTATGTTTAAAAGGTCTTCAATATCACAATCATAACATGTTTCATTCGGTGTCAGAACGGAATCTATAATTCGTAAAATGGTCTATGTCCACCAGCTTCAAGTCTTCAAGGCTGGGTGGCATGCAAGTGTATCCCAAAAAGTCCAAAACGAGGGCAAAGAAAGAAAAAAAGAGGAAAGAATGACAAACTCCAAACCTGAAAATGTAGATGTGTCTCTCGCCATAATCCCACCAAACCAACTAGTCAAACCCCACCGTTCGCTATCAATCAATGAATAGAAAAAAACCCCGCGTAGGTCCAACAAAACGAATGTCAAATCATAAGAAGAAACACCAAAAGCCGACGCGTATGTATAAACCATAAACAAACATCACACAGTAAATGCTCAAAACTCCGACATGCTTCGAAGAAGGGATAAACAGATAAAGACCAGTTTATACCCTACGTCCGATAAATCTTAATCACGCTCTTGATGGTCTTGCGACAGATTGGGCAAAGATCCACCTGCTTAGCACAAGTCACGCAAGAGCAGACATGTCCACAGTCGCAGAAGACAGCGTTCTGCTCCTCGGAATAGCAAATCTGGCAGAGATCTGCCTCCTCATCGGCTACTTCCCAGTAGCTGATGCCCTTGCCGTGGCGTTTACCATCCTTGTAACCGCCGACGTACTTGTTGCCTGTCTTCTTCTCGATGTAGGTACCTTGGCCGTGGCGAACATCTTCGACCCAGTCGCCGTCGTAGGTGTCGCCGGTGGGATACTCCATCTTGCCTTGGCCGTGGCGCCGGCCGAAGATAAAGTCTCCTTCGTAGACTGTGCCCGTGCCGGAGAAGTGCTTGCCCCGGCCGTGATAGTACCCCTTGAGGAAATCACCGCTGTAGTAGTCACTTGTGAAAGTGGCTTCGACGGTCTGGGTACCGGTGAATCCTTGGATGGGGTGTTGTCGGGACTCAGCCCACAGGTATTGGATGAGGCGATCAGGGCTGGAGAATAGACCAGAAAGGCCAAGCTCCGACCGTTTATCCTTGCTGAGCTTGTCTCCGATAATGATGCAGGATCCATGGGGGACTACAACGTCCATAAAGTTCTCTGCCGGAGATACAGTCGTAACGGTGGTTCCATCAACTCGCTTCCACATAAGGAAGTCTCGACGAATGGGCCACTTCATATGCTTGCGGATCGAGGCCTTGACATTTGACTCTAGCTTTGAGAAGAAGGAGCCCACTGTACGAAGGACCTGGTTGTCTGGGTCAAAGACTTGAATGAAGTAGTACGCGTGCCCAACGGGCAGAGCAACTGCTGGCTCCACGGAAGCCTCGACTGAAACCTGTGAGCTGGACCCAGACAGGTCTGCAGGGGCTGATGTCCGCTGATCTGCTGCACTGGTCTCTCCCACCGAGGGAGCATTCCCAACCGTAGCAACGGCGTCAGTCTCGGGAGCTGCAGTCGCTAATGGCAGCTCAGAGCTGTTTTCGCTACTGGCGCTGGACAGTTCAATGCGACCCGTGGAGATCCCAGCGCCAAGGTATCCAGAAGAGCTGGCGACGGCATCTCCATCAGCCGGGGAGGGCATCAGCTCTGGGGTGTCCAGACCTGACCGCTCAATGATCGACTCTTCCATCTTGTCCTCGGTGGCTGTCGTGGATTGGGGATCGGGAATGGCGAAGAATTTAGCATCATCTAGAGTTTGAGTCAGTTTATAATGCTCAAAAGATTTGTAGGGAATTTATGGATTCAACGACTTACCCTCCGAGATAGTTTCCATCCAGAACCGCATGGTACCACCCGACGAATCCAGCGGGACGTTGAGATCGGTGATCAGATCAAACGCTAGCGTAGATCCGCACTGAGCCCGAGTATGTCCAATATGCCAAAGACGAACACGTTCGGGGCCGATTGTCTCTCCTGCAGCAGACTTCCACATGGAAATCTTCTTGCGCAGCTCAGCTAGACGAGATGAGCGAGGCAGTGTCATGTACATGACACTGTTAGACGCCTTGGCGTGCATCATCAGGTCATAGCTATCAAACAGGCTGTTCAGGTTTTCGTACTCGGACATCGAGTAAACTTCAACCTGGACATCAGTCTTGGCCGTGTCGTTGACGGTCTGGTATACCCCAGTCTCGTAGTATTGCTTGACTGGCTCGGGTACATCCCAGGGCCCCTGGGGACCGGGGAGCAACTCCGAAACCATGTCGCTGCGGACGTACATGACATTGACGGGAACGTCGTGGCCCTTCTTGTGGTCCACGGTCTCGGAAGACTTGAGTCCGAGATGAGGACCCATCGCGGTCTTCTGAGTCAGACACTCCACACGGTTGTCACTGCCATCGTCGAATGCTAGCCACTTGGTTCCAGGACCAGCTGGACGAAGAATGCTGAAGAACTTGCCGGAAGTTCGGCGACCACGGTGAACCACGTAGCCGTAGAGGACGTACTTGGTACCTTGTCCATCGACCACGAGGGGAGCCAAATCTAATTCCTCGTCCAGTTCAACCCTGTTGAATGCCAATTGCCAACGCATTGACTTGTCCAGAGTGTGGCGGCCAAGTTCGATGTGAAGCATGGGAGGGAGAGACCACCGCCCGGGCTTGGCCTCTAGGTATTCCCTCACGGCCTGACCCGTAGACTTTGCCGAGTCGGCTCGAATGCAGATGCGAGAGTTGTACTGCGTTGGCAAGGTATTGACCACAGTGGTCCCCTCAGTCTCGGGCAGTGAGACTGGCGCTGGGCTATCAAACAGCTTGGCAAATTCCAGACCCGCCTCGGTACCAACGAGCTCCAACTCCAGGGTACGGCGCAGGCGTTCCCAAAACTCAGAGACATCGCTCGAAAACTCACGCAGGTTACGGAGAGTCGAGGTGATGGCATCGGTGTCCACGTACTGGAGAGACTGGGTCCGACGGCGCGACTGCCACAATAGCTTCTGCAAGGCATCGCACAGAGGCTTGGGCTTGACATCACAGTTTGTCAGATGTTCGAGCACGTCGACACTCTGAATAATTTTGCAGAAGGGAGCAATGTGCAGCCATGACGCTAGACCCGCCACTTCAGCACTGTGGTTAATCACCGAATCACCTAGAGGACGGTAGCCGGTCAGGGCGAGACTGTCCCACGTGGGCTCGGAGTCGCTGGGGTGCCACCAGAGAGATCGTGTCGGATCGTCGATCACCCGAATATACGCATCGAAGGCGAGAGTGTCGTTGTTCAACAAAGCCCGGTGCTGACCACGTCGACGGGTGTGAATCTGATCCCAGGGACCGTGGAAGTAGGTCCAGCCCCAGTCCAAATTGTGGGGGTTGAACTGGTGGCAGGAAGATTGCATCCATCCGGTCCGCGGCTCCTCGGGGTTATATACAATCACACCAATCTGTGCAGCCACACGCCAGGGGCCGGACGATTCTTCCTCGGTGATCTCGGACGCAGTGGACGAAGACAATGTCGTATATTTGTTCTCGTAATCATCCAACCAGGCAGTCGGCTCCTGCGTTGCGGGAGTCCTCACATCCAAGTCGGGGGCAGCCTCGTCGAGTTTCGCATCTGCCAGGCCTCGACGAACGGTGAATTCGGTCTCGGGAAGAGCCTCGTCGGGAGAGGGCATCGTTGGTGAACATTCCACATAGATACTTAATGAACCGACATTGTTTCCACGGGGGTAGAACTTGATTCTCCACCAGTAGCCGCCCACGTAGGCTGCGGGAGACCGCATGACCTTGGCGCGGTTGGGAGCATCGGGAGTACCTCGCACACCCTTGAACTTCCATGTCAGCCGAGCCTTTTCCTTGGGCACATATTCGGGGTCGTCCAAGTCCCGGAAGAAGTTGCTCTCCCAGTATGTATCTGACGAGTCGTTAGCAAGTCTTCGTCTATATCTACCTTCTATCCTTGGTCTTGGGATCCCCGGACTTGGGATGAAACCTACGGTCGCAGGCACTATAGTCTTGATCCGAACTATTGATCTCCTTCATTTCGTCGGCATCGGGGGTCGATGTGTCTTCCTCAAACTCAGCCCAATAGGCATGTTCGACCTCCTCGGCTTGTCTGACGGGTTCGGTTGGGGGTGGAGAGGGCGCCCGAGGTCGTGACTCATAGGGCATCTCTGGCTGTTCGACAACGATAGATGGGACGGAGTCGTCTGATGATTGACTGGAAAGAACTGAGGTCTCTGAAAAAGTTTGAGGTGTATTGTCGGACCCCTGGACCTGATTGATCTCTGGGACGGTGGGGACCGAGGTCGGAGGGGTGGTCAGGTCGTCCCGTGAGGGATCCATGGGGATTGTGAGGCCGAAGGGGCGAAACGAGGAACAATGGACGGGAAAAGAAGGAATGTAGGAACTGTTCAGGCTGTAAATTTCAAGTTGAGGGCAGAGTGCGTGCCCAATTGGTGAATGATCTGGTCAAGTCACTCTGTAAACCAGCGTTGGGAGCGAATGTGGAGAGATAAGCCTTATCCTGGGGGGCTTATCGGTGAGGGACCGGGGTCGTCGAGAGAATATACCGCAGTGTGTATATAGGAGATCTCTCGAGGAATTAAAGAGAGTGTATGTGATGGATTTGGAAGAAAGGAGGAGGGGAGAAAAAAAGAAAGTGAAAGAGAGAGAAAAAGTCAAGAGGCAAAAGAGTTCAGGAGAAGAGAAAAACCGTCCGATAAGAAGTCCGGGGGAGAAGAAAAGAAACGGGCCCACCGACTCCACTTGGAGTCTATTGATTGAATATTCTATTGAATAATATTCTATGGAATATTATAATATTATTCTGAATAATATTATAATCCGAATATTCCTTTTGCACGAGACCACTTTTTACACCATAATTCTCCATTGGGCATCACTCTCGTCTGGTGGACAATTCACGCGGCAGTCCTCGTGGGCGGTCCACTAGTATAAACTATGATCCTAGTATACTATACAGAGTACTACTAGTCATCAATTACGACCACCATGATAGACACTGTCCAACATAGCACATTCTACTCGATCAAATCGCGGTGAGCCCCCTCATTCTCGCCAGATCGGCCAAAGATCCACTTGGTCTTTCAGGGCAGCCAACCGATCCCAACCTTAAACCTCCTAAAACTCTTGTCCCAGTGGCAATATCCCCTCATTACTGGGTCCGGCTATACATTATTATTATCCAGCAATTGGTATATGCTGCAGTTCATGAATGTTATTATCTCTACTGAAAGGATTATTTCTTCCTCCTCGCCACCTCCGATCGAATGCCGAACTTCCTCCCTTTCCAACTTCTCTCCCTTTCAAGTGGCCCCAAAATCGCCACTCAGTCCTCCAACCCTTGCTTATGCAATCAATCCGCTTGATCGGATTCGTTGGCTTTTGCCAAGTCCCCTCATACTTTTTCATAATCTGCTAAATCCGTTGAAATCTGCCGTGCTGCCGGGCCCCGGTCTCGGGGGCTTAACCAGCCCTAGTGGTCGGCACTGGCTACCGGCCACGCGGGCAGTTCCCACCCTGTTGGCGCCAGCTGCGCGGGTCATCCTTGCACACAATTTGTCTGGTAGTGCCCACGGGTCAGTTTTCCTTGCTCACCGACAAAGGCGCAGCAGGTGCCCGTCGTATCTCTCCAAGCCCATCTGACAGAACACATGGACAAAAGTCCACTGGGCTGAGATTCATCAGATTTCGAGACTGACTGGTCCAGGCGCGTAGAATATCACACTCTCCTCGTGATTGGGCGGCTGTGGCGGGTGACACGGGACCCTGCATGCGCGCGGCAGCCTCGAGAGAGACAGATGAGATGCTTTCCCTTTCCCAACTATGGTTTTCTTTTTTTTTAATTCTGCGAGGGAGTCTGTGAGGGGGGCTCTGCCCTCGCAAAGGAAGCAGCGACGATGAGTGGGAAAGCCACGGTCGCCTCCGCATAGACCTTGACGGCTTTGGCATCGGCTTTGATCTTGCCCCAACTGACGGCTTCGTCGGGGCGAGCTCCGGCATCGCTGCCATCAAACTCCTGAGCCGTGTTCACGTAGACGGCATGCTCGGCTCCGTTGCGCATCAAACAAGCATTGGCAATATGGTGCTTGACCACACCGCCACCCAGAATGATCATTCCGGCACGAGCGGCCCGGACGGCCATGGTGTTGATGCGGCGGACATCGTCCACAATGTCCACACGCAGCCGTTGTGGGGAGGACTTGAAGGTATGGAAGTAGAGCATATCTCCCAGAGAGCCATCCGTCAACGCGGGGCAGAAGACTGGGATGTTGTTGCGGGCAGCCCAGTAGAGCACCGAGTCCTCGTTATTGATCTCCCGACCCAACCGTTCAGTGATGCGACTGGGGGTCCAGTGAAGTTCATCCTCCTCGTCACCCGTCTCCCGAGCCTTAAGCTTAGCAGCCTCTTGTTCCTCGAGCATCCGGTCCAGGATGGGGACCACCCAGTCCTCAAAGGCACAGTAGTTGTTGTTCGGCACCAGCAGATTGCCAATGCGGTTCAGTCCCTTGGCGCGTAGACCGGCACCCGGGGTGCTGAAAGAGCCCATGTACGTTGGGGCCAGACATTTAATCAAATCTTCTTCCACACCACCCGCCGTCGTCACGATGGCCGATACATGCTTATGCTTGACGAGGTACCGGAGGGTGTCTCGCAGACCGGAGGAAATGAGGTTGGAGGTGTAGCCGAGGAAGATGGTGGTCTTCTCGCCGGTTTCGGGATGACGGAATGCTCGCTGATGAGAGGAATGAGTATTAGCTCCTCTTCTCATCTCTGGGTTGAAGAGAGTGTCTCACCATCTCGTTGATGATACGGGCAGCCTCGGCGACCGCACTGCCTTGGAAGCCCATGTGAGTCATGTTCTCGACCATCTCAGCGACCGTGATATCTCGGCCCTGGAATTTATCAAAGTCCACACCACGCACTTCCTGTGCTCCCTCGGGCATGGGGCCCGAGGCGACGAGAACCGACTCGGTCGCGGAGGTGGGGGGTGCGGAAGTGCTCATTGTGTCGTATGGGAGGTGAAGAGGGAGAAAAAAAGAAAGAGAGAAGAAAGTTCCCAAAACAAGGTAAGAGATAGGATGCCAATTAGGTCGTTCCAATTGGGTGCAGAGTGATTGTGATGTGGAATACAATGTATAGTGGGGGACTCTAATTGAAGATTTGACTTTTTTTTACTTTTTGGCGGGGAAAAGCCCGTCATCGCCAGGCACCATTTCTGGACACCTCAGGCAGGAATTGTCCGAAGCATACGATAGTGAGTTCAACTAATGCTAGATGTCGTTTATTCGATTTTTATAGACCATTTCAGGGAGATACTAGTTCATCTACAGTCTAATGTTTCATGCAAATGAGAAACTACTGGCTCTTTCTTGGCCGCATCTCCATTTTGGGGCCGTCGTTTCATCTGGTTGCAGATCCTCAGAGGTCTCACGAACCCGCCAAGCTCCTCAGGAGAAGTGGAAGAGGGAGTAACTTACTTACCATAGTAAGTCATAACGATCAGATATGATCGTTAGCATTACTGTTCTGCCATACATCCGAAATATTGCCCAAATATACCTTCTACTCCAATTAATGTATAAAATAGACAGAAGTATACTTCCAGCCCGATGGAGTCGTCTAGATCCCCGTGCAGGCGTCGTGCACGGACCCCCGGTCCCTTTTCCACCTTCGATCCTTCGATTCTTCAGTTCGTCAATCCTCCGCTTCCACATCTTTGCAACGTAGTAGTAGACCTGGATAACATTAGTTGATCCAATTCAGCTCATTTGTCCCAAGCTAAATGCTTTTCCAATCCATCATCCCATTAAATCTGATTGGAAATTTCCCCCCAAAAGCCCACCTTTAAACCCCCTGCCCGATCGGGGCATCTTCACGTGGCCCGTGCTGCAGATCACGTGTGCCCCCGTTCCGTTGGCTCTCAAGAGGCTGCAAGTTGGAAAGTTGAAGATTACAGACATCCAACATCCCCCCATTGACAATCCTTCCCCCCCCCCCCCCAAGAACCCCGGATATTACACGCCTAATCTCAGCCATTTCAATACTCCCAACTTCATCATCCCCCCCCCCCCCTCTCTTTCGCAACTGATTACGCCTCTTCAATACTCCAGGTCATCTCAGAGCATGACCTGGTAATGTCGTCTCGATTTCCCCCTTCGTCCGGGTTTAACTCCCGCGACCGTTCCCCTCAACGATTCGGGGATCGTCGCCAACCCGGTGGTCCCCGTGGCCTTGACGACGGGAGTCCTTCATTCGGTAGAGAGCCCCCGCGCGGTCCTCGTGCCCTCGTCGACTCCCCAGGTCGAGGCGGCTCCTTTGGCGCCAGTGATCGCTTCGGTGGAGGTGGAGGCGGTGGCCGAGGACGAGGTTATGGCCGCGGCGGTGACTTTCGAGACAGAGATCGAGATCGAGACCGCGACCCAAGAGATCGGGAGCGCGACTTTCGAGATACGCGAGATGGACCCCCGTTCCGGCGCGATGTCGATCGCGACTATGGTGGTCGCCGAGACCGTGAGTTCGATCCCCGAACGGATCGTATAGGCTTTGGTCGAGGTCGCTCCCGTTCGCCGACACGCGACTTTCGTGATATAAGAGATCCTCCCGGCCGCGATTTCGACCTGGTGCGCATGCGACGTAACTCTCGGGATAGTATCCTGTCGGCGTCGTCTGGAGGCCCAGATGGTCCTCCTTCAAACGGTGGTCATCCTCATGTTGGTGGCCCGATTCGCGGCCGTGGTGGCCGTGGCGACTGGGAAGGAGGTCGAGGACGTGGTCGTGAGCCATTCCGCCGTCGAAGTAGGTCTCGTGATGGTCGTCTTGGCTGGCCGGGTCGCGGACGACCCTCTATTTTAGATCGTGACCGCGAAAGAGATCTGATCGATCGTGACCGTCCCGTTGATCGTGAGCGCGAGCGTGTACTTGACCGAGAGCGGGAGCGGGATACTGTGCGGGACCGAGAACGTGACCGAGAAATGGACCGGCGTGATCGATTTGAGCGAAGAGACGACTGGGAAGTTCGACGTCCAGATCGTGAGGATCGTGACCGGCCGCTGGAGCCTTGGAAACGTGATCTTCCTCCTAGCAGAACAGACAATCGTGGCTCCATCGCCTCGACTGTTGCCTCTACGTCCAATGCCATCGCGGTGACGGGTCCGACGGTACCAGATCGGTTGTCTGAACACGAACCCACTGAACAAGTGTCCCGAAAAGCATCGATCATCTCTGGACCCTCGACAACGGAACTTCGACGTGATAGTGATCGACCAGAGCCAGCCCCCGTTCGATTTGAACCTCCCAAGGATGCGGGACTTCTTGGTCAGCAGTCTCCTCCCCCTCTGCTCCTCAAGTTCCTGCCTTTGGGTCCGTGTCTGCGCCTATTCCGGCCGTTCTCCCCGCCAAGCCACCGTCTGTTGATGGTCGGACGACGAATGAGCCACCTGCCTCTGCAGAAAAGGATCGACAGCCTTTCCAACCACCCACTGGCCCGAAGGCCGAGAGAAGCCAGTCATTGCAACCAGTCGAATCTCGCATACATTCATTCGATGGCAATCACCGCCAGGAAGAGGCGGCTCGTGCTGCCAGAGCGTCTACTCACCTGTCTGACCGATCCCCGCCAACCGCCCCTGCTGCAATGGCAAAACGCGACTCGATTTCCGGAAGTGTTGAGCAATACGCACCTGGGAAACCTAACGTAGTCACTACTTCTCCGACCTTTGCTCGACTTCCTCCACCTGCTCCTCGAGCGCTCTCCAGAGATCCGTCAATTTCTCCTCGGATGCAATCCTCGAGCATCCCAACTGGGCCGCGGGCGTACCAGCGGCGGCCAAGCTCATCACCGCGTGGTGGTGGTAACAAAGGGATCAAATCATGGGGCCGTTCTAGTTTTGGTCGTGCTCCCTCCGTACCAAGTGCACCCAAGAAAGAGCCCGAGGAGCATGAGGGGAAGATACCCGCAGACGACAAGTTGCATCAGGACGTGTTGCCTGCATCGACACCTGCTGCAGAGGAGCCAAAGGCCGTCAAAGATGCTGCACCGGAGGCAGTGAAAACAACTCCCCCGCGCCGCAGTTCCATGGAGCTTCCCATCCGAAGTAGTCCACAGCCTGTCTCTTTCACAGAGGTTAGCCCGACGAGAGAAAAGGAAGAAATGGTTAAAAAAGACTCCACACGGGTTCCAGATGTTGCACGAACCAGTGACGACCGTGAAGCAGATGAAGAGAAAGAGAAGGATCCAGACACAGAGATGGAGGTTGATGAAGAGGAAGAGGAAGAGAATGTCGTTTTCACCAAAGAGTACTTGGAAGAGCGAAAGCAGACCTTTGAAAAGGAAATGCAGTCTCTGCGGTCTGAACTGCCTCTCTCGCCATTGGAAGATCCACACATCGTGTCTCTTTTGCTGAGAATTCAGATGCTTGGGAAAATTGCCCATGAAGAGCAAGTCGAGAAGCCCACCGCGCCCATCCCATCCGTGGAAGAGGAAGAAGAGCAGTCGACTGTCCCAACTGAGGAGAAAGTGGTTTCGTTTGCCCCGACGGTCCTTGATCGCGATTCAGAACCCGTTCCCCTCACGGTTGTCCCCCCAATTGCAACTCGCGATGAAATCACCGTCGAGAGTCTGCCATTCTTGCATTCGGGGCCTCCCACCCCCATTTCCGATCTGGAAGTATGCCATGAGAATAATTCCACTCAGGAGCGCCTCAAGGATATGATCCAGAGCGAGCTTTCCAGGCGGCAGAAGGAGGTTGCGAAGAAAAACGCTGGGCTTCGAGAGGAGTACATGTCTTATTACAAGCGTTGGCGATTGGACGTTTGGGAAATGGATCGACTGAAAGAGAAGAAGCCCATGACACCGGGTCCTGCTTCCCCTCCGGCACCGCCCGTTCCCACTCCTCCAGTGGTCGTTCCCGAAGGTCGCGAAGGTCGCGAAGGTCGACGGTACAAAGGAAACAGCGAACTTGATTTCTTGAATGCATTGAAGGCATCAGAGATCTCGGCCCAGGAGGAGCTTGAACGCCGACGAACCAAAATGGCGACTGCTCGACCCGACTTGGCCCGCGAAGCAGTGATTCCGGATATGCTGGAACCCCGAGAAGTGAAAGCAGGCATTTACAAGGATGTCAACAACACCATCGAAGCAAGCCATGCGATGGAAGTGTTTGGTTTCCTACCACCACCCAATGACTTCACTCCCGAGGAGCATCAGTTGTTCACAGATGCCTTCATGGCGTACCCGAAGAAATGGGGCAAAATCGCAGACTCTCTGCCTGGTCGTGATTTCAAGCAGTGCATCATTCACTACTATCTTACCAAGGAGGAGATCAAATACAAGGCCAAGCTGAACAAACGCTGGAGTCGACGAGGCAGAGGAAAGGCGCGGTCGTCTCGACCAAAGTCCAATGCTCTCATCGCCGATTTGGGAGTCGTCAAGCCTGACTTTGACGGTGAAGACGAGCAGCCTCCTCCTGTCACCGACACTGGACGCCCTCGGCGTGCGGCAGCACCCACCTTTGGTGATTCCAACGAAACCGAAGGCACCGCCACCGGTGGTCGCCGTGGTCAATCTGCCAAAGATGGCGAGCTCTCCGATAAGCCCGTCGTTCGGCGTGGCGGACGTACTGCTGGTGCCCGTACTCAACGACGGGGTGCCAAAAATGCCCAACCAGATTCAAAAGCTCAGACCCCCGTGCCCCCGAGCAATCCTCCTCTTGCTGCGGCTCCCAAGGTTGAACTGGCCATGGACGGAATGATGGAGGCCCCTTTGCCACAGGAAAAGGAAGTTGTGGAGAAAGAGGCTCCACCACCCGTCCCGCGCCCCCGAGCTGGTCGTGGAAGAGCAAAGGAAGGGGTGTATATCTTCGAATCCACGGAAACCGAGCCAACCATGGCGACGCCCAAAGCTTCAGAGAGTGGCTATGGGTCTCTTCAACCGACCAGTTACTGGTCCGTGCCTGAGCAGCGTGATTTCCCACGCTTGCTAGCACACTTTGGTCGTGACTTTGAGGGCATCTCGAATTTCATGAAGACCAAGACGACGGTGATGGTAAGAATTGGAAAAAAACCTTGTGTAGTCGATTTCTTAATTTACATGACTAACATGATTCATGCAGGTGAAAAACTACTTCCAGCGACGTCTTGACTCTGGGCAGAAAGATTTCGAAGAGACTGTGGTGATGGCAGAGGAAAAGAAGGCTCGCGGTGAACCAACAGGTCCTCTTCCAGTCCCCAGTGTCGCTCCAAAGCGCCGTTATGAAGCAACTCCATCGGCCATTGTTCCACGCCCGCTTGCTCCTCATGGCGAGCTGATGCCTGAGACGGAAGATGGTCGGTTCCCCTCAAAGGGCAAGCCCATTGCCATGTCACCTCAACCTATGCCATTGCACGGTCGACCCATGCCTGAAGGTGAACGAACTCCCAGTCGTTACGCACCACTTGCGCAAGCTTCGACTGCAGCAACAGCCCCATCCGTTGCTGCTACTCTCGGTGAGGATGCTTCTCGGGCAATGCGTACACAGGCTCCGTCCTCTCGCATGCCAGGTCCTCGTCTTGGATTCTTTACTGATGAACGTCGCGATTCGGCGATTCTACCAGCCACTGGTCAGCGTACTCAAGAAATGCAGATGCCCTCGCGTCATCCTGCGGGGGCGGGCATGCCCCAAGACCTGGGCCGAATGGATCCTTTATCCTCACAGGCTTACATGCCTGGGCAACCACCAACATCTCTTCTACCTCATTCTCATTCCCACTCCCGCCATACCAGCCTCACCCAGGCCCCCGGGTCGCCATCGCAACTCTCACGGCCAGAGCTTGACATATCCTCGGTTCATCGCGATCCATTCGCACAAAGGGCTTATTATTCGCTGCCGGGACAATCTGGAATGTCCCATTCCCCTCGTCCAGGTCTTTCGCCAGTCAAAGATGCTCCGCGTCCTAGCGCGACACCGGTTCCCGAGTCAACCCCTCGACAGGTACCTGCGAAGCGTTCAAACATCATGAGCATTCTCAATGACGAGCCTGAAGAACCTCAGCCACGGAAGCGGTTTGCTAGTGAGGTCCCTCCTGGCCCTGGCCCTTTATCTGCGTCAAGGTCTGTCTATCAACCCGGTGAGTCCGCTCGTCTTGAGGATGCAGGCATGTCTGGGTCTGGACAGAAGCCTTCAACCTATGGTCAACCAAATCCGTACCAAACACCGTCTCGTGGATATCCAGAGTACGGCAATTATGGGCCCCCTCAGGGTGGCTCAGCTACTTCGGCAAACAACGACTGGATGGCGCGATTCGATCCCAGAGCGCAACAAGGAGGTCCACCAGCACAAGCTCAGCCGCCGCCTCCTCCACCTCAATCATCACAGAACGGTCGTCCAGTCTCGTCACTTGCTGCTCAAGGCTCCTACGGACACTATGCATCCGCACAACATCAACATGGTGGGCCGTTGAGTGCCATGCCTGTGCCATCTCCCGCACCTACTCCACCACCGGCTGGCTCTCAGCGATCTGCGTACCCCAGCGTCTTCTCGCAGCCTGGTGCTCGTGAAATGGCCCCGCAACCCTCGGCGTACCGACCTTCGTCGCCTCCTCCGCGACCCAGCACTGTTGCATATGGCTCCCGTCCAGAGCCACCTACGCCAGCTCCGTCATCGAGCAACCTCTTTGCTATGGCACCTCGTCAACCTGGATCGCAACCTTCGTACTCTCCTGCTGCTCCGTCTTCCGCGGCAACGAGTCAGCAACACGGTCAAAGCTATCAACAGCACGTCCAAACCCTGGTTAATGGTTCCCACCAGCCACATCGCTCAACTCCTGTCGGGTTGGCTGGTGGCCCTCCACAATATGGACACAACACTCCTCCACCGCAGGCCCAGGGCCGATCGATGCCATCGCTGGCAAACCTTGGACGGTCTTACACTCCTCCATTAGCCATGCACCCTGGTGGTATGGGCTACGCGCAGCCACCACCCTCGGCTTCCGGTGGGATTCCACCTTTACATCAACGACCACCGGGCCCGGGTGAGCCTCCCGTTCACACGCCAGGTCATCACCGTGTCTACAGCCAAGGTTCGGCTCAAGGGGGTCTACCGGGTTCATTGCATCCGTCGCAGCCGCCTCGCTAATTCTCTAATGCTGGATGAGCTGGTCTCTGGTGGCTATGAACAGTACATTGGTTTCCGCATGGACAGGATCAGCTGCACATATGGAGGGAGTACAGTCCTCTCTTCGGTGTCTGTTTTGTTTGATTTTTTTTTTCCTTTTTGGTCCATGAAACTCGGCGTGGATACGTGATTGTTCCATATGTATAACTAGATGAATGACTTGATGTATGCCATGTTCAAATATTTTGCTTTTATTTCTGTGAATCTATCGTAATCATGTGTGATGTGAATCCAACAAGTTCCTGTCGAGGTAAATGACCTCCCATAATTCGTATATCCTCTTCTATCGATCTAATTGATTCATGTGGCTGGGCAAGTTCCATGGATCATAGTCCAAATGTACAAAAGCCCGATCCACGGTCGGAACACTTTCCAGAATGTACTGTAAACTCTCGCCAACATCATGACTGTCGCGTAAACTGGTTCGCTCATCCACGACCAAGTCAAACTCAACATTCAGCTTGTCGCCCGCATAGTACGCCTTGAGATCCTGGATCTTCTGGATCACTCGGGAGAAACGCATCGTCATGTACAACAGAATACTGTGGTCGGTAGCCGAGGCAGCTGCGCCTGTGAGTCGTTGGATATACTCACTTGCCGTCTGGCCCCAGTTCCACATGATGTAGATTGAGAGGAGGAGACCACCCAGGGGGTCGAGGAACCAAAGACGGGCGAAAGAACCGACTAGAATGGTTAATTTGAGTCAGATAGGAATGATCAGGGCTAGCGGATACATACTTAATGGAAAGATGATGCTGAACGTGTTGAAAACAACATCAGTCATGGCATCTTGAGCCAGAACCTGGACACTGGGACTCGGAATGAGACGGCACCAGATCCAGCACAGCAATTTGATGACCACGGTTGACGCCATCAGCACAATAGAGGGAATTGATAGTTCGACAAGTGTATGATCGTCACCGGTCAGCTTATTGATAGACGATAGTCCAACTTGGAAGAAGGACGTGACCATAATGACGGAGAAAACCAGCACACTCAATGGCTCCAGACGCCGGCGACTAATTGGAAACCGTCGACGGTCTTGAAGGCGGATCAAACTGGTCGTCACCCAGATGATCACTGTGCTGAGGAAATCAAGTACTCCATCGACGAGGCCTGCTAACACGGACATTGAGCTAGTCAGGACCATGATGGCTACCTTTGAGACAAGCAAGATGACGTTTGCAACGAAGTTGATGCGGATGGCAATGTTGACCAGGCGTTCTTCTGCTTCTGGAGACAGGCCCTGGTGATGGTCAAGGTCGGGCATTGTATGGTGGGAACAATGCTCTCCTTCCGTCTCTTCTGTTGGTGGGAGCAATGGGGCTGTCTCGTCGGGTATACGGTAGAGGTTATGCGGGGTGCGCTTGATTCTAGCAGCTCTGGAATTCGCCTGGGTAGGAATTTTGGGCGCATTCTCGGTATCGCTAGATAAAGGACGGCCATTGCTCGTATAACTGTCCAAGTGATGGTGGCAGTCGGAATAGTCTTCGATCAGATTGTGTGGGAGAGAGGAGTCGAGGAGGCGATCGATGTAGAGATACTGGGAGATTAATTCGTTGTTTCGTTCATAGTACTGTCGACTATGGGTAATTTAGTGATGTGTTTAAGGATGTGAATGGGAGAATACGGCATACATTGGCTTGCGGAGACCCTTCAAGGAATCTGGTGGTCGATAGTAACGTTGCCTATAGCGAAGAGAGCAATGGTTAGAATTACTTGGATGTAATGGAAGATATCACGGTAGCGGGTCTAGCCGTGACTACACTCTTCATGCTGGGCATGTTATAACGGGGAGTTGAGATGATTCTGTATGATGCGATACGATGGATGTTTTGCATATGATATGCGCATACCATCTGGACCACCGGAGCAATGACATCATCGCCATAACACGCACCATTCATATCGAGCATTGCTATGTCCAATTAACTGCGATCCCCGCCGGAGAAAGGTCGGCGGCTCGGTTACATTCTGTTCAAGGTCTTGCAGTGCCGAGCTGGATAGTCGGCTTGGCAACAGTGACAGAATGCGCTGGCCGCGAGTAGATAGGATCTCGCGTTCGGGATCGAAACTAGGGCACCGCGGGATTAATCGCGGCGACTCGGGAGGTGAAGAGAGCGGAAGGAAATGTTTAGAAGACATGATGTCGGTTCTCCAATTCCTCCTACGGTTCGTACGCCCGATTCAATGTTTGGAATGAATGGTGATGATGTTGAAGCGAGGAACCGGAGGGAGTGGCTGAGACGCGGAGACTGTATGCCTGAAGGGTCAGGCATCAAGGAACATCAGGCTCGAAGTACCAAAGTATATCGAAGATGGGATTTGGAGAAGTGGCAGAATTATGGAGATTATCCTAGCGATATATTAATATCATGCTTAGATATTAAAGGATCGGCTTAGCATCTGGAATGAAACCTAGACATACATTTGCTTCCAGCCACCTTCTGCAGCCAGAGCGGGGTTGATGCTTGAGAGCCTCGCCCCCACTGTCATACTGAACTACTGCTAAGATATTATACTTCCTCAAACACCTCTGAAAATGACCAATCATCTTAGTCAACCCACTAACGACTTCCTCTGATGGCCGCCGAAAATGACTCCATAGTGGGAAGTCCTCCTGGCAACAACCATGTTCCACGCCGCCCAGAAATTGCCTTCATCTCGGGGCCCATCGACACTGGACTGAATGAGGTCTATTTTCACACTCATTACGTCCCTCGCATTCTAAAAGCTATCGAAAATGGCCACAACTTTGTCATTGGGCCCATTCCGAGCGGCGTCGATGCCGATGCCCTGGACTATCTACTCGCCTACCCTATCGTCCCTAGTCGCATCACCATCTTCGTAACGCCCGCGGAGGAGAATATGTTCGGGCCACGATTTCGCGCACTATCAGTCAACTTACATGTCGTTGAGAGCCAGATGACTCAAGAACGCGATGCGGCCATGACACAAGCCAGCACGTATGACATCCTACGGGCGCGGACCCTAGAGGAGGCAAAGGAATTCTACGGCGGGATGACTCGTCCTGGATATGTGACAAATACGGAGCGCAATTGGCGAAGACGGAGAGGTATTGGGGAAGACTCTTTAATCAGTGCAGAAGAGATCAATTGCTCCATGGGGTATCCGGCGTCGGAGGTCCTAGTATCTCGACCGGAGGGGAAGAAGGGGGTCTTGGGACAGTTGAAGCAAGCATTGAAACGTCACCGATAGACGAGAATCAGAAGTGTGAATAGTTGGTTTGATACATGTACAGGGCATTCTAATTGTATAGGTTTTGTTATGATGTATTTTTGGCCGAGGTTACTTGAACTGCTTCTTGGTCAGATAGAAAAAGTCAGCAATAATACTTCCCCATAAAGAACTTGCCATATGTACTACACAGCTAACAGGGATTACAAATAGAACACAATTGGTATTGCCTCTTCAGATAGGGTATGGCACGACCGGGCATCACCTCAGCATGTACCGGTGGCATTGACAATAGAAGAAAGAACCAAGGACAAAAAAAACAAGACAAAAAAAGACAACTCTCCCTCGGGGAATCGAACCCCGGTCTCCCGCGCTTATCAAAGTTAATGACAAGCGGAAATCATGACCACTAGACCAAGGAAGATAAAGAATTGATCGAGTTGATGCTCAATCACTTGGTGCTGTCAATCGTCCCCGGGAAGGCTCGAACTTCCAACCTCCTGATTAACAGTCAGACGCGCTAGCCGATTGCGCCACGGAGACGGCTTATTGTTAATGATGCGAATTAAATGGCACTATCTTCTTATTCAATTATCTGAGCTAATGGATTAGGCAATGACCAGTCGATGTCATGGAATGATCTAACTTGATCTTTATATAGTTAGTTAGTAGGGGCTCAACGCCTTAGAGATTGGTCTCTGCTTTATTTCTGTGGTAGGCTACTGGGTTGATTACGCCATTTTTCTTCCTGATATTGCACGCCAGCGCCACTCTCGAAGATGAGATGGAAAAGCTGCTCGCTTTAACGAGTGGCGCCTCTTACTTTTTCTTGTTTAGTGCACCTCTAGAGGGTGGAAAGGATATATTGCTGAGGCTCGGAAAGCCGTCCGCAACGGGATATGCTTTGAGCAATTGGCCTGTTTGGCTTCGCTTGGACATGGGGCCGAAATACGCCTAGTTACATGGGTTCCAATTTTAGATTGTTTTAGTATCTTGTGTGGGCTTAGTTCTTTTAGATCCGATCTTCTTGGAAGTGGTATGGGTTAAGTACCTAGGGATACATGTGCAGGCATTTATATTTGCCTAGTACATTTGGCTGGGTGGTACCTACGGGTACCTCCTCCCTATATATATTCCCAACCTAACAGCTAGGGAAAATACCTACCTACTAGGTGCGATAACTTAAGAAACTTTGCCAATGTTGATTTCCAGGAACCAGGCTTGGAAGGACTTCCTCTTCTTTTGAAAGCATTCCACGGAATTGTTAGAAATGCTACACAACGACTGGGCCATGGCACTGAGAAGAAGCGAAGACATTGCGATGGCTTTTTCGAAATGCCTTGATAAATGTGGAATTTGATCATTAGCAATCTGACGGTGGTATATAGTCCTACCAAAATCTAGCAATAAAATTGTTAATATCTATAGTCACTCATCTACGTGTATGTTGTATTCGTCCCCGCAAACTCGGAACTTCGGGTGTTTCCCCGCGTTGGCCAAGTTGGCCGTTATGGGCGGAACGGGGATTCCGCAGATTTCCATCTTCTCTTTGACTCTTCTGGAGCTCCCACTGACAAGACAACAACAATTATCCTGTGCCGGGAGCCGACCCGAAATCAGGGTTTAACGATGCCCTTGTTCCCAGTGACGCTGCAAGGGGCGGGAATGACATTCCGTCCCTCCGCAGTGGATCCCTTCAATGCGGGCAAGCCAGCAACCATGCCAATTGCCCAAATGGCTGAATTTACGCCTCGCTCTGACTGGTTCTCCGCTCCATGACATGCAAATTGATCGTCTTGCCCCGGCGATAGCCAGACCTGCATAGCGGGAAGACGCCGCCCCTAGGCTGTGCACTCATAAGAGAGCTTCCTGCCCCTCTTCCCCTAGCGACGACATCGACTCTGTTTCCCATACTTTGGCCCGCCATGACCGTTCAAACACTCGCCATCGCCGTCGTCACGGTGGTATACTTCATCATCCGCTACTTGAACCGTACGGATGTCCCCAAGATCAAGGGTCTGCCGGAGATCCCTGGTATCCCCCTCTTTGGCAACTTGTTGCAATTAGGCGACCAGCACGCTCAAGTCACGGCCAAATGGGCCAAGAAGTATGGCCCTGTCTTCCAGGTGCGCATGGGTAACAAGGTAAGTGTTTTGCAATTTCATAATTCATGTTGAAACCTAGATCATTGGCTAACACGCGACTAGCGCATCGTGTTTGCCAACAGCTTTGACTCGGTGCGACAGCTATGGATCAAGGACCAGTCTGCCCTCATCTCCCGCCCGACTTTCCACACTTTCCACAGCGTTGTCTCTAGTTCGCAAGGTTTCACGATCGGTACTTCCCCTTGGGATGAGTCCTGCAAGCGTCGCCGTAAGGCGGCGGCGACTGCTCTGAACCGCCCGGCGACTCAGTCATACATGCCCATTATCGATCTGGAAAGCAACTCTAGTATTAAGGAGCTGTACCGCGACAGCAAGAACGGCACTGTGGACATCAACCCTACCGCATACTTCCAGCGATTTGCTCTCAACACCAGTCTTACTCTCAACTATGGTTTCCGTATCGAGGGTAATGTGGATGACCAGCTTCTGAAGGAAATTGTCGATGTCGAGCGTGGCGTATCCAACTTCCGCAGTACTTCGAACAACTGGCAGGACTACATCCCGTTGCTGCGCATCTTCCCCAAGATGAACAACGAGGCCGAGGAATTCCGAGCCCGACGCGACAAGTATCTGACTTACCTTTTGGACATGTTGAAGGACCGTATCGCCAAGGGCACCGACAAGCCTTGCATTACGGGTAACATTATCAAGGATTCCGAAGCTAGGCTGAACGATGGTATGTCAAACGGTGAAGCCGACGAGTGGTTTCGTTTTCTGCATTTTGAAAACTGGAAGCTGACATGATTTCTAGCTGAGGTAAAGTCTATCTGTCTGACTATGGTCTCTGCTGGTCTCGATACCGTCCCTGGTAACTTGATCATGGGTATTGCTTACCTGGCCTCCGAGGATGGCCAGCGAATCCAAAAGAAGGCCCACGATGAGATCATGCAAGTGTATCCCAATGGCGATGCTTGGGAGAAATGCTTGGTCGAGGAGAAGGTTCCCTATGTCACTGCTTTGGTCAAGGAAACTCTGCGATTCTGGACTGTCATTCCTATTTGCTTGCCCCGTGAAAGCACCAAGGATATTGTGTGGAATGGAACCACGATTCCCGCCGGTACTACCTTCTTCATGGTATGTTAGATCTTTGTTGCTATGCGAAACCTTCACTGGCTAATCTTTCTTTCAGAATGCCTGGGCCGCGGACTACGATGCTGAGCACTTTGCCGAGCCCGAAAAGTTCATCCCCGAGCGCTACTTGGAGCTCGGCGAGGCATCTGGTACTCCCCACTATGGATACGGTGCTGGCTCTCGTATGTGCGCTGGCTCGCACCTGGCCAACCGAGAACTTTACACGGCGTTCTTGCGTCTCATCACTGCATTCAAGATGCACCCCGCCAAGGTTGCTGGAGATCGCCCTATCCTGAATGCGATTGACTGCAATGCTATTCCCACGGCCCTGACTACAGAGCCTAAGCCTTTCAAGGTTGGATTTACGGCTCGGGATCCCAAGAAGTTGGAGCAGTGGATCGCCGAGAGTGACGAGCGGACGAAGGATCTGTGATTCTAGATGTGCCTTGACGACTACATGCATTTCTTCTTGTTACATGACCTGCATTGTGGAAAAATATTGGATCTTACCTTTTTTGTATATAACATTTTGAGAAGATTGAAGGGGATTATTTGGCATGATTGTAAAAAGTTACGGTGCAATTCTGCCAGCTTATGAAGTCAATGAAGGACAAAAATACCTTTCCCTCCCATATTGTATGGTATTTAATTGTATGAATGTAGAATACATAATTGGTACCTGACCAACGGTGAAGCTTCCATTTGGTGTGAATTGTGGAGAAAAGACGCCACTCGCCTGCCAAGTCTGGGGGCTCGCGGAATCCCCCGCACTTTTTGTCCTTCTTCCACCTCGAAATAACACACTAAACTCTTCTCTCCCCCCCCTGCAACCCTCTAACACTCCTTAGTGTGCCGAGATGGATCTACTGCAAACATCGGCTGTCGACAGCTGGGAGCATCCCCCCTCAATAGACGAGCAACAGGAAGAGCCTGCTGAGGAGCGTCCACGGAAGAAACGCCGCAAGTATATTGCTCGTGCTTGGTATGTCCCCCTTTTATTCAGACAGCCATCGTACTCGGCATCGACTCATTGTACCTTTGTGAGCAGCAATGAATGCAAGCGCCGCAAAATCAAATGTAATGGCCAAGCGCCCTGCCATCGATGTGGTCGACAGCACATCGAATGTGTCTACCTGGAGAATCCTCGACGCGAAAGCTTCGGGGAAAACGAGTATGAATATCCTACTGAGGACAATATCCACGGTCGGAGATTGATGATTTGGTTTTTTCCAGGCATTTTGAGCGACTCTTTGACCAGATGAAATCCATGCAAGATCAAATTAGCTCGTTATCGGCGACGGTGCGGTCAATGGCCCACGGCGAGAGCCCGTCCATTGGCGGGACTCGTTCCAGTGTGGTCGGGCCAGCGACGGGGTCGTATGGACTCCTACCAACTCAGCGTCCCTTGCGACGCGTCTCGACCGTCAGAGAGGCTCCCTTTCAAGGCCCAACCACCTCGGGATTCAGTTTCGATCTTGCCAAGTCTAGCTTGCTTCAACGGGGTATTGTGGAGCGAAATGATCCCGGCGAAGAAGCCGAGGGGGATTTGACTCAGGAGCCCTCGCCTTTGGCTTCACCGTCTGCCCCGAATAGGGACTCGGAGCTGCGTCATGCAGTGGATCCGCTTTGGGCGCTGCCAAAGAATGAAGCTCTGCGATTGTGTCAAGTCTACGAAGAGGAAATGGGGATCATGTATCCGGTGCTGGAACTCTCGGAGCTTCTGGAACAGGTGCATCTCCTCTATGGCTTGATGGATCGTACTGTCGATCCCGGTGTACAGACAAACGGCAAAAATGTACTGGACCGAGAAGATGTCTATATCCTTCGATTGGTGTTTGCGTGCGCGTTGACGGCCGAGGCCAGTGGCCGCAGTGAACAAGCCATTGCCCTGTTTGACAGCGTGCGAGAGGTCCAGGACAATTGCGTGTGGGGTCCACCAGAGATAAAATCAATCATTTTTTTGACCCTTGTGGTAAGTTTAATTGTGTCTGTATTGGGACGACCACGGAACTAATATACTGACTGCACGATAGTCCATATTTTACTTCCAAATGGACGAAGAAACCCTCGCATGGCGAACGATTGGAATTGTGGAGCGCATGTGTCTAGAGAAAGGCCTCCACAGACGAGAAACCCTTAACCAACCCGGAATTGTGGCTGCAGGCAGAGATCGAGTCTTGCGACTATTCTGGTCGATTTACATTCTCGACATGCGCTGGAGTTTTGGCACCGGCATGCCATTCGCCCTGGAAGACACGGATATTGACCCGTGGCTCCCAGAACCTGAAGAAAAGACACCATATCTTCGCGTGATGATTAGATACAGTCGGATCGCTGCAAAGGTCTGGAAGTTCATTTCTGCCTTCAATAATACGAACGAGATCAAAAAGGAAGAAATGAATTATTTGGACTGGCAGGTACTGCGATGGGCCCACGCGATCCCCGACTCCTTGCGACTGGATCACCCAAGCACACCCGAGTCTCAGGCTGCAGCCGATGGCCCTCGCAGTTTACGCAGACTACGAGCATTGCTCTATCTGCGGGCCAATCAACTGCGTATGCTGATCTATCGTCCCGTCCTGCACACAGCAGGTCATATCGTCCGATACCCTAGCGAATCAGAGGTGGTGGTTGAAATCGCAAAAGATACGATCCGATTCATCACCCGACTAAATGAGACTTCGGATATCTACCAGCTCCAGCAGGTGGCCTTTAATTGGTTCTTGGTATCGGCTTTGGCGGTCTTATTCCTTGCGGTTGCACAGGCACCGACTCAGTTTAGTGGGTCATGCAAAGAAGAATTCTACTGGGCTTTGGAGCTCGTGAAGGGTTTCTCGACAAAGTCTTACATCTCTCGCCGTCTGTGGAAGTCTATTCGAAGCCTTCGGAGACTCGGCCCTCAATTGGGGCTGGTCGGTGCTCAGAAGCTTCGACGAGGAAATCCAGTCGCCGTCGAACCTGGTCCTCCCGGTCCACCTCAATTACAAGAATCACCTGTTCCAGTTGCGGGCTCTAGTAGCCAGAGCCAGACTCCTCTGGATGGAGCGCAGATGACACACGAGCTGATGGAGTGGTTTGAAGCAGTGGGAAATCTCGAGGATCAGATTATGGGAGTTGGCCCTGGTCCGATGCCGGATGATGCTCCGTGGCAGCAGATGCCAAATGGAGCATTTATGTTCGATTACGGAGAGGAATTGTCCAGCGTGATGAAGGATTGTTTCTAAATAGACTATCGTCATTTCATGATCAGTCGTATGTAGAATGGAATGATAGATTTGGCTATCCTTTCGGGCCTGTGATCTCTTTCTCCATCTGTCTTTCTGCTAGATGATTCCTGGTCGTAGTTTGTCCAGATCGTCTGACGTCCAGTCCGTTACAAGCATATGGCCAGGCTCATGAGCGAAGACTAGCCCCTTGATCCGGTCGCCAGCAGCCTCCACTGCCATCTGTGGTGTCACACCACAAGCCTAAGAGCAAGATGTTAGTGATAAGCTCACAATACCGAAAGAGAAAAGAATCGAGCTTACCCAGAATACTGGCACTTCCCCCTCTTCAAAGACCTGCGGCTCCCCAAAGTCTGGCTTATTGATCTCCTTGATCCCCAATTGCTTTGCCCCTTCCCATCCCCAAGCAACCGGTTCCCCGTGGGTCGACAAATACGGGCGAGTCACCTCTCTTACTCGGTCGATCTGATCTAGCCGATAGGGACGCATGGACACGATGCAGTTACCACCCGTGAAAACACCCGCAGGTAGCAGCGGTATATTTGAGCGATACATCGCGACAATAGTACTAGTTCGTTGATGGCGTGGTTGCAAGCCCGCCACGGTCAAGGCATCTTCAAAGGAGAACGAACATCCAATCAAGAAGCCGACATGACTAGAAGTCCATACATCGAGGAGATCCCGTCGACTCTCGAGATATTTCCCGTTCTGGTAGATGCGATATTGTGGGAAATCCGTGCGAATGTCAAAGTCTGCCGATTGAATGCACTCGGAAGGTTGGACGGTGCGTGCATCTCCGGGGGTAGGTGTCTTTCCCAATAGTGGACACGAGACTGGATTGCGAAGGCAAAGATCGTGAAAGTCTGTTGCGTGTTGGGCTGGTAGAATTAACAAATTGGCTTGTAGATAGCCTGGAGCCACCCCGGCCGTGTTGGTGAGTTTATTTTGGCGACATGCCAGGCGGGCTTCATGCGATGGAAGATGGATGCTGCCCATGATGTCGATATGGCTTTCTCGGGCGATGATGTTCATAAAGGACCGTAGGGAGATGGAGTTGATCAAGATGTGTGAGTTGAATGTGTAAGCTGGAAGGATGAGCGGTTGAATTGGAGTGCTACATTCATGAAATATGGTATGGCTGTGGATTACACTGCTAATTGATCTCGTTTATGCGTTGGAAGTAGTCAATTTTGAATTTGCTAAACGGCCTTAGAGACATTTCGGTACATATAATCCGAGTCTATTGGAGTAGGAATTGGAGTAAGACTGTTCATCGGGCCTGGGTATCTCAACCAGTCTTGGCCTTCTTATCATCGGAATCCACTTACCGACGAGTCTGGGGAACCTTGAGTCTCCGCAAATTCCCTGGTATAAGCGATGACTCGACCAATAACGAGACATATTGCACAACTAATTGATCAGGGCACTCCTCAATTGGTTCATTTTTGCAGATGACCGGCATGGACATGACAACCCCGTCTCACCCCTGCAGGGGTGTATATGATAACCCGGGCGACGGTTACCCTTGTGAGTTGCCGGTGGCAAAGCCTGCCGATCAGTTGCGTTTGTTTCTTGCTTTATCTTTCAAGTGGACGAGAGTTGTCATTATCGTCTCCACTATTATCTTCGTTTCTGCGTATCGCTATCATCGGGCCGACGGTCCCCATCGGCCCAGCCAATCCGACAACTGCGCCCGACGAGGATATGCTCTTGCGGAGAATGGAGAATAGTACGGGGAGAGTTTCACAAGTATTCGATGATAGGAAAGGATCCGCTCCCCCGCTTAACTTACTTATCTCGCATGGCATGGGCCCATGTGCAGGATACAAGACCCGTCTTTCCTGGAAAATATCCGATATTTGGACCTTTGACGCTTTTTAATCTCCTAGTGTCCCCCTCCATACATATCCCTGCAAGTTTCCTTGTTCTTTCGTACTCTTGCCTAGGCAGAGCATTGAACGTGATGGTTGTGAACCCGAATCACGAAGCCGTTGCCATGGAACGGACCCTCTCCGTGCAGAAAGAAGGAGACCCCGACATGACCCAGGAAACATCGACAGGGGAAGCCCTTGATGTTGAGCTCGATCCGGCTATGGAGCAAAGGCTCCTGATGAAGCTCGATTTGGCCTTTGTACCTATTATCATGCTTACCTACTTGTCATGCTTTCTGGATCGCTCTAATATCGGTACCATACCACAGGGAATTCGTCAAACAAACATGGAAAGCTGATAGGATAACAGGAAACGTCAAGGTTGCAAACATGCCAGAAGATATTCATGCTTCAGACAGCCAGTTCTCCACGGCTGTCTCCATTTTCTACGTCACCTATGTTCTCTTCGAATCTCCATGGGCAGTCTTGATGAAGAAGCTCACCCCTCGGAACATCCTTACCGGCTTGTGCATTGTCTGGTCCTTGACGACGGTCTTCACGGGCTTCATCGAGTCCGTGGGCTCTCTGTATGCCACGCGATTGATTCTTGGCGCGTGCGAGGCTGGACTTTTCCCCTGTCTTAATTTGTACTTGACCATGGTCTATCGTCGCGAGGAGCAAGCGAAGCGAGTGTCGTATTTGCTGAGCTGTGCAGCCATCTCTGGCGCGGTTGGTGGATTGCTTGCGTATGCCCTCCTTCATATGGATGGCGTTGCTGGGAAGGCAGGTTGGAGGTATGTACTTCTCTGATTTCCGGGTACTTGAATCTGCCTGAATGACTGACTGATTATTTTTAGGTGGGTGTACATCATTGAAGGTATCTTCAGCGCCCTCTGCGCGATCCTCATCTGGTTTGGCCTGCCCAACAACCCCGCCGAGGCTTATTTCCTGACCGAGGAGGAGAAATGGATGATGCGTGTGCGTAATGAGCAATGTCGCAAGTACATGGGAAGCGAGGAGTTCAGCTGGAAGGAGATGCGGATTGCATTGAGCGACCCCAAGCTGTTCTTTTCAGGACTCATCCAGTTCTGCCAGGATATTCTGCTGTATGGATTCAGCACCTTCTTACCAACTATTCTTAAGGGCATGGGCTATAACTCTCTGATGAGCAATGTATTGACCGTCCCAGTCTACATTTGGGCGGCTTTGGTCTTTATTGCCGTGGCCTTTTGCTCTGATCGATACTCTAAGTTTGCATCGGTACATTGAAAACCCCGCTGACATCTTCTGTTCTTCACACTAACAATACTTCCAGTTCATCTTTGCAACCAACATCTTTGGCATCATCGGATACATCTTGCTGTTAGTCGTATCTAACAAGGCGGTGCAATACTTTGCAACTTTCCTCATTGGAATCGCCACTTATACCGGCGTTGGATTGAATGTGGCATGGATAAACGTGAATGTCGCCCCTCAATACCGACGAGCGCTCGAGATTGGATTACAGCAAACCATGGGCAATTGTGCCGGCATTGTTGCTGGCCAAATTTATCGCAAATCACCATATGTGCTGGGAAATTCCTTCTCCCTGGGAGCTCTGGTGGTAGCTCAGGTGGCCGTGGCAGGATTTGGGTACTATCTGCGCCGTGAGAATCAAGTCAAGGAGCAGATTGAGAATGGCGAGAAAGAAGATACTCGACGGATGCAGACCGGCGATGGTGCGGTAGACTTTAAGTATCTCTATTGAGTGACCACTGGTGCTATAAATAATGACAATCGCCTACATTATTTTCTTCATTTTGTTGTCTTGCTTAAGTATCTCTATAAAATCGTTGATGTTTAAGTAGAATTAATTCGTTGCTAGGAGTCAATCAATCTAGTTGTCGTCAGTGGTATGTATGTTTTTCCTGGATAATGTATGGTGAAGCCCTCTTTAGCCTAGATTTTGTTTGCTAGAGGCCTTATAATTGAAGTTGTCTACCTAAATCCATCCTAGCGGTACTGTTGGAGGGCAGAATGCAAGAGTAGAAATCGGCCTTTCCTCTGCCATGGGCGTGGGTCTTTTTGTATCAGGCAAACAAAAAGACCCTGGACCTCGATTCTAGGAATTCCTTTTGTCGAACTATTTCGTTCCTTTTGCGACTCTCAGATTTGTTCCTTGGAAACTCGTTTTGATGGTAACCCGGAGTCATCACCCGAGGTGAACCGTGGAACAGACCTAGCCTCCTCCTCGTGGAGTGAATGACGCACACGACGCGCGGATCAAGAAACATGGAGTAATTCAGAGGAACATGATTCAATGATTCTATTATATATAAGTACGTATTCCATCCCCCATATGGTCACTCCCTTAGCCGTGTAACGCTGCATTGACCTTTTCCACTGCCTTATTTCCAAGACAACATCGGACATCTCTCTTATTGTCACACGACTCAAAAACCCTGCCAAGACTGCCTTGTCATCAATTAATTCATAACTATGGGCCTTTGCATGTCATTTCCACATCACCGCCGCGTGAGACCCATGCCCGTGGCAGTGGTCGGGGGTTGGGGGCCCCCTCCTCGCCGAAATTTCCACGGGGGTGGCATGGGATACGGAATGGGACCTGGTATGGGCCACGGAGGAAGACATGGAGGAGGCTATGGTGGAGGATGGGGTGGTCCACCGGGTGGAGGATACGGTCGACGTGGAGGATTTGGAGGAGGACCGAGAAGACGCTGTTGAGCATGATAATGTATTAGAAAGATTACAGAATATGTGCAGGGACCAGGGTGGTCAAGATTCGCGTTGAATGACTTTTTCAGGTCGGAGGCAACAACATGGTCACTGGTTATCCCTATCTTCGCTATCATGATCCTAAGCATCAAGGTCCGGGACAGTGTCAATCTGAAAATCGGTAAATCGCACTTCACCCCCATCGCCGACAGCAAAGATCCCTATCACCGGACCAGTGAAGTCGAAGTCGGTCATCATCAAAGTGTCCACCTCTTCCATGTATTGCCAATGGTCCTCAGAACTGCGAATGAAGAACCCGAGACTCCGCTCCGTATACCTGATTTGGAATTGAATCGTGTCTTGAAGTTTGAGCTGTTGAGTTTGTTGGACTTTGTAAGATTTGGCCGGGTTCTGCCCTTCGAAGACAGCTTGTCCTGCCTGGAAGTCGTACGCAATCGATAAGAAGCGATGCTCATCCTTGTAGAATGCCAATCCGGCCCTAGAGACAGCGTCTTGACTAGTCTGGCTTGGTTCAGGACGACGTAGAGCCACACTTGCTGTCCCGACAAGTCGCCGTTGTCGCTGTCCAACAAAGCTCACAACTTGTTCAGCTAAGTTGAGTCCGGCTGGTCGGGCGTGCATTATGACTTGGTTACCCTGGATATCATAGTCCTCCAGTATAGGGTCTCTCAAGTAGACCCATGTAGCTAAGAGGGTAGATGGAAGAGTGAATGGATCGGCTTCTGGCTGCCCCGGTAGAGATGGCAAGTCCCGGCGGGCAACCACAGCATCGATGCTGGGCCACTCGTTCGCGGGCCAATTGACAGCAGCCAGAAAGCTCTCGCGTCCCATAATCGCTCGTCCCTCGTCCATGCGCACTCCAAGCATCACAACCCACCATTTTCCACTTTTGTCCTGGAAAAAATCACCATGCCCAGTGTTTTGAACGTACTCATCAGTACCATCCGCACTGTATAGCGGATTTCCGCCATACGACTCGTATGGACCCCAAATGCTCTTGGATCGGGCGATGCTCAGCATATGGTGTTTAAAAGTGCCTCCTTCTGCACACGAAAGATAATACCAACCATCCTTTTTGTAGATGTGCGGACCTTCTGTGAAGCTGCCTGCCCATCCATCCCAGATAAGGGCCGGCTCTGTCAACAATTTTCCAGTGGTGATGTCGATCTCAAAGTTGAAGATTTGGAATTTCGGCCCGACTTTGCATGCTTGCACGTAAACCTTATTGTCGTCATCAAAGAGCAAAGAGGGATCAATGCCTGGCGAGAAAGGGAATAAAATTGGGTCAGACCAGTTGCCTGACCGAATATCAGTGGTATGGATGATGAACTGCTCGCTGTGTTCGTCACCAAACTTGTTGGAGGTACTGTGAACAACGTTTGTGCAAATGATATAGGTCACACCGTTATGATGCCGGATGGTCGGTGCATATAATCCTCCAGTCGCGACCATAGTGGAACCCTCTTGCCAGGGAGTAACCCATGTGGTTGCTCTGCATAGCGAGAGTTGAGATCGTCGGTCAATTGCATTTCCTGGTAGAAAGGTGGGTGGCCAATTTAGTCGCTTTCATCTTTCAAAGCTCAGTGATTGAAACATACCAATATGAGTCCAGGAAATTAAATCGGCAGAGGCGTAGATAGGGAGACCAGGGAAGAGATGAAAACTGGAGTTGACTAAGAAATAAGTGTCGTCTATCAGACAGATTGAGGGGTCAGGCGCAAATCCCGGAATGATTGGATTATTATTGCGACCGAAAGCCATATTATCTGAGCGACTAGGCTAATTCCGATAGATTTAGATAGTCACGAGTGAAAATTACAGATTCCTTGAAAGCAAAAGCGGCACTATTTGAACTGCCGTGGCGCTGGGCATTTTGCCAATTCGATCACGGCTCTGTATCCGTACAAGATTCCATCCAACGAGACGAAAGCCCAACCCCCGCTTCATGCACCTATATAGGCTAAATGAAGCTATACCCCAGGCGAAGGATCTACGAGGCTTTAGCGACGTGGCCATGCTATTCCCTTTGACCGGCAAAAGAAGGTCATCACGTCCTGGGAGTCAGTCGACTGGACTGTATATAAGCTTGCGGTGTGCGGGGATGTTTACAGCCTCAAGTCCCCCAGCGATATTCGCACATCGGACAGCAAACCCCGTTATCTCTTTTCATACAGAATGGCTCAGAATATTAAGCCAGTGAAACCGCCCAAGGGCCATTTCTTTTTGGCGGGGCGTACTTTTCCGAGAGTGCAATGGTGGAAGAGGCCCAATATGCGCCTCTTGTACTTCTACATTGCAGTTTTGATTGCAACCAATACAGCCAACGGTTTCGATAATTCAATGATGTATGCACACAGTGTTAGAAATTGCGATCGCAGTTACTGATTAATATAGGAATGGCTTACAAACTCTGTCTTACTGGCAGGACTATTTCAATCACCCCCAAGGACCTACCCTTGGTCTATTCAACTGCGTCATGAGCGTGGGAGCATTGACTGGACTAGTCATTCTTCCCTTCATGTTGGATCGTCTGGGGCGAAAGCCATGCTTAGTCTTCGGTTCAATGTTTATGCTGCTTGGCGTTGCCCTGCAGTCCGGATCGATCAACTTTTCCATGTTCGTAGCCGCTCGATATATTCTGGGATTTGGCGACATTATTGTCATATGTACTGCTCCAATGCTCATTACAGAGATCGCACCTGCTCAAGATCGAGCAATCTTGGTCACAATTGCTGGTGCAACTTACCACGCGGGTGCATTCATCGCAGCTTGGACTACATACGGTACTCTGAAGATTCAAGTGAGTCCTGAAAGCAATAAACCAGACCTGAAGAGAACTTGCTGACGCAATTGACAGAGTGAATGGTCCTGGAGAGCCCCCAGCTTGATTCAAGGACTCTTTACTATTTTGATGCTTGCAGTCGTCTGGTGGATCCCCGAAAGTCCAAGATACTATATCTCCAAAGATCAGCCGGAAAAGGGACTTCAAATTCTTGCATACTATCACGCTGAAGGGAATGAGGCGGACGAAGTTGTGCAGTTGGAGTTCACTGAAATCACGACGGCGATTGCTATGGAGAAGAACTCTGAGCATTCCAGCTCGTATGTGGACTTTTTGCGCACACCAGGAAATCGCAAACGACTCCTAATTATCGCTTCGTTTGGTCTTTTCGCTCAGTGGTCAGGAAATGGGTTGGTGTCATACTATTTGAATCTCATCATGGATAGCATCGGTATCACGGATGCGAACCAACAGCTGCTCATCAACGGCGCATTGACTTCGTTCAACCTCGTTACCAATGTGTTTTTCAGCTTTTTCGTCGACAACTGGGGTAGGCGACCTATTATGATTGTAAGTTCGGCGGGAATGCTTGTCTCTTTTGTGATCTGGACAGCGCTGTCGGCAAAATACGACGCACATGCTAGCTCAAGTCTAGGATCTGGCGTGTTGGGAATGATCTTCATATACTATCTGTTCTACAACCTCAAGTAAGTCGCGCGTGTGAGTACCTATGATTGTATTTCGCCAGCTAATATTATCCAGGTCGGGTTTGATTGCCAGTTATACCACCGAGATCCTTCCGTATTCTATGCGGGCCAAGGGATACACGATTATGGAATTTGCCATGTACATTGCGCTGTTCTTCAACCAATATGTGAACCCTATCGCACTTGACAATATCCACTGGCGATATTATATCTTCTACTGCTGCTTCTTGGCACTCGAGGTCGTTGTGATATGGTTCTTCTATGTGGAGACTCGCTATGTGCCACTGGAGGAAATAACCAAGTTGTTCGATGGCGATGACGTGGCAGCGGCGACCAATGTAGAGATGGAAAAAGCCTTGGAGTCGGGCAAGGGCTTCACAACCGCAGTACACATCGAGGGTGCAGATTGATATGGTCGTGGCTACCCCTGATTGATGTCGAGATTAAAGCAATGTTTTCAATTGGGGTGTCAACGTAATATATAGTCTCGTCTATTCAATTCTTGCAGCCTTAAACTACCCTGTTTGCTGAAGGGGTTATCCGTCTGTGAGAAGCGTAATTCCAAGCCAGTTATAGTGTAATGGTAGATATAGAAAGGCTCTGTTTGCCTGAGGCATGAGACCCGCAAACCAGGATGTAATTTACGCATTTGCGGGGTATTCATGGGTAGCCTGTAGACCGTCACCATGGAAGGAGAAGCAGCACGTGCCGGGCCCGGGATAGCCCGTCCAGGGAGTTACGATGGTCACAGTCATCTAAAATGGCATTCGTCACGGCTAGCTAATCATGAGCATCCCGATGAATTGCTCACAGTGAGCTATCGTTTCACTCTGCACATGTTCATTATCTGTATCTCTTTCTAAATTGTGATGCCTTGACTCCCTCTCAACTCCCCTAGACTTCCCCCGGCTCATCGGGGAACTCCATCGCTGTCTCTACAAGTTTAGGTCAAAGCAATGGAGAACCAAGCGAAACTTACGCCAATAAAATGCACGCCATCTATTTACAAACCATATCGGCAATCAAGGAGACCTCCCGCCTACCTACGGACCAAAACCGGTTGCTTAACATGTAAGTTTGTGAAGCCTTGGCTGGAAAGGTCTCTATATGGGCTGCCGATAGAACCAACTGTCTAGCTATATGGTACACTGACTGGATTCAGGCCGAAATCGGAAGAAAAAGTGTGATGAAACCCGGATGCAGTGTATGAATTGTGTCAAGCGTAGTTTGGATTGCGTCTGGCAATCGAATGATCTGATACACCGTGAACGGAAGAATCGATCCTCCTCTACTAGTGACTGTGCTAGTAACGATCCGACTGCAACAGGAATTGCACTTGAGGCAAGACAGAGCACTTCGCAGTATGGTGCATATAATACATGCACCGAAATATCGCAGCAGGACACAAGACCTGGAGCTCTGTTTTCAGACTCGACAACCTCGGAAGGCAGCGTATTCCTACCACAGACCCAACGGTTGCTTCCCAACGAGAGCCTTCACGGTCAATCGCTGCATATAGACCTTCCTTACTCGCCAGCTACCACTAAGCGAAGCCAACCACTCTTCCAATTCTTGATCTCCACTTTTGTTCCCCAACTGATCCGACCCACGATGAATGGACACATTGGTGAACTGTTGACTCGCCGAACGCTAGCGTCAGCCTTTGAATATACTTTCTGTATGCACGCATTGCTTGCCTGTTGTGGCGCAGAAATCCCCGGCGAAAATCCCGAATATCGCGAACTCGCTCGATTCCATTACGCTCATGCAGTTACCGGACTTCGAAAGATGCTGGATAATGGAATACACGAAAGCCAATGGGCTGTTACGGTGTTGTCCATCATGATGTTATGCATTTACGAGGTGAGCGTGGAATCCTCGTCGAGCTAGTAAATCAGGGTATACCTCTGACATCCTCAACTTGTAGCGTTCCAAGCTGAAGCCATCACCGGGTGTTAGTATTCACCTTGCAGGGGCTGCGCAGTTGATACGATTGCATCCCCAGCTTCACGGAGATGATGTTGCATCCCCCAGTGTGGACCAGTCCATGTCTCGACTGGCCCGCGAATCTTTCATCTTTCATGTCACGACTAGTCTTCCTTTTCGGGACAATGCTTGCCATTTCGAAATCGAGTCAGCACTCTCTTTGGCGGAAGAGGCTATTCAAGAGAATTTCCACGTTGACACGATTTCTAATCCATATTCTCCGGTGCTTGGGTTTCCACCGCAGCTCTTTCGATGTATATACACAGTCTACCGATTATACCAAACTTCGAAATTCGACCAAGCCAGCATACAACTATGTCAGCGACTGGACAAGGATCTCTGTCGATGGGATAGCCGTCTGGAGGCGTCATTGACAGAATTTTCGAGTGCTGATTTCGGCACAGAGAAGGGGAATGAAAGTTCAGTTCCACCCTTTGCACACTGGAAAAGTCAGACCCTACACCAGTCAACTTTGATAGGGCCGAAATTGTATATTCTCGGCAGCCGAGTCTTACTGCAAAGTATGGCAGGTGCAGGTCTTACATCTACGGACACGGACGCCGAAGAATTGATTCACCAGGCGATGCGGGTGATTCAGCAACTTCAACCGACAACTGATTACTTTGCTGATTACTATTGTTGGCCACTTTTTGCTATTGGGATGAACGTACGCTCTTCCCGTGACCGAAATTTGCTCCTGAACCAGGCATCGGCATTTTGGAAAGCCACTAATAATCCGACGATGAGACGGGTTATTGACATGCTACGTGTTTATTGGCAGTCCCATGATGAGTTGGCTGTGGAATGAACTGATTCTAGTTTGATTGTGGATTGCCCAAATGCAGAATAAGACAGGAATAAGGCAGGGATAACGCATGAAAGATCGCTACATAATGCTATGACCGTTTCTAACACAATTCTTCATGAAAATTTATCATGGTCTTATCGTCGGGCGAGGCGGGTGTCAACGTTGTTCTAATGCGCGTGCTACGATTGGAGTTTAGAACACAATCTATCAGAGAGAGACTATCCACACAGGACTCGCCATTCACGCAGGTGACTGACCTCCCTTGATTTAGGGACTGCCGATCAAGCTCATCAAGGACCAATCGTGGTTCTTGGAATGTCCACTCGTATAACGATATGATCTTAGCTTGCAGCGCCAAGGTTAACGCCAAGACCGGGCGCTGCCGAGGTTACAGTGCAGCGAAAGCCAAAACCACCACGTCCTACGGAGTCCTCACAGGAGTCTTGGCAGACGGGATGCCGTCGGGGATCTGTTATATCAGTTAGTCTCTATACGAATCATTCGAGCAGAAGATAAAGACCTTCGAGTCCCAGTGACAAGGCTTTGTTCCCGCATTCTTTGTGGTGGCGCGCAAAACACCCGTCGTATTTTGACTTTGTCTCAACTCGAGCCCTTTCGATTTAATCAGACGTCGATTCTAGAATCACCACAATGGGTTTCGTTCAACTATCGCAGGCTTTGATAGCCGTTTTGGCTCTACGGCCTGCTATGATTGCAGCGCTCCCAGCCCCCGAACCTGTCCCCTCCCCTCCTGGCGTCCCGAGTGCTTCAACTGCCCGCAGCGAGTTGGCTGCACTGACGGTGGCGGCCCAAGGGTCTCAAGATGGCTACTCTCGAGATAAATTCCCTCACTGGATCACACAATCTGGGTAAGAGAGACAACCTTCCGTATCTCGGAGCCCATGCTCATCATTTACGCAGGAGTTGCGATACTCGAGACGTCGTGCTCAAGCGCGATGGCACAAATGTGGTGCAGAGTTCGAGTGGTTGTACCACCACTAGTGGTACATGGGTCTCACCATATGACGGTGCGACCTGGACTGCCTCGAGCGATGTCGATATTGACCACCTTGTTCCGCTCTCCAATGCCTGGAAGGTAGGTATATCCTCCAACCAGCGTGAATGAATCAAGAAAACTGATGTCTTTGATAGTCGGGTGCTTCTGCATGGACCACTGCAGACCGACAAGCCTTTGCAAATGACTTGACTCATCCACAACTTCTCGCTGTGACTGACAATGTGAACGAGTCGAAGGGAGACAAAGGTCCCGAGGAATGGAAGCCTCCCCTTAGTAGGTGTATCTTTCGACCATGACTTTGTGCATAAGGGAATCTGACATATAAACAGCGTCGTATTACTGCACATATGCCGAGATGTGGGTTAAGGTAAAGACGGTCTACAATCTGACAATCACTTCCGATGAGAAATCCGCGCTCTCCGATATGCTCGATACTTGCTAGATTGGAACAAGAAACCCGGAGACTGCTTCTTGTCAGGGTATTTGACTTTCATTTTAAATTGAAGACAGGATCGACAACGATAAAGGCTGGGTCTCTTGGTAGTCGGCCAATCTCGATTGCATGCAGTTCTGATTGTACAACCCATGATATGTAGTTAGAAGCAATGTGCTGACAACAACAAGGCTCCAGCCTGAAACCTTGATTACACTCCTCAATACTCATGATGATGGTAGGAGATCTGTTCTCGAGAGATGAGCAGTGATAATGTCCAGATATGCCCCTGCTCGGGGCGTGATGGACTCCACCCCTTCCAATTTAGCCGCATCGTCCCACAACCGCAGCGAAACCATTTCATCCCGCAGAGGATCATGGTTGAACTTCTCGAGCTCCTCTCCCTGGAATGGGCCACCCTGGAAACCGAGCGATCTCTGAGACGCAGAAGACAAGGAATCATAATAATCACGATTTACTGCTGTCAGATACCTGATTAAAGCAAATGAGAACGGGAAGAGCTTTGCAGGAAGGGAAGAGGACAATACCGTTTCGCCGCAACGTGGCTATTCACTAACCGACACACTGTATCGCTGAATCCTAGGGATTGGAGATAAGCAGCGCCGATGGCTTCGTGGCCCACGCGACCGACATTCTCGGTACTCCCACGAAGGTTCATGCGAACCTCTTTGGTGGAGTCCAAGGGAATGATCTGACCGATATCGTGGAACAGCGCGGCGATTACCAGTTCATCTCGGGCACCTATATTTAGTGGTGAGATATCGTGCGATAAATCCAAGCCTAGAAAGCTCTTACCTGATTTGCGTGCCTGGTCGGCTGCCTGTAAAGAGTGCTCCAGCTGGTTGATCGATTCTCCAATGTAATCGCCCTGTCCATGCTGCTCTAGAGCACTGACTAGGGATGTGGCCTTTTGTGCGGGCGTTAGAGGCTCCATGGTGACGGAAACGGGGCGCAATATATGAGTGTTTGGCGTTTGAACGGAAAAGGGTAAAAAGTTTCAGGAAGGTGAAGTGGGTGGAAGTATTTTATATCTAAAAGAAATCCTTCGGCCTCTACACCGGCACGGGGATGCCAATTGTGTGGAGGGTGGGCCCCTCCATGTATCTGACGGTATCTAAACCTCGAGATTGCCCGCTGTTGGCAGCATTTCAAGAATTATGGACTTTTATTACAGGTGGCCTTTAATGATAGTACACATTATTTGCAGTCGATAGATTTCAAGTTTCTTTTGATACAATTTTCGAGGCCGCAGATTAGGAAGTCTCGGCCCACTATCTACCACATGGAGTCTTCCGCTCCAGGCACTTTGTTGCCCTTTTTTCATTATGCACTTGCTAGTAACAACTACGCAATGATGATTCTAAACTGTAACAGAGGGGGTTGAATTTCCACCCACAGTGAGCATGGGAGTGCCGAAAGCATAGCGATTTCGTCCTTCCTCATACGACTCGCCTTCCTTCCGCATGTGAGTTGCAGGCCACAGCTTTTGGCGATCAGTATAGTACTCGTCGTGCAAATCGCCCTCTGCGGCGCAGTTGTATGTTGCGTAGATGGCACGGCGATCCTTGGAGCTGGTGTTGGCTCCGCTGCGGTGGGCTAGGTATGATCCAAAGACAAGGATATCACCTAAATCGCCAAATAAGCATGGTACACAAGGCCAGATCTGGTTAAGTAACTTACCTGGCTGTAGGTCGCATGCAGTCCAGGTGTGACCTTCGACCCAGGAGGGCTCGATGCAGCGATCGGTACCTAGAGGCACCTCCATACGGTGACTCCCGTTGACAACTTCCAGACCACCGTTGGTGGCGTTCATGTCATCCACAGCTGCCAGAATGGTCAGATGCTTGATGTTCTTGACATGAGTGTAGGCATTTGCATCAATGTGAGGGTCGAAACCACCTAGTATTGGAGTGTCAGCGATGGTCAATACCAGAAGACAGCTGAGCGACGATAGACGCACCGCTGCCGGCAAGCTTGTAGTTGATCTTCTCCTTGAACAACAGCATCTCCTCTCCGGCCAGTTGATGCAAAACACTGGTGGCCCTCTGTCCTCGTAGGAAGCTGTCGAAGCCCGCGTGGGAGTTGGCGAAGTTCTCCGTGCGACACAAGACCCGTTCACCCTGGCCATTCACCTCCTCATACGGCATCCATGGCACTCCCGGGGTCTGGGGCAGATCATGCACCTCTTGTGACCATTGCTGAAGTACCTTGGACTCTTGCGGGTTGAAGAAACCGCGCACCACCAGATATCCATTCTCCTGGAAGCTTTGCAGCTGCTCTGCACTCAGAGGATAGTGGAAGTTGTCCATGACTAGGCTTTTTTCTCTTGCTGGAGTGAGTGACACGTGAAACAACCAAAAATCTTGGTCTCGGACACTAGATAAATGGAAAAAGAAAAGAAGGAACGTGCACTATGGATTGGCGATTGATGCAGCTTGTGGTTTTATAGATCGGAAACAGCCCATAGGCGAGGGTATCCGAGCTCGAGAGGTACCATCGTGTACCTTCGCGCTTCGCACCGAAATCTAAACCCGACAGGGTGATGGAATAGTCATGCAGCCTATACATTAGTTCGTTGCTATTGTAGTGGATCACTAGCCAAATGTTAAAATGTGGATGAGGTTTCCCCCGACTACTTACCGTAAGTAGTTAGTCGACTTGAGAAAAGTGATTATACTAGCCAATCAAAGGACTGAATGAATACCACATGGGCTATAAGACTCACTCTAATTGGCTGTCGATAGGCGGGCCGAACCTCGACGCGGAACTCTCCGAAGACTACAAAGTACCGGACTACCGTACAGAGCCATCATGTATATGGTATATGTATATACACTATATTTTACATATATAATGAAGTACTAGATACAAAAGTACTATGCTCTCTTCTACTCATTGTTATTATTCCCTTCTCCCACGTGCTTCCTTATGTAGACTCCAGAGTTACCCTTTAGCCTCCACCTTTCTCTTCTATCCTCGGAGACCGTCGCTTGTCGCTGATTGTCATCGGATGTCGCGCGGAGGAAGCTTGGACTTACCTTGTTAGTGCTTCCCTAGTGGAGCCTGGATACTGCGGACTTCCCACCGATCATCCTTATCGCGCATCTCGTGCCTGCAGATGAGCTTGTCATTGGATCTACTCACGCGAGATACACGAATGGTGACATTCTCAACAGAATCTCTGTTTGTGTGGTAGCATCATGGTCGCCCAAATACAAATTATCCTCACTTTGGTCGTGATGGACTCTGAACTGTGATTTTCTCCTTTTCACCTTTCCACTCACGGAATCCCCCCGAACGGCGCCAGCACACCCTCGCTGAACCCAAAAATGGAGGCATCACCAAGTGACTCCGTGATGAAGATGGATGGCTCCAAGGAACCGAATCACAACGAGGACTGGGTTCTGGAGGAGACTCGGCCGAAGAAAAGATCGGGGGTCCTCAATGTGGCGATCGCCGGCCTGGCTCTGTTCAGTGATGGTTACAATGCCCAGATTATCGGCTACATGGAGCCACTCTTCTCTGTCCTGTACAAGGACGGCATGTCCTCCACCATGAAGGCACGTCTTTCCAACTCGTACCTGATTGGTGAGATTTTTGGAATGCTCTTCTTCGGTGTCTTGATTGACCGTATCGGTCGTCGGACTGGCGTGGTCACTGCCACAGCCTTTTTGATCCTGGGTGTGGTTTTGGCGACGGCGGCACACGGTACTACTCAACTTGGGTAAGGGAAGCCACCCGAATAGCGATTGCTGAAGTTGAAACGGAGGAATCACAGACTGACATGAATAAACTTAGAATGTTCTGGATGATGGTCGTTGCGCGTGGTATTGCTGGCTTCGGCGCTGGAGGTGAATATCCAGTTTGTGCAACCAGCGCTACAGAGGCTGCGGACGAGACCGCGCAATTGCGCAAGCGCCGAGGTTTTCTAGTCGCGGCAACCACCGACTTTGCGGTGGATCTGGTATGTCACATTGACTCTATAGATGTGGGATTGTACTCATCATAAATCAGGGATTCGTTGCCGCAGGTCTGGTTGCCCTTATTGTCCTCGCATGCTATCATCAACAAAACTCGGAGGGAGTCTGGAGGATTACCTTTGGCCTGGGCATGGTTGTGAGTCCTGCCAATTCACGAAGTATTCTCCGGAGTCTGCGTTCAATGCTAAATCCTCGGTAGTTGCCTCTTGCCGTTTGTTTCTTCCGCGTCCGCATGATGAACTCCACCCAGTATCAAAAGCACGCGATCAAGTCCAATTATCCTTATTGGCTGGTCATCCGCCGTTATTGGAAGCCAATGCTCGGCACTTGTAAGTTTAGCCTATCTTCCATTAAAGACCCATTGACAATGGACTGACTTCAATACCAACCTAGCTTTGGCTTGGTTTTGCTACGATTTTGTCACCTACCCATTCGGTCTGTTCTCCTCGACCATCATTGAACAGTTCAACCCCAACAACACGACTGTCCAAAACATCGGATACGGAGTACGTTGATTTTAACCTCGAGATATGAATAACTCTACTAACAGTCTGCGTTTTCCTTAGACGGTTATTAATTCTTTCTACCTTCCTGGCTGTATTATTGGAGGCTTACTGATGGATCGGATTGGCCGCAAACAAACCATGACCCTCGGATTCATCCTCTGGGCCATCTGGGGCTTCATTCTCGGAGGTGCTCTGCATTCTATCCAAAGTGTCTTCCCCTTGTTCGTTGTCATGTATGGCATCTTCCAAGCACTCGGTGAGATGGGTCCTGGTGTTGCCACTTTCCTGTGTGCAGCAGAGTCATTCCCTACCCCTCTCCGCGGTCATTTCCTGGGGTTTGCGGCCGCAGTGGGAAAGGCTGGGGCCTCTATTGGTACCCAGGTCTTCACACCTATTCAAAACTCGTTCTCCTCCACTGAGAAGGGTCAGCAAGCCGTTTTCCTTATTGGTGCGGCTTTCACCGTTGTTGGCGGCCTGATCGCGTGGTTCTTGATCCCTGACATGTCCCGAGAGCTGGAGACGGAAGACGCTCGCTTCAAGGCATATCTTCAGGAGAATGGCTACGACATTGATCTCTACGGGGATGCATTGGTGGTTAATCGTGTCACCTGAAGGATGTTCAAATAGCAGCCAGCTCGATGGGGAGATTGCGTGTATTCTAGAGCATAAAAATGAACGATTGAATGAGTGTCAAGATCTTCTCGAAGTTTCAACGCATGGATCGGATCTAGCCTTTCTTCATCTTATTATATTCTCACTGAATCATTATGTAAGTGACCGAAGACCCGGGCTCGCATGTCTGACTCGTTTGGTAGCTGATAGGATGGCACCAGGTTAGAACAGTGTAGTCCTCGTCAACATACGCAGGGACAATCATGATAACTTGGCCAGTATCTTCCTACTATTTTAATTTCTCTCGGGTTGACCTTCTGGCGCCACTAACTTCTTGACAAGCACTTTGCCCAAAACTTGCTGGGAATGTGTTGGAATGCAGAAAATGACTTTCGCCCATGCAATGGCCGGTGCTCTGCATGAACTCTCACGATCTATTCTATCGATCATCATTTCAAATTACCCGAGTACCTTCTATTTTGCCTGTCCAGAGCTGCGGGGACGAGATGCACCATGAGCGTGAAGCCGAGTTATTGAACCGATCGAAATCCCCGCTTTCTGCTTCCCCACTTTCAGACACCCACTTCGCCAGTCCAGTATGAGAATCGTTTCTTGGTGGCCCCGGATGGGCTAAAAAGAGAATTTGATCTGCGACATTTGCATACAGATGCAATGTCAACATGCCACGGTAACTTCGAGCTTTGGACGCTAATCGTTTAGCCTCGCATAACTGTCGAACAAAAAGTCGCGACAGACCTCTATTTCGGCTATTTTATGCTCTTACTGTGAGGTGATACTTTCGTTGGATAAGTATATAAGATTATACTGTCACTATGATCTTTTTTCCAAGATGGGCAGTTGATTTACAACTGTGCAGTGGTTCTTTTAGGGAATTCCCAAGTCAACGTTCAAAATGAGACCTCTCAGCCCATCATTCTCATTGCTTGCATGTTTCTACTTGTGGAATCACACCTTGCTCTGCGAGGCTAGTGGTTTTGTGGATAATGAATGGTCCTATGGCCCATGGCCTAGAGAAATTCAAACGCGGAACATTGCTCCCTCCGCGAAAAATGCATTCTTGAAAGATCTTGTTACCAATCTCACCATTCCAGAACTAGGTACTGACTTCTCCACACCCGTGTGGATTATGAAACGAGGACTTACAGAAATTCGGTAGTGGTGCAGATGCATTTAATGTTTGCCGATAACATAATTGGACCAGCCTCGGACAACTCTTTATATGGTATTTCTCCCAAGGTGGCTTTACATACGTCTGACTATTGGAGTTATCCTGATGATATGGTTGTAGACCACGCAATGCAGGCAGCCCCTGGGGCGCCTATTGGAATCATCCATGACTGGTATCCAACTAACAAATCCCAGTACAATGACATGCAAAAGTTGAATTCTGCAAAGTCCAGAGTCAATATTCCATTTATGCAGACAGGGGAATGCCTCCATGGTGTTGGGTCATTCAAGCAATCCATGTTTCCACAAGCACTTGGTCTGGCAGCCTCTTTCGATCCTGATCTCGTCTATAGAGTTGGCCGAGCCATTGGAAGCGAAGCACGATCAATTGGTATTCATGCATGCTTTGCACCCGTCCTTGATCTTGCTAAAGATCCCCGATGGGGAAGAGTCCAGGGTATGTTGGCCCTTACACAGAATCAGAAGCATTAATCTCACCCATTGTTTAGAGGACTGGGGTGAAGATTTTGTCTTAACTTCACACATGGGGGTGGCGTTCTCATCCGGTCTATCAAAAAACAGCACTTGGTCGGACCACGATGCAGTAGTTCCAGTTATGAAGGTTTGCCCCCCACGCTGTAACATAATTATTGAAGGCCGTAAAATCACTCATGTTCTTCTTAAGCATTTCGCGGCTCATGGAAGTCCACAGGGTGGTCACAATGGAGCACCGTTTATGGGTTTTGGAACCCGCCAAGTTTTACAGGAGATGTTGGTGCCATTCAAGGCAGCTGTGGAACTAGGTGGTGTTAAGGGCGTCATGATGTAAGTTGAAGCATGAACTACCCTCAAACACTGTCTCACCTTGGTCAAGGGCATACAACGAGTTTGATGATGTTCCCTCTTCTGTGAATCCACTCCTCTACGATGCGTTAAATGATTGGGGATATGATGGTAAGCTTATAGACGAATCTTGACGTTATCGCCAGATTTTATTAAATCAGATTGCAGGCTTCATTACAGCAGATGATACGGGTATGATGAGAATAAAGATCTAAAATCTCTTTGATTGGGCTAACATCTTACACGAACGCCCAGGACTATCTGAGCTACTTTACACTCACCAAGTGACGAGCACCGTGGCAGATACGATTGCTCAGTGGCATAATGCTGGTGGTATGGTCCAATTTTATGACTTTTCTCTTGAAGAGTACATTAATGTCAGGATTCCTCACACTCCAAATTCAAAAGTCTCTCGCCAATATACTGACTTTCCAAGGCCACAATTGCTCTGGTTTCCAACGGCACCGTTACCCGACACACATTGGAAAATTTGGCCAGTCGTATCTTGGGCGTCAAATATGACTTGGGGTTATTTGAGAGCCCCCTGATTCCCGAAGATGTCGATTCAAAGGCACTCACAATGGTCAACATTCCACTTACGTTAGAGGCAGCAGAAAAAAGCATTGTGTTGCTTGAAAATAAGGATTCGATTCTGCCCTTGCATCCTGACCGACAAGGCATTTCTCAAATTGCGCTCCTTGGACCATTCAGTGACTCCTTCAACTATGGTGACTATTCCGGCCAATGGGGTGGCTATCCTGTCAACAATGCCAGTACTATACGACAAAGTGTTGCCGAGCACCTCGCTACTGAATTTCCGACAACCAAGCTGGTTACCGCGTGGGGTGCCAACTCTTGGAGCTACAACGGACAATACAATGTGCCGCCTTACTTGTTGTCTGCAAACGAAATTGCAGGGGGGCTACTGGCTACCTACTTCGCAGATACGAATTTCACCGATGCGAGAGTCCAAAGGGTGGAAACACCGAGCCTAGACTGGGGGTTATACCCTCCAGAAGGCCTACCATCCAATAACTTCAGCGTTACATGGGAGGGAAACATTCATATACCCGTTGATACAACCACTGATGGCTGGTTAGGAGTCGCAGTCTATGCTAATACATCCGCGAAGGTTTATATTGATGACGCTCTTCATGTGGATGTCCAGGCTACGGACAGTGGCAATATTCTGTCCAACATTCCAGGCCTGTCGTACACTACGACTAATGAGACCGCGCCCCCTCCAGGCTCCGCGCCTTTTACATTTAACAAGAATGCAACCCACAAAGTCAGATTGGAGTATCAAGCCTGGAGCTATGTTCAAAAGTTCGAGAATGTCAATTCGTTGAATGCTCAGGTGCTCCTTTTCTGGAATTTAGTTGATCGTACCGACCCTGTCAAGCAGGTATGGCAGTCTATCACTTGTCAAGCTGGAATGTGATGCTGATGAGCAAGCGCAGGCTGTCGAGTTGGCGGGAGAGTCAGACGTTGTTATTCTAGCTGTTGGGGCTAACTGGAACAGTGACGGTGAATCTGGCGATCGAGCCACACTAGGATTGTCGCCCAGCCAAAGTCAGTTTCAGTTGGATGCACTCACCCAGAGAGAAATCTGACATTCTGCGTCTAGCAACACTCGCGGATGCGATATTCACCCTAGGAAAGCCTGTCATTCTAATCTTACAGGGTGGTCGGCCTTTTGCGATCCCGGAATATTACGAGCAAGCAGCGGCAGTTTTGAATACTGTGAGGCAAATTTATGTACCTGCAAGAGACTCTCTTAACTCTTAATTGTTTCCAGTTCTTCCCCGGTCAATCTGGTGGGAAAGCTATTTCGAACGTACTTTTCGGCTTGGCCAACCCGGGGGGCCGAGTTCCCATTAGCGTTCCAAACAGTGTTGGGACACTGCCAGCATTCTACAAGTATGTTCTTCGCCCCCCCCTGAGAGTGAGACTATGAAAATACATGCGCAAGTACTCATCTGAGAAGCTATAAACCTTCTGTTTCGAGGGACTACACAGACATCCCATACAAAGCAATTGTAAGTTAACCTCAACAACCTTGAGATTGCCAGTTTCGTGGAGACACCTGGTTATTTGCTCTTCTGACTTGAACTTTTCATTGTTTCAACAGTATCCTTTTGGCTATGGACTATCGTACACGCAATTTTCCTTAACGGACTTTGATGCATCGACGATAGTTCACAATGGGTCAAGTGTTCGCGAATTTGGTGCAGGCTCGACAGTAATTTTTTCAGTCGCCATCTCCAACACAGGTCAAACCGCAGGCAGCTATGTCCCTCAAATCTACCTTCTCGGTCGAGTTTCGTCGATAGTGAGACCAGTGAAACAACTGGTGGCGTTCAGTCGGGTCTACCTTGAAGCGGGGGAGTCAAGGATAGTCACCTTGGAACTGGAAGTTTCACGGTACCTCTCAATCCTTGACCGCGATTACAAATGGACTGTAGAGACGGGAGATTATACCTTTGCTCTTCTAGACAATGGTGGCAGCTCAGCCAACACGTCCATGAACTTGACCATGACCTGCGTGGGATAATGTCGCTTCAAACCTCACATACATGGGTCTACTTTGGCTATCTCTTGAATGAGATCGTGACAAATGCGGGCTAAAATAGCTACCAGATCTTCTCTTCTTGTTGTCAATTTCGAGACTGCATGTATTTTGCGACCAGTAGCCGAGGGCGTACTTTCATCAAGCGTTTCCAATGAACCTAGATGACGTCATAGAGCATGTTGCAGCTGCGAGACAACGTTGTTAGTGCATGAAGTACGACTACTTTTCTTTATTCCGAGATGTTTTTTTCGATTGCCTCGTACTTTGTATTCAAAAAAAACATCTTAAAAGTCACGGTAGCTCTCATGGCGAGACATAGGCCAGAGCTCCACACAAACTCGTGAATGTACAGACTCACTCGCCTTCGAAGCAGTAGGCCAAAAGACTGAAATGCGGATAAAAGGGTGCAGATCTTCCGGCTGTGGCGGTTAAGATCCAAGATTAACAAACTCCTTCCGAAACTTACGTTACGCCTATCCATAAAAGATGGATGGTTTTGGGAGCTTCAATCAGCATCTCTCCCAATATGAAAAGTCGTGACAATTATGAACTTTGACAGTATCAGTATTAATGCTATGGACTGAATTGAAGTGTGTAGCTTGCCATGTTTTGCACTCATAGCCCAACCTCTGGAGAACCTCCGAGGCCCCGCACAAAGATTGGAGTAGGTCTCCATAGGGAGAAGCAAATGTTGGAAGCCGAAATTATGAAGCGGTGGATCAATGGGCAGATACCTATCTCCTACCTACCAGTGCCATCGTGGGTTGTACCTGTTATTATGGTGCCTACGGCACTTATGCATTATTAACTAACATATATCGTGTATGCAGAATGGGTTTCTTCCAACTTTATGCGCTTTAGTCGGTAGAATATTAGAATATCACTTGGTGCACACTTGAATCATTAGGACGAGCAAGCTATTCTGCTATGTGACTTCCACATAGGTGGATATCCCTGGATTCCTACTCTCGACGCAATCTCTTCTCCAGAATCTTACTCCATACTCCATCTATTACCAATTCCTTCACCGAGAAGAGCGAGGTCTTGTGCTGTTGTGGAGCCTGCGGGTCAACCAAGTCGGCCAAGTCGGCCAAGCATTGAACTAGTTACGCCTCGTTGCTTCTTTTTCGGCTCGCCGACCGGGCGAATTCTCCAAATTCTCTCCACATTTACGACTGTTCACCGTCCATTTCATCCAGTCTGGGAGTGTCTATTACCGTACAGGAGGATACTGGGGTCTCGTTGGAGGGGTCCTACGGGTTCAGTGGCAAAGGAATTGTAAATAATTCCTCGCGTAAAACAAATTGCTTGATGAGATTAATATCACTGGTTGCTGGCCCTCTTCTGGTTCTCTCCCCCCCGATCGGCCCGGTTTCGTTAACCAGAAACTGTGCGTTCAGCCCTGGGGCCACAATAACTTGGGATTTCTTCCTCCTCGACACCTCCGACTTTCCCGGTTTGTTTTACTCTCATGGTCTTTTCGCATTCTCCTGCGAAACCAATATACCGTTCCTATCTAGGTCGGAACAAGATGGCTTCCCCAGAGAGAGAGATTCGTGCTGGAGACACACCAGATGCCGAAAAGGTATCGAATTCATTTCGCGAGTCATCCACTCTACTTCTCTCTGAAGGGCAAGCTCTCGCAAAGGCAAGAAGCTGTCCCGATGATGCGCTCCCAATTCTGATCACGTACGCATTCGATGATCACGACAATCCCAGAAACTGGCCTAAATGGCGGAAATGGTACATTACGTGCCTAGTCAGCATGCTCAATGTCTTCACGTAGGTTTGAGTGCTTTCTATGTTTTCTTTACACTACACAGGAACTCTTCTAATCCAACTCTTCAATCACAGAACCTGGTGCGCGGGAGGTATATCCTCAGGTGCGACGGGCATCCAAGAAGAATTTGATGTTTCGTCAGAGGTTACCACTCTGTGTCTCTCGCTATATGTCTTGGGATATGCCATTGGCCCCGTTCTTCTCGCTCCGCTATCGGAGTACTTTGGTCGCCAGCCTGTCTATGTCGTTTCATGGTTTCTCCTGTTCATCTTTCAGCTTCCCCTTGCACTGGCTCCCAATATCGGCACCATCCTAGTCTGCCGGTTTATCGCAGGCTGCGCTGGTGGTGCGCCTTTGACCAACACCGGTGGGAGTATCAGCGATTTATGGGAGCGAAACGAAAGCGGAGGCCCAATGGCAGTGTATGGTCTCAGCAGCACATTTGGCCCTCCCATGGCCCTCGTCATTACCGGTTACATTGGCCTAAATGTAGGCTGGCGCATGATCTTCTGGGTACTGATGGCCATGACAGGTGGAGTGTGGATCCTACTTGTCACCACCGTGCCCGAGACACGGCACACAACCATCTTGCAAAAGAAGGCAAAACGGGCGCGCAAGCAGATGAAAAAGGAAAACCTCCGATCCGCAGAATCGACCGTCGACGTCCATGCTAGTGGGCGAAAGGGCCTACACGAACTATTTGCCATTACCCTCACCCGTCCCTTCCGGTTCCTGCTCTCCGAGCCCATTACCACGTTCTCTGCTATTTACAACGGATTCCTCTATGGCCTGGTCTATCTATTCAACGAGGCGATTCCCCTTGTCTTTGGAGCCCCCAAAGGTCACCCCTTCAATGTCGGTCAGCAAGGACTTGCATTCCTCGGAATGGCAATCGGCCCCATCATCGCATTCTGCATGTACCCACTTCAAGAGAGATACTACCTCCGTCGAGTCGCCGAAAATGATGGCCATGGTGTCCCTGAGGCGCGTATGTGGATGGCACGAGGTGGTGCCATGCTGATTCCTATCAGTCTGTTCTGGTTTGGATGGACCAGTTATCGCTCAGTTCATTGGATTGTACCGATCATTGCCTCCTCTCTGTTTGGTGCCGGGATCTACATCGTGATTCTTAGCATCCTCAACTATGTTGTCGACAGCTACCAGACCTATTCAGCCTCTGCACTTGCGGGCGTGATTCTGGTTCGCAATGTGGTAGGAGCTGGATTTCCCCTCTTTGCGACACAGATGTATGAGAAGCTGGACTATGAGTGGGCATCTAGCCTTTTGGGATTCATATCGATCTTGTTGGTGCCGATCCCATTTATCTTTTTCTATAAAGGAAAAGCTATTCGACTGCGGAGCCCTTGGGCAAGAGAACATTTTGACCAGAGCGAGGATAGCCCTCATTGATGTATTCGACAAGATGAAGGAGAATTAGGTTCTAGACATGCAGGAGGATCTACAATGTACACACCACTACTGGAGGCTATATGATAGCACAAACGCTTTGTATAACTGAGTTTTCATCGTTGTATTTTCACCCTTGACTTGCTTAATATCTTTTGATGCCTCGCCTCTAAGGAAGCCGAAACTCGGAGCCTGAGGCGGCAAGGTCTCGGTTGAACTTCGAAAAGGAGAATTTCTGATTCCTGAACATCGCTACAACTTGTTACTCCAGGTTTCTCTGCTTTTTTCTCCGACGCCCATCTCGAGCAGAAACATTGTCAACCCTTTCACCACTATTTCCCTCGATGATGATCCCGCTTATACCCCGAATGGGTCTCGGCGGGCTCCGATCCACTGGCCACTGGCACCCCCGCTTCTCTCGCAAGTCTCCGCCCTTGAGCGGTAGACAGCCGGCTGGACCAGTCCGAAAGGGCATGGCTTTAAAGCTTGCACCTCCCCCAGTTCCCCAGTCAAGGTAGGGGCTCGCGAAGAGTTTCTTGACCCAGTGGCAAACTGCTCATCTGGCCATGTTACAGTACCATGTTTCCCGGCTTTCACCAGCAAACAATGCGAATGAGTCGCGACCGACCAGCTGACAGTATCCACGGAATGCGCCTTTTTTCTAATGAGAAGAGGTGACATGTAAAATGTGATGTCTCTCTTCTGGTCTAGCGATGCCACACAAACCGAATACGGGCGCATGTCATTCCCGAGGGTCCCTTGTGTCTCTTCGTTTACCATGTGGACCGGCCTCCTCCGTGGGTCAAACCACACTGCAGTTCTAGACCAAATGCTATTCAAATAGCCCCAAATACCCCGGTTTTGATGCCCTGTTCGAATTGGAAGTTTGTTGAATTTGACCGTCGACCATGGAGAACACAATAATGGATCGGGACGTGGAGAAGCGCGCCGGCGCAGTAGACCCAGCTCTCGTCGAGCAAGAAACGGGTGCAGTCCCTGCTTCAAGCTTTGAGTATGGCGATTCGTTGTACGCCAGGCTTCAACGACTGGGTGGGAAGATCAAAGTCGAACAGCGAGGCATCGAGCGCGTCCCGGATGACGAAAGAAATGATAGTTCGTACTGGAACATTGGCTCAATGGTACTTCCGCCCTCAACCTTGCTCACGTTGTTTCTAATCCGGTCCCAAACAATACCAGTGGCTGGCTGCAAATATGGTGGTCCCTTCTTTCACCATTGGGGTCTTGGGCAAGCCCTTGTTCGGCATGGGATTCGTTGATTCGGCTCTGGTTATCATCTTTTTCAATTTTATCGGAGTGCTCACCGTCTGCTTCTTCTCCATCTTTGGCGCCGCTTTTGGACTGCGGCAAATGGTATTATCCAGGTTCTGGTTTGGCTGGTGGGGTGTCAAGCTAAGTATGGGTGGTCTTGCAAGCATCATTTTCTCTCTGATGGAAATGGCTAACCTTGTTTATCTGTATTACTCTCGGGTCAGTCGCTATCTTCAATGTTCTAGCCTGTGTTGGATGGGCTGCCGCCAACATCATTGTCGGAGCGCAGTTGATCAATGCCGTTAATCCGGATGTTCCAGGATATGCTGGGATCTTGATCATCGCGTTTTGTACGCTCATCATCGTTTTCTTTGGCTATCGAGTTGTGCACGCCTATGAATATTGGAGCTGGATTCCAACTTTCATTGTCTTTCTCGTGATCCTGGGCGTCTTTGCCCATTCGGGTGATTTTATCAATGTTCCAATGGGAGTTGGCAAAGCCGAGCTGGGTGCGGTGCTTTCTTATGGCTCCACCGTGTTCGGCTTTGGCACGGGTTATACAAGCTTCGCTGCGGACTATACAGTCTATCAACCGAGCAACCGCCCCCGTCGTAATGTGTTCCTGGCTACTTGGCTCGGAATATTTCCAACTCTTTTATTCACTGAACTTCTGGGCGCTGCGCTTGCCACCGCGATGGCCCACAATGGCGGTGACAATGCATATCAGCAGGGATGGGATGACGCAGGAGTAGGTGGTCTTCTTGGCGCCCTTCTATTCCCACGTGTCGGAGTGTTCGGCAAGTTTTGTGTCGTGATACTTGCCCTCTCCATCGTGGCCAACAATTGCCCCAACATATACTCAGTCTCCCTTACCCTTATGGTAATGGGAAGGTGGACCCGACATGTCCCTCGATTTGTGTGGACGGTGGTTGCTACCGGGGTTTATATTGCAATCGCCATTCCGGGGTACAGTCAATTCGAGGCAGTGCTGGAGAATTTCATGCATTTCATCGGGTACTGGCTTGCCATTTATGAAGGCATCGCTCTTACGGAGCATTTTGTGTTTCGTCGGGGGTTCTCTGGTTATCATCCCGAGGACTATGACATGCGAGATAAACTTCCTCCTGGAATTGCGGCTCTGCTCGCATTCTGCTGCGGGGTTGTTGGGATGGTGACTGGGATGAGCCAGTCGTGGTATGTGGGCCCCATCGCAATATCAGCTGGCCCGGCGCCAACTGGCGGCGATGTTGGTTTTGAGATGGGCTTTGCATTCGCAGCAGTCTCATATGCCGTACTCAGAACCATTGAGCTGAAGCTATTCAAAAGGTAAGGATTGCTTTGTTGTGTCTATTGTGACAAGTCATGATCACTAGGCACAAGGTAGAGAGGTAGGAAGTAAGTGAATGAAATCGCAATGCAGATACAGTAGAGCTTTCCTGAATGACATCTCAATACGAAAATTCAGATTGAATCCCGTAAGAACCTCCATCTGATTTGAACGTAACAGAAGAACTCCCACTTCCAGGATTCAGCGGGTTCAACTTCAGCGATAAGGGGTTCAACCCTTGAGCCGAGGTAGTTGGAAGTGGCCAATGGAATCTCGGGATCTAGTAGAAAGTGGGGCGCGTCCACGATAACCTTACATACTGAACCAGCCTATTGCTGACGAACGAGTCTCATCCTTCGCTGCTCATCTTGAAAGCATCATACTTACTACCATCGGACTGATCTCTATAAGTGAAAATTTTGTATCTACCTAGTATTGTGGGCCATATCTGATTTTTTAAGTGCTCTCTAGCGTGCTCTCTAGTTAGAGAAGCTTAAGAAGCATTTCCAAGGTGCTTGAATATATATTTCCGCCAAATTAGCAAGCAGAATTCGAATCCACAGAGTCGGACTTCGTCTTGGCATCCCGGTCTTCCAGAAAATATATGATCTCTTGTAAGGCAGTTAAAACAAGACCCAGAAAGACCAGTCCAATCATTATGAGAAGGCCACGAGGGTAAAGAGTCGAGGACTCATCCTCGCGGAAAAGTTGGGAACCGCCCATTAGCCCACTGGTTGCGCTCACGACAACTAAATACCTGTTAGCAGACAATACATGGTGAGTCCAACAAGACATGGTCATACACATTCTGGAAAAAAAGCCGGGAAATTATTAGCTACCCAACCTTAGATCTAATGTAATCTTGGCAAGAATCGAGCAAGACTTACGCTAAAAAAATGCTGCGCTCCTCCGGTGTTCGGCATTTGATCTGTATCCAGGCATTGTGGATTGGGTGATAGCCCACAGCAAGACCATTCACGGCAGTCCACATCCCGAACTTGCACCATCTGCTAGCAAATGGTTGTGCAGTCCTTAAAATAACGATGGCGACTAGATATGCACTGATAGCTATCATGACTGTCATCCCGCGTCTTTTCGTTTTGTCACTAAACCAAGCAAAGAATAGAACGACTGGCAACGTCAAAATGCTAGCGACTGCAGCTAATGCGTTTGCTTTAACCCGGGAAAAGCCTAACGACATGATGATGCTCGGCGTGTATGTCGTTAGTGGACTCCAAGTTGCAAATACACATGCAGTGGCAAGGAAATGAGGCCATTTTCGGATACAAGTTATGATCCTCCATACCTCAGCCAGGGGTAATCGTCTATTGCCATCTTTGATTGACCAGCCATTGGTAGCCATACATTTGTGTTGAGATACTAGTTCGTATGATGCCCTCTGTGGAAGGAAGATCAATAATAGAAGCGAGATGGCTACCGACCAAACCCCCTCCACTGCATCTTGAAGTTAGTACCTCCAAGTGAGAATTGTAGAATCGCAGTATTCACCCAAGAAAATCCACTGCCACCCGAGAAGACCACCATGGCCGTCCAATTTAAGTATCCCCGCTCCCAGCAAAGGTGATATTGCTGTGCCACCGAACATACCGAAAAAGAAAATTGCAATGCGTTTCGTGATTTCAGCCTTCGTGTACCACGTGGAGAGGGTAAACATAGCACCTGGAATATATCCAGCTTCTGCAAGACCAAGGATGGCTCGTGTCAATAGGAATTCGGACTCGTTTCGAATGAAGATTTGCAATGCGGCAATGATGCCAAAGACGAGGACTTGGCCCCCTATCCACCAACGAGGACCGATCTTTACTTGTGAGCACATTGTTTGCGATCGAAGATAGATGTCTTACCTTGTATAAAACAACATTCGACGGTATTTCTAGCGCGATAACCCCAAGAAACATCAACTGGTTGCCAAGATTTATCGTGTTTTGACTGATTGATAGGTCATCTGCCAAGCCACCGGTCAATGCGCTTGAAAGGTTTGTGCGATCTAACTGGTAAGTAGCAAATCCAACGAGTAAAAGAGGTAAGACCTGGAAGTCGGCGCTGTCAATTTGTTAGCTGGAATCATCTCACTATGAAAGAACTGGTCTCAGTATCAGCTCGCTCACATTCTTCTTAACTCAGCCGCGCTCTTGGGTTGCTTGGTGAGACTTCCCTTTTGAATACGAAGACATGCGACCCAGGATTTGAGCATTATGGCGCTGCTCGGGAATGTTCTAATAAATAATTTCGTGACTAGCGGGGAGCCAAATTATATGTCTCAATTTTAGGGACCTTGGTAGACCAAAAGCCTTCTGCCTAATACGGAAATCCTATTCGAACGGCACTCGATTTTTTGGCCCCACTTAGAGATCATAAGAATTTGAAATATGTATCTAATTAAAATATGTTGAAGAAAGGGTTGAATTGCTCCAATAGAACAGTCCATTTGTCCGAGACTGGCCTTGAGTAGCACGTTTCCAATCTAGAGACCCTGTTGAGATCTACACCCGAAAAATGCTTCAGTAAGATTTGAGTTGTGAATTAGAATAAGAATGGTAATCGAGAAAGCCTAGCCAAGTGTCGTCAAGTTGAATTATAGTGAGGTCAAGTTGAATTATAGTGAGGTACACGATGTGGCATTTGGCTCTGATGCAGCCTGAGTCAGGCTTGCGATTTACATGGGGTTTGATTGGTAGAAAGCGAAATTACGCACAATATATCATTTCTAAATTTCCTATGTACAAAAGTAAAGCTAATTGGGCCAGGCGCAAACTGCATCTTGAACCACCATCCTGCAAGCGAACAATCCAACGGGAGTCAAGTAGGCATACGTTTGATTCTCGGAGAATGAGCCATCGCTCAAGCAAAACCAGTGCTAATCACCCAGCTCACATCGTCATTGAATGACGTAGTAGCATCGAAAGTATCGACACCCCCGTTGCTCGCGACATAAAGCACATTCTCGTAGTGGCGGAAATAGCGGGTCGGATAGCTCCACGACCGAATTGAGTTACCCTGGCCGTTGAGACCAGACTGTGGGCAGAAAGTGGCATCCTCGTAGAATTGCTTCGTGGCATCATTGGCATTGAGAAGGAGCCCAAAGTTGTAGTGTCTGATGTAGCTACCGGGAGTGTCAACGGATTCGAACGAAAAGCAAGCGCTATTGCCAAGACCAGTGCGAACTGTCCAACTGGCCTGCTCTTTCAGGGTCGTGGAGCTCGACGACGAGACCACCTCAGTGATTACAGAAGTGCCGTTGTGTGCAATGTAGCGTGTTGTGTAGCCAGAGGTTGTGGCGCGGAGCGAGATTGAGGATCCAACAGTCAGGGCCGGCCCGCTAGTCAGCGAACCGGCAGCGTACTTAGCAGCGACAATATTAGCCTGTACCGAGTTTTCCGTTGCATCAGAAGGATAGCCAGAGGTCATAACGCCCTCGTAAAAAGTGCCCTGGGCACCGCGGCTGTTGTCACCGCCAATGCCGAGAATGATGGCACCTTCTTTGCTCATCGGGTTATAGCCAGATGCGCTTGGGCGCGCTCCACTGTAGTAAGTGGATAGGGATCCAGAAGCAGCGTTGCCACCGCGGATTGCCCACTGATTAGATTCTCCCTTAACAATTGTGTTGAGGAACCGATAGCTGACGGATGGGTCGGCAGCATTGTTTCCCGAGCTCAAGCCAGAGAAGAGGCCATTCTCAAGATCTGCCATGACCCATGGGCCGCTACCAGCGCCAGTACCCCAGACCGTGTTGTCACCAAAGTAGATGGCCTCCATGTGGCCGTTGCCCGTGTCGGTACTGCTAGTTTCGGCGTTGCCGTAGTCGAAGCAGCAAGCGTCATTGTAATGGGTGCCATCAAGGACAGCATACATACCCTCTGCCGCATCACCAGTGGCTGTACCGCTCGCAGCATTGTTCCTGTAGCCCGTGCCGGGCGAGATAAAGACACCATAGGCCTTCTGGCCGTTGAGCGTCACGGGTGCACCAATAGCGCTAGCCAGATTATCATATCCATTAGTGTCTGGGCCACTGAAGCCTCCAGGAGGAGCCTGCGTGAGGTGATTCCCCTGACCAGACTGGTCATAAATGATGGTGATGAGGCAGGTAGTGTTGGCACAGAAGGTATCTTGAGCGGCGGCATTCGCGACACCCCCGGCAGAAAGAGGAGCGATGGTAGTCGTGGCACCGTCAGAGCCGCGCTTGATTTGATACAAGGCACCTGTGAATGAGCTGTATAGTGCACGAGTGGTGCTGTGTGCAGCAACACAAGGTGTGCCGCCAGAAGAGTAGATATCACAGGGCCCAGCGAACACGAGGGAGCCTTTGGCGACAAGACTTAGAGCAATAACCCACGCGCGGTCGAATCGTGGAAGCATCTTGATAGAGGAGCACTACGTGGAGTGTCTTGAAAATGAACAAGAGACGGTTCAAAGGCTTTGGAGGTAGAACAATGATGTGGCAGGTTTCCACGAAATGACTTCGGAATCGACTCTCTTATAGTTTTTGGAAGCAATCCTTGCATTTGATATTTTGCACCGAGGAAAGCATGCTTGACTCACATGCTCCCAATTTTCCTCCAATAATTAAATATTCAGTTCATAATTTGCCCAAGTGGGTAATATCAGCACACTCGGGTATCCCAGCGTCCGTATGAAACTTGTATTTAGCCTGGGATTTAAGCGACCTCGAAAAATTCTTGTATTGTTCTATTTAATCGAGCGATATTTTAAGATCTACGATTGAACACAGAGGGTATGCATAGTTACAGCACCAAAATACTTTTGCAAGGTATGTCGACTGAGAGCTCCAATATACAAAATCCTACCCACGGGAACACAAGTTCCCATCGACAGATACATCAACTTGCAGCATCTTGCAAAGACTTGCAACCAGGAAAGAAAGAGGGGAGGTGGAGGTGTATGTGATGACTATTAGCGGGCTTATTCTCGAAGAGGATAGATTTCACTACAGGCGGACAAAGACGACAAGAAGGGCTAGGAGTGGTGGATCCGAAGTTATGGGCCCGCGTGCCGTGCAGATGAAGACCCCACAAAGCTTCAAAATTCTGTGGGCGCTAGGAAGTGCTTGGAGCGCGGGGAAGATCTTAGGATTGTGTGATGATTACTACATTAAGCTCGGACAATAGTATTCGCAAACCCTGCTTAGCTACTCAAGTGCCGGTTAATAATAACCCGGAAATCAGTTGTTCGTTTCGGAAATTCAATCTAAGAGCCGTTCCTCGGTATACCACTTAGGCTACAGGCCATGGGGCCCTTACAGTAAAGGTAATCGTAGATACATCACGAGGCTGAGTTGATGTAACACTGGAGCATAGATCAACATAAGGTTTTAAAGCGAGCATTATATCTCGGGTGCCTATCCACATCCATTGGGGCGGACCTGAGACCTGACGAATTTCGGGCGCCAAACCACAGGATGGCGGGGTAGAGCAGAACTGGCAAAAAGGCCTGTGCCACCGGAGTTTTCCCCTTTTCCCGACACGAGACCGAATTAACCGAACCTAGAGACCGAGCTAGAGATTAGAAACGACTCTGTTTTCCGTCTCCGTACACAACCCCTCAGTTGGTGCAACAGCGACCGACAAGTCTAACCAAGGTAAGATTGTGGCGGCCGAGTTATTCAGACTGTAAATTGAGTTACAGGGGCCGAGCATGCAGAAAAGTCCGGAGAATTCGATTTGAAATGTGGGGCCCCATACGAAAAAATCGTACTCACATTATTCCATAAGCTGCACATGGCGCGGAGAAATCCATCTCCTAATACCGCTTCATAGCATTGATATTAAGTCAGCAAGAACGATAACGCGCACGGGACAGTCTCAATTCTTTTCGGCTTTTTTTGATCGAAATCTCGGAGCTGCTGCGGCCCACACTGGACGGGCATAGAGGAATCTGTTGGTAGACTATTGTTAGAATAAAAGACCATAAGACTGTATCGCAGGCGCTCGTGGAGAAAATCATATTTGGTGTATCTCATGAGATGAATTGGCATATGCTAACACGCAATCGTTTCTACGGCTCTGCGTATATAAAATAGGAGCCTGTACGAGCTTGAGGACCTGAAAGAGGAGGACGGATTTGATTGTGGCTTTCTCAGTTAGTATAATTAATAGAGGCTTACTCATACTATGGGCCTTAGAATTCGCGTCGTGACATCTCTTCCAAGCTCCACTCGAGTTTCCTCATGGCCCTATGGGGGATGCTGAATAACGTAGGAATTGTAGATTAGATGATAGTAAAAAGGATGATTTGATGAGCCTGATAATTCTGGCTGTAATTATCCTTGGGTCAACAAAATATGCAACGTTTCCGATTGTCGACGAAAACGCCTGATGGAGTGACACGTTTGAATAGATACTCTGCTGGCTTGCATCAAACTGAGAGAGAAGCGGGAGAGCAAGTTGGTTGAGTAAGAGAATACTTCTGTAAATGTGCATTAAACTACTCTAGCTAGTTGCTGGAGAGCATAAGCAAAAGTGAGTTCACCGAGCTCATTGTTTGCCGGAGCTTCGCCCGCCCACAGCATAATAGCAAGATGAGACATAGACGGTACGAATTGAGTAGGACCGTGCCCATTGATGATGATTAAGTAGGTGACTGAAAGAACCAATCCTGCATCAATTTCTCGGAGTGGTGCAGATAGCTAAGCGGTCTTAGCATGAATACTCGCTGCATTTGTCTGAAAGGCTCAGATGGGGGAGCAAGTGGTTCGAACAGGCTGTCATTATGCTGAGAGCCCATAAACTCTGTGTTAATGAGAGTACAAGATGGGGTTTGTTATTTCGCCCTTTCTCAAATTAGAGATAGATTCTTTTCGTCGTGGCACTGAAATCTTGGACATAATATCGTACAAGGGGTAGAACAAGTCCTACAACAGGAAATAGGGACTCCAGTCACTCTTCCCATGAGAAAGAAAAAGGAAACCTAAGTGAAGACCTTCATAAGAAATGCCGCATTATGTCTCAGACCACTTGAGGAGAAGCAGCGAAAACACGTTGACTTCCAGGTCCTGGGGTCTAATGTGATAAAAGAGTCCTCTACTGGGTGCGTTAGAGTATGTCGCCTATGATATTCCTTGCAATGTGCCTCGAGACGACTGCCTCTCGAGGAAAACGGCATCATGGCAAAGTTAATCAATGACGACTCTCACCTACTCCTGCCCTAGGCCCTAGTTATAAATGAATCCAATGACTCCCGATCCAGCCTTATGGGGTAATCTTGATTAGTATGTTGAAGGGTGATAGTTCACGATAGATATCTACGACGGCGTAATTAACAACTGTCTTAGTGGTCGGGAAATTTGGAGGATAGCCAGATTGGACTGCGTGATTATTTTGGTTAGGACTCTATTGATGAGACTGATGGGAAGATAAAACTTTAGAGGATTGATAAAATGACCCCCCCCTGCCTGAAAATGCCTGAATTCTCCGGTACCAAGGCACCAAGGCAAATATTTTGTCTTGTTTGCTTATGGAAAAACATTTTTCCACGCCCCTGCTCTCACCGCCCTCACCGCCCACCCCCAAGATCCACCACTACCACCAAGTCCTCCGCAACCACTACTAATCTTTCTTTAGTAGTAACCATGATGGGGGTAGGCATAGTAGACGTAGGCGTAGTAGGCGTAGGCGTGGTGGGCGTAGTACCTCTTCGCCAGAGGATTCGGAAGATACGGAGGATTCGGAGTTCTGGCAGAGGATTCTGCCACCATCACTAGGGCAACCAGGAGATCTACAAGATCTACCAGGCCTACGTAGCAAGACAACCAGGACTAGTTGTATTACTAAGGAAGGTGATTAGATTTGTATAATTTCAATGCGGATTTCTCTGTCAAAACGTGCATTTAACGGTAGATTATATGGTGGATTTACTACGTAAACCAGAAAGGTAAACTGCAGACACTAAAGTGGCAGGGTGATGGTGGGTTATGAGCAGAAAGGGTCGCAGAAAGGGTGGCAGAATTTAGGCGGAGAGAGAGTGGCAGGAGAACTTTTGGCAGAAAAAAAGTTGTTTGCCTTGGTGCCTCTGTGCCTGAGAATTCAGGCATTATCAGGCAGGAGGGGTCATTATATCGGGGGGGGGGTTCATTTTATCAATCCCCAAACTTTATGGGCCTCCTCTCAAAACAATCAACACTTGGAAAATCGAAATCCACTAGGGTATTAAGCAGTCCCTAGCCATATCCAAGGTTCACCTCCTGTCCCCCTGGATCGCACGCCTTTCCGTGGATACCCTCTATTGGTTTGATTGAGACTCACCCCTTTACACTAGTCTCGAACAGCTTAACCGAGTTCCCTAACCGCGAGTATGACGGCTTCACAAGCGACCTCGCTAAAGCTACCCCGGAAAGCCCTGAAAAAGCCCTTCATTGCTCCAGTGATGGGGGCTACGGCTAGGTGTCTAAATTCATGAGGTTTGATAAGGTTGTTTTGATTTCTGGTGGTAGCGGTACTACTTTCACATTTCTTATTTTCCTCGGCCAATGTCAGAGAATGCAAGGCTTTGAACGCTGACAAATATATTGACTTTATAACTATGGGTTGTGAGGTGGTTAGGTTAGTCCTCTGTACCTGATTACCGGATTACTCCTGTTTCAGGCTGACTAGTGACTAGATTCCTTGAACTGGTTCACAAGGAAGCTCAAAGAGCTCTAAATGGCTCTTTATGGCAACCTGATTATTTAGGTCTGCCGGGATGACGTTACCTAGAGAATACCTCAAGCCTGGAGACAACTCAGGTCCCTAGCGTTGAGAAAGGTGCATCATCAGCATTCAGAGAGATCGAAAAAGGAATCAAAATATAGCTCGGAGAAGGAGCCTCTGCCTCTGATGTGTGGAAAGGCCGACCGGATATTGCACACCTTACCACTGACTACCTACCCCGATGTTCCCTGGAAGATCGTGTTAGCGTTGGCGTTAGCGCTCGTGGCCCCCCAGATTCCATTACCTCTACACATGAGGCTGTCCCTCGGAAGGACTATGACAACAGGCCATCTATGAGGGTCTATTTAGAGGTAAATCTCCTCTTTGACAGATCAGGTTCTTGTTACTAAATTCTTACCCATACAATCATGGGAATTCAAATGGCGAGATGGTGTTTTATGACTGATAGCTCGAGCAATGGGACTGTGATTTTCCTATGTGGTGTCATAGAAGTACAGATACTTGCCAATTGAAAGATAATTTATAAAAGAAGGCAAATTTTATAGAGGCGGGGGAAAAGCACCCAGAATTATGGACTTTCTCTACTTAATGTGTGATGGCAAATGCTGCAAATCGAATAAGGAGGAATAAGAAAAGAACGAGATAGTCTTATCACACATGGGGCAATTTAAACAATGAAAACTTCAGCGCTACCTATTACCGATTTGAACCCATTGAATACTCTTCTCTTCGACATAGACCTGGACCTTCTTGAAAGGAATCTGGTAGTTGTACCATGCCAGGTATGCGGTCCATTACGTAGTAGTCGTGGTGATTGCTTGATTGGAGGCCTCGGCCCCCGTTTCCCCAACTTCTCCGCCATTCTTTCTTGGAAGATTCCCTGTTTTCTTAGGCCCCCCACAAGTCCACGCGCCCCTCGCATTTCAACATTTTGCCACTGATCCTAACCATCTAGGGTTATTATTCTTGTTATTTTTGCCTTGATGGAGTCGGGCTTGGATTGGTACAACACATGTCTAAACGCAATCTGTCGGCGTAGAGAGCGTTGTTGTATTACCAAGCCCTGTCACTGTCTCGCACTTAAAACCACTCTCATATGATGGATTGCCCGACAGGATGCACCCGAACGCGGGTGGCTGGAAAGGGCAGAGTCACTATCAAAGCTTAAATGTCCGATCGGGTGGATCCATGACGCCAGCTGACAGCTCTTTGATACATGTGCTTCCGCATCAGGAGCAAGACCAATAATGAACTGAAAGTGGGCACAATCTACCGTAGCGCGTCGCTCAACCTGGAAACGAGAAGTAGCGAATGAACGAGCAAAGACCGCACGAGTCAGAGCGTGAACCAATCCACGGGCCAGGTGGACGGCCCCAACGTCAGGCTACACGTCACTATCAAACCATTACGTCCTTCCCCGCGATCTTTGCATCTAAGGTTAGCATTCCCCAGGTCTATAGTGTCTGAAAGTCTCAATTTTACCTGTTCCCCTCCTTCTCTCACGACTTTCATCGGCAAACGCTGTAAAAGACAGCCAGATTGCACAACATGGACGAGGGTAAGAACCACGAATCAAAATTTGACTCCAATGGAGACCGGGTCGTCAAGAAATCCATCCCCTATGATGAGAAGTACGAGTGGGCGGAGGATGGACATCAGGAAGATACCACGCGAGGCATCTTTGACTTTGACGAGAAGGAGACGATTAGCGGGAAGTTCGAGAATCCCCTGGCAGGGATCCCCAAGGCTAAGCTCTTCCAGGACGTGGAAAAGTTCTGCCGTGATCATGACTTGATGGAAAAGCTTGAGATGATGAAAAAAGGGGCACTAGTTGCACAATCGCCCCTGAGGTTCCACGAGATCGAAGAATTATCGAACGAAGATATCGCCATCCTCGAGCGCGAGAAGTCACACAAGTGGAACCAGCCATGGATGCTTTACTGGCTCACGGTTATGTGTGCAATGGGTGCAGCAACCCAGGGCATGGATGAGTCTGTCAATAACGGCGCAGTAGCCTTCTACCCAACGCAGCTGGGCATTGACAAACTGAGTAACGCCACTTGGATTGAAGGCCTTGTTGTGGGTGCTCCGTACCTTGCCTGCGCCCTGATAGGCTGCTGGCTCAACGAGCCTTTGAACTATTTCTTTGCTCGCCGCGGAACCATCTTTATCTCCTGTTTCTTTGCGGCCTGGGCGTCTATATGGGAGGCCTTTACATATTCCTGGGGCCAGCTGTTTGCAGCTCGGTTTGTCCTAGGACTGGGCATTGGAGCAAAGTCAAGTACTATTCCTGTTTATGCGGCCGAGTGCGCTCCAGCACCCATCAGGGGCGCTCTTGTCATGCAATGGTATGCAGCAGGATCTTAACTACCATTGTCAAATTGAACACTGACACCGAGAATCAGGCAGGTGTGGACCGCATTCGGCATCATGATCGGCAATATAATGGGCGTCGCGTTCTATTCGTTGGGCCCAGACATTGGCTGGCGTGTCATGCTTGGATCAAGCTTTGTCCCACCTGTTTTTGTAATGGCACAGGTATTCTTTTGTCCAGAGTCTCCACGATGGTTAATCCAGAACCACAAAGTCCCGAAAGCTTATCGATCGTTCCGCCGCATCCGCAACACTGAACTTGAGGCTTGTAGAGATCTTTTCTACACCTATGTTGGTGTCGAGATAGAACGTAGAATCAACAAAGGCAAGAACTTTTTCACTAAGCTTGCCGAACTGTTCTCCGTTCCACGAAACCGCCGGGCCACTATGGCTACTTGGATGATTATGTTTGGCCAGCAGTTCTGCGGTGTCAACGTGAGTCTATATTGAATATCGCTACTCCAGAAATAGTTACACTAACGATCGGATATCGAAAATCCAGGTCATTGCCTACTATTCCACCACAATCTTCGTTGAAAGCGGCTATACCCACCCTCAGGCTCTGCTTTTCTCCATGGGGACAGGCATTTTGAATTGGGTATTTGCCCTACCAGCATTCTTTACTATTGATACATTTGGAAGGCGTTTTCTACTTCTAGTTACTTTCCCCTTCCTTTGTGTCACTCTTCTGTGGACTGGCATGTCGTTCTTCCTACCAGAACACAGCACGAAACGAACAGCGATGATCACGACGGGAATGTATCTTTACGAAGTATTCTACTCCCCGGGCATGGGCCCGGTACCATTCTCATACTCTGCAGAATCCTTCCCAATCCAGGTTAGTCTGACAGTAATCTTCACAATGAACTTCGGGATTGATACGCACTAGGTTCGTGATGTCGGCATGGCTTCTGCAACCACGGTTCTCTGGGCGTTCAATTTTATTCTTTCGTTTACCTGGCCGGCACTGGTTAAAGCTTTCAAACCTCAGGGTGCCTTTGGCTGGTACGCCGCCTGGTGCGCAATACTATGGTTACTCAGTGAGTGTTTCATCCGGCAATACGTCTTTCCACCATGTGTACTGATCTGGTAGCTCTTCTCATCTTTCCGGAAACCAAAGAACTCACCTTAGAAGAGCTGGATGCTGTCTTTAGCGTCCCTACGCGCAAGCAAGTCGCTCGTGGCATGCGGGAGCCAATTTATTGGGTGAATAAATATGTGCTTCGTCGGAATGTTGTACTCCCGCCACTGGTGGACATCCAGCAGCTACGAGGTGAGAAGAAGGAATCTCGCATGGCCGGTGCTGTTTGAAATAGAGGTGTAGACCTCTAAACCTACACTGGGTTGTTGTAGCTGACAGTAGGGCTTTCTCTTGATGTAAGTGGGTCTCATTTCGGTGGACTTCGATCGATAGTTGATCACCTTCTCTTGATTTCTGGCTCGCAAATATTTCTCATGCGTGAACATCGCTTTTGTAGTTGCTGCATTTTTTAGTTAATAGCTCCATTTTGGTTGGCATTTGAAGATGTTTCTTCGGTGACGAGGCTGCTCGTCCTCTTTCTTTTTCCACTGTAGATTCATTCGTACGAGGGAGGGGGCTGAACTTTTCAAGAGACTAGATATCTCTACCTACAAGTATAAACTGCGCTTGCTAACTCTGAAGAAATGTAATCAACCTTAAGGATTCATTTGGGATGGGAAAGTAGCTCAAGAGACCTGGGGGGCAGAGACAAAAAGCGATTGCAGGGTAGCCCACGGAAGGATCGGAAATAAATAATAAGCTAGAAAGTAACCAAATTTTATTCCAGATATTAGACGTGTTATTGTCCGTAGTTTCATACACTCCTCCCCCTTACTTCCCAATGGTTTTATTCCTAGATGATGGGTCAATGGCTCGCTTACTGGGGTAAGAACCCATTTATCCTAAAGTAATCAGAGATAATCTTGTTTATCCGATAAATGAAATAATCGCAAGCACTCTACACCCCACAAGCTACTCGGGCTTAGATTGCGGGGAAGCCACCCCCGCAGCTCCGATATCGTGAAGCTAAATTAATAGGTCTGGAAATTTGCGGGCACGCTCCATCTTCTGCCCCCACCAGTCCACATCGGCTCCGCCCACATCGGCCTTTCCATCTATTAATCCATAGAAAACATGGAATATATAAAGAGGCTATGCGAACTACGTCTCTGTAGACTGAAACAACTTTTCTATCAATTAAGTCAGTCAACATGATCTCGAAATTTATTCTCGTTGGCAGTCTTCTGAGCTGCCTACTTAGCAGAGGAGTGACCGCCTTCGATGAGAGGATTAAAGGAATCAATACCAGTCATATCGAAACCTTTGACTGCCCATCGAAAACACATACCCACCTCAGCCAACACGAACTGCAAGCATCAATGGAGAGATTTGCTTCGATCTTCTATGTGGAAAAAGATGTCGAAGCAGCTTTTGACCAATATGTGGCAAAAGATTACATTCAGCACAATCCAAACATCGCTGATGGTAGTGTTCTGCTAGCACTATCCTAGTGATTTTGAACAATTAACCGCTATGGAAGAATATTTGATCGCCAAATGTCACCTGAGTAGAATTGTCCGGAAACTACATCCTGGGGGTCACTGCATTATAATACCACAGGAACTCGAACCGCTGCTGCACATTCTGCCAATCTCTGACCTACGTTTGTATAAATTCGCAAGTTCTGATTAACAAGTGCCGTTGCCAAGTGCCTGATACTGCGGAATCGAAAGTCTCGTAAGAAGCGAACTGAGCCCCCTTTTTTTTAGGTGGGATGGCTTCCAGAGCGCACTGGTACCACAAAGAACGCCGTTGATCTTTCTTGTTCAAGTAATACTGTTGCAGAATTCATAGTGGGCTTATGAGCATCATGTTCATTGCGGAAGCATTAGTGTGCTTGTCTGCGTAGACTATTGCCTGGCAAATTCGCTCTGCAAAGACTTCGCTGTACTTCTCGACTCTCAAAATTTCTGCATCCAGCCCCTGACCCAAAGAGCCCGACCAACCAGTCAGGTTGAGTTCTTGTTCGACAAATGGACATCGATGTTGGGGGAGCGATGATGAAAGTGAATCTGCAGAATACCCGATTGTGGTCTTCAACTTTCTCATGAATTTGAAAGCCTCGTAATTTAACACAAAAAAGCCTGTCCAGCAAAGTAGAAGAGGTTGACAGATGTATCGGTCCGAAAACACAATGGCGTCCGTGAATATATCTTTCAACTCGGGATGGTCTGCGACGAAAGACAATTCGCCGGGCTTAGCTGCTCGTGTTTTGAAACAGCAAGAGCCCTGACCAAACAAAAATTCAAGATACCACAATCGAAGTTGGGAGTGTGTTTTTGTGAACTGGGTAAGGAATAGATGTCCTGCAGAGGCCTTCTGCTCGACTTTGTCATATGCCCACTCTAGCTGAGGTAGAGCGAGGACAATATTCAGCCGTTCATTCTTTGTAATGATATTGTCCCATTGAGGGGTTTGCGGAAATGTGGCTTCTCGACGACCTATGCCATCATAGAACTATTAAGTTGTAAGCATTAGGGTGCAAAGCATGTGAAGACATCACTTACCCCTAGGGTTCGAACAAAGCATAATAGGTTCAAGTCAATAGGGGATTTTTCGAGTCCATGAGTAGTAATAAATTTACACGCAGCACGCACATGGATAGACCATGATGATTCTTTCAGTGGGTTGTAAACCTGATCATCGGTTATTAGGAGTTAATTTCAACGCCGGGACTTTAACCACATTCCTCATGCATGCTAAGAATCGCCGCGCCAATAATAAAATTTTCTGTGGGATTTTGAGTCGCGTCTGTAAAGGTCGTCTTAAGCAGCAGCTGGTAGTATTGCAGAATCAAGTATATCAAGTACTTGTCGCGGTGAATTTGGCCCAAATAGATTAGGCTAAGTGCAACAGAGCCGATATTGATGTAAGCGTTTTTGCCATCATGTCCAGGTAAACCTTCGAAGTAAGAAAATTTTTGACGTCTGGTAGAGTGTGATGGCATGAACTCTGTCAAAAAAGACGACAGAAATTGGGTTTGGTACAGGTAGCCCTGCGACGGAGATTTTGGAACGCTTTCCACTTTGAAAACGAAGTGATGTGGAGACCGAATTTCACCCTCACGTATTACAGGGAAGACAGGTGATTCCCTTGGAGGAATATGCACCAATGGGCCCTCTTGATAGCGACGCTGACAATTATACGAAGACTTGGAGCATTTGCGGCAGACCGGATATGCCCCGTCACACTATATGCAGATGTCAATAATGGCAAAATTGCAATCGAGGCGTTAATTTACCTTGACCTTCCTTTTTCGGCATGTATCACAACTGTCAGACTTCCAAGGGGGTCGCATCTTGAAACCCAATGATGTTAATGACGACTTTATCAATAATAGAAACCCCGGAAAAGGGACGGAGCCGCAGTCTGGACTTACAGTTAAGAATGGGAGGGAAAGGAAGTAAGGACAAAGTCACGAAAAGTGGGGAAGAATTATCCGTTATGTAACCATGCTGCCATGCCTAACATGCCCAAGCCCAAGGCTTTGTTGGTGCAGGCACACAGACCTCTTTCCTCGGTGTAAATTATCTACTCATTGGCTCCCAAGAGTGAATATTTTCAAACGAAACTCAGTACTCCCGGGTCACATCAATTTTCTCAATAACGTAAGTCCCGCCCTACCCATCCGCAAACACCATACTAAACGCGACTTCTCAGACCACGCTATATCAAGATCCGGAAGTTGATTGAGTCAAGAGAAGGTAGTATATAGGGGCATCTTAATGCGCACTCATTAGACTTCTGCATCTGCCATTCCGAGATTTTCTCTTAGATCACCACAAATATAGTAAGACAGGCGTATATTCTAGCGCTTAGGAGGCAAAAAGAATGCCTTCACTAAGGACTTCGAATTTTCAGTTTAGCACGATGCGAATTTCATTTCATTGAACGATATATTTCTTAGATAATAGCGTAACTGACTCTATTATAAACGAACTAATGTCTTCGGCTCTGTAATAGAGCCTTAGATTTGGTAGTAATAAGCGCTATAGTTATTCGCCGATATATTCGGCCCAGCGGGGGAAGTACTAAGTGCCAAGATAATATGCAGACACTTTTAGATAGGGATATTTATGTTAGTTACCTAGTCCTAGGATGGCTATATGAGTGAATTTTGACCTACCGGCCAGGTGCTAATAGCAGCCAAATTTGGCTCTAACAGACTCGACATCTATCGAGTATACAAATTTCCATACGTAGGCCGTCCTTTAAGTCCGCCGACCTTTATATCCGAATACTACAGTGTTAATGGATCCGAGCTCTTAACGCTCTTTTACGTTAAGTAGAAAGGCACGACTGATGTCGCATATTGGCCCTTTTATACGCCAGCGAGTTTAAGCAGTTACAGAACCGAATTGGATTTACATTAAACAACCGGTTTAAAACGCCTTTCATTCCTCGAGGATACAACACTGGCTATCTATGGAGGCGCTAGGGAATTGACTCTTGAACTCTTGCTCCTGTATACTGGGCCCAAGCCGAGACTTTACCCGAGCTAGATCATCCGGGTATCTTCTTGAATGAGGCGGAACTATCCATTCTAGCTAATGTGGGCTTATACGCATGGTCTCCTATCGCGTTAGTCTCCGTGGGAATTCTGGCCTATACTTTAATGCTATGTAAGAGGCTTCTAAAACAGCTCTTTGTGCTTATTTAGTCAATTATAAAATCGGCAGGCTGTATGGGTGTGCTCATAGGGGCGCTGAGTAGGTTAGAGGATTCCGAGAAGGCGGTCGCTCCTCTGATAATCAAGGCTAAATGATGATTCCCTTAACACTCGCTCTCTGGAAGATTCAAATCAAATTGATTTCCAACGAGATGTCATTAAATACTGACTAACACTCAGTACCACTCTTCCTTTCTTAAGTCGCTGACTGAGTCAATATCATCAAGAGTGCCCACTGGCACAAACATCAGGCCGCGCAATCCTTGCATTTCAGATTCGCGATAGAGCACCGACCCACAATGGCTGCAGAAACAGATATGCCCATGTTTATCACCTGGCAGGACAGCGTTGAAGATGCTGGTGCTCTTTGATAGACCCGGAATCAGAGAGTGCCACTTCGAGACGCTCGTTAATTTGAAGCTCGTCTTCGGCACGATAAGGTTAGTGGTAGTGTGTTCACCACTGATCTTGCGGCAGCGAGCACAGTGGCATATTATCTAGAAGAAAGCCAAATAAGTAGATGAAGAAAGAAACCTCGCCCACGGTCGTTTGGACGTATGTGTTCTTCACCTTCCTGAATGCAGTAGCATCCTCATTTGTGATTGTGTACTTGTTCGCAGTGCAAAGACACGAACCGGTCAACATGGTGGATATAGCGGGTAAATGATTCTTGGAGATAGATTTACATAAAAGTATCTGCTGACACATTCAAATATAGACAGGTGGAAAATCCGACTCTTCTCCCGCGGTCACCGATGATGACGTCGTCGACTCCACCACCATTAATTATCTATGTGTTGAGGTCCGCCCTCGGATTAGATCTGGGAACTCGGCTATTCTAGGCTCTGCATTTTGGTCTAGCCCCTCAAGTGGCTAAGTCCTCAATCAGGGTTGCAAGGCCGTCCATGGGCCACCGCTCTCAAAGAGCCGCTAGCCTGACCTCATGTGATCGACCAGCCATGACACGTACTTTCCAACAATTAAATACGTAGGAAGTCACGGAATCCGGATTATTGTTGCACACATAAGCTACTTGTAAGAGGAACATTCTCGGTACATGATCGAGTAACTAGCAAGAAACAGACATTGGCCGAAGCGCGCAGGGATATGGGGAACAACAGGGCTGATTATTTCAGAGCGTCAGAGTGGAATCGACAATTTTATCTGGTACGATGTATCTTACTAACAAATGTGCTTATTTGTATCTTTTGACGCGATTCATAAATCCTCGGGGTGGTCGAATCCACCGTGCCGTTCCAACAATATTGGCTGAAACAGTCCACACATGCACTTGGCACCGACGTTTTAGTTCAATGTAAGCTACGACTAATGATCGCGCAACCAATGCGGATACCCCATCCTGGAGAGTTTCCCATGGTAACCAGGTTGTATCCATTCAGTACCACTTTGGCCTGTTGAGTGTCGTCGAGTTCAAATGTCAAAGTCGAGATATTCGACAAAAATATATATGAGTTATTTGGAATGTAAATCATCACAGGAGGTGGAGGGTTACTCCTACTATTAAAACAATAACAGCCAAAAAAGGGGGGTCGCCCGTTTAAATCTAGGTTGATAAAGGTGTTCTGATCTGGAACCGAGAAACGCAGTTCCATTCGCAATTTTTGAAGAGTTGCTATTCCCGTGATATGTCGCCACCATGCTAGTACCATTAGACCATTCTGTCGGTGTGTCTGCCGAGCTCTCAATGGTGAAAATAACATCAACCTTGTGATTGGCGTCTGGAGTGTGTAAAAAGGAATATTTTGGGTATCCTCGCCCCAGTCAACGAGGATAAGAGCCTTTGCTTGAGTATTGCAACTGCTCGCTTTATTGAAACTGAAGAATTGATTGAGATTATATACCGATGCTTCTTTTGGCGACTCATTTCGGCCTTATAAAAGTGAAGTAGTGGGGCTCTTTAACGTGTGTTGGATATCGGTGTTGTTGATTTGAAACAGGCCAAATGCAGCAAATGCCCCATCTCCGTTGAGCAGTGCTCGGTAGCTTCCTCCTAAAAAGGGGATCCCTATGTTGGGTAAAGATGCTGCCTGAATGTTTTACAAACATTAGGTACAATTGAAATTCGGAACGCTCATTCGCGCGAGACAGCTCTGCATCGCCTTTGGACTTTGTACTGTGATTTCTGTACGTCCTCACTCATATTCACCGTAAGACGCACGCTTGGGTTAGGTGGCGAGCATTGTACGTCTTCTGTTGTATATCCATTAGGCGCATTTGGTAAGGTTGTGAAAATCAAAGTGCCAGTGCCAGTGCCTAATGATGACTTGCACGATGCGTCGGGCCAGAGGCGAAGTGGATAGCGAAGAGCAGAGATAGGGGGGGGGGTTCCAGTTCAAAATAACGAATGTAGATTCTCGACTGTCAAGGAAAGAGATAAATGAAATCGCTAGTATTTGGTACCCGAAGTTAGCTGAATTGAGTGCCACTATATGTGTCGCCTAATGATCTTCTTAATTCTACAAGATGGGTCGACCTAGAAGACCCGATTTGGGTTTGAAATACCACGAGTAGAAATAACCAATGATAATGCTTAGGGACAACGCTAGTTTAACCAGTATCATTATAAAGCCCGAGGAGAGGAAGTACAATAATTGCCTTATTTAGATACCTGTAGCGAAACAACCGGGTGGGGGTGGCGCGAGTCGTCGCCATCACGGACTCTCACCTACAGTGATCAGAAGAATGAAATGGAGATCTCGACCGGTCCACAGAGCAAAAGCCTATAGTTAAAGTCAAGAGCTTTATAGGCCACTAGAGCTTATTGATAGGCCAAAAGCCTCTGGATCACGATGATCGGAGCTCATGAGGCTCATTGATTATTTTCCTACCGTAATTGATCGCTGCGGGCCATCGGTAGCAATCCGCCACCAGAAAGAAAATTTGATTATCCTCCCGATAGATCATACGTTCGCACTGAGGTTAATGAAAATTAGCCAAGAAAGAAGGTAAAATTAGCGATATCATTGTATCCGTCAACTTCTTCAAAGAAATACTGTAGTGTTTTAAGTATAATGCGTGTATCATGCCGACTGCGTACTAATCCCCCATGGATGGCAAGTTTCCCGGATGATCGCCCCTCACTTGTATGATGGTCGTTTTAGGAGTAGATCGAAGAGAAACATATTTAGTCCCTTGAGGTGTGAAATCCAGTAGTAATATTCTTTAATTCGGTTAGCCAAAGACAGTCCTCGAGTGTCTCTATTACCGGAGGCGATCTATCGGCCGGCTAGACTACGCTGAGCCTGGTTAATGCGGGGTGAACCAGAATTTCAACTATCAGCTGCCCATGCCTGACAGCTGGAACTTGAAAGTAGGTTTACTTAGATTATCCCGGGTATAGGCTTCTCGGCAGCGTCATTGACTTTGGCATTCTCATCTGAGAGCGTGGGCTTTTAAAACAAATCCTTTCCCTGTGGCAACTTCATCGCCTTAGACTACAGAGTCCAGGATTTTCAAACATGACCAAGCACGCTGACTGTATTCGGCCGTTTTTGTTTTCAGTTCGCCTGCTCCTATGGATCTGTGCAGTAATTACTTTGGGCCTTAGCGCCTGGGTGGTCGATCACCTGAAGGGCTATCGGGCCATCTTCACCCTAGTCATTGTAAGCATTTGAATCTTTATTGATACTCTCTTGCTACATAGGTAACACTGACACTCCTTGTATAGGCGGTCCTCACCACGGCATTTTATATTCCCTCCCTGTTCACGGCATGCATGAATCGCAACCGTGGTTATATGATTCCGCTAGACATAGTCTTCTATGCACTGTATATCGGACCCTTCCTCCTCATAGCCCCACTATAGTTGACGACAAGTTACTACCATTTGGATTAACTGAAGCTGATGACCCTGAACACTCTGTAGATGGTTATCGGCATTCATTTTTGTTGCCCAAACCGATGACTTCCTTGATGACGCCGGGTGTACTTACTGGATTTGGGACCTAAGCACCAGTTGCAGGCGGAGGAATGCCATCCAAGCGTTTACCTTTCTGTCTTTGTAAGTTGTCACTGTCACCAGAACGAACCCCCCCCCCCTCTTCCTCCCTTTCTTCCTAAATATTTATCACACATGCTCATTTTCTCCAAAGCTTCTGGACGTTCTGTGGCCTATGTTTGGAAACCCTTAATATTTATTTCGACGGCCGGCATCCTACGGGTCATACTATTAACCACCCGGAGAAACCCAGTTCTTTCGGTCGTGGCGCGAATAACGGAACTACTACAGCCCCCGCCGAGACTGTGCCAGGATTGAATGGTGAACACACCCAAGTTTGATGGCGGCCATTTCCATCACCTTTCACGCGCGGCCTTCGAACTGTACAGCCGAACGATATATCTCTATGCGGAGTAGGCCTTCTGGTGTCACGGATTTTTGCTTCCTTGATCGTGATTCCACAGGTGAAAAAATAATCGTGTCATTTCTTCGTGCTTGCCTTGCTTTTTGCGAGCTTTACACAATATGGGTGTATCAGTCACGCTAAGGATAAGTGTAATTCTTCAGGTACATTAAAATGACCAAGTTTGACTGCTGAATTTGAAACCGAGATTAACTAACTACTCGCCGCATATAAGGCAAACGCTAACTAGTTATTAGTCTGCTGGGTAACCAGTGCGTAATTCAGTGAGTTCTGCTAGTAAGCTCTGATTTTCAGAGGCACTTAAAAAGTAAAAATTACCCTAGCAATGAATAGGATTGCTCTTATCCTAGAACAATCGCGTAGCATGCGGTTATACTTGCAGTCTGTAAGAGGGCAAATTAAGACGATGGAACTCAGGGAATTATCTCTCCCCAACTCTTATCAACAAGTTATGGGTGGAGAGCCTTCTCCGTCTTTTACCGTAGTGATTTTTCCGTCGGATATAGATTGTTCTGTTATTTGCCGTCGCTATCCAGCCCTTACGGTCGATGGTGGTTAAAGGCGAATAACTATAATCATTTTTCGTCAAATGCGATCTACTAGGAAGTATCTCTAAATGTCTATAGTACTAATTAAAAAAGTTAATCGACATTCATAACTTATAATGAATATAGAGCTGTTGTCGCTTTACAGCTTTACACTCAATCGATAGGTTGAGTTAGTTGCCACGGACAAGTCATTCTTTCTTGGTTATATTGACGTTTCCTGTCAGCAGTTCAAGCTCCGCGCGTCCGAGAATCGTCGAATCGTCGTAGTACGTCTGATTATTTCCGATTTCCACACGTTCATGGGCTCTCTATGTATATCTGACGGAATCCAGGCTTTTTAACACGGCTTGAATGTCAACGGAAACCAATTTGTTCTTACCTGGATCACCTTGTGGCTCTTCGCCCACTTAAAGTTCCTCGTCCTTGACGTATTGCAACCTGCCTTACGGCTGCCCTCGTGCCCACGTCGCTTATCAGCTGGGTTGTATTGAATGCCCTCTTAATGATCCCTCCATTCAAGCGGTCTCCAAGCTTCTGTAAAGTGAGCCACGAACTTGTAGCAGATAGATGGTCATCAATATATGGTCTGGTAGGTGCAATTCATACCTCAAGTACGCACTACCTATTCTGTGTGTTTACGAGATCCTTAGCTAGATAATCATCACCTTTGGTGTATATTGACGAGCATATGTTACCATTGTAAATTAAGGGTGGACGGAAAAGCAATAGAAGACTGCGTCGAGGAAGGGATACGGTAATGACAAACGCCAAGCTGATGAGAGACCGTCCGATTCCCGATATGGTCATTCCAGGTCCTGAACCAGATCAGCTATCCACTATACAGGCGCGTGGGTCCATCATCCTAATTGAAGACCAGAAAGAAGTCGCTAAAACTATTTGGTGTGAGGCGTGCCGGCCAGATATCGATCAGTCTAGTAGTCGTAATATTACGGGACCATCATTTAACTTAGACTTTGAACGAAAGTGGTGACGAGGCCCCCGTTCTCAGCGAAGGATAAAAATATATAATCACTATTTACCATATAGCAAAGTAATTGTGTACTATAAGCTCGCAGTAAATTATTTATTCATGATCGATAGGAGAAGGATCGATAGGAGAAGGGCCACCATCAATGGGGTAAGTCAGTGGTGTGCAGGTCGCTAGCATCTTGCTTCAACTGCCAACCTATTACACGATCAACTATAACTTCGTCCGTATCAATCTCTGGTGGCTCAGACGTTATATCCGGGCCATCATTCGGCCAGATAGCCCTTAAAGCAGTTCATTATCTGACCCTATAGCAGAAGAACCTTGCACGTACGAAACTGGCGACGCCGCCCCCGTAAGCATCTTTGATAATTATAAATGGCGGGGACCACACCTAGCTCCTCTTGCATTATTTGAATACTGCATGCTTATCAAGATAAAGCATGTACGCGATGCTATTGCTAACGACGTGGACTTCGATCTAAACCACCCGAGATATGCTACGCACGTACAGCGCCTACCGCGCACTCTATCGTAAGTAGCGACTGTGACTTTTAGCGGATACCTAACCGAATTCTAGGCCGCAGAAGACGCGGTCCCAGGAGGTTATCTAAAGATAACCGCGATCATGAATAACGTAGCAGAGATATTATTAGGGCTCTTTGTTCCCTAGGGTCAATTAATTAAGCTCTTCCGACCGCATCCTACTAAAACCGACGCTTTCGTTTAAATATAGGTAGCTGTTGAACCAACCCTCGTATTTCATAATAGAGCTTTTGTAAAAAATATCGAGTTACTGCGAAAGTCTAAGGAAGACTATTAGGCTAATACAAAAATGTGGAGGTCTATAAATAGCGCTACTGACTTATTTCACGATGCTAAAGAGTATAAGCCCGTATATTCTAGTTCTGATAGCGAAGAGACCGAAGCGCTTTTATACCTATAAGATAAGGATTTTAATACGGAAATATTGATCGCTGCCTACCACTCTATTAGTAAAGCGTAGTATCGAGAGACGTTAGTCACGGGCTAGCGAATTCCTCCCTTACTCCGTGTAATAGACTAAACGCGAAGCTTATCACTCTAAAACCTCTAGCCGCTCGATATTTTTAACGCTACTATATACGAATCTTCTGGACTAAGATTTCTCCTACCGTCTACTTTACAAGAATAGGAGCTTTAACTAAAATGTTATACTAATCCTAGTCCCGAAGAGACTATAGCCGGTAATACTAGGACTTTAGGCTTTATATTTGATGATTTTAACATCTATATTAAAGATAGTATCCTATATCCTACGCTATTCAACTCAGACACATTCCCTGCTGCGGATGATCTTTAACCTCGAGTGGGTTAGAATCCTACTAGCGCTTCTCTTACATCCCTGATTACCTAAGAGGTTCCTCTGAATTAGAAACAACGAATAGTAGTAGAAAGGGTGCTATCTAAAGCGTTAGCCTAGGTAGACTACCCCTACGATTCGTTATAACGTAAGTAGACCCTCCTCTATATTAGAGGAGAGGGCGGCACGGGTAAGAGCTAGATTATCAAGGTAATTATCGCCGGTATAAACCTTATCAGACGAAAAGACGAAGTAGTCCTTATAGCGCCTATAGGTACCGCCGCCGATAACATCGGCGGCAACACGTACTATATATCTTTAGGGATATCGATCGACTATTCCCGTGAAACCAGGATAAAATCCCGAGTGAGATAGCTTTAGTCTCACAAGACTATCATAATAGTAGACGAAGTCAGTATAATGGATCTACATATGATTAACGTGATTAATAATCAGTGTAAGATCGCCAGAGCCCTCGATAGATCCTGCCCTAATCTTTTCGGTGGCCTTCCTGTTGTTATCTTTATTGGTGACTTTTTCTAGTTTCTACCTATTCTGGGCCCGGCACTGTGGAGGGAACCACGACGAGGCATAAATAAGGATGAAAACGGTCGGCTACTCTGGCATCAATTTAAAGAGGTGATCATTCTGGATAAGTAAATAAGGCACGCAGAAGAAGACACTTCATTCCGTGATCTGCTATCACGAGCTAGGACAGGGGTATTAACGGAAATCAACCGATCCTTCCTTAATAGCAAAACCGTCACGTCCCTAGTCAGTCCTCAGCTAGCAGATGTTACTACTGTGGTCAAATTAAACTCTTTGCGATATCAGGTGAACCGCGTTCGATTACAAGAGTTCGCCCGAACCCGATATCAGAACATCTATATCTTCCCCGCGCTTTATAAGCGTACTAAGTCCACTAGTTCAACGAATCTACGTCTCTATATAGACGACTTACTCCAGCAGCTAGACTAAGGCACTAAGATTCCTTTCCCAGGACTTTTCCTATACACCCGAAATATGCCTACCGTCATACTAACCAATATCTGCACACCCCTAGGTCTGGTTAGACTGCGGCACGGTTTTGGTTGCGGTCTTAGGTTGAAAACCAAAACCAAAAACCTGCGGTTGCGGTTAGCAAGGTAAAAACCGCAACCAAACCCGCAAATTTACGGTTAACCAAAACCATAGTGCGGTTAACTAACGGTTAACCGTAAATGTATAATTTTCGAAAATCCTCCCTATTTTAGTAGTCTCGTGATCTTTATGCAGCTATCTAATAATGCATTTTTATACCATGTTTTGGTTCCTATAGGCAGATTATATTAATACTACTAATTACCTTTAGAAAGATTTTGAAATCGAATTGTATTTAAGCCTGATTAGGGTATATTAAATGAGTATTAGTATAGGTTTATCTAGAAGGGTGAGTGGGTAGTGGTAAATGTGTGGTTATGGCTGCTTTTGACACTTGGTCGGCTTTGCTGCGGAAAAATATATTGAACACTTAAAGGGAGTTATTCTATTTCTGAGTAAACTAATATTTGAATCCTCGATTCTTCTAATTTACCTCTAATGATAATTTATCCTGAATATAATATAGAGTTAGCCAAAATTAAGGTTTTAATGGCTTTTTATTGAATAAAATCCTATAAAAAATAGAAGTAAAATATGAGTTTTAATGATTAGTTAAAATAGTATATAGTTAGTTTGCGGTTAGTTTGTGGTCTTTACGGTTACCTTACGGTTATCTAATAGTTAACTAAGAAATAACTATACTACTAGATAGTGGGAACTAATTAGCTAATAGGATTAACTAGTAAACTATAATTGCTTTTGATATCTATTAATTCCCCCGGTCGTAAATTATTCCCTCTAATCCTAAAGCGAATCCCTAGTAAGTTTCCTTTTCCCCCTAGTAGACCCCTACTACTTCGGCCTTTCTTTATAATAGCTTATTCCTAAGTATCTAGTTTTACCGATTAGTTTTCTGAGGCTAACTTTCTATAGTTAGACGATCTACCTATCCCTAGTAA